ATCGTCATTCCCATTTGCTTGTCTTTTACCGCATCTTTTTCGGATTCAGACTTGCTACTTAGTAAGGCACGCATCTTCAGCACTTGCAAATCTAGTTGATCTCTAGGCGCCAGGATTCCATGTTTTTTCAAAGTACTCGAAGTGTTGAGAAGCTTCACGCGACACACCGGCAGTTGCAGACTCAAATTCGTAACCCTTCTTGGCCTTGCCAATCGTCTCGTATGGCTGAGGATGTCTGATACAACTGCTGATTGAAGATCGTCGAGAACTTCAATGGGATGGACAGGCTGGAAATTTTCAAGCAAAGTGGCCACAGAAAAAAAAGCCTCAGGATGGCAAAACCCTTTCAATCCTGATATTAAATCGAGAAGAAAGTAGGTTTGTGTAACGTTTACGTCCGTCTCACCACTGAAGATGTCGGATTCGCCATCTCCATTATCCTCGGTCCTGTTAAAGTCGTCAAGAGATGGCAATGGAGGAAGATCGCTGAGGTCTAGGACCATTTTGTGCGAACGAAAGGTAGGCGCCAACCAGGCACTAGTAAGTCCTTTCTTAGGAGTGGCCACTTTGCGAAAATAATCTTTATCAAGAACGCTGCGAGATTCACTCTCTAAGCTAACTTGTCTTCGAGGGCGCCTTGAGCGACTGGTAAGAGAATCTGCATTCGGCGATAGAAGTGCACTGTGAGGTACTGCGGCCAGTGAATGGTCCAGCCCTTGTGGATAACCATTCAACCCGCTCTTTTCTTCATACCTGAAGGGAGGCATGGAGCCCTTTATTGGGTCGGTAGAATATTGACTGGCGAAGCCCGATGACAAAATGGACACTGCATCAGGAATAAAACCAGGCATCTCTCGAATAGGTAGAGGCATGGATGGAACCGGCATAGCTGCCGTAGTCTGCTTATCTCCACTCTTTGATATCCCAACGCTGTCGTCTTTATCATTCCAAAGTAACCATGGAGTTCTCTGGGTGCGACGGTCATGGGTTCTAACATGATGCTGTTGAAGGTCCCGGCTTGCCACAAAGTTTGCCTTGCGTTCCACCATTCTAGCACTGACAGAAGTGTGGACGTAGGCATACGTTCGGACTGGGTGATAGGCCTTTTCCACCCGAGCTGATGAATTTTGATCAACGACGGCAAAAGTTATATCGAGAAGGCTGACGTTGAGGTGCTCGGAGAATTTTGGGCCAGCCCAGTCATTGAAGTCGAGGTCCAGGGTACCGGAACTAAAGAGGCATGCAGTTGTGCTCAATAGTACCCAGATTTTAATCGACTCAACTTTCGCTCGCAGAAATATAACGTCATATAACACAATGGGATGGAGCGGAGGTAAGGAGTTTTCTTCGTCGTCGATGGAATAGATGAAGGATTTCAGCGCAGACATAAAATTCCTCACAAAGTCGACCGAACATTCTCCCATTATCCGGCCAACGTCAAAATCCCAATTGCAAACGTAGGTCGGCTCAGTGGGCGGCAATCCAAACAGTCTATGTCCATAAATGCTCAATCCGTCTATAAAAAGCTCGGTCTGGGATGGGGAATCGTCCAGACGTAATGGTCGCAGAGATGCTGCCAAGGGGCTAAAGGATGCCTGAAGATCCATGTAGTAGTTCGTAAATCTCACATCGGTATCAAGGGACGCCGCTTCGATACACACACAATTAAGCCGATCGTAAATGTTGCTTGGGAGTAAGACCTTGCAAAAATCTGCATGAATATGTAAAATGACATCAAGGTCATTAGACTTGCTTAAACCCGTATTCGACAGTGGCGGATTGTCTGGATTAGCCAGTTCTTGAAATTCTTCCAGGGTTCTAAAATGCAAATTCTCGCCAAAGTAGTTTTCCTTTACCTTTAAGAAGATATTCACGACAAACCCATAAAGATACAGTTCTGGTGAGCTTCCCGTGAGGTCGAGAGTAAGAACATCCGTCAACGTAGGAGATGTGAGAGTGTTGAAATCGTAATTGCCCTTCATACTAAGGCTATCCAGAGATGCAATGGATGGATGATCCAAGAATGACCGGTGAGTATTCCAAAGAGGAACCGAAAATTCCATTGTTGCATTGGAGAGCGTGAGATCAAATGGGATGGCATTGCGCTTCGGTCTGTAATTGACTGTCGGGATCCGTACATTGCAAACCAAAGATTCTGGTTTGATAATAAGAAATGAGTTATCATCAGTGTCGGTTGGATTGTTGATTATATTTGAGTCGTTGACATTTAGGAAAAGCTTAGCACCGGTGAATGAGAGACGGATATCATATTGGAAAGGAACAAACGTATAAAATTCCGGGAACGGACCCGAAGTCCAATCGTTAACGAGATCGGTGAGCAAAAAGATATGATCTCGGATCAGAAACAACTCCAAATCGTTGCTATCGATGGCGAATGACCAGGTGTGCAAAGTATTCCACTCCAGGGGATTGGATAAATCACAGGAAATTTTTTGGCGGCCGGAATGCCACAAAACACCGTGGTTCACGCTCGACGTCAACTTGCTTCCCTGTAAATCAAGAACAAGCTTATTGCAGTACCCTGCTTGGGTTGCCACCATGTCCATCTGGTAGTCAAGCTTTGACCCTCGTTCTATCACCAAGGCGAGCCAACCGAATGGTCGAATATCAGGGCCATGACTTCCTGTATCCCCTTCCTTGCCCCGGGGATGTTTCTTTTCTTTCTGATTTTTAGTTTTTGAAGCACCTTTAGCCACCTCCGCTCTACCCTTCCATATCCAGTCCTTAGAAGGTTCTCTGGTAGGAATTCTTAAATTCGTCTGATCCTTAAAGTCCACTGTGAAAGTGAATTTTGTGCTCTGTCTCCAGTGTCCCAAACTCAGGGGAGAGGCAGCTTGGGAATCGCGATAAGGGTTAGGGAAAAGAATTGCCTGGAGGTTGGCACGCTCCCTATCTGCCCAAGGGCCGTAATTTACCATACCCCCTTTCACCGACAAATGAATGCCCCATTCAGGCGGCTCTGCACCATTTATATCATCCAGCATTCTGCGAACTGATGATGCTGGGCCAATGCGCTGCGCTAATACTCTGCCGGGAATGTCCCAGTGATACCTGACCGTGATGCTAGGACAGTCTAGTATGGTCGAAAAGCGCCCATACTCAACAGCATTCCAGCCCTCATGCTCATTGCGGCTCTCCTCGTCGAGGTATCTCGTAAGGCCCAACCAATGCGATGCCCCTGGCAAGGTATCGAACAAACTTCGTGTCGACCTAGGCTGGTTCGAACCTTGATGGACGCGAAATGATTCAACAGACCTTTGAAAATAAGGGATGAGATCACGAAGGTTATTCCATAACTTTTTTCTGCGATGTCGAACTGCCCAATGTAATCGTTGTCTTCGGCTTTGTTGGTCAGTATCAGTATCATGCCGCATGGATTTCGCCGCAGCCAATTGGGAGTGTTTGAAATCTGGATTTGGTTTAAGTTGTACAACAGGGTGGAGCAACTCAAATTCAAAGATTTGCTTGAATATATCAAGCGGACCCGAATTTCCAGCGTCTATTTTTCCAAATCCCCTTTCAAAGGTTGCTGCCAAGATGGATTTGGTGTGCTCATTACCAACAACCAAAGCCCCTTTGTAACAATTAACCCAGACAGGGAGCAACGAAAGAAATTTGGGTAGTTTTAGATCAGCACCTAAATCACACACAGAGTCAGACTCTGGGAGACTTTGCGGAGTCGGGGCATCTTTTCGATTGCCGGACTGAAAATCATCTTTCTGTTTGTTCGACACTTCGACCTGGGGCTCCTTGACTTCTTGTATGGACATGCTACCCCGCTTGTCTTCTCCAACTTCGCTCTTGACATCGTGGGGGTTGGTTTGAGTCGAACTCCGGAACCCATCAAGGATTGTATCATATGCTGCGCTTCTATTATAAACAAACCATTCTACTCCATGGAGCGTGATTTCAATGCGGCAAGGACGTTGGTTTTTCTTCTTAATATTCTCAGCTTTTCCGGTCCTATACTCTGGGCTTCTCCCACTTCCCCCCTGACTTGTTTTGGACGTCCCGCAAGAATCATTACCGGCTTGACGTGTTCGTTCTTGAATAAGTTCGGTATCTCTAACGGAGCGCAGCCAGTATTTCCAGGTAATATAACCCCACTGGACCAATATTGTCTCATTCTCTCCATGGTATTGGACGCCTTTGAAAAATACTCTCCCCCCTAACAGCGATATCTGAAGGGCATGGATATCAATATAGATACGATAGTAATGCCACGTATAAGCCCGGATTCCATAAGATAAGAGCGTCGCAAATAATCTGTTGAAATAGAAGAGGAAGAATAGTGTCCTGAAGCATTTTCGCATTAGTTAGTTTTCAAGTTATGGCGTACCAGGAGGAGAACTTACAGGATACCGCAAACGATGAGCTCAACCAGAAACACCCTAGCAAGTGGCCATCAGCATTGCCAATTACACAGTCTCAGGGCCGCTATTTACTTACCAGTTGAACTGAGGGACAGCATCTAAGGGCTGAGCAGTTAGCTTGCCCTGCGCGATGTTTGGCAGTCGGGTCGGTGACGACATTGGACCCGTGCATTTCGTATTCTCGAAATCATCATCGGAAGACAGAAATAGCACCGTGCACTTCTAGAGATTCGCTTTGACAGTGGCTATCATTCTTTGTCTCGAACGTCGAGGTGACTGACTACCGATTGACGACGGGGAATTGCGTTGGGAGCTCGGGCGGACCGTGGTTTGTCGCCCGGTCTTGGCGGTCCAATGACGCAGCGCGCGTGAGCTGGACTCACCCGTCAACTCTGGCAGCTCCACTCCGCATTGAGAGCTCCGTGCTTCAAACGCCAGTGCAACCTTACAGATTTTGACAACAGAATTGTCTCGCAGTCATGCTGGTCAAATTGCTCTAACTATAAGCAGCAGCTTTGGATAATGATATAGACCGCAACGCGATCGCCTGCGCCTAGGCATGGACGTGTTTTGTTTCCGTCTCGTTATATCTGCATTTCGCGAACAATGTCGACGATGGAGTTTCGAGCCCTGTCTGGTGGCACAGGCTCGAGCCTTGCGAGGGCCACTGTGATAGTTGCTGGAGTTGCTTCATTAATTGCGTCCCTGCTCTCCATCGTGTACGTTTGTTTCTTCCACTCCTGCGATTAGGCATCCGCTAACATAGGTTGACTAGGTCTATCTGGCTCCAACTGTGAGAATTTCCCGTTTTATTACAGCATCGAGCTGGAAATTGACCAAACTATGACAGGAAAAACTATCGCAAGCCTCTTCTCCAGAGATATGTCGTTCGAATCCTCTTAATGTACGTGCATCTTCCTGCGTCGCACTTTGATGACACCGTTTCTAAACAGCTTCAGGGTGCCCATATACTCAGTGTCGTCGTGGACAAGCATAATTTCATTACAAGCTTCATCTTGGACTGCTCCAATTCGCGATATTTATGAGGTACGACCGCCTCCTCTCCTCGGTCGCTTTCGGACCTAAGCGCTGACATGAGTCTCCAGGCGTTCACAATCTATACCTTCTTTCAACTCCTGATAAATTTCCTTGGCGGTGAACGGGCCCTCATTATTATGACCCACGGCCGCCCGCCGGTGCAGCACACATGGCCGCTCAATCAATGTCTCTCGAAGGTTGATATTTCTGATCCTCTTACCTTCCTGGCGATTAAACGCGGCATCCTTCAGTATGTATGGCTGAAACCTATCCTTACGGTAATCGCTATTATCTTGAAAGCGACAGGGACATACCAAGAAGGTTACCTTGGGCTATCCTCTGGCTACCTGTGGACCGGAATAGTGTACAATATCAGTGTGACCGTCAGCCTGTATTCACTGGCTCTCTTCTGGGTTTGTATGCACGATGATCTTAGACCATTCCGACCTGTGCCCAAATTCCTTTGCGTAAAACTTGTTATTTTCGCGTCGTACTGGCAAGGGTTTTTCCTATCGATTCTTCAGTGGCTAGGAGCGTTATCGAATGGACCTCTAGGCTACACTCCGGACAACTTGGCTGCGGCAATTCAGGATAGTCTAATTTGTTTTGAAATGCCCATATTTGCGGTCTTTCACTGGTATGCTTTCTCATGGCACGACTATGCAAATCCGACAATATCTGCTGCACGGATGCCGATTATATACGCCCTTCGGGATGCATTTGGAATAAAAGATCTCATTCAAGATTCGAAGGAGACATTTCGAGGGGAGAACTATGAATATAGAAAATTCGATTCTGGCGATAACGTTATTGCACATGAAGAATCGCACTCTCGCGTAGCGCGGGTGATGGATGGGATGAGGTATGAACGAGGTGGAAAGGCAAAGTACTGGATTCCCAAACCCGGACAAGCAAATAGTAGAACGCCATTGCTACAATCGCCATCCAGCCGGCGAGAATCTCTACCCTGGTCAAGAAGAGACAGCAGGGGTGACGTTCGCCAGTCATATACAGATTGTGACGAAATCACACTTGATGACGAGGACGAAAGACTGTTTACAAATGCGCGGGCGTTGGAGTTTGGTGATTGGCATGTGAGTATGGTCAAAAGCAGAAATTGCCAATCCATCTAATATAATCATTAGTACCCTGTTATTACGGCGAACGAAGTCCCCAGAGATCAATTGCTGCCATCGCGATCAAGATCCTTTACCGCAATCAAGTACCAACATCCCCCGGAAGGAAACCAAGTCAAAAGATCGTCACGACACCGATGTAGACGCATCCAAGGCGAAGGCTCCCAGGAGCCATCCGCGAATAGTATAGCTAAGAAGCCTAGAAGAACAAGACGAAGCCGGCAAAACGTGGAATTTGGATCATCGAGTAACTCGAAGCCAACAAACGACCAATTGGTAGACATAGTGGATGATGTTGAAAGTGCTGATAAGGAAAGGGGACGCGCTCGTGCTGCGGGAAAAGAGCCACATCACTTAGCTGAATCCCGATTGATGTAAGTTGATGGGTAACCCTGGGCCCTCTTGAGTTGAGCAACGTTAACGTATCTCTCTATAGAAGCCGATCCTCTAGTGGAACATTGGTCCAGAAGGATGGGCCAAACGAAACTGAAGCAGGACCCTCAACGTCACTTCCTGGCGAGGATGATGACTCCCAAGACGAAAGACAAAGGCTTCTTAGCCACATTGAAGACGGCGTATTCAATGAAGAACGGGCTGCTTGGGGCTAGGCTAATGGCAGAACTTTCCTTTCAATGAGAAATAGGGCTTGCGAGCAGGTCATTCTATACTTCTTATCTGTTTGGATACATTATTATTTCCAAGGAGTTAAAATTTTGGTTTGGCGTGCGGATTTACCTCTTCGAGTGTTTCCTCTGTACTTTTGATGTAGTTTGTTTTTTTTGTTCTTTTCGGCTGTGGACTCTCTGCGTCCACGACAAGTATCTTCTCAGTTGATGATTCACTGGACTATCATCTGATACCAAATTTAGCACATCTTGTGCAATAGTTTGATCCTCTGATAATAAAGATGCTTGGAACGCACAAGGATGATCAGAGCACGCGCACGGCTGGGATCTCCTGATCTGGACGTGAAACATGGGCTCACGCGGTCGTTCCCTGATAGGTGCGCTCAAACTAGCCCCTGGCGATGACACACTTCACTATCATCTCATACACCCCCCAAGCGCCGGCTGGAAGTTGTCTCTCGTCCTTTCATTAAATTAGAAGGAGAAAGCGAAGTACTAAAAAAAAGAGAGCCTTAAAATCTCTTGACTCAATAGCTCAAGATTGCAAGTCCAGCTGTCTCTGAATGGCCATTGTGTTTTGCATGGGTTACGTTGGACTTGCATGGCCTTGACCTGTCCACCAGCCAATCGACAATGATGGTTCTGGGTGACGCTAAACGAAACCCACAGGGCGCATCGCCGTCACCATTCAAGACACTGCATTAGTCGCCGGCACAAACACTCGCAAATGGCCAGAAAGTTTGTCCCGCGCGTGAGATGGCCTTGGTTGCCGTGTCAAGTTCCACAATTGGCTGGTTCGCACGTCCTGCAAATGATGTCCAACCCCATCACACCAAGTCTTCATGGCTGAGACCCCCACTATCAAACTGCCAGTTGGTTGCTATTCCTGGCCTGCCATGGCCGACTTGGGGTTTCCATGCCTCCCGTCTGACACGGGGTTCCCTGTGGAGGACCGTGTGAAGGTTTATCTCGCTTGCAAGCTCCCCATCCTCTTTAACATTCTCATTTCCACATTTTCCGGGTTCCTACCTCTAACCACTGTGTCTACATTCCAAGGGGCTGTTCTTCTGGCTGAATTGCCATGGAACCGGCCCGCTAGATATAGTTGTGTTGATGGAGTGGGTAGGCTCAGCGTTGAGGAAATGGGCCGGGTCTTGCTTCCCGTGCGTTTTACCGGAAAATGAGAGGCGCACTCCTATTCATCGGGAGCAAAGGCCGGGTGAGTGACCCAGACACGAGTCAACTTTTCCCATATCTGCATCTTGCTGACTCGGCAACCAGGCGTGGAGCGAGTCGTCCCAATCTACAATAATCAGCAACCAAAGGCAATTCCGCCTATGAAGCTGGTTATCTACGGCGACTTGCCCAGTCCAAACGAGCCCCATCCGCCCTTTCTGAACATCTCCAAATGGAAAACGGAGGGCAGGGACCTCGCGTCTAAATTGAACAAACGGAAAGGCCTGCTGAGCAGGGTTGTGTCTACAAATGAACAAAAACGGCGCATGATAAGCGCGCCCACAGATTTCCGGCGGGTTCCAACTCAAGTTAACCGACGTCTATCTTTTCGACCTTTGGAGCTGAGTATATATTTGCCTGGAAACCGACTTCCAGATTTACCCGAATTTTGTGATTTTGACCTTGACGGTCCAAGGGTGCCGCCCAAGGCGATATGGTCCCCATCCTTCAATTCTCATCATCGTCGATACTCCGACACGCCTTCTACCTTCAGCGTTCCTCGCAAGCCAGTTGGTTCTCTAAGGGACAGATCCTCTCTGATCGGCGATCAAGATAGTTATATGGGACACCGAAGTACGCTCTCCGACTCGAGGTTATCTCAATCCATGTCTTCTCCTTCGATAAATAGATTCAATAATAAACGGATTGCGCTGCATAATAGATCGCAGAGTTCGCCCGTTGCTAGCCCTACGTCACCTATAGGGTCAAACATCAACGAGGAGACACCTCCTTTGGTTGGCGGAAATCTGTTGTACTCCCCGGTGGCCAACTCATCCGCTCCATCATCACCCCTTTCAGATTTCGCCATGTCAACCGTTCCCAAAACCCCTCCCACTCGTTCTGACTCGTTCGCACATTGGCTTATGAACTCCCCTTCATCGCCAAATTCTGTGCAACAAACACTTCCAAAACATTCCTCATCTTACACCAAACGATGCCGCCAAATTAGCAACTCCACTGTGTCAACAGCTACGTCCTTTACAGCTGCTTCTCGAAGGACGCACTCGTTGGCTAGTTCAATGACATCCGCTGGAACTCTATATCAGTCCACACCCGTCAGAGATGTCAGTGACAAAACGTATGAACTGCCGTTGGACAACGTCTCCAGAGGAAAACTAGACTATCCACGCTACGAAGAAGTGTATCCTACTATTTACGAGAGCGGACAATATCGTTTTACTCCAACGATGCCAGACTCTCCACGGACATTCGGTACGGCTGATATTGGGTTAGCTTTTTGACGTATGACGTGTAGGAGTGGCATGGACATGAGTTATTGCAAGACACTCTTGTGCTACGTCGACTCAAGATTTTGATATGATTTTTCATCCGCGAAAAGCGGGCTAATATACTACTTCTATTCTATATACCCGGTAAATAATGCCTTACTACTGGTACATTCAGGTTTGCGAGGACAAAAATTCAATGGGGCGGCTAGAATCAAATTTGATAGTTAATCTCGGCTCTTCTTAATCAATCGTTCTCAAGCCTTTTCGTGTTTAATCTCTTGCTCTTGCGTAACTAACTATCCAGTCCTGTTTAGCTATGTAGCTACCAGCTGATTTCCAATCTCTTACGAGGATAATCTTCCGCACTTTGGAGTCCACGTTTTCCTCGGGACTAGCTTTGCAGTCTCAACCGGCCCTGTCGAGCAGATCACAAGGAAAAGGAAGGTCGAGCAGGATTCCGACCCCCTCATTCAAGGTTTCACAATGCGGAGTTGAAAAGAGGGGAACTGGACGGGCGCGACGATCTGCGTCCTGGCTTTTAGCGCCATAATTCTTTAATTAAACGGGTTAACGGTCTGTCTCAGGCCAGAGGCTGACGGTGATCTGGAGTGCACGCACGGAAGAAGACCGTGTGTTTTCTTTTTCCGAACGATCGTTTTGCGATTTCGAATGGGCCGTTCATTATCGTATTTGTTTCTGCTCGAGACGAGTACTATCACGATCCATGCCCCCAGGTTACCAACCTGCAGGAATCCAGGGACCTCGGCAAGCTAAGCTTCGGAGCGTGGGTTATTAATACCCATGTCCCGGGATGGATGTATAAGCATGGCACTAAGTGTGCTCAGTATACTCCGTAACTCATATTCGATATTGCTGGCGGAGGACACACACGAGACGATACAACGGGTTAATTATCAATTCATCAAGATCCCACGTCGTTGTCTCCCTCCACCATGACGAATCGCATAGAACAGGCATTGCTTCAACGATCTACCATGCGGACTGTGTCCATACTTGTGAGGCCGACACATTTCTGAGACTAAAAGAATTAGAGGTAGAAGACTCCGGGTTATGGATGCTCCATCCAAGATTCGAATAGCACTAGGAGCCCCGTACATAACGCTAGTAACACAAGATAGGGAGCTATAGATCCGGAATTTTCAGCCAGTATTAAAGGCAGAAAGAGTTATCTATCAAGATAGCTGACGAATCAACCCAGAGTGCATTGCCAACAAACATGTGAGAAAAGGTCCAGGGTAGTCTAAAACGGGCTCCCATAAACCTCAGCAAGCCAAACCAGGGAGATAATTACGCATGGGTATATCGCTTCAAAGTGACAAATACAAATCTCGGTAACTCGATGGGTATCTATGAATCAACAATTGCAACGCCCTCTGACGAGCCATAAACCGGCACATGCTGGGGAACTTCGTCTTTCTGCATTCCAAGCATTTCCCATGCGGGGTCCATGGCACCCGTATTCCTCGAGGACAAGAAGCTGTTACCGCTATCCACGACAGAGGATTGATTAACCCTGTGTTTTTCCAAACAGAAAATTGATTTTTTCCGTTCTTTCCGTCCTCGAGCCCGTTCTTGATGTACAATTTCATCCTTCCATTGACTCCACTGCTCATACTGTTCTCGTTGCTTTATCGCATGGTATCGCACCGTAGATTTAATGGGTCTCCACGCCAAACGATTAGAACTGTCTGCCGGAAGACTAGATTTTATATCGACGAGCTTAGATTCTTTCGTCAATTTGACGAGGTAGCTCAACACATCTTGACTCTCTGACGTTGCCAAACGCTCACTCGATCCGGAATGAGGAGTAACTTTGGGGCACACCAAGGGTGTATCGAGCCAAGACTGTATATGGTTCGCTCGCTGCACAGAGTATGGATCTAGGAGATGTGCTCTGCGGTTATCATCACGCAGGAACCGCACTGCAGCTTGGAGACTGGCAACCTCCGCGCGAAGTGCATCATTCTCTCGAATGACGGATAGAGATGCTGCAGCGTTCACGGGTATTGTTCCGTCTGGGCCGACCGAACTCCCATCCGAGCCAGACGCTCTCTTCAATTTCTCCCATTTGTTCCGGTAATCGTCCCGTTCCTTTGCAATGTTTTGGATATCTCCCGATTGCCTATCCATAATGTCCAGTAACTCCACTTCCTTCGAGTGAGACGCTTCCAATTTGGACTCCATTTCTTTCACCAATGCCGCTTTCTTCCCAGCTTCACGCATTCGAGATTCCAAAAGCTCGATCTTGATAGTTTGCTCCTCAAACACTTTATCCTTGAGGCCCAACGCCGTGGATGCTTCATTGAGCTCACTCCTAAGACGACGGAGCTCCTCCTCGGTATCCGGTGACACGGTTTGATTGGATTTAAGTTCTTTGGCGCGGGATATCCATGGAGCAGGCAGGCGCTCAAATTCAATAGTCTGAGAAAGATCGGATGAGACGGAGCTGGCTTCATCAAGGTATCCCCCTAGCATACGAATCTTGTTTGCAAGGAAAGAAAGTGCGTCACTGGTGTCAAATTGGGGCGCGGATGGTTGGCACACAGACGCAACAGTCTGTGCCATCGAACCGACAATCTCAGCATACGTGATGGGCTCCGCACGACCCTCCTCAGTAATAAGTGGAAGTAGATTTTCTCCTAGCTGTCTTGCAACTTCCGATATCTCCTTCGCAGCTTGTTCCGTCCTCTCAAAAACTTCCGCAGAGAATTCTGACAAGGACAACGAACTTGATCTTAATTCGTCAAAAGAGCGAGTGATTTTCCCACTAATGACCTTAGAGCCTCTTGCCTGTCCGGCTAGTGCATCTATTTTTTGAAGCAAAAATGATCCTTCCTCGTCGTCCTCTTTTTCAGGCAATCTGGTCTGGAGTACCAGCTTCAAGTGAGATAGCGAGGAAGCCGTGTTTTCCATATAAGTTTGTGTCAAAACGCATTGCATATAAACCTCATCAGCGGAAGCTGCGGTAGACGGAGGAATGAGGGTCTCCGCAAGATGCGAAAGGAGCGCGATGGACCGCTGGAGCTCTTCTGCGCATTTCCTTTCATTCAACTCGCTCCTTTTTAAATTCTCAATCGAAGCGTTCAAAATCCGCTCAACAGGATCGAGCTCATAAAGGGCGCCTTCAAATTTCGCAAATTCTTCACTTGAGCAGCCATGGACAAATTTTACAAATCTCTCACACAGTAGCGATATCCATGTGAGTTTCTCGAGGAGATCATATGCTGTGAGACTATCGGGTTCCAACGCGACAGGCGAGGAAAGTTCCGCTACTCTTTCGCGCACAGTATTGCCCATTAATGAAGACTTGAACCCGACCCTTTTGAAGCGGAGAAGGGCTAGAATTGGGTTCTTTTCGGTGTCAAAGTATTCCGGCAAGTATTCCTTCATGATAGCTAAATGTTGTGCAGATTCTTCGGCTTCCATTCGACCCAATTCCAAGTCAATAGTCTTTACTTGTGCTTTGGCCGCGGAAGCCTGAAGCTTGAGATTCAAGTCAATCATGGCTCTAGACCGGGCTGATAGGTCGTTCGCTTCCGTCTCCGAGATTTGTTGAGAAACGCGCATATCTTCTAGGTCGCTTTGGAGATTGGTCACTAGTTCTCTGAACTTTGACAAGGTATATTCTAGATCTTCGATGACCTCGTCTTGATGGGCGATTTTTCGGTTTTGCTCGTGATAAATGCTGTCCCGATAGTCAAGTTCATCCTGTAGCTGCTTCTCAGTTTCCACGTGAGTGATTTCAAGCTCATCGCTTAGCTCCTTCAGATTCTCCAGGTCCTCTATCGCAGCCTTCAACTCGCTGATTTGCTCTTGGTATTGCATGTTCTTTTCGGAGAGTTCTTCAATCATTTCTTCGGCGCCCAAAGCCTCTACTTGCTGCTTCAGCTCTTCCATGTTAGCCTCTGTTACCGTCAACTGCTCTTTTGTGCTCTCATATCTGGCCTTGAGGGCAGCGTAGCCCTCTAGATCCTCTTCCAGCTCCTTTATCTGACTTTTCAGGTCTGCCTCTTGCTGCTGAGTCATATCACGGAGCCGTATCAGAGCCTCACGTAACCTCTCGTTGGTCCTTTCCATCTGTAACCATCCTTGACTCGACCTTTCTTCCGGGCTTGTCACTTGGCCTAATTCTTGATTCTCCTCTCTCAGAACCTCCACTTCCAGCTCTAACTCTTCAGTCCTCATCTTAAGGGCCTCATATTCAGCCTTAATGGCTTCCGCGACTTCTTCGGCCATCTCTCGGTCTAAGGCCGCCATCTCTAGAATCGACTCATGTTCAGCCTGGAGCCTCTCAATTTCTTCGACCCTTGACTCAGCCTCTTTTAGCTGTCTGCGGAGATGTGCGATTTCCTGCTGCTGAGGCTGGTACTTAGCTTGTAGTTTCTGAATAATTCCTTCGTATTTCTCCTTCTCGGCCTGTATCGTCTCAAGCAGTTGCATTTTCTCTCGATCTTCTGCGCGCTTCTTCTCCATAACGCGTAGCTTAGCTTTCAAATCCTCAAGCTCCTTAGCAACTGAACTACTGTTGGAAAGGGACCGACGATGTGCCGCAGGAGAAAGTGACAAACGGGAAGCGCCTGGGGATTGAGAAGCGTCATGGCTTGAATCGAGAAACGAAGAGTCTATCCTCACAGAACCCTCGTTCGTTTCGCTTGACGGGCTTCCCGTACTCTGTGGACTCGCTGATTTTGCTGCTGTTTGTCTCAGGGACATCCGCTTCGCCGGGGAGATGGCACTCGAGCGTGGTTGAAGTCCTGGCTTAGACAACCTGTTAGGAGTGGCCAATGGTGATTGTCGAGGTGCCTTGGCGGCAGGTGTAGTGGTAGCTGGGGGCGGCATTGATGCTCGATTCGGTAAACCTGGTCTGTTTTTCGGGGTTGACAGAGGTGGCTTTGAGATAGAGGGGGTCGTTCGAGATAGAAGAGCGGACTTTTCCGACAATTGTTTTGTCGGGGATTTCGTAGGTGACTAAGTAGATATCAAATTAGTTACCGCCATTGATCATGAAAGGATGGAATAGCTTACCCGCAGTGAACGACCTTGCGCTGCGAGTTTAGAAACCGGTGATGGACTGCTAGTATTTGAGCCCTGCCGTTTCACCGCAGTCGTAGATAGCACGCTTTGCCTCCTGGTTCCAGTCTTACTTCCTGGCGTAGTGCTGGGGGCCCTGCCCCTGATATCCTGCGACAAATGTTTTGGCGGTGGTTTCGCATCCTCTTTTCTCGGCTGCTCGAGAACCGCAGTAACAGCAGTGGGACGAATGAACATGCCATAGTTCTGCTCGCAGTCAAAGTAGCGTTCTCCCTGAACAGCTCCATCGTTCTTCCCTGTCGGCTCTTCCAGCTCAATTCCAATCCACTCTCCAGGGGCGAAATGCGTTGCTCCGATAAAGCGAATTATGGCGCGTCGACGGTCAGGCAGGCTGATAACTTGACCAACAACGTGGCCCGCCATTGTTGCATCCCTCGCTGCCAAAGAACCACACGGCTAACGCGTCGGTTTTATCGACCTTCCTCCCAGCGTTGCTTGTTTCATGCACGATAACATTGGAAGTACCTCTGGCACCCCCTAAGCCCAATCTGGCAAAGCGCCATTAGCGACCGGGAAGGTTCCAATTCCGACAACCGACATGCCGCTTTTGCTTTGTTGATTAAGCACTCACGAAAAGGCCCCGCTGCTTTTATTGTAACACTATGTACGGAGTACGAGACGCATTGCCTTGTCCGGAGCTAGCCACCAACATTGGACAACCAAGGGGCTACCTCCGCAACCCAGCTACCCCTAACTCACCCCTCCCTCCCTCCCTCCTCTCCCCAAAAGAAAAAAAAAAGGGTCCCATTCCTGGGGGCCCTCATCCCTAGGATGGCTAGAAATGGGATATAGGCAGCCTGTGATGCTGCGGCTAATACATAATTACAGGCGGGGTGCCAAAATGCCGAGACGTTTAGCACCAGATGCTCGTGGTTTCGAGCGAAATCACCAGTTGTGCTTGAGCCGTCTCGCTTCAGCCCATGGGCCGGATCGTGGATGACCATTGACAACGCGGCAAGTGACAACAAAGTGACTCGTGGAGCGGCATCCAGGCTCGTATTCAAGCTCGAGAGAAGCGCAACACGGATGTCGGCGAACTGGTTGGAGCCACCTGTGCGATTTTTTCCCATTCCGTTCGCTTGGCTTCGAGTTGAGCGGAGCCCAATTCGGATAGCCCGACGTGTCGCGTTGCCGAAAAGCTTCAGCCTTACAGTGCACTTATCCGTATTTTGCGGAGGTCCAGCGCACATCAGGACCCTTGCATCGTCCCATTGGCCGTTGTTGCAACAAAAGAAAGCATTCGCGCAGTACGGAGAACGGAGTATATTTCCCAAAAATCCAAATCCCGGCAGCTGAGATGATAAATAAGATCAACATGCCCTTATCTTCCGCCGGGATGCTTCAGGCATCGACTTGACTTCGATTTTGTTCCATTTTTTATCTCAGTGGCTCACCATTCGCTCGAAGATGTCGAACCCTTGGGCGGATACTCCGCTCTCTTTGATATCTGAAACCGGAATCAAAAGTCGACCGGATATCCCTCTAGATCATGCCGCAGTGGAAGGGGCGCAGAAGATGGCTGCTATACATAACATCCTTCTCAGATCTTTCAATGCATCCTATAATCAGTGTCTCGGCGTGAAGCGGAACACCAAGGAGGCTAGCGACTTCTTAGTCTTCAATCAGGTCCTGTATGAAATGACTTCACACCATCACCACCTTGAAGAGACATGTTTGTTTCCGGAAATCGAGAAGTTCACGGGAGTCAAGGGCCTCATGGATAAAAACATTCGGGAACATAAAGATTTCGAAGGAGGCCTTGAGAAGCTCCGTGAATTCTCCTTTACCACCGATGCGAGCACATACGACGGAGAGGCTCTGAAAGCTATCTTGGATATACTGGGGCCCGTCTTAGAGAAACACTTCCATGGGGAAATTTCCACCTTTCTTGATCTAGCAGAATATGACTCGAAAGCAATGGCGAAAGCGTGGGATTTGGTAGCAAAAAAAGGGGCGTCTAGTACGATTAAGTCTAGGTAACACGGCTCCCTTGTTTGTCATCTATTGTGCATTACCCCGGTCACGTTTCATTTATTGACCTCTTCTCGCAGAACCGGAGTAATGATTCTTGTCTGCTCGGACAATACGTTCGCCATAGATGAGAAAGAAGGTGGCTACCCACCGTTTCCGGCCTTTGTACCATATTTAACGAAATGGGTATTTCAGTGGCGGCATGCCGGTACTTGGCATTTTGCCCCGTCAGATGTCTTTGGCAACCCTAAACCGCTAGCGTTTTTGAACCCTAAGACGACATGATTAAGCAGCGCCGCTTGCTTCTTTCTTGTTTTGGGGAGCGTTGAGCCTTTTGGAAAACTGGTACTGGATTGAGATTGGTGTTGAAAGTGTATAATAATAATGTGGTTCTCTTGATTGATGTCTAACGAGCCGATTCCTTCGATATGACACTTAACTGCCCAGTGCACATAAGACTTATAATGCCTTTATATTCTCACCGATCTTTGGTTTGAAAAATTGCGGAAACAGCTCCCGTAACTCTTCGAGATTTCTGATCATGAATTTCGATGCCGGTATTGGTGGGATCGGGAGGCCTGGCTCCACGAAATGAACGGTAGTCCAGCCGCGAGCCTGGGCATGTCGACAATTCAATTGTGAATCATCTGCATGAAGCTGATTAATGACTGATTACAGAGTGGATTGGAAGGAGCCTGCAGAAAATTTAAAAAAAAAAAAAAAAAAAAAAAAAAAAAAAAAAAAAAGCATAGATTTTGGGGTTGCAATCCTCACCAACAAAGAAGCACTGGTCAATACCTGGCGCATGCGCCTCCCTTTCCGCTTTCTCGAACATTTTTGCATGTGGTTTGCAAATGAGTGGTTGTTGAGCATAATCACAATATGTGATCCCCTCAAAAAGGTCATCCACTCCTAAAAGTTTAACTACCCTTCTGCCATGGTTGATATAGGCGTTGGTAAATAGCCACAATTTGACCTTTGAGGTGTCAAAATCTTCAAGAAATCGACGTAGCGCCGGGTCAAATTTCAAAATAGAATCAAGCGGGAGAGCATCATCCACTCCGCTATTAAATTCCAATGGGTCAATTTTATGATTCCGCGTTAACCCTTCTATCGCAAGGCCATATTCCTTGTAGTATTTATTATGAAGCATAACCGCATCGTCGATACTGAGTGATAGGTGTTTGGCAAAGAATTGATCTGGATATTGGCCGGTCAGAAGCTTGTCTTCCACAGCTATAAATCTCGGATTACAGACCGATGAGTTCTTGCATTAGATCATGGATTTTACTGTCTAGTGATTAAGAAAATTGTTAGTTACATGAACCATCGAAGAGGAAGAACCCCGCTAAAGGCTTACCACGGGAATATAGCTATTCCAATCAACTCTCCAGTCAGCCTTAGAACAGTCACTTGCTGTCATCTAATTGCCTATGCCAAACAAGAAGTAGCCCAGCATTGCTCCTGGTTTGATGTGTGCACACATACACAGTTGTCAATATCAAAGAAAAAGACAGGGCGGGTATCTTCACTACCCCGCTGTTGGTCCATGCTATACACAGAGACGGTAAGAGAGATCCCTCGAAGAAATTGCCCTTGTGTTCGACGTGTGGAAATGCAGAAGATGGAGGATAAGCAACTGATTCGGGGGAAGAGGCATTTCTGGTATTCTGGCTTTTCTTGTCTATTCAGTCCCGTTAAGTTCCAGTTGATGGCTTCTGCTGTCCTGAACAAGGTACAAATGCTCCACTATATCTATCAGTAAGTCCACAGCCGCTATGTTTCATGGGCGTGGCTTGGCATTACGCTTACGCATCCTGTCTGCTGTCTTGTGCGGAAGCTTTCATGGCCATTACAGGATCAAAACCACCCAGGACAGCTTAACATGCAGTGTGTTTAACAAGAGGTGCAGTGGCCTTTAGCACTTGAGTCTAATCTTTCAGGGGGCTCTGACGTTTACACTAAGGCCAATCTGGTTTAGTGCATGTAATCATGTTGGCTGCACACGCAAAACGACTTTCTTCACATCTTGGGCTGGGGACACAACATCGATTTTCTCAAAAGGTTCCCGAGACCAAAAGAACACCCAGCTACCCATTTCTTGCGAGCGAGAGATAGGGTGATGCACTGTTTTAATTGCCTGTGAGAATTGTTAACCTACACAGCTGATTAGCCACCAATGATCGCGTCAGAGTTGGCCCGGAAGCCCGAGCAGGGCCACGGCAGCCCATTGTCGGGCTCCAAAGAGATCGTTGAGTACGAGAAAATCTTGAATATTCGGGACCAGATATTCTCTGGAAATCACCCGCGATTAAAGGTTCCTCAGCATGTCATTCGCAACTTCACTCCTCGATCAGTTCAAAGCCCCTCAATACCTACTACTCCCTCCGGCCCAGCAGAGACGGCGACGGCCGCGCAGCAAAAGGAAAGCCAGCTGCCGAGCAGTGTACAGAGATCTCCTCCAGCGAATGAATCTTCAGCGGTAGGGACAACGATAGCTGGCACTGGTGCTTCTAGTAGTCATTTGTCTACTACTTCTGCTACGAAACCAGCTTCAGAAATTGACCCTATTTTCTTAACTAAATCTGATGATCTCATCAGAGCCGAGATGCAATTACAGCGGCAGAGGATTGAACGTGCTCTGCGTGACCAGGTGGAGCAGAGGAGGATAGATGCTAAAACAAAACCTTCACCACAAGAACTAAATCCTGATTTCGATGTTGCAGTGGTTTTTGCAAAAGCATTGGAACTTGTTAAGCCAGTTTCAGAGATTGATACAGAAGGGGCTAATGGGAACATTGCAGCCAGTGATTCCTTTGATGAGAATTCTTTCTATTCGAGTAGAGCCCCTGATTCTCCGCAGAACGAGCCAGTAGTGGCATCGCCTATCACCGAACGACAACCCCAGCCGGTGCTCATTGACGACGCGGTTCCTGATACTCATGTAGCTCGTCATAATGGTGGACCTCGATATTTGGATAATGGGAATCGGAACTTAGTGAATTTGGAATCACATCCTCCGTCGGGACTGGCTGAAAAGAATATACCTCCAAGGAGCACCGATAACACGCCCGTTCAACCTGGTATGCCACCAGAGAGACAACAGGGCCGTGAAGAGCCAGAGCCATTTGAAGAACCGGAATATTCACCGCCTGGCCCTACTACTGTGGACACCGAAAGGGAAGGTGGTGCTCATCAACCTATCTCAGAACGGGCCAATGGGGGACACGCTCATCGTGTGCCCACCCAACCTCAGCAGGATTCCCAACGACATCAATACCCAGTGCAGGATGTGAGAGTAGTCAGAAACCATATTACATCCCCTGCCGCCCCGCAACCATCAAGGGTGTCACCGCTTGCAGTGTCAAAAGTACCAGGGACCCAGCGGCAGAATCGCCGTCAAAGGAAGGCGGAGAGAAGACTGGCTGCCCAGGCTTCAGAACGTGGCAGCCCTGAAGCACCGGTGCAACCAATAGTTCATCGTAAGCGTCGACGTGAACAGGAATTCAAAGATAGTACGCGCTCTATGGAGGAGAGAAGACCGGCGGTGTCGCCAGATATTCCTCACATTAAACCAGAGCCCGTGTCGCCACCTCCATTTATTGAGGTGCCGCCGGCGTCATACCTGCGATCCCACGCGCCCCAAAGTGGTAGTACATATGTTGAGATTGATTCTCCCCGGTATACCCCTGTTGGCGACCGACGTGAAAGTGGTGGCCGCCCTACCTATTATGATGAAAGGCACGCCAGAGGGTACGAGATGGATGGTTCTACTGACGTGAATATCACACGTTCGTCCTCGAGATTAACTTACAAGAGGCCTTTAAGAGAAGACCGCGATCTTCGTCGGGTTGCAACCATGCAACATGCACGCCAATCAGAATATGTTCAGGATTATCCCGAGCCCATCCCCGAGACTACGCCACGTTATGTGCGAGCGGCCTCCTATGCTGTGACAGATCGACCGGTGCAGGTTCAGAAACCAAGATACTATGATGAGCTCGCTCCATCATATCCGAAGCCATACGGTGCAAGTGTCCGTCCCGCCTCTCCAAGACTACGCGAAGAATATATTGAAACCCATCCCGAACCCCGTTCTATGGGGCCTCCTCCACAACGCAGAATTGTTATAGATGCTGAGGGAAATAGATACTACGAGTCTCTGGCGCCTTCGTCCAGAATGCACCCTCCATCTACCCGGTTGGCGCATAGTGAGGCATATGATGAAGGGCCACCCATTCGCACTGCACCCGTTCGAGCGATGTCAGTTGTCGGGAACACATATCCGGATCACAGATATGCTCACGACATGCCTCCGCCAGTCACCTATCGACGGGTCCCTGAATATACGCGAGTGGCACCGAGCGAACATGGCGTCTACGATCGAGAAATAGACGACAGAGCTCGAGTGCCTCGCGGCGCAAGTGTGCAAGTTATTGACTATCCACGTCGTCATCCAACATATGTCGAGGAACCGGCGTATCCGAGGGAGGAACTGGTGAGAATGTCAAGCGTACGACCACCTCCAAGCCGCTATGAAGACCCCGTAGAACCGCCGATGCGTATGCCGAGCGTCAGGCCTGTTCGACGCGAGGTGAGCGTGTACATTGATGATGAGCCTCGTCAATCCCGAGAGTACGCTCCTGTGGATCACGTTAATTACCCTGCTGCCAGGCAAGCGAGAGAGGAGCGTTACTATGATGACGAGGACACTGCGAAACTGGATCTTGAAGGTGGTCAGGGGGTGATTAGGAGAGTTTCTCGAAGATATTAATCCTGGGTATGACCATGGCTCTTAGTGACAACAATCACTGTTCACGATATTTCCTTGTTTCTCCTTTTGATGGGTTAGTTTTGATGTATGGTTCTATGACGCTTCTAGTACCTTCTTGGCGCCTTGTTGACCTAGCCAAACCCTTTTTGTGTTTGTGTCTGCGTGACTGGGGGAAAAAGCTACAGTGGTTACTTTGACATGTATATTTGTCTTCTGCGTCTGTTTGACCAGAAAGCTGTTTGAGTACTCTGTATTTAGAACACTGGAAACATAGCTTTTGTTTTGGCGCTGAATATAATACACGGGTCAATGTTAAAGCTCATTGACACTAAGTGAAGCCAATTGCAATTACCATGCACATCGCTGTAGAGCATTCGCCGGGTTTGAGGAAGATTATATTATGTTAATTACTCTGATGATCTACTTTGCGCATCCGTCTTCCAAGAAGGAAGGTGGACGTGGGATCACATTATTACATGCATTCGTCTGCTACGTACTGAATGCTATTACAGTTCTAAATTTGGCTCCACACCAGGATACAGTGGAGACGGACCGAAATAACCTAAAGTAGGGTCCTCCTGCTTCGGATTCGGAAATCTCGAAAAAGGGTCTTCATCAGCTGGGCCAAGTCTCGGAAGCTGTGTGCGAGAGAACCGGGAAAGGGGCCCTAGGAGCACCCGCAAGGGAAGTGAGATGACGTGCTAGGGAGTGTTGGTGGCATCCCATCTACGTTGCGTTGCCCTTGAGAGTTTTGAGGAGACTCTATTAGGGGAATTTTCACATGGCACACCTAGGCATCACATTCGTTCCGCCATGGTCCGCGAGGTGGGGTGGAGCTCACCTGGGAGGGATTGGACCCGAGGGAGGGCTTGTGTTAGTTTGAATCTCATATGAAGCATACATCCCTAGCCGGAAAATCAGGGCTCTGGGCCTGCTAGCCAAAATTATTTGTTCGCTGGTTGAGGAATAATTGGAGGGGGGGCGCGGCCTACCTAGACCGGGATCAAGTTAGGAATTGCAGCTTTTAAGAAATGAAGAACAGCTTGTCCAGGAAGAAAAAGGAAAGACATGCTGGTTCCGTCTTGGGAGCAAGCATCAGCAAAGTGGGCCGGGTGCTCCCTCGAAAACACCGGACGGTTCGATCAGTGGTTTTTGTTTTGAACCCGAGAGAGAGAGTGTGCCCTGCTGGCAAGTTTTCCAGTTCGTCCGGCGCCCCGAGCTTGATTCACCGCCGTGGCCTCCGTGTTCGCCCAGGCAAGGGATGGATAACGTCATATACTGGCCCCGGCGGAAAATCAACCTCCTTGCATTCTGGAAAACGGGGTGTACGACAGCATCGCAGCGCCGGCAGACAGGGCCACCTTCTGCCGGCAGCAGACAGCTCCCGGCCTGCAGCCCGACGGCCCAACTGCACCGGGAGTGTCGCGAGAGGCAGCTCAGGGCTGACTCCGGCCGTCGCGTCCTCCGCGAAGTCGCCCAGCGGCGGCCCGTGCACGTCCCGATCAGGAAAAGGCACAGGTGGTTAGTCCTGATCTGGTCTAGCGCGGATTCAGAGGCTCATGTAACTGAAAAAGGCCGCTAAAAGCCTCAGCCCAGCCCAGGCCTTGCTTCGAAGTTCCCTCCACACAACACCCTCCAGCATCTGCACTGCGACGGGTGCTTAATTGCCGGTTCCCAGCGCTCCACGCCCACGCCCACGCCCTCTCCGTCTTCCTCTCCCTTCGTCTCGCCTCTTACTCCTCTCCATCTCTCCCTCGACGTGGTCGTCGCGGGTCTGTCGCCCTTTTCCTCTTCTCCCCTTCCCCCGTCCGCCCTCTGCGAAATCCCACCCTTGGAACTCCCCCCGTCCACCGCCTCTTCCACCCTCCCAGAGTGCCGCTGAGGAGCGGGATCCCACGCTCCAAACTGGCACCATGCATAAGATCTCCAATTTCACAGGCCAGGCACGCCATGGATGGGAGCGGATGACCCCTGCCTTTGGCATGTCCCGTCCTCAGCATGACCTCGCCGGTTCCCATCCCTTCCGAAGGCCCGTTCCGCCTGCCATACCCTCTCCCCCGAAAAATGATGCCATCATAAACCTCTCCTTCAACGTCCCGTTCTCCTCGAATCTCTCTGGTCCGGACCCGGACGACGTCCTGCACTCGACACCCGGTGCTCTTCAGCGGTGGACCTACCCGGCCGGAACCCCGGAGGGCACCCCAACCCATAAACTTCCGGTTCACGCAAACCACATCGATTCCCTGAGAAAACTGTGTCGACAGATCAGCGAGAACAGTTCAGGTCGCATTGAGGCCACTGTCACATCATCAGAACCCAAGGCCCTCGCCTCGCTCCAGCTAAGGCCACAGGGCCTTGTCACCAATGTCTGCATCTCTGGTGAGACTGATCTCGTCTACCAAATGAGGGCTAAAATTTTTAAAGAGACGCCCTTTGCTCTGGTATGTTGTGCAGGATGACTTTCTGGCCTTTCTCCTTTATTACCTTTTTTTTTTTTTTTTTTTTTTTTTTTTTCGCGATTTTTTTTATTTTCTTCCTACCCCCCCGGGAAACTTTGCTAACTACATATATAGCGGTGCGCCACAGTTGATATTGATGTGAACCTTGTCATGGATTCAAATTCCAACGCGATCAAGCAGAATGTTTTGAATCACCTTAACACGCTAGCAAGCTACACTGGTGTGGACATATTCTTGCTTAGTCCAAAGATCGTCGACGCTGACAGCGCTATTGTATCTTCATATGGATATTCGACCGAGAATGGGATTGATAACCGCTTTAGGATCGCGATATATGGTGATGTTGAGAGTGTGGAGCATGCGAAGACTAGGGTTTTGATCATGATTGATCAAATTGTGAGTTGATTTCCATTTAGATATTGTGCTCAAGCTCGGCTAACAAATTAAAGCTTAAACGACAAGTTGATGTTATGAAGCTTGAGCTGACGATGCATACCCTGGTCTGCGGCCGCACACGCCGAAACATCAAACTTATTGAAGCTGCTACAGACACTGCTATCTACTTCCCACCCTCATTCCCGAACGTTTATGGATACACGCCGCCTGGTGCTTATAGACGTGCTGATGATGAACTCTACATCACAGGCACTAGCCAAGAACAAATCGGCAAGGCAAAACAAAAGTTACATGAGTTGGTTCGGGGCGTCAAGGTCTATGTCAAGGATGTGTCTGTCACTCCAACTAAAATTGATAGTATTTTGCTTGATCGCCTGGACAAGGTTCGCAAGGTCATGGAGGCAAATGGATGCTATGTCCTCTTCCCTCAGCTTGGCAGTCAACACAACACTATCCGCGTCCAGGGAACAGAAATCCTGCAGGTAGAACGCACCATTCGAGAGCTGATGGCTCTGGTAAGCGCACTGTCCTAATTTTTTTATTTTTATTTTTTTTTTTTCCCCACTCCGTCCTAACTCGATGCAGGCCGGCCAGTTCTACGGCGCAACGTGGTGGATTATCCTTCCAGATAATGCGCCTCAGATGCGAGTTCCGTCGCCGTCGGATATCCGAACCATGTTATCCGATATTTGTGCCAATTCAGGTGCCGACGTCAGCTTTGATAAGTTGACTTTCACCATCCACGGTTCCGATGATGCCGTCAAGGCAGCTATGATGGTTATCCACCATATTCCATTTGTCAAACGTTCCCCACACCAGATGCGAGTGAAAATCGAGCTTGCCAACGAACATAAAGAGTTTGTCAGCGGCAAGAAGAACGGGAAAATTAACAAGATTATGGGCCAAAGTGAGCAACTCCATTCTATTAATGTGCTCAAAGCTTGTGCTAATGTTTCTCAAGGCAACGTTCAAATTATCTTTGATGGATTTAACGAATACAACTTCTATATCGATGTGTGTGCCAGCCAGTATGAGGCAGCACGCAACGGACTTGACTTGGTCGAACAAGAAATGCCAGCATCGATATCCTTCCACGTGCCCGATCAGTATCACAAACGTATTATCGGTATTGGTGGCCAGCACATCCAGCGCATCATGAAAAAATACTCCGTGTTTGTCAAGTTTTCCAATGCCATGGATCGAGGTGGTGTCAACAAAGATGACGATGACATCAGAGTCGAAAACGTGATCTGTCGCACACCCGCTCGTAATGCTCAGAACTTGGAGCTTGTGAAGCAGGAAATTATGGATATGGTAGAGAAAGTTGTATGTGATCATCGATTGATCCTACACATGTCGCTGGGCTAACAGACATCCTTAGGATGCAGAATTCGTCTCCGAAACTGTCCTTGTGAATCGTCTCTATCACCGGGAACTCATCGCTCGAATGAAGGAGATCGATGAGCTGGAGAAGAAATGGAACTGCAAGATCGACTTTCCTAGCACTGAAACGGCGAGTGACTTTGTCACCATCTCAGGCCCAGAATACCAAGTCCCACAGGCCGTTGATGCCTTTTTGGTATGACCTTGATGAGTTTCGATTTGTATTTGAATTAGATAGCTGACCGCTTTTAGGGAATGGTACCGGAAACGCACGAGATCTCGTTCCAGGGTTCCGAAGAGCTTCGGGAATTCTTTAAGACTACAGAGTTTGCGACTGAAGTTCGAAAGAAGCTTAAAGAGCAGTATGAAGTTGACGTTACTGTTGAAGCGACTGGAGAGCAGCCTTCTTCCGAAGCCAACTCACCACCTCCCGAAGACAGGCTTGTTCTTGGTTATACACGGAACAACGCTGGTGGATTGAAGGACGCTATTGATTTTCTTGTCTCGAGGCTTGTCTCGCATGGGCTTGATGCGACCACCGTCAAGGGATCTATTCCTCGACCAAAGTCAGACTCGTTTGAAGAGTCCTTGCCGTTCTTCGACTCCAAGCTTTTACAGCACGCCCCCGCTCCTCTCGTAACCGATTCTCCCACACGCCCTAATTTCTCGGATGACGCCAGTGACCGAGGTTCGATATTTGAGCGTCTTCGCAAGCCCGGCAGCATCTCTTCGTTTTCATCGTTTATCGGTCGCAAAAACCACTCTGGCTCCCCCGGCTCTTTCTTTAAGCACGCATCCAGCAATGCCTCAAAGGCATCGCTTGTTTCCATGGAATCCCGTGATAGCGGATATCGCAACCCGTGGAATGACTCTGGCGTGAATCTTCCGGAAGAAGATGTTTTCAACGCCAGCAGTGCGTGGCCATCTCGATTTGATAGTGCATTTCCCTTCGGTACCGCCCCTGGAGACATGACTCCGCGGCACGATCTCCGCGCATCTTTTGATAGCGGCCGTCCTAGTACTTCCAATTCTACTTCTGGATACCCGGCTCCTATTGGGCCACCTCGTTAAAGCACGGATCTTATTATCGGAAAATCAGTTGTCAGCAATATACCCCTTTGACCAAGTTTGCAATCGTTTATATGATACCACATTGAAAGTCAGTCAGAAAAGCAAAGTCTACAGCTAAGAAGGTCAGCCGGATGGGAGGGATGAGGTAAAGATATCATGTCGGTTTTGCTAAAAGGAGTAGTCGGCGGCGTTTATCCCTCGTTTGTTGTTTGATTCCCAACTTTTATTTTACTTTATCTCTCTAGGCCATTCATTTAACTGTCGTATCTTACATGCAGCAATTATCTCCCTCTGAGCTATTTCATACGTGGTTTGTGTGCTTTTGCCTTAACGGTCGATGCTCTTATGGTTTTTACGGGAGGTCTAAACTCATATCTCTTTTGAAAGTTATTTTGAACCCCGCAAATGATACCATGCTCTTCTCCCTCTTTTTGTTTTGCTCCAATCAATGATTTTCTTGTTTTTCTTTTTTAAATTGTTCTTACTTCTATATTATTTCTCCTCTCTTGCTACTCCATTCCCTTTTACTGTTTTTGCCTCTAGGAAGCAGGCAAATAAGGGTGAAGCGGGGGACGAATGATCTACGTGGCGTGAAAGTGGGATGGGGATGATGGGATGAATGGGTGGATTGTTGTTGAGTGGCCTTTTCTCTTTTATCTTTTCGGCTGAAAAATATGTTTTTCCTCCTCTATCTTAAATTTGTTTTTATGTTTCCTTAAATTTGAAGACTATTAAACAAAAATTCCTGTGAAAGCAACAGAAAAGAAATTCACATTGATTATTCTTTTCTTTTTTAATTCTTATTATTATCCTTTTTTTTCCCCACTTCTTCAAAGAATCTATATGTTTGGGACCATGGAAGTTTGGTTATTTGATTGAAGGAACATAATATTCAGTTCGACAATCAAGGGAGACTACAGAGTATCCTGGCCCTTTTCTGTCCCTAGACTACCTTATACATAGGACAGGTATAACATAGGTAGTTTTAAAAGCAATGTTTAGCAAGGTTAAAGTGAATTATGGTACTTAGTCTGCATGTTAACAAGATATTTCACAATGGGTACAGGCGTTCATTATACGCGCGACCTTGCGCAAACCAGCAATGCGAATTCAACCATTTAGGAACATATGTAAGAGGAAACACGGTGTGTATCAAACAAATTTGCTCTACTGTACGGAGTATGGATATATATATACCTTCATTTCAGAGAGAAAGGGAGAGACCAAAAAAAAGGAAAAATCATGCCCAACACAAATGTAAAGGAGAGACCAAGAGACCATGTATGAGATCGACCAGCTTTCAAATAGCACAATAATTCAATGCTCCATACAAACACCATAACAAGAAAGATAAGTGAAACAAGATAGCACATGTATTATTAGTTCGTTGAGGGAGAAAAGGACTGAAGAACATGCTTGATTAGAGAATTGTGCTCATTGTCCAAACAATTATTATTCAAAATGATAAGGATTATAATTTGTGCATGCTGAAAATAGAACAAAAGATTCAAGAAAAAAAACCGAGCAAATATTTGCATTTGAACTGCTTTTTAGAGTTGGCCTGAAAGAACTGCTTCAGTCGCTACAGAAGTAAGTTAGTATTTTGCCAGAACAGCCATATTTCTCGAGCTGGTTTGGAAGGGAACTTACCAGAATTAATGTACGCTCGTTTTGCGTCCAGCGGGATGTTAAATCTCCGTTCAAGTTCTTGTTTGACGCTCTTCTTCGTAACGGTCATCAAGTCAGCCGTTCTCAGAATGTCTCTGATCTCGGCTAGCAACGCATCGTCGGTCGGAAGACCGGCGAAGTCAGTCATTTCGAGGTCTGAGCCACGACCGAGGAGTTCAGAAGTGGGCAGAGATAGCCGCGAATGGCGGTTGTAATCCAGGTGAGAAGCTGGTCTTGTGGCGGGATATCCATATTCCGACATTGCTGGGTGGTACGACTTTGTTCGATAGGAGTATCCAGAGACTTCCGACTGGTCATCACGATGCGTCTGGGCTTCCCAGAGCTCAGCTTGATACTCCTCCCACTTCTTCTTAGGAATTGAAGCTGGATCAAACTTTCCCTCATCCGTGATAACGACCTTACGGCCTTTCTCACCAGTGACAATACGAGTATTACCCCATGTGAAGTCATCCATATGCCAAAAAGCATAGAGAGGCAGACCCAACGAGAACACAGGCATGGCAAGGAGATAAATTATCATCCATCCTACCATTTCCCATTTGCGGCGGAGAATGAAAATAATAGCCTGCAGACCGTAGATCGCTCCGAGCAAAATGAATGCTGTGATTGGAATGATGCCGGTGTTCATAGCCAGGAGTACAATGAGGTAGACAATATAGGCGACGGTCACAGGTTGAATGATTGTACTGAGAAGATCCACAAAAACAACAAACCTCATACTGAAGCAGCAGAACCCGCACAGTTGTTGGAGAGGAATGAGCTCGATCAAGTTGTGGACAGTCGAATTGATCCATCTGCGACGTTGGGACAAGAAGACGGCCCAGCTGTCAGGAGCAACAGTCCATGCATGCGCATTGAAAATATATTTGGTCTTATATTTTGGATGGTGCTTCAGAAGTAGGGTTGTCAGATATCGATCCTCTCCCAGATGGAGCAAGTTTTTCATGTGAAGCGTATCAACACGAATCTCTCCATAGGCATCTACAACTTCCTTGCTGACGAAGAGTGGCTTGCCTGTATCGGCGGCACGGATGCGGTACATACTGAAACAACCTGGTAAACAGGTCACAGAGCCAAAAAGACTTTCGAAGGCTTTCGTCAAGTTGTGGGAGATCCAGTATTCGTAGACTTGAATCATCGTGATCATGGAAGATTTGGCGTTGTTAAGAGCTGTCTCTCCGCAGAGTGCAATCACTCTCGTATCATGCAAGAATGAGGCGACCATTCGAGTAGCAGAATCTTGCGCAACAACGGTATCCGCATCAACCTGTAAGATGAACTCGTAGAATGTCGGATTTACACCAATAATATTGCGGACCTGATGATGCATTTCCAGTTCAAGCGGGCTCATCGGTGCGTTGTAATGGACGCGGTTGAGGAAGCGCATCAGAAGCATTTGAGAATCACGTTTTCCGCGGTTACCAGGTCGAGAAACCTCAGACGGCTTGCCAACTTTAACCACTACCAAAAATGGAACAATGTGACCTTGCACTTCGTACAGTCCGGAGTAAACCTTGCCCATGTTGTGCTGCCTCATGCCTTCTCCTAAACTTTCAAAGCTGAGTGGTTCGGGGTCAACAGTCTCTGGGACACCAAGGATATCGAGGACGATTCGAGGCGTGGGGCGGTCATTGCCCTGTCCAATGATCATACCGTCGCAAATAACCACGAGGAGTTTCCGTTTATCATCGTATTTCATCCGGGCCATCGAGTCAATCGCACGACGGAGAGACTCCTCATCTTCTGTATACGCTGGTACCTGGCAAATGATAAACTTATCAAGGTTTTCTGGGACATTCTTTCTTCCAAACTGCAATGCAGCCAAGAACTTAAAACCAATGATACTCGCCAGGAGAGCCGAACACGCAAGCACAAAATATTGAGAGAAGAGGCACTGCGTCGAATTTCGGGTGTCTAGGGCTCCGACTTTGAAGAGGTTGTTGAGGCAGACTTCCATATCGTAACGCAGTGTGCTGCTGAGGGGAAGTCTGTTGAAGTACTCGGTCAGATCATGCCCGGATTTTTGCTGGAACAAATCGACAACTCGGGAATCCATGAAATCCACGTCGACACCTGGTTTCGGTTTACCATCTTTGTCTCTAGTAATTCGACCTCCAATCATGTAGTCAGTGAAGTCATAAACCACTCCATTTATGACTCCGATGTACTGAGACTCCTTCTCAGCAAGCGTCTTGAGATGGCTCTTAGTGTAGCCAATCTCTCCTTTTTTGTAGTTTGCCCGTAGGTATCGCATTTGCTGAAAGTACCAGGTTGGTCGAGTATCATTTCTGAAGTGTCTGAAGTCATGGTACAGGAAATTTTTGTCGTTTCCGCTAACAACGTTCGCAGAACCCGATATATTGGTGGGAGTGAAGTCGAACAGCACTGAAGGATCAATGGGCCGTTGTGAGCCGCCTTTACCCCGACAAAGCGCAGAAACCTGCACAGGGAATAAATGCGTAGCATCAATTCCAGCATACTTTATCAGCGCCGATCGAGGAACAATACCCGGGTAATGGGCAGGTATAAAAGAGCCCAAGTCAAATACTTCTCCTCGAATGGCGGTATATGCGTTATGGTTGCCTTTCCCATCGTGAGACGAAAGTTCTTCAGCGGAGAAAACGTGTTGCGTCGGACAGATCAATCGCGGGAAAAGGATAATGAAAAATACCACAAAGCCACAGCTCAACCATATAAGAAGGTTGATAGCGAATTTTTCACGCCAAGCGACACGCACATCCTTTCTCTTCTTTCTCCCGACCCACTTGATCAAGAAATCAGGGATATAAAAGGTCAACAGATAAACGAGCGCAAGCCAGCGTTTGCGGCTTCCCGAGACGATGACGTCCTCCACTTCAACCATCTCTTTCTCGTTGCTTCGCTCTGCCATTTGCTCACGGGTTTCCAAATTCTTGAACATATCACCTGAGTTAAAGGCAGATGCGCCAGCATCCGACCGTGCATCCAATTCCCGGCTGCCGAAGTATCCTTGCTTATCATCCCCGTATATAAACGCTCCAGGGGTGGAGTCTCCAGAAGGCAAGAGACGGACTTTTGAATCTCCATATTGGTTGCCGCCAACATGGAGAAGGCCATCTCTGCCATCATCAGTACCTTCTCCACTAAAACTTGGAAGAACTCGCTCGCCAACTTTGGCCAGATCTGCCCAGCATCTTTCACTCAGGAAGACACCAGTGCTGCCAACGCGTGCCTCGTTGGTTGGCCACCTCTTCTCATCAACGATGAGCTGCGACTTTTCCTTGTCACTCCCAACAATGATCGATTCTGCTTCTGCAAGCCCAAGGAATTCAGCAAATGGTAAGAATACAGAGAAGTCCGCATTGCGGAGACGTTGGCTGATCTCGGCAATCCCCAACGTCTGCACTTGGGTCCGGACGCATTTGCTATCAAACTGATTTGCAATCCGCCTGTCATTTGGCTTAAGGCAGAAGACAAAATAAGGGTTCACATTTGACGCTGATAAGGATTTGGTTATATTGTCAAGAGAGGCGAGGAACTGGCCAGCTGCGCCCTGTTTTGGAGCACCAGCCACTGACCCTTTCTTACTGTTAGATCCGCCCTTCTTCGTACTGGTAGATGTACTAGCAAAGTCATCGGTGTCGTCAGCTTCGGACTGAGATCCAAAAGACGTAAACCTTGAGGGTCTGCTCATTTTCCGCCGTGCCATGCTCGGCATTCTCAATGGTTTCGAGCTGACTTGAGCTTGCATGATAGCATTCCTTTCCTTGGGATGGTGGATCGTTTGCAATGCTTCTTGACCGAACAGTTCCCGAACAAATCCACTCTTCGTAGAGCTAATGAGGTTAAGGAGGTCGCCAGATACCAGATCACCATTTTCTTCAATTAGGCCCTTAACGGGGTAATCAACTTCCCCTGCAAAATGCCTCACTGTGAATACAGCGGCAGCGTTTTGCGTAGCAAAGTTGCTGCCTGGGAGAATTGCGGTCGAGCTACCAACAGCTATAGCTGGGTTTTTATTCTCGAACCGTTTGCGAATACTCTCGAGGAACTGCAAGTCGGTTCGGGCGCGCTTGGTTTGATCGTCCAAAATGGAGAGGAGACCGTTGCCGTGTTTCAAAAGGCCCTTAACGGCATCGGAGTTGTCAAAATAGCTGGTTGCTGGGACGTTGACCTCTTCTGTTTCCAACATATCTGCCTGACGCTCAAAGAAGTTTTGCAAACAATACTGATAAAGGGACTCGGTAGCAGCATTGTTCAGCAATTGATCCAAGGTCGAATTTGTCGTAGACATCTGGGCAAAACCAGGGAAATCAACAACGGAAATGGTGTTAGCCACGGCGTCCTCGGCAGCGCAGATCCGCTGATTGATGTTTTCAATCACATAGGCAACTAGAAGAGCATAGAGTGTCCTTGCAAACCCATCTGCGTTTGTTCGGGCGCCCTGGGGATCAAGCATAACGGTTACCCGTTCTTTATGGATTGTCTTCGTCTTATATCCCAAACTTGTTTCAAGTTCATCGACACTCAGACCAAGGAAGGCGGCAACAATACTTAGAACATCCTTGTTTTTGACGACGGTGATGGTCTCACCGCCCTCGTGCGAATATCCACCACTTTCATCCGCCCCTGTCCTCGTAGCCTGACCTGTGGTGAATTCAAGTTGTCCGATATGCAGGATACAAGCCAGGATTTGGCAAATTTCTGCGATCTCGCTTCGGGGGAATTCCAGTTTCCGCAATGCCGTCTTAAAGTGCTGGAATCCTTCCGCATCGTTGATTCCGACCTTTAATTGGGTCGGGTGTCCGAGATATCGCCAGCGCTTGTGTGACGCTTGGGATGAAGATCGCTTGGTTGGGCCACTCGAGATAACATCGCCTGAACTAGAAAGACCTAGATGTGTCTTTTCGGCTGGACTGGTCCCCGCCAGAAGGTAATACAAAACATGAAAACTTCGCTCTCCCGTAGGAACAGACGCTATTCTGCTCCGCTCCAGCCGGTGATCTAAAAGCTTCCCACCAATCAAAGTCGGATTTACGGTGGACGATGCATCATATTGTAGCTCGAAAAAGAGACCGGCTTTTGACGCAGTTGGCGTAGTAACGGCTTTTGTAGTTGTCAGTGTGTCAAAAACAAATGCCGCAAGGGACAACTTGGTAGATAGCGGGGTTGAGGTGAATGAGAGGAGCGAAGATAACAGGTGAGATCGAATAGTTGTTTTGCCTGAGCCAGATTCACCTCTGCGACAGATCAGCATCGCAGAAAAAAGTGTGTCAGAAAGAGGGAGAGAGAGAGATTCGACGTCGAGAATATGTTGCGAGCACCAACTGGGGATACATACAGGAAAACAACAGCTTGATTTTCCCCCCTTGACCCCAATCTTGTCCAGGCTCGCCTTGCCAAATCCTCCGCCTCCCCCATGGCGCTTCCTTCCTTGAGTCCATCAGGACCTTTTGTTGAGGATGTATACGTATTCAGGCATATCAGAGCATGCGAAGAAAGGCGAGCTGTGGGGAGGGAGACATGGAATCTAAGAGATAGATGATATAGGTCAGTAAAAATTTGAACGCACAACTTTGAGAAACACGATATCATCTCTTACCGGCTGGCAAGGTGGGCCGTCAGTTGAGTGTCGGACTGCAGGTGATGGGGCAGCGAGGGGAGAGACGACTGGGCATGGGACGGGGCCGCCGCCATGGTAAACTACAACCGTGGTGCTCCGCGGATTTGGCACGAAGCTAGGAACAACAACGAAGATAGGTCTGCTCAACCGCAAGAACGGCGAGATCGGGACGGGAATCTAAGCAAGAGCAATGGGTCCAGGCATTAATGACGGGAGGGCTGACGACAGGCGCAAACAAGAAAGTCACTGCAAGCGGAGCCAGAAGGGCCAGGGAAAAAGTGCTAAAAGAGAAAAGAAAAGAAAAGGAAAAAAAAGAAGGATGAAAAAGGGTAGATGTGAGAATTGAGTGGCGGCTATCGAAAGCAACCCTTGGAGAAAGTAGAACCACAAGAGGCCGTCGAGCGAGCTGCTGGGGACTTTTCGAGTTTGGACGGACAAAGTAGCGGGAGCGTTAACAGAAGCCACAGTAGCGAGTGAATCAAACGATGGGAGGGTGGGTGTGCTCCGAAGGGAAAGGAAACGAGTGCCCTTCTGCAGAGAAAACCACGCCGGGGATTGCGATGTCGTTGGAATGGAATAGTCGTTGTCGTCGTCGATAACGTGGAGGACAAAACTGGTAAGATGTAAACTCGCCTTTGAAACCGGTATCGATACCACATACCAGAAAGTACGGTGTCTTGAAATTTACGTTTATAACTTGGATCTACGGCGATTCCATTGGCCAGGCTACGCGACCGTCTTTGGAAACAAGGTTACGCTAGTACCGTACCACTCGTTCGAGTCGTCATTACGGTTCGGGGAAGGAGGAAAAGAAAAGGACATGAGTTAATCGAGAGAAAGCGGAGCCGCGATCGACCCATTACATTAGCTGGGAGGGTCGAGAAGACAGAGGAAGACAGCCAGTGCAAAGGGGAAAAAATAAAAAAAAAAGCTTGCAGCAGATTCTCTCTTGGTGGTGAGCAGCACCTGATCTGCCCTAGAGAGACGATTTTTCTTTTTTTTCTCGTTTTTTAATTTTTTTCCCTTTTATCCCCCCCAGCGCCGCGGTTTGAGGTGCTGGCATTGGCCCGGCACCAGCTGGCACCAACCAACAAGGGCATACAGGCACAGCCAGCCAATTGACTCTGCGCTCGCCACCGGAAACCGCCTGCTGGTCCGTGCACGCTATTCCGGACCCCTACTTTCCGCTTCGGGAATAGTGCCGGGATTTGGACCAAGACCACCAATCAAAAGCACCCGCATTTGCTGATGTCAGCGGCCTCTTCCCACGCCGTTCACGTGACTCCCCCCTTTCCCCTTTTTTTGTTGTCTTTTGGTACTTTGGTTCTTTGTTTCTCCCCCGGCGAGATCAACTTTGCGGATCGAAATTAGCCAGGGAGGCGTTTCATCGTCCCAGATCATCCCAGGGTCGAGCCTGAAGAACCCGTGCTTCCCTGCACAGGAGAGCTAGGAAATTTTTACAGCTTATAAACGAATGACCGTGAATTTCCTTCCAGCGAGGCGAGGGTTGGGAGGGTTTGTGAGACATTGAGGGTTGAGATGGTGGGATGGGTTTCCCCGAGGAGCCACCCAAGGTCTGTGGAGCTCGCAGCCAACTGAAACATAAGACTTTCATGTGCCCACTCGATCCGGTTCTGCAGAGACGAAGAGCATGCGGGCTTGACCGATTTTCTCTTGTTTTCCCGTCACAACCCTTCTGTTGTTATATTTGGACATACCTTTTTCAGAGATCTTGGCGGCTCAGCCTCGCTTGCGGTCCACGGAGTCGACGAATTCTTCAGGATTTCCCGCCGCTGTCAAGTGACGGGTCTCGACGTTGAATCCCAACTGACTCGCATCAGCCATATCATCATCCTCCTCTGTGATTCATTGTGGTCAAAAAAAAAAAAAAGAAAAAAGCCCGTCGACCGCTCCGATTAGGATTTCAGGCACCTGGTATTTGGCTTATGTAACTATATGTACTGTAACTGTTCGTATGTGTAAATACGTGACCTGCATGCCGTAACGCAACAAGTACCAGAAGTGAGACAGGCCTGACAGGCTTCTCGACGAGCAAAGGATCACCGTCAAGAGCAACATCAGCACCTTCGCTGCCCTGTCTGGCCATCCTGAATCTTCCTGTCTTTCATTTATTCCTTGCTGCTTACCTCACTTGCTTTGCTTCGTTGAGTAGAGCGAGGGAGACCCTGAGGCTTTTTTTTCCTTCCCCCGGTTTGTCTTTCGGCTTCATATCACCTTCGTTTTTTTTGTCTACGTCGTTGTAGAGCAGTCGAGATATGCCCTGGCTGCCCGCAAAGAAGATCTATCACCCATAGATCTCGAAAAAATATCTACCGCAGACCTTGCACCGACATCACCCTTCTCTATCCAGTGGCCGGTTGCGGAAACGCAACTTCCAAACCTCCCCCCCCCCCCCCAAAAAAAAAAGGGACAATCGTGCCACCCGTTTGATATTCAACCGTCATCGTTATCTGAAAGGGAGACCGCCCGTTTCGTACCAACCGAACCCGAGTCGCCCGCCAGCTAACGGCCTGGCTCGATAACCATGGCGAACCGCATGTCAGTATATTCTACCTCATCGTCCGGTCCAGGGCCCCGCCCCGCCGGACAGCAAGCATCACAGGTCTCGACCACCACGCTGCTCAACGCCCTTCATACCTGCTATCTCTCCGGACAACCTTATCAGCTTGACTCTGCAACGAGCATAGTCGTGAACACCGCTTTAACAGCTACTACGCCAGGGCACAATGGCGAGCTGGGCGGCACTATAGATCTTAACGTAGCACGGAGAGCGTGGGAGCATGCCCGACGGAGAGCAGAGGATGGGTGTATTGTATTATGGTTTGTCTTGACATATTCCTATACTTTCGCCCCAAACAGCTAACAACTCTGTATTTAGCTCGTCGCATCAAAATACACCCTCTCTCCTTCCAGCCTTTTTGGCATCCTTGCCATTACCCACACCGGAGATAGCCTATACAGCCCTAGCCGCAATTCGACCCTTCGTTTCTCAAGTCACCCCGTTCAACCCCGCCCGCTTGCTCTACTCTTCCTTTGCCGTGACTTACACGTTCGCCCTGACAGGAAGAGTCACTGATGTAAACTTAGCACTGTCGACATCTGGTGTCAACATCACCGATGGGCTCGCGAGGATTCCATCCGAACCTGGCCATCGTGCATTTGATGTCTTTTACTACCTCCTCTCCTCGGCATCGACACCGGCAGAAAGAGAGTTCCTCGGCCTGAAAAGACCAGAGGCGTATTCCTTCCTTAACAGGTCTCAAACTTACGATCCACCATCCTACCTCCCTACCACCGACGATGGCGCCTCCGCAGAGGATTTCCGAGCCAATCTCAAAGCTATCGGCATCAAAGGAGCGGCCCATCGCAGCTTGCTCTCAGTCCTGGCCGGTTTGCTTAAATTGGGCAACACCGCGGGGTTCCTCGTCGAAGAAGACGAATTGGAAGACCTCTGCGAGGACATCGGGGGCCTTCTCAATGTCGATCCTATCGTTCTTCTCAAAAACTGCTCGACAGAAGACCGAGAGTCGCTCGTCTTGGGTTTATACGAGACCCTCCTTGACTGGGTCATTTCGAAAGCGAACGAAGCCATTCGCCTGGAGTTACATGCCTCGCATGATAATGGTTCGAGCGATGGCAGACCCAGTGCTCGAACACCTCTAAGTGAAGAAGAGAGTGGAGATACGGTTAGCATCACTGTTGTGGATATCCCGGACGAGGCACTAGGAAAAGCTGTCGCTCTGCGGGGCGTATTTGATGATTCTCTCGGCATAAATGCTGAAATGAAAGAGGATGGAATCAACATGGTTAACCCAGGTCATGCTATCGTTAAGGAAATGGAAAATGCCGTAGCTGAGGTGGAACCTGAGCTGGGTATCATGGGTGGCAATGCCGGTCGCCTACGAGAACGGGAACGAGACAGAATACAAGGAGTGCTTGAGAAAGTTGGAGTTGAATTAGAATCCGGGGCTTTCCTGAAAAAGGTGCTATATCCTGACGAAGGAGGAGATCTGAACTTTGGCAGAAGGGGACGCTTCGACCTCAATGCTACTCTTGGTAGCAGCAGGGTCTGGTATCACCTCTCAATGCACCCGGTTGATGACCACCCGGCAGCAATCGCATCTCTACCCTCGGTCAGCTCGGCGTGGTCAGCAGGGACAGTTTCGCGTCAACTACGTGCTTGGAGACTTGCTGAATGGGCCAATCGCCGCAACAAACACCTTGACTTCACCGCAGACTTTGACGTTGACGAATTCGTTAGTCGATATGCTCTTCTAGGCTGCCACGAAGGCAAAGATGGCGTGGAAAATTGGATCATTGAACGAGGCTGGAGTAACGGTGATGTTGTAGTCGCAAGGGAGAGAATCTGGATGCGTGAAGGGGCTTGGTGGGAGGCAGAATCGATGCTCGACTTGAAAATTCCAACGGCACCTGTAAATCCCTTCGCCACCCCGGCGGCTACTACTCCCTTCGATGGAACCTACGGAGCTCCGTCACCAGCGACGGCAAGTGGATTCTTCCCCCCAGATAACATGAGCACTTTAGGCAGCCGAGAGAATCTCGTGAATCGCCAATCACAAATGCCAAGAGCACCTAGCGCCCTTGGAGGAACTCGTTCCATTGCGCCTACTACCGTATCTCAGCCTGTTCAGGTTTCGTCTGGAGACTACGGCCTTGGACTCAAGGGTGACGACCGACAACATGAAAACGTTTATTACGATCAAGACCTTGGTAAATGGACTGCTTTCGATCCCGAGTTTGGAGACCCGAAAAAGATCGAGGAGAAGAAAATACCAACCAGCCGCCGCGTTTGGTCTGCTTTTGTATGGGCTGTCACGTTTTGGATTCCATCATTTGTTCTTCGTTTCGTGGGTCGGATGAAGCGCCCAGACGTTCGAATGGCCTGGCGTGAAAAAGTGACTCTCATCCTCCTTATTTTCCTTCTCAACGCTTCAATTGTATTCTACATCGTCTTCCTCGGTGACCTACTCTGTCCGAACAAAGACAAAGTCTGGACGGATAAAGAGGTTAGCTATCATCAGGGCGAAAATGATTTCTATGTCAGCGTCCACGGGAAGGTCTACGATATAAGCAAGTTTTGGAAGATTACTCACACCACTAACCGATATCCCACAACAAAAGATCAGATGATACATTTTGCTGGGAAGAATATGGACGCGTATTTCCCGCTGCCCCTTTCTTACGCTTGTCCTGGATTTGATATTGGCAAGCAAATTGAATTGCAACACAATGATACGAGTGCTGTTGAATTCCCGCAGGCTGTCCATAAGGCTGGTCCCGAATTCCAACCCGATCCTACTCTTGCACTGAGAAGAATTGATTGGTATGCAAGGACCTTTTTGCCCAGAATGAAGGAGTATTACAAAGGAGATCTGGTGCATTCGAGGAAGTCCTTACCCCAGGAAGCCGAAGAGCGTTCTAGGCAATGGGCATCCATCAATGGAAGAGTTTACGACTTGACCGACTACTTTTATACCGTGGGAGTGCAGAACAACCTGAAACAATACGACTTCCTTCCTCGAGCCGTAACCGACCTGTTTAAAAATAATGCTGGTGCCGACATTACGGAACAATGGCGAGACACAGATGACTTCCGAAAGAGTATGACTTGTCTTAACAACCAATTTTACGTCGGCATATTAGATTTCAGAGAAACACCCCGATGTGAGGTCAACAACTACATTCTTCTGGCGTTCACCATTATTCTTTGTTCCGTTATTCTCGTCAAGTTCCTTGCGGCTCTCCAGCTGGGAACCAAACGGCGACCCTCACCTCAGGATAAATTCGTCATCTGCCTTGTGCCGGCGTATACAGAAGGTGAGGATCAGCTTCGCAAGGGACTTGATTCGCTTACAGCACTGCAATATGACAACAAACGAAAACTCATCTGTGTCGTCTGCGATGGTATGATTGTTGGTGGAGGTAACGACAGGCCTACGCCGAAGATTGTGCTGGACATTTTGGGCGTTGACCCAAAGATTGATCCGCCAGCCCTTCCGTTCAAGTCAGTTGGCGTTGGAAGCGAACAGCTTAACTATGGCAAGGTCTACTCCGGCCTTTACGAATATGAAGGAAATGTTGTTCCATATATTGTCGTCGTCAAAGTCGGAAAGCAATCCGAACAGGGCAAGTCAAAGCCAGGAAACCGTGGAAAGCGTGATTCGCAGGTTATGCTTCTTAATTTCTTGAACCGCGTGCACCATCGCTCGCTCATGTCTCCACTGGAACTGGAAATGTTCCATCAAATCAACAACGTAATTGGTGTCGACCCAGAACTTTACGAATACGTGTTCATGGTCGACGCCGACACTAGTGTTAGAGAAGACTCGCTGAATCGTCTTGTTGCGAGCTGCGCGAACGACGCCAAAATTGCTGGTATTTGTGGTGAGACGAGCTTGCAAAATGAAGAGCGTTCTTGGTGGACCATGATTCAGGTCTATGAATATTACATCTCTCATCATTTGGCAAAATCTTTCGAATCGCTCTTTGGTAGTGTGACCTGTCTTCCAGGGTGGTAAGTTGTCTTTTCCCCTTTTGATGTACGTCCTTGAGTACCACGCTAATTCTTCGCACAGCTTCTGCATGTATCGACTCCGGACAGCAGACAAGGGCCGACCACTGATTATATCCGACAAGGTTATCGCCGAATATGCTGACGGTGATGTTGATACACTGCACAAGAAGAACCTTTTATCCTTGGGAGAAGATCGATACCTCACGACATTGATGACCAAGCATTTCCCAAGTATGTCGTACAAGTTCATCCCCGACGCATACGCCAGCACAGCTGCACCGGAAACCTGGAGCGTTTTGCTTTCACAAAGACGTCGTTGGATCAATTCCACGATCCACAATCTGGCAGAATTGATGTTCCTCAAGGACCTGTGCGGCTTCTGTTGCTTTAGCATGCGTTTTATTGTGTTCATCGACCTGTTTGGTACGATCATCCTCCCGGCGACAACAGTATACTTGGGATATCTCATCTATCGTGTGGCAAGTGGCACGGGTCAATTCCCTGTGATCTCAATCGCGATCCTCGCAGCCGTCTACGGTTTACAGGCCATCATTTTCATTATCAAACGTCAATGGCAACACATTGGATGGATGATCATCTACATCATGGCCTACCCAATTTACAGTTTTATCCTCCCCATTTATTCGTTCTGGAACCAAGACAATTTCTCATGGGGTAATACCCGTATTGTCCTTGGCGAAAAGGGTGATAAGCGAGTCGTTGCGGTGGATGACGAAGGATTTGACCCTCGAAGCATTCCTCTTCAACGCTGGGACGACTATGCTCTCATGAACAATCTTCCTGGTCGCCGAGGTAATTCCATGGGCCAGGAAAAGCCTCATCAGCAATATTACGATGACGGAGGGCTCGAGATGGACGATATGCATTCGGTTTACTCGTCAGTGAAGCCAGCATCTACGATTCTAACCGGATTCCCTAATCAGGGCATGCACCACACACCCTATGTCCTCCCGCACTCTACAAATCCTTTGGCTGTTCCAGGCAACAGAAACTCCCATATGACGCAGTTCACTCAATACACTGATAATCCCCAGGCTCGCAACTCCCGCCACATGTCGATTGGAAATCTAAGCCATTATCAAGATAATCCTGCCAATGCCAGCCGTCTCAGTGGAGTTGGAATGCTTACTCCCGACGGCCATCCAGGAGTCTCTCAGCGACAGAGTATGCGTAGTCCCCTGTCACGGCCAGCCAGCACCATGATCGATTTCAGAAATCCACCAAATCAGGGACCGGACGAGACTGCTATTACAGCTGCTATCCGGTCTTGTCTTGCGGAGGTGGATTTGGACAGTGTGACCAAGAAGCAAGGTTCGTACATTTGATATTGACCACACTGACCGTTAAATATGCTAACGATCATGTAGTCCGAGCGCTTGTTGAGCAAAGGTTGCAGACAACATTGACGGGCGACAAAAAAGCCTTCCTTGATCGCCAAATCGACCACGAATTGGCAAATATGTAAAATCCTTTGTGCTAATCAAGCACCACTTGCCCACTCTCGGAACACACACCTGTTTCATACTAACCTTGCAACTTGATTTTGATAATCCTGGTCGGGGACCGGACTAATCTATGCATGATTTTTTTTAATAATGTTGCCTTTTCATGCATGCTCTTTTGAATAAACAACTACTAATTCCAACTGATTTTATGTCCTTGCTGCATTTCTCACTTGGGGAAAAAAAAAAAACCAAAACATGAACTGACATGCCATGAATTTGGTAATATACACGTGTCTTAATAATACTTTCCTACAACATACTTTTGTGGACTCCCGTCTAATTCCCTTTATTTTAATTGTCCTGCCTCATCTCATGCCTCTTGTCTTGTGTGTATTTGTGGGTTTTAGCTTTCTCTCGGTGTTATCCCATGGATTGTTTGGAAAATGGAGAATCTAAGTCATTTCTGCCGCTCTGTCTCTCCTTTGAATGTTTCTCCTTTGCTTGAAAGTCTCATCTGTTCTGAGCGCTGATAAACATTATGTTCAGTATATAATCCCGCTAAGCTTTTGTATTTACATCATCACTACCCAACTCTAATAAAGGGAGCATGGACGAACAAACTTGATCAGCATCTGGCAATGACTGTTTCCAAATGCTGTATGCCAACATTAACATCTCCAAGAATCCAATCTTGTCAACACAAAACAGGTCCAAGAGCAATATATGAATACAATGGACCCCACAGCAAAGGAAATTAGAAAGCTAAATGACAGTCACTACCACTATATGCTGGCTTCTCTGACAATGTTCCTGGGTTTCCTCAAAACCCACCAACACCCCTGACCCTCTTGATCGCCCCCACGATCCCTCTCATCCAGCTAAACCTCCCGGGATCGGTCCCGATCGAGCCAACCGCTATCTCTCCGGTTTCTGGGTCATGCCAGCATCCATCTACCTTGCTCACGGCTCCATAAGTCGCAGTGTTTTGATTTCTGCACAGGGCATCCAGCCAGGACCGGCAGATCAGAGGAGAGTCAAGAAGGACGTTGGTTTCTTGGCTGTGGAAGAATGATTGCGTGTCGAGATTTGCGCTGCCTGTAAGAAATTACATATTAGTTCGAAAGGTTTAAAGCAAGAGCGGGAGAGAAAAAATGAGTTGAGGATCTCGAACCTTGAATAGCAACTTTTTCATCAATGATCATAAGCTTGATATGGCAGCTCCGCTTCTTGAACTTGTTGTGGATAGGCCTGGTCTGGTCTTTGCCTACATAATTATAGATACGTAGTCTCGATTTATCCTCGTTTGTGGATAGTGAATTATAAAGACGATTGCACGTCATTTCATTGATTCCATTTTGGAAGGGGAGCAATTGACCTGCATCGTTGTATCCCAAACAAAGGAAGCACGTTACTATGACGCCGCGCCGGACTGCATCGAGAAGTGGCGTAAGCAAACGCTCCGCATTGAGGTTTGGGGTCTGGATGAAAACGGAATGCTCGGCATTTCCGATTGCGGCTAGGAAAGCAGCATTCTGGGGAGTGTATATACTAGAATGATTCAATGCTGTAGGAGGTAAGTGATCTAATGGCGGCAGTTGGGTGAAATATGGATAGAGGTTAACCCACCTCCCCAAGGTTCCCGGTTCACCATGGCCATTGGGAACGGTTCATGAGGCGGATGTAATATGTATGGTGTCATATGATCATCTTCATCCCATTCAGGGGCGTCACCAGTAATGTCTGGTCTCGAAACAATATCTAAGCAACAATTAACAACTGTGAAAGGTCGTTGTGGAAGTACGTACTCAGATGTCGAGTCACGCAATCTCGCCTAGTTTCCTCTGGGCGTGGTGTGAGTGATGCTGTTATCCTGGCAGTCTCAGCAACAATGTCTGCATCATAATGCGGCTCATCGGGGGTGTGTTCGGGTAGAAGCTTGTCTTCAGGCTTTTCCGCATAAATTGTGCTTCAAGCTACTGTTAGATCTGGATTTGGGCATTTGAAAGGGTATCGTACGTGGGATCTCCTTGGCTACTCCAGACACTATCATTTCGGCCGTGATTTGTAAAGAGAAATGGATAACTTGGAGGTGCCATAGATGCAGCTGGAGTATCAATAAGGGGCAAAGGAGGATTCAGAGCAACACTCCACGAAATGAGAGCCATGTCGTAAAACGAGTCAACGATCGGGCCCTCGAAGCGGACCATCATTTCAAGATTATCGTTATCCTATATTTCGTTAGTATTTCAACTATGATGTGTGCGACCTTGTTGTGTGTATTGCGAACTTGAATATTGTTGCTCTCAAGAAGGGCGACCTTTCTGTCAACAATCATAAATTTGGAGTGCAGAGTGCCGGCGACAGGACGGTGGTAATTTAGAACTTGAAGATCAATGTTCGGAATCTCTTGCGGTCCAGGAAGCTGTATTTTGGAGCTCATAACCTGCTTCGCGCAAACCGGTTGACGATTGTTCAAAAACTACAGTATCTGTAATTAAAACCAAGCCCGGCAAGGTCGCCTGGTGCTTGCCGACAGCATACCTGCTTCAAGTTGCCACGATCATACATCAACTTGATCACCACCTTCGTCCCTCGTAGACCAGCACGATGAGACAACTCCCTCATTGCATTGGTCAGGAATCGCGAATTGTCTGAATATATCCAATAACTGGTCATCAGAATGACTTCTTTTTCAGCACGCACAATGCAATTGGACATATGACGGCAAATATCGGGCAATGGTCCGATAATAGTCATGGGCACGACGCCGCAGCTGCCCATCAGCGACGGAGATACGAGACCAGACATTAGGTCTTTTGCAAGGGAGCACAAAGCATCTTGGTATATCTGCCCGTTATCTTAGCCGCGCACGGTTTCCACGACAACCAAAAAGGGCGCACTTTAAGGAAAAGGTCACTTGGGCGCTGAGAGCCCCATTTCCCACATTGAAACGCAACTTCTAAGTCTTTAGAGTCTGGAACAGGTAGTTTTTCGGACCTAGGCTCCCCGGGGAACTGGCCGTCCGCCCTTTCAAGGAACCTAGCAACTACATCGCGAGGAGTTGCTTCTGGATCCTTTGCCAGTTCCGAGCTGACGCTGATTTTGTTCTGGCATAGAGCACACATCCGCTTAGGTATCATTGAGCACCGGGTTCTGTTTGGGCTGGTTGGCTGATATGAAAGTAGGGCCAGGACCAAAAAAAGGAGCGCAGGCGATATCCGAAGACATACGTTTATCAGCAGCCGGGCAAGGTTTCCTAGGAAGAGTCGTTTCAAAAGGCACAAATAACCAGAGGAGACAGAGGCCATTTCCACACCATTTAAAATCAGTAAGCGTTGGAGGCAGGCTCGGCAATAAAAGAAGTTTTCTCTACGGAGTACCAAGCTATAGAATGACGAAATCACCCTCTTTGGTGGCGGGAAGGTGGTATATCCGGGAACCACAACAACAAGGGATGACATTGTCAAGCGTGTACTGCGCACACGTAGCCACACCCATACAGCGCTGAGTACAGATATTGTCCCAGATCTACCGCAGAAAATGCGAAATCCAGATCTGTCCCGAAAGATCGCCGAGTCAACCAGAGTTCTCGCCGTCGACGCTGGAGCTTCAAAAGTCACCTTGTCATTACGTCATCACCTCCAGAAGCGCCCAGAGAGCCGCTCCTAGACCTAAAGAGGTCTAGCGTCTAGCGGCGGACGGCGCCAGCCGTTGGAATACCGACCAGCAAATCCGCTGATAAAGTTGACCAATCTCAACCAACAAAAACGAGCTTTGATGTCGTCAAGCAGTTGCAGATGCTAACAAGCTTAATGGATTTAGAGTAGTTTAAAAGATCGTAAGAATGCACTGAGCGTCGACTTGCACTAGCATCGTCGTTATTCCTCTCAGTATTCCCAGAGGATCTCCTTTGACTTGGGCAACAAAGCAAGACTTCATGTTCATGCATTTACTCCATAATGCTGCGTTGGATTTATCTGCGTACGTATTGAAAACAGCCGAATTTCCACGGACGCAAAGAACAGTTTTGGGAAGTAGGATGTTTCACAATCCTGGTCGACCGCTTCGGAAATATCTGCGTTGAAATGAAGGGTTTCGCCGGCCCATCAACAGTAGCAGGGAGATTGAGAGAGCGCTTTTCTGACACCACAGAGGACTCGTTATGATCTTGATATGAGCAGATCGTCCGATCTCCCCGTAACACCCTCCTCTCCCATTGCTGAAACGCGGGCGTTTCTCCTGAGACGCGGAAGAACACTGCTCCGGGACTCCGGACTTGCTCGGCCGAGGCCCAAAGAGGGCTTAGCGACCCAAACTGATGGGAACTTCCCCGCAAGCCCCCTCACACACGCGCATGATTGGCCGAATGCATCTGTCAGAGAAGTCAATCCTATCAAAGAATGGAATAAATTCCGAGTTCATATTCTTATCTTTGTTGTCACTTTCTCGCGCCGTGGCTTCACTCTTCTGAAGCTTCAAAGTGAGCTTTCCAACCAGAATTCCTCACTGGAGCTTCACTTTCCCAAACATCCTCGCGCGCTAGCGGCTATTCCCCACACATTCTCTCAGGGCCCCTCGCATATAAAATCCACTGTTTTGCATTCCTTTCCTCTTCAACCCTCCATCAACTTCAACTTCATTCTTTTTCTTTTCTTTTCTTTTCTTTTTTTCTTTTTTTTTTTTTTTTGTTTTTGCTCAACTTGCTCAATACTCTTCACGAACATCTACTTTTGATAAGCATTCTTCTCGAATAATTACTTCAACCCTCAAAAGTGTGCCAACATGTGAGTGGAGATCCTTGATCCCTGACTTCCATGTGGCTTGCGGCTAATGCAATGTTTCTCTAGGGGCTACACTGCGTCAGACGCCCTTCTAGAGGCTCTTTGGGATGTTTGTGCCCATCCCCCTTCTCTCAAGAGTGTGTTCTGTTAACATGTTCACAACCAGGCTGGTATTCGATACATTTTTGCAAATTTGGGCTCTGACCACCCAGCAATTCTCGAGGCTTTCATCAAGGCTCAGCATGAGAAGAATGGCCAGGTCCCCAAGATCATCACCTGTCCCAACGAGGTACGTCCTACGCAGCTGTCCCTTGTCCTACGTCGCTTCTGCGCGACAATCCAACCGCCGTCAAACACGTCCTGCCCGGTGCTGCTTCCGCCCTTCCCCGCATCACGTGCCTGGCTGACCCCCACCATTTCCCCACACTCAGATGGTCGCGCTCTCCATGGCCGACGGATATGCTCGTCTTTCCAACAAGCCGCAGTGCGTCCTCATTCACACCGACGTCGGTACCCAAGCTCTGGCTGCTGCCGTGCACAATGCTTCGTGCGGTCGCGCCCCCGTGCTCATCATCGCGGGGCTCTCCCCCTTCACCATGGAAGGAGAAATGCGCGGATCTCGCACCGAGTATATCCACTGGATCCAAGATGTTCCCGATCAAAAGCAGATAGTTTCCCAGTATTGTCGCTACTCCACCGAGATCAAAACTGGAAAAAACATCAAGCAGGTTGTCAATCGTGCTCTTCAGTTCGCCACCAGCGATCCGACCGGCCCTTCCTACCTAGTTGCCGCAAGAGAGGTTCTAGAAGAGGAGATTGAGCCTTACAAGATCGAACAGAAACAGTGGGGTGCAGTTCGCGCTGCTGCTCTCCCCCCGGAAGCTGTCGCAACTATCGCTACAGAGTTAGCTTCTGCCAAAGAGCCGCTTATCATCGTTGGATACACTGGTCGCTATGAGCAGGCCGTCACACAGCTTGTCCAGCTTGCAGACAACATCAAGGGTGTTCGCGTTCTCGAGACCGGGGGTAGCGATATGTGCTTCCCTGCCAATCACCCAAGTGCACTCGGACTGCGCCATGGCGTCCATGATGCAATTCAGACCGCGGATGTCATCCTGGTTGTCGACTGTGATGTTCCCTGGATCCCAACTCAAGTCAAGCCAACACCATCTGCCAAGATTTTCCACGTCGATGTCGATCCGCTCAAGCAACAGATGCCGTTGTTCTACCTTAAGGCATCGGAAACGTATCGCGCAGACGCAACCACGGCCTTCAAGCAGTTGAATGAATACATCTCTAGCAGTAAGAAGTTGACTGAATTGTTGTCTGCTGAAGAGTATACACTTCGTCGCGTCGCGATCGAAGCCTCACACAAGGAGCGCATCGAACTACTCGCTGAACAAGCCGCTAAACCTCAAGGAATCAACTCGCCACTCAACCCGGCCTTCCTTTTCTCAGAGCTTCGTAAGGCGTGTCCTCCAGATACCATCTGGGCCATGGAAGCCGTTACCCTTGCCGCAATGGCGAACGATCACATCCAAGCGTCTCTTCCCAAGTCCTGGATCAACTGCGGAGGCGGTGGTCTCGGTTGGTCCGGTGGCGGTGCACTCGGCGTCAAACTCGCATCCGATGACCAGCATGGTGGCCCTGGAAAGGGTAAATTCGTCTGCCACATTGCTGGAGATGGCGCGTATCTATTCACCGTTCCCAGTTCTGTCTACTGGATTGCGCGTCGATACAACATCCCCATTTTGACCATCGTTTTGAATAACAAGGGCTGGAACGCGCCTCGTCATAGTTTGCTGCTCGTCCATCCCAACGAAGGAGGTGCTCGTGTGACCAATGAAGAATTGAACATTTCCTTTGCACCAACCCCTGACTATGCAGGTATTGCCAAGGCGGCTGCCGGGGGTGAGCTCTGGGCCGGACGTGCCGGGACAGTTGAAGAACTCGCGAAGGCTTTGCCCGAGGCAATCAAAAGTGTTTTGAATGGCAAGGGCGCCGTTCTGGAAGCTCAGTTGAATGGAAAGGAAGGAAAATACACTGGATCTTCCGATGCGACCGCCGTCCCCAACTAAGTAGATAGCAATGTTTTGAAAAAACAAAAAAAGAACCAACGACTAGGATAGACGGCGACTAGCCATGTCTACTAGCAAAATAGAAATTTGTTTATCCTAAACACCAGGCTCCCAAACTCTCCTAGAACTTGTAGCCATTCCATTCACGATTCATCATCTGCTCTATGACCAGAATAAATAGTATCCAATTACTCTCCTAAACCATGGACAAACCTTTTCCAATTATCACCTAATCTCTTCACTCCCTCCTCTAGCTCCCAGTTGCGAATCTCGCATACCTTTCTCACAATCACCTCTAACATATCATCCATTTCCTTTCCCGCACAGTGCAAATCACTTTCCACCAAAATCCTATCATCAGGAATTTCCTTGATCACCTCCACGGCCTTGGACACCGGCCCATTCGAGAAATTAATAGCACTCGAAAATGAAAAGTAAAAATCCGCAGGATTTGACGGATGCAGGAACTGCTTCAATGGCTCCACTGGACCAGAATACGAATGCATACATATCCTCGGGGGGAACGGGCGAGCCGTTTGGGGTTCCCGACCCCGGCTCTTGTCAAGCTCTTCTTCACTCTCTTCGCCATGAGCCCCAGCCGCGCTACCTCGCCTTTTCCGCTGTCGTTTAGACAGAGCTGGCTTCTCGTAACCCCTGAAGAGTTCGCGGATGACTTCCACGACTGCACCATGTGCCTGGACGCTATGGATGGAGACTGGCCGTTGTAGCTCGCCGGCTAGTTGTAGCTGGGCTTTCAGGATGGCTTTTTGGTGGGCTAGCTGCACGCGATACGGTGACAAGGTTCTTCCCTCTCGCGAGCCGGGGGTGCGTGAGGAGTCTCGATTCTCAACATCGTGTGGGAACCAGGCGTTTGGAAGGCGGAATGAGCGGTCGAGGCCAATTTCGCCAACCAGTGCGTAGGGATATGTGAGCAGGTGCTGTTTGGTCTCTTGGATGAAAGTTGAGAGTGCACGAGGGGTGGGAAGGTCGTCAAGCAGGTGGTTATCTTGGATTGATGGGGTTAAAACGGATTTGTAGTGTTCATGTTTATCTACATCCGTCTTATTCGAGTCGTCGAAGATTTGGTGGGAGAACCACGGGTGCCAGCCGAAGCAGGGAATGACTTTTCTTTCGGGGCATGTTTCTTCTAATGAGGTGTCTAGGTTAGCGAATCTAGAGGCGACTTCGGCAATCAGATGCTGATCTTGTGCTCTGGTTGCCATTATGGCGAGTGTCCTGGCTTTCATTGAAGGAATATCGTCGATTGAAGACATTGTATCCGTGGGATGGCAGTGGGCGTCGAATACGCCCAGCTCCCAGGGAATGGGGGAGGTTCTATCAACGCTGTCTATGTCCATTGTCGTCAATCAATTTTTAGCAATCTCTATCTTAAACGGTCCCATTGCACGAAGATAAGAGAAACAATGCAATGCTGCGTCGCTCGGCCAGTGCGCGTGCCTAAACTCTTGCGGTGACGTTACGCGGGGTTGTTCGGACCAACTAGGATGAGGTGGCCACGGAGTTAATCCCGGCGACGCGGGGAAGCACCACGACACAAATACAGCCAACCACCCCAAGACAAGCACTGTGGTTGAAGTCATCCCCATTTCAGACCAGCACTCATCGATGAGGAAGCTCTAGGAGGTTTGGACAAGGCACTCTTCCATGCCTAGCATCAGGCTGTCGTATCTCTTCTTTCCATTCGTTTTCCTGGCCGCAATCCCCATCATTATCCTCACCACTACGATATTTGCCTGCGCCTGCGTCTATGTCTGCGCATATGTTCTGCTTGGATATATATTTGATTCGATTTTTTACAGTGATTCAGGGTTTGTAGGTAAATTTCTAACAGCCCTGCTTCCAAATCAACCGATTCCAACGGGGCCCCCTCCTGCGATACCCAACCAGTTCCAGAGGTTGGATGTCCACCACCCATGGCCCTCCTCGAATCCGGGCACAATTACACCACGATCTGGACGCCATTCCCGTCGACCTTCCGCCTCATCTGAAACGGCCACTTTTGCGGATGGACGGAAGCGATCCCTTCCCGGATTCCCGTACGCTCCCCAGTCAGCCCAAATCTCTCCAAAAGCTCATAAATCCGTCGCAATGCGCCATGGCATTCTAGTTTCCGCCCAGCGCGAGGATAGAGGAGACTGGGAAGATGTTAACGATGAGCATGAAGACGACGACAACAACAATACTGCAGGCTATGAGGACCGATGTTCTGAATTTCTTGCTTCTGTGGGACGACATCAGGGCCCCAAAACCGAGATATCGGCCGAGCCCAAGTCAAACTTCTTTGTGGGGCAGTATGATGGGGACGTCAATGGTGTCCTCCCTACCGGGCCACGCCTGCATTTTGATATACCACCACATCCTAGGAGGAGCTCCAATGGCGGAAAGGATCCTGGGTCTTCGGAAGTCACGCAATATTAATGGATTCGCGTATGGTTTCCTGATGAGGTAGGGCATTGGCTTTCAAAAAAAAAAAAAAAAAAAAAAAAAAAGCCTTTATTGTGGTTCTCGTAAGTTTACTGATCCCTTTGTTTGGATTGTAAAGTCAACGTATCTCTCTTGATCTTCTCCATCTCTCTAGGGTTGTCTGGAGATATTAACCTCTATTGTTTTCCAGTAAATTGCCAGAATGCTTTGAAAGTTATGATGGCTTTTTCGAAGAAAGGATGACCAAGAAAAGTGTTTTCCCTTCACAAAATGTGAGCTGGATGTAGCACTAGATTATATATATAGCTTCCGTCAAAAATAGGGGCTAGGAAAGAAAAGAAACAGCACTTTCTAGCATGATTTGCTCATGGATCTCGCTAAAACAAAATTCTTTCTGCGGTTGTATTATATGGTTAGGATCTTGTCCTTTTCAACCGGCATCATTGCAAGAGCGATCGCTCTCAGAATCAAATGCTTTATGACTTGACTTGCCTCAGTAATTTAGAAAGGTCGCGCTTGGGGAAGTGTACCTGCGTCCCCGCCGCGTTTACCGCCACCTTCTCCAAGCTTTCATCGTTGGGATACGCAATAAATGGTACAGTCGCAAGGCACCATTGTGTCCTCTCCATATATGTCGTATTAGGATTCTTGACCTGCGTTGCAACATACACATGCGCTGGCTTAGGAGATTCTTGCTCTATAGTGAATGTCTAGTCATCTATGTCCTGTTTTGTGAACATGGGGCCCTCTGTAGCGGCAAAGCTTGAGATGATTCCCTTCGAGTTCAGTGCCGTCCATGGCAGGTAGTAACTGCAATTCTTCGTAATTTCAAGGTGAGTTCGGGTCTATTTGGGTCATGTCGAGGAGGCGGGAGCCTTGCAGATACAAGCCCTTCAATCTTCGCTTGGTAGTTTCGCAAGAAGTTGGGTAGGTCTGAGATCCAAGTCAAACGAGAAGTAGGTATGAAGGTTGTAAATATTGGATTGTGGTCACTATTCGGCATAGTACGGACGCTTTACTAGAAGCCATTTCCCTGCTACGCTATGTCCGTCGAAGCACGAGGTTAAGGTTACCCCATTACCGCAGCTAGCTCCTAGGGGCCAATCCAGATCTTTCTCTGAGATTACGGGGTATATAACACATACCGCAGCCGCACGTGGGCTTGCCACTTGATGACAGAAATCTATCTACATGGAGCATTCCGGCCTGATTCGTTCATTGTGAAGCAAATGGAGACGCCGAATGGTTCTCACTCACGTCCTTCATCTCGTCCAACATCACCTCATTAAACTCCTCCCATCCGTCCAAGTACAGATGATGTCCCGCCTTCTTGATAACAACCACTTTCGCCGATCCTTTATCTGCTTTCTGCTCTTCGACGGATGCATCTTTCAAAATCCGTTGCTTTTCTTGGTCGATTTTCTCCTTGGCTGCATGGCCACCTTGAGCATCCATCCAGTCATGTTCACCGTACATGAAGACAATAGGGATTCCGGGTTCTCGGCGTGGCGCAGTTTGTACAGAGAAGAAAGAACCAGAGGAATCCGAGGCTGACGGGGCTGATGGCGCGGAAGAAGGTGGTGGCAGATCGGAACAAGAAAGGGAGGTAGATTCACTCGCAGAATCTGGCTTTGGCGATGGAGGGTTAACTTGGGGTGGGAGGAACTGACGTCCGACGCCATGGATACGTCGAATTACTGGGCTGCGGGCATATGCACCTGGGGCCAGGATATACGACAGTGCATATTCACCGCTACCACGGAGTCTAAAGAGCGAATATGCATAGTCGTGCAGCGCGCGAGCTTCGTCCTGAGGTAGGTGAGAAAATCGTCGAGACGTCCAGCCGGAAACAAGACGAGGACCAAGCGGACCAGACCATCTGACCAGACTGAATGGGGAGACATTGGCATCCCAGAGATACACGAGCCATTTTGGTATGGTCTTGGCTGGGGGCTTGGATATGTCGTTGTTGCCCACACTCGCGGCGGCTCTCTTGTCTCTGGCATTCAAGAAATTGTTGTTATCGCTGACCTGAACTCCACCAGCTTGATCCTGGGTAAATTCGTTTGCGAGCGTCGACGAGGTCGGCTCCGGCACATCTGCATTTACGGCATATGGGTCCTCAGGGATGCCCACAGGGGATGCAAGAATAAGTTTATTGAGACGACCAGGGTATTTGAGTGCATAGGCAACGGCCAGGTAGCCTCCTAAGCTGTGTCCAAGTAGTGTGAACCGTTCTATTCTTCGCTTGACACGCCATTCTTCCAGTGCATCCACGAACCAGTCCTCTGCTTCTGTGATGGCCTTCTCTCGCTCTTTCGCTGCAATCCTGAAAGGTGGACGGGTGCTGCGACCCATTCCCAGCAAATCCAGGGCATACAGCTGCCAGCCTTTCGCTCGACTCAAAGCTTCAAAATTCTTGTAGAAGAAGCCCAAGCCTGCCCCATATCCATGGAGAACCACAAGATTGTTTTCTACTTTCTCCCCAAGTCGTTCAACTGAGAACTCGTTCAACTCGCGATTCTTGCCGCTGAGCTCCACCATAGTAGACCTCCATCTTCGTGGACCGTAGGGATCATTCACCGAGTTCTCTGAAACCTGACCTGGCCGAGTATGGTCCGCAGTGGTTAACGTGTCAGTCTGTTCATTGGGCGTTGCAGGCTCTGTGCCGGTCTGCGTATGTGTCGGCGCTCGCTGAAGGTACGGGATGAAGGACAGCACTTTGTGTTCCGCAGCGGCGGCGGGAATACTCGCCCACTGTATGTATATTATACAACACAGCTGTCAGCCCTGGAGCCATGACGTGGGAAACCAATTTGTCAAAAACGATGCAATGCGTTGGTTGGCGTTCATACCCATTGACTAAACCCGTCTTTGTAGCCCAGCGGAAAAAGCCGCGAGAGGGGAGCGGGAGGCCGTGCCTCTGGCCTCGTAGAAGCCAATGGAGCCTGCGGCTGACGGGTTTGCGTGTCCCCCGACGGCTGCTCTGCCGTGGCCGAAGCCATGACGGGATGGTACTGTGAAGTGGTCGTAGGTGAGGGGTGGGACTCCGCAATGGAGGATTCAAAGTGGACGTGAAACCGCGGGCTGCAACTCGCATTCAACCACGGCGGCGTAGCTAGAGGGAAGCCGGAAGCGAGATCGAAAAGCGGCCTGGATCGAGAGACCTGCAGCAGTGGTATGGCTGAAACTCGTCCCGGATACACGTTGAATATGGTCGACGGAGTGACAGCGGACGCCTGTCACTCGAGGTTGACGCTCTGATGGATTTCATACGAGTCGCAGCACAAAGCGGAGAAAGCCAGCAATCTATAGTTGGAGGCCAAGTTAGTTTGCTTTTGCCCGACCTTTGGCCCGTTTCAGCCCCAGCCGGAGTTAAGCGTCGTTTGGAGATAACACGGGCTATGGTGGCAGGCAGCCCTTTTCTGTTGCGTCCAACGTGTCAGTGTGGCGATGGCGGACAGTTCGGTTGCGCCGAAGGGCGGCTTCGTCAAAGCGTCGTTAGGAACCGGGAGGCGAGTCGCTGCTAGAAAGGCAATTATTTAATGATTTACTACGGAGGACTCCGGTAAAGATTGCAGGGCTTGCACGCCGTAGATAAATGCCGTGGTTCGAGCGTCAACGAGATAATAATGATGTGGTGCAGCCGGAACCGGAATCGGAGCTCGCTGGCCCTCCTCAACAAGTCTTCCGCACGGTGTGTTGAGCTCGAGACCAAATAAACACTGATCTGAATGGGACCGTTCTCTCCATACGTTAACCAATTAATCCCGCTAAACAAGCCATGCCTCTATGAAGACCATCGTCTCTCGTTTTCAGCTGGGCCACTAGAATGAATCAATACCCTCCTCTCAACCCCAATGTCTCGCCTTGACCAGATCGTCAAGGGCACTCCCTCCCCTGACGCACACGTCCCCGAGACTCTCTTCAGCACTCCCTCACCTCAGATCCTCGCCTCCTCTCCCGACACTTCCGATTCACGGCCGGCGACGGCGTCTGCAGCTCCCGACCCGCTCTCTACCCTCCCTTCCTCCCCGCCTCAGATCTACCTAAACCTCCTCATCCTCGAGAGCTCTCTACGCTCGCAATACCTGGCGCTTCGTGCACGAAGAAGGCAGAACACGTTTTTCTTGCTGCTGCTCGCCCTGTGGATCGCTTACTTTTCATACGCGCTCTTCTTACGCCCAAGAGAAGATGGAGGCGTGGGCGGTTCGGTGTACTGGATCGTGGAGATGGGTGAGAAAATTGCCCTGATGGGCGGTGTTGTGACGGGCATTCTCGTCTGGGGAACGGGACAGTGGGAGAGAGGTGTCCGATGGCCGCGCCGGTGGCTGGCGGTCGCCAACCGAGGGCTGCGAGGCTTCAATGCAAAAATTGTATTGATTCGCGGCCCATGGTGGAAGGAGATGCTCTCTTATCTATCGTTCCTATTCCCATTCGCAGACCTCTTCTCATCAGGCCCATCATTTCACTATGTTGAGCGCCGTCATACCGGAAGCCATGAACGGCACAGACGTCCTGCAGTGACGGGCCGTTCCTCTTATGAGGACGATAGCGATACAGGAATTGAGGAAGACCTCTCCCCAGGTGGTGACTACGTCAAACTACTCTTACTCCCGAAATCATTTTCCCCTGCCTTCCGCGAAAACTGGGATGAATACCGCACCGAATACTGGGAGCGCGAAAACGAACGTCGCGCCCGCCTCCGCCAGAAGCTCAAGCAGCGTGAGCGCCAACTCGCCAAACAAGAAGGCGGCTGGTTCTGGTGGACCGGATGGCAAGGATTGAAGCGAAGACGCAGTCTCCCAAAGTCTGCCCATGATCTGGAAAGACCGCATCGTCATCTTCACCCTAGCCACCACAGCCATCATCGCCACGTGCACTCACGGCATTCCCTGGGAGACTTGAAGCCTCGTCGCCCCACCGAACCACATTCGAGAACATCTTCTCGCAGCACCACGCCTAATCCACTATCGGATGCTGATGACAAGCTTGCAAACTCTGATCGGGAACGGACTCGTCGCCGCCGAAGCAGCAGCAGCGCAGCTACCTCTTCAAACGAACGACCTCGGAAAACCAAGTCGTCCTCATCTGGAGCTGGGAACGGCAGCCGGTCCCTATCGCCATTAACACAAATTGAGTTGCAAGAGGGCAATGAAGACACTGCGAAAAATAGAATTTGACAGCACATCTTGTCCATATCATAACTCATACCGAAGTTCGTCTTGGTTTTTAGCAAGCATCGCTGTATCCATACCATACCTGCTAAAAGATTTGAAAGCAATACGGTCGTAGAATTCTTGTGATATCCTTCATTGAGTCGTTGTACTTTTTCGAAATTTCTAGAGGAACCATTATCTTTCGTAGCATGCCCACTTCACCTGCCTAACCCAAAATACTCCTTGCGCCAGCCTACATGGACTAAGAAACAATACACGGCATAACACAAAATGGAACCATGATACCAAGCATATAATCATAACCTTAAACCCGTAAAGCATGGACAGGTGTGTAATCAGTCAAGAATCTAGATGCGATAGACCGTCTCCTCTCCAAGGTACCTGTTTCAAGCTTGTGTTAGCCTACTTTCTGGTCGGACAAAAGCTTTCGAATTAATACTCACATAACCTCGTTTCTGTCATTCATCACATTCAAGGCTTGCAAAGCCTCTGCCAGCTCAAACACACTCGTCCGTGAGCTCGAGGAGGCACGTATCGAAGAGTTCACGGCTTCCACTACACGTTGCACGTTCGCTGAATCGCCCTGGAAAAGATCCGACCTCATCAGCGGACCTAACGCGGAACGGAATGCATTCAGCCGTTCTGTAGGTAAAGGAGGTAATGAAGACGCGGCCGCTAGAGCTTTTCCAATAACCTCTTCTTGAGCTTCTGTGCTGTCCGTCTGTGTCTGAAGCAATTGGGATGCAGGCTGAGAGGATGCCATTGACATCTGCGAATCCAGTTGAGAGGTCGCCTGGCTCCGAGTCTGTCGGGAAGAGCCGCCAACCGGGCGGCTGCTAAGGCTGGCCGCGTATTCGTCTTCATCATCACCATCCGGAGTATTTCTAGATCTGCCCTGCTGGCCACGACGTCTACTTGAGCGCGGAGCAGTAGCAGTTGATCCTCGTGTTGTTCGCTGAGTATTATCGGCATCATCATCGGAGTCGCTTGAGTCCGAGTCCGAGTCCAGAAAATTTGTCGTTTTCCGTCGCTTGCGCCTCTCATCTTCCACAACTTCCTTGAACAAAGCAAACCTAAGAATAGATTCCGCAATTTTAGCATCTTTCTCTTCAACTCTGTTGGAAAGACGAGCTTTTGCATGGGCTGTGGAAAGACGGATCAGTGTTTCCAAAGTACGCGCCGTCATTGGGGACGTCTTTCGCTGGTTTCCAGTTAACTCATCATTTCGAAGCGCAGAGTATGTGGTGACAATGTGATCGGCAGCGCCTTTGGTTAAGACTGGCTTTATTCGCGATTTGGCATATTGGATATACTTCTTCACGAAAGGTAGGCTGACTACCTCCACTTTCCTACCTGCCCCTCGACCCGAGGTTACCGTTATGCCTGCATGTAACATGGCATTGTACTTCTCATAAACTTCTGTAGGCACATTCGCGTTCTCGTTGGCTTCAAGTCCGACTCCTAGAGTATTGTTAACTTGTTCACGCACTGGAGCACCTTCTTCGGTACCGGGCTGACGATATTGATGCATCCGTAGGACGTGCTCAGATACTAGTCGATCCCTTGTATCCTCGATATCGTCCGTAACCACGAAAAGTAAGTCGAAACGAGATAAAAGTGAATCTGGCAACGCAATATTCTTGTGCGGGTCCTTATGTGTGTCATATTGACCATATATAGGATTTGCAGCAGCAATAACACTGCATCTTGCATTTAGCGTCGTATGGATGCCAGCCTTGGCTATGGTGACCGTCTGCTGTTCCATGACTTCATGTATGGCGACTCGATCCACATCACTCATCTTGTCGAATTCATCGATGCACACAACCCCTCTATCTCCGAGAACCATGGCACCAGCCTCAAGCCTTCGCTCACCGGTTTCCTTATCGGTTGTGACTGCCGCTGTAAGACCAACACCGGAAGAACCTCTACCAGTCGTTGCAATGGCCAAAGGTGCCGTGTTAAGAACAAAGCGGAGAAGTTGGGATTTAGCAGTGGAAGGGTCTCCGACCATTAGGATGTTAATGTCTCCACGCAAATGGGTTCCGTTATCAAGGTTCTTCTCCATTCCTCCAAGTAACATCAACAAGATTGCCTTCTTGATGTAGTCATGCCCGTATATACTGGGAGCAAGAGACTGAGAAAGTAAGTCAAAAACCTTCTTCTTTTTTGACATCTTATTTATGTTTCGGATATCTGTATCGGTGATTGTCGCTTGTGCAATTCCACCGCCGGACTTTGACGCGAGATGTATTATGTTATTTGCAAGAATCACGGTGCGGAACGTTGAACTACCAGAACTTGCGTTGCGGTTTCCTAGAGACCGATATATTCCAACAAGTTGAATTCTGTCACCGGGTTTCACTTTGTCCACTAGATCGTCATCGAGTATCACATCGACGCCTCGAGGAAGCTGACCAGCTGGAGCTCTTTCCGGCATTTCTTGAATAGAAATCATTTGATGGTCGCGATATTTGCAATAGCCGTATTCCGTAATCAACTGCGGCGCATTAGGTCTACATAACATAGAATTTTGAGATCTGCAAACCTACCGGGTTTCCTTGGTCGTCTTCTTGTGGATAGACATTCAAACTTGTAGCCCCAGTCGCAGTCATAGTCTGATCTCGATACTCCCTAACTAGGAAATTTTCCTTTTTCGGATTGTAGTGAACACTTCGGACCACCTTTGGTCTGACCAATGAGCACTTTGTCACAATTCCCTCGAGCGCGACCATGCGGTTCAAATGCGACGAGCTCAGAGTTCGAGGGTTGCAGGCATACTCGCCAAATGCGCCAACGTAAGCGCAATACCATGCCTACTTCAGAATTAGCCACCTGACGTTGATCCACAACTTGCACCTGGAATGCACCGTGTCTTCGATTTGCTCTTTCGTTAGCCTCGTGGAATCTGTGCCCAAAGTCTGGATAACATCTCTTAAGGCCTGATCAAAGGCTTGAGAATATTCAAACGGCTGAGTAACAAGGCTGTTGGTCGTAAGTAAATCATTCATGCTGGCTATTCAGTCCTTACTTACCCGTTGGCAAGTTCTCGACTATGCGCTCGAATTTCATCTAAGCTGACCTATGAAAGCGGTTCAATGTCAGCCTGTTTCACTTCATTTAAAAGCAATATATATTCCTTACTGTGAGGCGCCGTAGTCCACGATTCAGCATCAACACTATATCGGCACGATAACTGAGACAAGTGGTGAGAGACGTGTTCAAGTTCCGCTAAGAGCGAGGAAAATTTGCCAACCTTCGAGCTCTCTGATCGCCTACATAGACAGATTAGTATATGGCTTGACTCCATAGGAATTAACACACTCACTTGGATCAAGAAATTCTGTGGCAGCTCGAACGCGATCTCGAACCGCCTCATCGCGGAGACTGTAATTCTCCATTTCTGGTGTTGTAGCCTATCACGGGCGAAAATTCAGAACAGTAGGTGTAAAGAATGAATTACAAGCTTAAATATGGTATAAAATCATGAGTAAAGATGGGGGAAATGGGCACTTGGGCTGCTTGTTCGTGACTGCAAAGAGCTCTCTCTATGTGCGGATTGAAGTTCCGTTAAAGTTTCCACTTCAGAAACGCGTCCGACGCGTTAAACTAATCAAGTCATTAATGGGGGTCGCGTTTCCCAGCCAGCCAATCACCATCGCTCTCCTGCCCCATCGTTCCTGCGCTGACCCCCTTGCCTCGGGCGTGTGGACTTTGAACAGTAGCACTTTTTGGGAAGAGGCTCCCTGGCCATTCATCTGGCAGTTTAAAGCTCAAACTCGAAAGCTCCAGTGGCATATTATAAGGAGTTCTTCGAATCCTATGACGGTGGTATACTCCTTCATGGTAAGTAAAGAGCCAAAAATTCTATATATCGATCCGCTCAAAAACCGACAATTTTAAAGTGCAGGAAGATGATATCTCCTTTTGAAACCCCATGCATTTTTCAAAAACAAAGGGAAAAAAAAAAGAAAGTATTCATATGACATACGCCGTAATATGCACATCTTCAAAATACAGTCAATGTCTTAACAATAAATATGATACAGGTATACCTGATAGAGCTGAGACTTTCAGGTAAGGTATATATATGTATGTTTGTGTGTGGTTTATAGCGCTACCCGAAGTGCGACTGGCCACGGGTGTTTTTTTTAAATTCAGATCACGTGTGACGTGGAAACATCAATCGTCGGCAAGTTGTTTTTCAAGGCGGCTTTCCATTTCCAAATCTAGCTCGTCCTGAGCGTCCAATGTCTGCTGCGACGGTTCTGGTTCGAAATGTGCTTCTGTTCCAAAACGAGCTCCCCTCCATTTCGCGTCCTCGGCGAATATACTCTCTAACAAATCAGCACTAGGCTCAGAAGTATCTTCTCCAGGATCCATCAGAGCCTTAGATTTACGGGGGCGTCCAGACTTGGATGCACTGCTTTGTTCAGCTTCTTGATGCCTTGGGCTCGTATCTAGGCGGGGCTCTCCATCCACGCCGAGAATACCACCAGTCCAGACCACATGATTAGCGGTATCAACAGGTTTAGGAACCGCCTCGTCATCCATATTGCGGTGGCCACGGAGGATAATTCCCTGGAATTTCTCACGAAGGAACGGGAGCTTTGCAACTGCACTAACGGTTTGTGGGGCTTTTGAAAGCAGCGAATCCATTTCCCCTTCGCCATCTGCAACAGATCGAGCGCGGACATCGATTAAGGCTGATGCGAGATAAAGCATGGTTAGATACGTTGGTTGCATGGAATCCGGTCGGATTCTTGCCCACGCTTGGCGACCAGCTTTGCCCAACACTTGATATTGTTTCAAGGGAGAAAATCGACGCTCAAGGAAATCAAGCCCGGCAGGTGCATCGTCTGGCCTTTTCGTATATCCTCGTCGAATATGTCCCCAACTAACAAAATTTGATATAAATTTCTCTTCGAATATCGTAAAAGCGCGAAATTGATCGGCTGGACGTCGAGACAAACATAGGAGTTTGATATAAAGAGACCAGTTGAAAGTTGTCAGTACAAAGCCAATCTTTTCAACCTCAGCAATGATATCCGAAATTTTAGAGTGGAGATTCCGATATGACAATGACTGCATCAAAACAGAAATGCAGCGAGAGAGGGCAAAGCGATAAGATGGAAGGATGCTAGAGGTATGGTTATTCGACTGGGTTTCCTGACGTTGGTCTTGTGAACCGTCTGGGTTCTTGAACTCACACGGGAGCGAGTAAGCTAATAAAGAGTCAAGGTTCATAGGCTGTGCAATGCTACTTATGCTCTCCACAGCCTTCTTCCAGCACATGTCGACTTTGTCGTGTTTTCCTTGTCTAAGGTATGTGGCCATTTGAGCATGTAGCATCGGAAGGGGAGAAGACTGCTGTCCCCAAGAAAGCTCTCGCGTCTTCGAATTGTACTTGTCCAATACCCTGTTGGCCTTTTCGACTTCGCTCCCTGAACCATAAGCTAGGATGAGGGATTCATAATACGCAGAAGGGAAGGCCTCCCTAACCGCCCGCTTTCCAGCGCCCGGTTGTGGTTGTTTAGTTGCGAGCATAGAGACATCGAAATTTTCCATGATCGAATCCAAGAATCGTTCTGCACGTGGCAACTGCAAAGGTTCGTCTCCGTCAATGCCACCGTTCTCCTTGAATCGCTGGAGATCGCGGTTTATATAGGCTCTAAGCATCGAGAGGCTCCCGCTGAGGCCAAGCGTATTAAACCTTTCAATCATTTCCTTGTAGAGGATTAGTATCATGTCACGGTTTCCTTCCTTTAAATAGCCACGGAGTAAGATGGCGTAATGGAGTTCGGTAATATGGACCCGGCGGCTTCGATGAAGTTTACCCAATATTTGGCGGGCTGTATCAAGTTTGCCCAAACGGACAAGACTTAGCATCAGCGCCGCGTACGTCATTCCATCAAATTCAATGCCTTCTTGTTGCATCCGTGCTTGTATTCTTGAAACCGACTCGACGTCCGGTATAAAGGCGTAATTCCAGAGGAGGACATTCCACATTCTTGTCAGGGAACCATGCAAGTTCAACTGAAGCGCTTCATTGGCCACCTTTTCGGCGTCACCATACCTTCGGTTATTGCATAACGCCCCAACAACTCCATCAACTAGAGTAGAATTTATAGGGACCTTATTCTGCTTTGCAATTCCGAATAGATTAATGACTGCATCCACATCACCTTTATTGGCAAGGAATCCGATCAAGATGCCGAAGGTATGTGAGTCGGGACTGATACCATTCTGGACCATAGTCCGGAAGGTTGAAAGAGCACCACTGAAATCATCGGCCCTCGTGTAAGCGGTAAGAAGTATGTTCCAACACACCACATTCGGAGGCAAATTGAAATCCTTTGCTAGCCTATTGAACTTGGTTTGGGTCTTCTTAACCTGACCAAGACTTGCATGGACATAGAGAAGAGGGGAAAGTAGTTTAAGATCTGATGGCTTGCCATGATCCTTGACGTAACTCTGAAATAGGCCCTCAACTTCATTTTCCTTACCCAGCCTTGCAAACCCCGTCAAGGCATGGCGATATGCGTCTGGTGACGGTTTCTCGTGGAAATGCCGATACTCATCGAGTAGATACTTAACGCCTTCCGATATCTCAAACGTGGATAGCATTTTTATGAGCCGGGTCAGAAGTTGTTCGGAAACTTTTTCGTTGGGGAGCCGCCATCGCAAGTTGCGGTAAAGGATTATTGCTCTGGCGCTTGCAGATCGTAAACCCACCGACTGCAAGGTGGAGATCGCTTTCAAGTAGAATCCAGGCTCAAGTAACTGCAGCGAGTAAAGGCGCTCGAGCAATAGCAACGTCGATTTCGTGGACATTTCCATGATCAATTTCCGACTAGAAACCACATGATATACCATGAATTTAAGAAAGTCAGCCAGGCCCGACGTGTCAGTGTCTAATTTTCCCATCTGTATTGCCTTGAGAAATGAAAAAATCAGGTTTGGCAATCGAGACAAGTCAGGCAACTCGACAGATTTAGCCTGTGTTCCCCCCAAGGCTCCCGAAACGGGTCGATTATTCCAAATTTCAATGGCTTCATGCCAATTTTGCCGGTTTATTAAAAATGTAATCGCAAAGCTCCAACACAGATCTCCCTCAGCCCTAGACACTGCTTCGTTGTATATATCTTTAGCCCGAAGACCGTCAACGTTCCAAGTTAGTGCTGTCTTCACTGCGTATAAATAATCCTTTGCCTTCCTTTCCGAAATCGGGATAACGTTGAAAAGCATCTTCGTTCGATCAGCATCAATACGCCTATCAGAAGTCGAAAGATAGGCGAGCATTTGAGGAATTAATTCACGGGGGCTTCCAGCGGCCTGGAAAAGACCCCACGCTCTAGCGTAGGCCGGTGGGCCGTCTTTGGAAAATAACTGGCGTAACCCATCGGATACGGCATCCCCGTTAGAATGCGTGGTCGACGCCTCGGATACCCGTCCTAGTTCATTCGCGGCCGGAACTTTATGCCCGTCAGGATCGTCTGTCGAGGACGCGAAACCTCGATAAGAAAACCGTTTTCTCCGTCGAATAGCCGAGCTCCTATGTAGGTTCCGTGTCCGTAGGTAAGCTCGCGCAAAGGACTGGGTTCGGGGCGGGTAAAGAAATTCAAGGTGTGCGGAGGATGCAGGGCGATTAGACGAAATTCGTTGTTCTCGGTCGCGGCAATTAGGATCTCCGGGGGAAGAAGGCGGGTAGAGAAAACCAAAACACCAAAAAGGTATATCTATATCAACTGCGCCATGGTGCCAGAAATTTGAATGTAAAATTCGTCGGGACCGAAGTGGACTTTTGGAGTAAAGGAAAATGTGCTGGCCTGCGGTCTCGATGCATCGCGCAGCCCGCTCTAGCATTGCCTCAGAATGCAAGCGATATAAACGGAAAAAGAGAGAGTGAGAGAGGATCGGAAATGCTAAGATATTTGAAGCATATCTGCAAAATTCCATTAGTGCCAGAGATCAACGGGTTAAACGCAGGAAAAGGCCGAAAGCTCTTTGGTCAAGAAAACTTACTCGGTAGGAATGTACCTCACTGCGGAAGTTTTGATAGTCACTTTCCGGTAGATGGTGAAGGATCAATCTATGAAAAACTAAAACAAAACTGAAGAATCTCTCTAAGACTTATTCAAGCCCAAATGAACGCACCATTCGCCTGAAAAAGGTGGCGTTTTGAGGTTGAATTCCAGTCCCCGAGAAGTTCCCCTTCGCGACTGAGAAGTATTTGACTTTCTCCGGGCTTGCTTATATAATCCCGAACCGCACCACCGACACTTTGCGATGTCATGATGATGTTGCGGCAACGACCTCACCGTGCGAAGTGTTGACGGCAGGCTGCTGGTGCTCATTTGTTCTTTTCGGGACGCAAGAGGTCTAATCCGTCAACATGGACATCACAGACTACATCGTTTCACGGAGGGCTGATGCTCTGTTAATCGGAGACTACAATACCTATCGTGCTCGAGTGACCCGCAGATTGCACGCCCAGCGTAAGCGACTTGGGAGAACGACACCCAAGGGCAAGAAATACACGCCAAAGCCACTTGTGACCGCAGAAGAAATTGCCTCAAACTCCGAGTAAGCCTTACAAATCATGCTGGAGATTATGGTAGTTATTGAAAGAGCTAACACTGGTCAGGCATGTATTTCTTTTTCTCCTCGCTGCAGAACGAGGATGGGCGTCAGCTATGCATATGAGATCGGTGCACTCCGCAGACCCATCTACAAAAGGAATTGTGGGCTCAACGAGGCGTCACATAATATCCCGTTTAAACAAGGCGGCGACATACGCGGAACAACTTGTCCAAGTGCTTGAAAATCAGTCGGCCTCTGGAGCGTCGAATGTTGGTTTGCTAGAGGCTCGAGCCTACCTTGCTTCTCTCAGAGCAACCTTTTGGATGGAGAAGCAGCGGTGGGAACAGTGCCTGCGCCAAAACTCGCTAGCCCGTGTGATATACACAGCGATTCAAAAGAAGACTGATCGTGAAGTTTTCCGTGATCTGCTGTCTAGCACCATTGATCCTGGAATTAGATATGCAGCGTATCAACTCAAAGTCCCTCGTTCTGTACCACTACACACCATTAGCATTCAACATTTTCCCGCGGATGAGAAAGTGCGAGCAGAAATAGAAGCCCTTGATCCTGAAGCATTGTCCGAAAAGGGGGGTGAAAACAAGGTCACTGCCGATGGGAGCACCCAAGAACTTCCGGAGACGATTACATGGCGATCGCGAACTGTGAAACTCGAAGATGCTTCCATATCACAGGCTTTGGGAGCAGCGGCCGCTGCTGAATCCGAACTTTCGATCTGGATGTCTAGCCCTAAGGGCCAACATGCGTCCCCCAAAGACAAGGCGGCCAAATATGACAACGTCATTATTGCTAGTCAGGACGCTGTTGACGCCACGAAAACTGCAATTGATGAACTCTCTAACGATGGAGTCGACCAGGGAGATCAAAGAATGCAGGCTTTGCAAATCACCCGAACCTCCGTGAACTATGCGTTGGTTGGGTGGCGTGTCGGCCGTAATAGAGTTCTGTGTGGTCCCGAGGATGGCTTACAGTTTGAGGCTGAGAAATTTAGAAGTACAAAGAGGCCGAAGATTCAGCGAAATTTGAAGGCTCCAAAAGAGGAGAGTACAGGGAAGAAGCTAGCTCGGCTACGTGAAAGGGTTGTACTTTATGATGCGATCCTGCAAAGCTTAGACTCCGTTAAAGAACTTCCAGGAGTTGCTGGAGATGCCGAATTTATGGACGAGTTGAGCGCGACTCGGAATTACTTCTTAGCATTGAGGTTGGTCAAGTTACTCCTAATAAGACATATAGAAATTAACCCTGCACAAAAAGGTGTCTCTCCATCGGCAGATCCCATGCCTTCCTTTCTAACCCGAAGAACGCCCTGGCGCTCTTCGCTCGGGCATCAGATCTAGCCTCCAAGTGCCAGTCTGCCAACGCACACCCCACCAGTGCAGCTGGACTGTCACGAATGGAGGTGTCCGGGCAGCAAGCAAATGCGCTGTCAACGCATTTACAACATCTCATCTGGCAGTACCGTGGAATTGTCGAAATTGAGAAGCTTAATGATGAAGCTTCGCGAGTGGAAGATTCTACGCTACCACCCCTTCTTGAACGACTAGGAGGTTATCCTTCAGCCAGCCCGGATTTATCCAACCTGGTGACATATCCTCCCAAGATCCAACCGATCCCCGTGAAGCCGCTCTTCTTCGATGTTGCTTGGAACTACATCGATTATCCTCGGGAGGCCAAGAGGGCCATTGATGTTCGCGAATCCACCACGGCGGATACTGAAGAAAAGCCGGAACCAAAAAAGAGAGGATGGTTTGGTTTCGGTCGATAATCGCATTGTAGTTAAAAACAGATATTCATTTTCAGGCCTTTTTATGGAGGTGCTAGACTTAGTTTCATCTGGAGATTTCGAGAGATCAATAAATAGTCCACTGTTTGCAGCCCAATCAACAGTCCTGGTATTGTAAGCAGGATCAAGCTTATACATTGCATCCTACATCGAAATGTAAGAAACAATTTTTCCGAAGAACCATACAAACTCCCTCATATAGTTGTTACACTTCACTATGAGCAGTAAATTTATATGACAGTATGGCTCGGTCCAGAGCAATTGTTCCCGACTAACAGCATCTCCAGAATGGCAGCACTTTCGGATTCCCTCATGAAGTTAAAGGTCCTGGTCGGTACACTCCGTGCTCTGTTCTCCACACCAGTCATGTATTCATTTTCCGAGCATGCTAGGTCCAGAAGTGTCCATGACGATCAAGAATATGGAAGGTTCCGGGCAGCAGGGGCTTGACAATTGTGGATTGCAATGCCAAGTATCTAAGCTTTTGGATGCTTGGGTCGAGGCTGTGGCAGATATTGATGGGAGACACCCAGACATCAAAGCAGCCTCCGGCGACAATATAGAATCACATATGCACGTACGTGCATATGTATGCATATTGTGCATATACGATCCTGGACAGACCGCAAAAGATGATAAGAAGCAAGGAACACCATGGACGCCCCAACAATAGGGCAATTTTTGAAATAGTACTCCGTAGCTGATATTCAACCGATCGGAAGACCGGGTATGGAGAATTTTATATTGAAGCCTTGATGGGCTTTTAACATGTAGCCATAAGGTCGTCTGTCCAGTCTTTCCTCCTCTGGTCATCCCCGTGGAGGGTAGACATTGCTGACGTCGTGACTTGTGGGACCAGCAGACAAGCCTTGCCAACATACAAGGTTCAAGGCGCATATGGCCTGTTCCGCTTTCACTTCGATTATGGAGAACAGCCTGGTCTTGCGCCTGTTGAGTTTGGGACCAATCGGTTGACTTCCTAGGGCGCAAAGCACGCCCAAAACCCAAAAAGAAAAAAAGAAAAAAATCTCCGTGTGTGCTTCGAGAGCGGAGCAAATAGACCTTGAACTGGGTGCTGCTCCGCGGAGGTGGAATTGCAGGTCCGGGAGGCACAAGCCCAGGCCATGTGCCGCGTCTTCAGCTCAATCTAGAATTGTCCAGGAAGTGAACCGCGAGGAGCATGTCGTCAAGCCCGAGAAGACACGCCGTGAACCCTAGCTCTGGAGAGAAAAGAGGACGTTGATCCCAAATTGCAGCGTGCAGATGAGGGAGCAGCTGAGCACCTCTGGCTCTCATCAGCATCACCCCTTTTTTTTGTTCTGCCTCCTTGTGCAGGCGGATGTTTTGCAGAGGTTTTTCGACTCAGGGGCGGGCCTATCGGAAGGGCGCTCGGGATGCTGGGAGGCCGAATCACGACACAATTACATCACTAGCGGTAACTTTGTGCGCTCAAACCCAGCCCACCGGAGCGCGGTAAGCCTGCAGCCCACTGCCCATTTGCAGGTCGCTGATCAGCTGGGAGAAAACTTTGATGTTGGGTGCCTCGATCGGGGGATTTTTCCAGAGCTCGAGCCCGGAATCCTCCTGCTGGACGGCGGACTGGCATCGAACACGGAGGATTTTCGAAGCTGTTGGCGTTACACTCGAATACGACGGGCTGCAGTCGAGGAGCCGGGAAGCTAGGCTGTATTGTACGGGAATTCATCGTAACGGAAATGTATTGTGCAATATCTGGCTATGATTGGCCAACTCTCCTAAATCCCGGCATTTTCACGCGCTCTGGTTGGCTGGCGCAGTTCAACGGATGCTCGGTCGTACTGTACGCAATCCGTGCACATCGCGATCCGGACTTAGTAATTATCCAAGCTAACAGTTAGTTAAAGAATCAAATTAATTCGGTCAATCTTGCACGTTTCTCCTCTTCGCCTCCATTTCTCCCTTCCCTCCTCCGTCTGTCATCCATCACCGGGCTCACTGTCTGCTCATCGCGTGCCCAGCTCCATCTCTCACGCGCTCACTCGCTCACATACTCTCCTTTCTCTTGCTAAGGGTGGACGGGTTTTTCGTGAATCGGCTGGAGCTTGGATATTCCCCTCTGAAGTACCCCTTTTTCTTCCGCCCTCACCATAATGGCGAGCGTCGCGGGAAATATGGCATCGCCATCTGCGGATGCATCTCTAGCTTCAATGGCTTCGGACCCATCCAGTTTCGTGATGGGCATTTACAGCCGTTTCACCGGCTGGTCGGCCTTGCTGGCTCTATTCATGTTCCTCGTCGCCTACGATCAGAGTGAGTCGCTTCTGAAACGTGCCTGTTGTCATCAAAATTCGGACACAGATAACTAAACAGCCATGCTGCAGTCAAATATATCTGGCTGAAGGGTTCAATCGTCGGTCCAAGATTTAAGATTCCCTTCATGGGCCCCTTCCTAGAGTCGGTCAATCCGAAGTTTACAGAATACAAGGCGAAATGGGCCAGCGGCGAATTGAGCTGTGTCTCTGTCTTCCACAAGTGCGTCTCAAGTGAATCAATCCTATAACTCCAGGTGGCCCATACCTGCTTCAAGGCTAACGTTGGCGTGCATTAACCTTGCAGGTTCGTCGTGATCGCGTCAACTCGAGACATGGCCCGAAAGGTCTTCAATTCTCCTGCATACGTCAAGCCGTGCGTAGTGGACTCTGCGCACAAGCTGTTAGGCAAGACAAACTGGGTCTTTTTGGATGGCAAGGAGCATGTTGAATACCGCAAGGGTCTCAATGGCCTGTTCACCCGCTCCGCATTGTCCGTGTATATGCCGCAATTGGATGACGTCTACGAGAAATACTTTAAGCTTTTCCTGGAAGAATCGAAGAAGAACAACTTCAAGCCTATTCCTTGGATGCCGTACTTGCGTGAATTGATGTGTGCACTCTCCTGCCGGACCTTCGTTGGACACTACATGACTGAAGCAGCCGTCAAGAAGATCGCCGACGACTACTATCTTATCACTGCTGCGTTGGAATTAGTCAATTTCCCCATCATTCTACCTTTCACGAAATCATGGTACGGAAAGAAGGCTGCCGATATGGTCTTGGACGAGTTTAGCAAATGCGCCGCTAAGAGCAAAGTCCGGATGGCTGCGGGGGGAGAGGTTACCTGCATCATGGACGCTTGGATCAAGCAGATGTTGGATTCCGCCAAATACCGCGAAAAGATTGCAAAGGGCATCCAGGTCGATGACTCCGAGAAGCCAAGTCACATCCTGCGGGATTTCTCCGACTACGAAATTGCGCAGACTGTCTTCACCTTCCTGTTCGCTTCGCAAGATGCTACATCTAGTGCCAGCACCTGGCTCTTCCAGCTTATGGCCAATCGTCCAGATGTCCTTGACAAGGTCAGAGAAGAAAACTTGGCTGTGAGAAATGGTGATCGGAATGGTAAAATCACGATGGACCTTCTTGATCAATTGCAATACACCCGAGCTGTGGTCAGGGAAACCCTCCGATACCGACCTCCTGTGATCATGGTTCCATATATGACCAAAAAGGATTTCCCTATTACCCCTAACTATACGCTTCCCAAGGGCTGCATGATCGTCCCATCCGTCTGGCCTGCAACCCATGATCCTGATGCTTATCCAAACCCCGAGACTTTTGATCCGGATCGATGGATTTCCGGCGATGCTGACAAGGCTGCTAAGAATTTCTTGGTGTTTGGCACCGGCCCTCACTACTGCCTTGGACAAACATATGCTCAGCTGAACCTTATGGCTATGATTGGCAAGGCTAGTATGATGATGGACTGGGAGCATCATGCTACTCCTATCTCAGAAGACATCAAGGTCTTTGCTACCATCTTCCCTCAGGTTAGTATCTGTCGCATTCTCAGATCCACATGGAATCTCCCAACTAACGTAGAAATCAGGATGATTGCCCACTTGTTTTCCGCCCCAGACCATGAGCGACCAAAACCTCCCAAAAGCACTGAAATGACTTCATGAATGTCTGATATTCTCCTAATAGAGAGAGCCTATCCGAGATATTCCTACTTTCGTTGCTCTCCTATGAGCTCCTCTTTGCATTTCAATGATGATGTTCACCCTTAACAAACAGCCTGTTTTGCATCTGATGCTTTCGCAATAAAAATTTCCTCCCACCCCTTCTTACCTTAGTTACTGTTTAATTGGCTTCATATGCCACGACTGTTCATGGTTCTTCTGGGGGAGACAGGGTCCTAAAAAAGATATGGATACCCGGACTTTTTCATTTCTTTTCATTTCTTTTTTTTTTTTTTTTTCATTTTCTTTTTTGCCCTCTTTTTCCCCTTCTGGTTTGGTAGTGCTTTGCCTAGGTGGTGTAAATATGGATACGTAATGTAGTTTTAATTAATGAAAGAAAAAAGAAAACAATCTCAATCTACAGAGTCACTAATTACAAGATATGATCCAAGCAATCATAAAATAAAAAGGCTTAGTAAAAACTGGTTTCAGCATTGTCATCAGAGGGATAACCATCTCGACCGATCAGGATATGAAGACATGGAGCATTGTCGATATTCATCATTCCATCATCACGGCAGCAGGTGTAGAGCTTCAAAGGCATTTGAAAAAGTAAGCTACGTCTGATAAGTGTTCATTCAATGTTGAATCTCTGTTTGCTCATAATCTACTGCTCGCTAGATGTGGACCATGGATGTGGATAAAGAATCATCGCAGCAGGCTATCCGGCGAGATGTATTTATCAGGTTGTATATCCTTAATTATTACTGAATCCTGCTGATTGAGTTTTAGAGCAATGCAAGGCAAACGCTTTACAATTCTTGTTGGCGCCGAGAGAGATGCCTACATTGCTAGTGGCCCAACGAGGTGGACATGATGATTGGTATCCTCTGTCCCGCAAGAGGTCTATCATCGCCGCACCACCCCTTTCCCTTGAGCCTCATCATGAAGCCGCAGTCCGAGTCCGTATGTTTTATCTCCGTACTGCAAAGCTGAACTTAGCCCAGGCAACCGTCGCCTTGGGACAATTCTACTAGGTGGAAGCCATCTAGAATATGCAATAGCATGGGAGTAAGCACCCATGACAACTAGATTACTTGCCCAGTTCAAGTTTCGAATATTCTTCACCTTGCGTCTGCCGGACGGCTTGCTGGGTATTGCTCAACGGCATCTTTCAGCTGCTAGAAGGTCCTAGAGTCTTACTGTCACTTAACATCTCAGTGAGGTCTCCAACCCTTTGACCCGCTTCAATTTATATGTACGTAGCCGAAAGTCGAAGAGTATGCCTTTATAATGATAGACATACACTCCTTAGCCATATCCTATGTTAAGAAGCTATTGTTTGAATGCCATCCTGACCGTCAGGAAACTCAGTGGAAGCGCTGGCGGAGGTAGGAAAAGTTTGCGAACCATAGCTTTCGGAATTGCTTGTCCCCATTAAGGGATTTGGCAGATTATCCCAATCGATTCTCTCGAGATGATTGCTTGTCGCCATCAAGGGATTTGGCAGATTGCTCCAATCGTATCCGCTAGCGAGGGGAATTCTTGCCCAGTCGAGATTTGCCTCCAACTGGGGGAGCGGAATTCTTATTTCTTGGTTAGGGGAAGGGTTCACGGCGTGCGTGATTGCGTGGCTGATTCCTGATTCTCGCTGCTCCCTGCACCGCTATTCAAATTTGTTGGCGCCCGGAAGTGATGCGTCTCCCACACCGGTGGAGCAACAGTTCTTGTTTGTACGTTTGTAGCTGCAGGATGCGCATGCCAACCCACGTCAAAGTTATTTGGCAGTTCTGAGGTGATTAGACGAGATCTGGAGGGAATGAGCGCGTCCAGCCTGAGTAGGCATGTTCCTTAGCCGAAATACACTTATGCCTGGGCGTTCTTTTGTTCCAGTAGTAGATTTCCTGCCTTCATGCTCTCCACCGAACTTTCTCTTGCTGCCCGAGGATGGGAACAAGTTCTGAACATTGTCAACCAAGGGTGAAAGACATGATATGATCGAAACAACTTTCGCGTGCGAAGGTAACCGTCCAGTATCTGGGCCCCTTCTAACAACAACCCACGTTCCAATCTATCGGACTAAGTTAGCTATGGACCTAAAACAGCAGTGTCGACTCACATTGTCCAGTGAGGCTGCCCAAATCCCACTAGACAGCCACTCTCCAACTGAGAAAGCCTTTCACCACATCATAATCTGGCAAGTTCTGCAGGCGTTGATTTCCTTCCCAGACATCTTTCAAAAGCAAAGACCCTGAAACTTTGATTGCTAGTTGACCCATCCCCTCCTCAGCATTGTAACCAATTCTCCTCCTCAGCTTGTGCGATGCAATCTACATCCTGATATAGTCATCTCAACAGGAGTCGGCGGCCCAGTGGACTTGAACTCTTAAAGTGAGAAATTGCGGACAGAAGGTTGTCGAGAGAGTTTTCCATCTTGAGATTTCCTGAGAACATATCCCAGAACAGATGTGGATGCTCGGCATAATCTCTTTCAAATGCCGTCACAATCTTTTCTGCTTCCTCTCCATCAACGATGGATCTTGCAAGGCTCACAAGATTCTCTACTTCCTTTTGAGGGAGATCAAATTCACTGAAGTAAGCTTTCGGCTGAATTGCTCCATTGTCGTTGCTATCCTCAGTGGCAGCAGTCTCATTGCTGTTGGTAGCCGCTTCGGTGTTGGTGATCCTTTCGGTTGTCGCATTGCCTTCAGCGTCAAGCGGAACTTCTGCGGTGGTGGTATTGTTGGTGTTGATGTTGGTGTTGGTGTTGATGATAGCAGCGTTGCCATTGCTATCATTCGTGCTGCCTGCCCCATTGCTGTCGCCAGCCTATCCGGTGAGAGTTGATTCTGCCGCGTTTACATTGTCAGGCAAAGGTCGCGTAACAATTGTTCCATTGGCGTTTGTGGTCTTTTCGCAGCCATCACTAGGATCATGATGGCCTGACTACAATGGTAAACAGTTTTGGATGGCAGAAGTTGTTCTGGGGTACGTTGTAATAACCATCTCTCAAAATTCAAACAGCTTTGCGAGAATTCCTGACATCATCAGAGCTGAAGCAAGACACAAAATGCAACAGACTCACAGGATTAATTCCCTCAAACAGGCGGGTGATTGTTCTCAAGAGGCCAGCAAATTTCCTTGATTCGCTATTGAAATCAGACTTGTGTCTTCCTCTTGAAAGTGTTTTGCATACCTCTGTTGTCATGATGCGTCAAAACGAAGAGCCTTTGTCTGGGGTGGGGATTGAAAGCAGAGGGATCTTGTCTGACGTTGTGAGGATGGTATGTGCTGTTCCACTGGAGTTAGGAGACTAACCAAATTGAGGACCAACAGTAAATATGTTCTTGCTCCTCATTTTCCCTCTCCAACTGCTTGTCTACAACCTCTTACAGCTGCATTGGATCCGGTTCCTCTAGACCAACATGTTCTTCGCTGATATCTTCCAGGATGGGTGGCATATCAACCCACGACAGAATGTAATCACTCGCCTGGACTTCTTCAAGGGGACTGTGAATGGTTGACTCTTGAGGAGCAGCTGAATAGGCTTGGGCGGTCAGCATTTGGTGTTCAGCTCCTGATGACTGCCTTTGGCTTTGTTTTTCTTGCTGCTGATGTTCCTTCTCCCTATTCTTCTGATACTGTTGTTCTCGGCGGGTTTCCTGAGGATGGTGCCTATCCCAATTGCTACCATCATTGCTGCTGGCCTCGGAACAAAGAGTGGTGACATGGGTAAGTTGGACCCAACTTGTTCCAAAGAAGACACTTCAGCCCTGGCCTGGAGGGGTGGTGGAGTTATTGATGGCTCACCAAAGAAAGCAAAATAGACATGTTGTCTCACAAAGAGCATGGTGACTTTATTACCAGCAGGCATATTGTCCGCATGCATCTGGTCCATAAACAGAGATGGTAAATCCTGTTCTTGAGCTTTGGCCCATAAAAGTCTGCAATGCTGCTTCTGTTCAACCTCCCTACTGATGGCAGCCCGGCAATCTGATTGGCTCTCATGAGGTTGGGCAAGGGCCAAGCCTTTCTACAACACAATCAACTAGGCATTTGAGGGTGTCACCAGGGAATTGATAGCAATCAGGCTTCCAAGCTTTGAGAAGGGCAACCCACACAATCTGCTGATTGGGAGATTTCTTGACAAGCTCTTGGATCTGCAGTGAGTCAAAATTCAACTGTCAGGCAAGAGCAGCCATCTTGTAGATTGCAGTCTTGTTACTTTCATAACTGGGTTTTGCCACAAGATTATTGTTTTTCAGTTGCAGCAGCATCTCTGCAGAGTGTTGGTTGGCATATAGAAAGAGCTGATTGTATCTGAGCTTTGCACACTCAGCCAGAGCCACTAGACATTGTCAGAAGCCAGTCTCTGATATCTGAACTGGGTAGTTGGCTCCTGCATCATCAGGCAGTCTGTAAATACTCAGAAGCATGCTCTGCAGTGTGGGAGTGAACTTGCTGAGGTTGACCAGCTGCCTCAAGCAGTGAACACCCCCCTTGAGATAGTAGAAATCCTGAAAAAGGGATGGAATGATGGCTTTTCTTCTTTGTAGTTTCTGCCAGATGGCCATGCGTTCAGACTCAAGAGAGAATCAGAAGTGAGGAACTGAGTTCATAAGTGCTTTTGTAAATGAGAACCAAACTGCAGTGCTGAGTGAGATATTAGTGAGAGATAGAATGGAACTGGAGATGACATGATTAGCATGACAGAGCCTGAAACTGGAGAGAACATGATGATCCAGGGGGGAGCCAGAATTGGCAGAGGTGAAGCATCAAAACAGCTCCCTTCTCTGCAGGGTGAGTGAGTGGGTGAGCAAGGTTGAGCAAGGGTGAACAAGGGTGAAGGAGGGCCACAAAAATTAGTGCCAAGGGCCATGGATATTGTGGGTGTGGACGGAGGGAAGGGCTGTGGTCATGGTGATTGAGTCATGTGATGATTGAGAGTCAGCAGTTAGCAGGCGCCAAAAAAGGGCAGCAAAATCCGCCATGTTCGTTCGGCCGCCAGCTAACCGTCACATTGTCAAATAGAGTTATAGTATTTATCTTTTTACTAGCATGTATCAAAGTATCTTTGCAAATAATAAATAAATAAAATTGATAAGACTGTTTATTAAGTGTCTATATACTCTACATATAAATTCTAAAGCCTATATTCAACAATGTTGTTGAGATATAAGAGAGCGAAAAGTTGAGTTTTGGTATGTGTATTTTGGTGTCCCGCTTGCTTGGTTGTCCCGCTCGGTTGTGGAATTACGTTAACTAGCCTGCTGACATCATCCAGGCCGGTTGTAACATCAACTCCGAGCTGTTCTGCTGTCAAGACATTCACAGCGAACATCTGCAGAGCAGCCTGATTATTGATATTGCCTTCAAGGGAGTGATCGGCTGCACAATGGCTTCAAAGCGCGCAATTACATCTTTCTTCTCACCTAAGGGCATCGCATGTGCCCCGCGGGCAGTTTCGCGGGCATCACCCCTCCGCCTCGCCGCCATACGCTCCCAGCCGCAGGCTGTCCCGCGAGCAAGTCTCCAAACGCGAGTCATCCCCCAAATCCGCCTCTTCTCCGGTTCCACCGCCCGGTTCGACGCTCCCAGCAATTCCAGCGCAAAAGATCAACCCCAATTCAAGCAATGGAACTTCGACGACGTAAACCCATCCTCCCCACACCCGCTTACCCGCCCTCACAACAACTAACCACAAAACCGCCCACAGATAACTTCCCAAATCACCAAGCCTACCAGCAAACCCACCATCTTCATCGATGTTCGCGAACCCAAGGAGCTCGTATCCACCGGCATAATCCCTTCCTCCCTCTCGATCCCACTCAACTCCCAACCCGACGCTCTCTTCCTTACCCCCGATGAATTTCTCACCCGCTTCGGCTTCTCCAAACCAGGAATCCCGCAAGCCACATCCAACGGCGCTAGCACTGATGCGCACGCGGCAGATGCCGATATTGTGTTTTACTGCCGGGCTGGAGTGCGCGCGCGGGCGGCGGCGGAATTGGCGGTGCAGGCAGGGTACGATAGGTCGAGAATTGGAGTGTATGATGGGTCGTGGTTGGATTGGGAGAAAAAGGGAGGGAAGGTGGAGAAATGGAAAGGGCAAGGAGAGTGAATGAGTTATTTATCGTGAGGTGCGGAGAACGGCTTCTTCAAGGACGAGGTCTTAAAGCGGTCCATGTATTGTAGGTACAGTATGTACGGAGTATATAGTAGGATAGGAGGCAGGTGGGTGTTGCGACGGTTACGTTGGCCGAAGAGTTTTGTATATACGGTGGAATACTGGAGATTAGGTTTATTTCCTGATAACAGGAATTTATAATGTAAATATATCGTTGAGTGTGATGCTGCTTCAAATGTTGGATATACACTCAATCTTAGTTCCTGGCATTCTAGCCTTGATAGTCCTATCAAGAGCATATTCTGTGATATCCAAGAATGAAGATAATCTATCAGTGTATATCATATACAGAGAAGAAATTATCGCATCAAAACAAGGCATAAAGAGGGGGATAGGTTGCGACTTGAAGGCATTCTGCGTTAGGAGACCATCACCATCAAAATGCCAATATGGTTTTGCTTCAATTTTTCTATCATGTCGTAAGATTTTTCATTTTCTCTGCAAATCCCAGTCTGATCCGGGCTGGGAAAGCAGGTAACAAAGAGTCGTAAGAGAGTGCAGGAGAGGCGAGAGCAAGTCAATAATCATTTAGACTGAGTCGCAAGGACAACACAATCAGACAATCTACATGGCATGCATGCAATCATGGGATATCAAACAGAGGCTTCAACTTTTTGATCAATGCCCATTCGTCCATAGAGACATCCGATCGATAGAATTCCTTCAATGTATCAATACTCTGTCTGGAAATGAGCGAGTAAAGCACGTCCTTCTCCTCCAATTGACGGCCATAAGCTGGTTGGTTAGGACCTTCAATTTTGACAGCAACAGACGGCTGACCCTTCTTGCACATAGGAATCTGCTTGTGTTCACGTTCGATAGATTGCCTTGAAGATATATGTCAGTTACAATCACAATGCACAGCAGGGAGATGTTCACATACACTCTTCCTAAATTAAATATTTCTTTGGCGCCAGTCACAGGGTTAGTCTTGACAGCAGCAATCGGTGTGAGCAGTCGCAGATTGCCCTCGATCACATCAACACCAATGACAATAGGATCCTTCCTGTTAAATATAACAGAAGGCTGCAGAACACAAGGAAACACTGCCAGAAGTTTTGCTTCCTCCTTTTTCTTGGTAGAAAGTTCTTCCATATGCTTTGTAAAGTCATCAAATAGATGGTAGATAATATCGGCGGTGAAGATCTTTACGCCAACTTCATCTGCGTAGGCTTGTGCTTCCCTGTCGACCTTAACATCAAAGCAAAGCATAACAGCAAATTGCTTGGCCTTTTCTAACATAGTGCCTGCACGCATCACGTCACGTTTATACACAGGACCAATAGAGATATTTGCCACAGGAATTTTGGATACTTTAAGGAACTCAAGAAGGGCTTCAAGAGAACCAAGAGTCGACGCCTGGACGCTGACTCCACGATTATCTTTAGAGACCTTGCTGAGGAGGTTTTCCAAATCAGACATGACCTCGTCTTCCAAGTCCTCTTCATCGTCGTCGGGTCCAACCACCAAGAGTCTAGATCCAGCAATAGCATGTTCTAGGTCGTTGGCAGCGATCTTGACACCCAATGCAGCTTTAACTTCCTTGTTATGAACATACTGCGATTTGATACGAAGTTCTTTGAGAGGAGCAGGTGTTAAAAGCGCTCGTATGTTCGTCGCTATAGGACCGTTGAGACCACAAAGTACTATTCGGTCGCCTTCGCGAAGAATACCGTTTGACAAAACGACGTCAATGGTGGTACCAAGACCTTCAATGACCTTGACTTCAAGGACAGTGCATTCAACTTCTGACAGATACATCAACTTGTTTGTCATGCGTTCCTGCGTGAGAGTAACAAGAAGCTTCAAGAGGTCGGGAACACCTTCTCCGGTATGAGCTGAAGTAGGAACCAAGGAGACGTTGCGAGCCATGGATTTGTTTTCCCAGAATAGCTCGGAGTTGAACCCTTGCTCAGCAAAGGCGAGTTTAGTCTTATTAAGACGATCACGGAATTCGTTCTGGACGCCCTTATTCTGAAGCGCCAAGCTGTCCTGGAAGCCATTGTTATCAATTTTCTTCCAGCCGTAGAGACGATCAATTTTGTTCAATGCAACGATGAATGGCGTTTTTCTATCTCTCAGCAATCTCATGGACTCAAGGGTCTGTGGTTCGAGTCCGTGCATAATATCAACAACCAAAATGGCAATGTTGCAGAGTGACGAGCCCCGAGAGCGCAAGTTGGAGAAGGACTCGTGACCAGGTGTATCAATAATCAGTAAACCGGGGACTTTGAACTCGAATTTGCCATCCTTGTTGACGACAGCGGTTTTCTGCTTAAGGGCTTCTGAGGGGAAGTAGGTAGCACCGATTTGTTGAGTGATACCACCAGCTTCTCCTTCCTGGACGTTGGTCTGTCGAATCTTATCAAGCAGCTTCGTCTTCCCTGTATCGACGTGTCCAAGAATACAGCAAATGGGAGATCGCAAGTGGTCTTTGGATCGAGCTGCCAGGGCCTCTTCATGCTGCTTCCTTCTTCGCTCAGCGGCTTCTGCTTTCCTCTGGGCTATAGCTCGTTGTGATGCAGTTCCCTCTTCCTCGGATTCCTCAGACTCGGACTCTTCTGGGGAGCCATCGGTAGGTTTCTGCCGCGTCGGCAATTCCACTTTTCCATCTGCGGCATTTGGGGATAGTTTAGCTGACGGTTCTTTGTCCGCTTCCGCTTCCGCCTCCTCCTCTTCATCGGACGAAGGAGCATCCCAGCTGTCCTTGATACCATCGTCGCTCTCTTCTTCCTTAGCTTTGGCCGCTGCCTCAGCAGCTGCCTTCTCCTCTTCCTCTCGCTTCTTTCTCTCCTCTTCTTCAGCCTGGCGCTGAGCCTCGGCTCTTGCTGCTGCAGCTTCCAAATCAACCTCCTCCCGTCCTCTTGGTCCACGTCTCTTTCTATTGTCATAAACCGGTTTCTTTTTCTCCACGGGCTCGGAATCTTGCTCGAGACCGGCAACCTTGCCGCCAGCAGCCAATAGCTGTTTCATGCGTATCTCATTACGCTCTTTGGCTTCCTTCTGAGCCTTTGTGAGTAGCTTCCCTTCTCTGCGCAGCTGTTCTTTTTTCTCTCGCTCTTTTTCCTTTTTCTTCTGACGTGCTTCTTCCTTCTTCCGCTCCTCTTCCTCTATCTTTCGTAGTCTCTCTTCTTCTTTAGCTTGTTCTTCGGCTGCAAGGCGCTCTTGTTCCTCTTGTTGTTTCCGAAGCAATTCTTGCTGTCTTTGAATAGCGGCAAGGTGAGCCGGGACCTTTCTTTTCTTACCAGTAGTCTCTGGGGCGGAAGTAGGTTCGGCTTTTGGTTCAGGCTCGGCAGCTTTCGCAGGCTCTGCCTTCGGTGCTGGAGTAGCAGCCGGTCCTTGAGCCTTCTTTTTCGCAGCCTAAATACCAAAGTAAATTAACATTGAATAACAAAACCACAATATAGCTTTTTAAAAGTAGAACAGCCACGAACCTGTTCCTTCTTTCTCTGCTTCTCTCTCTCCTTCTTCTCCTTCTCCTTCTCCTTCTTCGACTTCACTTTTCCTCCCTCTTCCGCATCCTTTGTCTTCTGTTTTGAAGGCTCATCCTTCGCAGTAGGCTTTGGCTTCTTAGCAGTTCCCGCGAATACATCATCCTCATCGAATGTAGCTTCCTCGGGCTCTTTGCTCTCGAGACCAGCGGTAGGATCTTCGCCCTCGACAAAATCATTATTAACGGCCTTGCCTTTCTTTGCCTTGCGGTTCTTGTTTTTCCTCAAGGCAGCCAAAAGGCCGCCCCCCATTTCATCATCATCTTCATTGGGTGTGGCATTGGACTCGGCGGCGTTATCAGGCTGGCCGTTTGTGGGCGTGATGGACTCGCCTAGCTCGGCTTCCCAATCGTCCTGCTGCTTCTTATTGCCCTTCTTTTTCGGCGGCATTTTGAACTAAGTAACTTCTTTCTAAATTAATTTGAATGAGATAAATTCTATATGGACCCGGGATCGAGCCGTGGAGGGATTGATATGCTTGGATGGAGCGTGTGGTAGTGCGGGAAAATGGGTAACGTGGTGATTGAAGCCCTTAATGACATCAGCAAGGTGGCCGGTTTTGACCTGAAGCCAGAGGCACAAAGGGAAATTTTGAGAAGAATGTTGTGCTGTTAATTTCAAGTTCAGTTGTTGTTGAAGAGCTGGGCCCCTCTTGATGGTAGTTAAGTTTTGACAGTCCCTCAAAGGCGAGGATTTGGGAGCAGCCAAAGTTTGTTCGTTCATCAAAACTCTCCGCCTCCCAACGCCGTTTGCAAACTTTTTTTTCAACGTGGAAAATATCACGGGGAGCCAAGCGAACCACTCAGCCGCGCCCAATCAGCTTCAAACTGCCCTATCAACCGACCTGCATGATTCAACCGAACAAGCATCCAACCTGTATCTGAACCCTGCTGCAGGGATTTTTGCCTGCAGGCTCCCAGCCTTGGATGGCATCACAAACTCATGAATTAACGCATCACAACACTTGAATTCTACGCATAATTTTTCAGCATTCTGAGTCATTTCTAGTAGAACAGCAACCATGTCTCCCCTTCCTTTGGGCTGGGTTCGCCTTGCAATGCTTTCCTCCCATCCATACCATAACCAGAGAGATATCAAAGCGGAATATGTCCTCACATCCTGTTTCTTGCAATCTAATTAAGATAGGCAATACCTCAAAGCTCAAGACGAAGCAAGTCTTCCATCCAAGATACAACCGCTGCAAATGGATTTTCCACATCTCCAACCACAGGCGTAGCAAACTCTATAAATCTCTCCATCCTCCCGCTGCTGTCAGTCGCAGATCTGTTTGTATAAAACGAGGCCGTGGTATTCTTCCTCATCACATCTTCCAAGAACCGCATTCCATGATCTACGATCCGGCTGAGAATATCACCATCGACATGCATAGACTCGGGTTTTAGCATAGCCGGGGCTAGATCCTCAATGACAATCCTGCGCCGTGTCCGATACGGACAAATGACCGCGTTGGCAAGGCAGATATTTTGGATAAACCGAAGAAGACGCCATTCGTGCTCCTTCAAAGTCGTGAATCTGTATATGGTGCCTCCAAGAGCTGTACCGTATATGGTTTCAGGCGATCCCGGCTCATATGGTCTATGGCTTGGGCCGAGTCGTATCAGAGAATGGGGGACGTGGGCGACGAAAAGCGGTTTTAGCAACTTTTCATCCGGCACCAGTCCCAACTCGGAGAACCCGACTATCGATCCACCTCTGTTCGAGGTCAGAATAATTTTTGAATCGCTTTGCAGATTCACGTGGTCGAGGCCCTCTCTGTCGGCGCCATCCTGACCGTACAGCTCGAAATGTCCATCCACCAGCTTTAAAATGCAGACTGAGTGTCGCGCCGTTAAAACGTAAATATATGGCTCCTTGACAGTAATGGAAAGAGGAGTTGACTCCAATTTGTAAGTGCCAGATCTCCGCCATCTTTTAGTTGCAGGGTTGAGGGACTGGACCAAGATCCCATCGCCAACCCCAATTATCAAACTAGTTGACTCGTAAGAGGCTATTGCTCTGACGGGTTGGTCGTAATTCAGCATGTTTTTGATAATTGGAACAATCTGCCCCGGTTTCTGAGGATTGGTACGAGCAGAGATATATATTAGTCGCCCTGCATAGGTACTGCGCGGCTGTGAAGTTCCAACAACAATCATGTGGTAGGCATGTTCGCCACTTGAGAAATTCCAATCAAATAGAGCTGTGATTTTCTCTCCAGATGCTCCTGTAGGCATTTTAGCGTCCTTGGTGCCGTCGGGAGAACGGTTATTGTCATCATTCAGCTCCAAAAAAGACGGTTCAGATGATTGGCTGTCCGGATCAACGAAGCAGAGCCTTGGACGGCTATAGCACCTTGTATATTCACCATCTCTTTCATAACTGGTGGAGTTGTACGCGACGACTAGCCTCTGTAAGTATTTGGAATAAATTATCCGTCTAGGGCTGCCCGGAACATGGATCTCTCGAGGAATAGGTTTTGGCAGCTTCTCCAGAGTGCAGGCAAATAATTGATTCTCAGCGAAACATAGGAGTGATCCTCCAAGGCCTCCTGGGGGCGAATTAGGTTGTGGGTCGATGCAGCAAAACGCATCGATAGCACACTGTATGCGGGAGGGCTATTACAATGTAAGCCAGAACGAAGGTAGCTTATAGATGCTGGGAGAACTCACATTATTTTGATCTGTGATTAAAATCTTGTCTAATCTATGCTCCGTACAGTCATCATCCTCTTTGAATGACAACCGCCAAAGACCGTGTCCACAGGTTACAATCGCCATCGATCCGTCGGATTCATAGCCTCGAATTCGAACAAAGGTGTCTCCCAGTTTATATGGCGTTTTCTGGGTTGCCCCTATTCCGTATATTAGCACTAATGCTTCCTTTCAACTTAAGGATAGGGGGCGAGATATCTCACCTGCAAATGCATTATTTGCGTCTCGTTCTATATCAAATGGTACCAAAATACCACCTCGAAGACCACAGAATAACGTGAACTTTTGAACCCCACGCTTGACTGTAGAAATCATCTGTAAATACTCACACACGGTCGAGTCTTGATCTCCCATGCCGAAGATCTTCTGCTCAGTAACAGGAACCAAGCCTTTTGCATAATCTATTTCGACGACTACGAGTCTGCCATCGCTGGTGCCAATAAAAAGGTAAAAGTGGGAGTTGATCTCCTCAATTAGCAAGCAAACAGGTTCGTAAGTTGTCACCAAAGGCTGGGCGAACATATTACACTGGAGGCCACTAGAATTGATTTCTGGAGTCCGCACAATGACTTGAAGGCCATCATCAGAACGGATTACCGTAGCAAGGAGAGATAGCCGGCCGTTAATAGTAGCCGCAATTATTCGGTTTGAAGGCTTTTCCATTTCTATGGAAACGCGGAGAGCCTCATCTTCCAATACTGTCAAATTGATGGACACATCTGTAACCTGAATAACCATTTGGTTGGCGGTCCTAGACACTGCTAGTGTTGGGGAGCTGAGGTTCAAGCCCGAGCTTTCCTCATCCAATGCGTAGAGGTCTTCCGTCGCCTCAATAGGAATAGATATTAAGGACGATGACATTGGGTTTGATATTAAGCAAAACGTGCCTCCCGTAAACTCATTGGGTATAGCCCAAAGATCGATAATGATAGAGGAATCTTCCTGGTCAACCACCAATCCAATTCGCGCTTCCAGTCCATATCTTAATTCAGCGATGGCTCCCGGGCGACTGCCCGCGCCGGAACAGGTGAATATCCTATCGTAGGATGGCCCGGCCGTCCGAAATTCAGTCTGGGAAACGGGAGGATTGCGCTGCACCGGCCCCTTTACGATTATAGAATCCAAAGTCGGTGCCCAATTCGGGATGCGCTGTATGCACCTCAGTGGCTTTCTTGGCTCTGCGATAAACAAACCGCCGCTGCTCATGCTACCAGTTGCAACGAATAAATCTCCCGCCTCAAACCCGCCGTCCAAGATAGCAAATCCAGTGTCAAGATTACAATCAAGGACCCCGATGACCGAATTGCGCTTCACTGAGCCATCTTTTATTTCTAGGTATAGGATTTTTCCATCCTCCCGACAGAGATAGATGTCATCAAATTCTTTATTGCGGACGCCATGTCTCATAGGCCGAGTCCATTGTGTCCAGATAAGGTCGCTCCACTCGAATATGGAGTCGTCGCTTGGGGGCAACGAATATCCTTTGGCAGGAATATTCTTTTCCACGACATCGGAAAAAATATGAACTTTGGTAGGAGTGACGAACAAAAAAGACGTAGACTGGATTAAGGGAACTAGAATCGGAGGAGCTCCCCACTCCACAGGTAGCCTTCTCAATCCCGTGATTCTGGGGGTTATAGAGTGCAAATTTTGTGTGGTGTTCCAGTAGTAGAGCATCAAATGGACTCCTGAATTCCGCGACACAAGTAGAAGCAGAATTGCTTTGTCGGGATCGCTAGATTTGGGGTATAGAAATTCCATTTTTAGAATATCGCCGTCGGTGCGGAAAAAACGTTCCTGCATCGGTCTAAATTAGCTCTTGGGAAATTACGCCACTCCGGGATCCCAGGCTTGAAGAGCATTCATACTTCCTGAATTGGATTTACCGGCCCACACGCCATCTCGCGCTGCATTACTTGAGGGGCTTTAAGCGAGAATATGCCGAAAAACTTTTGGGCCGCCGAAACTGCCATTGCGCGGGACCTGTATGTTGTTAGGGATCTCGTTGCACAGAAGGGAAACCCGGAACTTGCTCACCGAGGATCGACTGTTATGTTCTTCCCATATTCTTCTAGGGAACTCACATCCGCTGGCAAAGGCCTTCGCGCATGCACAAATTCATGGCGCCCTTGGGATAACTCTTTTGCGTAAAGAAATATCATTTCCTTTGAGGCCAGAATCAGAACGAGAATCTGAGGAGCAAGATTCCCAACATCCAGCGGAGCACCGGGAGCAGCCGCCCTTCTTTCGACTCCAATTTCATCCCCCAATCCTACTTCAGGACGCGTGTTTATAACCGTTGCGCCAACGATCTTGGCATCAAAATCTGCTTTTGTCATAACTTCCTCCAAATGTCCACTTAGCACGAGTTCCTTGATCTGAATGAAATTGTCTCCCACAAACACAACATCGTTTCTGTTTTGATGGCGGATACGAGCCGGTAATACCCACTGGATTGCTGGACCATGGACGAGTGTTCTCGAAAGTAAACCTGTAGCTGGCACCCTTGAAGTTCGATTTTCTCCAGGAATATTTATTTCACGGTTTCTGGCAAGTATTTCACCGATATCGACCCGTCTAGTGGCCCATTCGCCATTCACAAGGTAGGTTGTTTGGAGGGACATTGCGCGACACGCCAAAAAGGAAAAGGGTATCCTTTTTGTTTGAAGATGGAAGCAAGAAAAGGAGAAAATAAGAAGCGCTGCCGTGTATCAAGCGTACCGGAATCCGTAATATTGCGGTTTATTAAAAAAAAAAAAAAAAAAAAAAAAAAAAAGGCGTGCTGAACAGAAACAAGCAAGGCTGGCTATGAGAACCCCTTAAGATGAGATGGCATAGAGATGGAATTTCATTGTAGAGGAAACAGTAAAGATGAGATTATAAACTGTTTATGAGACGTCCGGTTAAAACAGCTCATCACCTGGCCCTGCAATGCAGGAAAATGGAGAGAATCGGAAATCCAAATAAAGACTTTGGATTCATTAACAACAGCTCTCCAGTGGCGGGTCAAGGTAACAGCTTGATAACACAGATATCAGTACTACAATCAAGTTCCAAAAGACGGGATGAATAGGCGGATGGCACACTTGAACAAAGACCTACTCCCTGCACGTATACACATACCATGTTAAACTATGTATCCATAAGGCACGGCCATTCTTGCTCAGGATAAAGGCTCTCGCGGGCAGTTTTGTACTAGCAAAGGAAGATAATAATAGATCCCAAAATCCAAGGATGAACTGGAAATTCAGGCCGCCCCAAGTGTCACCTCAAATGCCCATCGCGCGCATGGAGGTCGCCGACTGAGCAAGAGCGGAAAAGCAAATGTGACCCGTCAAACGGGACGGCGGCGGGGTAACGAAAATACTTGATGACGTTTCGAAATATCTGAATGGACTCGACAGGCCCCGCTGTGCCTCTTCCCTTAAAAGTGTGACTGCGTTTGGTATCTCCTCGTCCTCGGAGCAGGGAGCGAAAAGAATGATAGACACTGGTACTTCGATGCAGCCTGTCCCGCCGCCCTGAGGCTAATGCGGATTACTAACTAGGGCGGTGGACCGTGCACATCAATTTCGCGGCAAAAAATAAAATAAAAAAGAGCCCTGAGCGAGCCAATCAGCGCTCTCCTTTGAAACAAAATTCCATGCCGTTTCTCGCATCCTGAGGCCCTCATTGGCGGAATATTTTCGCGGCCCAGAGTGGCCTGGACTCAGGCTGGTGACGGAGACACCTGGCGACAGCGCTGCACTGACAACGAGACGAAGACACGGAACACGCCCAGAGCATGCATGAATATCCATATCAATAACTGCTCTGCAATTTTCATTCTTTCCGACTAGCATCCAGCATTTGGCGCCCTGACTGAGGAATCACTCATCTCAGAGCGCTCACTTCTTTAGACCGACAAGAATCCAATGTTCCGGGTTCACAGTCACAACCTTAGTCGTTGTCTTTGCTCCTTACTATATAACTTCGACCGCCTGACAACTCTCCTTCAACCTATTATACTAATTCAACATCGCTAGGGTATAATTTAACCCATGCTTTGCTCTGTACGGAGCTGATCTCTCCGGGTGGAACAACCGGTCTATGTCCTAATCACTGCTCTCATGGCAGTCGTGCTCAATGAAAAGGAGCCAGTCGAAGGCCACTCTGATGGATCAATGGTAGATTCTCGCGAGAATGGAAGGGCATCTATATCCGATTCCCATCAGGCTAAAAGGAAAGATATTCTTCGAGGATGTGAAGAGAGGGACGTGGAGTCATTGATAGCCCTTGCAACTTCACAAGGTGGTTTACTGCATGATGATCTTCGCAAACTTGCGTGTATGAATAATTCACTCCTTGTAACCCTTGTTGATCGGGACTTACTGATGTGCTAGGGCCTATTTTGCTTGGATATGATTGCGATTCACATACTGCGCCCCCAGGGGTGGATGGCCTCCCTAAGCACCGTGATGAAGATCAAGTTAAACTGGATGTTAACCGGGCCTTTGTGCATTATCCTAACTGTGAGCTGGCTGATTTGACTCTTATTAAAAAAACTGAAGCATGCTAATATGTTGCTATCCAGGCCAAACGGATAAACAGTTAGAAACCAAGAAGGACGAGCTATTTAACCTAATCATATCCGTCCTTAAAAAGAACCCCATGTTGTGCTATTTTCAAGGATACCACGATATTGCACAAGTTTTGCTCCTGGTCCTAGGCCCACAGGACTCATTCCCCGCAATTGAGCGAGTCTCACTCTTCCGCATAAGAGATTACATGCTCTCCTCGCTGTCCCCGGCTGTTAAGCACCTTCAACTGCTCCCTGCTTTGCTACATGGTGCAGATATGGAACTGTATCGGCACGTGTCCGGCACCCAGCCATTCTTTGCCCTCGCTGCGACGCTTACGCTCTATGCGCACGATATCCAAGAGTATAGTGACATAGCAAGACTATTTGATTTTATATTATCCCACGAGCCAGTGGTCTCGATCTATCTCTTTGGATCCATTATCCTCTCCAGACGGAAAGAACTTCTTGAGATACCCGTTGATGAACCGGAGATGATGCATTTTACTCTTTCAAAACTACCCCATCCGCTCGACTTGGAGATGCTGATATCCAGCGCCCTGGAACTATACGCCAAACACCCCCCTGAGTCGCTTCCTTTCCGCGCTTGGCGAAAGATTTCACCAAACAGCGTTCTGAAAACGTCTCGAGACCTTGCGTTGCGGGCTACTCCGACAGAAGCAAGAGACCTATTCGAAAAACAAACCCGCGACCTTCAGCGAGAGGAGAGACGACAAAAGGCCTTAATTTTCCTACGAAGTAACTCACGACTCTTCGGCTCAATTGGACTAGCGATATTCGTTGGCGTTTTCTCGTACTGGGTTGCGAAAAACAACTACGATATTTCGGCGGTATGGCGACTCTGCGCTAGCAGGCTACGCACCACGATATGGTGAAAAGCATAGATGTTTCCATCGACGATAGATGACTTGGATGCTTATCCCATTTGTAAAAAAGAAACGCGCAATAAACTCATACAATCTAGGACTATTGTTAATTAGAAGAGCCATAACCAAGATGTTCTCGAGCGATGAGGCAACTTGTCAGCCAAGGCATTAAAAAAAAATAAAAAATAAAAAATAAAAAAAATAAAAAAAAAATAAAAAAAGAAAAAGGAATGGCAATCTGGTTTATATGGCTCATTATTTAGTGGGTACAAACAGCCTAACCCTTACCAGATAATGCTAAATGGGGGGCAGCGGCAACAACAGTGCACAGATTTTACCGGGGAGACTGGAAGGCCAGTGTCCTTCGTTCACACCCTCTGATTATTAAACCTATCGCTACTGCGCTGTATCTAGAATCCAGGGCACTGGACGTTTGTGCGAAAGATTTGCCCTGGTTTATTTCACTAAGTAGTATATCTCAGCATAGACAGAAAGAAGACCCAGCTAGACAAAGAGAGATTTTAGACCTCATTTATACAAAAGGCCATCAACCATCTCCCCAATCGCCAAACTACTTGTCAACCCGGGGCTCTCGATCCCAAGCAGGTTGATAAACCCGGAAAAGCCTTCTTCCTCTTGAATTATGAAATCCTGGAATCCCTTTCCCTTGGACACCGAGGCCAGATTGGATAGTTTGGGTCGAATCCCACAATAATCCACACCTATATCCTCAACTTTGATACCGAGCAAAAACTCCTGGATTTCCGGAATAGCATCTCGTAGTCGTGCCGGACTGGGTTTGAGGTCATTTTGATCATTCACCCATTCCACATCAGGCCCGAACCGTACACGCCCGGCCATGTCCAGTGTTAAATGTGTTCCCAAACCCCCAAGTCCAGGTTTCGGTGCCGGGTATAAGAGAATATCTGGTCTAGGCGTGGATGCCGAGTAGGAGAAGTAAGTTCCTTTGGCGAAATAAGCCTTTCGGTGCCTCTCCTTCGGGAGTATCATATTATTTATCCTGCATGCCTCAAGCCCTGCACAGTTGATCACTGTTTCTGTCGTGATTGAGCCTTCTTGTTCGCCATCTGCAGACGTCGTATATATCCTATAACCACTTTCCCCTCCATCTAGCGGCTGGATATTCCGAACTGTAGTCTGGAGCACGCAGTCACCGCCCCGGTCCTCAAAATCACCGTGTAAAAATGTCATCAGGGCATGGCTATCCACTATGCCAGTCGTTGGGGATTCCACTATTCCTGCGCGTGCTCGCACATCGGGTTCTCTCCTTCTCGCTTCCTCACGGCCAACGAAGCGCGTAGGTACGCCTATGTGCTGTGCGTGGGAATGCAGTTTGAGGCATTCAGCCCATTGCTGGTCGTCCTGGGCGAGGATCCATTTCCCGGTGCGGCGGTGGGGAATGTTGTGTCTTTTGCACAGGGAGTAGAGGAGCTCTTTGCCTTTAATGCAAAGCGTTGTCTTCAGGGTATCCGTGCCATAGTAGAGACCGGCGTGAATGACCTTGAGAGTTGTGAAAGCAGAAGTGCCTGTCAGTTTCGCTTCTTCTTTGGTTTTGGTAGGGTACCCTGTAGTTGGTCTCCGCGCGGGTGAGCGCCAGGTGGTGCAGGGAGAAACGGCGTGAATTCAGGATTAATGATGGAAAGAGAAACGAGATAACACACCTCTGAATTCCGACTGCTTGTCTCCGTGCCCACCGCGCTATGTCTTTCGAGTAGAAGAGTGGAAGCGCCTTCTCTACCAGCCAGCTGCCGAGCTATAGCGAGGCCAACCACTCCTGCGCCAATCACCTAGGCCATGCTTAGACGCGTCCTACGATCAATCATCCAGAAAGAGAGGCGTTTGGAAGACCACTTACGACATGCGTAAACTCGGCGCTCACATGTCTGGACGTCGAGAATTGCCTCCCGAACCTGGGTAGTGTGTTCGAAAGCGTTGCGACCGCTTTGGATCGCATGAGAGAGAGATGTTCCTGATTGAATCAGCTAGCAAGTGGCAGCTATTTCAATGCAATGGGGCATTATAATTCCTTAGGACTCAAAGCTGGGCTTTTTATCAGTCCAATCGGTATGTCTTGTCCGCCGAAATCATTGTATCTTGATGTTACCGCTCGGCAATCGGCGGTTTGAACGACGCCGAGTTGACAGTTATCCCGATTCGCAAATCCCTCCACAAGTGGAAGCTGACCAGGAGGAGATATTTATTTCACACCCAGACAGGGCTGTCAACTACTACTCCGTACATAAATATATATGTACGCGAAGACCTCGATCGCTCCGGTTCTAGATTAGTGCCTAGCCCCCGCCCCCGCCACTTTATGCCATGTTCACTTCCTCGCTCATACATATTTACCTGTCCTTCACCCTGCTTTACCCTTCCTCATAATAAGTAAACGTCTACGGGTGTTTATGGATTAGCAGCAGTCCTTTTAGCAGCATGTGGAGAAACACTATGCTGATCTGTAGGGTCAGGAGCTAAACGGCGCACGGCTAAGCCGTGACTGCAGGCCAACAGGTTGGATCAGAATCCCAAACATGGAAGAAGGATTACACCTCTTTCTTCAGGAACAATCACTTTGAAGAGGCACATATCTGGTAAAGTATAGGATCATTAGTAAAGCTAGGCACCTTCTGTTATGATATAGAGATTATAGCTGTGTCCTATCCACACATATCATCAAATTTTATCCACTCAGTTAGAGACAAAAGATTCTTTCAACTTAATAATCTTAGGAACTCTTTGCATCCTTGATTGCTTCTCCTGCTTGTTGTTTTGCCTTATCTTCTTTTTCTTTCCTTTCCGCCACCTCCTTTCTTCTCCTCCTCTCTGCTCTATCCTTTTGTATGACCTGACCAGAACTGGAAAGCTGTTGAATGGTTGTTTGGTCTGTCAGAGCTGCGGTAATGCGCTTAGTATCTTCATTCATGGTTGCGAAGATTGTTTTGAGAACAGGGCCAAGAGAACTATATCAATAAGCATTGGAATAAACAGTGTTAGGCCGGAGAGAAAGCAACAAACTGTCAGGGCCTCAGCAATTCACACCAAAGATGCTGAGTCTTATTCAGGCTCGGTGGTCGAAGTGAAGCACTGGTTTGAAGTCAGGTGCTATTATCACAATGATCACACAGGGATAAGAATGCCAAAACAATTGTTCGATGCAAAGATCAGGCTGTCCGCAAGAACTGATGGTCCCAGGTGCAAGCCGGCAACTATTAATAATAACCAGAAAAGCAGGGAAGTTATGCTCCAGCCTTTTTGCGGACAAGGCGGGCATCAATATTGGATGCATTTGATTTGTTTGGATATTCAGGGATGTGACTTTCCAATGCACACACACTTGCAACATGCACATATCCCCGGCATCTTGGTAGTGGTCAAGTCCGATGCCACCCATCGTCCTCTCCAGTGACAAGGAGTTTTTGTTTTTCTTTTTTCTTTTCTTTTCCTTTTTTTTTTTTTTTAAGTTAGTACATCATTCTTTTCCTTTCCTTTGAACAATTCTCTCATATGAGTGTTTTCCCAAAAGAGTAGATGCTTGAAGATCTACAGGAAAAGAATAGTTTCAGAGAACCGGTGCTCGGCTCTGTGGGGTGAGCACCAAAATTGCGCAGTATGCAGAGATGCTTGCCAAGGCCCATAATTTAAAATCGAAGGGGCCGCTCCGTACTGATCACATGATCATGATCAATGGGCATCAGTTGGTCAAGAGAATCTTCCGACACGGATGCATTTGTTTTAGCAATCCCGTTTTGGTTGTGAACCGAAATCACATCAAGACAAACAATGCCAGCTTCTCTTCCGCTTCTTAATGGAAGTATCACACTATCTGCCGCCCTGCACAAAGATGATGATTATCTTCTCCTCCTCTCGTACCCAAAGAAACGGCTAGACTTCTATCTCTATCTCTATCAGCGACGCAGCACCATTAAAGCGATTGTAGCGCATCACTTAGGTCTTCCTGAAGATGACTGCAAAGTTGGAGAAGTCGAAGAGTGGATCCACGGCAGTTTTAATCTCTGCGTCCCCATCTACATTAATGATTCAATCAAGTTTTGTGTTAGACGGGTGATCATCCGATTTCCCTTGCCATATAAGTTGGGAGAGACCCAATATCCAGGGAACACGGAAGAAAAACTTCGTTGCGAGGTTGCTACCTATATTTGGATCCGGAATAACTGTCCTGCTATTCCCATTCCCAAGCTTTTTGGATATGCATTTTCTGAGGGTCAAAGTGTATGTGAATAGCTAATAATATCTCATCTATTTGGTCTCATCTGACACATTTGTACAGTTCATGGCCCTGGAACATGCATCTCTTTTGGCACGACTTCAATGGTATTTTCGAACGGCAACATGTTGGGTGCTGGGATCTTTGTCTCCATCTCCCTATGTCACTTGCAAAACTGGCAACCTCCTGAAGACTGGGTATATGATTGTTGAGTATGTGGACGAGGGTGACATGCTATCCAAGTCTTGGGAGGCACATCGATCCGACCCATACCGGCGAACCAACCTATTTCGAGACTTATCTCGAATTATACTCTTGCTTTCACGGATTCCTCTTCCTCACATTGCTTCTTTGACAATTGATGATGATGGGGTGCTAAGCCTTACGAATCGCCCCTTGAGCCTTGTACTCCAGAAATTGGAGAATGAGTGCATTCCTACCGGTATCGCGAGGAATCTCACATACAATGCCACAGATGCATACTATCTAGATCTTCTAGCATGCCATGATAATGTTATCCGATACAAAGAGAATGCGATCCATGACAAAGATGATGGCGAGGCACAGTTGTCAGCACTCACAATGATGAAGGCTTTACTTCCACATTTTGCGGACCGCAATTTTCGCTCTGGTCCATTTATTCTCACCCTTACTGATCTCCATCAAAGTAACATATTTGTTGACAAGGACTGGAACATCACAAAATTGATTGACCTTGAGTGGGCATGCTCTCTACCCATTGAGATGTTGCATCCTCCTCACTGGTTAACTAGCCAGTGCATTGATACCCTGCAAGATGAGCGGCTTGATGAATACATCAATGTGCATAAGGAATTTATGAGTGTCTTCGAATCTGAAGAAAGAGCTCTTGTCCAAGGAAATACTCCAATCACACATACTATGTGGAAAGGTTGGAAAATTGGCAACTTCTGGTACTTTTCCGCATTGAACTGGCCGAAAGGACTGTGCAATCTTTTCTTTGAACAAATTCAGCCGATGTTTGCCCGATGCAGTGACAAAGCCTGTACTAACTTTGAAGAGGTTGTTACATCCTACTGGGCTGCCGATGCCGCTAAGCTGATAGATTCGAAACTCAAGGAGAAGGAATCATATGGTGAGAAGCTGCGTGAGCTTTTTGCAAACTCTGGAGAATCAAGTGCTTCCGGTTTGGGAAGTGAAAAAGCGGGGACAACTGATACAGCCACTGCGGCAGATCCCGGGGACGGGCCTATAGACGAGATGAAAATAGATTCTCATGCGATATCTGGCCCGGCCCAAGAATGATCAGCGAGGTGCGACTTATCCCCGAAACGGAACTGGCTTGGGAGCACCTCTTTAGGTATTTTATCAGTATTTTTTTCTTGGCTGCAGAGCCTACGGTAGCATCTTTGACGATAAACAGATTGTGGGAGATCGCTGGTGTCGATATCTTTTAGATCCCAATTTGGAAGACAGATTTGAGAGTGACGACGTGGAAGGAGGTGATTTGAAGGTACTGAGTAAAGCAGAGGCTGACGGCGTGCACGGAGAAGCAGCTCTAGGTTCCACGTCTGCTAATGTGTTCGCTTTCAGCCTCGATCACGACAGATTTATATAGAATCGGGACGGCGAGCTTGTAAAAGAGCCTGGAGACTTTGCATGGGTTTCAAGTCATTTCTTTGTAACCTGCCCTTGTTAATCGTTTATCCATACCTCCTGCGGGAGAGCTGGGGATTATCCTGAAGATCTTGATAAGGGAGTTGGAGAGGTAATAAAATCAATGGCATGTTCTTTACCCTTTGTCTAAAGGTATGAAGGCCTGTCAGTTCTCAGCGAAAACAATGGGGAACGGATGCGAGATGCATGAATTATTGACTTCATGCCACATTGCTTAATTCTACAGCATTTAGATCTGGTCATCAATTACTAGCTACATCATATCTGTCTAGAAGAATTTCCGATTCGCGGCTCGCTGAATCCCCTTTAAGCAACAAAGGTCAAACGTCAATTGCAACTCGGTAGGCGCCAATAAGAGCCGGCATCCGCGCAGGAGGCATTTATGAACCGCAGAAAGTTCATTCAACAACATTTGGAGTTGACAGATTACTTAAAATGGTCTAGCAAGGGCTCACTAAACCGGCCCAGGGATTTCAATCTGCTTCTCCAACTTGGGACCAAGCACGGCCGTCATCACTTCCCACCAAGGTCCTTAATCATCGACTCAAAGTGCTAAAAAGCGTTTAGTATTTAATCGTCAACATAATGCAATAGCTGTCACTTACTTCCTGCTGCTCTTGGGCAAGCTTTCCTCGGGTATCCTTATAGCACGAGTTAGCAGTGAGCAAGACAGCATGCGTGTTAAGATGAGCATACGCCAATGATGGTAAGGATTAGGGAACAATTGTTAAATAAGAAGCGCTCCCTTCGTTTGGCATCGCCACTAGCTTTGCTAAGCCTAGCCAACAGTGTGTCAAACTCATTGGTCAACCGTCTCAGACTGTTTGAAATCGGTTCGTTATCCTCGGCTTCACTGCTCATTTGCAGTATACTGTGGAGGAATTGCCCGAATCTTTGGGTTAGAAAGTGCGGTGCCAGAGACTGCTTGTCTCCTCCGGTGAGTGACAGAGCCGAGACGTTCGCTCGACTAGACGACGAGGACGCCTTTTTTAGTGATTCATGATGCATATCCATGATCATCTGGAACCGCGGCCATAGGAGCATATTTATGCCATTTATATATGAATCGGCAACGGGGACCTTGCGGCGTTGCAGTTCAAAAGCAAATTGTTGATTTAGCCGAACGCAAAGGAGTATCCCGAGACAATCGGTTGTGTTCTCTATTAGCTGTTTTGTTAGGTTATGACCGAGAGCGAAAACCGGCTCAAATATTGCCACTACCTTCCGCGAGGCTTGCTGGATGGATTTAGCCGCAAATGTTTCAGCCATGAAGGAAAATTCGGCGGATATATTATCGATTAAAGCGAGGTTGAAGTTCCTAAAAGGAACTTCGATACCATGATAGGACTTATCCTCTTCCGCGAGGTATGAGCTTAATGCTGTTGGGTTGTTTGATTTGAGTACCTCTAGTCGTCGCCCCACGGCAAACGGGTCATGAGCCGCATGCGGATTGCGTCCGGCAGGAAAAGGACTCGCTACCCTATATTAGCAACGTTCGTAAGACTTGATGGCGGTTAACATACAGCCTTTTTGAGAAACTGGTTCACCACCGAGAAGGTGGTCCACAGAATGGGTGTTGAGTTTGTCCAGTGCCTGATTATACCGGGTGAAATTCGACAGATAATACCATCTCATCGTGTTCATGTAGGCTTGTGTGATCTCCTCTGCCAGGCTCGGTTGGTGACAAGTCAAGAAGCCATACAGCTCCTTGTATCTTGCAAGGGAATGTTGCTGAAGTATCTGCGCATTTATATATGGAGACCGTAGAGCTCTGATCTGAGACACTAGATAATCACGAATTCTTTCCACGGCCTTCAGATAGAATCAGCGAGCCAAACTCTAGATATGATTAGATAAGCCCTTACTCTGTCTTTCAAGTTAGATAATAACGGCTTTACATCCTCGACCGCCTTGACATCAGTAAGTGAACTGGAACCAATACTTGCAGACCGGCTTTCGAGCTCTTTCAGGGCCCGAATCCACTCATGATTTATGGGGCCTTCGGATATGACGCGGACCGTACGCGGGGAGATGACAATTCCGTCCAAAGCCGGCCCAAGAAGCTGTTCCACGTTCTTGCGGTTTTCCAGTTGAGAACTTAATTGAGACGAACGTGACTGCAGCGTTTCGATCTCAGCAGACACGGCCCCAAGCTCGGTCTGGAACTTTAAGAGATATGTCTCAACAGATTTCAGGACGTCTTCGCATCCCTACATAAGATTGATGAGGAAATAGCTTTAGAGGAATGCAGCGGGGTTTTCACGTACTGCGATTGAGCTATGGAGATCTTGAAACCGCTCTCGTTCTTTCTCATCTAGATATGTATTAATCACCCCTCTTACATAAGTTGTAGCGCCCCCTCAGCCTCGGCGACTTACGCTCTTCAGAAGATTTGCATGCCTGATAGCTGCCTGGCAGTCTTGCCTGCTCGTCCTTCTTGTTCGCGTAGTCTTCAAGACTCAATTCTCCGAAATCGATATCTTCGATAAGATTCTCCGGTTTCCCCAACACCTCCGGAGCCAACCGAGAGTTCTCGGACTCGTGTAGGATCGTTTGCTTTCCAATTATACCTTGCAAAACTGCCAGGGGGTCGCTGACGTTTGCATCTTTCGTCGCACCCGTTCTTAGAGCCGATCCGTTTGTCTGGCGCACGGCACCTGGCAGGGAGCTTGTCGATGCGTTGACAACGGAAGAGAGGGATAGAGAAGAAGATCGTGCATTGAACGGTGGGCGCGAAGGCTGATTGCTTGCATTAAGCGATGACCGCGGGACGGGGGAAGCCTGCCGGTAAAATGGTGAAGGAGCACCAGGGGAACTTGAGTGGCCCGAAAAGCGATCGAGCCACATGATCAGCAACCACTCAGCTTGGAATTAGAGCTCCATCAAGAAGCATTATCGAGCAAAAGCAGTCAGCATATCATGAAAGAGCGAAGTGGAGGGGATCTCCTGAGAAAGCGAATATACATTGTACCTGTACAAGTCCACGGAGCTCGAACGTCCAGGAACTTACAGCTTCCAGCCAACGTCAGCGGTAAGTTATCGGTGCGAACGAGGTGCTTCGACGATGACGGTAATTTACAGGCACGTGATGTCACTGATGTGCAACAATTACGGCTGGGCGCAGCGACCAGACACGCAGAGCCTGGCCGGGATGCAAACAAGGCAAATAGGACACTAAGGCTGAAAGGGGCCAAGCGTCGGTTAGTGAGTTACCCCTCCAAAGTCTGTTGTCGAAGGCCACAGCGAAGGAAATCTCTCCACTCATTTTTATTTTAAATCCAGTCCCTCATCGGAATTACATCTTCCTCCATTCATCCCTCAACCTCCCGGCGTCTTCCTCTTCTCTGCGTCTTTCGGTCGGCCTTCTTTTTGATCTCAACACCGCACTATCTAAACTGCTCACTCTTGAACACCTATCACCATGGCCGACGATGCGCAGGTAAGCCCACCCTCTGTCCTTCATGCGGTTTTGGAGGGGGCATGCGACTCCCCGCACTTGCAAAACACACCCTTCGTTATTTTCAGTCTCTGTATTTTTGAGAATTTTCTTTTTTTTTTTTTTTTTTTTTTTTTTCCCCTGCCCTTCTCCCCTCAACACAAGTCAATGGACATTTCATTCACTGATTTTCTTCTTCTCGGCAGCATGAGCACACCTTTGAGAGCGCCGATGCCGGTGCCTCTGCCACCTATCCCATGCAGTGTTCTGCCTTGAGAAAGAACGGCTTCGTTGTCATCAAGAACCGTCCTTGCAAGATCGTCGAAATGTCCACCTCTAAGACCGGCAAGCACGGCCACGCCAAGGTCCACCTTGTCGCCATTGACATCTTCACCGGCAAGAAGCTCGAAGATCTCTCCCCATCCACCCACAACATGGAGGTTCCCCATGTCTCTCGCAAGGAATATCAGCTTGTAAGGCCCGCACTCCTCCCCTGCGCCCCCCTAACAAATAAATGTTCGCTAACGCCCATCTCCAGATTGATATCTCTGAGGATGGTTTCCTTTCCCTGATGGCCGATGATGGCTCCACTAAAGATGATGTCAAACTTCCTGACGGTGAAGTCGGGGACAAGATCAATAAACTTTTCCGCGTTGAGGACAAGGACATCAGTACGTCCATGCCCTGTACAATTCTAAGTCTTGCTCTTGGTTTACTAATTTTCTCTCTCTAGACGTTGTTGTCTTGACCGCCATGGGCGAGGAAGTCGCCATGGATGCCAAGGAAGCCCCTAAATAAATGCCTTCGTATTGGATTTTCCCTCCCCCCTGTTAGAATCTGCGTGTTCACGTCCCCGAACTCATTGTTTGGACGTGGGATCTTATTGGGAAAAAGATGGGTTTTGCTCGCTCTTACCCAGCTGGAATGCAGTGCTAGAATTTATCTTTCCAACGCTGTTCACCGGCAGTGATGATTGTTTCATGGGACTTGAGCGGACATTTTTGATGCCAGCTCTCGCATGACAAATTAATGATGAAATATAAAAAAGACTTGTGTAAAATCTATCGCTGAGCTTATTCTATGTATCTTTGTTGACGTAAATTTGGGCGCAAAATATCATCAGAGTACGGAGAACACTTCATAGAGTTACACTTTTCGTGACAGGCAAAACTTGTGTGGTGGCAACAAAAGTATGTGCCGCCACATTTTCCCTTGCGGGAACCGGAAACTAGGAATACATGACTTAACTACCGACCCGAAGCTGGCTACGGAGCACCGTACATATCTTGTTTTTTTTTTTTTTTTTTCCTTTCACAGTTCCTCCGCCAATGATCGTCTAGATGGAAGAGACGAAGCGCGGCGTCTGCGGCCAGGATGGTTGTCGGGAAAAGAGCTACTACTTAGAAAACGGCCTATGGTTCTGCAGACAGGGGCATCAGCAGGAGGTATTGCACAACTCCTCCCCCTAGAAAGAATCCAGGTTGCTGGATTTGACATGAGATTGCCGCAGTCCGCGTCCGCTAATTTTAAATAGGGCCGGCAAGTAATTGCGGATGATGACGATTTTGGCACTCAGGGGCGGACTATTCGCCAGAAAAAGGTCACCACAGAACGTCTATCAAAGAGTTAGTTTGTCTGCCCAGAGGCATTGATGACGGGAAGACCTGACCTGAATTGCGCTACAGAATATTCCGGGAGTCAAGCCTATCAGCTTTTTTTGGAAGCGTATCAGCTTCTCCTTTGGAAGCAATGCCATGCTCTTATTAATCAAAGGGGGTTGCCTGGGGAGCTTGAAGTAAGTAAGCTCTTTTACCTTGCCAGGACCGCACATCGATTATAGAATTGCTGATTACCTGGCAGCTCATTGTGAAAGATTTATGGGCGCTGCGGCTCCAGAAGCTTTACGAAAGAGAGGATGACAATTATCGGTCTGACGATAATATTTCGCAGCTCTTTAGCTCGCAGACTGAATGGACCGAACTTGATGACGAGGAGTACAGATACCACCGGCGAAGGCTGAGCGATTCACCCAAGGTGATCGATGCTGTAGCACTGTGCTATCTGGGTACTCTATTGCTTAGAATTCCAGTTAGTATAGGATATATGCAAAGGTATCCCCCAAAAGACCGACACAGAAGCATTCAAATTAGGGCTAATTCTTCTACCTCTACGAAGGTGGATTGTCAGGGATGATATTCCATTCCTTAGGCTGAGCCGCTTTGTGCCGCAGGACATGAAAGAAAGGCTCCCTGCAGTATATCATAATGTGCTTGACCCTCGGGTATATTCACTGCTTCATCAGACAAAACCTAGACTATGAAATGCTAATCACGGCTATAGAATGTTCCCACTGGGGACCAGCTCCATCGAGCGGTTGCTGATTTAGCTGACTTGTATTCCCGGGACTTTGGAGTTACATTTCCTCGCATAAATTTGCCTTTGCTGCTATTCTCATATATTAAGCAGCTCGCATTACCTTGTACGGCTTATCTACCTGGAAAATCTCGCCTTTGATTTTGAAATTGATATTAACGGCTGTTTAGTGGAGATATATCCAGCAGTGAGCCGTCTGAAGGAGCTCTCAGGCTTCGAATTCTGCTTCTCCAGACAACCCGGGCGATTTAATCGGGTCTCTCTGCCCGAGGTTCAGCTGATGAGCCTTGTCATTATTGCCGCGAAGCTGCTTTATCCACTTGATGACATAAAAAGATACCCAGATTCTTTGCAGGATCCAGCTGCCCAGATCATAGACTGGGAAGCATGGGTGGAAACTCAGAAAGAGTTTGATCTCAGGGGCAAGAACACTGAAAGGCTTACACGGGGGTGTGAAATAAAGGTTGACGAGAGTGATGTCCTTCAGATGACACCTGCACAGCTGGATGATTATATGGACTGGTACAGCAAGATGTGGATTGATACGAAGAAAGGTTAATCTCGAATGTACTTGATATTTTCGAATTTCCCTGCTAATTATCGATGCACAGGAACCAATCCGTTTGCAGATATGTTCCCGACCGACCGAGTGGACACCGATGAAGTGAACCCGATGCCACCGCCGGATGACGATGATGATGGTCCGGAGATCTCCAAAAAGCTGCACAAGATGCTATCGAGAATGAAAATGAGAAGAGTAGTTGCGGATGCCGATGTTATGGCGCTGGCTGAACCAGTCGCCCGACCGGGGAGCTCGTATAAACGCTATCGAAACGAGAGCCAGCTTTCAGAGTACGCTAAAGCATTTTATCAGGCAGCCGCGCAGGTCATAGGCGCGTCTTTAGAGACTATGGTATATACTGTATATCGGACAGAACATAGGATCCAGAATCCGGATGGGACCAGAAGTAGAAGCAGGAGCAAAAGCAGATCTAGGTCGAAGAAACCGAATGAGGAGATGGCTGACTGTGACATAAAAAGTGGATATGACCCAGCTAACTATGATACAACAAAATAAGTCACTTAGATAGTGTCTACAAACTTCATGAATGCATACTTTTTCGAATCATTCTACGGAGTGGTCACGGCGGTTCCAGGCTTCCTTGGCCCAATGCGGAAATTAGGGTTTAGGGCTTATTACATCCGTCATGCCCACCCGCTAAGCGAAACACCCTTCAAATCTTGGACCTTCTCGACGACGAAGCAGAGGACTGCGAGACAACAGCAGGTAAATCCGCAACCAGTAAGTCAAATCATCCTCGAAACCGAGACTTTGCGTTTCGCAACATGTTTACTGACATTTTCGTACCCTTTTTACAGTGCAGATGTAGGTCAACCTCCAAATCAACCCTCGCCACCCCATCTCGAATGTCCGAACGTCCGAACGTCGACGTGATGCTTCTGTTCAACGAACCCTCAATACTGACACTTCTTTTTTTCTGCGATTAGCTTCGTCAAGACCCTCACCGGCAAGACTATCACCCTTGAGGTGGAGTCGAGCGATACGATCGACAATGTCAAGAGCAAGATCCAGGACAAGGAGGGCATTCCTCCAGACCAGCAGCGATTGATTTTCGCCGGAAAGCAGCTAGAGGACGGCCGTACCCTCAGCGACTATAACATCCAGAAGGTACATAACATCCGCAAAGTTTGGCAGTTTGATTTTTTTTTTTTTTGATGTCTTGATATGAGAGCACGGGAAGGGAATGCATGAGGAAGCAAGATCCAGGCAGTTGGGATTGGGGATTGAAGAAACCGTTTTTCTTCTTTTGAACAGAAGTATCTGACTGGGTGTTTCGATCATCTAGGAATCCACCCTTCACCTCGTCCTCCGTCTCCGTGGCGGTATCATCGAGCCTTCCCTCAAGGCTTTGGCCAGCAAGTACAACTGCGAGAAGATGATCTGCCGAAAGTGCTATGTATGTTTTTGAAAACCCGAAACCTCCTCATTGATCCCGAAGCACGAAGTCTTGCTAAACTATGGAACAACTACAAAGGCCCGTCTTCCCCCGCGTGCCACCAACTGCAGAAAGAAGAAGTGCGGACACACCAACCAACTCCGACCAAAGAAGAAGTTGAAGTAAACGCATTGTTTCGGCTGTTTCTTGGTGTCCTTGTTGTGGAAACGCAGCACATGGGCTTGTTGGGATGATGATGCAGGGCGTTTAAAGGGGGACTTTGATGATCCATGTTTTTATAATGTCTTTTACGTCCCTTGTAGCCTCGGAAATCAACAAGTTCAATTTCTTCTTTCATCTCGCGACTACCGTGTGCTTAGAAGTTACAGAGTCAGCTTAGATGCCGACATTTACGGGACATAGACGGGTCTAAAATACAATGGAACAGAGTTGCGGAAGACCAAAAAAGCAAGCGGAATCATGTCATAATCAGAAGAGCATGCGTGCCATTTTATCCTTATCGTCATCATCCTTGCCCTTGTCCTTGTGCTTCTTTGCCGGACTTCCGTGACTATCATCAGATTTATTAGCAAACGAGGGTCCCTGATTCGGAAAAAATAGTACTCACGCGAAAAAGAGGACTTTGATCGCAATGGCCAGTCCAGCATGTAACACAATGACCAGGATTAACAAGATCTTGCTTGCTCTTGTGTCCGCCGTGCTAAGAACGGGATACAAATTCCGTAGCAAGAAAAAGACCGTCCATCCGAACCCAACGCCCACAAGCACCCAGTTGAGGGCCGTAAGCGGACTCCAGCTCACCAAAGCAACGGCGATCCAAATAAGATTGGCATAGCCATAGAGAGCCCAGCACTCAATTAAGTCTGCACTGGTACTCCCGAACCAGCGTAATGCTCCCCACAGAGCGATGGGAATGACACCCGTGTATCCGTACACAAGCCCTGCGGCACCAGACAGGAGGCGGAAATCATACTCAAAGTGACCTTTTTTCTCACGGGCGAGATATTGGGAAATAGTTCCGGTAAGGAAAAGTATCACGACGACGGTGGTGGCGATCCAAAAGGGCCCGTAGAGATCCGCATTGCCGTCTAAAACATCAAGGAAATTAGAGCGCGGATATAACGTTGCCGTGCAACGCCGGAAGACTTCGCTGGTGTCCACGTCGAAATACTGTGCGTAGTATGATAGAGTCCAAAAGCGATGCTTGGAAGGTGTGCCGCCGGGAGAGGTGTCTCGTCGGGAGGAGCTGCCTCCTAGGAATGGGGTCGAATCGGGACGGGACTTGTTGGCATTGCGGGAACTCTCCTCAAAGTCTGTTCTTATTAGTATGATATGGCACTGGACTATTGGCAATGATATTGCTGCCTACTTGAGGTGTGGAATTCCAGGTCCTCTTGGAGGTCGGTGTGCCCAAGGTCGCCCTACAGCAGCTATCTGTCAATTGTTTTCTTTGAATTTTCAGCCTTGCCGTAAAGCAGGATGTTACTATACCTCAGCATCTATATCGACGACAACGTCGTAGCCGCGGTTGGCCATGATGAGCAGCTGGGATCGAGAGCTGGAAGGCTGCCGGGAAGTCCAGAGTTCGCCAAAACACACGATTGATTACGTGGTGGGAGCTGGGAGTTGAATCATTTATCGCCACGCACCAGCCGTGCTCCTAGGCTCAAGCCACCCCTTGTGGCGTAGACCAGCCCCTTGGGTGCCCTGACGCCACAGAAGGTGCCTTATGTATTTTAGTAGACGTCCAGAACTGCGTTCTTTACGACTAGCAACCACGGAAGATGCTGCTGTGTATTGAAGGATGGTACAAGCTTCTCGCGTAGATCCATCGAACATGAACAGCGTTATCTCTGCCATGCTTACGGTACTTGGAATGGCAGTATGAACGCTGATTTAGCAAAATCAACAAGCTGACAATCGTGTTCTGATTCTGGGTGATAAGACGTAGTCTGCTCGCGGGTAATCACTACTGCTCACGATACCGAAGATATTAGACTAGCAACCGGCGTACCGTCTTGTTCCGGGCACTTGGCGACCCTAGATGTTTATCTTGTCATCTCCGTGCATTAGCGCTACTCCGCAGAGCGCAGAAGTCCCCCGAACCATTGTGGTGCAAAATGAACATTTCCAGATGGGATTCTTAGAGTATATTCCACAAGTTCTCAAAATGGAACAGGCTGACCAAAACTTCTTCTAATTCATGCTATTTGTCCTTCATAAACTCATCACCTCAGCTTCCTCTCTGAGTATTCCCCCACAAGTACCCAAGTTCCTCAACCAATGCTCTCACCGGTGAAAGGCATCGGCAACGACAAGTCGAGCAAATGAAAAATCTCTAGCATCACGGATAATGTACACAGACTCATGGACCAAGTCTCAATCAAAGAAGCCCAGGTAGAGCTTAAGAAAGTTGAAATATCAATCTGTTAATTCCTCTCAACACTGACATGTATCAAGCAAAAAAGTAGACAGACTGACAAAAAAATAAAGGGGGAAAGAACAAAAAGGAAAACGGATAAAAAAAACCATCCAGGCCAAAGAACTTTTGCCCTCCCTTCCGTCCTAAAGTGGAAAAGTAGAAATTATGCCTTTCGAATCCTGATGTTGCAAGGCAGCGCACGAGGAACAGAAAATTGACGCGCGCAGGCTGAGAGAAAGGGATGCGGAGAAGAAGCGAGGAGAAGAAAAGGTGCGGATGGTATCTCTGCATCAAGAGACGGAAGACCTCATGGATATCCATTAAGAACGCCGTCCTTAACATGAAGCTCCGAAGCAGCAGAACATCAGAGCAAGACATTAACATAAGAGCATACGAGGCTGGAAAAAATGAAGGAAGGATGAATCACACATGCGAAGTAATCATAAAGAACATCATATCAAAGAAAAAGCCCCGAGTAAGACAAGTCATTCATTCCGTACAAAGGGTTCTCATCTAAGACTTCGTTTCCTCCGTGGTCTCTTGGCTAGCATCCTTCGATTTGTTTGCGTCAGCCGCAGGTTCTCCGCTTTCGCCACCTTTGTTCTTCACGTATTCGTCATAAACTGTAAGAGCCTCATCGACCTTGGCTTTGAGGGCAGCATCATCGTCGACCCTAGTTAAAATTGTAAGCTATGCCGTCAAAAAGACAGACCGGAGCGCAGATGAAACTTACAAAGCAAGTAGTTCAGCGTTATCCATCTCTAGAAGCATACCCGTAATCTTACCCGCGAGCTCAGGCTGCTGGGCCTGGATCTTTGGGTAGATTGCCTCACCAAGCATCTGCTTCTGCTGGGCGGGTGGTGCGGCATTCAATACTTGAAGAGTGAGGCCACTTGGGCTGGCGTTTTCATCACGTTGGCCCACGGCCTGGGCTGGGGCCCCTTGTCCACGACCGGCTTGTCCTGGGCGTCCCATACCTTGTTGCACTGGCATTCCGCGTCCATACTGACCACCTGGACCCATTCCTTGGACATTTGGCGGCATACCTTGGCCGCTAGGGGCTTGACCACGTCCTCTACCGAATGGAGCTTGTACTTGGCCCATCTGAGGATAGTTAAGACCGTTTGGAATTCCAGCACCCTGCATACCCATGGGTAGGCCCTGGGCACCAATTCCATAGGCGTTGGGTGGGATTTGCTGATTAGGGTTCATACCGCGGCCACCTTGTTGTCCAGGGAAGCCACCGAACTGACCATGTCGACCACCTGGCATTCCTGGAATCACCATACCAGGTTGCTGGAATGGCATACCACCGCGCTGATTCGGAATGAAATTCTGCTGGCCGGGGCCATAAAACACTGCAGGCTGCATGAACTAACATGGAGTTAGCGCTACTTTAACTTGGGAAAACAGATATATTGTTAAACTCACCGGCTGCGGCATTCCGGCGGCCGCGGCTGCTTGCTGCTGTCTAATTGTGTTACGGGCCTGGATACTTGCCTCGAGCTGTGCAAAGAAGTCAGTAAGAGGGCCTGGTTGGATAACTAGATCGACACGGAAATAAAACTAACCTGGCTTCTTCGAACATCCTTGCGTTGAGCCAATGCAACATACAGAGGTTTTCCGTGCACCATACGCTGATTCATCTCCGTGACAGCCTTTGAAGCCTCATCGGGACTGCTAAAGCACACGAATCCAAAGCCCTTGCTCTTTCCAAGAGGCTTCTTCTCGGATTTTTTGGACTCGGCCTTGTTTTCCTTGTTGTCCTTGTTTTCGGCATTGTCGCCAGCCTCGTCCTTCGGCTCCTCCTCCTTGGTCTCGGGTTCCTTGGAGTCTTTCTTTGCCTCTTTTTCTGAATCAGATGTTGATTCTGGGGCGAAATCCCGCATGACCTTGGCGGAGGTAATAGTACCATAGCTGCTGAAAAGCTCTCGTAGTTTCTCGTCGTCAATATCATCACTAAGGTTCTTGATGTAGAGGTTGACTCCCTGGTATTTCGAGGCCTTCTCAATGCGGGCAGCCTCATACTGCTTGCGAAGCTCCTCCTCACGTTCATGTTTCTTTTGAGCACGTCCAACATAGAGTTTCTGGCCCTTAAAGTCTTTGTCGTTTAAGGCTTCGACGGCAGCAGCAGCATTATCATGACTAGTGAAGTTGACAAATCCGAAACCACGGCTCTTACCGGACTCCGCATCGCGAGCGAGAGTAGCGGAGGTGATTTCTCCAAATTTCTCGAAAAGATCACGGAACTCCTCCTCTGTGGTATCTTGGTCGATGTTCTTCACGTAGACGTTTGTGAAGTTTGCCTTCATTTCCTCGAATTTGCTCTGACGGTCCTTCTTGGCAATGTGGTGACCAACAAACACTTTCTTATCGTTCAGCAACATGCCATTGACATGTTTGATGGCGTTCTGGGCAGCCTCAGCAGTCTCATAATGAACGAAGCCATAACCCTTGGAGTTGCCGAACTCATCCTGCGCGACCTTGCAGCTAAGGATGTTACCGAAAGCGGCGAATGTGTCGTGAAGGGCCTTGTTGTCGATAGCAGTATCCAAGTTCTTGATAAAGACATTGCCCTGACCAGTCTTGCGGAGAGCTGGGTCACGCTGAGACCACATAATACGGCAGGGGCGGCCCTTGATCAAGGTATAGTTGAGATCTTCCAAAGCACGCTCGCCGTCGGCGGTGTTGTTGTAGTTGACGTAGGCATAACCCAAAGATCTTCTGGTAACAGCATCACGGCAGACACGGATGGACGCAACTTGGCCAATAGAGGAGAAGAGTTCGAACAGCATGGCCTCGGTGACGGAAGGATCTAGCTCGCCGACATAGAGGGAGGCAGAGTGGGGTTGAGCGGTCGGGGTGGTAGAGGAGGTAGTCTGGCTAGCTTCGCCAGCGGTGGTATCGGCGGCGACGTTAGCATTGCTGCCATTCGTGGCAGACTCAGGTGCAGCACCTGGAGTTGTGTCAACTGGAGGGTTGGTGGCGGTCTCTGCAGACATTTTGGCCTTTTTTTTTTATTTTAGTTTTTTTAAAGTCTGGGAGAAGAGGAGAGTTAGCAGACTTCGGTTACTTCATGGAGGTGAAGAAGAAGAAGAAGAAGAAGAAGAAGAAGAAGAAGAAAGCGGTTTTTCAAGGTAGCTTGGTGTGTTTGTGCGCTTCCAGTTTGTCATGTGAGACGGCCGTGGACAAACGAGGCTCGCAAAGAAACAAAACAGACCTCAGCAAGTCGATGGCGGGTGTGAAGATGCCACAGTGCCGAATACGATTGCTTTGCTAAAGGGTGCGCGGGTGGGAAAGGTTATGTCAATTGCGGGTGGGCAACGGAAAGACGCGAGGTTGAAGTGAGATTTGATATGCCACAACGAAGCAGTAAAAAACGACTTACCACGAAAACCTCGAAGAGAGGCAATTCTTTTTTTGAGAAGTTACGAGTAATTTTCAGGAAGGGGAAGGGGGCAGGAAACAACAATCGAGAAGAACAATCTTTTTCAACGTGGCCTGAACAGCTCCTGGGTCTGTTTAAGCGAGGAGAAAAAAGGAAGAAGACTTTTCGACGGGAGATGGATGGTTGTGAGAGAGAGCGAGGAGAGGGAGAGAAAGAGAGCGAGCGAGCTGCAACTTTTTTTGCCAAAAACCGAAATGGAAAATCTGTGATAATGCGCTAAACCCAATCGGGCAGCCATGGCCTGGTGCTGAAATTTTCTGCTTTTTTTTTTTTTTTTTTTTTTCCCACACGTTCGTTGGGCGGGTGGCTCGACTCGACCGGTTTTGTTCGCTGGAAACTTCCTCCAAAACCTACCAGACTTGCGCTGCATGGCACACTTTGCCTGCCCGATCCGCTTCCATACCCCGTTGCTTGATAGATATATATACGGTTTAACAGAGTGTGGACTTTGCTGTCTTTGGAATCAAATTTAATGACCTCTGATGATGCCCTGTTGCAGGTACTCATTCTCTACAGGCTGTCACTGTACATTCCGAAGGCAGTAACAATACAATAACACCGGGTCAAACGCATTCCACCATGCTCCCCCCCCAATGAATGGACCTAAACCCATGGCTTTCCACTTTTATCTGCCAGGGCAAACTGGTCTAGAACGACGGCAGATAAAGAACTGGGTAACCCGCAATCACGCCCACACAAGGTCACTCTCTTTCTGCTTTCTCTAACTGAGATCGAATCCCGCCCCGGAGTTGATCGCGTACATCAGTTTCTCGTGAAGAGTCCTTGCGCTTGTATAGCGCGGCAACTTCAAGAGATTTGCACAGGTGCTGGTGCTAGGCAGCCGCTCTTCGTCAGAACTTGAATCTCGGATGCTGAATCGCGGATTTAAATGGCTGAATCCCAGAAGCGGGGCTCGAGGCGTTGAGGTGACGAATTTCAACACTTTCTGTCGGTCAGTGTTGGGCATTGATTCCATCACCTGCCAGAACAATTTCACCGTCATGTGCTCCTCCATGTCATCACCAAGCGTGTACACGCCGCTGTACACTGTATTGCGCCGTAGGTCTGCAACGTCGATCTCTCCCGAATCGCCGCCGACGAGTCTCTGAAGTTCCCCTTGGTTGAACATGGAGAGCCAAGAGGGCTGAATTATCTGTCCAACACCTTGCAGGAACGCATTTGTTTGCAGGTAAGGCTGAGCTTGAAGTCTGTGGCGTGCAATATACGAGATGTACACCAGTCGATTCTGGTTTGTCACGGCGATGTTGGACCCATTTGGCTTGAGTTCCCTCGTGATAGTTTGCGCCTTCTCTGGATCATCGGGCCCTGTGCCAGGAACCGTAACTGTATCTGTCACGGTAAAGTTGAGAGAAAAATCTTCCACGTTGCCAGGATAGTTCTTGAGTTGTAACTACACATGGAAAATTAGTAACATATCAATCTATAATCGAATACCTGGTTGAAAACGTACCAAACCCTGATATAGGCTCTCATCCAAGTCCCGAATATCATTAAGATTGGCACGGTAAGCTGACTCCTTTGAAGCCAAACTCGAACCACCAGTCAGGGCCCATTTTAAGAGAAAGAATCCTGCAAAATTAACATCAACCAAAATGCCTTCATAAAGGCATTTTCCAATAACCCGACCGAGAAACTCGTAACGTTTTAACAATTCTCTGATCTGCTGGTTCCACTCTGCGCTCCTCTCGGGGACTCCAGCTTGTCGAAGGAGGGCCTTGCGCTGTTCCACCGCCGTCGGATTAGGATATAGCAAATGCTGGTCATTCTCTGAGAAGAGGCTCAACACCCCGGAAGGGTCAAACGCGTCGTTAATGATGCTCGTTAAAAATTCTTTTGTCACTCCTCCACCGTCAATGCCTGCCTCGACCGTATCAAACTTATCAATGAACGTAATTTGGATAGGTTCCTTTAGGCCCTCTCCCAGAGGATAAAACTGTTCAAAGGCATCTTCAAAAAGGTTCTCTCGCCGTATATTTGCATGATGTTTGGCAAGGATGTCCTGTGCCATCAGGCGCCCATCTAAGTTAAGAGACATCGAGTTCTGAGCCACAGACAAGCGCCATGCGTCAGGATCAACGTACCCCTTCCGTCTCCGTATTTGATCTCTGTAAATGAACTCCCTAAAAATCTGTACTCGAGTAGTGAATGGAATGAAAAATGGCATATTGCGTAAAATCTCCAATCGCGGAGCGACTGCTTCCAGTTCCTTTTTACGCGCAGCTTGCTGCTGTCTTTTCCTGAGGAGCTCGGTCCGACGAATCTGCTGTGCTCGACCGGTACCTACCAGTCCAAGGAAATGTCCGAGATCATCGTCTTCTAGAGCTTCATTTTCTAGGTCGGATTCTTCGTCGTCTTGCAGTTGATGTCTATTCTCCTCTTCGGCTACAACGGTGGGAATAAACCCTTCCATATCAAATCGATCGGTCATCAGCCAATGGCCATCCGGCAAAAACTTTCGACGAGAACTAAGTCAAAAGTTAGTAGGTGCATTTTGCTTCTAGGAAACAAAGAGCAACTTACTCTCTCTCATGGACCATCCTTAAAAGCCCAGTCACTAGTCCTTTAAAGTACTCAAGGGGTATTCCAGTTACACCCCCAAGCTCTTTGCTCTTCGGCTTCACGTTTGAACTCTTTCGTGTTAACATGACCGCAGAGGCATTGAAATAATCGCGTATCCCAACGCGCTCCGTTTCAACTTCGTCAGATGCCAGATCCGCGGCACTCCAGTATAAAGTAAAGGCTAGATTTTTCAAGAAGATCGTTAAATATTTCACTTCTGCAAGCGGTAGAGTGCTCTCCTTCGTCCATGATGTATTTCGGTTGGAGACAAAGCCATCGAGTGATCCGCCGGAGAAGAATTCTTCATCATCTAGGACCTTTAGGAGAAACGTATAGAGTTCGAGGAAGAGAAGAATAATAGTCCATTCCTGTTCACTTCCCGGCCAACTTGTACTGGGTTGGTCAGCTATACCTCGTCCTTTCGTGGAGGATGTCTTCAACATCTCCAGAATTTCGCCAGGTCTCTCAACCACGGTGCGATAAACCTTTGTTGATTTCGTTGCATTCCAGAAATACTTGATAGCAGGCATTCGAGAAGATATCAAACCTCCCCGTTCGGTGGTGGACGCGGAACCTAGGTATAACCACATCCGAATCTCATCACCTCTGCGAGGGAAAATCCTGAGAAGGGTCAACGCATATGTGGCAAGACTCTTTGCTTCGTCTTCGGCTTGATCATCCATTCCGGGCAACCCATCAACACCAGCACGGGACAGTAGTTGGGTGATATTGTTCTGATTGACTAGACTGAGGAGCTCATACCGAACAAAAGGTGGAAGTGGGTTGTATCCTTTGGATACGTCTTCCTCTTCAACATCTATCCTCTGCGAAATGTCTGTGGCAACAGAACTTAATAGGGACGACACAGCCTTCACAAATAAACTCTCCGGGGCTTGCTCGGAAAATGTGGATCCTAACGCGTGCCTGTGGAAGAAGATAAAGTATGCAAGGAGCCAGATTCGACCAACCGTGTCGTTTGAGCTGAGAAATTGTTGAGATTGGAGTATATGAGAGTCCAAAACGGACGCCAGGAGCTTGTAATTTACCCCGACGGCAAGCTCGTTTAAGGAACCCAGGTGATCCTCCAGGGAAGGGATTGTTAGATAAGTCCGGGCAAACCATTCGTACGCCTCAAGTGTGTCTGAAGTTATAGGCTGTAAAATCGCGAGAACAGCTTGAGTGATTAGCCCCCGTGTCATATTGGTATCTCCGGACCTTGCCCAAGGACTTGTAGTTAAAGTTGCCATAACCTGATAGTACTCCCGAGCCTTGTTCGCCATGGGCCTGGGTACGAGCTTCGTAAGGAACATGAGCAGACGGAGCTTATCATCTATGATAAACGCAGGAGAACCAAGTCGTGATGTGGATATGACACGAAGTGTGGTCGTTGCAAGCCGGGAGAGTAGAACCGCCCATTCTCCTTCGACAAGAAGCGAGGGCATCTCCTCCACAGTTCTCTGGAAAGCCCGAGAAAAATAGTCCAGCCGTACAGCATCATCCTGATCACTAGCATCAATAAAGGCCAGGAGAATCTTAAGCTGCCTGACACAGTCGGAAGCTGTCGGGTATTGTGTTGGAGGCCCGCTCGTCAATCTCCCCGCAGCACAATCAGGCAGCCGGTAGCCCGGGTTTCTCTCCTGTTCATATGTGTCCCACTCAATTCTCCAAGAAGCACGCGTGGTTTTTCGGGCTATATATCCCCTCCATGTGCGCTGGATAGTTCGACTAGAGTTCAGCCGCTCCCTATCCAGCTGCCTTCGAAGGCGTTCCTGTTGCGCGATCGCAAGGGTGGCTTGGGATCCATGAGCGGAAGGAGGATGGCGCTTTGAAGGAGAATGGGCTGCGAACGGATTTACCGAGGAGCGGCTCGAGAGATTTACTTGTCGCGGCCGGCGAGAGTTGCCAGTGAATGATTGGAACATGTCGGACTCGGGGCTGTGAGCGTAAGGGGCGAGTTTGAATTGGAGGCAACAAGATCTGGTTCAGTTTCTTTATGTCATCTCTATCTATTATTCAGATTAGCATACCGATTTATTAAATATTAGAGCACACTCTTTGTACATCTGGAAAAGGTGCTGGAGTTTTGAAGCTGGACGAGCTTACAGTGGGATTGCATCCGATTTATGACGATGATGGGGCGTGCCCCTTCGATGCCCACCATAAGGCAGTTAGCTGAGCTCGCCACAACATCACCAGCCCTGCTGAACTGGCAAAACAGAGCCCACCAACGATGACCGGATTCACTCGTAAATAGAATACATGAAAGGCTCGAATACGTGTCAAAAAAGATTCCAATTACATAGAATGTAAAGCGTGGTTTCCGTAGTATGCTTTTGTATGCAGTATGGTTAGGAACATGTCTTCATTTGACTAAAAAACTACCCATCACAAGGCGCCATAACCAAGACCCATGATAATATATCCACAAACGCTAATTTTCGCCATATGCACTCAATGACCGTTTTTACTGTACAAAGTGAGGTTAAGAGAAGTGTCGTCGACTTCGGAAATGACCGTCGAGGACGCTTCATTGAGCCGGGAAGAGTCGGGCATTTTCTCTCGCGACGCGGAAAGGAATGTTGACTCGGAGGTATAGACGGATTATCACCCGCTCACTTCTCCTTCTCGGCATTCGACTGTTCGTTGAATTCTTCCTCTCGCCGCTTGAGTTCTGCAACCTCCTCGTCATTCTCTTCCACCCACTCTTGCAAAAAATCCTTCCCGTCGTATGCTCTTTGGGCATTTACTTCTTTGCCACTGGGCAATTGCAACCTCTTTGTGTAGATACTCCGTGTCGGCTCCATGCGTCGGGTCACGAAAGGTGTAAGCTGTGGTTAAAAAAAAAAAAGGCATTAGCCCGAGTTCAATGCAGTAACTTCAACTACCATGGGCAATGCACCAACCTTGAATTCGGTGAGGCCTTCGGGGACAACGTATGTTCGCACTTTCGTCCAATCGATCACGTATCTGCCCTTCTTCCGACCGAAAAAACCCATGGACCCCGTGCGGTTACCCTTGTAATAGCCGGGGCCGACTTGTTTGGTAGTCAGACGCAGGCGCGCCTGGAGGCATTGAGTGGGTTTAAACATGATCGTAAGAAAGGATTCTGATCATTCGCAATGGACAGTCGAAAAACCGGACCGTTATGAAAGGATGACGGCGGCGAGTGGCGGGTCTGATAAGGCGAGATGAACCGAACGAGGATTTCCAGCGATCAGTTTGGGAACTTTTTGCGGACGAACCTTCGGCCAATCAGCACGCGGGAACCTCCGAGCTGCAGGGATCAGTTTTAAGCTCCACAAGCGCAAGACCGTCAAAAAATCAAAAATATCGACATTTTTGCTGCACGGCTCGGAATTCGTGCGATCTCCCCGTGCTTTCTTTCTTTTTTTTTTTTTTTTTTTTTTTTTAAAGAGCCGCGTGAGAGGACATATTTAAACCATGCCAGGAAGACGGTCGAACGTCCTGAATAACCTCAAGAACGATGCCCCGAAATCCAAATCCGGCGCTGGAAAACGCAAACTCGGAAGAGGCCTTGATGCACTAGCCATCGCCGAACGTGAATACCCCCAGAAGTCTGGTGTCAAACTACACCGTCTCGGGGACGACGACGATGATCATGATTCCAGACGCAAGCGAGGATTCGGCCAAGACGCCGATGATGATGAAGCTCCCTCTAAGAGAAGAAGAACAGAGGAGTCGGACCTTAGCGAGGACGGTGGAAGCGACAGCGAGGGCAACGAGTGGAGGATAGGCCAAGTGGATAGCGAAAATGATAGTGAGATTGACAGTGATGAGGCTTTTGGGTCGAGCGACGAAGAGAGGTTCGAAGGCTATACTTTTCGTGCCAGCTCGACAAGGAAAGGCTCAAGAGCACCATCCAAGCCCGGACGCAAAAATCAGAGTGTCGACCTATCTGAGGGCGAGCGGGATGGCAAAGAGAGTCCCTCCGAAGATGAACTGGAAGATGATCTTGGGGATGACGCGGTGGATCTTGCCGCTGCATGGGATATGAACGCGGAGGAATCAGAAGAGAAACGGAAGTCTGCCGCAAAAGCGCGGAAAGAAAATGGCAAGGAGGACGCAGAGAGTGACGATGAATCTTCTACAGGCACGGAAAGCGACGGTGAAGAGGACGATGAATCTGATTTATCTCTATCCGAAGATGACGGTGCTACTGATACGCGCGGCCTATCGAAGCTTCAACGATTTGTTAATGCACTCAAATCGGAAGATTCAGACGAAAAGAAAGCCGGTCAAAGCACTTCCATTACCCTCCAAGGCAGTGAACCGACAGAGTTTGGCTTGATATCAAGTCGAAAGCTTACTGTTGCCGATTTGCTGCCTACGATCTCCGACTATCGTATGAAAGGCTCCTTAAAGCACCTTCATGTTAGGACTCCTGAAAAGAAGAGCAAAAGCGGTGGGATTCCGGGGAAACTTGATGTCCCTCTTTCTAAACGCGAACAAGACCGCCTCGATCGGACTGCTGCTTACCAAAAGAGCAAAGAAACATTAGACAGGTGGATTGACACCGTCAAGGCAAATCGACGGGCGGAACATCTGTCGTTCCCGCTTCCAGAGACCGCATCCATACAAAATGCCAAGGTGACCGATTCAAAACCGAGGACTGACCTCGAAACTACAATCCAAAATATCCTGGTTGAAAGCGGCCTAGCAAGTTCGAATGGCAAGGATGCGGAGGATCGTATCCAAGAGTTCGAAGAGTTACAAACGAATAAGCTCTCCATTGAAGAGCTGCAAGCCCGTCGCAACGAGCTTCGGAGAGCGCGTGAATTGCTTTTCCGAGAAGAAGTACGCGCAAAGCGAATTAAAAAGATCAAGAGTAAATCTTATCGGCGTGTTCATCGAAAGGAGCGAGAGAGACTGCAACAACGTGAAAGGGATGCTCTAGCCTCGGCCGGAGTAGATATGGAAGAAGAGGATCGGGAGCGAGCTGATCGGTTGAGAGCAGAGATGAGAATGGGCGCTAAGCACCGTGAGAGTAAATGGGCAAAGAGTGTGAAGCAAACGGGACGCGGAGCCTGGGATGAGGATGCACGTGCTGGCATAGCTGAGCAAGCTCGCAGAAGAGAAGAGCTACAGAGGAGAATAGAGGGGAAGCGAGTTCAGGAGGAAGGTTACACGGGCTCATCGGGTTCGGAGTCGGAAGAAGATGATATCGATCCTTTTGACAATGAAGCTGAGTCGGACGATGAGGTCCGAAGGCTGCAGCGAAAACTGGAGAAATTGGAGGGTGATGGGGCTGCAGAGGAAGAACTCACAGGGCCGCATGCTAAGTTACTTTCCATGAAGTTTATGCGAAACGCCGAGGCTGCTCGAAAGGCTGCCAACGACGCCGAAATCAAGAAACTCAATCGTCAGTTCGCTGGGGAAGAGTCAGCATCAGAAATAGAAGACGATGAGGGAGGCCGGCGGCGTTTCGGCAAGAGTGATCAGGGCAGCTCCAACAGAGAATTGCCCGTGGCGAAACGACAAGAGTTTGAAGAGCCTACCTCTGACGATGAAAATCTACCTGAGGCTGATGATGACATTGACATTCGTGTGGATGGTAAAACAAACGGTAAAACCAAACAACGGGCGCAAGCGGCTTCGCTCCGCAACAAGCAGCGCGCACAGACCAAATCTAAGCCTAATGATGCAGACACGGACATAAATCCATGGCTATCAGAAGGCACAAAACGGTCACGGAAGAAGAAAGGAGCGGTGGATGGTAGCATGGATATTACCCTTATTGAAAACACTGGCGCAGCCAAACAGGAAGTGGAATCAAAACAGAATGGTGCTCTCAAAGAAAAGGCTGCCACCCAACAACGCCAGAAGCCCGGTGGACACGAGGACGACGTTTCCGATGACGAAGAGTCACGCGTCCCGATCTTACTTCAGAACGAAGAGCTCGTCAAGAGAGCATTTGCCGGCGACGAAGTCCTGGAGGCCTTTACCAAGGAAAAGCTTGAGACTATTGAGGATGAAGGGGATAAGATCGTTGAAGACACTCTGCCTGGATGGGGCAGTTGGACAGGCTCTGGCCTCACGAAAAAGGAGAAGAGAGAGGCTAAGGCCCAGCGGAGTTTTAAAACCGTTGAGGGGATAAAACCTGCTAACAGAAAAGACGCAAAGTTGGATCGAGTGATTATCAACGAAAAGCGGGTGAGAAAGGTGTGTGCCCGGTTTTCCTTTTCTTATCTTCGGGGTTTTTTGGTACTGATTCTCCAAAGAACACCAAGTATCTTGCCTCTCAGCTGCCCCATCCGTTCGAGTCCAGGCAACAATACGAACGATCTCTTCGTGTACCCATAGGTCCAGAATGGACTACCAAGGAAGTCTTCCAGGACAGCACTAAGCCCCGCTTGATGGTGAAACAAGGCGTTATCAAGCCGATACAAAGGCCTCATGTGTAAATAGCTATTACGGAGCATTTGGTATACTTTATATGCTAGGTAAAAGTCACTGCTTGTTTTGGGCACAATCATTCGGGAGGCTATGGGGAATGTGTCGATCATTTTAGCGCGAGATTGCGATCTGGATGGGCGATTAAGGATGATGGGCGCGGATGATGCGAGGAGCCGTCAGGAGCGACCTTTTTGGGTCTTCTCCACGCGCGACGTGGCCGGGGTGCCGTAGTATTTCAGGCCAACCACCTTCAGACTCGGCTTGATGGAAGGTCAAGGCTGAACATGATTATATCAGATGATTCGTTGCTTTCACCTGTACGGACTACTCGATGGAAGAGAACGGGCTGCGGGTGGGATGAGCTGGTTTTCATTTCGCTCCAAGCCCAGCGACCCGTCTTAGGGAATCACGTGGGACGCCAGGTCTGGGCGCCGGGAGCCGGTACTATCGTACTCCGTAGAACGGGGCAGATCACCTCACAATCCTCAGGACCTTTAACTGCTTCCGCGTGTCGACTTGGCATCAACCGATGGCTGACTCGATCTCGAGTTTGTCCGTTGAGTTGTTGGACTTTTCCAACAAACCTCATTTTCCTTTTCTCGAGGATGAACGGAGAGCGTTCAGGATGATCTCAGGCCCACGAAGGTGGAGCCGCCGCCCAGCTAAAAGTGGATGCGAGCGTCAGCCGGGACCGGAAATCCAGCTTCTGCGCCCATTTCCATCGATGCTAGACGAGGGGCACCCATCACCAGACTGGCAGCAGTGACATCCTGTGCCAGTAACTTGTAAGGCTTTATGATTGCTTTCTCGCTCGGCGTTTTCCCCATGTGGCAACACCACGCAGGATTCCTGGTCTTTATCTCGCAGCACTCCTTCGAATACCCAGGAAACATATAAATTGAGCAGGCCGGCACCTGGGATGCAGATCTTCGCAACTGCAAACAACAGTGCTACTGTTTCGAGTTCATCACAAGGCCAATAGCTCATCGAATATTTCCCAAAGAGGTAAGTATTTTTGAATCTCAATTGTTCTCTGTCATGTGTGACGGAGCTGGCCATGTTCATCTGAACCGTTTGTGCTTCCAGCACAACGCTCTTGCTCCTCTCTTGCCGGTTTCCTTCTGTATCAGATTTTCAAGTTGCTTGGTTCTGCACTCCTTCCGCGTCCCCGTCCGCCATCCCCCACAGCATGGAGCCAGGGGTTGGAAGTATGGTTTCTCCTACGCCTCGTGCCCTGGTGTCTGCTGCCACCGTCAGCGCAGCCTCATTGCGCGCCGTGGTGGTGGGGGGGGTGTGTGTATACGTGGACTCGCACCCTCTGCAGCCCTTATAAAGCAGGCGCCCGCAGTCTCGTTTGGCCCGCGAAGGGCAAGTGCACCTCGCCCTTTGCTGCTATTGCATCTGATTTCGGCAATTCTGTCTGGCGGCGCTTCGTTCTCTTCTTCCTCTTCTGGCGCTGTCTGGCGTGCGGGCCTTCGCGGGGCTGTGTGAAACATGGTCCAGCTTACAAAGATGTGGCTCTCCCAAGCCGTGCTGATATTTTTAGGGATACTCCTTAGTGCAGAATCCCGCCCCTTGTCACTGGATCCGGACGCTCGGGTCGGCGACGTACCGTTGACAGCCTTATTTCGTGTGCCACCAATTGCCAACCGGGCAGTTTCCCTGCTGGAGACATCGACGGAAACTTCCGCAGTAAGACATTACGCCACATTGATTCCATTCCGTGTTTCTAGAAAAGCAGTTGTTGACCGCAATGACAGCCTTCCGCCTTACAAAGATCGCCGGTCGGGGATATATCTCCAACGCCAACAACCCAAAACTGGGCTCGACCAGCTCAGGCTCAGCTTGGCTTCTCATCACCCCGCCGGCAACCACTAAAACCAGAAAACCCAACTCCCCGTGTTCCAAGCCGCATTCAAGCCGCGATCAGCTATTTCAACACATCCTCGGATCGTACCCTGACCACGACGTTAGGACCAACAGGCCCGACACGCCCAACCTCACCAACTGGAACTGGAATAGTTTCTTCCACCTCGCCCACATCCCAGCCAAGCATGGCTTCGCAGAATGTGTTTCTCCCTGTTTCCAAAGACCAGATACCCGCCAATATCCCAAAAAGGGATGGTCATCCTGTCCGCAAGGATCACATTGTCAGTTTCTCACTTTCATTGGGTCTGAATGATGCTAACCTAGGACATATAGACGGATGCCCCCGGGCCGATATCCACCAACAAGTTCTACGCCAATTTCTTTCTAGGCAATCAGAGCGACTACTCGTTCATCCAGCCGTACTCAGTCGGATGGTCCAAGGGTGCAAACCCTACGGGGAGCTTTGGCTTGGCCATCTCCCATAGTGATGCGAACCAAACGGTGTTCGGTGAACGAAGTGACGTTATTCCTGGCAACCCAGTCAGGTTCTACGCCAATCCTGTCGGGATTCAGTCGATCATTTTGTCGGCTGAGGAACTTAAGAACTCTACTACTCTAAGCCTTTCAAACCCCCAAGCTTTCTCTGCAAATGTCATTCTAAGACCTCAGAAGGATTCGGACGCGAGCGCATCCTTTCCACTGGTCCAGGGCATGGGATTTGTAACGGGTCTATACGACAACTTACAGCCCGTAATCCAGTCACAGGTGTCGTTTAAGCAGGTAGATGCGGCCGGCAGCCCCAAGGATGGTATCTTCAAGTACAAGGCCTCCCTCCAGGATGGCGCCAGCTGGCTCCTGTATGTCACTCCGGAAAATGGAGCGGATCCCAAGTTGGTTCTTGTGTCCAACAACACTATTCGAGGTTCCAAGGGTTTTAATGGCTTCATCCAAGTTGCTAAGGACCCTGGGAACGGTGACAGCATTTACGATGGATCCGCTGGTGTTTACCCGACTGCTGCGAATATTGCGGGTTCAGTCACAGGGAATCAGGGAACTTACCAGTTTTCTTGGACCAAGGCTGGAAAAAATGCGAACAATACGCCATTGCTTATGTTTGCGCTGCCTCACCATGTTGAAGCATTCGACGATTCTTCAAAGAGACGCAAAACCGATTTGAAACTGCAAACGACCACAAAGGGCCAAGCTACAGCCTGCGTGGGTGACTCGTGGACCATGATCGAACCAAATCTGCCTGTTGATATAGGATTCGAACCCTGGAAGCCAGGAATGTCAGGAAAGCCTTCGCTGTCAGCAGGCGCAAAAGAGCAGATAAAGGCCGTCGCTCTCTCCGAGTTGTCCCAAGATATGGAGTCCCAGACAAATCTGGACAGTATGTACTTTAGCGGGAAAGCTTTGGGGAAATTTGCTGGCGCAGTATACACTGCACAGGAATTGCTACAGGACGCCGGCCTCGCGTCACGAGCTCTAGAGTCTTTGAAAAAATCATTTGCGAGATTTGTGGAAAACAAACAGAAACATCCACTTGTCTATGACACTGTGTGGAAAGGTGCGGTTTCTTCTGGCACATATCAAACTGGGGATATATACCTCGATTTTGGAAACACTCTTTACAACGATCACCATTTCCACTACGGGTATTTCATTTTGACAGCTGCGATAATTGGACACCTCGATCGGTCATGGCTCGATACCAATAAAGTCTGGGTTAATATGTTGGTCCGCGATGCATCAAATTCCGTTTCTGACGAACTTTTCCCGTTTTCACGAGGCTTCGACTGGTTCAATGGGCATTCGTGGGCCAAGGGACTGTTTGCCTCGATCGATGGCAAGGACCAAGAATCTACCTCTGAAGACACCATGTTTGCGTACGCTCTAAAGATGTGGGGTAAAACTAGTGGAGATGCTAGCATGGAGGCTCGAGGAAATTTGATGCTGGGAATCCTCTACAGGTCACTCGACAGCTACTTTTTGATGCGCAGAAGCAATGTTAATCAGCCAAAGGAATTCATTGATAATAAAGTCACTGGGATTGTGAGTCACTTCTTTGCCTGAGGAAATCCTTGCAATAATTAACTAATAGTCTTAAGCTGTTTGAAAATAAATGCGACCATGCCACATACTTTGGAGCGAACTTGGAGTATATTCAAGGGTGAGCATGTACTCCATTTTAACTCCAAACCGCAACTACATGCTAACTGTATATTTCCTTAGCATACATATGCTTCCCCTCCTCCCCGCTTCGGCCTATACTCGGCGGAGTGAGTTTGTGAGAGAAGAATGGAATGCAATGTTTGCTCCCAATGCAACCAAGCCTGCTGATACCGTGGAAGGTGGGTGGAGGGGAGTTCTTTATGCCAACCTGGCAATTATCGACGCAGAAGCCTCTTGGAAATTTTTCACCCAGCCAAATTTCAATATGGGTTGGATTGATGGCGGTGCTAGTCGAACGTGGTACCTCGCATATGCAGCTTGTAAGTGCAACCGTCACATGTGGGAATTTGGAAGATACCCACATATGTTGTCCCTGACTGACATGATTTTAGGCCTCGGCGGAGGACCAAAGTATTAAGTCGCACCACTTCTTTCTCCAGGTGCAAATAGGAACATATATTTATCTTATAAATTTAGGGAGCATCTATTAAAACACCTGGGACCATATTTAACGTGGTCACTCAATTACCACATATTTTATATTTCGGGCTCTTATATGGTGGCTTTTTCGTGACTTTTCCTTTCCTTCCCTTCTTATGGCAATATGGTTTTCCTTCTATTGATTTATGTATGACGAGATAACCTGATTACTGTAAGTCATGTATATATTGTATATATTGCTACACGATATTCTACGTCGATCTGAATCCAAATGCGTGAGGATGAGTGCGGCATGTGAATGTACTGCTTCTATGGCTCGGTAGGCTCGACGACAGTCTACCAATTGTGATAGAAGTGTGTGATCTTTACAAAGTGCGCCCTAAGGGGACGATAAGGCGGTTGGGATTGTACGGAGCTTTTCCGTGGTGTCTGGCTAGGAAAGCAGAATATCGTCTCACCCTTCTGAGTTCCAGGTCCACCTTAAGCCTCCGAAATTGCTTCTCCAATTGGTGCTGTTATCGAATGTCCTGGGTAGGTAGACAAGTCCCCCCTTGGTGCCGACTTGAAACCATGTTTACTCCGTATTCTATTTATCTTTACAAGGGACACCAAAGCTTGTAGACATTGACCATCCTGTAGCCAAAGCGGTAGCCATCCCAAATCCTTGTGTCTTATTGTTAAATTTGAGCATCATCCGGGCCATCCTCATTCTGGAGGAAGATCACCAGGATTTCGTGTCCGTGCAGGCAGAGTCTCACAGAGTAAAGGTAATGGAAGAAGTGCAGAGTAGTCTTATGGAATCAGATTCTCTTCAAGCCAGGTTTGAGGCAATATTTCCAAAACTCGTAATTCTTTGTTCTGGGTCATCTAGGGATCCTTGCATCGGTAAATTGTCACCTAGTGATCGGGCGTTTGCCCAAAGTTGTTTTCGCGCGTGGCATTGGAGTTGTGTTGGCGAGAAGGTACTCCATAGATAATGATGTACCAACTACTAGTTAAAGAGGAGGGGGATAGAGGGGCCCTTGGGCTTGGCATGGAGTGCCTCATGGGGTTTGGAGAGACGAGAACAGTTCATCGAGGCAAGTCCACGGAGTACACTGCAGCTTGCGACTTTGATATTCTCCGCCCTTCGTGCTTCCAGGCCTTCCAATCGTTTCCAACAGTCTTGGACGAGATCAACGACATGGTTGCAGGGCACCTGACACGCTGGTTGTGGCTGAGCCCTCTGTGAGGCGGCCGGGGGCTACGGCTTGACTTTGGAGGGTTTGATGAAGCCCGTGGCTTTAAACTCCTCGCCCGAACTTCGTATCCATACGGAGTACGGAGGAGTATCCTGTGTCGCTACTACTAGATGCACTTGAGACAGAGTACCCCATAGGTATGTGTATATTCCGGACGATGGCCGTGGTGATACTGACAGCTCCTCCAAAAATTTCGCAGGCATTCCAGATCTATTCGGAGATACGGCGCAGCCAGTTGCTCATCGATTGCGCCTCTGGTTGGGCGGTCAACGCGGATCCTGGCGATCTCAGAAGCAGCTCAGCAAGGGGGCTTGGGTGGCTCCAATCAGCGGCGGCTCCGCGCGGGCGAATTGGGGCTGTGCAGGCCAGCGCACTCAAGCCACGTTCTCGCGCTTGTGGCCGGGCGGCACTTACATATGTATCATGGCGGTGCTGCTCTCTGCTCCCTGGCAGCGGTCGCTCTCGATGGATGTCTTTGACCCCTTTCCACCCTCCTCACCCACGGTCGCATCCGGAGCGAATTAGTCATTGCAACCCCCGCTTCTCAATCAGAACCGGCTTGGTGAGTTGGATCACAAATCCTGGATAATGGGAACTTAGTTAATAATGGTTGATGAGCTTGTACTCAAGAAGCGCTCGCCCGTTCGTTATCCCGACCCACTCTAGAGGCAGTCAGCCCGACGTCCCTGCTTGCACTTGAAATTGGCTTGAACCAGGAGCTCGGCCAAGTAGCGAGGTCCAGCTTGAAGCTTGATCCCGAAGGCGGCACTTTTCGAGCGCGGAGAAACAAAGAGCCACTAACTAGCCAACTTATCTGGTTCGGACTCAACCACCAACCACCAACGACCGCGTCCACACACTTCAGCTCCCTTTTTTTTTGCAAAATCAATCATCTAGCCCAAATCATGGGTATGTCCAAACTGTCATCTTCTTTCCTATCAGTGACCGTTGTCTCCCCACCTGCTATGGGCATGGACTCGATTTCTCTTTAAATCAATCCCGTTTCATCACCATCAAATTAGTTAGCTACGTCATATCAAGGCCTCTGGCTGTCGTCTTCCGTGCTGGAGTCACGGAACGATTCTAACATCAACCTTGCCATTCCTTTCATTTTCCTCGATTATTAGATTCACAAGACGAAGGACAATAATTGACGAGTGTTTTTTCTTTTCTTTTTTCTTCTCTTTTTCCTTTTAATTCCTCTCTTTGGAGGGATAACAGAGGCGCAATCCGAAACGGATACGCTGTTCAAAGTCAACTCACCTGCTCCTACCTGACGTTATTGGCCGTTAGCTAGGGCTAATTTCCAATCGCAATTTCGCCGTCACGGCTCCTTCTTTTCCTCTACGTTCTGGAGCGCTCTATTTCTGATGCCGACTTACCACGAACCTGATCCGGCGCCCGGTAACGGGTCGATCGGCCCTAACGAGCACACTGGCCTGCTTAACGGTCACGATTCAAGCCCCCCGCCGTCGGTTTTCAATAAACTAATGTGGTATCGAAGTGACCGTCGGGTCTGGGTGCGTCTGCCATCTGAGGCATTTTATCTGAGTTACGCTACTTTGGTTAGCAACTATGTGAATATCTTGTTGGTTTTAGTGCCTCTGGGTATGGCTTCAGGGGCGGCTGGATGGAATCCTACTGCTACCTTTATTCTTAACTTTTTCGCCATCATTCCTCTTGCATCGCTGCTGAGCTTTGCGACGGAGGAGTTGGCCGCAACTCTTGGTGAAACCCTTGGTGGACTTCTGAATGCGACTTTCGGCAATGCAGTGGAGCTTATTGTACGTGTCCATTTCGTGCTCTCAGAACTTCCTTTCGGGGTTTTCGCATCGTTGACTGACCTCCTTGCCCAAACTAGGTCAGTATTATTGCGCTTCAAAAGAACGAAATAAGAATCGTGCAAGCTAGCATGCTCGGCAGCATTCTATCCAACATCCTTTTAGTCTTGGGATGCTGCTTTTTCATTGGTGGTATCAAGCACCATGAGCAGACATTTAACTCAACCGTCGCTTCAACAATGTCTTCTCTGATGGCAGTAGCTTCGGCGTCGTTGATTATCCCCGCGACACTTTACGCCGCTCTAGCTGGATCCAAATCTGATCCTCTGGGCAACATCTTGATTTTGTCGCATGGAACGGCGATAATCTTACTCATTGTGTACATTATGTACTTGTACTTCCAGCTAAAATCCCATTCGGATCTCTTTGAAAGCCGTTCCGGAGCCGCCCTGGAATCTCAGGATCACCAAGTGGAGGAGACGAACGACAATCCACAAATTCTCAACCCATGGGCCGCTGGAATTCTTCTACTAGTGGTCACAGTGACCGTTGCAATTTGTGCGGAGTTCCTCGTTGGTACTATCGATAATATTGTTGAGTCTGCAAACATTAGTAGGACATTTATCGGTCTCATTCTCATCCCAATTGTGGGCAATGCTGCTGAGCACGTAACTGCCATTGTGGTGGCTTATAAAAACAAGATGGATCTTGCAATTGGAGTTGCCATTGGCAGCAGTCTTCAAATCGCGCTCTTCGTTACACCTTTCTTGGTTATCCTGGGTTGGATCTTCAATCGCGATATGACACTCCACTTCCAGACATTCGAGACGGTTGCATTCTTCGTATCCGGATTGGTGGTCACCTTGCTCATCCAGGATGGAAAGTCAAACTATCTTGAAGGGGGTTTGTGTCTCGGAATGTAAGATCAACGCCTCTCCTTCCCAATGATATTGCTCCCGGTTTTGCTATCTTCTTCATCTCTCGCATTGAACTTTAGAGGAAACCTTGTGAGCTAACTATCCACAATAGGTACGTGATTATTGCCCTTGCCTTCTACGTCTATCCGGACGACGCCAAGGATATTCCATCTTGGTTCAAGACGTTTGCTTCCCCAGCTTAAACTCTTTATAAATCCTCCTTCTCATAGCCCTAGGGGCGTCCTGTCACCACGACAGAAATTTTCATATCATTTTTTCGTTATCATAACACTAAGTCCTGACCTGGATACCCTTCGTTTGCTTCATTATTTCCTTGGATGGTGAGGTTTTCTGATTTTCTCGGTATTTCATTTCTTTTGCCCTGTGGGTGTGGAAAAGAAGTTCTTAGTAGTTAGGTCAATATTGGGATAAAAATAGTGAAAGGGTTTGGTGTAACTGCTAGCTATAGCAAGGACAGAATTTCAGGTTTCCTTTTTTCTTTTTTTTAATTATTATAATAACAATACACATCATCCACCATACATAAAATATGCATTTCTGTGTGAATAGCATTTGGTATCATAAATCTTATTCCATTGATGTTAACTAGTTAATCATGACAGCTCAATATGCAGTAGTTTTGCTGATATCAGTCAGATAATCACAGAGCGTGATGACAAGGACTCATTTTTATGGAGCCACCACATGCAGAAGTCATGTCAATTGTTGGCACCTTTCAAATCCCCTCAGAAAGAGCGAAAAGTTGAAAAAGAAAGCAGAATGACTCAATGAGTACATCTTCTTTGTCAAACCCTAACTCTGCTGTTCTCTCCCCCAAAAAACTATGTGTGATAACCCGGATAGGTATGAAATATACCACTAAGTATGTTTAGAAAAATATGAATGAGAGATGATCTCACCCAACCCACCCTCAATTAGCACCTGAGCCAATCGCGACCGGATTTGCGAAAGATAGATGTGCTGTGGAAGCAACGCTATTGATCAAAGGGGAAAAGAGATAATTTTGTTCACTATCATATTGAAGTGTATGATTTAGCATCCAAAGCTGACTATAATTTTAGGGGGGCTAAAGCACTTGAGCCCGACTTAACAAAGATACGGCCTTTCATATCCATATTTCTCCAGGAGCAGACAACAACATACCAGGAGGGCCGCATTACCCTCACCCCCCGGTCAGGCGACTGTTCACAGCCGCTGAGCGGTCAAACAATCAAGAAAATGGAGACATTATATGTTACTCAGATGGATGAGTGAGTGATAAAGGTCTGGACCGGATAGATGTGCTTGCCAACTCAGCAAAATGAACCGATTAGAATTAGCATATTGTATACAATATCAACTGATAGGCATGAAACCATCCGCAGTGCCATCAAGAGCTATTGTGTGCAGTTTTCCATAAAGGTACAGTGTTGCTAGTCTACACAAGGGAGGTATGGCCAAAGCCGTTGCGGGCTTGGAGGGCATGACCGACATCGGGAGGAATCATAATATACGTCTTGAGAGGATTGCCAGTTTTAATAGAAACTTTGCAATTTTCAAGCTTCCCTGTGAGGCCATAGCGAACCAAGTCAGCGGAGGCTCCGTGATAGTGTCGAATGTTTTGCTACGATTATGGTTCTGGGTTTGTACCGCGTTAAAAATCTGGTGAAGAGGCGCATCATGGGAAAGGAGTTCCAAGAAAGAAGGATTGGAAACATTCAAATACAGCTTGCGGCTGCGTAGCTGGCACTATGAATGATGGGTTGATAGTCAATTCCCAGGGTATGATGATACGATCATGGAATGCGGTTCTTGGAAGATGTGATGAGAAAGAATACCACACTCCGTGTAGAGTCTTTCTAAAGTGTTATGGAGGACCCCACGGAGTAGCCTGAGTACAAAGCCGCCGTGTACAGATTAAATAGGCTTAGCCGGGCGTGCATTAACTACAGTAGTTACTTGGACATGCAAAAATCGTGGGTCGAGCCAATATCACGTGATGAATTTGAACTTTTGATGGTAGAGTTCCAAAGAGGCGCTGCACATTTCACTTTTTGCTGTCTGGGGGTGAAAGAACAGGCCTTTCTCACCTGTCGTTACGGAAATCTGGGCTCTTCTACAACTATATCCCAACTTTCTTTTGTTAGAGTTTTGACTTAGACGTCGCCAATGGGCCATCGCTAATATCTGAATAGCCCAACGTCGGAATTTTGATTCAGCTCGAATTCGCGAACACCGAAGCCCCAGATCACAAAGTAAAAAAAAGAAAAGGAAAGAGGAATGCCGCCTCGAATTAAATTGCTGGCGGCAATTCGCCATGCTTCGTCCTACCCGATATCTGGCTCTGCTCGAGCTCGGAATGGTGTGATTGGAGGCTGCGGTGGAACCAAGTGCACGTCTCCGTTTGCCGGTTTAATATCTACTACACAGGCAACATCATATCAAAGACGCATGAATTCGACGTCGAGTGACAGCGGGAAGGATGGTGCCGATGAGGCACGGGGCCCAAACCAGGATCAGCTACCTCATGTCAGTGAAGAGGCGGCGCAGACGGCGAAGATATTGAACAAGAGATGCGGTGATGTTGGGGGACCGGAATTAGAGCAGGGAACGCCGGTGGAAGAAGTGAGTACCGCCTGGCTTTGTTCCTATGAGCATGTGCTGTCCTTTTGGCTTCTTGCCCATCGAATCTTCAGCTTACGTCCCATTGCCATTGAGCTAGATCCTAAAACGTGACAAAGACGCCTTGAAGAATATGCCTAAAGTTCTCCGAGACGAAATTGCGGCCAAAAATAACAGCGGATCTCGCTCTTTCTCAACCTACACTCGACAGAGACAACAAGATATGCAGAATTCAGTAGTGGAACCATCCGCTGCTGCTGTGGCTGAGATGATTGCTGCAGCTGGGGAGATTGCAACGCTTGAAAAGAAAGGATATAAATTTGACCCGCCATCGACAGACTTGCCTAGATCCGAAAATTTAAAACGGCGATATGAGCCTCTGGTGGACCAGTTTACAAAGATGCTTATGAAGGATGGGAAATTGAGTCTTGCCCAGAAGGTCTGTTCTTCATCTTGCGTGTATCATTTCTCTCCCCCCTGTCTAATGATTGCGGAGTGGCTGTTCCAGACAATGACTGAACATATTTTTGTCAATGTAGCATATGAATATGATCTTAGATCATCTCCGGACCTCACCTCCGCCAGCCGTCAATCCCACCCGCCCTCTCCTCCCAGGCCCACCAACCCCTCAGCTACCTTTAAATCCTGTCCTTTATCTCACCCAAGTCATCGACTCTGTTGCTCCACTCATTAAAATCCGCCAATTAAAAGGTGCTGCTGGTGGTGGTATGTCGCTGCCCATTCCTCAGCCACTATCGCTTCGCCAGAGGCGTCGAACGGCTATCAAATGGATTCTTGATGCGTCTGAGAAGAGACGGGATACGCAGTTTGCCATGAGAGTCGCGAACGAGGTTGTGGCTGCTGCGGAAGGTAGGAGTTCAGTGTGGGAGAAGAGAAGCCAGGTGCATAAGCAGGGCACTACTGCCAGAGCGAATCTCCGGTATGCTCCTGGTGCAAGCAGAAGGAGGTAGTATGCGGATCTGGATGTTGTTCACTCAGTATCTCAAGCATGTATATTATTCATTACTTTTTTATTGTCTCTATAGGCATTGCGGTGTTGGTTGTAGTTCAAAGCTCAATTGAGACGATCCCTTTCCCATTGCATCAGCAATAACGATCCCAGCAGTTCCAATCAACAGTTCTCAATCCGATGAAAGCCCGGAAGCTTGACGGCACCGTGCGGAGCACAGAGTACAGCCGCGACTTGTTTCAGAGGCTTGTATTTTTACTGTTCCTTACGAAACCGTACGTGGGTTACCAGAACGATCTAACTTTCCGCTCCACCCCGCAAGCCCAGGGCACTTGTATAAAGAGGAGGCGATTGCGCCCTTCCCTTTCAAGCTTCCGTTTGACACCATTCCTAAAGGCGACCTTCACAGCACGCCCTCGAGGGCTTCTTTTTTCCCACCCCAACTATTCAGCCTGGTCAGCCACAATGGATCCCATTGTCGTTCCGAGCCAACTCGCCTTCCTGTTCCTCATGGCGGTTGAACGATTCAGCGTTCTCAAACCACCATGGTGACGACCACTTATCGTATGGGGGGTTGGATGGGGCGATAAGTGCGCTTGGAGGAGGATTTCAAGGTGATTTAATTTTGGATTCGGAGGATTTCGGGCATAATTTTGATCAAGATCTGGCGAATGTTCCGATCACTGCTGGTGGAGGACCGAATCGAGATCCGGGAGAGCTGCGTTCTGCACCCGCATTGGCTGATGGGCCCGCAGAGCATTGTGTTACGCCTATGCCCGCTTGGGCACAGTTTCCGAATGTTGATAGCGGGGGAAGCCTTGGTGGGCAGTTTATGCCAAATACCGAAGTTTCTGGACCAAGCGTTGATAGATCCAGCGCCTTAAAACACCCAGCAGCTGTTGCGGATGCGAACGGTTTAATAAAAAGCAGAGAAAGTTATCACAATTTTAATCCGAAGTTTGCAGTTGATTTTCAGAATGGTAAGCTTGCAGCATTTCAACGCGGCTCAATGTTAAAGATTCCCTCTTCTGATTGTTTTGACAGGCTATTTTCCCAACAACGGGCCTGTCCCTTCTTCAACAAGTTATGATTACTCGCTCTCTTTGCTTAGCCTTTCATGTCAGCCTCAACAGGTTAAGGCTCACCAGTCTTTATCAACCGAAGTCCCTGTTCAAACTGCAGCGCTCAGTGTTTCTTTTGATACACCTCAGCATAATTCGGGGTCGTCGACGTCGTCAACTACACAGAGCCCACCTGATTGTGTTTCGCGAACAAGCAGCTCGCGTCGAAAGAAGCCACGACTCGATTCATCAGACCCCGCTGATGCTGCGGCGGATCGACGCCGCCGTAACACCCTTGCTGCCAGGCGATTTCGACAGAGACAGCATGATCGTATTTCGCAGTTGGAACAGGCGCTTGAACAGGTTGCGAAGGAACGGGATGAATTGAAGGTGCAAGTTGCGAAGTGGGAAGGTGAAGCCACAGCGTTGAGGGGAATGCTCGGGAAGAGGTCAGGAGGGAGTAGTGGACTAGGCTAAGACTCCTGCTCTGTCGTTGACGGTGCTATTAGCATGTTTTAAAACCTTAATATGATAATCTTCAATTTTGTGACGGAGGGGTCAGATGATGTCGGCTCCATATTTTTAGAATTCTCCAGTCGGTGCTCTTCCTTTTTATTCACCTTTCTGGAGAACTTGCTTCACAAAATTGAGATACGCCCACTTGTATACGCCGCTCCCCTGAACAATGCTATGACAGCATAGGGGAAAACAGGTTGTAAACAAAAGATGGTATAATATCACAAATATATTAGCACTTGGAGATGTTGTCTTCATGCCTCCTTTGGTGAGATGTGTTCCAGCAGTGTAAAATAACAGATGTATATCGGATTGAGGATATAGGGATAGGTTGACTTGCCTTCTCAAATTTGATTGCCTGGGTTGTCTTGGACTTAAGTCCCTCACATTCCAATTCAATTTCAAACCTGGCTTTACACTCGTTGCCAATTGAATCTACGTTCATTATTTATATCTATATTGTCTACTCTTCAGATGAGATACCCATGTTGTACAAAAGGTGTGCTTGGTGAGGATGAAAAAGGGTTAGCATCTGGTGCTAACAATTTGTATAAATGAGTAACCATGAGTAGTTAACGCTTCTGTTACCTCCTCTGTCTTCCTGTTATCAAAAATATACACAGTCAAGCATGGTTTGTTCTGTTAAGTTCGCTGCTTATTCCCACGGCTGAGAGAGGAGTAGTCAAGGTCCGCTGTATGTTGGTGCTGAAATTACAATACGTAACTGTTGCCAAACTGTAACATGCGGGTAATCAGGATCGACAAGCCTCAGCCAGTTGAAAGCCACTAGCGGCTCCACTTATGCACAATGAGTAATTCTTGCTCATGCTTGGCTCGCTTGGACGATAATGATTGGATGCTTGAGAAGCCTGGTTGCTCGCTCTCCGCTTCATTCTTTCACTTGTCAACTTCAGCTCCAGGTTGTAAGCGATGAGAAATTCAATTCTCAACCATTTTTTGGGGGGGCCATCTTGGAACACTACATGTGAAATTTCAGCAGAAGCTGATATAGGCTATCTTCGGTACTATATAATGCACCCGGTTCAACGGAACAACGATCAGATCAGATGTGCCCGCTTCCCACTGGCACAGAGCTATGGTGGGGGTCCTCAAGGAATGATGATTTCATACTCTGTACGGAGTACTTGTGTGCTGTCGCAAGGACATTGGATTTCCCAGTGGGGTCGCCTCATTGGAGGATGTGACCGACTGCTGTGAGACCCGCATGGTTGGAGGGAGCGTGTCTTTGCTGCACAAACAGTGTTATAACCGAGGAATAGCTGAGAGCAAATGTATAGTCTTATTCGAGGGGTACTAACACTGGCTTTTGCAGACGCCCTCGAAATCATTGCCTTGGTCAATTGATCAAAACCTGCCTAACAGTGGACATACTCTGCGGACACCTTCGAATGGGCGAGAATTCGGGTGGATTTTCGAAGTTGGGAAGGCAAAGGTGAGAAACACGAGATGGAAGACCAACTGTTAGGCCGTCATATAGCATTGCAGTTCCTTTTCCCTCCGCCATCCTAGAGGATTTTGCCTCTGTGTGGGTGATAGGTTGAAAGTCGGAGATTGTTTCATATGTCTGAACCGAGGTTATCTGTCCATCTGTGAATATCCATCTGTGGAAAAGCAGAAAATAGTACAGGGGCCAAAGAAAGAAGGGAAAAAAGGGGAGAGGGGTGTGAATTTATCATTGTCAACATCCTCAAATGGTGAAGAGTCCCGTTTCGGTCCGAGATGGAAACCATTCCATTACATCGGGCGCTGCATTGGTTCTCTATTTTGGACGCAATCACGGATTTCGGCCTAGACTAAAGTCGACATGGCTCGTGGACGAGCCGTCAAGACAATCATGCCACTAGGGCTACATCAACTCCTAAGGATTCGTGGAAATTTGTGGCCCATTCAAGATCCGGCATGCTCCTACGAAGTGCAGAGTCTTCGTCCCGGTATGCAGATGCCTGAATCCGTACCGTCCAGACATATAGCAAACAAGCCATCTGAGCTACTTCCAGTGCGTTATAGATACTATTTATGATGAAACTGCAGCAAGATACTCATCTTCACCGTTCTGTATATGTGTAGGAATCGGAATGAGTTATAAATATATGCATGCGGGGTTCAAAATAGTTGCCAAGTTTTCATCTGGGAGGCAGTAACATAGTCGATGCCCTTCGGACGGAGCCGTTTGCGAAATAGCTAACAGCTATGTAGCGGTGCGGAGCAGTTTGATGGGAGTGAATTTCTGGGGGCTCTTAGATTCCTCGATTTCACCGTCGAGATGTTCAAGATCTTCATGGCAGCACTTCTCTTCAATACGGCCACATCAATGATTGTGTAGATAGCCATGTGTATGCCCACCAATTCGGCATCTCTACTTTACTTGGAATCAAGGAATACGGCTGCGATCCATGACCCAGCTTCTCATTAACTATTGCCGATCTACAATCCTTCCTGGATGACGACCTTAAGCAGTATAAGCCAGGATAGAAGTTTCCGGCAAGATATCGTTACCCAACTGGCAGCCGTTCCGGAAGTCCCTAGTTGCGATATGTGCCTGTAACTTGGGCAGCGCTCGGGCCTCATCAAAATTTCTAGGTTTTGTGCGCCGCGGTTCGTTACCGGCCTGGGATTGGGGCAATATTATATTAAGTACGGAGTATCCGTAAAAGTGCTCATATAAGACCTGATATTCAGCATGTCAAAAAAAAAAAAAAAAAGAGAGAGAGAATCCAGTCAAATACTGAGAAACAGCTCTAAAGGTATCATTTGACGTTGACAAGGGGTATATTTTCCAAATAGTTACCTACTGCAATTGGACTAATCATATGACCGATTGAGTGGGAATCAAGAGCAAACGAATGGATAGTACCTTGAACAAAACTGTCACACGGTGGGGATCTTGTCTACAGTCACAGGCAGCAGTACTAATCGGCTACAGATGTGCGCTGTTTGCTACCACTGAACGGAGACTTGCATTTGGCGGGTATATACTTGGGCAGTTTTAGGCCGTGGATATGGGCGTCGGGGCTTTCAAAGTTTCACGGCATCAAACGCAAGCGGTGGCTTCTTTGTGAGCTGGGGGATGTTGCCGTCATTCTCATTTCAGCACCCGCGATTCCGACTGAAACATCCTTTCCCTATTCCATATGTCACGGATATAAGCGGCTGGGGACAGGGTTATTTTGGACTCATGGATGTCAAGGTCCATGGCACCTGAGGAGATACCTTAGGGGCCATGGCGGTGCCTACAGCAGTTCCTGTCCTGAACAGAGCGCTTCCAGTACAGTTCTCAAAAAAGAGACTTTTTTTCCTTGCGCATCAGACTCAGGTTTGCACGACTGGAAGCCTTGAAGAGCGAACATCGGGATTTTCTGCAAGGAAACTTGGCGCGCAGGCATGATGTCGCTCATATTCGAACTCAGCACTTAAAACAGTTCGGTATTATGTCTTCAATGACGTGATTCAATGGCTGATTGTGAAAAAAAAAAAAAATAAAAATAAAAATAAAAAAATAAAAAAATCAAACGCAGACACCATGAGAGGCGGTCAACACGATTAGGGTTCTGTCGCGAGAATTCAATCTGCATGCACGCTCAGGCCAGACGAATACGTCTTCACTTTTATAACACTTTTGAAGGGATCCATGGAAGTGCCTGCATCTACGCCGTATTCAACACGCAGACAGTGGAACAGTCAAAAGTTTCAGGGCTGTGAGGAGAAGTCTTTGATTCGTTCGGTTGACAATCGCTGGGAGCTTCGTCCAGGCGAGCCTCTTAATTTTACCCAGAAATGGTAGTAACTTATGCAAGCCCGAGCAATCGGTATGTATGTATGATTGCGCCGGAATCTTTGCTGGATGCAATTAATGCTGGTCTCGGATTTGTGCCTTGAGGGAATTGGGATCGCGAACTTGCCGTCGAAGCGTTTGTCGAGCGGCGGATATTCTCCCATGGATAGTGAATAGCGCCACCTGGCGTATGTTCAGCCAGCGCAGTCGAGCAAACGGCCTTGAGCGGAAATTTGTAGGTCCGAAGACCAACGCAGGCGACCATTCGACATGCAAGGATGGCCCTGTTGCTCCAACCGTCCAGCGGGTCGCGAACCGAAGCCGTGGCAATCGAGCCTTTCCTTTTCATTTCCTAGGCGTTCGTTCGGTAGCACTTGTAAAGCGGGCATTTGGTGCTTATTCTCCGTTGTGTGGAGTGAAGCCCAGCTCCGCCCTTCTTCGCAGGGTGGTAAAGAGATGCTCTCCGTTTATCTAGGAGTTCTAGAACGGTTCTCGCTTCTCTTATGATGACAGGGATTTCGCGGTTCCCAAGCCGACCGCTGGCCGTCATTTCCACTGGCCGTACTCAGTACTTAGGGTCAAGTGCAGGTCTCCTTCAAGCCCCACCAATCACTTTTTGCGGACATGAGGTTTTCTGGAAATGCTCTCTGCTGTGCAACAATTGCCTTGGGGCAACGAATGACAACAGCGCTTTATGGTAGCTAGTTTGGAGGGAAAAAAAAGAAAAAAAGAAAAAAAGAAAAGGAAAAAAATGCATTTGCAACGACAGAAAAGATGGGTGATCGACGTCAATTTTGCGAAGCCCATCGCCCAAAGAAAGCACTTGGAACCTACTCAATCCAGCTTAGTGCAACGGATGGCAGCGGTTGTGTGTGGACGGGATGTCGAGCCATCCCCGTGTCTGGAGGGATTGCGGGAAACGAAACCCCCCAGACAACACAGATTCGGCGGTAAGGATCATCTTCAGTGCTACCTTAGTGGATACCCAAGCCATCGTAAAAGATGCGCCGCGCGCCCGTTTGCCTGGGGTCTGTTGAGGGGAGGATCGCTAGCGAGATGGGGTTACCTTGGACGACATGGTATCCAGTTGGCCGCAGTACTTAAAGAGCGCGATGCCCTGGCCATCCCGGTTTGCGGGGTTGGGTGGAAAAGCACGTCTCCAGGCAGCTACTTCGTCTTCTTGAAGAATATTGTTTGCCGCCATGGTGTTCAAAATAGGGGCTTGCCTGCTTTTGTGGGCGAGTGCGGTCCATGCCCGCGCACCTGTCATCCCCATCGGCGAGTTTACTCCAAGGGTTTGCATCACCGTTCCTTTGCTGACCAGAACGAAAAGCCACGAGTGGACGCTGATAACTCAACCAGGTGAAGGCCCCATCTGCTTTGGCTGGCGACGACCTGACAAGCTTATACCCTTCCCATACAATTTCAATTCCGATTGACCACTTCCATACGGACGATAGATATGCACCCCATTCCAACGGGACGTTTGAGCTGCGCTATTGGTTCGATGCCAGCCATTACAAGGACGGTGGCCCGGTGATTGTTTTGCATGGCGGGGAGACAGATGGTGAAGGTAAAGAAAATAACGCGGCTAGGCAAACAGTTTCGTCCTTCGCCTTACTGACAACTCCTAGGCCGATTGCCCTTCTTACAAAAGGGAATTTTGGGTCAGCTCGCTCAGGCTACAAACGGAGTTGGCGTCGTCTTGGAACACCGCTACTATGGAACAAGTATTCCGACAGAGGACTTTTCAACCAAGAACCTGCGATTCTTGACAACCGAGCAGGCGATGGCGGATTCGGCATATTTTGCTAAGAATGTCGTGTTCGAGGGCCTCGAGGACAAAGATTTGACAGCACCAAACACCCCATATATCCTGTACGGTGGTTCATATGCTGGCGCGCAAGTTGTGAGTCCACCCTCTCGGTTTGTGCGTGATCGAATTGCTTATACAGGCCGATGATCAGGCTTTCCTTCGCGTTGAGTATCCAGATATCTTCTGGGGAGCAATCTCATCTTCCGGCGTAACAAAGGCTATTTGGCATTACTGGCAATACTACGAACCTACCCGGAAGCACGCCCCCCAACACTGCGTTAAACAAACACAGACTTTCGTTGACCTTGTTGATAATATCGCTCTTCGCGGAAAAGACCCTAAGGTTACCCAGCAGCTCAAGGAATTCTTCGGGCTTGGCGAATTGACTCACAATGATGATTTTGCAAACGTGCTAGCGTTCGGAATTTCCGGCTGGCAGGGTACCAACTGGGATCCCGATATCTCTCGGCCTACCTTTGCCAAGTACTGTGACACGATCACCACTGATCGTCTTCTGCAGCCTGTATCAGAGGAGCAAAAGGAGCTTGCAACATCCTTGATCAAAGCAGGCAAATATGGGCGGCACGGCAAGAAACTCAAGAACCGCCTCCTCAATTATGCCGCATGGGTCAACACTACCTATGCTGCCCCTTGTCTTAGACGAGGAAGCACCCTTGACACTTGCTTCGGGACTCATGATCCAGAGTTCTATAAGAGAGATGACACAACGCAGGAATGGAGATTGTGGTATTATCAGGTTTGCACTGAGTAAGTGGCGGCAGTTTCCTCCTAAATTCTCTGTTCTACCCTGCATGGTTATGCCGCCAATCAGAAAAAAAAAATGTTGGAACAAGCTATACTGATGTGGCTTATTTAGATGGGGCTTCCTTCAAACGGGAAGTGGTGTTCCAAAATTCATTAAACCTTTGGTTTCCCGAATGATCGACCTCGAATACACTACCATCATGTGTCGCGAAGCTTATGGCCTCCATGGAGAAGCTGACGTTTCGCGGGTTAACAAATGGGGCGCATTTGACATCGAATACCCTCGTCTCGCAATTGTTGACGGCGAAGCCGACCCATGGGTTGAGGCTACCCCACACGCGACCTTTGCTAGACCACGGAGAAGCACTGTCGACAAGCCATTTATCTTGATTCCTGACGCCGTGCATCATTGTAAGTACTACCCATTGCGCCCAAGAGGAGATAGGCGGCTTAATAAATTCTTCTAATGCACTTTTAGGGGATGAGAATGGCGTCTTCCCCAACCAAACTACACCAGACTTCCCACCTGATCGGATTAAGAAAGTTCAGGCTCAAGAAATCGCATTTGTGAAGAAGTGGCTGAAAGGTGAGTCTGTAATCCTTCTTTTGCTATGCCCCCCGCAAACTCAATCGAATGTTTGCAAAGTCAATAGCGCTAACAGAGTTTACCATAGACTGGGAACGCGAGCACAACCGAGACTAAACAAAGTAATTATGGTTATATGCGACGTAAACGTAATCTTTTTGCTAATAGCTGCTGTTCAAGGATGGCAGACTTATTGTTTAAATTATGGGTAGGTATACTCACACATACAATGACATATATGCACATACACAGTCATAAGTTTCATGATACATCTGCCTGATCCCAGTTCAGGCGCCACTTTCTACAAAATACACAAATAAACTTTGGCCTCTGATGCCCCGCACAAGCTAATCACATCATATCACTCGCGCCAGACTGCCTCAATTACCACGAAGAAGGCGAGCGGGTTAGCATCAACACGAGTAATTTCAAACCGCTCATCCGCAGCACGGAAAATGCCCTTCCATGCATCAACCGGGCGTTCCTTGGCGTTGAACAACGCCATCATCCGCAAATCCGTCGCGGTACCCATTTGCTGAATCGAACGCGGCAATGGTGGGCCTTCTCTTTCCTCGCGCTTGCCGACGTAGTCGATAAATATGACACGAGCACCAGGCTTCATGGCGGGCACTAAGCTCCGTAGGATTTGGATTGATTCTTGATCGGGCCAGTCGTGAAGGATCATTTTGATCATGTAGATGTCGGCCTGGACGGCTTGCGGATGGAAAAAGTTGTGTTCCATGAAGGAGACACGCGATTTGAGGGCTGCGGGCAGATTCGCCTCAAACGTAGGTCTCACCTGGGGCAAGTCTTGCACAGTAATGGTGAGATCAGGGTAGTTTTGTGCGAGGACCACGTCATCGTGGCCGCCTGAGCCACCGACCTCCTTAAAGTTAGCTAAATTCGGGGTAATTTTCGAAGACAAGAAAATAGATGAAAGAACTGCTCGAGAGATACGTGGTACTCACATCCACTACGGTCGCCTTCCCTGCTCCTTTCCAATCATAAGATTTCAACACGACTTCCTCGAGGCGGAAAATTTCTTTAATGTAGCGCATGAACTCAACAAAGTTCCTCTGACGCCATCCCTTTCTCTCTCCCTCGCCATCGTTTTCAATGAACTCCCAGCAGTTGGCGTACTTTCCGAACAGACCACCGCTATGGAGCAAAGCAAACGACGTCTCATTCATATTTTTCGTCAAGGTAGGTTTTCCACAGGTGTATTTCTGCAGAGCCTTGTTCATGACCATCATGGGCGGTCCCGCGTCATCCAGAATTGTGGAAACAAGAGCCCTGAGCCCAGAAGAACGAGCTAAAGCGGCGGACCGCGACGTATGTTGAATACGAGATGACAACTTTCCAGGCTCTGTTTCTGCAAAGATGCGGAGAGTTGTCGCATGCGCTAAGATACGTTGAACAACTTCTTCTGGAAGAGAAGTATGTTTGGCGATATCTGCATATGAACCAGAGCCATCCAGCGGCACACTGGACCAGAAGTCGAAATAATTCAGGAGATGGAGAGCTGCGGCATCAGGCATGCACTGTAAAAGTTAGGAGGCTCACGGTTCTACAGGAAACAGGAAACGGGAAGCAGGAGGAGAAACGCGTACAGTATGAACATAGTTGAAGATGCTCTCACTCGGTCCCTGAACCAGGTACCACATATCCATAAGAGTATCCGATAGCATCTGACGTGTCAGAAAGCTTTCTGGAGATAGATTGCTATAGCTTGTAGGGCTATCTGCGGCAAACGTTGGCGGCGGGACATTATTTTCCTGGAGGTAGTCGGTAAATTCCTTCGCAAGCTCGGTGACCCTAGCTGCGAGATCATTGAGTGTTGGTTGATGGTCTGCCATTGTGAGAATTAGTCAACTGCGCCTGGTTAAGAGCGAAATACGAAATGAACAAGGACCGAGAAGCAGGAGATGATTGGCAATTGATGCATTTATATATTGAAATATTTTGCGTGCGAATCTTATCAGTTCAAGCTTTTGCACTCCACCGCTGCATGGAATCTCTAACGGTCTTTCCATTTGCGATGTAACGTGTATTCCATTTCCGGAATCCTGGTGGCCAAGCCACAAGTTGGGCGGAACGAAGTTCCAATGCAGGAGTAAAATCAGATAAGATCATCTTATCAATCAGATAGTTAATGACGACTGTGTGTTTTGACCCACTTTTGCTACGCCGCAAAGAGGAAGCGCTGGCTGCCCATGTCTCAAAACAGCACCGCCGCAGGGAGATTCTTGAGCGAAAAAGTCTTCGGTGGCACTGAGCAAGTTTCTCGAACATGCCAAAAAAATCTTGTTTGACCCCTGCTGGCATGAAGAAAATTCTGATGGCCCCCACTTGGGCAGGAAATCCGAATATATCCCTCAAGATCAGTCGACCGCAAAAGTTGTAGCTTGACCATGAGACGTGCGCGGATGAATGTCCCTCATTCATCTGATGTGCGCACTACATCATCTTAGATTCCTTGATAGTAAAATTCAGGGAAGCCTTTCCAATACTCTGTAAATCCGCGAGAAAGTTTGCATTGTGACCAGATTGACTTCTTCCATTTTGCGGTAAGATCGGCTGTGGATCGAGTGTCCGGGAGTCAAAAAGGGTGGAGACCGTGGCGCGAAGATTTGCAGGGTCATGCCCTGATGCACAAGCGGGTGCCATGTCCTCTGTATGCATGGCGAAATCAGGATGGAAAATCCACGGCTGTTCAGTTTCGCAACGCAAGACGCTCGGCTGCCAGTTGTCATTCCCACACAATAATTAAACCATGCCCGAGTGAGAGCTAGTATTAGAGATCATTGTTTCTGATGGTGGTTCGGTCGCTACCTTGGTCTGTTCCAAGTCGAACCATCATCCCTTGATCGGAAGCACTGGACCCATTTTTGCATCCCTGTTGCGTGTAACCTGGGCTTGTGGTGACCATAATATCAACGAACTACATCACCGAGGGGTGAAGGATAGGTAGGTGTCCGGACGTCAAAAGCAAATCTCAACAAGGAGAAGCAGGTTCGAAGACGCCACAGGTCTGTAGGCCGTGGAATGTCGCTCTTGACCTCCGGACGGAGTTCTACTATCACCTATGAGGCACATAGAGGCTGGGATAAAGCAAAGGGACCAGCGGGGTAAATGGTAAACAGCCGATCAGCATCTCGTCGCCGGCCAGAGGATGCCAGCGGCAACGAACTGGGCTGTGGAGGAGGCCTCTTCTGGTGTTGAGAGACGGCACGAGAGCAGACATACTCACGTGACATCGGGATTTTGCAGGGTGCGTGGCGGAGAAGCATAGGGGGGTGTCGAAACCGGACGTGTGAGATGTTGGAGTATTACTCCGTACTTGGTCCTCTTGGAAGGCTTGCCAAAGGGCAGGCAAAGTTGAAGGCGACTTGCCTGTGCCTTGATCTTGGGAATATCTCCGACGCCACCGGCACTGCTTTTTGCCTACTTCCAAGTTCCAATCAGCGCGTTCCACAGCGGCACGAGCGAGGGTGTGCGTCTCTGAGCCGCCAGGCGGGTACGCGCACTCACCTTCACCAGGGGGCCTGAACACGAGCAGATCAGCCGCGCTCCCACCCTTGCGGGAATCTGTCAGCGGCCGGGGAAATTGACAAACAGGCTGACGTCGTTAGGTTGGTTGGTCAAATTTTGATCGAGCTCCATCAGTTCAACAACGACGACGACGAGTTCGGAGTATTGCTTTTAAATCCGATCGACTTGTTGCACTCCGTTCTCCGTGTTCGCAGTGGGTAAACCCCAAGCGTCTCCAACAAATAGAAATTGCAACCGTTGAACTACAGATGTTTTTAATTGAACAGGGCCCAGGCCGAAGCCCCGTTTCCCACCAACAGCAATCCAGAGTAATCCTGCTGACCTCCGTACCCCGGACCGTCCCAGCACCATTCCCGAAAAGACCTTCGACTCAGCATTGGTCCAACCCACCCGCTCGCTTCTGCTTGCTTTTTGAGAGACGCCGCAACTCAGGCTTTACGTGTCTCACCACCCACCGTTTTCTATCCCTGTGAAGACGTCCGTCGAGACGCCCCGCAGCCCTGGCTCGAAGCAGGAGGAGCATCGAGCTCGTCGAATTCGACCACAATACCGCCAAGCCTTCTCACCAGCGAAGCAGCTCAACTCCCCCCAACGAAAATAGGGCGCGCAGCGGAAACTTCCCCGATCGAGCGGGGCGCTTTCATTTATTCGGGAAGAGGAGAAGGGACACCAGATCTGGGGCATTCCACCGCATCAGGGGCGATCAAGCAGCGAAGGGAACTGAACCCGATGGGTTCAAGGGTGGAGACGGAGCTGACGATAGGAATTATTCTCAACGAATAAATCGACTCTGTGGTCCTTTCAGCTCCCGTTCCTTAGCACGGTTAGCGACCGTAGAGGAAATCATGAAGTTCTCACATAGTATCCAGTTCAACGCGGTGCCGGAGTGGAGTGAGCACTACATTGCCTATAGCAATTTGAAGAAACTGTGAGTATACTACAGACTGACTTTTACAGCGCGTATTTATTGAGCTGCCCTGCTAATGTCTTTTTCCTCGTGTAGAATATACTCCCTTGAGAAGCAGGTAAACAATCCGGAGTTACAGGAAGATGCAGAGTTCGAACGGGCTCCGTTACTCGATAGCGCTCTTGACACGGACTCGATATTTAAGCGAACACTAGATGGGGAACTAGAAAAAGTATGCTCCTTTTATCATGCAAAGGAGACCGACTTATACAAGGAGGTGGAGGATGTGGTCGATGAGGCAGAGTCGTACATGACGGACAGCGTTGGGTTCAACATGGACTCCGTTGCCGATTCCATGGTCAAATCGAGGACGTTCAGTTTCGGGAATTATAATCGACGAGCAAGTACGTTTCGGGGCGCAGGCCACTCCAATGACCGTAGAGCAAGCACCGCCGGCGAGTCGGTTGCAGGTGGAGAGGGAAACCCTCATGAAGACGACGCCTATAGTGAAGAAGACGTTGATATATCCGAGCTCCCTTCTCACGATATACGGAGACGCTCAATGTCGCTGAGAGAGCCTGATGGAAGGGAACCTTCAGATGGACATGCGATTAGCGAAATGAGTGACTCGAGACTTTTTGGAATGGCCTCTGACCTTGGACATGAACATGACCCACATCTATTGGCTTTGTACAATGCTGGTGTCAGTTTGAAGAAGCATATCATCAGCATCTATGTCTCCCTTTGCGGGCTCAAGTCCTTCATTCAGTTGAACCGCACTGGGTTTTCAAAAGCGCTGAAGAAGTATGACAAAATCCTTGATCGGAGCTTGAGGCGAGGTTATATGAACACCACCGTTTCTACTGCGTACCCGTTCACAAATCAAACCATCCAGCACCTAGATGACAAAATTGCTAGAATTGAACGACTTTACGCAGATACTGTCACTAAGGGTGACCTTTCGCTTTCAAAGCGGGAGCTTCGATTACATCTTCGAGAGCATGTGGTCTGGGAGCGGAATACCGTTTGGCGTGAGATGATAGGAATTGAAAGAAAGGCGCAAGCCGCGAACATGGGTATCCGAAACACTCTACTTGGTGGTGCTCAAGATGCAGAGGCCGCACGGAGACAGGGCGATGAACAGGAACCTCCAACGAAGGAAATTGTTACTCCCGTCGGCAGATGCCCTGTCCCAAGATGGATGTTAACATCGAACTTTGCAACCTTAATTGCAATATTGATTATATTTTCAGTTATGCTCGCCGTGCCAATCATGGACGAACCTGAGCAGCAGAACTGCCTTGCAATGTTGGTTTTTGTTAGTTTGCTATGGGCGACTGAGGTACCTACATCTCTCCTAAATGCTTATGATATTTCCCTAACTGTGTGTTTAGGTTATTCCGCTTTTCGTGACGTCAATCCTAATACCGTTCCTCACTGTTATTCTTCAAGTGATGAGGTCCGATGAAGACCGCTCACGATTGCACCCTAAGGATGCCGCAAAGTACGCCTTTGCGTCGATGTGGACTTCCGTCATAATGTTGCTACTTGGTGGCTTTACCATTGCGGCAGCGCTATCCAAACATGACATCGCCCGCCGGATGGCCACTTTCGTCCTTAGCAAAGCCGGTACAAGGCCGCGAACAGTGTTGGTTACGAATATGTTTGTCAGCATGTTTTTAAGTATGTGGATTAGCAACGTGGCAGCACCCGTGCTTTGCTACTCAATCATCCAGGTGTGCTATGAACCATATTCCCCTTGTCGTATTCCCTGCTAATTTCCTGATACAGCCCATGCTTCGGAATCTCCCTCCCGATTCCCGATTTTCCAAAGCCCTCGTCTTGGGGATTGCTCTGGCGTCAAATGTCGGCGGCGCTGCTTCACCTATTGCATCACCCCAAAATATCATTGCATTGCAGAACATGTATCCACCTATTAGCTGGGGTACCTGGTTTTTCATTTCGATACCTGTCTGCGTAATTTGCATTCTTCTTATCTGGGTACTTCTTGTTGCTACCTTCCACCCCGGGCGAGGTACCACCATCGTGCCCATTCGCCAAGTCAAGGATAAGTTTTCTGGCGTTCAATGGTTCATCACGATCGTGACACTCATAACCATTGTCTTGTGGTGTGTCAGCCATGAAATGGAAAGCACATTTGGAGATATGGGAGTCATTGCCATTATACCGTTAGTTCTTTTCTTCGGTACCGGAGTTTTAAATAAGGAGGACTTCAACAATTTCCTATGGACCATCATTATTCTTGCATCTGGGGGCCTTTGTCTCGGAAAAGCGGTCACTTCCTCTGGCCTTTTGCATACCATTGCTCGCGGAATTACGCATCGTGTCGAGAACCTCAGCCTATACGGAGTTATGTTTACCCTTTCATCACTGATCTTAATTATCGCCACCTTCATCTCACATACTGTTGCGGCATTGATCCTACTGCCACTAGTGCATGAAGTTGGCAGCGCAATGGAGCACCCTCATCCTAGCTTGTTGGTTATGGGGGCCGCATTGATGTGCTCTGTTGCTATGGGTTTGCCTACCAGCGGCTTCCCAAATATGAGTAAGTCCTTTATCCCTCACGATCTCTCTTTTGTGCTTGTCGCTGGGCTAACATTTCTCGATAGCCGCTATAATGATGGAGGTGCCGGAGACCGGACAACGATATCTTCGAGTGAAACACTTTATTTCCCGAGGTGTCCCGGCCAGCGTGATATCTTTTGCCGTTGTGGTCACTGTTGGATATGGTCTGATGCTAGTAGCAGGATTGTAATTTCTTTTCTTATTCGTTTTCTATGCACTCTTTTTTCTTCTAGAAGCTGTCATCTTACTGGGCAAACCTCGGCGTGTTCGCGAAATATCCTTCTAGAATTTGGGTTTCTGGGCTGCATTGTTAGGACGGACACGGCTGATAGAATATCCATGTTAAATGAATGTACTCGTTGATCCACAGCTCTCTGAGGCAATCTATGCTTGTATATGTTTGTGGATAGAATATCAAGATATTCTGGGAGAGAATTGAAATGATTTAAATACCCACTTGAAGTTGCGGTCTGAGGGCCCGTTGTTGTCTCAAGTGACCCAATTAGTCCTGAAGAATGGCTGTGTGCGCGGAGTGTTCCAGGGACCCTATGTTCTTGAAACTTTTGAACAGCCTTCCCGCCGGCAGAGCATGAAACCTTTTTGCAGATCCTTGAACACAGGGGGAGGTCTTTTCTAGCCCAGCAAATCAGCACCACGGATCGATGCACTTTCTCCCCGGTGGCAATTGTCGGGTTGGTCCCACTCGCCGAACGGGACCAAATCACTCTCCTTTGTGTCTGGACGATGCGTGCAGGATGCTGGATTCGATTGATCTTATTTGTTCGCTGGAATATTATCAGGAACGGGAGGGGATTGACAAATTGCACACGGACCACACGAGTCGGAGGATGAACATGTGAGTCCCGTGATATGACAGCCCCAGAGGCTGCACTGTCCGACGTCCCGATAAATCCTATAAGGATTGGGAACTGCATCAATAACTACATAAAATAGACCGCTACCCAAGGTCTCTTATTCAACAGTTCGATAGGAGAATGTCCTGTTGGTAGGAAAAGCTTATGAGTTTTATCCTAAGTCGAATAGTTTTATTTGCAAGCTCGAACGAGAACTATGAAGTCGACTATCGCAGCCCTGCTACTAACTTCATCCCTTCATTTCACCGCTGCGTTTAGCACGTCTCAGTTCCTACTGAGAAATGTGAACTCAGCCCCAAAGCAGTGTCCTGTTGATGTCGAGCTAAGTTGCCATAATACCCGCCCGGTGGAGGATACTTGCTGCTTCAACGCGCCTGGTGGATTGATCCTTCTTACTCAGTTTTGGGATGCGCAACCGGCGACGGGGCCGGAGGATTCGTGGACTCTTCACGGATTATGGTGCGTCCCTTTTGATCTCAACCACATGCAATTCTTACCTATCGACATCCCCTCGTTTGCTAGGAGCATGGAGCCGTTGAAGCTAAGCCTTCTACAGGCCTGACAATTGCGACGGATCTTTCGAGCAGTACTGTGACAAGAACAGAGAATATAAAAACGTTACAGATATATTACAATCTCATGGCAAGGAGCATTTACTTGAATACATGAGTACTTATTGGAAAGATTGGAAAGGCAATGACGAAAATCTCTGGGAGCACGAGTGGAACAAGCATGGTACTTGCATCAGCACACTGGAGACCCGCTGTTACTCGGGGTATAAACCTCAGGCAGAAGTGGTTGACTACTTCGAAAAAGCAGCCGAGATGTTTGAGGGATTGGATACTTATAAGGTTGGTGGCATTACTTTACAGTGCTTGGTTTCTGCTGAACGACAACTGATGCGAAAATTATAATCAGGTTTTAGCTGCGGCCGGAATTGAGCCACACCCGACAAAGACGTATACGTTGACAGAGCTCCAGGATGCAATCTCAAAAAGTCATGGCATGGAAGTCACTCTGAACTGTAGAGACTCACGTTTGAATGAAGTCTGGTACTTTTTCAATGTAAAGGGCAGCCTACAGTCAGGGACATACGTACCAACTAAACCAGGTTTGTTCTGACACCGGACAAAGAGAGCCTTTCACCTTTCAATCTTGCGGCGTTTTTCTAACCATTCATCCTGAAGGTGGTGCCTCATCAACGTGCCCGGAAAGCGGTATCAAGTATCTTCCCAAGGGTGGATCCAGCCCGACATCATCTACACGCTCAGGTGAACCTACGTCCACCGGAAGCTCCCCTTCGCCGACTGGAACTGGAGGCGCCTTTCAGGGAAAGGGTCATCTTGAAGTGACTTCGGGTAACAAAAGGACCGGCTGCCTTATCAGTTATGGTACTTGGTATAGCACAGGCACCTGCGCAACATTTACGGCTACCCGTTCTGGAGATGGTTTCACCTTGCGTTCCAGTAAAGGTGATTGTGGCATTAGGAATTCGGTTTTTGAGTGCGATACGGATGTGGAACCCAGCGTATTCACGGTGAGTTGTTTATGCTTACGAATAAAGTATATTTCATGTATGCTCTTGGACGGAACCCGAAGCCTAACCCTCCCTACTTGCGGAATAGGCCGACGACGAGAAGCTTGCGTTTGGTGGCAGCTCAACTTTTTCTGCAGATGAGACCCCACGAGGGACAACGCAAGTTCCTATTTATACCGGTGGCCGCTCGATTGAATTGACGATAGGCTGGAAGAGAATCTGAACGAAGAATCCAGTAACTTTACGATGGTTTTGTATATGGATCGCTTGGCTGTAGATGCAGTTTGTGGGCCACTGCAACAGGAAATAGAAAGCATGCTTTTTTGCTAGAAAATAGAAGGTTAACGAGCTTCACACGCCTCATAGGGCAATGAAAGTCCTGTAGGGAAGGCAAGATGTGAAATCCATGACAAACGTCGGTGGCTTTGTATCCAGACAGCCGGCGAGGTCTCGGTATTCGAAGGCTTCCGTTCCATCTTGTTCATCCGGAGTACACGCAATCGTGATCATCTGGAAAAAAAAAAAACTGTGTAACTAGGTAGAGAATCCAAGATGTCTGGATGCTGGAGCTGTAAGGACTGGCGTGCCATAAGCAGCAGCAGCAGCAGTAACAGCAGGTCGGCGAGGTGGTTTGACGTGTAGGTGTGCGTCTGGAAGTTCCTGGCCGCCTTAAGGTGGGACGCGCGCTAGGACCAATATGGACTAGCGTTTTCTTAGGGTAGGGCAATTTTGAACAAGCGAGCCACTGTGCGAAATTCTGTCCTAACCGTCGACGACAAGCCTCAATCAACCCGACAACCCCTCGACATTGCCCACCGCGTTGCTTTGGCGAAGGACTGCAAGATAAGAGGTGAGGACCGATTTCGCTGCATTTCTTTGGGAATTTTCGCCGCGTTTGTTTGGGAAACATGATCGAATTTGGTCCAGGAGCGACCTCATCTATTGTCAACCTGCTGGATACTCGGTCTCTCACGCGCGCGGTTCTATTCAGCGCGAATGATTTCCACCTGACTTTCCGGAGAAGATTTTCTTTTATTTTATTTGGCCGATTGCGCTGACTTTTCTTTCGTTTTGGGCCATCCAGAGTAGTCCAGTCCAGAAACCGCAATCATGGGTATCTCCAGAGATTCACGCCACAAGCGTTCAGCTACCGGTGCGAAGCGGTCCCACTACCGAAAGAAGAGGTACGGATAGTCCTGTCGCCGATTTCGTCTTCCGTTTAGACGTTTCCCTTTTGAATTTTAAACCGCATATATTCTTACACACATCTGGGTATTAGAGCTTTCGAGAAGGGCCGTCAGCCAGCCAATACCCGTATTGGTCCTAAGAGAATCCACGTTGTCCGCACTCGTGGTGGAAACCAAAAGTTCCGTGCTCTCCGTCTTGAATCCGGCAACTTTTCATGGGGATCCGAGGGAGTCGCTCGTAAAGTCCGTGTGATCGTTGTCGCCTTCCACCCTTCGAACAACGAACTTGTCCGCACCAACACCCTCACCAAGTCCGCTGTCGTCCAGGTCGACGCTGCTCCTTTCAGAACATGGTACGAAGCACACTACGGCCAGCCCTTGGGCAGAAGACGTCAGACTAAGGCCGCCGATGCCGAGGAGGTCAAGAAGTCCAAGAGCGTTGAGAAGAAGCAAGCCGCCCGATTTGCCGCCCACGGAAAGGTTGAGCCAGCTCTTGAGAGACAGTTCGAGGCCGGTCGTTTGTATGCGGTTATTTCTTCTAGACCTGGTCAGAGCGGTCGGGTTGATGGTTACATTCTTGAGGGCGAGGAGCTCGCTTTCTACCAACGTGCTATCAGAAAGTAAAGCACTTTTTGATGGGGTTTTCGGTCGGAGTTCCTGCATTTGCAAAAATTATGTTGATGAGCAGTACCAACGCATGCATGTTTGTAGAACTCTGGGCTACCTTGAATTACCAATCGGAATGAAATTTTCTTTTTACTTTTAATGAACAAAAAGAAATAATATATTGTTCCCAGATAAACGAGACCGTTTTGGAAATGACTCATTCGGTACTACTTAGAATCAAGAAACCCGCCCTACCAACTTCATCAGCCCCAAACTGTATACATTCACTGTATTCTATGTACTAGTTATGTTCGGTGGTCATACGGAGTAGTGAGCCAAGAAATGTGCCACATTGGTTGAGTAATCCCCGTCAATAAAATCCCAGGGCTCCGTCCTGGAAGAACGGTAGACCAAAACGAGGGGCCTTTGAACAAGCTCTTCGGGATCCAAACACAACATTGCTTCAGGCCAGATCAAGACTAGCAACTCTATTTCAACCACTATGGCGGCGGGTATAGAGGTAGAGCTGGTGAAAACCCGCATTTGCATGATTTCCGATACGCACAATTGTTCGCCGCTGCCTCCAGGAGAGGTACATACGCCGTACAGACGCCCGCTGCCTTCGGCTGACGTCCTTCTTCATGGCGGGGACTTGACCTTTGTCGGCAGGGAGAAGGAGCATCAAGGGATGATTGACATGCTTAAAGAGGCAGATGCTGAGCTGAAAATTGTCATTGGCGGAAACCACGATATAACGCTTGATGAGGAATACTACAACTCTGTCGGCCATTTAAAACACAAGTGGACAGGACCTGAGGATCTTGCCAAGATCCGAGAGCTATACTGCGGGGAAGAAGCCCAGAGATACGGCATCGTCTATATGGAAGAGGGCGTACGGACGTTCAGATTAAAGAATGGTGCTCAATTTACCATTTATGCGACTCCATATCAGCCCGAGTTCTGTCGATGGGCATTTGCCTACAATCGTGCTCATGACCGCTTCAACCCATCTCCAGAGGGCGCACTGTTCCAAGCGCAGAACCCAGTCCCATCATTTCCTGACGTGCACATATTGCTAACCCACGGGCCACCGTTGGGTTTTCTGGACCTGGTTCATTCAAGTACACACGTCGGCTGTCAACATCTCCGTGGAGCAGTGGGCCGCGCAAGGCCTCTAATCCATTGCTTTGGGCATATCCATGAAGGCCACGGAGCCGTGAGGATGAACTGGGATGCTGATTCCTTGAAAACCATCCCCCAAAATAGGGCCGAAGAGTTGAAGAATCGATGTGCGTTCGTGGATCTAAGTCGCGATGGTGGTGATCCTCTAAGATTTGGAGCAGAGACGTTGTTTGTGAATGCATCCATTATGACCCAGCGATATGATCCGCTGAATGCCCCATGGTTGGTAGACGTTGACCTCCCACGAGTGTTAGATGAGGAGATGATCGGATAAGCCCTTAAAAGCCGGGCTCTCTTTCCTGCTTTTGTTGCCACGAGCCTAAAGAGCAAAGAATTTATCCAGCCATTATATTCTAATTTGGTTCGAGTCTCTGGTTAAGCGTATCTCAAAATCGCAGCACCGCCCGACGATAGCTTAGATTCGCTTTCTAGAGGACTCAACCGATCGGTTAAAAACCTTGATTATTTGAGCCCCGTGGTGACAATGTACGCAACTTTGGCGACCTTATCGGACCCTAGATCTGATGCTTCGCTCCTTTACGCATTATATTTACTTATCTTCCGGATATTCCAATAAGCGCTCCACAGGCATCAAGACCGGCTGGAAAAACTCGATATTTCTTCGAGCGAACTTACAGCCCAACATGGAGGTTATATAGGGATCGACAAATGGCTTTTGGACTGCCTCACGCAAGGTTTTCGATAGACGATCTGAGGAGTGCCACCTCATCTGTCAACCAGTGCTATTATCTTAGAGCTGAATATCTCCTGCACGTGGTCAAGTACCATAATGAAATGTCCGTTGAACTTTAGAAATAATGAGATTGATTGATTGTCTTTTAATAAATGCCAAACACGGATATGCACGTACATACTCAGTATGTATATGCACATGCCTTTCTCTCCTCCTGGCTGAGCTCAACGGAGTACTGTAAAGCCCAAGGACCTTGAGAGACAGTTCCCACCCTACAGAGAACTTCAGCCTAGAGTGTGCACTGTACCCACGGCATCCGCTATGGTTTGGCAAATTTCTTTCGATCGTTGAAGTCCTCTGTTGATTGTCCATATCCTTGGGAAAGGCGAGCGAGGTTTAGCGAACAAAGCGCGGGATGTTGTCTTGCAAAACATGCCGTAAGCCACTTTTTCTGAGGATAAGATATCTCTCTTCAAAAATATCTCATGCCATAGGCTATTTACAAGTGATATGCTTTTTTCTGAGCGAGATTGAGACATCGCGCACCCAATTGATCATATTCTCTGCATTGAAGCTTCGGAATTTTTCATATCTGTTCAATAGACCTTTATCGATAGGCGCGACACATTTCGATATTCTTTCTCAATTAACTAAATATGTGCTTGTCGTAGAGGATCGCATTTGCAATGGAAAGGCACGAACTTTCTGGAACGAACTTTCTGGAACCTCAGGGCGAAGCTCTTTATCATTCAAGTTTTTCGACAAGAGAATTATGCTTCGAACCGGTTCCTTTGGTCAAGGTACTCGAAACACATCCGTATTGCCTTTTCACCTGTTCTTATTCCTCCGTTGTCGACAGGCGGCTAGCGAGAAGTTGATGGTCGAGTCAAAGGGGTTGTGATTCCCTTGATTTTTTTTTCCTGTTAATGAGTGGTGTCTCGGTGTGTGGAAGCGTGCACGTTTTATCGGAACCTCTCGCCAGAGCCGAGTTTTAGGCTTCACGAAAGATTGCCTAGATGTACGCAGACGCTTTCTGATGGAAAGCCTGGAAATCAAGCCTAGTGTTCGTTAGTCACAATGAGAACTGATCATATATGGTTGGACTGGAAGCGCTTTTCGAGATGCAGTCTCATCACTAAGCCTGTAGCTAATCGCGAGCTGCATAAGCTCTGTACGACGTGTTAGCTTGGTGTGCTGGCCATGTCCTCTGTATGTCACACGGTACACTATTTTTCATGTGCGAAGGGCATTCGATTCGACAACGCGATGTGCAACGGGGTCGCGGCTGGGCGACACCAGCAGCGTGCGGCGCGCAGGGACCTGCGGCGAAAAGGTTAGCCGTGTTTCTCCTCCTAACCATGTCACCTGCGTGGTCAGGGCTTAATTGCCGTGCAGAATGCGAGACAAAAAAGGCATCCCGCAAACCCCGTCCGGTCTCCGCTGGTCATGTTGGGCGCATACAAGCAATGATAGCGTTACATCTGAGCGCTTCTGGTAAAATGTCACACTAGCAGCGCGTACCGGGGCAGCTGACACTTGACACTGACACCGACATCGACAACCGAGCATGTCGGCACCCTTCGCTTCTCGCTAGTTCTCTAGGGAAATATGAGGAGCTTCAATGAAAGGAGGGCTTTTTTTTTTTTGTTTTGGTCCTTCCACTGCTAGTTGCGCTTTAAAATTGCACAGGTTACATCTGGGGATGCTCTCTGGGTCTTCCGCGGGTCAACTCCACGATAGCAGAGGGAATTACCTCTGCAGTCTGGTCACAGTCCGGGAGCTGCAGTGGATCTCTCAGTAAATGGCGTGGCAAGGTTGCACATTAAAGAAAGTTACCCATCGGAGACTGGCTGGCTGGTTCCTCCCCACGCTTCCCTATTTTCATATCATTCGCTTTGCTGTGGAGCTTTGACCACCCAACCCCCGTCGACGATGATATCAGGGTGCATCCTTGATATATAACTAAACGCTCCCTCGCTTGTTTCGTTGATCATTTACTAAGAAACTTGCCGATACCTGCAACACATTTCCAGCTCCTCAAGTCGTTGGGCTTGGGCGACCTTCGTCTCATATTATCATGCGTTTTGCTTATCTCGCGACTTTGGCGGGCTCGCTGCTGGCTGGCCTGGCCCAAGCAGTCAAAGTCAACCCGCTACCTGCCCCTCAACATATCAAATGGGGTGACTCTGGACCTCAATATCTTGATTGGAACGTCAAATACAGTGGCCCCAGAGACCGAACGATCATTGCGGCATGGCGTCGCACTTGGGGATCTATCGTACAGCTGCGGTGGACGCCAGCGGCACTAGAAGCTCCGATCCCAACCTTTGCGCCTTTTATAGTAGGCAACGATAAGCGCGACGCACATTCAAATCGACGTATCCTTAGAGTTAGCGTCAAGGTCGAAAACACCAATGTTGATTTGCAGCATGGCGTCGATGAATCGTATACGTTACAGATTCGGGACAAGTCGGATAGTATCAGGATCACCGCTAAGACAACTTGGGGCGTTCTCCGTGCCTTCACCACTCTCCAGCAGATCGTTATTTTCAAGCGTGGGCGATTTTTGGTTGAACAGCCGGTCGATATCAAGGATTATCCTCTCTATCCGGTTCGTGGCATCATGATAGACACCGCCCGCAACTTCATCAGCGTTAAAAAGATTTTTGAGCAACTTGATGGAATGGCCCTCTCCAAGCTTAATGTCCTCCACTGGCATATTACTGATACCCAGTCCTGGCCGGTTGAGGTCCGTTCATATCCTCAGATGACAGAGGATGCATACTCCCGCAGAGAGACATACGGCCCATCCGACATCCGCAAGGTCATCGAATATGCCCGAGCTCGTGGTATTCGTGTTGTCCCTGAAATTGATATGCCCGGTCACTCTGCCTCAGGTTGGCGAAAGATTGATCCAGATATTGTGGCTTGCGCAGATTCCTGGTGGTCCAATGATGACTGGGAGAAACACACAGCTGTCCAGCCAAACCCTGGTCAACTAGATATCGCTAATAACAAAACCTACAAGGTCGTCGAGAAAGTCTACAATGATATTAGCCGGATTTTCACCGATGACTGGTTCCATGTTGGTGGTGATGAACTACAACCCAATTGCTTCCTCACGAGTAAAATTGTCAGGGATTGGCTCAAGCAGGGTTCTCGCACCTTCAATGACCTTCTCCAACACTGGGTTGACAAAACTGTACCCATGATGAAGAAAGTGAAGAAGAACCGTCGTCTTCTTATGTGGGAAGACGTGCTTCTCTCGGGAAACATGCATGCCCACAGGGTCCCAAGAGACATCATCATGCAATCCTGGAATGGTGGCCTCGCTAACATCAAAAAGCTTACCGCTAGGGGTTACGAAGTTATCGTTTCCTCTGCAGACTTTCTGTATCTTGATTGCGGTTATGGTGGCTGGGTCGGCAATGATCCTCGTTACAATGTCATGGAGAACCCTGATCCCGAGACACCCAACTTCAATTACGGCGGTAATGGTGGCTCCTGGTGTGGGCCCTACAAGACCTGGCAGCGAATCTACAACTACGACTTCACCGACGGACTCAATTATGCCGAAAAGAAGCGCGTTATCGGTGCTATTGCCCCGCTATGGTCCGAACAAGCCGACGATGTTGTCATTTCGAATAAAATGTGGCCTCGCGCCGCAGCCCTAGCGGAGCTGGTTTGGTCCGGCAATGTGGGCAAGGATGGCAAGAAGCGCACCACACTTATGACACAGCGAATTCTTAATTTCCGTGAATATCTTGTTGCAAACGGTATCATGGCTGCTCCTTTGCAGCCAAAGTATTGTTTAAAGCATCCCCATTCGTGCGATCTTTACTACGATCAAACTGTGATCATGTAAATAGGGTCTGTGTTTGAACTGGGTTGTTCGCCATCTGGAAGAACAATGTGGTGCGTAATATTTTATTTTTTTCCTTTTTTTTGGCCCAATTTCTCCTTTTCTTCTCGCCTTTGATCTCCTTTTTGCTCTATGGATTTTTTGCTTTGTTTAACCCAGTGTTTATAGCAGAAATAGATGTATTTACCTGAATAAGGAATTGTTTGTGATTAGCAACTCCGCCGGGCCATATCTGTGGTTTGTCAAAGGTGGTAAACATACCTACTCGCGAAGTCTTCATAAAAAACCTACCATCAATATAGTTACTACATCACAAGGCTTATGGTATAACTGATGGAATATATATATATATATATATATATTTTTTTTTTTTCTGGGAATCTATCTCTAGATTTTATGGAATGAGCAATTAATTACTAGAAATATGCTATTCATGGATGCTGCCAAGGGCAATTAGAAGGGAAGAAAAAATATAAGTACCTAGTAGAAACCAAGGACAATACATAATACATATAGCAAGAATTGGGATTAAGAAAAGAGCTTGAATTCAAAGGAATAGAGTGCAGGCCAGAAAAGATTTCATCAAAGGAGAAAAAAAAAAAAAAATGGTATCAAGTGAATATAAATGGGTATGAAAAAGAAAATGAAGAGAAGTCCGCATCTATGGACGCTCCACGAAGATGAGAAGAAAGGATTGTAATAAAGCAAACCATCAAAAGAAAAGGCAATCACATGCAGAAAATTTCCCAGAATTTATCAGTTCCTACCTCCAAAATCCCTAACATGTGAAAGAAAAGAAGAAAATTAACCAGGACAATGTCACTCCTCTTTTAGGATGCCTCCAAGGTTGCCATCACGGAAATTAGCTTTGCTAGCTTTGCGGCCTACTTTCAACAAGCTGAACCTTTTCATCACAGAATCTCGTACTCCACCACTGCTTATGCCGTGTTCGCTGTTAGAACTGTGAGCTGTCTTTGGACGCCCCGTGCCCTTGTCTGATGTCCTTGGGCAACTGTCGCCTGAACCGTTTTGCTGCCCTCCCCGTTGGACAGCGTTGTTGGGAGTGGAATTGCACCGGCCTGCATCCTGTTGATTCTGTTGCGCCCGGGATTTATTTGCTCGCTCCATTATTCTTTGCTGCGTCGTGCGCATGTCTTCTGTGGGTGGACTTGCGGGTGGAACTGAAGCGGCATTTCTATGTACTTCAATAGCTCCAACTGCGCTCTTCTCGTTGGTGCTAAAGAAGCTTCTTCGTTTTCGGCTTGTATCACTCTTTCCACCGCGCGAATGACTGCGATCCCGATTAAAAGATTCCGGCTCACGACCGTGATCGGATTTTACGCTAGCAGACTTTGGTGTCTTAATTCGACGATCGGAAGAGATGCCGGTTATATGGGTAGTGTCGTGTCTATTCTGATCTTTCTGAGGAGTAATAACGGCATTAATTGCCGTAATGGTCGCGTTTGAACTAGATGGTGCGTGATTCGAGCGTTTGAATAGGTTGAGGCTTAGACGGTTGCTAGCTGGCGGTTTGTCTGTTGGCTTTGCGGTGCTATCGTGGGAAGGCCGTCCTAATTCTAATTTGGGGCTAGGTAATCGAGGTTGGGATGATGGCGAGCCCGAAATGCTTCCACTTGTAAATGGATCGATTCGAGGATTGAAGTGGCTGGATGAGTCAGGTTGTGACTGTTGCGAAGGCGAAGTTGCGAGAGTAGCAAGCTCAGGTGCAAAAGCAGCTTCTAGCCGTTGGGTAAGCTCATTATGCGTAGCCTCGTACGTTGGCTGTGAATACAAGGCGATACACCGCTTCATGGCAAGAGCATGATCGACCAATGCAACGGCGAGTGCATTTTTAAGCGGATCCACGGGAGGCACGGATTCGAAATCTTCTGTGTCATATTCAAGATGTATTTTCGGTTCATCAACCAAGAACTCCCGATACTGGGCAACACATGTTGGTGCAGAGGATTGAATATCTAGCATGTGGCCAAGAATCTCCGTTAGGCTTGTCAGGCTCGTATCATCTCCAGAGGAAATCCTCTTTTCAAGGATTAGCAGTTCCTGTGTCTTCCTAGACGTGCGCTCAACAGCTGTTTGCAGCGGTGTCAAAACTACTTCTTCGGTTTCGACAATTTCGCTTCTCCTTAGAACATTAGGAAACGGTTCTGCTGTTGTGAACACTGCCTTTGTCACGTATTGTTCTTTTACCTGATTGCCACCCATATGCTTCTTAGATGTGACAGAAAAGTTAGAAGTCATAGCAGTCAACAGATGTTCTCGAACTGATTGTGGAACTTTTGGGCGCTGGTACACTGGATGATTCATGTCCTTGTGTACACTGACAGGAGAAATCTGAAGGAATTGGCCTTCAAGATCTTCAATCTCATTGGAGTGAACAATTTGAGCGGCAGGGTATTGCTTTTGCATGCGGTCAGTGAAGGTGACCATGCGGTCGGAGGGTGATCCTTCGAAAATATACTGCTTGTCTCGTAGAGTGGGTGGGAAGCCGAGACCTTTGAATGTGACACGGAAATATCTCGAAATTAAAATGTCCTCCTTCACGATTGCTTCGTAGATTCGAGCCATGGACGCCTGCGTCCTCGATAGTTTCGAGAAGTCAATTATCGTGTGTTCGTAATGGTCTGCGAGCTCCCGATAGCACGACAATGCGTGGGCCCAAGCTTTTCCGTCTTCGAAGTGTTGAATAATCTCAAAATATAGTGCCTCTTTTCGTTCGAAGGCCGTTTGTTCAGGAAAGAACGGATTTGCAAGTGCAGGAACAGTCTTTGATGTGTCCCAATCGTAAAGGTCGGCGTGGAATTGAAGAGCAAGGCCAGCTTCGGTGTAGTTTCGTGCTCCAGCTTGTCCATGTGCTAACTCATGGACATATCGAATAAAGATGTCTTCCCGCTCCATGTCCTTCATGAACTCCATAAGCTTAATAGTATTAAGGCTTTCCGTGATATTCCCGTTGTGAGAAGCAACCAGGAGATCCAATAATTCATCCACAGTTGCAATGAGCTCTTTTAACGTGACCATCAATTCGGCATCAGGAGTGGAAGAGCTTGTTTCGAACAATCCAAGCAGCTCGTTTATAAACAGTTTCTGAGTAATGCTTTCCGTGAGATGCTTGGTCTTGAACAGTTCATCAAGGCTGGATATTATCTCTGCTTCAATCATTGAGAGGTCCTCGTTTAGCTGCCATTCGCTTACGATCATGGTCTGTAAAATTTCGACGGCAACACGCCGAGGGCCTTCATGGACGCTGAGACAAAGCTCAATAATTGGTGGGACAAGGCCAGGGACGTATTGCACTTGATAACCTCCGAGTTTTATCAATCCGTACCGGGCTCGCTCCTCAATAGTCGTATCCCAACCGATAGACCGCCATGTCTTTTGAAGCAATTCCGCCCCGTGTTCACGGACATCTCCCGCAATCTTCCATACAGCCCGCCGTCTCTGCTCAGGGAAAGTTTCTAGGGCCAGGGCGTCGCTCGACACAAGCTTCAAGAGCGTGGTGAAAAATAGCCTCCACAGCTCCATATCGAAAGTATCAGCTTCGTCGGGAGTAGGAAGGAATGATTTGATGAGGATGGAAGAAAGATCCTCCAAACTCTTCATGATAGATTGATGATGGTAAATATGCAAGCTTAGCCATGTTGCTGGATATGCTTCGCAGCTGAGGACGGATTTGTGAGCATGGAATGTGTGGGATAGAAAAACTGCTAGTTCATCTTGGGAGAGCGACAATTCTTTCTGCTTCGGCAATTTAGACATTGCGGCGATGATTGCAGAAAGCTCCACTAGCGCTTCGTCGAATTTTTGCTTAGTTTTCGACTGTTTTAGTTGGAACGGAAAGGCCTTGCTAAAGAGCAGAGATAGCCATTCAGTCTCATCGACACCGTCGGCGACGATAGCGCAGTACGATGCAACGGCCTTTGGCATATACTCGAAAAGCTCTGGTCCGGGATTTTGGAGCTGTTCTGCTACGACAGATGAACAAAGACGAACCTGATCTCGATATTGGTCGGTGACTTCCGGTGTTTCTCCCCAGTAAGGTGCGAGCCACTGGATGCTTTTGGAGACGAGAAGTTTCCGCTTGTCCTCTCCTGCAAACAAGGGAAGCCTTGTATAATTCAAAATGAGTACAAGTTTATAGAGAACCAACATGTTTTTAACATCTTTGCAGGCATCCATGAAGCTAAAGGCAATTTTGATAACCTCGTCTTTGTTTAATGCGTTTAGGAGCTCAGGAAGCCAGGTGTGGAAGTGCTGCACGGCCAGAGTCTTGCTGCCCACCAAATTCGGCGCTGGATTTTGCATGAGAGACTCCACAGATTCGAAGATAGAGTGGAGATCGCGATTAAAGGTCGACTGGATATTTGTGATGCCAATGCACTCCTCCTTAGCTTTCTGTTGGCCCCTAGCATTGATGATGAACTTCAAGAGGTGTCTGCCGACTTTGAAAGCTGCACGAAGATTCCGAGCCTGCTGTGGATCTGTGGTGGCTTGGAGCAGGCGCAAGAGACTTCGTAGAAGGCATGGAGTAGCAAACGGGAAGTTGAATTGATATTCCGCATATTTATCCACTAGGGGTCCTAGGTTGAACCGACGGTCGTGCACAATACCAAGGACTGTGACGAGGTCACTGAATATTAGATCCTCGAACTCTTCGTTACCGGCCTGCTCAACCATGATACCAAACAAGGCATCGAAGACATCCCGAAGCTGCTTAACAATCTCGATCTCAGGGACAAATACGATTCTTCTTAGAAGCTCGAGGAGTTGAGTCGCCGGCTTTTCTTTCCAGTTCACTAGCCCCAGCAAAACCTGATCCTGGGAGTATTCCGTACTGCAGAGTTCGGTCTCGAGAGCTAGAGTCGCAAGTGGTCCTGTCACAGCTTCATCTTTCGTTGATTCGTTTTTTCCAAGTGCGCTCCAAGGTAAGGATAAATATGATCCCTTTCCATTTTCGACACTCGAGGTATGCTTATCATACGCATGTAAAAGTAATGAATGACGCCCATCTCTCATAAAAGCCTGCTGGTCCCAAAGGGGCATCCAGCTCAACGCAAAGGGAAATTCCGGAGCGTCCGCCACACTCATGATCAAATGAGAACCCTGAACTTGGTCTGATGGAATATTTAAGCGAATTACTTGGTTCCAGCCAGAACCTCTTTCTGCAACTGTTGTTCTCCATGCCGTCAGTCCTGAGGAATTTGAAGACGGGTAGATGCAATGCTCAATCCTGGCTCCAGATGCATTTCGCGCTTCTATAGTAAGTTGCAAGTTCCTCAACCCGGTGATCTGAGGAACGGCAACCTGGCCATTTATTGGGTGAGAAAGTAAAGCATCCTGAGAGATATTGACCTTTGACAAGTTTACGTATATGTCAGATCGAGGTTTGGTAGGAGCAGCTGGAAAACCAATTCTTCTCGTTTGAGCGACTTTATGAAGCAGTGTGGGATTGTTTCGAATAAGGCTCTCCGTATCGTCGCTCGCAAAAGCGTAAAGGTGGATATGTAGTCTCGATGCGCGATAGCATCTGCCATACCTGCTCGTGGGGCTGGGTAAAAGCGAGCGAATAACATTGTCAAATCCTTCCGCATAGTTGTCTTCTTCATCGGTAAGGCCTAATGGAGACCAGATGTTTATAACATGATCCACATCTTTGTCCGCTTTAAGTATAGAGCCGATCTCGAGAACGCCAATGCCAGCCAGACGCGAGACAGGGACTTCTTTGACTGGCTTTTCAGGATTTCCGGATCCGTTTCCTGCGGCTTCACTTGGTTGTGAGGATCGGGCAATTTCGTTTTGATCAAGATGCGATAACCCTTTTGGTTTCGGCCCCCACATCATGCTCCGTCTTGACTTCAAACTACCCTTACTCGCATTATTTAATGCTGGTGCTGCTTTGGTAGCTGGTGTCCCATCACGAGATGACGCGCGTGAGCTAGATGTGAAGCTAGGTCTGGCGGATTCGGGGTTAAACACCTTAATGACGAGATATATTTTTGAGCCTGAGGCAGAGTTATCACCAATATCCGCAGCGTTTAGTTCCGTAAAGAGAGTCTTTAAGGTTCCGTTTTGGGCCATTGTAGCGAAGGTCTCCGCCGAGGGAATTTCCAAAGCGTACGATTCCGTTAATTGCTTCATATCTCCCTTTGCATTTTGAAGCCAAAGGCTTATCGCAAGAGATACCGAGCCGGCCTTTGTTCCTGTGACTGCATTTACTTCAAGTAGCAAATGGTGCAGGGAGACGGCATCCACATTTGGCTTTGTCTCACCATCGAGCATGCTCATCTCAGATTGAAGCTTTGCCACGTCGATCGCTGAATCCTCACCGGTGAGGAGGCGGCCCCTTTGCTTTGGATCGCGAACGATAACATCTCCATTTAAGGTTTTATTCCCGCGTACCAAGTTCCAAACGGTTGCTTCTCGTAGTGATGCCCGTTCCTGGGCTGTCAAAACGTTATGAAGCAGTTGTCGCCGTGCAAGATCCAACTCTAGAACAATATTTGACATATCTTCCAACGCAGTGTATTGTCTGGCCAACAGAAGTTCGTGTATGTTTGTCGAATGCCACTCCCGTAGACACGACGCAATCTCATCAACCAAAGGCTCTGATAAAGACGTAGGCGTTTCATCCCCGATTTTAAGCATCGGGACAGGTGCAGGTGGTCTGGGAGCAAGAGGATCTCGTGAGCTTGTAGAGCGAGGTGTCAATGCCATAGAAGGTGACTGTAGAGGGGATCCAGAACGACGTTTCTTCGGGTCTTCTTCTAACCTGATGACTGTTATCTGGGACGTTTTTCGAGAAGACTTTAAATCGCCGAGGCCATTAGCACTGTTCGTTTTGCCGCCATCCGCCATGGGTTTCAAAGTGCCGTTAACATGCACCAGTTCCGCACTGTTCGTTCCGTTTTCTTTGCTTTTATCGGCTTCTTCGAGGACCTCCCGGACCTCTACACAGTTTTTGGGGAAAATTCCGGAGAACACTCGAGCTTCCAGCGTCTGGCCCTTGACGCTGGTGAGCCCTGCTAACAGTGAGGGCGGTGCAACCAGGTACCCTCTATACCACGCGCCATCTTTGCCCCCTTGCTCAATTATGTACAACTCGTCTCCGAGCTCGAGAGGAAGATCTGCGGGTGACGAAGGCTGAAATGGATAGACGGCGACCGCGAAAGCGATCCGGGGTAATGGCCGCCAAGGCATTGTAATTATTTAGTCTCGAAGGGATATAATTTGTAGGTGAAACAAATTGGGTCTATCCAGTAGGAATAATTAGGAGGAAAGGAAAAGTTTCAGGAACCAGAAAATCGCGGCAATGCTGTCACATGTACATAGTCCGTAGAGCGGTCGAAGATTGAAGGGAAAGAATCGTGAAGTCGAACTATCCAATCCAATCGTAATTTCAAAGGTCCAATGGATGCAATTGCGCATCGAATCCCTAGTACAGTCTGAGGAGGTGTCAGCTTTCTCTTCGTATCGAGTACAGAGAATTTCAGGAGTATCAAGGCGCGTGTTGACTGCATTACGCCCCAAGCTCGGGGGAACATACATTAACTGATCAATGGCTGGACAAATTTTTCGCCGATTTATTTTCCGCCAGCCGTATGATGACGGACGCTTGCATGGCTCTGCCTCTGTCTGTTTCAGTCCATGTATTGTTTTTCGCAGACGTCGGGGTCTAATGCTAGGTTCCGAGTCCGGGGAAGCAAGATAGACGGTCTGGGTGACAAATTATTATTGCAGAGACGAAAAGGGGTACCTTGTATGTCAACTGCCCGCGCCTTGCCCAAACACGGTTTTGACTACTGGACGTGAACCAGAGAATGGACTCGCTTAGTAGCCAACTCTGAACTGTCCGGCACCTGGGCACAGAAATAATGTTGCGGGATTGGGGGGATATGGAGGTTGAATTTCGCTCTGACCAGATCCAAAGCACGTCCCTTTCGTTAACTCACTAGTGAACTCTCGCCAAGACAAACCACCGCAACTTTTTCGGGCGCCCAACCAGGATCGCTCTTCTCCGCAAAATTTCAAAACAGTTCTCGAAAGTGCAGCAGACACTCGAAGAAACTCCAATTACCCCCTAAGGGTGGCAACGAATTGCGTGGGTGTCCAGAAATCTTCCAAAGTGAACTGTACATCCCGTGTATACATGTATCGATCAACTGTCCAGGAGGTAATGATAATAAAGTTGATAAGATAGTAGTCAATAATTCACATAGCTAACTATTATTTAGTGAAAGATACGGAGTACTTCGTACAATAAAGCAACAAAAAAAAAAAAAAGACTAGTTACTCGTAGAAGAAATATGTAAAATCAAGGACGCCTTTATGCATTAGTTTCAGCCGAACGCCAGGAGTCCTAATCACTCATTGCAACCATCTCGTAAGAAACATCATGGCTATTGAAGAAGAACGGGATATTGAAACCGTCAATGACCTGCAAGCGAAGTTGTAGAGTACTGTAAGGGTATCTGTGCGGCTGCATTTATTTAATCCCTCTCGGGGGATTTGAGTAAGTTCTGTAGCTCCGCTTGGAGTAATTTCTGATTTGAAACCTTGACCTGGAGACCCTCAGCCTGTGCCTCGATATATACGACGTCGTCGGCCAGTGTCTGGGCAAAAGCAAAGTCAGTATTACTGCCGGGGAAGATCTTCTATGGAGGCCACGTACGCTAAGTTCGTGCGAGTATAACGTTAAAAGGCCGTCCAGTTCCTCACACTCTTCTATTGCACGATCAAACAACTGTGCTAGTTCATTGACCTGGCCTTCCTGGGACTCAAGATGGCCTAGCCAACTACTGGCTTGAACTCGGCCAATTTCCCTCCGAATGTCCGTTTCGAGGTCGTCGGCGGTCTTGCCGTCCTTAAGCTTACCATCCCACCCCAGGTCGGTGAGAATGTGATCAAAGTCTACCCCTCGTCCGTTCAGAAGACTATGATCAATTCCAAGGGCATTGCAATATTGCGCACTGTTATCCTCTCGAGCCTCTGGACGAGGCCTTGGTGATACTGGCCTCCTTTTGCGTGCGGCGGCTCCAACGGATAGGCTTCTCTCCGAAGAAGCATCTGTGACCTGAAGTTTGGATAGTTCCTGGGACCCCGTGGTTTCTGTTTGGGTAGCTAATTTTCCAGTCTCGTTGACTTGCGCGCGTAGGAAAGGTGCAGGAACAACGCTGGTAATACCATCGGGTCCGTTATCGGACTTCTCTTTTGCTGCCATTAAACGCTCTGCAGCACCTCCGGCCCTTGGTTTAAAAGCACCATAGGCTGTAGCGGCTTTTCTGAAGGTATTAGCAAGATCTTTCCCGCCCATTTTCTTTACCATTGGACCAAGACCGGGTCTGTGAGTTTCTTCTTCTGATTGGGGAGACACTGTTGTTTTCTTAATGCTGATTTGTAGCGGAGCCGGTTCCGCAGATCCTCGCCTACGAGAAGTGTCGTCTTCAATAGTTGATATAGCGGGTTTAACGTCTTCGATAGGCGTAGAAATTGAAGGAAGAGCAGGCGCTGTATCTGTTTCATCGGATAAGCCACCGGGCCGCTGTGAAAGCTCTGAATCAAAACCTTTAGTAGATATGCCACTTCCAGTCGACGGAGGGCGTATTTCCGTCCTAGAAGCTCCAGGGGTAGAGCGAGGTGTGACGAAATTCTCCTCAGTATCAGCCCGAAGACTCTTCTGCTCAATGCTTCCTTTAGAGCCTCCCGGAGAAGGACGTAGAATTCCCGATGCAAAATCATGTGGCTTATCTAGAGGTGAAAGGCTTTGCTTTACCGTCTCCGAAGGTGAGCCGCCCTCGAGATCCAGATTGAGCTGCAAGTTATTCCGCACAACAGGCTGATTTTGGTTAGCTGAAGGGACAGAGTGGGAAGGCCCCTCGTTGTCGTGGGGCGCGGATATTTTAATTGGTGTCTCAACGGCCTGATTTTGTCTACTATCGGTAGTGATAGGCCCGGCCCGGTGCCTTGACATCGATTCAGCAGAAAATGATGTGGGAGGAGTATAGTCTGGGAGAACAGGTGATTCGGCAGCCTTCGAAGAGAGGCCATCTCTTGACGGCGGTGTTTGTAAAGGTTGAGTTGGAGAGAATGGGGGGCGCATTTTAGGCATCTGCTCCTGACTTGGTTGGGGTCGCATAAATTGTTCCCTTGATGGCTGTCTTCGAGACTCTCGGGGGCCATCGCGACTTGGAGCACGATTTGAAAGCGGTGACTGTGGCACGCTGCGCTGAGCGGAAGGGGATCTCGAGCGGGGAAGCCGTGGGTCTGGCCTGGCAGGATGTGGTTCTGAAATTTTAGGGGCTTTGGCTGGATGGGGCCCTCCAGGTACGTTGCCGGTAAGTATATCTCTATCTCGAGAATCAAAACCTACCAACGCGGGAACCTTGCCACCAGTATACTTCTTGTAGATCTTAACTAGACTACCGATAAAAAAGTCTCGTTCTTTTGGGGTATCCGATTGCCAATAATACGGCTTAGTGATTGTAACCACAAACCCGATGTTAGACGCCAATTGCTTTTGTTGTTGCTCGATTGGATTGGAGGGAACTAGATTCTCGAAGGTCTGTATGCGAGCCAGGTCGTCCAACATCCAAGTTTTCCCAATGGAAAATGAGCCATCGCTGTTTTCTCGGGCTTTATGCATTCGCACCCTTCCCGACCTCCGTACTGCAACGATGATTACCCTTGGCTTCTTATTCTCTGGCGGGGAGGAGGGTGGTGGTGGACTAGATGGGTATGCGCCATCTTCCGTAACGCGAATATGGGTAATATAGGATTCGACAACTACTCAAAGCACAAATAGCGTCAATAAAGTCCACACGAACAGACCCCAAGCTAGACTTGAGGAACTGTTAAAAGCAACATACCCGATCCATCTGGCTCCTTTTTGGAAAAACAACTCTGAATAATCCGCTGCTTTTCGTCTTCGAACTTTTCTGCCCGCGACATGCCCGATACTCCAGGCATTGGACCTCCACCGTTACGAAAGTCTCCGCCAGGCCGACGTTCTTTCTGAGGTGACAAATTCGAGAGGAGCCCTCGATGACGATCACGCCCACTCATTCTAGTATGGAGAGGTGAGACCGAAGCAATAATAATGGTGGCCAGGTGGCGTTTCTAGACGTGAGGTATGCGCTTAACCACCTGATGCAAACGCCCATAACACAGATCGTATCCGGTGAAAACGACCATGACCCGGAGATGCCTGCAGCAGAGGATTGAAGGACACCCAAACAGTTAATAGTCCGTCTTCATTCATCTGGTCATGGGTGCTGGAGGAGCTGGTCGTTCCAGGGAGTGATCCTTATGTAATCGTAATCCGCCGTAACTTACATCGTAACAGAACGCTGTAAATAATACGGCACAGGCAGGTCTGCAGTATTTAACCAGGCTGGTTGAGCACATCTTGTACTAGCTTGGAACATTATGGAACGGACCAGTCGGAGAGAGTGTAAGCTAGCCTTGGCATGGATTTATAATCGGCCTCTCATTGGTCCGATAATTTAGCGTTCAACCCTGGCGGCCACTTTCCCTAATTAGGCTTGACGCGGTTTATCTGATTTTTGAGGTCCACTGCAAAATTTTGCTTCCGCGACCAACAATATATATCTTCGGAAAACATCAGCCTTCCCAAGACACGCCCTGATACCCTCACTCCCGGTGCCGTGTAAAGGACAATGGCTCCTCGAAAGGGAAGCAAGGACAGTGCCAATGCGAAAGACCCCCTTCTCAAAAAGGAAGCAGACAAGACAAAAGGGAAAAAGGTTTGTTGGCCATCTGGCGCTCTCCATATCCAAGTTGCTGACGCATGCGGAATCAAGCAGGCAAAAGATGGCGCGAATGGAGGCTCGCCTCAAAAGAGGACTCTTAATCCAGTCTTTCTAGCGATGATTGGGAATTTCCTTAGTGCATATGGGTTCCATGAAACCAAAGCCGTATTTGACACCGAAGTCACTAGAGTAGGAGTCGCTGGGAAAAGTAAATCCAAATCCAAATCCCAGCCGAAGGAAACGGTTGAAGGAGCCTCGAGCCCTCCTTGTGTACTTGACCTGTTTGAATCTTGGGATCAACAAGGTCAGCTAATGAAGTCACATAAACTTGATGAGAAGAGAAGATCGGAACAAAATGCCGATGGCGGGAATAAGAGTAGTGAGAATATAGCTACATCCGATGATTCTAGCGATTCCGATGCTTCCGCCTCTGATGATTCGAGCATCTCGAGTAGCTCTTCCAGCAGTTCTAGCTCTTCCAGCTCCTCTTCCAGCTCAGCATCTGCCGACAGCTCTGACTCTTCCAGCTCCTCTTCCGACTCCTCCTCCGGCCCGTCTGGGAGTGATGACAGCTCAGACAACCAAAGCGCCCGGAATTTGAACGGCAAAAAGAAAAGTTCAGGCCAACTACTGAAGCGAAAATATGAGTCTTCCTCGGATCCTTCTTCCTCGGATTCGGAGTCTGACTCTCCTTCGGCGAAGCGACCTAGGTTAGACAAGGACAAACTTAACAAATCAATTAAATCAGCATCGTCCCCTAAATCTGAGTCGTCCGATTCTGATTCTGGCTCCTCGACAACTTCATCTTCGAATTCCTCACAATCGGAGAAATCTAAGTCGGCTAAAGCAAAGAAGCCTGCGAAAGTGAAAGATGTTGACTCTGGCAGCGACAGCGATAGCGAATCTAGTGATTCATCCTCTGCCTCCTCATCTTCTTCATCCTCTGACGAGTCTGACTCCGATTCTTCAAAGGACGAAAAACCAGCTTCTGCTATCGATAATCGGGAATCGTCCGCAGGTTCCAGTACAACCTTGCATGACGCTTCATCTAGCTCCCCCGATGCTCTCAACACGGGCAATGGGAAATCTGACAACCCAACTGACAGCACCGCTCTCACAAGATCTAACTCAACTTCTAATGACTCTGCCCTACGCTATAGAGGCGCTAAGCCTACTCCTCTAGCAATTGCTAGCGAACAATGGCTCAATCACCCATCCAACGAATACGTGCCTTACGCATATGCGGATCGCGCCCACAAGGATCTCTCTGTAACCCGCGGCAAAGGTTTCACGAAGGAAAAAAACAAAAAGAAACGTGGCTCATACCGCGGGGGCCCTATCGATATCGGACCCGGCAAGGGGTTTAAGTTTGAAGACTAAATCAATTTAAACTACTGGGTTTCCTCGGGCATTTATGTTAAGAAGTCCGTTATCCTCAGCATGGCATCATCACGAGTATCAGATCTGCTGTTTCTGTCATTGTTTGCTTCTCAAGTTATCCGTGGTGTGCCACAGATCGGGAACTAGCAGTTAGGTTTTTGGTCCGTTGGCGCCGTGGTGATATATCTGTCCGATCCCAGAGGTTTCCATAACCGCTGTCGGCCGTTTTTACGCTCTTATTCAACGAGCAGCCCCCCCCGCCGGGGCTAGCATCTTTAGCGAGCAGTTATAGGCGGCGTAACCTCTCTAGAGCCTACGTTAGATTATGCGCCTAGGTCCGGAGTAAACAAAAGTATACTCGAATTACATCACTCTATCCCATTCCATTCTCTCTGATCCTCAAAAGCCCTAACTTCTTTATATACGTACCATAATTTTTTTACTTTATTATTTTTGAATGAAAGCCATGGTTATGTCTAGCATATATAACCGGCCCCATTCTATGACACTCTTCGCCATGTTCCCCCCGTCACTTTATTCCTTACAACCCAAGGTTGGAACCATCTCCGATCCCAGCCGGGGATTCTCACTTCGCTCTTACTCAATTCACCACGGGATTCCTCGTCCATCGCCATCCAGAGGGGATCCTGCATCATGAGTCTCACTCCTCTACCCTGATCCCTAGGAAACGGCCGTTCATAACAGGACAAGTCCAAGGGTTGGCAATCGACACCACCATGTTGATCTAATCCCAGGTCTAGGTTGCGTTGGTACCACTCCTTGTTTTTGCCGGCTAGGTCATCTGTCGATACCATGTCAAGGCGGATCACGCTGTCTTCAACGCCAATATAGAATGTTGATGAGGACGGAGAGGGCTGAGAGATTGTGTAAATTGGTCCGCGATAACGGTGGGGTTCGCGTAAACGGTTCAATCTTCGGCCTGGGAGGTTTTGAATGCGGTTCGATAAGAATATAGATATGTCTTTACTTGGGAATAGGACTGTTCCCGGTCGTTCCGGACGATTGTGATTGCTCATTGAGTCAATGTGAGTCCTCGCTGCTGGGAGGGCAGCATCCAAGTAGCTGTATCGTCCCATGCGCATATCGAAGATCTTTACCAGAGCATGGATGCCGCTACCCACGACGAAGCGTTCGCGACCGATGGGTTTGAGACTGTAGATAGGACTGTCATCGACGGTATCTGAGAAAACTGACACAATCGAACTTGGGGAGCGAAGGTCATGCAGCCTGGAAGACCTGTTAGAAGTCGACTTCTTACCGAGCCACTCCGGAGGGGAACTTGCCTCGTTTTACTATCTTCCCAGCCGGACAAAAAAAGGTCGCCAGGGTTGCCGCCAGATACGCGTGATAACGTTAAGGGTTCAATAGTCGTTGCTTTAGCTCTCCTCGGTTCATCATCATCAACCCTGAGATCGCGAAGCTTAACAGTGCCGTTTGGGCGAAAGCTAAACACCGAGATTTTGTCGGACTCCCCATCAGAACCCACTGCAATCTTCTCATCGCACAAAATCCGAGAGCATCTGTATCTTCCAAGACCATGAGCGGTAATTTTGAGTGTTTCGAAAGGATGAACCTCGTCTTCCTCGGCGTCGACTCGGAAAAACAGAATTGATTTCCTATTCATGGATGCCGCGAGCATTCTGCAGGGTCCGGAACTTATGTCGGTGCCTTCGAGGTATCCTCCTAGTGTAAGATACGATTTTTCCAGCCTGCTAGAGCCTGTTTCTGCTGAAATAGATGTACGAACAAGCTTGCCATTCCGCCGACCAAAGATGATATCCTCATCCTCAGTCCATTTTGAGTGAGAAGATCCGAGTAAATGCACGCCAGAGATATCATCCCAGCTGTTCACACCATGCAAATCATTGAATGTAGCCCAGGAAACGTAATCTTGAGGAGTACCGCTGGCTCTTCTCCTCGATGCATTGGATGGGCAGCCAGCATTATTGGTAACTTTTAGATACTTTCGACCATAGTCTTTGATACGGATTACCAGGTCCGCGCCAGCGCCCCAGACAAGAACCTCCTTCCTCGCAGACCAAGCATTTCCATACCACACTTCATAACTATCAATCACGGGACGATATCCAAGGGTAGGATGGTCTGTTCGAATGGTCCGTGGATTACCGATTCGCGTGGCATTATCTGGGGGTAGTATGAAACGCGCGATTACAGCTCTACGATCAAATGCCCGAGATCGAGAAGTCAGCGCCCGCGCTGCATCAGCCCAGAATGGAGGAGTCTCGATTGAAGGAAATTGGCTTTTGACAAAGGCTTGTAGTATCCGATAGTGGTCTGCAGAGATAACTTCGTACAGCCGGCGACATGTCCGAGAGAGATGCGTGATGGAAGCGAGAGTTGGTAGGTAGCTAACAATGTTGTATATAATCTCAGAAGGGAGAACCAACAGACTTACTCGAATTTTATCTTCCATACTGCACCCGAAAACCCTCGAGCTTTGCTCCGCAGCAGACTCTTAAGGAATGAAACGCGCGACGTTCGAGGAGGCAGGGTGACATCATCAAAACATTCGGATTTAATATATTCCGTAAAACCAAACCATCGGTCATGTGATCACTACCTTATCGCCGAAACTCAGATTCACCAACGCACACCTGACTGGCATCAGCAGCCCGAACGGACCTCGTTTCCACTCGGTGTGGAGAGAAGTCTTCGTTGGCACTGGCTAATATGCGGAGACAAGGTCGAGCATCTCTTAGGGAATGCCTTCACGTCTCCTTGTTGTTGAATTCGACTGAATCACCTTTTGAATATCTAAATCATAATCATCTTCTGTCTTACTATCAACTGAGAAGTTAGATTTAGAGAACGAACAACCAATGGCGCTGTTATCACCCGCTACATTGGCTATAATCACCGTCTCGGCTTTAGCCGCGGGTGTCTATAAGTTTATTATCTATCCGGCCCTTTTGTCTCCCCTTTCCAAGATCCCAAATGCGCATTTCACGTCGTCCATATCTCCCCTTTGGATATTATGGAACCGTTTTAGGATGAGAGGAAATAGGACCATACACGAGGCACATAATAAATATGGACCTATTGTTCGGCTCGCTCCAGGAGAAATATCCGTTAACTGCGTTGATGGAGGCATTCGCACTGTATATGCTGGTGGCTTTGAAAAGCATGACTGGTATCCACGGGTGTTTGGTGCCTTCGGGTATGCGTGCCTCTTATTTGGTAAATGTGATTACGGCAATTTTTTTCTAACAGGAGTGACAATAGCACTATCAGTATGTTCTCGATGGTTGGAAGCAGGCCTCACTCTGTTCGCAAACGGATGATGTCCAACATATACTCCAAATCCTATTTGCAAGGTTCCCCCCAACTCGCTGCAGCTTCTCGCAAGATACTGTTCCAGCGGCTGTTCCCTATACTTGAACGCCATGTAGAGAGAGCAGACCAAGTTGAAATCCATGAACTTAATAATGCTATCACAATGGACTTTATTACTGCATATATTTTTGGACTCTCTGCTGCTACGAATTTCTTGGAAGACGCTCAAACACGAAAGCAGTGGCTAGAGGCCTATCAATGCCGCAAACCCTTCGAGTTCTATCATCAAGAAGTCCCAAATCTGGTTGCTTGGGCGGAGACGGTCAAACTGCCCTTGATCCCAAGCTGGTGCCAAAAGGCCAACAACTACATGGAAAGCTGGGGCCTTGAAATATGCGATAATGCTGACAAATACCTTTTGACAACTGTCGTTGAATCCGAACCAACTGTTTACAAACAACTTAAAATGTCAATGGTTAAGCAATTGCCGTCGGATGGAGTGAAACCTCTGGATGAGGAAACGTCAAAGAAATTAAAGCTGGAAATAGCCTGCGAGTTGTACGATCAACTTACAGCTGGTCATGAAACGAGTGCTGTTGCCCTCACCTACCTCTACTGGGAACTGTCCAAAAATCCTGAGCTGCAATGTGAACTGCGTGAGGAACTTAGAGGGCTTTCACCGTCTATCAACATCCCCGCAAACGCTGATATTATGCCGGACCTTCCTTCATCAAAAGACATCGATTCGCTGCCACTCCTGAACGCAGTAGTCATGGAAACACTACGGTTACATGCTCCGATCCCGGGAATTCAACCACGTGTTACACCTTCGCCAACATGTAGCCTCGGTGGATACGATGGAATACCTCCCGGTACAAGAGTGAGTGCTCAGGCATACTCCTTGCATCAAAATCCAAACATTTTCCCTGAACCCGAGTCTTGGCTTCCGAGGCGTTGGCTCAAACAAAATGATGTATCCGAGATGGAAAGCATGAGGCGATGGTTTTGGGCATTCGGAAGCGGAGGCAGAATGTGCGTTGGTAGCAATTTTGCTTTACAAGGTATTCGGCGCCAGGTTTAATCCACATTTTAACAAGTTCTAACGGTCCATTAGAAATGAAGCTTGTTGTTGCAGCGATATATTCAAACTACACAACCTCAATCGTCAACGACGACGGAATCGAAGCCATTGATGCTTACACGGTGCGGCCCACAAGTAACAGGCTGATTTTGAAATTCGGCCGCGCTTGAAGCAGGAAATTACTCGATGATTATCCCAGTATATAGAGATATCACTCTTCAATGCCATTCTCACAGGTAGGAGATGTCTCCCCTCCTCCTGGATGGAAATCTAACTTGCAGTCCCAAACACTTAACCGAAGCCTTCATAAAGCTACTAAACCCTGTTGCTTGACTTAGTATAGTTATATACTCCGTACATCTGAGGATTTAAACTCGTATATATTTAGCAAATTGAAGATGTGCTGAAATTGAATGGGTGACGATTCTATTCAAAAGTCAACATCTCAGAATTTAATATACAGTATATATCCCGACAAGGAATTTCAATAAGATCATCCTGGCTAAGAAACCACCCCCATTCTCCCCAAAGAAAAACAAAAAAGGACCAAAAAAGGGAGACCAAAATTTTCCCATCAAACTCCATCCATATGCTAAATTGTACATTCCTCCGACACAGTCACGGCTTTAACGGCATTTAGGACCGGACGACATAACACTCGTATTTTGCTGTCATTTACTTCGCGAACAACCTTTCGGGCTCGAATATCCTATATCCAGTAACATGGCCAATAACGAGAAAGTCGACAAGAGCTTAGTCCTTTTTCCTCGGGCCCGAGATCTTGGGGAACATGCGCATAAGATGATAGTTGATCGTGCTCTTTTTCGGCTTTTGGTATTTCTATAGCGAGCGCGATTGAGTCAGTAACATAAGGATTGATCAGAAGGTAAGGCAAGTCGAAGGGTCGGTGTGAGAAATCACGCACAGCTGTGTCCATGCACTGTCGTAACTGGTCCTCTAGGGCGTGGCATCCCTGAATGTTATGCCCCGCTGACGCCCAGCAATCTGCAATATAATCAATAGCTACATTAGCTTCTATCCTTTTTTTTTTTTTATTAACCCGCAGACACTCCCTAAGCAGGAGCTTGCTATCTCGCCGAACAACTCGGTCTAAGAAAAGGAGGGAAAAGTCCTGGCTTACTCAAGACAGCGCTCATGGCAGTCTGGCATGGGCTCTGCTCTTGCTTGTTTGGCCTTTGAATTCTTAGACTCTGGATTGTCTGTAGCCGCACAGGCTTCATGCGCGTTGGAACCGGCTTTGGAGGCATGGCGGATCTGGCAAAGGTTTCTAATCGCGTAGGGTGGTATGGGTGTAGAGTGGAGGTAAGAAAACAATAGAGCAGAAAGCCTAATCACTCTCGTCACAGTTGCATTGACTCAGTTCGAAGAGGGATCATAGATCTCTAGCCCAATTGACGCCCCTATGAAGCCCGTTGCTCTCGACGCTTGCGCTCTTCAATCGAATGGACTTTTTGAAAGTGGCCCGTCTCCCTAAACCCTATTTCCAACATGCTCCTTTATGCTGACGTAAGCACATTTGATGGCGGATAAAGTCGGATTATCCAGCATGGAGCAGCAACGCCGCGATAGGGATGGGGAATGATCTTCGAGTATTCGGAGGAGAGGTAACTGGTAGTTACATGTACTTATTTGGGGACCAAAATGAAATATCAGAAACGACTTATATTATTTCTACAGTACGCTAGCAACGTGGAGACTAAACGATCACCCTGCTCACTCCAACATGCCATCCGGTTACTATCGACAACGGTAGAACCCGGCCAGCAAAAGAAGGACGGTCTGAAGAAGGATAAAAGGCAAAACGATGGATCGACAGTGGAGGAAGAAGGTGCAATGACGAGGAGAATGAAAGAAATGTCTGAAGAAGCAATGCTAGGGGGCAAATCCGCGCAGAAGAACATGCGAGAGGCCGACTTTTCAGATGAGTTGAAACAACAGATTGAGGACAGAATAGCCGCTGCTTCGTTCAAGAGTGAGCATGCTCAGGCTTTTGCAATCGCGAATACTCCGGTGCAGTTTAATCTCTCCCCAATGACCTGCCCGTTTTGTTTATCTTGCTAATTCCCCCTGTACAGCGGGCCGCAGGAAGAGGCACGCAGGACGTTGCTGCAGCAGCTCCTTGGACTGGCACTGAAAATCCCCGTGACTCAGTTCTTCGGATGCTTAATGATTCAAAGAAGCCTCTCCGAGTACCATTCAAACCCCCAACCCTTTCTCCAGTGAATCTCCAACCCGGCTCCAAAGTCGCTCGGTCCTCTGGGAGCCGACTCGCACAAGCCCGAGAACGTAAACAAACCTACGAGTTGAGCCAAGATACCCGTCTTTCCGAAGAAGAACGAGAGGCCTACCGTCGAGAGCTTCAAGATCGATTTACCCCTGGCGCTCGAGCCTTCCCAATGTCCCTGCAGGGGCTTAGCTCACTAGCAAACGAACGAATTGAAGATGCCATAGCAAAAGGGCAGTTCCGAAATATTCCTAGAGGAAAAGGCAAGAATGTTGAGCGGGATCACATAGCGGGGAGTCCGTATTTGGATACGACGGAATATTTCATGAATCGCATCATGCAGAAGCAGGAAATAACGCCAGAATGGATTCAAAAGCAACAGGAGTTAACGGCGGAAATCCATCGCTTTCGTACCCAGCTACGAAGCGATTGGAAAAGGCATGCAGCGCGGTTGATTTCCAGCCGAGGCGGAACACTACAAGAGCAAATGAGGCGAGCTCGAGCATACGCCCAAGCAGAAGCAAGACAACACTATGAATCACAGAATTCCATTCAGATGGCGGAGAAGAACGTTACTGGAGTCGAACCCATGACGCAAATTGACCATGAAGGACGGTTATCCCGAATTTCACCATCCCAACCCTCACCAGCACAGACTGAAACCACTTCGAACCCCTCTGCAACTGAACCTTCCGAGTGTACGGCCGAACCCCTCCCCGACCTTCCTTGCTTACGTGATCCGCAATATCTCACCGCTGAAAGAGAATACCACGAATTGAAATTAAAGAAGCTCAACGAGCTGGTCCGTTCCTATAATCTGCAAGCACCTAGGGTCGCCCAGAGACCCTACCTCAAACTTCAGCGTGAGCTGGACTCATGTTATGCAGAAGTTGCCCCGTGTCTAGCAGAGGAGGTATACAGAAGAGCTACGCAGAGATCACATGAAACAAGCTATACACCGACAAGAGGAGAGACGGGCCCGTTGCAACAGGTACTAGGCCTAGGCCAAGCGGCACGAGTCCACGATGAAGATGCATCTAAGGGCTACGGTTTCAAACAGTTTTGGCGCGACCTCTGGAGAAAAGGAGCAACAGCATGATAACTAAGAATGCATTAAGATAAAATCTCGCATTGCGGCGCTGCCGGTGTATTCAGTTCTTGGAATTTCATGCTCAAGTCTATGCGACTTCCAGCCTTATGACCCCGCAGTTTGGGTCATTCCTCTATAGCCAGTCGCACTTCAAAAGTGGACGTCACCGAAATGTTAGATCAACCAAATACAATGGGCTGGGCATTTCTGCTTGTATCCGAGGCTTTAACAGCTCAATGCACGTGGGCCGGAGTCTTACAATCAAACCACCGTCACGGATTGTTTCCTATTACCAGCGTGGATCGACGAAAAACAGACGATTGTCAACGAAGCCTTACTCCCACTGTTCATTACCCTGGAATCGTAACGGCCTCTCAAAGAAAGATATCGGCTCGGGCAGTACGAAGGCTGGAGCAAAAAACAAAAGAGCAAAACCCCCCGCTTCAGTGTCAGTCGTATCATTAACATCAGCAGGCCAACCTCAATACCATATTTGTGTGTTACACTGAGCCGTCGCCACTGACACAGGTTATTGACATCTGTTTGACGACGAGGCGTTACAGTCGGACATAAGCCCACAGAAGTCGAAGATGACTGTAGCTGCCCAGCAGAGTTAAAATAAAATAAAACCATCCTTCAAATCCAATGGGAAAAAACCGAAGAGTACTAGCAGAGTTTGTGCGTTCAGAAATTTTGACAATCGGCTCAACGAGCAGTAGTAGATGGACCTGAGCCATAACGGAGCTTGCAACCCATGCGCGAAGACAGACTGCTTGGCGCTTAAATCGTGACTGGAAGGCAATCTTCTCATCTTCGTCGTCCTCGAGGCATGGCCGGATTACCGCAAACTGAGTGTACTTGCTTGGCCCAAAATGGAGGAAGATCACAAAAAGTACAGCCGGGATTGCAATGGCCCGCTCCACGATCCAAAAGATACGCTCCCAGTTCACTTTTGACATTATCTCCACAAAGGCTGGCCACAGGCACTTGCGTGAAGTCTCAGAAGCCGGGATAGTTATAGATCGTGCTGTCTTATCAGCCGCTGCTCGTAGAGGGATGATGAATGGCCGCCAAGGGATCTTTGGAAAGTCTCCTCTGGGCCAGCCTGCCTGTGCCATGTCTGAATCCCCAAAGGGGAGACGCGAAATGATTTCAAGCTTGCCAAGCCAAATTTCGTTCACTGCGTTTCCTGGTTGGAAGAAGTTTGGTGATCGAACACCGTTCACCGCGGAAACCTTGTTTCCCATTGTGAAGTCTTGCAGGACAAGATGCCAGAAGTAAGATCAGCAATGAAATGCAAAAGGAAGATGAATAGACACGCCTCTCTTGAAATATATGTGTATTGTCAATGGACCAGAAAGATGCTGACGTGCACCAAAACAACTAAAGATCGTGCCTCCTAAAAAGCCTTCATTTTCTGCAGCAAACATCCGGCTGCATCTGCAGGAAGGCTTCACCCAGTAATAATGCAGCAGCCATCACTCTTTCCTGGGCTCTGAGGCGGAAAGCATACCTTTTGCGTTAACGGCGACTGCTTGGAGGCAGCTTGACATCACCATCCTCTGTTCACAACTAGCCAATTTCCATTCACACATGTCTGTACTCTGTAGAAGGGCTGGCCTCCAGTTCGGAAAAATGGGGGTATCCAAGGCGTCAATGACATTGCCTTGGTAAAGCGGCAGTATGGCGCACACACATTACCGACACATCAAATTCTTCAACTGCAAAAATCAATGCAAAGAAGGGCATCGTCATAAATCTCTCTGCAAGGTTCACTCGTATGCAGAACGACATGAAACAATGGCGTCAAAACAAACTTTGGGGCGTGCAGTTGAAATGAACACCGTCAGGGGTGTCTTTGGCGTGATACATCATATAGGAGTGCAGTTATCTATGTCTAGAGATGCAGTGGGGGGGCAAATTCCCCGCACAGCTCTAGGCGATGTTAATCCTTGAAAGTAGGCCTCATTTCACGGCCAGAAGGATGACTATACGAGGCTAAGGGGCAGTGGGTTCATGAATATAATTAGTCTGCACAAGGACCAATGTGACCGTGACATCCTTTTTATACACACCTTGACTTCTTGCAAGAAACTGCCATTCTGCTGCGCACCCACGAATTTCTCAGGAGTGGCCTCCATTATACAACCCCGGCTGACAGGAACTTCGAGTGCAGACGAAATCCCGACCCGCAACTTGCTTTATGCTGGCCTTGGAGGTCGCCAACTAAGAATACTGTCGGAATTTTCCCAATAATAGACCGGCCATTCTCTGATGGATTCGATAGCCGTTGTCACAGGAGGAGCGGGAGACATTGGTCGGGCGATTGCCACTAAACTTGCGGAAACCCACAATCATGTGGTGTTGGTAGATATCGACGAGGCTAGAGTCACTGTCGCTGCAGACACTCTAGGGACGGAGAAAGCGAGGGCCATGATCTGTGATATTACCGACAACAAGCAAGTCCAGGAAATGGCACAGAAAATCATGTCACTGGGTGTTGTCTGCACATTGGTCAACAACGCCGGTGCGACCTGGGCCGGGTCATTACACGAATTGTCACCTGAAATCTGGAAGCGCGAAGTCACCCTGAACCTCGAGGCCAGTTTCCTATGTTTTCATGCCTTTGAGGAATCTTTGAAACGAGCTCGAGGATCCGTGGTCAACGTTGCTTCCGTCAATGGCCTGTCAGTTTTTGGAAATCCCGCATACAGTTCTGCCAAAGCGGGACTGATTCATCTAACAAGATCCATCGCGGTGGAATACGGGAAATTCGGCATACGCGCCAATGCTGTTGCTCCTGGGACTGTCAGAACACGCGCGTGGGAACACCGAGTTGAAGCAAATCCGCAGGTTTTTGAGGAGGCGATGAGATGGTATCCCCTTAAACACGTCATAGAGCCAGATGACATTGCCAACGCCGTGGCCTTTCTTAGCAGTAAGCAAGCGGCTGCTATCACTGGGGTGTGCCTGTCGGTAGACTCCGGTTTGACAGCCGGCCAGACATGCCTAGCAAGAGGTTTCTCACAGTCAGAATATTATTGACTCCGGCGCTTGAGACTCTTTTTGGACCGTTGGGGATATATCTTTTTGTGTTGCCATATTGGACATGTAGAGTAGGATATTGAAACCTCACCCCAAATTGAAACGAGCATGGCGTAACTATGTGAAAGAGAAACAGCCAAAACAAACAACCAATGCACAGAAACATTTGTTCAATTTGTTTGGAGCAAGCGGTGGAGCATCGAACAAGAACATGAATTTTTTTCTTTTTATTTTATTTTATTTTATTTTTTGGCCCTTTTTCTGACCTCCGAAGTTCCATTTGCTCATCGAACAAATAACCCCCTCGTCATCGAAAGTTCCCCTGGACTGCTTCAATAAGCCACCATGGTGCTGGGGGCCGTTTCTGGCGGTGATTCATGCACAGACGGAGCTTGTGAGACGTTCTGATCGCGCATTCATCGCCTCTCAACAAAAAAAGGTCACTTTAAGAGCCGAATAATTAGGAGGACGTCAGTCCACGATGGAGATCGCGCCGAAGACACCATCACCGTGGTGTGATCAGAGGTGACGGAATGTGATGGGCTTGCTCGACTGCAGAAATGACGGCAGACCAGACTCGCGCTAATCCGCAGTTTTTCGAGTTTTGTCCGGTGGCCGGGGTCGTCATCCCAAGAGATCGCTACTGATTCGGCCCTTGGATTTCTTCATTGCATCCCGGCGCTTAGCCACCAGCAAATCATCCTTGCAGGATTCACGGCCCCTCACCGTAGTGTGGAAAATCGAAACCGCTTAAAGGAGCGAAAAACTGATACCCAGCCTCTATTGGACCTTGCTTTTTTCCGCCCCTCGAAGCCGGCTGACGATACGAGCGGCCCTGGACCTCTTCATTGGACCTTGAAAACACCGCTTTCCCGAATTCTCCCAACCCGTGCAGGAGACATCCAGGTCTCAACCCACCTCAATCTCCTCATTTCATGCTGGAAACCAGTCTTCTCACGACGGATTGGACGCCGATCGACGGCCGCATCAGTTTATAGTCTCAGTTTCGGCCCCTTAGAGTGGTAATCCTCAACCCCCGCCCGCGGGTGTCACGAGGAGTGCGTCTGATACATCCAGGAGAGAGCATGGAATAACAAAAACAACCGAGTCGCGACATGTCAGGTCCCTTTTCGACTCTTCTTTCTCTTCCCACATCTTCCATGCTCGCATTGCTCCTTCAAGCCCTCTTCGCTGTACCGACCGCAGGCCGACCCAATTCGCTCTGGCACTTCGAGATCGCGAATGATCCAGCTCCACCGCCTGAAGAGGGTCCGCCGCTGTCAGCCTCGGCCGTTCGCGATTTAAGTCTGCTTTGGCGAGAGATTGTTGCTATTGTTGGAGCCTACGTTCTAATTGTATCCGTTTTCCTGGGCTGTCTCCTCACTGTGGGTAGACGCCTTCGGAGAGGCGCTCAGCAATCGAATCGAACGCTGGAGATGGAGATGCTCAAACCGCTCAGTGCACCGGTGAACGCAATCTCTCTCCAAATTCCGCAATCATCCAAAAATACCTGGCCTAGTCCTATGAGTGGAACAGAAAGCGAGTGTTGGCCAAGCCCTCAAAAGACCAAAAATCGATCCTTCAACATGCCTTGGTCTCGAGGAGAATCCCCTGTTTCTCCTAGGGCCGAGAGTATATCCACGGTGGACGAAAATATCGTACGAGCCGACCGTATGAAAGCTCAAGCAGAGATGGAAAGACTGTATGCAGCTGTCATGGAGCATGATGCCCAACGAGCCGCAGAGGCCGAGTCGAATGGAGGTAACTCACCGAGGTCACCTCGCCAGGCACATCCCCCGCTAGACAATCACCCTGACGGCAAACACCTGAGACAGCGGCAGCAATCATTCCAGTCTCTCTCTCCTGTGTCTCCTATGTCTCCACTGTCACGAGAACTACCTTCACCTGTCTACCCAGAACCTCACCGACCGCACTTCCAAGAACAACAACGACGAAAGCAGCTCCACATACAGCTACCACCAAAACCACACTCTCCCCAGCACTCCTGTGTAGCAACCCCAGAGCCCCAAAAATCTCCATTCTCGCCTCGCAATGATAAGCCATCTAGACTCTCCGCCTTATCCTTTTTGAGTTCCAAATCTCGCAAAGTACGTCGAGAATCGGTTCGAAATCTGCCAATATCACCTCCAATTCTTTCTCCAGAAGTAACGACCCCGAGTTATCCCGAAAACCAACCTCTTTCTCCACGTATCTACCATCCGGGACCTCCACCACTCAATCCTATACAAGAACAGCAAGAAAAGGCGAAAGCGAAGAGTCCGAGACTCGAACATCCCCGGAACGCTTCCGTTGATAGCACTTTCAGCGGGCCTCCGCATCTTAATCTCCGCAGTGCGGGCAGTAGCACTTCCACGCTTCCATTTCGTGCATTCAACAATGGGCCCATGAGTGCCCCGCCTACCAAGACCACGATTGTCGAAAGGCGAGATAGTATTCTTGGCCCTCTTGGACCTCGAACCGGTATTCCACGGACGCCATATAGTCCATATATGCCGTTCACTCCTATCACACCTTTGACCCCAAGTCGTATGATTACGCGACAGGAGCGAAAGAAAATGGAAAGGAAGAACGGAACGCGAGTGCAAACAGAAGCAGACCTGGTAATGAGCGATGAAGAAATGTGGGGGGCTTAAGAATATCTATGCAAAATTTTACCGGAGGCATGCTTTTCTTTTTTTTTTTCTTTCGTTTATTCCTGCTGTGACTGCTTTTCCTTTCTAATAATCAGCCGGTGTTTTAGTTACTATCATTTTCTTCCCTTCCCTTTTCTCCTCTTTTCTTTCTGTTTTCTCTTAATTTTTCTGTATGAAAGTTCTGACACAGTTGGTGAAATCCCTTTGGCTGCTTTCTCCTTTGTTGATGCTCAGTTGGGCATTAATGCGGTCCTTTTTAAGTTCCAAGGCCATTGCTGTCGTTTGTTAATGCACGCGGGGCAGATACCAGTGCAGTTTTTCCTCATGATATCTATACCTAACATAATATGTGTGTGTTTGTGGGAATTCTTGGGGGCATATATAACTACTAGTTAGAAACTAGAATCCCGTATCTTCACATTTTACAGTGCGGTTGGGTTTCGTAGCAGCGTTCACTCTTGCTGGAATGAGCCCAATAGCCCCCAGACTCGAGCATTGTTCGATAAGCCGCTACCTTTACTTCAATCTGCTGTCGCTCACTCTATCGCCGGGGCTGGTGTAAGTTACCCCTGACGTCACGCAGGCCACGTGTTTTGGAAGGCTTCGGACGGCCATCCGCAATGTTAACCTAATGCTCAGAACTATCCCTGCGAGCAGGACACGGAAACGAAGTAGTTCTACACTGAAATGTGGTAAGTGGACAGCTCCAGACTCCTCCGTGGATAAATATCGATTGCTAATGCTTTGCATTACCAGCGAGGACTAAGATCGTCATGCCCCTGACGGTCCTCAGCAATCATGACGTTCGATCCCTTCTCCTATCACTAACCGGAGATGAAATTCGAAAATTACAAGCGAATCTTGCAGAAGCATTGAGGACATACTCCACCGGAAATCAGGATCCCGGGTTGCTTCTCAGAGAATCAGCCACAAGGTACACGATATGCAGAAAGAATGGACTGACCACAATGTTTCTACCCGCGAGCACGGGTTCAAGTCTCGGGTTTAAGATCATGACTTCAGCGGAGGATTGTCACCCCGGCAACTAGTCGAAATTGAAAAGCTGCTAATGGTCAAGGGTGCAACGGAAAAGACGGGAGATCCGCCCGACAAGGGACTTGTTGAATGGCTCCAAAAAGGTAACGTTATATATAAATGTGTGGGATTAATTTTGATGGACTTGGTCGTGGGAGGGGATATCCTCTATCTTGCCAGAGAAAGAAATATTTGAACAACGATATCAGAATTTTAGTTGATCTATTGAGCGGATGCAAGCGGCCAACAAACCCTATCCGCTGCAACGTATACACATAGTCAGGTCAGCACCCGACAGCGCCAATAATAATATGCTTAGAAGCCCCGAACGCCCCATTCCTCGACAGGTGTAAAGGGAACCAAAGCTTAAAACCATCCTTACAACTCCCGAGCAATGCGGTCATCCATCAAAACTCCATGGTCCCATCCCTGATGACCAGGTCGGCAACCATGCACAATAAAGAGGTCCGATTTGGCAACAGCAATTCTGCATGAACCCGATACGATCCGTCTTCGACATTTTTTCCTGCTAGCATATTTTCGGCAAGCAACTCGGCCCAGCCCGGCGCCATGTACTCTCGGAGCAAGAAATTCTGTCGGATGCGGATCCACGGGACCTCGCTTAAGCGATATTCATACGGGCCATAGCGCTTGAAGTGGCCGGACCAGATTGTGAAAGACAGCCTGATAAGTTCGAGATCGCGAATGTGCGGGACCCAGCCGGTTAGGTAGGCAAAGTGTTGGAGCGACCTATATTTGTAAAGGAGGAGAAGTATGTATATCAGTTTGATAGAAATTATGATCGTATCACGGGAGTATGTAGTTCTACAGAAAGGAATAGGTGAAGGGATATGGTCAGAAGGAAAAGGGTGCATTTACGGCTTTGGTGGATTAGGAAGCAGGATGAACTCGTGAACTTGAAAGGGCGAGCTAGACTTGCAGAAGTATGCTGGATTATTTCCGGGAACTTTGTCCAGGCTGTTCGGGGGTTCCTCAGGAGCTTGGGCCTCGAAGATCGTTTTCTCTGGGTTGTTCACAAAGGAAACTGATTGGCCAGCGCAGAGTTGGTGCCATGGTCCCAGGGGGAGGAAGAGGGTAAGCCATAGGAGGATGATCACTGGCCTGGAAGAGCACAACATATTGGGCTCGAGCTGCTAATGTTGCATGGCTGATGTGGAGGTGCGAATCCACCGCCGTACATATTCATCCACATCATAAAACATTTTGGTCAAGGCCTGGACTTGCTTGGGTCCTGGTTTCCTTCCCGGACTCCTCTAAAGCTTGGCCCCTAGAAATGGGTTCTTGGCTCCCGGCGATCTTCAGGCTGTATGTATACGGCCTTATGTTACCCTCAAACACCACAGTAACATCTATCGTGCGCTTCTTCCAAATCCAAGCCAATGCAACCGGAAACGTGGTCTAAAACTACTTTTATGCCCATTAATTAGAAAAGTTAAAAGATGAAAAGGCCTTGGATATCAAAACAATTTAAAGGGAACGTTCCCATACTATGAAATAATGCTGACTGAGCCATCTCAAGCATTCCAAAGCAGGGTCCATTGGCACCATGGACTCTCAGTGGAGGTTCGGTGTGCAACTTACACAATGCACTGGGGAATTGCGAGAAGCAGGCACCCGCTAGAGACGGGGTTAGTATTGCCTGGAAAAGTATCCTGTCAGTGTTTTCCTTTTCACAACCTCTACTGCCTTCTAGCCTCAAGTTGTCGTGGACCCTGGGGTCGCACAACGATTTTCGATAGAGCCCATTGACTTTCTGTTTGCGTTGCCAAAATGTAGAGCAATGTGTATGATGTATCACTCCAGCGCGCAGATTTCATTCACATCAGCTCCAACACCGACCCAGTCTCACACATTGATAATTAAATCACAATACTGTTTTGATCATGATGATCATTTTCTCGATGAACAATCTGATTCCAATAGTGAGCCATGCCAGGTTTGCTAAGCCACCAGAACTCTGCTCTCGTGCTCAAAATCGTCGCACCGGCAAAGCTAAGCGGGAAGCGCAGATTAGCCGCGGATAAACTGTGCAGCTGATTATCAACTAACACGTGGCCCGTCCTCGTGGCTCGTGCACGGTAAGTCGCCTCGAAAAAAAGGGCATCCTCCATGCTCCTCCGTATATGGAGTACGGAACATTATCCGCTAATTATTTGCAGTACAGCCATAAAACAAGCCCTCTTCTGCTCACGAACTCCGTATGTTACTACGGATTTGGAACCAAAATTGTCACACCCCCCTTCTCCCCCCTCCCCTTACTGTGCACCCGCCCCAAAACCTCAACCACGTATTCACATCGGGATGGGCTTGGATGTTTTTATGGGGAGTCGGCTAACTCGACTGTCAACCAATGAGAGGCATGGGCGCCACAAAGACCGGATGTGGCTGCCGTCTCGTGCAATGATGTCATTCCTCCCGGCTGGTATCGTCCGATCAAGCAGATTTTTCCTACCCGCTGAAATATCCCATGGATGAGCAGAAATGAAAGATGACGGGAAATGCAGAGAGATCCTTCCAATTTGCCCCAGTCGCAACATGATCGTTGTTCGCTTCATGATTAAGTCACTATTGTTTCATACAAAAGGGATATAAACGTCCCTTGAAGACCTACCCTTTGCCTCAGTGCACAACTCGAGAATCGAGGCATTGTCAAACCTTCAACTACGGAGTCAATGCCAACTGAGCCAATTTTCCTTCCCAACGGTTATGTGTACACCGTCACCCCCGTCTTCGGGGGAATGACATTCAAGCACAACGAAATCAACATCAGCCATTCAACCCTACCACCGGGATGGAATATAGTCGTACATACCGAAAGGTTTTCTCCGACAAGTGAGGAATGCCGACCCGAATCTCCCTCCAATTCTGGCAATTCCTCGTCGGGCCTCTCCCGCCCAGGCTCTGGCTCAAGGCCTCAAAGCCCGTCCAGGGAGAATAGACGCACCCCCCGAAGCCGTTCATTTCGCTTTACAAAACCGACCCTTGACCGTGATTGCCTTTTCATCTCTTCCCTATTCTTTCCTTCAAGTCGGGACTTCAAATCGCCCTCATCGCCCACACGGCAGATTGCGATGATGCTCTGGGCAACCCTTTGGTGGTATTTTCATTTGCCAGAGCCAAATCGACATGTCTCCACCCCTGAATCCGCGTTGACACCCGAGCCTGGCCGCCCAAAGGGAGAGTGGCGTGTGTATATCAAACGAGAAGGTGTCCTTAAAGGTCGCAATCTGATGCAAAAACTGGAGCGAATGGGCTTAGTGACATCTGAGGATTCGTCCGTGGGTCTCGATCCCGCCGATCCTGATTATCAGGATGGCTGGAAAGAAATGTACGTCAGTCGTCGTAGGTTCTGGCAATTGGATCCTAGAATCTTCCTTTTCACGTTGCAGCCCGTGTCAGTGCCACCGGTTATCGATATACCACACTTTTCTCGCCCGGACTCTCCCCCCAGTGGTAGCATATCAACGACATCCCCTACGTCTGCAGCTGCTCTTCTAGGCCCGGAAAATGTTCCTTTCAACCCATCTATGCCTGGTGGCCCATTTTACTCTGGAAGTCACTTGCCAACCTTTTTCCCTCCCGCTCCTCCACTCTATACTTTCACAAACGGAACACGCCATCCCATCCGTCCTAAACCACCCAGGCAAGGAGAAACGTTCTATGTCCGCTATATTCGCAGTGTAGCGCAGACGCTGTCCTTCCGTGTCCCAGTTCTCAAGGCGAGAGAGTCGGTCATGTTAAGTGACTTGAACATACGCCATCGCAAGTCCGCAAGCGCAACATCCATCGCTGACATGATAACAGCGGGTTCTGTCTCGCCCAGATCAGAAAATGAATCAGATCTTGACGTCTTACACAGGTGGATGAACAATCCACGCATTAATGCTGCTTGGGGCGCAGCTGGCCCGCGCTCGATTCAAGATGCTTTCCTGCGGAAGCAACTCACGTCCACCTTCTCATTTCCCGCCTTGGGTTGTTGGGATGGCAAGCCGTTTGGGTATTTTGAGATTTATTGGATAAAGGAGGCAAATATAGCAAAGCTGCTCCTGTCTCCAGTGGGCAATTGGGATCGTGGGTTCCACTGCTTAATTGGCGAAGAGGAGTACCGGAGTTCACATCGAGTACAGATATGGTTGAGTGCACTGGTACACTACTGCTGGCTGGCGGATAATCGGACGGAGAATGTCATCCTGGAGCCTAGAGTTGACAATGAGAGGTGAGCGGCTCCACCAAATCCATACTATTCCGCTCTCCGAATTTGGATATTATTCTATCCCTAGAGTAACCATCTTTGCTAACTTACATCGTGTCCATAGGTTAATTTCTAGCCTTCATACAGCAGGCTTCTATAAAGATGGAGAAGTGACCTTTCCCCACAAGCAAGCTGCTGTGATGAGGATGAAACGAGATAATTGGGAAGCACCCGTGATATGATGCCTTTATACCACTCAGTAGACCGACGCTCCGAAATTTCATTCGATGCTGTTCAGAGAAAGCATCGAATAATAGCCTCTTTTTTCGTATGAGGTACCTAAATTCGGTAGCGTTTCCAGTCTCTGTTCGAACATACTGTTACTACCTAGTCTAACGATAGATAATTCGTCGCGCTCGCTCCTTACAGCGGCAGAGTTATATTTTCACGAAAAGATCAGAACTTTTTTCTTCTTCGATGTACAAGTCCGTTTTCCAAAGAACATGCTCCCGGTAGAGTTCGGAGCACTCTTGAGGAGTTGCCATGTGCTGGACACATTTCTTCAGCTACTTTTACTCCGACAATAGTGTCAAATTTAGGAATTTTTTTTTTCTTTCTTGGGAATAAAAGGATTGTATTTTATAATAAGCGTCTCATTTTCCTTGCAGCCCAACTTCTAAAGGGATAAGGAAATTTACTTTGAAAATTTTGTTGACATTACAATTATCGTATCAGCAAAGAAGATGATCATCTTTGTCATTCCTTGCTATCTCATTTAATATCCATATCAGGCCCATGCACATGTAATGGGGTGACGAGGTAGCTGACGACTTTTTCCCAGCAAACAAAGTATTTGAAAAAAAGTTGCATGCACGCCCACAAAAACCGACTCCACCAACGTAACGAAACACAATCGAAAGGCGTTACGTTTATCGGTATCTCCAGAGGCTGAGGGTATTGTGTCGCTTCCAGGTCTTCCGTCTGCCGGCGGTGGTCTTGTTGTAGCGGTGTCCCTTGTTGAGACCGCGGGATTTCTTGCCAGTTGCAGTGAGACCACGGCATTCGCGGTGCTAAATTAGTGTGTTAGTAAGGTGTTCTATTTGCGCTCTTTGGCAACAATCAATTCGAAGCGTACCTTGTGAACTGGCTTCACGATCCAGTTGATGCGAGGATCACGACGGATAGCCTTGTGCTGAGGATCGACGAGAATGACCTCAAAGTACTTGTAGGTAGAGTCCTCGTTGATCCAGTAGGAGTTGAGGACACGGAGGTTAGCGCAGCGCTTGCCAACGCGCTCCTCGGCAGTAGCCTTGAGGGAACGCTGGTATTTGAGCTGGTTGACACCGTGGTTGGTGGGTTTGCCTTGAGGGAAAAAAAGATAACGGTATTAGAGTCGATATTGCTGCCAGACGTGTGAATCAAGTACATACCATAAGTAGCACCCTTGGGGGCAGGTCGCTTGCGTCCACCACGGCGCACACGGACACGGTAGATAACATAACCCTGCTTAGCCTTGTATCCGAGACGGCGAGCCTTATCGGGACGAGAGGGGCGAGAAGCACGATGGATCACATTGAGTTGACGAAGCTATATTGATGCACTCTCAGCAATGTTCAACGAGTGTATAGCAAGACACACAGAGAGAGAGAGCGAGAAAATCGAGATTCTCTCTTTTCCTTCTCTTCGTGTGTGCCACAGAAGAAATTGTATTTGGATTTCGAAGGAAAAGTGGTCCGGCTCCGAAAAGCAGGTCTCTCTCTTTTGTTTTTTTGCTCGCTCTCGGTCTCGCGGTTGGGAATTATCTCACCTCCCAGCATCGTACGCGCAGCAAGAAGCGCATCACATCGGATTGCTTCTTGCGCTGAAGCTCTTCAACATATTTAAGAGCACCCATCTGGACAAGGTGAAATCAAGCGATCAGCAAACGGAATTGACGCTCCAATTTTGCACAAGGATAAAAGCATGGAAACACAGCAGCCACAACTAGCTGTCAGGAGATCTCACCTTGTCGTCGTGGGTTGGTCGTCCCTGGTTGTCGTTGTCAGTGCAATGCGTCTCGCGCTCGAACGAGTCTTTCTGTGGGAACGCTTAATCCGGCTTAAGCGAGCGCAGTGTGGCTTGGCATCTAATCACGTGATATGACTAGCGCGAGCCTTGCCAAGCCTATCCCAGACCCTGAGAGACATTTAAATTCTACACATCCCACGCAGGATTAATTGGACCGCTGGGTTAAAACTCTCTATCGTTGGGCTGAATTGTTCTGGTTCGAGTATAGTGGAATGACCGTCTCACAAACGGCGCTTCGATGCCATAGCGCTCCAATGAGCCCAAAAACTCTGGGATATAAAATCCTGAGAGATTTCAGAACATACTCTCTGAATCATCAGCGACTATGCCCAGCAAGGCTAAACACTGCTGCAATACAAACTTCTCTGTGGTTCCTAGGAATCCATGGACAATTCGCGCACGCAACCCTCCCCTCTTTAGCCAACAATAAACTGGAAGCTGGAGGATTACGACACCGGCACTTGCAATCGTTTGCATTCCAAACGACGACCGCACCTGAACTTCCGGAGTCACTACTTTCATAACATCCATTACTGTCCGCAAGAAGCAAGAAGAGTATTATAGAAACCCGAGGTGAAAAGCCTCCCTATAAGCTTGATCTTGGCTGCACAACTACCAGTTACATTCTCATGGGGCACAGAACTTGGGGAAAGAATATTGAATATTGGTAGGATACTTCTAATAGCTATCTTCTTTTAGCAATACTCTCAGAGAGTTTCTAAAGGTTGGTAGTTAAGTAATTAAGTCCTTTTATCTCCTTATGTGGTTTTCATGTGCTTGGTCCGGCCAGGTACAACCTACCGCTGAGTTAACGTCTCATATCCTCCTTTCCTTAGCTTTTTTTACCACTCTCTGGGAACGCGCTGATTAGCGCTCTCAGCCCTTTCCGAAGCCTATGCGCCGTAATTCCCCATCCATGTATCTCCTCTCGTCCTTTCCCCATTTCACTCCCATCCTCCTCCTCTTCCTCATCGTCCGCCTTACCCATTTCAAACATGGCTTTCAGATTCTCATCCATCTCAGAATCCCTCTTTCTCTTCAAAGCTTTGCCTCCTTGTCCATTGACACCGTTTATTCGAGCCTTGTCATACGTGATCATTTTTTCAATCTCTAACGTGGAGGCTTCACGGCCGGCTATAATAAGTCGTCGCGCTTCCACGTAGTCCTTCTCCCATTCTTCTGCCAAATTTGGAAGCTGGTCAATATCTCTGATATAGTCATTGACCCTCTCGCACGCGTCAAGCACGGCGTGCAAACGTTCAAGCAAGGTTTTAGACGCGACATAGAGGGGGTGGCTCGCGAAAGAGGTTGCTCCCTGCGCCTCAGGGTCCTTTTCGCCCTCGTCAATATGCGGAACATCCTTGGCTGGACCGGAAAGCGGTGCCAGAGCAGACTTCAGAAGGGTTTCAAATTGGGCCTGGAACTGCTCCTCTTCCGATTGCCTATCTAACGCAATCAGAACAGTCCTCTCAGAGAGAACACCATCAGCCTACATTTTGGCTTGTTCCTCATCCAACATATCCAGTAGCCTCTTTTCTTCTGTGCGAACTTTCAGTTCAAACGTCTTCGCGAAGTTATCATTCTTTTCTACACGTGACATTGCAGCTTGCAGTGCATTAAGTGCCGCGATCCTACATCCCCCAGTTAGCTTGGATGTTGCAATAAGATTCTCAGTCATAGAAACATAGAGCATATCCACTGCTGGTGGTTTTCTACCTTACCCCTTCCACCTCGTCTACGCTATCCTGCGAGTTGTCGTAACTTTCTGGAAGATCATCGTCATTGTAATCATCATCAGTAGCGGCATATCCCGTAGCTCGACGTGACATTCCCCCGGTAGGTCTCGTTTCCGTCGCCGAGGTAGCCTTACGTCCTCCCCAACGGGGTCGCACCGCTACCACTCAGGTATGATTAGCCTTGATAAAACCATCGCCAGCGAGATCTCTAGATTGATTGCTCACCAGCCTGCTTAGTACGGGTCATCGCTTCAATAACGCGAGGCTCCACGCTAATCCTCTTGGGTACCTTTACATCAGTTGAATGTGGGTAAGCCCTCAAAGAGAGGGTCGGACGTTTATCGACGTCTCTATATCCGAATCAAGAAATCCATAAGGGTCATGTGATTTAATCAGCAAGTAGGTACACAGGATCGAAATCAATAAGAAATGTATTGTATGCATACGGCTCCTATCTGGATAAACACTCTTGGGAACTAGAGAAAAAGGAAAATGAGCATATCAAACTGAGGAGGGAACGAGCAGAATAAAGAAGCCAATTTGCAGTCAAAGGCATGATACATAAGAAATTCACGTCTTTTGATAACAAACCAAATATTCGGAAAGGACTGGAGAGACAATCGTGGCTTCAATAGACCAATCCATCTCTCTGATGTTGGTCAGCATTCTAGTGCCGATGAAAAATATGTTGAAAAGAAAAGAAAAGAACGGGGTATAATAAGAAAAGGAGAGGGAAATCTGAGAATTGGATCCGGCGAAGCAATCGTCATCGGCGCCTGGGGAAACGAAGGACAATAAGTATACATGGAGTGATAAATATAGGTACACGCAAAAGCAAATTAAGAAAGAGTAGCATAAAGAGAGCATGATGTGCCAAAGATCCTTCGAGTATCCTCCCGTTCTGTCTGGAAGTCAAAGCGAGTCCCGCAGAATCGGGGAGTCCATAGCTTAAGGACTTTGATATCCCAAAAGAAATTCCCTGGCCATATCGAAAAACAGATGGTTTAGTTCCATTGCCGTCTTGAGAGTCAATCTGTCCATTATCAATTTTTCAAACAGCCTTTCATCCTCAATTTTGTTCCAAATTCAAGATATTGCACAGGCAGATTGATAATGTCCCCATATGAAAACACGAAACGATGATAAAGGAATGGCCAGTCTTAGATAACAGGAGATAAGAGCATTGTAAAATCTCTGCAACCAATGTACTGGAAATGATGTTGCAATTCCCTTTACCGATCCCGTAAAGCGAAGGTCGTGGAAAGGTGAACTAGAACATGCAAGGAGCAAAATAGCCCTAAAACGAGAGTTTGCATCGAGCAGGTGATTTGTAGTAGAAAAACGAGCCTGTGGTGCCAATGTGGTTTTTAAGGCAAATGTCAATCCGTTAATCATGGGTCGAGATAATCTATCGGTGGTTTCCGAAAGGACTGAGAAGTCAAAAAAGCCGTTTAAATGTCCGTATCATAAGCACCTTTCGCGCCAGCCTGTTGCCAAGTGTATATCTAGTTCACCTGTATGTCCAGAATCGATGTAAGCACGATAGGATGGTACAAACGCGCAAGAAAATGACCCGCAAAACCGAAGAGAAAAATATTAGGTACTAAAACCCGTAAATCTGGAGAATAGAATGCGGCGCGAGATATCATTAATAGCGGATGCGGATGCAGTGGTGCGAATAAAAAGAAGCGGAAACAACGGATTGCCAAAGCGGACAGCATTCGAAGCACGGACTGTTCCAATAGCGGAGATCCAACTGCTCTTTTCAATTAAGAGCCAAGCGAAAGGCCCTGGAAGCGGTTCATCCATTCTTCCTGTGCAGGATAACCGCTGCGCATGCCTGCTGCTCCAAATCCAGCTGTACCCGGATCGGATATCCCATAGTTGGAGGGGTAGGAGCTAAACGGATCGGTCTGAGGTTGCAAACCATGCGTATAACCGTTATAGCCAGCTTCCGGTTGCCGAGCGCTTCCAAGGGACTGATAAGAATCCAAATAAGGCGAGCGCATCGGCCCACCTTGACCAGCCGTCTCTCTGTTCAATGGCTCAGTGAAAATTCCGGGAGTCAATCCTTGGCTGATCCCTGCGCCATATTGCTTATAATCATGCGGTCGACGGCGATCTCCATGTGGATCTTGACCGTAACCCAGAGAGGATGGGGGTCCAAGGCCTCCTAGAGCCTGTAAACCGGTTGTGGGCGTGACAAAAGAAGCAGGGTTAATCGCAGACATCCAAATCCTAGTCTTGTAAATCTTGAATAAATCCGTAACCAGCGAATTAAAGTTGATATATGTATCGGCAAAGTAATAGAAAGTAAGCTTCTTCCAGTCCCTATTGGCAATATATCAGCAGGATCATAACAATGAGGAACGCGTGGGCGGGGCATACATTTGAAATTCGGCATCGAGGATCTCCATGTTCAATCTGTGCTCGAGAACTTTTTGCTGGCAAACACGCTTTGCCTTGGCCTCATTTCCTTCTTTATCACGTAAAGTCTGAATTTCGTGGTTCTGTGCAAGTCGTTTAATCAATTTTGGTTTAATATCACCACCCTGGTTTTCCTGTCCAGCATGTTGACTGTGAGGCCCCATGCCGCCGACTGTACTTCCACTTAAGCCTGAATGACCGTTTGGATTCACCGCATGAGGCGCCCCAGACTGGTTCTGGCGAGAAAACATCATCAACCATTTATAGTGCTCCTCCGCATAATGTTCCTTCAACTCTCGTGCCTTTTGCCAGCTCACATTTGCATGTGCAACAGTGCCAAGATCGGTTCCACGATCCGCTTCGACAATGACAAGATCCCCGGGTTTAACCTGCAGTCCAGTATCTTCCTGAATATAGAAAATATCTGCCCGATAACATTTGAATGTAACGACGAAGAGCTGCTGATTCTGATGTGGCTGAGCTAACGCTGCATGCTGTCGGCCAAAAGCGTTTGGCATAACATATGCTTGATGCAAAGCTGTCGATATTCCAGACGACGGTGGAGGCTCATTTGCACGGTTTGAAAGATCATGACCTGAAAAGTAGGCAACTGCAAATTGACGAGCACGTAAACCTTCCAGTTCCTTTGCACGTTCGGCAAGGGACTGAGTGTTACGAGATGCGAGATACTCACGATTATCTGTGGATGAAGCGCTTAAGCCAGTTTCCGGATAGCTCCCAACGTCCTCGTCCTGCTTCTTAACAGCTGTGCCGACAGGAGGCTGGGAATCTGCCGAGCCGGAGAGTGATGAGACCTGTCTCGTGGGAACATCCGCGAAAGAGTGACGACGGCTCTGGGGAACGTCGTTAATACTGCCGAAACCAAGTGAACTTTGCCACTGAGCCCGCTTGATATTTTCCAAAGTACGATTCTCCAAAGAAGTAAAAGTAGGAAACTGCTTTTCCAGATTAGCAGAGTGTAGGCTGAATCGTCTCCTGGCGTTACTGCGCGAGGCATTATATCCGGGAAATTCGCCGAGTTCATCCATGTCTTCGACCGCTAGATCGCTTTCCTCGGGGACGCTTCCATGGATAGGGTGTAGTTTATGGCCCTGAGCAATAGAATATCCACTGTTAGCCGAAGTAGAAGAAAGGGTTCGATCCCGAAATCGCACGCCTTCAAGCTGGCTTGAAGCAGCTTGGCGTAAAAGTGCATTTTCTAAAGTCAGTTGCTCGATAGTACGTGCCTGATTAGAAGACCAATTATTATTATTGCCTTCAGAATCATTGGGGCTAATATCATCATCGTCTTCCCGAACACGCCCCAGAACGGCGGAGTCACGTCCTAGCTCACCGAGTATGCTAGGCCGTGAGGAGCGGCGCTGGACAGAATATTGCGCACTGTTCCTGGTGCGAGCTCCAGACACTGGCGCAGTAGGTTTGGTCGGCATCATATGAGTAGTTTCTGGGTCTAGCTGTCCAACAGAATACGACTGAGAACGATAGGTTTTGGGGGTGGGATGGATAGGTATCGCAAAAGGTATAGATGCTTCCGTGACGGATCGCGAGGTAGGGCTGATCACCTCGTCGGCAGACCCGAAGCTCGAATTAGGTGGATGTATGGAGGTGGGAGATTGGAGGACTTCTGACAACCTTGAAGGTGGTTCTTTGCGGTTCTCGGCATTCCATATCCCAGTACCCATGGGAAGGACCCATTTCCTGTCGAACCCCAGTTAACCGAGCTTGCGAGACCTGGGCTCGTTGCTGAACCCCAGGCACCTTGATCCGTTGCCGGTGTGGTGGGGTTTGAGTTCACGGGAGAAAATGAGCTGGTAGCGGTTAAAGATGCTTTCCGGGGCAATGAGCTGGGTATTTCGTTCAGCCATGAGGTACGTCGCGTCGTGTTCGAAACGGGAGTCGGCTGTGCTTGAGTATGCCCGTGGTGATCGTTTTCATCCTCGGAGGAGGCAAGTGCTTCAGAGTCTGGAGTGGATCGCCGACCACCTTGCCGGCCTTTCTCTAACAACATTGACGCATTGTTGTTCGGAGTAGGTGCATACGTAGTATGCGAAGATTTGGATGACTGACTTGTCTTGCTGGACGCCGCCATGATGAAAAGTGGCTAAATGGGGATGAGATGAAGGGTTGTCGATGTCCAAAGGAATAAGAACCTCATCCACTGATAATGAAAAGGTACAAAGAAAAAAAGAAAGAAAGAAACTAATGGGCTTTGGAGAGACTTTTCAAAGAGAAAAGTGAAATGCTCGAAAGTGGTAAACCGGATGCTATCTGCAACTCAGCAGTGAATCAGAGTGACTACCGCTCCGCTCACCCAAAGTCGAGACAGGACAGCGTCAAATTAGGAAGGCGTATAACGGCTGCCCAAGTGTTGTGATACGATGTCATGTGTTGGTGATGATGATGGCGGTGGACACAGCTCCTGTCAGGTATTATATGGTTAGAAAAATAGCCAAAAACCAAACCAACACAAGTGATGGCAATCGACTAATAAGAGTTAGGGTGACGCGACGCGGCAGTGGTGGAGATATATGGTACATACCCAATGTCGGCGGCCGATTTAAGACGTGCGTAGCCGTAAATTTGACAAGGTCTGCGCGAGGAGACCGGTGAAAAGGGGAGAAGGAAAAAATTCTCACCAGCTTCCGCTGAAGGGATCTGTGCAACCAGAATAACTGAGCCCAAAGGTAAGATGACAGATGCGACAAAAAAATGTGACGAATAAGATGCGACGAAAGGTTGATGGGGTGAAGCTGCCAGGAGACAAATAGGCAGTAAACTGAGAATCTGATGATGATGAGAACAATGTTAGTTCATATGCTGTCAGTTAACTTTTCTTTTTTCCCCCCTCAAAAATGTCCCAGAAACAGGGAGAGAGGCGAATGGAAAATGAGGAAGGAAAAACAATAGGAGCCGCTTTTATTGCGCAACGCAAGACAGTCAGCATTCCCGTGCAACGATATTGCACTATAGCGACTGTATTGCGTGGCAAAATGAGAAAGACAGTGTCAAACACACAAAAGCTCTTATCCTCTCCCAAATCGAAAGCCGCAGCATAATGGGCCACTATAGGCAGGCTGGATACGTAGAGCTGGGCCTGGTGGACAAGAAGTTGCCCAGAACAGAGTCTGGGAGACTCAATAAAACAGTCCCGATAAAAAAGAGGCCAGGCTGCCAGGGTGGCTATTTACTTTTCAGTTTGTCAAAAGTAAACCTGGGTATCAAGGATATAATTGCGCAAACATCTGCCCTCCCGGTTGAAAGAACCCAAGATCTAATCGGCAATCTTGAGATAAACCGGTATTCTCATGGCAGAAAAGGCGCCGGCCGCATGCGCAACTGAGGTCGGAATGATGTGAGAGGGCCGTGGGGTGCTGCTTAGCCAAATGGGACGGGGGAAGGCAATGCGAAGAAGCGGCAAACCGTCGACTGCTTAATGAGATAGCAACCTTACCTTAGGCGAATCTAAACAAGATGCAAGAATCTGGCGGGTATTGATAAAAAAAAGAAATACCGTCTCCGATAGCAAACCGAGGAGTCTAAGATGGATAAGAAATGTCAGTGGCCAACGCAGATCAAGTAAATAAGAACCTGTTAAAAGCGGAATAAATGACCTAGCTAGCAATTATGATCTGAGCAGTCTTTCCCTTTTCCCAACGCCACCAAGCGCTCAAAGGTGATAAATAGGAGGAGTGGCTCGCGTTCGAAGAGAATCAGAAAGCAAAGGGCCCGGTGCAGGAAGCAGCGCGTCCACAGCGCTCGCACGTCATTGAAGGATCAATGGATAGAGTCTCGAAGGTGGGAACTCGGTTCTCTACCGCTTGGACAGGACGACGGCGATTATCGGTACAGAAGCTCTATGGACGGAAACCGGATGCAGATGGATGGACTTGAGCTCAGGGAACGTACGGGATCACCAGAGGATGGAGGAGGAGGAGCGCGTTCGGCGCGGTAGATGTATTGAGGCGAATAGCAGATGAAGATAAGATGCGATGGCGAAGATAGAATGACTTCAGACAACGAACTCTAGAGGAGCATGAAAGGGCGAGGCGCCGTTTCCAACCATTAGCGCATGTCAAAGGAACCAAGATCCAGATCAATCGGCATCATGGGATGGGGCAATTTACGCTGCGAACTGGTGGGTGGCGTCAGGGTAGGGTTGGGATTTTGGAGAGCCTACTTTGGGGACCGATCCAAACAGTGCTCACACTCCCCAGAAGTCTACGACGTATGGGAAGGAGAAGTTGGTGGCACTAAAGAACTTTCTTAGGCTTCTTGGGACCGTTTTGAGCCTAAATGGCTGGGATTTCGTGCACGATTTGCAGCTAAGGTTTGTGCAACTCCAGGGAAAGGGGAGTGCGAGATCAGGAATAACTTGACCCGTGGTGGTGCTTGACGAGACCGGCTGGCGTTTGACTACTTATTCAGACGAAGCCCCCTTTTCCATCTGCTGAGCTGCCTGAGAAGTGGATTCCGACACCTGCAGCAAAGGACGTGCAACGGCAAAAAAGGACTCTTTTTTCGTGGGTCTCGAACAAATTCCCTGCTCGTCTTCAGGCGGGTTCCAGCCAGGCCTTGCGGGCGTGCCCTCACCGGTTAACGAGTTAACTAATCACTCCATATAGAGTACATAACTGGCTAACTACGCATTCCGCCGTGCTTGAGAAAGTCACAGCTCTATCAGTATAATATGGCCTGGAGATAATGGTGTGGGTTGGAATGAAACAGAAAGTGACAGAAGGCCAAAGACGCTTCGCTTCACCCCCAGGAGCATTGCATGAATGTGTTATGCTGTAACTGGGCTGGGGAATATAAATCACCGCCGGTTGACAGCTTGACTCTACTCTTCATCGAACCAGACAAATACATCAGTCATTCCCTACCTCAGCTACCTGCATATTAAGGGCAACACACATACTCCCATACATCTGTATACATACACAGGACCATAGCTTGTTGTCCAAATGAAGGTCGATTGCTCTTTCAAGAGTAGGGCCATGTCAAGCCCGCCCATGGCCCTTGCAGCGAAACAGGTCTGTCCCACGACCGTTGGGTGGCAGCTAACCAATTTAAAAGGGCTTGTGTGAGGTTCTCGAGATGGTGGAGTGATCTTTTGACCCTCCACACCCCGGTTCATTAACCAGTTAGCGAGTCAATTGAATTTGGGACAAGAAAAAGGCCCCTCCCTCTCCCCCATCTCAGTCCAGCCGTGAGAGTGTCGGGTAGTTGGATCAGCAGGCATACATACGATGCCCACATGTGAGGAGAATGCCACTGCCGAGCCCTTGTGCATTCACTTGACGACACCGGGCTCAGTTATCGAGCTTCGATTGCCCTTGTCATCGAACTGTTCCAATCCCAGCTAATACTTTCCCTTGCGATCTCCTCCAGATCCTGCTTCTCCAGGCGCCTGTTGTGTCTATCAATCCTTGATCCAGAAAAGCCTCAAGAAGGGCCCTGCGTGGAAACATCGTAACTAAGTAAGCTGTTGTGGAGAAGCCTACCCAGGCCTTCCAATCACACTACCGACATAGTAAATTACACGAGAGATTCCGTGGATTCCACGCCAGGACGAGAGCCCCTCTTCGCATTCGCGGAAACCCACTTTCACCCCACACAGATTATCCGTCTGTGAGCCGAGTCCGAAAACCCAGAATTTTCCTTGGTGTATCTTTACTCTCAGCCACATCCCGGGTGCTTCGACGCGTCGGGTGTAGGGCGCTGCGTCGTGGTTGGGCGGATCATCGTCAGTCCATCTTGCCAATGAACTCTTTTCAAACAAAGCCCACTGTTTTTTTTTTTATCAAAAAAAGCTCAGGTCATAAATCATCAACAATGGAGCCATGGATGGCCTGGAGCCTGGCCGAAGTTTCATCGGAAGCTCAAATCCAAGCTTTGCAACAAAGTGCACGGCGAAGAGGAAGAAACAACAAATCCCTTGCCACCGACGGAGCTTATTCTCATACCAAGCCGGACTTTCAAACGCTCCAGACTTACGTATGTAGTATATTGTTGATTTCCACACTGAGAAACGGACTCGATGCAGTATTACCTCTAAAACTCCGCAACTAAGTTGATGATGCGGATCTTTCACAGCATGCAGATCCCTAGGTTCCAATCACTGTCACTCATGGCTTTTTTTTTTTTTTTTTCCGACCTCGCGCTCAATTCCCGCCCACAAATTTGACGACCGCGTGAAGGGGCGAGCGACCCGTGCAAAACATCTCTGCTAGACGGAGGCTTTTTGAGCAAAACTCCTAGGCCTAACAATCCCGCCCCTTGAACAGAAATGCTGGCAGGGGCCCAGGGACAGTAATTAAGTTGTGAGCGATTTTATTTAGTTCATCGATTAAGACAAGGATCAAAGACGCTCAAACTTGATGTTACCGCTCCTATGTGCCACTGAGACGGCATAAAATTGCCGGCGAAACGGAGGATCAAACTCGGCAACCTTCTCCATGCCACGGGGCAAAGATATCTCGACAGATGGTTAAACATAAACCAGCCCGGCATGAAATGATGAATTGATTTTGAAAGAAAGTCATGTGCGCAAGAAGCAAGCCACTCGACAGCCAGCTAGCTAACTATTGACGCGAGGTAATTCATGCATGCATCCTCCAGTTCCTCCAAGAGGCCTTGCGCCAAAAGATCAAACGCTCGGACGCTTACACTGCATTTGAGAGTGTCATCTTCACTTGCTTCTGTGCGCTACCTTCTTTCAGGGGTCCACGTAAAAAGCCCGGAATACCAATCTTCACCTGAGAGTATCCGCGGAGAATTTGTTACTCGATTTCCAGTATTGACTACCAAGCCCTATGACAGGTACGAATCATCTGATCATACACATACATTCACCGTACTCTCAATGCGAGCCACCTCAAGTCCCAGGGAATCAAAACTCTATCGGCGTGAGCTTTTCATTACTAGCCGATAGCATGATGTGCTCCCTTCTTCTCCAGCTCTGGGAGCACAGGAAATGGAGGGGTGTTTCCTTAGGGAATCAGCCGCAGGTAATCCGGCGTCTCTGCCAAAAAGAAGGCCCTCCTCACCTCAACCCATGCACACACTAGATTCCGAAACAGTTCCGGGCTGGAATGTGTGGAGAAGTTTCCCGTGTTGTATCAATCACATGAGGTACTGGGCCGCGCATACTTACATGTACACCAGACATGATCTCACATTTTCCTTTAACTCCTCACATGTTGCGGAGTAGTCACGGCGACGAGGGGTTAAGTATATGTGTGTGCATATAGTTGAAGAGGAGAATATCCATTGTAAATAGGGAACGTAACGCATTCGATGATCTAGACCACAGGCGATCTTCCATCGATTGCTCGTCAAGGACGGGTTACGGGGTCGAAGCACTGTGAGAGTACAGGACCCAAGCGACACCAATACGAGCTAACAAGGTTGAGCCGAGATGTTTTGCATTTGCACTCAAACAAAGAACCGGGGTCCTGACATGGAAGCTTTAACGTCCCAATGATGGTTGCGGATGGCCCCGACTCCACGGCCGTGGATGCACAAGAGCATGGAGAGTGCCGAATGATGCGGATCTAGAGTGGCATGCAGTCGCTGACTCTGGGTGATTTGTAAAAATTGCAGATCAAGCCATCCGCCTCTCAACACCTATAGCCATCTTCAGCCATCGTCATGGCCATTGTGCGCTGGTGTGATAGTCGCGCCTCCCATGTAATAGATCAGGACGTTCGAAGCGCTAATGCAGAAAATTTTTAGTAAATTTCGCTTATTTGGTTCTAACAATCTATTGCACTTGCATCGTATAGTAAGACATGAATAGGAAATACTGGGTGAACGTCGTCCTTGACGAGGAACAGAGTCCAAACAAGCATAAAATATGGTATCATACACACACCCCACTTGCATTGAACTCGTGCGAGCAAGGGAGTTAATAAAGAGACTAAACACACGAGGAAGCTAAAATCACGCATCCGCGGTGTCGAGGCTTCCCTTGCCAACGGTTGATGCAGTAGCACCGGGGCCCTTCTGCTGCCGTAGCTTTTCTTCAAACCTTTCAAACTCCTTCAAAGCAACTTCTTCCTCCTCGTCGATGACCTGAGTGACACTTTTGACTTCTTCGATCTAATCACAATAACCTTTAGTTAGTAGCTCATCCGAGACCAAAACCAAAACAACAACCCAGATTAGAGCAAAAGAGATGTCCAGAACTCACATAATGCATCAGCATCGACTCAATCCCATTCTTTAACGTCACCGTACTTGAATCGCACGTTCTGCATGCCCCTCTCAACTTCAACATCACATTTCCATCCTTAAATCCTCTAAATTCAATATCTCCACCATCCTCTTGAATCGCCGGACGAATCCTCGTTTCAAGCAATTCATTGATCATGCCAACAACCTCCTCATCTTCTTCATTATACTCCACCGCCTCTTCCCCACTTCCTTCCTGCCCGGCATGGGCGCCCTCCGCCACCGCCACAGTATTTACTAATTGCTCGCCAGAAGTGACAGCTTCCGTGATGAGGCTGAATACTTCGGGTTTGATATGTGCCCAGTTAGCATCACCCGCCTTAGTTATCGTGATGAAATCTGGACCGTAGAAAACAGAGGAGACGCCATCGACGTTGAGGAGTTTTGCGGCGAGCGGGGATGGATGGGGCGCAGCGAGGGTGGAACGAGGAGATAGGTATTCAAGGAATGGGGCCGGGAAGTTTTCTGGAAGAACGGGATAGTTCGGGATGAATTTAAGAGCCTAATTGAGGAATGCGGGTTAGCATATCTGTTCATCCGTGGCCGTCATCTTAACTCTCGCGGTGAGAGAGGAAGACAAAGCTCACATCTGCATTTGGAGTGACTTCCGTCTGAATGAAAATCGTCCGATTGTTCGCGGGGACATTCGCCGGCATCTGAGCAGCAACCGGCTGATGCTGTCTTAACAGAGTCGGTCTGTGGCGTGACCGCGAAGACGTTATCACTGGGATTCTCGCAGCTTGGGTGTACACGGTCCTGGGCGTGAAAATCATCCATCGTGGTGGCGATGCGAAAACTCCACTGGCAGATTGGGATCTGCTGATCGCTTGGGAAAGCGACCTTGATGCCGTCCGTACAGCCATGGTTGCGGTGGCTTGTTTATTCCGATTTGCAAGAAAGGTCCTTATCCTAAGCGGAATGTGTCTGGTTTCCTCGGCGGAGGTTGCTCAGCGGAAACTTTCTGCTGAATAACCACCGTCTGACGTAATATTAATAGGGGAATATCGCGTGCTCCGCGGGGCTACTTTAGCCGACATCGTTTTTCCGGCTAGAATTGCCGCGGACCTGGCTGGCCCGTGCTTTGCCGATAGCTTTTCGGGTTCAACACAAGAAGCTCCCTTGATTGACTAAAAAAATCACGTCGAACAGAAAGCAGGGAAGGAGACTGTTATCTATTAATAAAATAGCGATCGGACGAGCCTGTAACTAGAATCCACCTCAGAATCCGCATCCTTCTGTGCAAAACTTAAAAAGAAAGAAAAAATGCCTTGCAATCATACCACCCTCGCTGGAAAACGGAGTTATACCACCCGAAAACACAATGTTCGAAAGAGCCAGCAAAGGAAACCAATTCATTCACTCAAAACGCCCTAGTCACCTAAACCCGAACTACGGGCTTATTGATGAGGGTATATTCAAAGCAGAACAAGACTTAAATCCGATAGAGATGCTCCTTTTCTCTTTTTTTTTTCCCTTTTTTTCTTTTTTTCTTTTTTCTTTTTCTGTTGGTTTGGGGGATTGGGTGCACGAAAGTCATTATTTCCACGCAGGGGAAAGGTAAACCATATCAATACGGAAATAGAATGAATAGAATCATTTTCTTGCCTGCATTCTTCCAAGAAGCGTGAATGAGACGAGAGGGCTTCGCAAAGTGTAGAGAACTGGAGGGTGACCATATCCAATCTATAACCTTGTAATATATATGAACATATCATCGTTAAAATCGTGAGCCATGTTAATATCAATTTCGTCGCCAGTTGAAGCGTTTATGCCTCTCATGCCCTCCGCCTACCACCGCCGAGGGTTCGACCTGAAGGCTTCGAGTGTATAGCTCCTGGGAATATAAGTTAGTCCTCGCTCGGACAAACCTGACCTGAGAGGGATGTCTTCGATACTCACCTCCTCATCGCTTTCAAATTTTGCCTCTAATACCAGTCGCCGCACAATCTCATTTATATGAAACGTAGGGAAGGGGGTCTTTTGGCTCTGCTGAACTCCAAGTATCACATCGCCCATGATCTCAAACTTACGCCAATTGATGCGATCGCCAATAAAGGTTCTATTGCCCTCTTCTGCTGAGACCAGGTCACGAAGGTGAAGTGGAAGGAACGGTATTCTTTCTCCGAACGAGTTCTCCCATGCCAAGCGATAAGCGAAGTGGCTCTTCTGGGTGCCCATTAAAATAACTAAACTCATAAATTGTTTCGTAACGCTGTGGGAGACGAGTGCTCGAGTCTGTGCCAATCGATATATAGGAGTGCCATTTAGCCCTGCGATGATCGCTCCTAGAGAATTATAATTATACAGCTGGCGTAATTTCTAGATGGAAGAAGAATGGTTAGTCGACGATCTACAAATAAGACAACCAAGGTCGCGATGTTACCAACCAATGAAATATTCATAAACTTTTCTAATGCTTGAGCCCTATGCTTAGCTTTATCGCGAAGTAAAACCATGCTGGCGGCAAAATATGCGAGGTGATTAAATTGCTTTATCATCCTATTCACGTTTTCTAAATGGCTGGACGGCTTTTCCTTGTTTTCTGACGACGTGCTCACGTGGCGAATAAGCTCCCGTGGCCTAAAGGCGCTGTACATTACCCAGTCGATACGGGTAAGCTCTCGTGCAAAGTCTTCGTCTGGTATCTCCATGAATATGCGCCATTGTGTTTTGCCCAAAGTGTGGCGTGGTACTATCTCGAGTCGTTGCGCTTCTCGATGGGCCGATTCCGTGCCCAATAGCATTTTGAACGACTGGCTGGAAATGCTCCCCGATCTATTGAGCGTCGACGTCATTGACAAGTTAGAATACTGAGACGCGTGGTCGACATTTTCTTCGTTTAAGTCCAGAGCAGCCATGTTTTGAATGGTCTCGTCCGTATTCTGGGAGACGGAAGCCGCCGGTGAGCTTTGAACAGAAGTATCTAAGAAGGTCTCCACATTTTCAGGCTCGCCTTTCTCATCCTTAAATGCCCAGTCTACATCATCGTCTTCCACGAATTTTTCGAGACACGAGCTAATTTCTTTCGCCGCGAACGCGAAAATCATATTCTTTTCCAGGAACCCAATAAAGTCCGTGAGTCGCTTCCGGGGTTTTGGACTTGCAAAGTCTCCAGGGTATTCAGCAGCCCATTGAGCCAGAACGTTGAGCATGGTTAATTGGTCCGCATGGCGTTTCAATCGAGGCACCCCACTGTTTTCCATCCGTTCAAAGCGTCCGATTATCGAGTATAAAAGTTGAGAAGGGCTTGCAAATTTTCGGTATAGGCATAGAAATATTGATGGGAACTTTGCGTCTTGTTTAGTCAATGGCATCGACAAAAGCCGATCCACTAGCTCGTCGAACGTAGAGCCAGGATCCTCTGGTTTTGTTTTGGCATTTGGACTTGACGGGCTGGTGAGCTGATTCGAAGAGTCTTCTGTTTCATCTTCCATATCCAAAAACGAATTGAAGGCGTCAGAACCCGCACTATGCCTCCACTGCGTACGAAGCCTTTGGTGTGCGATGTTTCCAGGTGAGGTTTCCTCAGGAACTGGGTCTACCGTTAAGGAAGAACCACGGTTCACCCGATTCCCCGGAGGCGTCCGTGGTGGAACAGGCTGCGAATTACTCCGTCCATATCTCGAACCATGTACATTGAGAGCCAGGTTTGAATCAGTTGCGGAGTCGAGACGGACTCCTTCGTTAAGATAAGGATCGGCGGCGTGCAAACAGGTGCCCTTGGGCGTTTCGGAGTGTGCTCTCGTGTGTTGGCGGCTCGAATAAGGGCGAAGGCGCGAGGGAATGTTTCCAGAGGAAGCTCGATTTTTGGGAAGAGGACGCTTCTTCTCAGAAACTACATCTGCGAGAAAACGAGAACCAAGATTAGTGGTCGAGTCAATTGAGTCCACGCTTTTCCGAGAGGGAGGAGAAAAAAAAAAAGTCTCAGCACAGATGTCTAGTCAACCAAATCGAAGCTAGATATCAGACATGAAATTTCGAGGCCGCCGTTTGACAGGGATTGAGGCGGAAGGGCATGCAATAATAGGGTGGTTATATTAATAACTGTGCAGAGTGAGTGGACGGGCTTGGAGTGGAGCACCGCGAAAGCACGATTTAGCGTGGTGGGAGCAGGGGGTTCCCTAGCGGGCAACAAGACTCCGCACCAACTCATGGACCAGTCATCCCCCAGGACATGTGGAAATTAGCCCAGTTCGTGTAATTAAACTGGGCGACCGCACGGAACAATGGCAGAAAGGGACATTAAAACGGGTCATAATAATTGGCGGGCAAGGAAAAGGATGCAACATCAACGAACAAGGCAGTCAATCTGAGCGGTTTGGCTGGCCGGACAGGGTGGAAATAGGCCCTGTCCAGACGCACATTGATAAAAATCAAAGTGGAGACCCGACACACGACAATAAAGCACCTGATGGGGTGAAAGATATCCTTACCGGAAGTTCGAACAATGATCGCCCTGAGAACTATGGAGATGCACTTCTTGTAAGATTCTGAAACACGAATAGATGTCTGTAATGCTTCGGTCCCCGCAAGAAGTCGATTCGCTTGCTCGAGAACTGCAGGGTCATGTTGAGAGGAGCGGCGCGGAGTGTCGCATTTACAGGCCACGACGAGAAAAGGTATACTACTTGTCTGCTGTAGCGCACCTATACATCAAGGATCTTCTGTCAGTTTTATTATGCTTATCGTACCGTAAATAGCCCTGGATAGAGTTTATCGTTGAGTATTCCTCAAAGACTCCAGGTTAACTGTCGCCATGGAACAAGGAAAGCCACCCGCCGACCGGGGGCCGCTCTGCGGAGAAATAAACAAGGCGGGAGAGGCTTCTCTCACGACTTACTGAGAAGTTGAGACAGTTGCGTAAGGGTGCGAGGATCAGCGGAGTCAAACAGCGCAAGAACCCCATCAATGGGTGGCAGCGCCTGTTCTCCGAGCAACCTTGGCCATGTAATTCTTCCGTGTTCATCAACTGCGATGTTATGGATTCCAACCTCCAAGAGTCGAACGAGGTAGATGGTGCCATCCAAGGACATCTTTTTAACAGACGAGCGGGCAATTGGAGTCTGCTTCAGGTCCAACGCATACTTTACAAGCGTAGACTTCCCTACTCCTTGTGCGCCGACAACTGCCATGTTCACCTGAGGCAGGCAGTGTTGTGACGGGATGCTTACCTATAGCCGATAGCAAAAGAACAGAACGAAAGGTCAACCCAGATAATATGAAGGCGCATGGGCCATTGTATTGAAAAGAAGAACACGGAAGCCGCACATACCATGGTTTCATTTGGGATATGCCCCGAAGCGTCCTGGGCGTAGGGCAAAGGATTGCTTTCATCGATTGCTGCAATTATACCATCGGGCTGCTTCGAATGGCGAGGGCGGGGGAGTTCGCCGGCGGGAGCAGAGTACGTCCGGCCCTGCAAGGTAGGTCTCTGTGGTGGAGGGACGGGCTGCTTCTTGATCAAATCTCCCGCCGACTTATTCCTCAAGTGCTGAGGCGTCATGCTTGAGTGAGCAGGGTTCAGAGTCACTGGCACTTTCGTCTGCAGGGAGGCCTAATAAGGAGGCGCGAGGACGCGGACGATGGCACGGTATGACGTTTGCATTCTGCGGTAGCACCCTGATGTTTTCAGTGCATGATAATACGTCAATTGCTAACGCGTACTGTGTTGAACATCGAATCTGTCGGGAAAATAAGCTTGGGGTCACGTTTCACCTTTTCAGGCGGCGTGCGCTCCAGACAAGCAAGCCACCGAAAGACGAAACGGCAACTTTGAGATATTTAGTGAATTTCACTCCACACGGAGAACGTCAAAAAAGCACGGCCAGAGGGTCTCCCTCAAACTACTAAGCTGAATTGTGTCGCTCGCGGGAGGGTGTGTTACTTAAAAGACGAAACAAAGTGTGGGTAAAATCTCAGTGAAAAGAGGCAACCGAGGAAATACCTAAGAGGGTTGATTAACTAGTTATTTTATCTAGATAAGGTTGCCCTTCTTCTCGAAGTGTGCCACTCCATAGAGACCGTTGAAAGGCCTTCCGAGATAACAGTTTTCTATGAACCAAACTAATCCGGTGGCGAGGAACTTTTCTGCCACATGAAACAAGCAAACAAGGAATAGGAGACTCTGGCTTGCGGTGACCAAACGCTCTCAGGCAGTTCATCGTGCTTCTCACACCGTCATAGCGATTTGTTGAAACCAAGTGATTTCGATTAGTCGACAGCACACGCGTAGTCTAATGAAACAGGGTGAACCATAGCGGCCGTCCATGAATCGGGGATTATACTTCAATACAAATCCACCGTTCGTCTCTCGTAGCTAAACCTCCTCCTTCTTGATTCCCAAGGGACATGCGGTGCTACGTTTCAAAGGTAGTGCATTCTTTTCCGCTCTAAGACAAGAATCAAGATCAAGCAAACCAGGAACTAATTTATCATCGTAAGATCACAATTCTGCATCATGCAAATGACATCCATTTTCAAGGTAATGGATGGGTGGATGTATTTTGCATGTTGACATGAGTTTCACCGATGTTTTCAGCGCGTTGACTTCGGGCTCGCATGGAGCACTGGTTTATTTAACAAGCACTGTACAACTCTTCGTACCATCAACATATCCTCGAAACCACAGCGCAAACAGTATGCTAACAGCACCTCCTGAATGTATTGGAGTAGGATGCGTTCGTCGACCACTTGCTGATTCCACAATGGTTGGGTCATTCAAAGAGATCTTTGATCGACGGGTCCAAACTTGCCCAGTGCTCGTGAGATCAAAATAAATAGTGGGCGAAACTCTCTTTTTGATATGTATTCCATATTTCTGGGACAATATGTCAACATGCCTCCAATTCTGCAGCATGGTTAGCTAGTCCCCATGAAGAGGCTAGCCCATTGCATGGGCTGTGTTTCAGTTTGGGCCACTGGTTCTTCGGACAATGGGCCAAATGGGGACATAAAACATGCTATATGTCCCACAGAGCTGCCTCTTCATCTGGATTGGGTCCGGAACGACGATGCTGTGCACAGCCTTCCCTTTAAACATCGGGACAAATAGGATAAACTGTCAAAGGCCATCACAGGCTTGCTTTGGGAAACCAGCTTATCGCAAGGTTCATGTGAAGTCTCCTGTCTGATGGCGGTTCGGCTGTGCTCCATCCTCGCCTAATACCAAAGCAATAAATCTCATAAATGCCGCTCCATCAGCGCCCCCAGAACCAGCTTCACAGCTTTCTCTCCATTTCCGAACTCGTCCCAGGCCTCTTTTGAACCCTTTTTCGATAGTCCACGGGCCCCTATTCATTGGCCTTTGCCCATATCCATCTCTACCGCGGCCGCGACTGCGACTTTGGATCGAACGTCCCATCTCTATCCATTCTTCCTCGAGAGTGATTCTATGAATATCACGTAGACGAGAACGTAGGGTTGGATGCTGGTTGAACAATTCCTGTAGCTCCTGCGATTTCCCCAGCTGCGCGAACCCCGAATTTATGCTGAGAGAATTCGACGGAGCATCCTCCATTGTTGCAACACCACTGTCCTGGCTTATCTCTCTTGTTTCGCCAACTGATCCCGCAGTAGAAATTTCATTCTGGGCGTAATTTGTTTGGAGTGACTGCACTGGTCTTGGGTTGCAATTTGGCTTGTGTGCTTGTGAGCAATTTAAAGAACAACTGGAGGGTGTTTCAACGCGTTAAGCTCACAGTTCTTCAAGCAAGTAGAATATCGCTTGCTCACCTCTGAAGGTCACAAGCAGGGCAACGGTATTTAAAAGGTTGGCTGCTGCAGACCTGGCACAAGGACATCATGGCAATATCATAATAATCTTTGTGAGGAGTAATATGGTGCTTGGTAGCGTTGGGACGTGATTGTAGACCAGGAGGAAGCAACTGATGCTGGGCAGTTTGCTCTGCAGAAGCTTTCGCAACAATCTTCTTGCGTGATGCGTCCTTTCGCTCTCCTTATGCAGCCGAAAGCCGTTCCAATACGATTAGCGTAGCACCGAGATTTCCGCTAAGCCTTTTTAGGTGTGGCTCGAGCTGCGTGGTGCAGGGCTGTCGAGCTTCCGTTGAACATGCAACCCAATATCCTGCACAAAAGTCTTCCATGAAGCCATTCAACATCGACACGGTCCCAATCTGTTCTTTTTCTCGGGGACCCACACATTATACCCTCCGGACAGTCACAATGTCCTCCCAAATCAGCATCCAAACACGCTCCATCTACCGCTCTATTCTCCGCGAACTCCCCCAGCGCCCGCTCTCCTCCCCTTCGCCCCTCCAAAAACGAATCCGGACATACCTAGCGAACCCAGAGGGCCAAGCACCCACAGACCTTGCACAGGCCCGTATCGAGGAAGCGGAGCAATTCACCCAATACCTAAGAGCCCAGAGGCAATATACAACTTTACTCGAACGGTATAACCCTGGTGCGGATATGGATGAGCAGGAACGCGTTCGGTTAACGGCGAGAAGAGTGGGAATGGATTTACCGGTGGGGTCTAAGGATGCGAATGCTGGTAATGAAGGAAAGTCGTGATTTCAGGAGCTAGTTCGTGCATTTGTCGACGGGATGTATTGTACAGGACATACATTCACACATACGATTACAGTCTCTTTTCCCTTTGGGCTTGACCGCGATGGGACGCTTCAGGACAGGGAGTTATAGTCGTTGTGGGATACTTCGTGCCCTATTTTGACAGAATGCGCTGCAGTACTGTTCATGGGAGGTATTCTTAGAACCGACTTGAACCTATCCTCGACGGGGAAACTCGATTGGTACACATGAGGCATCTATCGATTCTAAAAGTTTGGAGACATGATACTAGTTGCGTGCATTAGCTTCCTGCCATGCTATGTACAAGTTCTCCGACAGAGTTTCCGATGTTAAGGTTTCTTCAAATGGGAATGGCAAAGATATAGATTTATACGCTATACCAATGACCAAGACATAATATCCATCCGCCAAACGCCAAAGATTAGATGCCAGATGTTAAATGCTACATATCAAATGCACAAATGCTAAAGGGAAAAAAAAAAAAAAAAAAAAAAAAAAAAAAAAAAAAAGGGAAAGGAAAAAAAGTCATCCAAACTATGAGGCACTCCGCGAGCACCCCCAAACCATTCTAAAAAGCATGCAAATTAACCTCGAGCAGCCGCTCGAGTTACCAGTTTCTCCGCATAAGAATTCGCCGCTGAGCTAAAGAATCTTGTAAAAAGGTTCCCATTGGTAATCGCTCCCCCGGTCTTCGCTCGCTTAGTATGCTGTTGCTGAACGTCACCGTATCCCGGCAAGACTTGTGTTTTAGCTTTTGGCTTGATACTATGAATGGTAACGTAGCTAGACAACGCTGAAGGGCTATGTTTCGAATCGTCAAGCATGACGTCTGTAGTGGAGTATGTGCTAAAGCTAGCAGGAGTGCCTCGTGAACTAGGAGCAATGCTAGAGGATCTGGATGATGAGCCGTGGATGCTAGCCTCGTAGGAGAGGCCCGGAACATCCCTGAGGGAGGGCGGGGACCTCGACCGACCACCACCATACGAAGATTGGCGGCGCTTGTGACAGTGGATATAAGAACCGGAGTAGCTGGACATAGACATAGGAGAATCGTAAACTCCCCTGGATGGAATCCGATAGTGGGAACGTGGTGAAACACTCCGAGAACTGGACTTCTGGAGCATCGATGCTTGAAGTTGCCATTCACCCTGGATAGCAGCTTCCACCTGATCCTGCAACTGAAGACGATCTCTAATCGGGGCGAGGAAGGGCTCAAAATGGTCGAAAAGGTCTTCTTCTCTGACTCGAGTATCCCAGTCAAGCAAGGCAAGCAACTGACGTTCCATTAGATTGACTTCCGGCAAGGAGAATCCAAACCCCTCATAACTATTTAGAATAGTATAACGCGCCCAATGCTTATTCTTAGGGCTTGAGTCATTAAGATTCTTCGCGGCAAGGATGAGAGAGGCCAAGAAGATACGGTGAGGGGTGCATCGCATTCCTTTAGACATTGGAGGAAGCTTTGCACGCAATCTGGCCAAAAACACCAGCGATGTCATGAGCGTTGGAACCTCGACGTGGGATCGCTTGACTAAGTTGCGGATAAATGAGTCGACGGATGGAAGAGCAGGCTGGGAGGAGGTGGTGGCACCAGGCCGGGGGCTCTCTGGAGGAGTGATGGGCTGGCCTCGGTTCTGCGTGGGTGGCATAGCATCATCTCCGCACTGGAGAACCTCAGACGCCTTCTGAGCCAGATACCGGATCATATCGTTCGAAACAGGCATCATAATAAATTCGTTCATGGCCTCCCGATCATAACATGAAGTTGTTCTCTCCATGGTTACAGGCATCGTTCTGGAAAGAGAGAAAGAATAAACAAAAAGCTGGAACTCCTGAACGTTGATATCAGTTGTCGACCTTTTATGAACGGTAGAAAATGCAATGTGCGAATTCAAATCAGATAGATAACCAAAGCAAGGATGGTATTTGGGGAAAAAGAATTCGAAGGTTCGTCCAACTCCGGATGAAACCAAATGTAGAGAGTATTAGATTATTGGGTCGAAGGTGATATATTAAGGGGATCAATGCGAGGTGTCCGGCCAGCGGGATGATTCGACAGTGTGATTGTGCAGTGAAGATTGAGTCTTAACCTTTCAGCACCCTAGAGGCATACATGTCAGAATAATCTTGTCTCGCATTGACGGGGTGCCGTCTGTGGCCACACGGGGCCGGCAGGCGGGGAAGGTGTTGCTCAACGGACCTTGTATGAAAATAAGCGACCGATTATACCTTTTGAGCCCTGGCAATGTGGGACCAGAAGACGAATAGACCGTTGGTGTATTCCAGATACACCGGCTGTAATGCCAAAGAGCAAGTGATCAAGATAAATGAACGAAGAAATAAAAAGAACGGTAAGGAAATTCGTTAAAGGAAAACCGCTCAACAGGATATGAAAGGGCACATGGGATGAAAGCATGTGGACAACCCTCGTGAAGCGGATAGTTGAGGCGAGGTCATCAAGCCCATAATATAGAAAGCGGGAGAAGACAAGCAACGAGCAGTTCGTCAGAAACAATTCGCATCTGGACCAGAATACATATTTTGCAGATGCTGGGTACCAGGGCCAGGCGGCTGCTGGATCAGAGCCAGCGCCAAAAATCATCGTCTCCAACTGCAGACAGAAGGTGGAAGAGGACCATGGTTGGATATGGAGCGACGAGAGAGAAATCCCCAACGTGAGCAACGTGATTGGGGCAGCACAAATAAGATTACGCGCTGTGGTGGAGGGCGACGGGGTCGTGTAAGGGGTTTGTTTGACATGACCTATTAATATGTGCAATCACGCGTTGCTCTTTGGTGGACGAGCAGGTGGACGCTTTAGCGCCGTGGGTTGTTGGCACGAAGATCATTCGCCGTGAGCAGTCTGGATAAAAGTTCAGCCCAGGGGTTTGAGGTGTTTCAAGCTTGCGGCTTGGGGTTTATTTCCAGTCCAACCAGCTTGAACAGATCTCACGAGGTGAGGGAGTGCTCTCCCTTCTGGCTGAAGTCTGGATTGACCGCTTGACTTCCAGGTCGCCCAATAGAACGCCGTGGTAGCGGTCGTTGCACCTTGTCCTGCGGCGACTTGATGCCTCGCCGCCCACAACACACGGATAACCCACGGGTCTGAGCAAACAGTTTTGCCTTTCCACCATGGCTGGAAATCCTCCAAGTCGCCATTGACGCGTTCGGAATCGGCCAGCAACAAAGTTTAAACTTCCCACCTCGAATCGCTGACTTGACTCCTGTCTGAAGTAAAACAAACAAGGACGCCCCCTATTCATTGGCGAGCCGGACCCCTGGCCGTGCATGGTACCCATATTACTCCGTACTGTACGGAGTACCATGCAAGGACTTTTCTGCTCCAACCTCCGAAAACTTATCGGATTAATATCCATACAGATGACAGCTCATGTACGGAGTACAGTGCATCCGGATAATACTAAATTCAAGCTGTTGCGTGGGGAGTACGAGCGCGAACGTTATGGCTGACACTTATCATCATGCACCAGATCACCAGAGTCGCAATGACCTTCTTGTTGTGATCTCTGACCCTTCGGCATCTCGCACGTCCATCAGGGATTTGGTTTGGATTCTCGCCTCGCTTCTAACCATGTTTGGCACACGATGCTTACAGCCGTCCCCTCATCCCAGTTCCATTTCCTTGCATACACTCCCTGCATTCCTATCCAGCGCTTCCACCTCACCCCGATGGAAGTGTTATGGAATCCTCAGGAACGGAGAACCTTCCTGGTTTGGGCGGGCCCCCCGGGCTCTATTCGTCTTCGGAGTTCGGTAATGCAGTCCCCCCATGCCTTTTATTATTCATGTAAAGAAGGGACCTGTGATTTTCCCCATCCGGCCTAGTCTAGACCCGTTCTGGCATGGTGCACTTGGCGGCCGCGCCGCGCCTGTTCGTGCGCCGAACAGCTATATAAGGTGCTGTCCTGCTCCTCGCACTGCTTCAACCACCACACTTTCCCTTCCTCCTTTCCACTTTCCTCCCTCTCCATCTCTCCACCTCCGTGCCGGATCCACCGGCCCCCCCCCCCCCCCCCCCTGCGCCGCCACCTACCTGTTTCTCTTTTCTCCCTGGATCCCGGGCCTTCGCGAAGCTGCGACTCGCTTGCTTGCGCAGAGTTGGGCACGGACACCGCAGGAATTGGGGACAGGGACAGGGCCAGGGCAGGCTCAGCTGGGGCCTCGCGTACGAGAGATCATGACGCGCTGGTGTTAGATCACACTGCGCCGCGGAGATGGCTTGCCATTTCCAGCCCCGACCGATCGAGCAGAGCCCTCTCTCCAGGCAGGGAGGGGGGGCGACTCGGTGACCCGGAGATAGTCATCACCCTTGCCTGGGGATCGCAGAAGCGAGCACGGCAACGGGATTTCCTGCCTGCGCAGACCGGTGATCACAGTCAATGACGGTCAATTGCCTCCTACCATAACTGCTTGTACGCGGGCGTGCAGATGTGGTCATGCCGGCGAGCTCGCTTGGGCGATGCTGTGCCGCAAAGACGGGATGGTCCTGGCCTCGAAATGCAAAGATCATGGTGGCATACATAGAATGCTCACTTCTGGGCCTTTGCACACGCAGGGGTTCACTCAGTCAGCCAGGCGTTCTTGTCCGGTTGGTGCTGGGATGGGAAGGGGTGTGCTGGTCCTGTGGCCCCGGCTGGATGTCTCCTCTTCCCCCTCTTCTCTGGTTCCCCAGAGACCTAGGAGCAGAGCCAATCTGGACTGTTGAGGCAAACACGTCTGCCTCCTTTCACTACGATCTTATCCCCGGATTGCATTGCGACGCTCAAATCGGCCGGTCGTTACGATAGACACACGCAAGGAAAAGATAGATTGGAGGCATGGGCGATTTGCACAACGAGGGCTATTCACTGGAGGCGTGTCATTACCGGGGATGCTCACAAGGGCAGGAAGCACAGGCGACTGAGAACTGAGGCACAGCGTCCAGTGCCGTTCCCAGCAAGACAGGGAATCCTTGTGGAGGGAGACGGGCGAATGGGAGGGGATAGCATTGTCTAGGCTCTTCCTGAGGGCAGAGAACCGGGGGGGGAGGAATTTGATTGGAGTTCATGCAGCAGGTGGTGTGCGAGCCTTTCTCAGTGTGAGAATTGTTCCGGGCGAGCTGAGAGAAACGGGGGAGAAGGTTGGCTGAGGCCAGGAAAGTGCTTGGGTAGAAATCGAGCAGTTTCCTCCAGCAAAATGGCTCTCTCTTGCCTTGCCTTTTCCAACTTCTGCTGAATCTTCCCCGATCTCATTCCTTCCAGCTTTTCTGGGGTCCAAAGATGGGTCCCCTGAGGTCTTGGTATCCTGTTGAGTATGTGGATCTCACTGGTGACTCCGATGATGAGACCAGGAGTTTGAACACAAGGTGTGTGTCGGAGGACGAACAGTCCGTCCAGGCCATGTGAGAGGTGGGCTCCATTGAAGCTCCCGCTGCTTATGGTATGACCCTGTGCCTAGGATAAACAAGGCTGACTCCGAGCTGACTGCTGCAGATGGTGACAAGGGCGTGAACAGCATCGACAAAACCACTGCTGATGTGATGATTGCCTGCCCATGCGTATCTCCTGTCCACGGAATGGAATTGGCTTCTCAGGAGCCAGGTGTGAGCATCTCCGCTTCAACTGAGCCTGCCTCGCCGGTTCAACAGCGTGTTGTCCGGGAAAAGTCAATACGCGGCCGTCTGGAGCATGTGGACACTGGTGGTTATGTGGATTCTCTGCATCTGGTGATATTTCCCCCGGAGGACGGGCACGACCTCCCTCGAGGAGTGCACGACTCACTGTGGGGGGGTCCCAACGATTTTCCTGCCGCCGCGGCGCTCGGAGGGAGCACTGACTTGATCCCCGACATTGTCCGACCTGCAGAGTCCCATTCGAACCGCGACATCCCTGTGCCTCTAACCGTCAGCCCCTCCGGCCTGCTTCTGAGCACCGATCCCACGGCCGGGTCTGCGCGTCCCTCAGTCGGGCGGGTGGCGCTGCCGCCAGGTGATTACAGTGCCCCGAGCGAGTGCCGTGCGACGCGGCTGTCCCTTGGGGTCGCGGGGCGGGCTCTGGAAGTCTGTGCTTTGGAGATAGACAGGTTTGGGGGATGTGTTTCCACTGCAGCAGAACCAGGGGTCGCGATTTGTTGGGGATATCGATCTGCCGGCGGACTGCAACTATGACAGTGCGGAAGACTGTTGGCTGGTGGCATGCTGGCTTTGGCTGGCCGAGTCTATGATGAAAGAGCGAGAAGATGCCCTTTGTTGTGGGGATTCTGTGCCCCCTGTTGGTGGCATGGACGGCATCGATCTGGGCGTGGAGGAGCAGGTCTTTGGGCAGCCAGAGCCACAGAACTTGATGGGAAAGAAGAGGAGGAGGGCACTGAGACCAGTGTGTTCGAGTAAGCGGCAACGGCATTCTTATTGATGTGCTATTTTCTTGTCAATATACTGAGTGTTTACATCCAGCACTGCTCCATGGGTGATATCCCCTCAAGGTAACTTTGGTATGAGAGGCGGATGATAGGCCTTCTAATCTGATGTTCAGTTCGCGTCGGGAGACCATAGCAGTATCCCAGGTTTCCTGAGCTGGCAGATGGGCGTGTGCCTCACACTCTGCATGAGCACATCGCTCGTTTTCTCTTTACTCTGGCTTAGAAGATGTGAAGCTGGAGCCTCAGCCGCGACTCCATGCCAACCCAAGTCCAAGGCAGGAGAAGGAGAGACCACCCTCCCCAATGACAAAACATTTCACACGTTGATTTCATGCCCCGTGCTTACAGTGAAATGAAATGGAAGCACCAGGAGCCTTGAAATCATTTACTACATTCTGTTGCAGGCAGAGCTCCACAGTGGCATATATCAGTTTCCTTTGGAAGGCTAGTGGAAAAGCACTGAAAGGAACTTGAAGATCTTTGTCTGTGCCTTGATTTTAACTGTCTGTGGTTCTTTGGTACAGTGACAGCAACAATGAAGAGGATGACTATGATGAGGAGGATGAGGCATGACCAGACTTTTGTAATATGAGCGGACCTAGTATCAAAAGACAAACAAAATAAATTATTCCCAACAAAATAGGCCTATCAAGCCAATCTCGCAGAAAGTATCCAAACTCATCAGAAAACCCCAGACGGCAACCTCTTGTAGCCCAGTATCCAGAAAATCTCTGACTCTGAGTTCCGGGCTTCCACCTTCATCTGGCATTTGGCCATGTCATTTTGTCCATTGTGTTCCTTTGTAGTCTAGCTCCCTATGGAGTATAAATAGTCTGTAGGTCCAATCATTGTCATGGTCAAGTCATTTGATTAATTATCAACTGCATCTTTGCTGACTACTGCTTGGCATGTAACTAACTGGTTAGTGGGGTGGCAGGTTGCGGCGGGTTACAGTACTACCCGGGCGCCTGATTAGATGGGGGTTTAGTCAGCAAGGCAACCATAATAACCAGTTGGCATTATCCCCTCGTCCGGCCGCCAGGCAAAATTAGCGTAGAAATTAGCGTGTACAAGTAGCGTGGAGGCTGGTGTATTTGGCAGTAATCTGTAATTTATTTCCTCTAAGCCTATTTTGGTTATATTAGAATTCTATCTGTAGAATGGAACTCTTCCCAGCAACACCCCTTGAGGCAGAGAGCTACTATACAAACTGACTTCTGAGCAACCATACAGTGATCTAGGGACCCAGCCTTTCTTTATTTGATCCTGTTGCTTTTTATACTGACACCAGACACAAACTGTTATAGCTAACAATATAATTCATGAATGAATAAGATCTATATTTGATCATTGTGGTGGTAGAGAGTCAGTGGATTTGAAGAGAGTCTTATAGAGTTATTTACAGAATGTCATATGCCTAATCAGCCTAGTAGTAGAGCAAGAACAAGATAGCTAGTAAAGCATATAAGCATTGATTATCACATGGTCAAGCAGTCACCAGAGAATTGGCAGCCAGATTCTATAGCTAGTGCAATGAGTCTTATAGGATTCTCTATACTGATTTGCTATATCAAGGTTGCGCGTTTTGACCTTGGATCCTGTTGACCCCTTCCGCCAGCAGACGATAAAGCCAGTACATTGGATGCCCATCGCTGACATTGACCACACAGCAGTCGATGACGCAATTTTCATCTTGAATTGCATTCGCATTTGAGGCACGGAATCTCACAATCAAAAGATTCACACTATCGAAGCAGAATGTCTGAGGGCATTTGTACTTATGGGCGTACCTGTTGGCGGGTTAGTAAGGGCTAACCGAGAGGGATAAGACATCATACATTCGTAGCTCCTTGCCAATTCTGGTTTGTTCGTAGTTGTGGTACCAGCTTTCCAAGAATCACAGTGAATGAGGCCAGGCCTTTTGAATTCGCCTACTAGAGCACACGAACTCCCGAAACCAAAACGGACATCAACTGTCACTGCTGTGTCGGTCGGCTCAATGGGGCCCGTTTCCCACCTATGTTCCACATAAGGAGAGATCGAAAAGGCTTTCTCTATCGGAATGGTCATTCGGGCCTAGAGCCGCCGTGTATCGCCCTCATTGCCCACAATATGGCGAACGTCGGTCGGAGATTCGCCGTAGTTCTGCGCAAGCCTCAGGTGGTCATCTTGCTTTTCCAGCCCAAGGAGCGCAGGAGACTCCAGGGCAGCCTCTGGAACAAAATTGTACCTGATAATAGGCTCATAACCAGCTGCATCTGCCTTCAGAGAGGTGGTACCTGGAGCGTCATCGCCGATCGGGATAATTTCTTCTAGTGCCTGCGGCAGTGTCTCTCTAACTGTAGGCATCTTGTAGGAAAATAGCGTTGGTGTTGTATGGGAACATAGAAATACAAAAGAGATAAAAACCTGGGAGCAGAGGGGTATTATATCTCTGGAACATGTCTAGAGCTTCTTGGAGTGAATTGGGCAGACTTTGGAAACAGAGGGAACATGGATTTTGACCTTCCTTGAGATTCATCAATTTTTGGAGAGTGATAGCTTGCAGTCTAGACTTGTTACAGGGTCAAAGTCACCAGTAATATTTTGGGCAACTCCGTATAATGCCACGAATATGGCCCAAATAAGGCCTGTCCATGCCCCTACCCCTGCGGGGTCTGGTTCCCCCACCAAATAGAAGTGAGTGTGCTGGGGGTATGCAGCTCACCTGCCACTAATGTCCTTCTGCAGTGATCCAATCACTCAGCCAAACATCACAAAACATTGTGATTCCACATAGAGTCCTTGCATGACCACTATCAACAAAGGTATTGGAGCAGGATATCGCAAAATATTCGGCAGTCTGAAGAGAAAAACTGTCTCCTCAGAATACTTCATTGATTTGAGCTGCACAACTTGTACCAACACGCCATTGTTATGGTTACAGGCCCTCATTGATCCGCCCTCCATGCATCCGATGCCTCCAACACCTTGGCACCCGTATGTAAGCAAATGCAGGAAAGCCGTGAAGTCGAGGAAGAAATATTTTGCAAACGCGAACAGGCCGGAACATTCCGCACTGGGATTGAGTTTAGGATTATTGGCGCGAGAGGCTCGAGCAGCAACCCTGGATATTTCAAATTAGGCTGTAAGGCGGGGTAGGACTGTAGGAGGCTGCTGCGTAGTGCTTGAGAGATAGATATTAGGAGCGTGGAGGCTGGATGGGCATGCCTGCGCATCAGAATCCGTCTGCATACCTCTGGCCGAACCTAGTCTTGAAATATCTGTGGCTATCTCTACTGGTAGGTTATTTCGCCAGGTGAGCACTTCATCCCGGACACAAGTCCCCTTTCTCTCTTACAATGCGCAAGGGTTTCTAATATGCTTCTGTGCTGTTTTCCATGGCAGGATGTGCTGGGACGAGAATCCTGCGCCCAGGAAGTACAAGGGATGCGGACATACGGTGAAAGAGCCGGCGCAGCCACGCGTGGTCTGGTGCCCCGAGGCTTCACGGAGCGGTAGCCAGTGCGACGTGGTAAAGAAATCAAGCAAAGCCAGCAGCACTACGAAGCGCAAGTGTCCCGAATGCCGTGAAAAGGAAGATAAGAAGAAGGACGATGAAGGTACCGGTGCTGGAGGGACGGGTTCCTCTACAATCGCGAGCGGCATCTCGATCGCGACACCTGCGTAGGCAATCTATGTTTGGAGTAGAAGTTTGGTCAAAAATATGCGTCGGAGCCGGAGAAATAAGCTATAGGATGCTTTGTCTGCTTTTCCAGAGCCTATGGCGTAGGTATCTATATTCCACCGGGACATTTCTATGACGACTCAAAGACCTGGACGTCAAGACAGATCAAGAGTGACCTTATGAAAAATTAACGATCTCCACCATCATAAGATAGCATAGAAGCCACGGATATTTGTAGGAAGTAAATATTAAAGGGAAGCGGCAAGCTCTCCGCGCATGTTGAAAAAAGAAAATTTGACAGAGAAAAATCAGGTCAGGCATCACATTCAAGGAGACGATATGATAACGACAAAACCCAACTCCGTCATTAAATCACCCGGAACTCCAAAACATTCTTGAAAAAAGGTCGAGGATCAATGACATCCAACCTCTTGCAAACAAACTATTAGGTGTCGATGGTTGAAAAAGTGCGAGGACCTCATCATGGAGCTCCTTGGAAGATCGATACTGGCAACACCAGCATTTTTTAATAATTTCGCCCCAAGGCCCAAGACCATCTAACTTAGGCAAGTCCTCGATTGGGGGGGGCACCCAGTCATGGTGAGCAAGGTCGTTGTGGTACGACTGCCACAACATGATGGAGTATATTATGCATCCCAGGTGGAAGATGTCAACCTGCACAGTCGTGCCATCATCGTTGGCTGTCGTGATATCCGTGTCCGGTGGGAAAACACTGGCCTGTCCGAAATCTATCATCTTGAGCGTCGACAAATCGTCCGTGAGCAGAAAATTCCGAAGGGCAATATCGTATACCAGCACTTTGCTGACATGGTGGAGATGGTGGATAGTGCTGATTGCAGACAAGATCCACGTTGTCTTGATGGATTCGTCGACCTCTTTCTCTTCCGTGATATATCGCTCGAGATCGCCCTTCTTGTAGCAAACAAGGAGGATTCCCTCGTCGAGGATATCCACGCACTCTGCGACTCCATCGCACTCGCGCCCGACTCGCTTGTACACCTCTTTCTCTCGCTCAAGCGCCTCCCGATTGCCTTTGTTGTAGTATTCAGCACGTCTGCGTTCCTTCTCGTCGAGGAGTGTGAGATTCAGGATCTTGGGCGCCTTGAGCGCGTGCGTGCCGCGCTGGTACACGAAGGCCTCGGAACCACAGCCGAGATGATGTTCATAGCGGTAGCTTGAGCCATCCGGGTAGATGTAGGCCATTAGTCTACGTGCACTTGAGCGCTTGCAAGAGGAACCGTGTGGTGAGGAGGGTGGTTGGTGTGCGTGAAAAAAGGTGTCGGAGATATGTTGATCCGGTTTGGTGTCTTTTTATTAGGTAATCCAACTAGCACCTCGCTCACGTGATCCATATAGATTAGCTGAGATTCCCCTATTTGGTGTCAAGTCAGTTAGTCTCCAGCTTAGTGGCTTGGATCTTCCTTGATCTGATGCAGAGTTTTCATCTTGCTTCTCATCCCACTATCCTAGGATGAGACAGCAAGAGCACACACATCTATCAAGTTCACATTCCGTGGTTCCTATAGCTTCTGCATATGGTTAGTAGCCTCGTAGCTCCTTCGAGACATGGTGGGCTAGCGGACGACAGATGGGTACCTGTGAGGTGATGGCGGCCGCCAGAATGGGTGTGAAGAGAGAGTGGGTGTGAGAGAAGCCCGGCATATTGCAGGGTCAAGAGGACAACAACTGACATTGGAATGGAGGAGGTGAGCCATTGCATTTTATGTGAAGTCTACTGCCCTGTCCTGGGATCAACAACGGTGGTTCAGTTATGATAGATGGTGGTGTGTGTTAAAGCGGCATGATGTGGAGTGGATGCTTGGACAGGCAGAAAAGGTTGATGTGGAAATGCCACAAAGTGATCCTAAAGGCCACGGAATCCCGTGGCCATCCTCTTGTGTACCTCCGTTTAAGATGTAATCCTTCAACTTGCTTTTCAGCCTCGCTGAAACATCAGGTATTGGTGGTACCAGTTCTTCAGAGGATCGCTCTTCCCTAGTTCTGATTTGTGCAGCACGCGAAGGCCTAGTTGCGCCCTGTAGCTGTGAAGAAATCATGCGGTATTTGCCAATTTCCGTACACCGAGGAGTTACGAGGATCTTCAATCCTTCTGTGCCACCAGTGTCACAACACCGCAGTTCACTGGTGTTCCCGCGGCGTCTCTCGAAGCAATTTACTTCCAAACGCCCTCACGCTCCCCTCAGGTAATGACCGACAACCTTTCTACCATATAAGAAATAGAGTATCGCTTAAGATCCTCCTTGCAGCTCTCTCCAGCAGGTCGAATCCATCAGCCGTGATATATGCACCCGATACTAGGAGAATCAATGTTGGGACACTGAGCTTACACCACAGTCGAGCGCAAAAGACGACTGCGGTATCCCATATTTATATAGCATCATACGTTATATCATGAACAAGAGTGAATCCCCAGGGTCACCTTTCCCCAGCGCCAAAAAGACCAAAAAAAAAAAAAAACACCAGGGGTCCTGGTGAAAACACCCGGTTCTTTGGGGGTTTTTTTGGTCCTTTTTTTTTGTTCCCTTAAATGACTCTTCATGAGATCTCAAGTAATTCTTCAAACTTTTTGAAGATTCTCTTCAGGATGCGCAGCATAAGTCTCGAACTTCGAGCCCTTGGCGTGGGCTACCAGCGGTCGTGCCATTCGACCGTGGCACTGCCATCCGACAGAAAACACCTTTTTCTGCTTGATGAAGTTATGTTTTGCTTCCAGCTTAGCACGAAAACGGAAGTTTGTTTCAGTACCTCTGCTTGGCGCGCCTGAGCTGTCTCGGCTTATTTTATCTTATATTTTGTTCTCATGTCCGGTCACCATGTATAGGTGCGTGCAGTAGTTACTACAGATCAACTTCTCACAGTGTGTAAGGAGAAGCTGGCTCTGAGCCTCCATGCCACTGTCAGCCCTACAACCAGCAGGTCTTCCAATGGGTCTACTTACCAGAAACTCCCGAACAAGATCAACACCTGTGACACCAACCATGCAGATATCATGGCATTCTTGGACTGGGTGGACTTCCCAAAACGAACACCTCTTCCCATTTCACCTCCGTCAGCCCCCTTGAATCAGTTTGTACGAATGATTGCCGACACCAGCTTCAATATCAAAACTGATCGCGCCACGATTGTGCGTGGAATTCGGCAATTCTCTGTACTCTGGCTCCCGATTGGAAGGATTGGAGGCAGTAGATTCTTCCGCATTGTCCCATGCATCTATGGCTTACGTCCGGAGGTACCACCTTCTGTTGATTTTGAGGACATCTTCCCGCAGTCAGTCCTTGGCGTAGATGACAACATCCGACCAGGCACAGCTTTCCATAGCTGTGGCGAAAAGTTGCCTGATGGAAAAGCTAACTTGAGTGGACCAGGTGATCTCGACGCTGGTGGATTCAACTGCTTCCAGCTCGAAATTTTGCAATCTTTGGGAGGTGAAATTGATAAACCGCTCTCGTATGAAGATGTTGACGAAGGAGAATGGTGTTCTACTAGGTTTTACGCCGTTGTCAGATTCGGCCCAGATGGTCTTGAGAGAGGTATTACGCTATTTTGGATTGCTTTCGCCCTGATGATGAAGATAGTGAACATGACTTCATGCCTGATCATGGACATACCTGCTGCGATTATCTCCTAGTTAGCGGCCGGTTCGCATCTAAGCGATTTTCGCTAGCCGAACTCCCTGATCACATCCAGGACCTCGGTTTTTCAAAGGCTTTCGAGCTCAAGTTGTGCGGCACCGTGTCGATGTCGTTAGGGCGATCCAGATTGCGGAGGGAGTGATCAAGCGAGGAATAGGTGAATAAATGCTGATATAGATTGGTAGCTAATAATTTGCTCTCGATTCGGGACTTGCAGTTCGCCTTTTGTCTGGATTCCTCTTGGTGCTTCCCTCAACATTCATATCGGGGATCGCTATGTATATGATATTTCCTAATGAATGAATGTTTCTTATCATTTTCTGCTCTTGCGCCGATTAAATTCTCATACATCTACTCATAATCCACCGGTTGTCACAACGAGTTTCTGCGCTCCTAAGTTAGATACTGATCAATCAGATATCCAAGCAGACGAGGGGCATCCGGAACGTAGCACATTAAGATTTCCAGGGCAAATCCTACTAAAAATTTTTGATGTTCAAGTTTCTGTACACGAGATGGATCAAAAATAGAAACGAATAATAGTTGACTACGTTTCCCGCGTCATAGTACAACAGTTCCGGTTTCTGTAGTTCAGGATGCTGGTATACACATGTTACATTCGCAAGAAAGAATTTTGATGCCATGCTGCGCCTTGGATCATAGCAGGCGCAAAAGCAAGCATGCTGCAGTATAAGGCAAGCCAGAATGCATATTTCTCCATTTCTATATGGGTATGGATGCTGGTCAACATGCTTTGCGTCAGAACCAGGTTTAGGTTCTTAGATGTTCTATAGAGCTTTTTCCTTGTCAAAGAGTTCTATGTATAAATCTTCATTTATTCCTTGTCCTTTTCCAAAGAACGAGCAAGAACATACTTGCAACGATATATGAGACGCCAGCGAAGACCTGTGGATACAGATACTCTCTCCCTGACTCAGGTCGGCGGAGCTTTAATGCGATTACCTCAGCGACTAGAACCAATTGTTAGTTAATATAAACATCAAATAGCATGTTCGGAGAGGCAATGGATATATAAAACGTTTCAATGAGAGGTGGAGCCGTACACATTGTTGGAAGAACGACAGAGAGCCATGATAACGAGAGTAGTGACTGAAGCTCTCTCAGCCCCGCGATCTCAACGCAAAGCGGGCCGATGGCCTGATATCGAATCAGCTTAATCCGAGACTTTCAAAAAAGAGCGGCTCCTTACAACCCAAAAGACACCCAACATTCCACCACATAGCAGCGCGAACAATATCAGCACGCCATAAAGGGTGCCAGGGAGCCAAATTGCGAAGCATATGATGCCGCAAAAAAAGGTCAAGGAACCTGCCACTTGCACCCTTCCAAACCGATCGCTTGAGATCCCAATTAGTGGACGACCGATGGCCGTGCCGAGGTTCAGCATCGCATTCACGGACGCCGCCTGGGGTTTCGAAAGCCCGATAGAGCGCGCATAATCAGGCAACGAATACAATAGTGTCATATAGCCGAACATGGAAACAAAGGCCCAGGAAACGACCAACAGCACGTCAGTGCGACGGAGCAGCTTCGTATCAAAACCGCGCTGGGGTGGTTGTATCGCTTCGTTGCGATGTTTAATCAAGGCAATAGAAATTGACAGCATCACAGTAACGATGATAGCAGTAATGCGAAAAGCCCAGGACAAAGAGAGTTCCCTGATAACCGCCTCAGTGGTGAAGGAGAACATCAAGCCCCCGAGTCCAGAGCCAGCGCCGCATATTCCATTTGCCAGGCTCCGTTTCTTATCGAACCATTGAGAGATAATCGCCACATTAGGTATGTAAACCAGTCCAATTCCCAAGCCAACCATAACTCCCTGTGAGATGTAAAGCTGCCAAAGTCGTTTCACGAACGATGCAGCAACGAAACCACCTACAAGGAAAACAATACCTAAACCCATCGTAAACCGGGCTCCAGTCTCACGAGCAAGGATTGTGACGAAAGGAGCAAGTATCATGGCCACTGAGAAGTTGAATCCACCAATCAGGGCGTAGTCAAGCGGCCTTGCCTCAGGGAACCTGTTATGCGACAGATATTCTGCGAGATAGACGCCATATGCCTATGATAGATAGTGTCACAAGAATTAATAATGGATGAAAAGGCTTTGGGCGACAACAGGGCTGACACGAAGAATAATGGCGAACGATTGAGACATACCGATATAATGCCCCATGTGAACCAGCTCAGTGTAAAGCAGGCGGCAACAATAACCCAGCCATATCCACCATCAGGCGGTGGTGATATATCTGGCTGAGGTCCAACATCCTCACAGATTTCATTGGAATCTTCGTTGCCCATCTAGAAAATATCCCCTGGAATGTAGGGTATTGTTCCTAGATATCGCAGCTCTAGAGGGACAAGAATAGGGCTTCTAAACCAACAAAATGTTATTCCTGTTGTCCAGAATCAAGAATCGAAGAGAATATCGCACCATCCCCCACCTGCAGGTGCTGCATCGACGGCTTATTCCCTTTCGGCTTCTTACTAGTCTAAAAATGCCGGATTTACGAAGCCGGTATAGTCCCGACAAAGGAACATTTCAGTGATCCCCATTTGTTTCCTCGCACATTCCCCAATAACGACTCGACAGAGTGATGAGGGGGAGACGGGGAGCCACTGCGGGGAAGCAGAGACCTTCTGACCTTGCGACCGCAGCGCGATGGAGATGCGCGGGGAACCATCCCCAAAGGCACAACCGGCTGGTATCCGGAGGCCTAGTAACCGTGAATATAACTGTTACTGCCCCCAAATTGGTCTGAGTTCCTGTTTGCTCCCCGATGGCCGATGCTGGGCAACGAACAGCCGTCAACCGCGATATCACGTGGGTGCAGGGAAGGAACCGTTCCATTAAAGACAATTTGATGGCCTATGTTAGGCTCAGAGACGGTGAACTTTGGCGGGCAGTTACCTGGTGATGATTGGTCGGAGCTTCAACGCAAAGAGCTACGAAAATTTTCTGCAGCCAATCAGCATGAAGCAGTGACATATCACCATCTGGAAGGAAATTGGAATGTCGATATTATTTATTGCTTGCTGGCAGCGGAGACTATGATGATAGCTGGATAATCTTCGAAGGATATTGCAGAGACGGGCTCAAATACTGAATACCTTTCCATAATCTCGTTAATCTCATTTACAATGTCGCCAATCGATGAGGAAGTCGTTCGCGATGCTACTAAACCGGAGACCGTGGACAGCTGCGACCCCGAGAAGCAAGGCGGGACATGTGTTCGTGGAAAATCGGTCCCAGAGTCTCTTTTCAAAGGGCTGGGTATTATAGATCGGTTTCTGGCCGTCTGGATATTCCTCGCCATGGCAATCGGTATTATCCTCGGAAATTTTGTTCCAAATACGGGCCCAGCATTGCAAAGGGGAACTTTTGTTGGTGTCTCCATACCTATAGGTCAGTGAATGCTCTTCTCTCTCCCCTTGAACGTCTAGCTTGAGCTTTGGTAAGCTGGACTCTGAGCTAATTCAATCCAGCGGTCGGGCTACTCGTTATGATGTATCCCATCTTGTGCAAAGTGCAGTACGAAACTCTGCACCGAGTTTTCAAGACGCGAGAAATCTGGATCCAAATCGGCTTTAGCATCGTTTTGAACTGGATAATTGCGCCACTTTTTATGGTGAGAGAATTAGCTCTATGTTTTCAAGGAATATTTTGCTGACTCCACGACTGGGAAGTTGGGTCTCGCGTGGGCTTTTCTTCCCGATGAACCTGAACTTAGGGAAGGTCTGATTTTAGTAGGATTGGCGCGATGCATCGCCATGGTAAGTCTCCCAAATGCGTCTTCTGGTTTAACGTCAAGATATTAACGGTGTATCAATATCAGGTTCTGATCTGGACCGGCCTTGCCGGGGGCGATAATGACTACTGCGCGATCCTTGTGGCGATCAACTCGTTACTTCAGATGGTTCTCTTCGCCCCGCTGGCCGTCCTATTTGTAAAAGTGATTAGCAATTCTAGCGACCAAGTCAGCGTCTCCTACTCCATCGTCGCCAAAAGCGTTGCCGTATTTTTGGGAATTCCTCTCGGAGCCGCCATCGTCACCAGATTCGCACTTCGGAGTCTCGCCGGATCAAAGTGGTATGACAACGTCTTCCTCAAATGGGCAGGACCATGGTCCCTCATTGGACTGCTATTCACCATACTAGTCCTCTTTGCCTCGCAGGGAGAGCAAGTAGTGCACCAGATCGTCTCTGTTGTTCGCGTGGCTGCTCCCTTAATTGTGTATTTTGTCGTGATCTTCTTTTGCACTCTGATCGTGGCGTACCGACTGGGCTTCGGATACAAACTATCTGCGACTCAAAGCTTCACCGCGGCGAGTAACAATTTCGAATTTGCCATTGCTGTGGCCGTAGCGACATTTGGGGCTCAGAGTGACCAAGCTTTAGCCTCCACTGTCGGTCCACTCATTGAGGTTCCAGTGCTTTTAGGGCTGGTATACGTTGTGAAGTTCATTGCAAAGAGAGTTGGATGGAACGCCTAAATGCCATGGAAAAGTGCGTTTTCTTCTAACCCTAGAAGCAGAGATAGGAAACAATATGTAGATAATAAGCAGCGGATGTATGCAATGCATGTACGGAGTACTACGGAGCCCAAAACGCCGTGTTTGAGCTTTGCAGAGCGTTCCTGATGACTAAGAATTGATGTCACCCAATGGCGTTCTACGATAACGAATTTTTGATCGCTCTCCCAAGTCTCCCCTCGTCGGCCTGGATCGTTTTCTGCAGAGCACCCCGTTTTCCTTTTATTCTTCTTCTTCTTCTTCTCTCTTTCATATAGGTACTGTCAAAGTTTGTTACTCAATAATTTATAATGCCTCCTACGCAGTGTTTTAACTGCAAGTCCGCCCGAGCAGTTATCATCAGGCCCAAAAACCGCCACAAGCTATGCAAGCAGTGCTTTCTTCGTATTTTTGAGACCGAAACACACGAGACCATTACACAAAGCCCTTTATTTTATCCGGGCGAACGTGTCGCCATCGGCGCCAGCGGTGGCAAAGATAGCACAGTCCTTGCCTCCGTCCTAAAGACCCTCAACGAACGATACAACTACGGGCTTGACCTTGTCCTCCTATCCATCGACGAAGGCATCAAAGGGTACCGAGATGACAGTCTGGAAACTGTCAAGCGGAATGCGGTCCAGTACGATATGCCCTTGGAGATAGTCAGCTATGGCGAGTTGTACGGGTGGACGATGGACCAAGTTGTCGCGGAAATTGGGAAAAAAGGAAACTGCACATACTGCGGGGTATTTCGTCGCCAGGCGCTAGATCGCGGAGCTGCGAAGCTCGGCATTAAACATGTTGTCACGGGGCATAACGCTGACGATGTCGCTGAGACGGTGATGATGAACCTCCTTCGGGGTGATTTACCGCGGTTGGCCCGGGGAACATACATTGTGACGGGGTCATCGGCCAGTGAAATAAAACGCAGTAAACCCTTGAAATACGCTTATGAGAAGGAGATTGTTTTATATGCACACCACAAGAACCTCGACTATTTCAGCACTGAGTGTATATATTCACCTGAAGCGTTTCGGGGCAGTGCCCGGACGCTGATCAAAGATCTGGAAAAAATACGGCCAAGTTCTATATTGGATATTGTTAGGAGCGGTGAAGATATGGCCGAGTTGGTACCATCAGAGATCAGTACTTCGGCCACTTGTGCATCAAAGAATGCGACTTCGGCCAATGCTGAAGATGGGACTGAAGACTACTCGACTGGCGGGTGCGCAAGTCAAAATGGAAGGAGCAGCGGTCATGAAATGGCAGAAATGGAGAAACAACTTGCTGAGAACGAAGCGGCCCAGTCTCGTGAGACCGAGATCACCCTTGCGGCTCTCGGAAAGAACAAGAAGAAACAGCTCGCACGAACCAGCCATCGCAATGGATCTGGTAGCCAGAAACCGTTGAAGGTTCAAACGATGGGGCAATGCGAACGATGCGGATACCTCTCGAGCCAGAAAATTTGCAAGGCATGTACGTTACTCGAAGGATTGAATAAAAGCAGGCCTCAAACATCCGTCGATTTGGTCGTTGGCGTTGAGGAAGAGGAAGGGAGCTCGACTCTTATGCGACAGATGGAACAGATCCAGTTATCTAGTGGCTGAGTATTGCTGCGCCTCAAGCCAATAATGTTAATCTGGAATATTCCACATCGCAATATAGTTCGTTCCAACGACCACGCGTCTTGACTCCGCACAGAGCTTGCCGGCTCGTTGTGAACGCCAGCAGCGGCTGCTGGACACCCTAACAGTACGGCCAGCGCTCGGTCCCACGATCCGAGCTCGAATGCACCATTTGGTGAGTAGAATCGCATTTTTGGGGAGCCGGCGCTAGTTTCGCTCTATCGGAACTCGCTGGCTGGCAAGAGGTCGAATTCATATGGGCCCCATGTCTAAGAGTCCCTTTGCCATATGGGCGACGATGTGTCGCACGCTGATACGCCTGTTAGGGTCGCAGATGGACCACTAGGACTCCAAGGGCCGAGATGTAGTATGGGGTGGATGTTGGAATTCAGCCTTGAGCTCTTCCATGAGTAGACCACCATGATAGATGAAGAGAGATAGGTGCTAAATAGGAAAGCTTTCGGTCCTATCATTCCATAATACCAAGTAATTAATTAACGCACGGGCATAAATACACAATCAGTGTGCGTCTGGATAACAGCCATCGACGCACGATCTCAACGCGTTAGTTATCCCGAACATTATCCAACGGTCGCATCGATAATCGAATCGTCGGGCTTCTCCCCTCACCACACAAAGGTGTTCCCGTGACAAAGGTGTTCCCGTAAATCGAGGTGTATCTTCTGGACAACGGACTGTATTTTGCTGTAGTTTTGCATCATAGATTGCTCCAAAAGAGCTCAGGGAATTTGGAATGTTCGCCCTATCCAGCAACGGAAATTGTATTTATTTTTAATTTTAATTTTAATTTTTTTTTTAATAAAGATCTGTCGTTGTCCTGGGCGGCATGAAGCCCGGTGGACATAAACCACCGGACATCACCAGACGAGCGATTCGTCAGCGTGGTTGGGTGTAACCAAATCGCCCCCTCCTCGCGTGCTGCCGGCCGCTGACGTCTCTCAGTGGCTTCCGGATCCCTGGTTGTCACTTCCTCCACGCCACGGTGGGGTGGATGCCCAGGCCGCAGCAGCAGAAGCAACAACATCACCATCATCATCATCATCATCATCATCATCATCATCACCGCCATGACCTCTCTCTCCGCAGCGAGAGGTGGCCGTCACAGAAGCCAGCGCTGCTCCTGGAACGTCGATATTCGTCCACGGCCTCAGCCTTGTCGCAAGCAATCACGCTGGCCGGTCTAGCTCTCAGCCACGAAAGTTTGTTTCCCAGTCTCGACCACGAGCTGTCAAACGGTTCGGAAAGCATCATAGGTTGACTGCCTGGGGAACTTGTTTGGCGGGGTCAAGCTGCTTTGCCTGCGCACTCTGTAATGAGATCTTCATCCGCTACCCTGATCTGCTTGCTCCGTCCTCCATCTAGTTAACGACCTACTGGATACGTCTTAGCTGGTGGGATCGTCGTGCGGACGGAGGCCGCCCGACTGGCCAGTTGAGAAGCTGTCAGATTTCCGGCCATCATTAGCGCGTCATCAATGGCCCCGTCGACATCGAAAGCTGACCGTTCGTCACCATTCCCTGGTGGGATAATATCTGAAACCATCTCCACGCTGGGCCCGGACGACGCTAATGCTGCTGGTGATGGGAGATTCCTGACTCGCAACGACGGCCGTCAGATCCTCACTTTCCGACCATCACTCCCAACAATGTCCCGGCGTACACACTCACGCTCCTTGAGCAATCCATTTCCTTCTCTCTTTGGGGGAAGGAAGAAAGCCGAACAGCACGCCAACCAGAACTCCCTTCTTGATGTCGTTGACGATGAATCCACCCAGCTTTCTCGATCAGTGAGCCCAAACAGACAGCAAGATTTAAACCCACCAGATCATAATGTGATTCGCAGATGCATGATGTGTGATCATTCTAACTCATTTCCTTCAGGGAAAAGGGGCTTCAGGTGTGGAAAGTGCACGACAGTGCACGATTTAGAACCTTGCCATTCATCTCGACTTCTTCAGATTCCTTCAGGAGATGGAAAGGAAGCCAGCGGCCTGGCGGGCAAGAGAAAAGGTCTGTTCAGCTCTTGTTCTCTGTGTAAACCTGTTAAGACCCCTGTCTGATCATTGCTACCTAAGACAAAGTGTCTGTGGAGAAAACAAGGAATATCATTGATCACTGCCTGCGGTCGTTCTTCAGTAACCAGCTCAAGAGCTTGGGGCTTGATCCATTGACTGGCCCTGATCTGCCAGTGACTCGAAGGCGTGGAGCGTCGGAGAGTAGCTTAGGCACTTATCGTCATGAACCCCCCCGGCATGATGCTGTTGGTGACCTTTCTACTAAGAAAGCTGAGCCTACATTCGAATTTGGCAAATATCCTGACGGCGTTTGCCAGTCTACCATACCTCAGTCCCCGAAAGAGCTGCCTATACAGACCAAACGCAAGCCGGTTCCAAGTAGTTCGACAGTTCCGAGCTTTGATCCTCAAACTCATGACCAAAATCAACGACAAAATATTTCCAGACCAACTTTACAGAGTGGTGGATATATATTTCGTGTACTTGAAGACTACATTTATGCTTCTTTCGATGACTGTGACACGCTGAACAATTCCTTTCTAACGCCAGGATCGCGTCATCCACGAGCTGCCAGTGAAGGAACTCCACTGAGGAAAAGCCCAGAGAATTCACCCTCTCCTCCGAACGGCTCACCGCACTTTCAGCTGGACGGGAAAACCCTTCGTCTAGGTGATATTGCCGAAAACGGAAGTTGGTGGGCTGGAACGCGTCCAACACGGCATAGGTCGATAAACGATAATCAGAATACGAGGCCAAATAACACACACAGTGGGCTTGTGAGCTTCAAAAGCCCTCGAATAAATTGGCCCGAACTCTCGGAGTGGTATCATTTGGTGATCCATGCCGGCGATTGCTGGCGTACTGCGTGGCACCTTATGAAACCTACCAATACAGATGAGCTTCTAAAATGGGAAGCAGTGGAATTGTCGGGGTTAGAAAAATTAATCTCTGAATCTGAATTTCATTTAAGAACAGTGCTGCTTAAAGCAACTGAGAAGCTCCTTCAACGGCCGAAACGGCCACTGGAACGCCCGGAAGACACTCGGTTTCTATTAATTCTCCTCGTTAACCCATTGCTATATCCTAGCAGTTCTAGTCCTCGAAAACCATCTGCTCAACTGATGGTTCCTGGTTCTGGTGACCGATCGAGATCGAGCATGCCGGCGGACAGGGTACCAGTGCCGAGAAGAAGCCATTCGGCACTTTCAAACAAGGCCATTGCGCCGAGCGACCGTCGCTCTGTGATTATAAAGAGAATTATCGGCCTCCTTTCCAACCTACCAGGTGAATGTCATCATTCACTGGTATCCTGGTTTTCGAGGCTTTCTGAGAATCAATTCCGACGGCTAGTTGATCTCGTCGGTAGTTTTGTCACTTACCGGCTAAGTAAAGGCTCCAGGCGGCGACCGAGTAAGTCGGTAAACATCGAGGATAATATCGAAGAGTTTGTACCTACATTTTCTGGCCCTAGCTCTACCACGTCGGCGCAGCTACATTCAGCATTGCAACGAGATAATGCGACCAAACCATCGAGCTCTGAGCATAAGACTGTCGCTTACAGTGACGATTGGCAAATGAGAGCAGCCGCTCGCGTGATGGCTTTATTGTTTCGTGCGAATCACTCGAGCCATAGAAGGAGATCTCCCCACTCGGCTTCATACCCTCCGTTGAATGGACAACACGAAGTCCATGATCACTTACATATGATTCCGATAAGTACTTTCTATAACACATTGCTCGATTACTCTGATTTGATCACGGACTTTGAGGCCTGGGAATCACGAACTGGAAAGTTCACATTTTGCCAGTACTCCTTTTTCCTTAGCATTTGGGCGAAAATACGAATTCTGGAGCATGACGCTCGTCGTCAGATGGAGGCGAAAGCGCGCGAAGCATTTTTTGACAACATTTTAGGACGCAGGGGAACCAGCCAGTATCTTGTGCTAAAAGTGCGAAGGGAATGCTTGGTTGAAGATAGCCTTCGTGGTGTCAGCGAAGTAGTTGGATCCGGGCAGGAAGAGATCAAGAAAGGCCTTCGCATCGAGTTTGTTGGTGAAGAGGGCGTTGATGCTGGTGGCCTCCGTAAAGAGTGGTTCTTGTCGCTAGTACGGGAGGTGTTTGATCCCTTGAACGGTATGTCCCGTGTTTCATTCTTTGATGGGAGGTTTCGGTATTCTGATCGGTATCACAGGCTCGTTTCTGTATGACAACGATTCCCGCTATTGCTATTTCAATCCTTATTGCTTTGAGTCGTCGGAACAGTTCTTTCTCGTGGGGGTTGTATTAGGGCTTGCGATTTATAACTCCACCATCCTTGATGTTGCCTTTCCACCATTTGCTTTTCGAAAACTGCTAGCCTCAGCAAGACCGAACAATGTCCCAACGTTATCAACGCCGTATCAACCTTTTAGGTGTACCTTGGATGACCTTGCGGAATATCGTCCAGCACTTGCTAAGGGTTTGCGACAGCTCCTTGAGTACGACGGTGATGTAGAGGAAACATTTTGTCAAGACTTTGTGATCCAGGTTGAGAGGTACGGTGAAACGATAGAGGTCCCCCTTTGTCCCGGTGGAGAGAAACGGCCGGTTACCAATTCCAATCGGTGGGAATTTGTTGATCTTTATGTCAAATACATGCTTGATGATGCTGTTTCTCGGCAGTTCGAGCCGTTCAAGCGAGGCTTTTTCACAGTATGCGGTGGCAATGCTCTTCACCTTTTTAGGCCTGAAGAGATCGAACTTTTGGTCCGTGGCTCGGATGAAGCTCTTGACATCCCTTCATTGCGGGCTGTGGCAGTTTATGAGCATTGGCCAACGGCCAATCCTGATAGAGACCCAGTCGTGAATTGGTTTTGGGAATTTTTTACTCGAGTTAACCCCCAAGACCAGCGCAAGATCCTCAGTTTCATTACTGGCAGTGACCGAATACCTGCCATGGGTGCAACTAACCTAGTAATATGCCTGCTTTATCTTGGACAGGATTCGGAAAGGTTCCCGATAGCGAGAACTTGCTTTAACATGTTGTCTCTATATCGGTATAAAACGCGACAGAAGCTGGAATCGAAACTGTGGCGAGCGGTAGTTGAAAGCGAAGGATTCGGTTTGAAATAAGTTGCTCAATGTTTTCGCGAGTTCGGCTCAGAACTTCGCTTCAATCGGGTGTCGGATAGTCGCCATCAAACCTCATGATGTCACGAAGCTCTATACCAAGTTGGTTTTGGGTCCCCTTTTCGGTTGTTTTGGACTATCTTTTATAATTGTTGCTGAAATGTTCCCTTCTGTTGAGCACTGTGAGATAAAAATAGAACTGTTTGTGAGACTCTCCTAGATCGAGGCAGTTCGGTCTCTTGGTGATTTTAATCTTATGTTGTTGGCTCTCGAGTGTCATCCCCCGTTAGAGCGATGGCGAGACGGTCGACTGCCGCCCGCCAGTCTTGCTCTCTTGACATAACTGTAGTCTAAACGGAGTAATAATCCTCGCGAAATGCTTGATTGGAAAAAAACAACCCTTTTTTTTTTTTTAACAAGAAATAAATATACTAAGATGGGATTTTCCAATCTAATATAATTGCGAGAATCGACCTCGTGGCTGCTGGGTGAGAGATAGGTATGCTATCTCGAGTTATTGTGCGAGACTCGGCATCGAAGTCATGATTGAGAGTTTCAAAGTGTGGACAAAGATTATGCTCATGAAGAGGCTGTGTCTCCAACGAATCCTAGCAAAAGAGGCGGCTGAAGGGCTGAAATCTGCTCCAAATTTTGTGTTCGTGCTGTTCAATCTCGCCATGCAAGTATAGACATGGGTAGCTCGTTCGCCCCTGGATACGAACCTCAGATCACACGGTCTCAACAGCTTTTATTTGACCTTCCTTATTGAACCATGTACGGATGCTGTTGGGTGAGAACTTCGAAAGCATTGTTTATCGGCCGGTAGAATTGGGATCCTAAGCTGTTCAGAGAGGAAAATTGTGCCCCTTTCAGCAAACGCTCCTCCCCCCGGTAGTCGCCACAACGTCCGGAGTATATTCGGCGGACTGTATGTGAAGCTGGAGCGAAAGTGGTGAGATACGAAGTAACTAATCAATCGTGGGCGAGCTGATGGGATGGTCTTTTTACGTCAATTTGGGGTTTGGACAATGAAAGCTCCAGGGTTTCATTGATCTCCAGAAATTCCAGGCCTTGTGTCAACGTGTTCTCTGCGCCCGAAACTGGAGATCCAGAGCTTTGACAAGATGGGTCGGGATTCAGGAGTTGACGGTTAGGCTATTGCAGTTTAGGCTTGTTGGCCAAGGGATCTTAACGCTTAGCTTTCCTGCGAAACCAAGGTCATGTGGCACCGAAAAATTTTTTTCAGGAACGTGAAAAATAATTAAAAAAAAAAAAAACAAAAGAATCATCTTTCAGCAACAGTGGCATGCTTTTTGCCCCTCGTTCTCCACTAGAAGCTCCAAAATTAGTAGCAGCTGAATGAATGAAAAGGGATAGGGATAAAGGGGGGAAGGATGAAGTTCACTGGTCATTTCGAAAGGAGCTTTGGCCCCGACCCGTGCTGTTGAGCTTCGAAGCTCGGTGCTCGGTGGATGATCACGGTGATTCACTTCGGGACAGCGGGGGCAATGATGGAAAATTGCAATGCTGAGATATTCACCACGGCTGATTGACGCTCGAGTCGTCGATCAACCCTGCAAGTGTCAACGGGAGCGGTGAACCGGTTAACGAGATGGCCGGAGTATGTGAATGTGATTCATCGGGCTCCGTGCTGTGCATGCAGTGCCACGTCGAAAGAAATTAACTTGTCACTTGCGCTCCATGGCTTCGGTGCGGGGGATTGGCGCGGGCAGCGGCGGGTTACGATATGCTCCGATCGTGAAAAAGAACTTTTTCTTCGTGTTTCTCTTCTTCTTTTTTACTTGCCAATCGCTTGACATACGCGGCCTGGACTCCTGGGCAATTTACTTTTACATATATTTTTGTTGGTGCATGGGGGAGGGGGATCATAGGCAGGGAGCGATCTCTCAAGTGACAGCTTCCGGCCATGTGCTTCTTGTGTGGTTGAATAAGAATTTGAGCCTAGTTAGGCCAACTGGGCAGTAAGCTGCGTCCTTTTCATCAGACGGTGAAAGGAACCGCCCGACGAGCTAGCGCAACTAAGGAATTTTCTTTTTGTTCTTTCGTCCGCCACCTTACTCATCATCACTGCGGCATCCCGGGAGGCCTGAGCAGATTCTGCTCTCAGCTTACAAATAGCATATCGAGACGACGTTTGTCTCATCTCAGCTGTTGCTTGTGAGACTTGATGCCAGGAGATGGCGATTTCTTGAATAGCATTCTGTAGCTCTACGGCAAGAGTTACACTGAGGCCTCCGTAATGGTGCCAGGCTGATAAGCTCGCCTTGACCCGAAGCTTTTTAGGAGAAAGAAAAAAAAAAAAATAAAATAAAATTCTAGATTTAGAGGAACCGCTGGTCCATAATAACTAGCCCCTTGGGGCAAACCATTGTCTTACGGACATGCCGGCGATGCGCCTGGGCTCCCAAAGGACCGTAGGCCGGGGAAACATTATTTTTGGGTCATTATGGGGAAGTTTGGGCCTGTTGGTGGATAAGGGCCCTCCCCACAAAAGTGGGCGTGTCGTAAGTTAGCTTGGTCCACGAGCTCCATATTTTTAAATTTTGTGTCAGGATTGCCCGGTCACGCCTTTACCGGTGAAGCTGTTTGGGTTTGAGGGGCCTGAATAAATACTTGCCTGCCCCCGGAGTCGGCGCCAGGCTTTCAGTTCCTCTTTGAACAAAATTATTGCAGTTCCCTTTGTCGTGACGCTATCAACTGCCTCAGCCGTCAATCGTACCTTCAAACGGTGAGTCATCGATGTCCCGCCTCTTCAAAAGGTGGTTTACCGCCATTGGACAAGCGTGCTGATGAAGCCCAGGAACACCTCTAACTGAAAGAAGATCTTTTCATCCCACCGTCAAAATGGCCTCCCAACTTCCAAACACCATGAAAGCTCTTCAGTAGGCACATCTACTACCACCTAAATTGGCGAAGGCAGCCACTGAGCGCTTTTTTGTATAGATACTCCAAGCCGGAGGAATATGCCATTGTCAACATCCCATTGCCTCAGCTCCGTGAGAACGACGTATTGGTATGAGTTCTCCCCATTCGCAGTGGATGCCTCCTTTTGAAACTGCATTCAAGCTGCTAGTAAAAGAACAGAGTTTTCGCTGATTGTGTGTTTTCAATATAGATCAAGGTCAAGGCCTGCGGTGTCTGCGGAACTGATTTGCATATCCACGAGGGCGAATTCCTTGCCAAAGTGAGTTTGTATTTGACTCTGCGGGTTTTCTGATGAGGTTGGAGCTAATAGCCGTGACATTCAGTTCCCTCTTGTTCCCGGTATGACTTGAATTGCGTGACCATTGTCGGCAATCGGTGAGACTAATCCGTTCTTTCCAGGTCATGAAACTGTTGGCGTTGTTGCCGCCATGGGACCAAAGGTCAAGGGCTTCACCGTTGGCGACCGAGTCGTTGCCGATAACTCAGAGCTCTGTGGAGAATGTTTCTACTGCCGACGTGGCGAAGAATTGCTCTGCGAGCACTTTGAGGCTCACGGTGTCACCATGAATGGTGGCTTCGCCGAATACTGTGCCTATCCAGGTAAGACTTGGTTACTATCTGCTAGTAATGGTGTTTTTCGCGCAAGAGTCTAACGTCATTCTTTTCGGCATTTTTCAGCTGGCCGAGTTTTCAAGATCCAGAACCTCTCAGATGTCGACGCTACCCTGTTGGAGCCTGCTTCCTGCGCTGCCCACGGCCTCGATAAGATTTCCCCCAAGATGGGTTCCACCGTGCTCATGTTCGGCGCTGGTCCAACCGGTCTTGTAAGCCAATACACCATGATCGGAAAGACAGAAGCTCGCTTTTACTTACACATGAATATAGGTGCTTGCTCAAATGCTCCGTCTCAACGGTGGCTGCAAGGTCGTCATCGCTGCCCCTGAGGGTCTTAAGATGAACCTCGCCAAGTCCCTCGACGCGGCCGATGAATACATCCCGCTCTCTCGACAAGACCCCAGCGCTCAATTCGAGGCCCTCAAGGCTGCCAACCCATACGGCTTCGACATCGTTGTCGAGGCCACTGGCAGCGTTAAGATTCTAGAGGATGCCATCAACTACGTCCGACGCGGCGGCAAGCTGGTCGTCTACGGTGTCTACGCCAACAAGGATAGAGTCACGTGGCCCCCATCCAAGATCTGTAAGTCCAGCCCTCATCTCTGTCTTGGAGCTCGATTGGAGCCCTTGAGGAAGTTTGGGCTAACGTAATATTTTTTCCCCCCCCCATGGCAGTCGGCGACGAAATCACCATCCTCGGTAGCTTCAGCGAGACATATAAGTTTCCCGCCGCCATCGACTACCTCGACTCCGGCAAGGTCAGAGTTGGAGGAATCGTTAATAAGGTCTTCAAGATTGAGCAATGGGCTGAGTGCTTGGAGTCGATGAGAAACAAGTCCGCCATCAAGGCTGCTATCACCTTCGACTAAGCTTCGTTCGAAGTACTTTCTGTGAATTGCTTGTGTTTGGTTTGATTCCTGTGCATGCCTGGGTAGAGGTTCTCGGTTGTTAGCGATTTGTGTGTTGTTTGGTGCGGCCTGGATTAAAAGGTATATAGATGGTTAATTGATGCATATCTCTCCATCGGAAATAAGATTACGGTTGAGACGTAGCTTAAACGGAGAACTTTGCCTCTCAGATAATGTTTTGATGGGCATGGAGGCCAGAGGCCCAGAGCTAGAGAGGGGGTTAAGGGGGTTAGGTACCAAGGGTTACCCAGCCAGGGGCGTAACCCCCTCGGCTCTTCGGGCAGCCGACGGTGGCGGACGCCCCCCCAGTAATCCCCCGAGCGTTAGAAGCTTTTAGGGGCCTGGCCATCAAGCTTTGCATCACGTGGATATCCGTCCAAAGGTTTGGCGCAAGAAGTGGCGCTGACATGTTTGTACTGTTTGAGTCAAGACTTCGTGATCGTCATAAGCTCGAAGCCACACGCGCCTACATGCTGTACAGTGTACGGAGAGTACAGGGTACAGATAGTCAAATACTCTGCATTCAAAATGGTCAAACCCCTCACATTCAAAGGCGACAAGAAGACCAAAAAGCGAAAGCGACACGATGACGACCCGTCTAATCCCCACAGTCGAGGCTCCCAAAACACCAGCTCCGCCATCGCCGAAGCCACCGAGGACCACGATGAACAGAGTTGGGTAGCGGCAGATGTACCACTCGATATCTCGGGCCCAGTTATGTTTGTTTTACCATCTACTCCGCCGACGTGTATTGCATGTGATGTCAATGGCAAGGTGTTTGCTAGCGAGATTGAGAATACGGTGGATGGAGACCCCAGGACAGCTGAACCACACGATGTGAGACAGGTCTGGGTTGCGACGAAGGTGGCAGGCTCGGATGGAATCAACTTCAAAGGTCACCATGGCAGGTGAGTTCATTATTTTGTTTATGACGACTTGGGCTCTTTCCCCCCCTCCCCAGGCTCGGATTCCTCATGGCCAACTATCACTGACACCGGTGAGAAAACCAGATACCTCAGTTGCGATAAATACGGTCTCTTAAGCGCTACATCACCTGCGGTATCTGCATTTGAATCGTTTGTCCCAGTTTCTTCCCCGGATTCTCCCGGGATGTTTTCATTCCAGATCTGTGGCGGCGACATGGAAGCTTTTCTCGCCATCAAGGAAGGTAAAACCTCCTCGAGCACCGTTGAAATCCGTGGCGACGCCGAGAGCGTTTCATTCGATACGACCTTCCGCATCCGTATGCAGGCGCGCTTCAAACCAAAACTAAAAGCGTCGAAGGAGAGCAAGGCGCTGGAGAAAATCAGCCGAAAGGAGCTAGAAGCGGCGGTGGGGAGGAAACTGGAAGAGCATGAGGTGAAACGGTTGAGAAGAGCGAGAAGAGAAGGAAACTACCATGAAGAAATCCTGGATGTGAGAGTCAAGGGGAAGCATGATAAATTTGCATCGTGAGGGGACTCGAAGTGGGTTTGCTCCCATCGGAGACAGACCGTCGTTGTGACTTTCTACTATGGAGGACAAGCTTGGTTCAGAGCAGGGGCCGTGAGCGGATACCGAGTTCATGCACGGGTTCGAGACGAGCCGGCGGATGGTCCCGCATATCTGGGCCAGCTCCGTATTTGGGCTCCTCGGCCTGACCGCTTCGCAAGGAGTTTGGTTACATGTTTAAAATGGCGTTCGGCGTTTCAGCCGCAGAACTAGCGGCGACCCTCTGGATCTTGACAATTGTACTCCACAACTCCACGGGCGAGGGAGACCCCCGAGTCTGCTTGGATTATCAAATCAGAGAGAGCAGTAGGCCTGTTCTCGGTGGTGGAGCCGGTTTTATTCATCAAGCTGTACTCCGTACTCCTCGCGGTGAGGACAGGAATGAAATGGCCAAAATTGCTTTCGTCAACTGTGCATTGACACGTGGTTTCTGTGCCGCACCTAAAATTCAAACAACGTGCTTCTGTATGTATGTATATATGTATGTTCACGCATGCACGCAGGCGTATTTACGGAAGCCACTCTCTAGCCCGTGCCCGCTACATCTCTTTTCTCATTGCCATTGTTAGCTGAAACATAGACCAGCGTGAGAGGAAAATGTAGATTAAACGGATTACACTTGAAACCATGTCCCGTTGCAAAATGATCGAGGATCAAAAGAAAATAACAGAAACTTAAACTCATGTACATCCCAATGCGGATTAACAGAAAAAGGGTATCAATCAATCAGAAGCCAAAGACACGCAGTGACGTGGCTGGTGTAGACCCGGGTATTCTTGATGAATACTCGGAGGATATCGGGGAGCCCTTGATGTTCCAAAGCCCTCCGTTGGCGTTAATTCGTAACCTTGCCGCTGTAGAAACCATGCCGGGTTATCGTAATGCGGGAAATACAGTATGGAAGATTTTAAGCCCTACAGCTGGTTAACTGCAAGCAATTTGAGATGGGGTGTCAAGGAAACAAGCGCACGCCATTCACTTACATTTTGGTCTTGCTGCATCTCGCTCCCTTTCTTCATCTTCAACCATACGGTGATTTCCTAACATCGCCACAGCTCTTCTTCGCATTTCCTCTCGACGACCGAGTCCGGTGGTTGCGGCGGGAGTTTGAGGTGGCGGAGAGGCTTCTACATCATTCGCTCTATCAGTCCGAACGTCAGCAGATTGTAAGGACCCTAACTGGCCCGCAAGACTGCCGTGGATAAAACGACGCCTGGACCGCGTACGGCTCAACGGCCCGAGATTAACCAGCATCGTGCCTTGGCCGGATCTTTGCTGACGTGATCTTCTAGCATAACGCTCCTGGCGAACCATAGCATCCGTAACCATCTCGGGGCAATAACCCGGAGGAAACACTGTCTTTTTGCATACAGGACACAAGCTACTGTTTTGCAGGAGGAAAGCATCGATACATTCCGGGTGAAAAATATGTTGACACGGAAGCTCTCTTATAATGGATTCTCCTGAAACGTAGTCATCAAGGCAGATAGGACAAGTTGTTTGGGAAAAAGTCGACTTCTGACGTTCGTAAGTTGCAGGACTGACAGGTGGAATTGGTTCAGTACTTTCTGGCACAGCTAATGTGGCTGAATTTTTCGGATTAGTGGGTTCTTCTCTGGGTTCTGTAGACACGACAGCTGGATCCGGGGCCGCGGGATCTGGTGCGGGTGGGTGGCCATCTTTGTCATAGGTATAGAGAGGCAATTTGTCAAGAACATGTTGTGGGACTTTGAGCCTTTTGATCCCAAGCATTTCTAGATCCACATCTCCGGATGTAATTCTTTCTCGTAGCGAAACGCGTCGGCGGTGCTGAATGATCTTCATGACGATAGATGACCCTGCAACAACGACGACCAAAGCTGCAAGAACCACGAGAAGGAAGACCCATAGACCTGGAAGCGTGTCTCTCTTATTTTCTATTTTCCATTAGCCCAGCCTAGAAAAGTGATACGCATACAAGGGACGATACCTAGAGCAATTAAACCGTAAACCCTAGCTGTTGCATTCGAACTATAAAGCCTTGACAGCCGGTCACCATGTGGAGCATCGCTTATGTTGCCAGAATACCGTGCTAGCTCGTTCATTAAACTGGACCCAAATGCCCCTGGTACAGCATACACAGGGAACTCTTGCTTAGACGCCCATTCGGCGTCATCTAGACCCCAACCGCGATCTTCCACAGGTGGCGGTTTCGACATTGTTTGGTCAGGACGGTAAAAAAGCATCGCTGCAACTCCATCTTGACCTGCTTGGGAGAGGAAGGACTCCGAGCAGGGAGCAGACACCCAAGGGGCAACCGCGACATAGACGCATTTGTACTGAGGGAGATCACTAAAACGCGTAACATTTGAAGGGATGCCTCCCGCGATTTTGCTTTCGCGATTGCAGGGATCATCTGGGGCCAGTTCGGGTACATAGAGAAGTGCAACAATGCCGTCATCATTCCACGCATGCCTATCTGAGAGCGTCTGTATATTGAATCCAACATTGAGTTCAAATCCATCGGTGCTCTGCCAACAGGATGTTTTTCGTCAGCTATGGCGATGTTTGTGGGGGTGGTACTAGGATATTCTCACACTCAGGCCCCGGAGATGTTCAGAGCATGTGTCCTTCGCTATCACCAGAGCTTTTGCCCTAAACGCGGACGCCGCTACAAGGAATGAGCGTTAGTACAAGTTTGGTGCGTTCCATGGTGCGGGAGGATCTAAAACGCAAACTAACCCATGAGTATCGAGGCGAGTCAGTCGGAGAAAAATGGGCGCGGCGTGCATGGGCTCAGTAGATGGTTTCTGGGTGATCTTTATTGCCCAAGTTGAGATACGTTGCCAGTTGGAGAGGCGCAGGGCCCTTGATGGTCGCGGATAGATACGGAGAATTCAAACGGCGACGTCATGAGCGAGTGCACGGAATGGAGTGGTTGATGGCGCTCTTTCTGCACGCCAAAGAGTGAGGCCTCATAATAAGAAGTGACAATAACAGTTATGTTCTCGTCAAGGAGATGACGGCTAAAAATTGTGGTTGAGCGAGTAGTGAACAAAACGAGTGCCGTGAAGAGCACGGAGGCTGCGTCGTATTAAGTGCCCTCGAATCGCAATGATCGGCGGCGATCCGAAATGCTAAACAAGGCGAAGCGGGGAAAGCCACTGGTCACGGCAACCTAAATAAAATCTTGTGCGTGCTCGCTAGAGGAGTCAAGCCAACAACCACGCCCAATGTTGCTATTAATACTCTGCAAAATGCTGCCATTTAGGGTGTTTGAGGTTCTCTAAACATCGCAACAGATTTCGTCCCGGCAGCTCCCAGGCTAACGAGCTTCTCCGACATCGACCCAATAGTGGATTCTGTTGCACTTGGCTTCTCATAGTCAAGTCTCTTCTCACTCGGTGATGGTTTCGGCCTGCGACTCTCATACTTGCCGTCCTGCTGCACGGCAAATGGCGAAGATGAAGTGTAACCTCTATTGTTCCATTGTCCCAGGTGCAGCCTCATTGGCCGACAGATATGCTGGGGCAGGAGTATTTCAGAGTACGATATCGATGCCGCGCAAATCCAGTACTACACCCATTTTACAATACCGTTAGGTCCACAAGTGCAGGACATGGATAACATTGACTAATGTCGTAGCTTATCCTCGGCGTTAACCGCGACTCCCTGGAAGGATTACGACTTCTAAAGACTTTTGCAAGGAGGAAATCAAGGTGGTTGCAAGACATTGTTCCAAGGCTATTTTTCTGGATCAGTACTCCGTACTCCGTACAGAGTTCCCGTAAATGCTCCGTAGCCTGTTTGAATTGCACAAACATTTCGAATTCTCTTTTTGTTCTTCCACCTTTTCTTCTGTCATTTTTCTTTTTTTTTTTTTTTTTCTTTTTCCCCTCCCCCTTCCAATGCGCTGGTGCGTTCGCCAGTTCAAAAGTGGCGTCACATTGGTGGTCGGTGCGCGGCCGAAAGGACAGGGTCCCGTAAACTTGACCAGACTCGTAACTCCCGACCGATAGACGCGGGCTTGCCGGGAAGATGTTGGAGGCGATGCTCTTGGACTGTGCGGACTGGCAAGGGAAGATGCACATCTGCGGCAGGGAACAAAAAAGTTCAGGTGAAGCGACAACAACCGCTGGTTACGTAAACTCTATGCGTGGTAGGGCTATTCTACTTACGGACTAGCATGATCCACCAGCCACTCTGCGGCGCGCACGGGGCCAGGCGTGAGGTTCAGCCACACGTGACTCGCCGCGACAACAGACCGTCATCGAGTGTTCTGTGGCCGCCGGAAATGGCCGCCTGATGGCATTGAGGACTGCGGGTTCCGGGGATCTAAATAGCGGACGTAACACTGTCGCTGAGCTTAGACTCTGGTTGATGGAGCGGTTGCCTAGTTTTATAGATCCTCATTGCCGCGCGAAGCACAATTCACGTTATACCGTTTCTCCTTCCCCGCTGAAACGGCCGCAGCTCTCTTCGACCTCACCCCTCGTTTCCCGTTTATACCTGAAGCTCCAAGTTTACGATACGGTCTATCGGACGGCCGCGCTATGCCTACTGCGAAAAGCAAAGGCAAGGGTCGTGAGCCTAGAGGCTCCCGAAGCCGCAATACCACTCCGAGCTCTGCGTTGAGTGCCAGCACCGTCGCGGGGACAACATTTTCTCTAGGTTACCTCGACAATGATGTGTCAAAGCTCGTCGTTCCCGCCACCGTACAATATTCCGATATACTTGGTGAAGTGGGGGGTACCAACCAGATACCAGACCCTAGGGCCCTAGAGATTCTTGTCGAACAGCTCAAGGTACTTAGCCAAGTGGCAGAGGCTAGAGGCGATGCCTGCAATGCCGGAATGCGAGAACTATCCCATAAGAGGAAAGAATTGCTTGAAGAACAGAGAGATCAAGCTGGCCATCCCGCAGAAAAACTCAAAATGAAGAGAGAAGCGGAGGATGATGAGGATGATGGGCGTGCTTCCAAGGGAGGCAAGCTGAAGAAGCGAAGAGATAAGGGGATTTCAAGGGATGAACGGCCACTCGCCGTGGGGGCTCACGCCACGGCGAGACAGGACGCCTTTGACTTGAGACCTGATGGTAAGCATTGTCCGCTCTTTGCGCTCTGTCCCGGGCGTCTCCTCCCAGCTTTGCCTGGGGTTTATCGGATGTGGGAATCACGTGGTGTTTATGAGCAGCACCGATGTGGCTTTTGCACAGTGACATGATTTTTTCATTTCACATCTTGCATGATGAAAGTTTTTCCTATGCCTTCGGATCCGTTCTCGTCATCTCAAGCCACGATGGTGGGGAGAATAATACACTGACCATATTCACTTTAAGGATCTCAAAAACGCAGCGGTAAAGACGCGGCAGGTTCTTCTTCTTCTCCAAACAAGAAGTCAAAGAATTTGCCTTCATCTACTTCCTCTCTTTCACCACCATCGATCACTTCTCCCAGGGCCGGCGATCGGACCTCAAGGCCTGGGTCCCCAGAGTCAATGGAGAGCGGTGACTCCTACCAACCGGCTCCGGCTCCGGCTATTCCTCAATATCAGGTCTTCGGTCCCGATCCGTTAAGATTTGACGACCCCACGACTTACCATATCCGAGAAGTCAACCCGGCAATGACTGATGAGGAGAAAAAAGAGATTTATTGTGTTGCAGGGTTTCCCCAGAGCGACCTGAGCCATATGATGGCCGGAACAATACCCGATAAGGATTTCAGCAATGCCAAACCCACGAGTCAAGTTAATGCAAATACATTTGCAACGTACATCGAGCCTTACGTTCGTCCATTGACAGAGGAAGATATAGCGTTCCTTAAAGAGAAAGTAAGGAGACTTTTACGTGCAGTTTTCCTGCTTCAACTAACAAGATGCTCATAGGGTGATCGCGTTACTCCTTTCCTCATTCCTCGCCGTGGCAAGAAGCACTATAGCGATATCTGGGCTGAAGAAGATGGCTCGATCAATGTCGACTCTTCCCAACAGGAGCGAGAAAAGTTGCCTTTAAATCAAGGTCGAGGCAATGTCGAACAGATTTCCGATGATACTGCGGAGACAGACCAAGTCTCCGCTCCGCCGTTGCTTAGCCGTCTCTACTCGCTTCTCCGTTTTGAGCATCGAACTCTTCCTGAAGAGACTGCTGCCGCTCAGTCAACTAGCCACGAAGAATCGGCGTCGCACGCGAATTTTAATGGCGATACGGCGATGGAAGTTGATCAGGTGAACGGAGAACCCGAATCAAAGCCTCTAAACTCGGCAACAGCCTTTCCGGACGCGTCCCCGAACGGATTCAAAGTACCTGCGGCCAAGCTCGACCATTCACAGCTTGACGAGCGTCTGAAAGCCGAACTCCGTTATATCGGTTTTATCGGTCCAGAGGAGAACCCAGACTATGACGCTCATTACGATGATGATGTTGCTGAGCGTCTCCGATTCCTTCAGAGCGAACTCAAAAAGCAAATGATCATCAATGGGGCAAGAAAGACCCGCCTGCTCGAAATAGCTCGCGAACGCCTAGCCTATCAGGAATACACTACCATTCATGACGATCTCGACTCACAGGTGCAGCAAGCGTATCTAAAGCGTACACGTACCCTCGGTAAAAGTAAAAAGGGATCGCAGGCTAAGCATCGTCCTGGCGGAGCGGGTGGAGGAAGCCATCCCGTCAATGCGCCTGGAGTTGGGAGGCCCGGAATAGGCGATTTGGCCCGTACGCTTATGGATAGACGGAAGCGGTGGGCAGACTGCATTGGACCGGTATTTAAGGATTGTAAGACTACTGTTCCTGGAAAAGACGGGTCGATTTGGGATCCGATGGTTATGGCGGAATTTGAGAAAGCAGAGCTTGAAGGATGGGACGAGGAGCAAGAGTAAAATGGTTCGATTTTGAACGATTACGTGCCTAGCGCGGAAATTATTTCACTTTTCTCCCTTAACTTATTTTTATGGGAGCGCCTTTCTATGTTTTGGTTGGTTCCAGGGACTGGGTGGCTATAAGTGTCTGGGATATGAAGTGAGTAATAAGGGAGGTAGAGCGGGCGTCCAGGGAATGGATTAAGGTACGGAGTTATGGGCGAGAGGGGGCATCCTTTTTTTTTTTTTACATTAATGGCACTTTTTCTTGAATCTCATCTCGATATTCGACCTTTGCAATAATTTGCCGTCCTCCCGCTATAACCAAAGCAACATGTTCCCGGAAAAGATGTCCATTGAGGGGTATCATACCATCAGATATTAAGTAGCCAATGACTCCCGAACTTCCCACCATCGATCCGTAACCTGGATACTTCATCGATGAATGATCAACACTTCTCCTGGATATCGCTTTAACCTTGAAGTAAGCTCCTTCTCGCTGATTTCCAGCTCCGTGCAAATCTCATCGAAGCAATGCATCCCGTCTAGGAACTTCGTTAGCGTCTTATCATCAATACCATCTTCTTCCACTCCTCCTTCTCCCTCTCCGTCCTCATCCTCATTATGGTCATTCTCATCCCCCGAATGATCCTCGGCGTGGGAGTGCAGTTCAGTAGGTCCGATCAAGTGTCCGCTCTTCCGACGTCGGGAGGTAAATGAGCTCATCGACTCGATGCCGCTGGCGGTGGAGCCCATGCGACTGCGCGTGAACGACGGTGAGCTGGAGAGGAACGATATCTGCTGCGTGCCGTTGGCGAGCGTGGTCGTCACTGTCGTTGTCTGCGCGGGCTGGCCCGTCGCATATGGATATTTGTGGACGCGGTACAGGAATCCCTTTATAACTCCGAAAGTGATAAAGCGTCGAACATCAATGTTGGCAAGTTCGCGCGTGTGCTCCAGGTACCACTGCTTGACGCTTTGGCCTTGTTTTAAGCTCGCATATAGTTCGACGATCCCGACGCCGTCTACTATCTGAGACTGCTTGCCTGTGTGTCCGGGACCGGTAGCTCTGGCATCTTTGCCCATCTGTGGCCAGATATTATCTTGATCTGCCCAGGCTTGTCTCTCACGCCGGGATGCGTCGTTTCGACCTCTTGACCCTGTTTGCCGCGATCCGGCAGTTTTTGCAGGAGCTAAAGTTGGGGAGAAGCGAGTGTTGACGTAACGAGCGCATTCGCGCTGCATCTCCTCATCGGAAGCGATGGTGAAGCCGAACTGGGCCGTTGGAGCGTATATGGCGGAGAAAGAAAAGATATCGAGAAGGAAAACACATCCGTAGTAGACAAGATGACGGATCGCGCGGCATGTTAACGAGAAATTGGCGTCTGCCAGTACGGCAATTGCTCGGATGCTATTAACTCCGTTGATGTACGGGACGATCTATATAGAGGATAAAGTCAGATAAAATGTACAGGTTTGAAAAGCAAGCAAGTAATAAAGTGGCTATTACCCGTTGTACAGTGATATCCCAATTTTCGTCCATGAATGCTTCATATCGAACAGTGAACAGCGGTACCTGCCATGCTTTCACTGGAGGCGGCGAAGGATAAAGTGGAAATAGCTTGACGTTCAGGGTATTCAAATCATCTGAAAATAGTAAGCGAGCTGGGAGTTTAGGTAGGATATAAAACCAGGTGGATAAACACGGGCATACCGATTGGGATCATGCACTCGCAGTAATTATTCAGGTCCTCCATCAATGTCTCGCACAAGCTGTGTACCTTGCCTTCTCCACCCGGTGAGGGATCTTTTGACAAGAAGCCCGACTGCTCCTCCAGCTCGCACATCAAATCCGCCAACTTCTGCACGACGCTCTTGAAGCTTCCCCATTCGTCCTCCTCCGCGAGCACGACGCAGAAATTGAAGATAAACTCATTGCGATCGTAGCTGGGCGATTTGATGCACACGGGAAACCCGAGGACGCGGTGACCATTGGTGCAAACCTGGATGAGGTTTCCGCAGAGCTCCTGTCTTGGGATCACAAAAAAGGATATATCGGAGAAGTTGAAGAGCGGGGTGCTTCCGGGCGGAGCGGTGGAGGAAGGGACTATAGCGCCATCGGGGACCTGATGGACAACTTTGCGGCCTTAGGATAGAGAGGTACGTCAGCAAAACTAGGCATATTAGAATTCAGCGAGCCGGTTCTTTTACCTGATTGCGTGTCAAACTTGCTGTAGAAGATGGCCTTGATCATGATGGAAAAGGAGGCCGACCGGCAAAGAGAGCTGTTGATGGCATTATTTCTGGCGTGCAATTGGCGGTGAAATCATTAACCCAGGTAACTGCTCTGTGGTGTTCAATACTTCATATGTACGGAGTAACTAGTTAACTAGTCAGTTTGTGGGCCGCATTTTCCCCGATGTTGAATGAAGCACTTGGGACTCCCTTCCTCAGCATGGGGTGATATCATCAAGTGAAGGTTTCGTCTAAAGTCCACTGCAACAAGGACTAACGCACAGCGCACGATCTCTGAAACTATTGTACTCTCGTGCCGCCAAGTCTCTCTTGGGGCATTTGGGCAGCATCCAGTTCGGCGCAAATTTTTCCGTGTGTGAACTGCCAAGTTATGCCTACATTTTCATTGCACAAACCCAATTCGGCTGTTCATTTGGCTGTGCATTACTTTGGCATTACTTTTGCCTGCGCCACAGTTATGCATTCACTGCGCTCCTGGACTCTGATTGGCCAGAGTGGCGATACGCATTTCCTCGAAGCCTATTGGCCACTGTGGGTTCAGCAAAAAGTTAATCTGGCCAATGAAAAGACTTGCTCAGCTTGGTTTTTCGCTTATGCTCCACCCGGACTAGCGCGTTTCTGCCGCCACAGCACGTGAACTCGAGGAAAGATTGCCGCTGCTGCTCCATCACGTCTCGCCTCTGCTGTGCTTTTCACTGCGGCACCCCTTGACAGGCAGTTATTTTGATGGGCTTGCTAGTACGAAGAAAATGATAGAGATGCTGTCCCCGATAGCTCATTGGGGTTGAGAACCGGGTTCGCCTGTCGTGGACTCTGTACTCCGTAGTAGATTGGCGACCGGACCCGCCTCCCAGTGACCGCTGCGAAGTGCCGTTAAAAAGCCCCGAGTCAAGACCGTCCATCCATTGGGCCAGACAGGTCAAGCTCTGAGCGGCTATGGAGGAGCGATGAACTTACCAGCGGGCAATCCCCGCAAAAACTCCCCACAGAAAGGTAAAAGCCCCGGTGTCCCGACGCCTCGGGCTGAGATTTTTTTTTTTTCTTCGACTACCCTCTGGCCAGCGAGCCAGATAATACTCCCAATCCTAAGTGCAGAAAGAGGGTAGGGAAACAACGGGGAGAGGAGAAAAAGACGAAGAAGAAGAAGAAGCAGCAGCTGAAACGGAGAAGAGCAGAATATGTCCAATAATGGCCCCAGCGAGGAGCGAGGGTTCAGATCTCGGCTCAGCCCTAACCCCGGCGCCCCCAGTTCCCGGGCAGCATCAGTGCCCCATCTGCTTCAGATCGTATAAGCGACGTGAACATCTGCAGCGCCATAGCCATACACACACGTCTGATCGACCTCACCGTTGCCCTGCTTGCGGCTGTTCCTTTCAACGGGCGGATGTTTTGAAGCGACACTGGCGCACCTGTGATGGCAGGGGATCATCAAAAGCCGTGGTTCGCAGACGGGCTTGTGACCGCTGTGTTCGCCAAAAGAAAGCTTGCAACAGCGTTCAACCATGCCACAACTGTGCGAGACGAGGAATACCGTGCCAGTATTCCTCCGGGATCAATGCTCCGAAGCCTAGCACCGATATACACTCGCAGGCAATCGACATCGACAAGGACATGTTGGCGACAACCGATCCATTAACGTCGACCATCGAAGCCATGCTACCACCGAGCTTTGAGGTCGGGCAATTCGACAACGTTACCATGAATGCGTTCGAATCCTTTTTCGACCCCGATCTTTTCGACTACGCCAGCCCCAGTTGGCAAGACTTTATGCACTTTACGTCAGACGGGCAACCGGCTCGGGAGCTCACGGTCTCTGACGGGGAAAGCAGTCAGATTTTTCATTTTCTGGATAACTTCACGAGCAAGACTGGATTTATAATGTCGTTCGACTGTGGGACGCTTCGCCAGAGACAAGAGGTGATGTCAAATATCCAGTGCGGAGTGTTGGCATTTGAGCCCCAGCAAGGGCAGCGGATGAACTTCGAGTCCACAAATAACCCAGAGGGCGTTTCGTCGGGCTGGTTCAACGATCCCCTCGCCCTTAAAACACATCAGATCCTGCTCTTAATCAAAGAGGTGGTCACAGTCAAGCCGCGGAATAGCTCCGTGACGTTATATTGGTCTCCTGCACTTGAGCAAATGTGCTTGCAGTTTTTCTCCCCGATAAACCTTCGGAAGTATCTTGAATTGTATTGGGCGATATGGTCTCCCAATGTCAACTTCGTTCATCGGCCTACTTTCGATCCAGTGTCATCCAAATCAATCCTCGTGGCATCCATGGCCATCATTGGTGAGTATACTGACACATCAACCTCTTCGACATCACTCTACGGCTTTCTTTATAGTGGATGTAACGTTACTGACAAAAGTAAAAAGGGGCTTGCGTCTCTCCAGATCCGGTGGACAATGAAAACGCCAGAATGTGGCTCAATTGCGTCGAGGAGATGGTTTTTGCCGACGACGACGTCAATAGCTTCCCGGTATTTCCATTTGATCCCGCTGCAAATCGACGAAAAATCCAGGCTTTGCAAGCCTGCTACATGGTGTGTCTTTATCAAAACTGGGAAGGCACAGATGTGACCAAGAGGCGCATCCGGCGGCATCGTTACAGCACCGTGGTTTCTGTAGGCCTTTTCCTCATTTTTTCAGGCGAGATGATTCGTGTAGCTTTTACTGACTTGCATGCAGATAGTGCGGGACATCGGTGTTGCAACAGCAAGACACAGCAATTATAGCAGAAAAGCAAGACATGAATTCCAATGGAATGACTTTGTGGCCAAAGAGGAACTTATTCGGTGAGTTGAAACTAACATATGAGATTTCTTACTCACTTTGCTAATTTACTTAACCTTTAGGACGTTTCTGTGGATATTTTTGCTCGACACTGCGTTCGTCATATTCAATAACTTCCCCCCTCGGATGGTGATCAAAGAGATGAAGAACCACGTCGCGGCCCCGGAGGCCTGCTTTCAAGCAGTGACAGCGGATCAGTGTTTCGAACAAATTCAAATGTGGATGCCCGCCAAAAGCCCATTTTGGAGAGTCTCGTTCCGTTCTGCTTTCGAAACACTCTGTCGAGGTGACCTTACAGCTGATATGCGTCACATTCTAGCTGCCTTGGGTCCGCTAAACTTGTTCGCGATTGCTTCAGGCAGGTTTACATCAAATCCACCTCTCGTTGTGCCCACGTGACTAACACAGATAAACAGCTATTCATTATTTAATCTTCCAGTATCAAAATGCATTTGGCGGAGGCGAGCTGTTGCAGCGGATTCGTGACGCCTTGGGCAACTGGAAAGACATCTGGCATATCCAAGCGAACGCATCCCCTGGCACCTCGCCGCACAGCATTGTCGATAGCACAAATGCACAGCCGGAATACATGTGGAAAAGAGTTGGCTTCTTCCGCTACTCTCCGGATTACTGGCTCCTGGCTAGCCTCAAAGTCGACCGGCTCTCTGTCGCGGACCCTTGTCAGCCAAAGAGCAATGCGTGGACGGGGCAAAACGATGTAGAACTCATCGGTGAAGACGATGATGGACTCGCGGATCCGATACTGAATAAGTACGATGAAACCAGCATGAGCCAGGTCAACGAACTTATCTCGGAGTTTAAAAAGGTACAGGTCCACTAATCCTCTCGCAATACCACGGCTTTTCATACGGAGTAATGCTTGCTACTGGATGTTATATACCCTCTTCTTTTTTCTTTCCCCCGTTGTTGGTGCTCTCTTTCTTTATTACATTTCTTGAGGTCCAATTTGGGCTCCAACTTTTGCGCTACGATAGGAGTCGCTTTCGTGGAATATAGGTATCTCTCCTCCATTCACCCGTGTCCGCAGGCGTTCGGTCCGACACAGGTTACGGAATGCTCATCCGAAGATTATATATGTGTGCCCGTTATGATGCAAATGCGATCCACGTGGGGCTGCTTGTTTCCTTGCTACTGTACAATCCAAGTCACTAACAAGAAAAACCCATTCTGGGCAACGGAGTAAATATGCAGATCGATGGAGTAGTTGCCTCGGCGTCAATTAGCGCACAATAGAGCACATATGCACATGGATAAAATCAAAGCCGGTTAAGCTAACAAGCTACGGATCAATTTCTGAGTGTAAATAAGCTCCCAAGTCTCACCTTAATATTAGGGAGATCTAAAAGGAGATGTATCATGAGGTTCATAGTGCTAATATACAATGCTATATACGACGTCGTAGTCCGTGTAAAACTATTTCTCGGAGATACGCAACAAGCGTAATCTTCTCTCCGACAGTAATACATCCGGGGTTAAGTTTGAGGGGAAAAAGGCACCGACAAAGCCTTCATCCATAATAATCCTCTCTACTCGAGAGGATGCAAGAGCCACTGCTTGGACTGGGGGTCCAAGCAGGCCTTCTCTGCCTCCTTCCACTCACGAGTCACAAAGTCCGCTCTGGCCTTGGATCTCGGGGTGATCTTTGCAGGGAACTCCTCGGGCATACACACGAAACCCTGGGTCAAACGATCCGGGTCTGGAATAATCGGGCGGCCCTGGGAGTCAGAAGCGGGCTCGATGTTGAAAGCCCAGAGGATTCGGGACATGCCAAGGAAGAGACTGCGCTCAGCGACGTGAATACCAGGGCAGATACGGCGACCAGCGCCGAAGGTGAATTGATCACGCTTGGTGCCGTCAGGGTTGGCGGCGGATTCGCCAAGGCTCTGGTGATCGTTGATGTAGCGCTCTGGATTGAAGACGCGAGGGCTGGGGTGGCGTTTTTCGTCGTGGTGAATACCCCAGACGTTGTTCATGACACCGGCTCCCTTTGGGATGAGGTAGCCCATGTAGTGATCATCCTGAGTAACGGCGTGTGGCACGGCACCGAGAATGGTGGTGGGCATCCAGCGGAGGGTCTCTTTCATGATGGCGCGAATGTATTGCAGGCTATCCTGATCATCCATGTTTGGCATGCGGTCGGTTCCGACAACTTCATCGATTTCTTTTTGCGCCCGGCGTTGGATCTCAGGATACAAGAGCATAGCTTGAACGAAAGCGTACAGTGTGCTAGAAGTGGTGTCGGAACCAGCCTCCAAGAGGGTACCGGAAATATAGGCAGCCTGGTCGTCATCGAAACCTTCAGACTTCTGTGCTTCGGCCATACCAACGCAGAAGCAAGGCTTGATTGTTCCTCTTCGGATGTCATCCTTTGCCTTGAGCCAGTGTCCCAAATACAGAGCCTTCTCGTGTTTATGGAGGTCCTTAGCCTTCTTGTGGAGAGGTAGGAGGAAGTCTGGTAGGTTTCTGAGCCAAGGGAAGAAGTCAATCAGGGCCGCAGCTCCAGTCTGGTTGATCTCAGCAAATTCAGAGAAACCGTCGAACAATTGCTTCATTTTCGCATCCTCATAAGTTGGGGTACGCCATCCGAAAACCATGGTAGTTGTCAATGCATTGGAGTACCGGCGGATATGGTACAAGAATCGGTCCGGCTCGGTGAGGAACTCGTAGAGCATCTGCTTGTTCTCAAGCATCTGATAAACCACATAGGATTTGGAGGTGGTCACGTTGAGGAGCCCGTGTACCATCTTGCGGAACTGTGCGTGAGGTTAGTAAATAGAACATGTTCATTGATATCAAATTTTCATACTCCACGCCATTTTGGTCCATATCCCTAACGTTCGCTGTTAGTATTCTTGTTCACTTGACGCAAAATTCGTCGAATTGGTAGAACATACCATCATCAGCAGTCTCAAACCACCGCTACATACTTCCTGGCCGATATACATTTCCTGTCTGTGCGAGTAGATTCCACTCTTCTTATCAAGTAATGCCTTGACCGCTTCATCACTGGACAAGACGATCAAGCATTGAGTACCGAGTATGAGACTGTAGACTGGGCCGTATTCTTTAGCCCATTTGGCGAACTGAAGATGGGCATCGCGTTTGGGCATCTAGCGGCAAAGACAATTAGAACGACGTGGTCCAAAGAGGAGAAACAATAGGTATCGGTATCTTAACAGCATACCTGGTGAATATTCCCAAGAAGAGGCAGGGTCGGCGGCCCTGGCGGATAGTTCTTGGGTCGACGGCCAATCGACAACAGGCGCGCGACAGCGATGGCCGCGGCCGTGAGACCCAGAAGAACCGACAAACGCAGCATCTTTGCCCAAATGGCTGAAGAGCGGTGGTATGAGAAGAAAAAGGACTCCTGCGGACACGAAGGAAGAACGGTTCTTGAGAACAACTACACAGGGTGGATGGGCGAGGGCAACCCGTTATGAAGGGTTTGGACGAGTCGACGACCGGCCCGGCTGCAGTTGTGGTTTTTGAAACCCCATCTGGGGTCCGACGGCAGCCTCCATGCTTCGCGGCGACTGTCGTATAATCTGGGGTCTACCGGCGTCTACGCAAAAATTTCCGTGGAGTTTTGTCGGAGCTCGTGTGGGAACAGCGCACGGCGGATGTGGAGGTGGGGGAACGACAGCGGAGCGTTAGTGGGCGGCGACGATCGAGCTGGTGGAACAGCCAATCCAGCTCAACTTAATTGCTCAGTTCGTGTAAATTTGATACTCGAGCCCCGGCAAAAAGGGTGTGCCTTTTGGTTCGTGGGTGGACTGGCCGTGGTAAGCCTTGGGAAGCTGAAAAAGCTTCGAGTTGGATCGAAAGCGAAAAGCGGGCCAAAACTTCGCCTCCGCTCACGCGCGTGCTCCCCGACACGGAGTGAAGTCCTAATTTATGTGCTCTGTACGCAGTATGCGGAGGCCAACAACTTTGCATTGAAGAGGCTGGCTAATCTACCTAGCATTGTTAATGTATTGATGTAGAATCAACTCTTCATAGCAGAAGGCGATGTCAACTTAGGAGAATATTAGTTATATTGCTGTCTCCGAGCCATAGTGATGGGCAAGCTGGAGACGAAGGTACCAGCCACCTGGGCTCCCGAGCGAGCTCTCACTCCTGGCTCCAAAGGTTCCACAGGGGAACGCCTTAAAAAGTAAGCATGGAAAAAAAAATTCTATCTGCAAAAATTTGGGAAAAGCCCGAACTTAATCGGAACGGGACCCGTTGTCGAGAAGCCACCTCCATCTTTCATCAACCGCCCTCTTCACAAGAAAGAAATATTATATAACGCCGCAAAACCGCCACCAACGCCACGCCAGACGATGCAAAGACAATAAGCCAACAGTGATCTCGCAATAGAGGGAATCTCTTTTCTAAAGCAACGTACAAAAAGATAAAAGTAATAGGGTCCCGTCGGGGGGATCCTGAAACGAATCATCTTGGGTTTGGCGAAGGGCCAACCGACGGATCCGAAACGTCAAACCCAGAGGCCAGGGCTGTATTGGGTGCCGGCATGAGCCGCGGTCCGACTTGGCGGGCACCGGCACTGTTGTTTCCGTAAATTGAAGTGGGCGATGTGAATGCCCTCGAAAAATCCACCGAGCCCTCCCTGATCGTGTGGAGTATGTCTTCGTAGCTACCACGCTCGATTGCGTCCTTGAGCCATTGCTCCCAGACATCGTCAAGGGGTACATCTGCTCCTCGCTCTCTGGCCGCTGTGGCCTCGAGCAAGTGCTGGTTGAGGGCAAACCCAACGCTTTCTTCCAGCTCATCCTCGCTACTCTCCTCAGCTGTCCTGTCGCTTTGGACCGAGTCTGATCCGTGGGGTTCCACATTATCTGCCAGCGGGGCCGACTGCAAGGTTGGGAGGCTCTCTTCTTCGCTCCATCGGTGAACAAGAATTGATGGCGGGATGGTCGGGCTTGAAATAAAGATACCATCTGCCGTAGTGTCTCTCACACGCACTCTTTCCTCTCTCTCATAGCGCTCTTTAGCGGATCTTGTGCCTTCCCACCGACAAAGGGACGCTATTTCATCTTCCGTCAGCCCTAGGTCGTCAAACGCCCTGAACAGCTTCGAATGGTGGTAGAATCGGCCCAGTCTCATTCTATGTGGTGGGAACGAATAGTCTAGGCCGGGGTATTGTGCCTCGATGCAATCGAGGGTTCCGTAAAATCTAGAGGTTTCAGCGCGAACTTCGGGGACGAGGTTTCTGGTGATGTGGGATCCGAAGTTCATCGGATCGTTGGGGCGAGGTTTAGGGTAGAGGGCACTGTAGACGAGCTGTGAAACCGAAGGTTTATGCATTGCGATTGACGTCACCGTCTTATCGCGGGCTCAAAGGAAGATTATGACGAGGAGAGGACTCTTATTTTAAACCCGAGATCAGTCTGCCTGCCAAATATGAGGGGAATATAGAGTTGAGGGGCCGTGAATGTGTAGAGGGAGCGAGGATGGAGGGAGGATATTCGGCTCCTGACTCCTTTTGCAGAATTGATTCTGCAAGGCTGGAAGAAGGTGGTCGGTGGGTTTGGGGGCTTAATGGGAGGCGAATTGGAAGGCCACAAAGGATGTTCCGCCGCACGGCCGGGCCTTGGTCAACTGCTGCGCTAGCCCTGGAAGATTTATTGCAGGCGGAGTGAATTTTAGGGATACTTTTCCCCTTGGGTGGTATTCTCGAGGGGAGGAGGTTTCACCAGCCCGACCACGCAGGGAGGGTAGCCAAGGTTCGTGAGCCAAACGGAAACTTTCTGTCTGGGAAATCGGAGCCTGCAGCCCGGTGGTTGGCCGAAGAAAAATCTGACTTCCCTGGTGCGTGGAATTCGTGCTTTTCTGAGCCTGGTTTTTGGAAGCTGGTCAGACAGAGGTGAGCAGGAAGTCACCGGATTTTCCGTCACTTTGTTACCTTGTAGAGCGGAGATGAAGGGGTGAAACAAACTGTTTTGGCTCCCCTTTTATTTTATTTCTGTTTTATTCTGGAGGGGAGAAAGAAGGGGAGGGGAAGAGAGAGGGACAGAAAGACAGGATTTTATTTCACGTCCACCACTTGCATAGGATGGGGCAATGCGGGCGCCTGATGAGGGTTGTTCGGGCACTTCCAAGGGGATTGCTGGGTAGGACGGATCACCTGCAAAGGGCGTGGATCATGCCTTTCCAGCCTTTCCCTGAGATAAATAATAGTTAAGTAGTTGTGCAGCAAGAATAAAGAAGAGAGACAGAGTTTAATCAAGCAAAATTAACAAGTGAGCAGTCTGGCATGCAACTCTTAAAACATCAAACCTCTTGTGTTTTTGGTTTCACAATCTTCACAAAACTGTAGCACTTCTGCAGATTTTACAGCGCATTGGAAAGCAGAGATGTTATAATATACCTTGCCGTTTCTTGTTAATACATTCTGCACGAAGGCTTACCTGTTCGGGGCCATCATCGTGGCCTCATTTTACTTGCAGGATTGCACCCATGTTGGTCGAATATAAAAAGCGAACGTGGGACTCCGGGCTGCGGGAGAAAACCGCACAGGTTTCCAGAGGCTGATCGCAGAAAAGCGAGAGGCCAACCACCGCCCGGTTTTACCTGCACCTGTCTGCAACGCCGAGAAATCAGTGGGGCGACAGGGAGCTCCAGTCAATGACAGGGTGACTTGGTCAGTGATATCTCCAGTCGTGACCTTTCCGCGAGAATAGCCTGCAGCAATGCAGCCCAGGCGTTGGATTGCTTCAATGTTTCTGGCTGCCCAGTTTGCCCCTCTCGCCTCTCGTTACGTTCCTTTGGTTAGAGTGGCTGATCGTTTTCTGTCTGCTCTCTCTGCACGGAGACCGGAGTTACTGGGTGGTTATGGCTGGAAAGTTGAATGGTCGGCTGGTTTTTTGCCTTCTGCATCTCACCGTGCGAGTCGCCTGCGGAAGTCCCTACTGTTAGGTAATCCCACTACATAATAAATGAGTATTTAACTAACTACTATCTTAATGTACTCCGTATTTGTATCAAGAAATCTTCTTATGGTGAGAGCTCTCATATTATCACATCACGTGTTGCCTTTCTCGTCGGGAGAACTTCTCTTTCTTCTTCTCCTTAGAGCTCAGACTGAATATCATCATCATCACCATCATGGAAAGGATTGAGTACATTCGGTTCAAGAACCCGCGGGAGGTTGGATGGCTCATGGCAGACCTCTTCGACATGTACTGGGCATACCCGTTTGATTCCTTCATCTTTAGCTGGTTGGAAAGAACTCCCGATCTGGAGGTTCTTTGCAAGGACGCCACAGATGAGAAGATTCGTTTTTCAACACCACCAGCTCTTCTAGAAGCCATTCACAGCTGTCAAAAAATATCTTCTCCAACTCGATGGCTTCCAAGTAGCGACTTTGGCTTCGTTGGTTTTATACAAAGCGCTATTCATGAGGTTGAAAAGAATGTTTCAATTACAAAGCCAGAACTGTAAAAATGAACTAAACGTGGTTCCTTTTTCCTTCTTCTTCTTCTTCTTCTTCTTCTTCCTCCTCCCTGTTTCTGACCTTCTTATAGCTTCCTTGACCCTCTCTTCTGGAAGATCAGTGCTGGCACTGCCGTTGATGGTCATCATCACATTCTTGGATCTCACTTCTGTCAACACTCTCCTGATCATTGGAGCTGTACAATGCGAGACAACTCAACCCCTTTTAATCAAATCAGAAAAGGGATCGCAGAGACTACATTCTGAAGAGTGAGCTCATTACAGCCACTGCTATCATGTATCGTCAGATGAATGAGATGGTCTATCTCCCCGAGTCCCAGACCCATGGCGCAAGACTAAGATACAAAGATGGACTTTTGATCGTAAGTTTATTCTCGCTCTCTTTCCCCTCTCCTTCTTTATTATTATTGTTTATCTTCTATTTCTTGAGTTGTATGAGCGCTAATGCCCCCTCTGGCCACTATCGTGACTTTTACTGTTGGAAAAGTACGCGTAATTCAAGCAACCTCCAATCCGTCAGAGAAGCTCCCAAAACTTATCTTCACCCTGAGAGCCATTTATGATCTCTCCAGGGATAATTACGACAAGAATACAGTGTATACGGTTATGGAATGGATTCGAAGCCCTCCTCGACCTCAGTCAACCAAGCTGCTTCAATCAACCGATAAAACGTCAGCCAAGCAAAGAGCCCCAGCCAACTAAACACCTTGCCTTGAGAGGCCCGAAACAGTAATATTATACTATTACACAAAGTGTATGACATGGTAATGATACCATTTTCGTGGGCGGACTACTAGGAGTTTCTTATATGTTATGGAATTATAAGGCGAGATAGTATACTCAGAACGGCTGGCCATGAATTCAATGATTTAACGTAATTTTGTTATTAGCCATTTACCCATCTATTAGAAGAAGACTATAAGAATGACAGACGCACCATTTTCTAGAATCAATGGATGACGTTGGCGCAAAATAAATATCGCTCTGTTAGAGAGTAGAGATGCAAGTTAATAGCCACTGAATGATCCGTCGTTTACCTTGCCAAAAGCCTCAACTACTTGCAACCAAACAACTATCCCGTCGATATTTCTTCTTGCCATCACTCAACAATGTATTAGTCTGAACTGCCATTCCTGCGCCAAGTGTCGAGTTGCAGATACGGCACTTGTACGGGGCACGCTGTGTAGATCCCGTGGGAAAGAGAAGAGGCAGTCACTTCGACCTCCGCCGTGGGAAATGTAGACCATATGGCCCTTGAAGCATATGGCCCTTTCATATAACTATAAAAAGTATGAAAGTGTAAAGGCGTCTTTTGGATTACCATATCCTATATTGACTATCTACCTGTACGGAGTAGAGCCATGAGAAATTGACATTAATCCAGAAGAGGAAACCCCCATTTTTGTCACAACCAACTAACTAAGTATTCAAGTCAGATCTATACCTGGTAGAGGAGGAATATGCTTGTCATTCACCAAGCTTGGATTCAAGAGATCCGCTAATCAATGTGGGTCGTGTGAGTGAGGTGCGAGTTAGATTAACACCACCCAATGCAACAAGCTCCAACAATAAGTGAGCCACAGGGATTCAAGGCTCAAAAACTTTCAAATCTGCAATAGAAATTAATTACTCTGTACGGAGTACGGAGTACAGGTTCCAGATTTATTTCTTCTTTAGACTTAGCTCCATTTTGCGCTGCAACAACATTTCTCCATTGCACTTGGAAGAATTCATGAGAGATATAGTAGCTGGCAGATGGCGGATGGCGGATGGCAGAGAGTGAGGAAGAGCACAATGGATATAGTATCTAGATCCCAAATGCAAAGACAGTGGCTGCAGAGATATATTTACTTTACCAATACATTTCTGATTTTGAGTATATTTCTATATAGTTGATTCACAGATACATTTCTCACAATTAATAGATGCCAACACATTTCTAAATTGAATACTCCGTACAGAGTACATGACTGGAACTGTTGAGCTCTGCACATGCTTCCTTTTCTATATACATTTCCTTAATTTATATATGTTTCCTGATTTTCTATATGGATTTGAAAATAGATAATTGCTTGTCACTAGATACTGAATCCATACGGCAACATTGCAGGTGGAAATATCGTTCTGTCGGGAAAATGTTTTCTCTCATATTGAAACAATGGCTCAACCATGGATCCGCTGTTGCCTAAGTATTCTACGCTGACGGTCACGTGGATTACGAGGTTCGGGGCCGGCGGATCAACTCCATCAGAAGCTGGGAATGGAGATGGAAAGCTGCTTGAAGAGGATGGGGGTGCTTAGTGCTAGAGTCACTGCGAGGCGACGAAGCGTTTGCTGCTAACCACCGTGCTTCTGTCAGTTTGGTGCATATAACTAAGTAACTGGTTAAGCTTTCAGTCAAGAGCTTCCCCTGAAGACCTTCCAAGTTATCCCTGAACAACAGCCTTCGTTTGCTGAGTTCAGTTTAAGGTCATGTAAAAATCCCCCACGGCTTTCTGACGAGATACTTCGACGGTGAGCATAATGTCGACCTTCAATGGGATCGTCGAAGGTCCGTCAACCCCTGAACCTTGAACCTAAGACTGTGTTACTGACTTATTCCCAGAGTTTCCTCTGATCCGAAGTACAAAAACCCTCCGAAAGCTGGAATAGGTAAACGGGTATTAATCGGAAAACAGTTGACTATTTTCGAAAGAACCCCGATAGGCCTCCGCCCCAGGCCTGTTTTCTCAGCCATGTTCACAGTGACCATCTCCAGGGCCTGGAGTCCTTGAGGTCACCTTTCGTTTATTGCTCTGCAGCCACAAGAAAGGTAAACTTGTTCGATAGACCTTTGTCCGTCCAAGAGCATGCTTAGGATGTCCTAGATTCTTCTACGTATTGAAAAGTACCCCCATAGGATGAACTTTGCCAAAGGCATTCTGGAGACAAGGAAGCAAGAGTATAAGCACCTGGCAAAGCTTCTGGTATAGCCACCGTGTATTGCTTCCGGCCATACACCAGCGCTCACTTTTTCTTGTACCAGAGACCCATACCGTTACATGTACCGACAGAAATTGAGTTGACACCGGGAAGCACCATCCGGGTTACCCTGTTCAATGCAAACCATTGCCCAGGTGCTGTTATGTTCCTCATTGAAGGAAATGGCAAAGCAATTCTTTATACCGGCGATGTCAGAGGTAATCAAGTTTCCAGCTCTTCTGAGTCCCCGCTATTGACGCAGGCGCTTACCCAGACCAGCTGAGCCTTGGTGGGTTGAGAGCCTGATTAGAAACCCTATTCTTATCCCCTATACACTAGGGGACTGTCGGCTAGACAGGATCTACCTAGATACGACTTTTGCCATAAAATCGGATATTTACTCTGCTTTCCCCTCCAAGGCAGAAGGAATTAAGGAATTACTCCACAAAGTCAAAGCCTACCCTGAAGACACCATATTCTACTTCCGCAATTGGACATTTGGATACGAGGATGTTTGGATAGCTCTCTCGGCTGCACTCAACACAAAGGTAACGAAAACTATCTCTCATACCTTCTAGACTGATTCCGCTAATGCTTAACAGATTCATGTTGATCAATATCAGTTGAAACTTTATCAATCACTTGCGCTACGGACTAGTTGCGAGTTGGCTGTCGACGAGGCTCCATATTTATGCGGCTTTACTTTGGGGAATTCACGGATCTCCGGCTGTTTAACGGACCAGATTGATATAAAGTCGGTCAGGATACATAGTTGCGAACCTGGAGTTGTCTGCTCCACGATTTCCTCACGGCCTTCGGTATACATAACTCCAATTGTTACCCGTACCCAGGGAGGGTTAGACGTACTAGAATTAGGCGCCGGTGGCGGTGTTGGTGACCTAACGCAGGGTCATGATCTTCAGTTTCCTGACGCATCTGTTGTCGAACGGTTCGTCAGCTTGTGCTCTGAGTATATCCAGGACCCCGAAAAGCGCCAGATGATTGTAGATGCTGCCACAAAGGCATATGAATCCAACTCAAAGTCGTTGTCGCTAGAACCATTCTGCGTCAAGGAAGAGGACGGGATGACCCTCAAAAACCTCGTGGCGATGCTCTGTCAAGGATCAAAAAGCAGCATGTTTCCAGGCCAAAGTCAGCCCAGAACCAATCATTTGCCAAATACCATAGTACGTCAGATCTTTGTGTTCGTGGCTTCTTGCAATTGGCGTTCAGCGCTAATATCATGATAGAGATTTCCGTACTCCCGCCACTCCTCTTACGACGAGCTTTGCTCCCTGGTCAGTGTTTTTCGACCAAAGGATGTCTACCCCTGTACCGTCGACGCAGGAAGCTGGACCGAGTCGGTTTCCATGGAAAATCTCTTCGGTCATTTATGCTTAGGTTCTATATTTGCTCATGACGCTGAGATGAGAGCTATAGTGAAACAGGATGAATCTCGGCCACGAAAGAAAGTACGCCGCAACAGTGATGCGTCCTCGGCCGCTGCATCGACCCAGCGATCGAATATTGAGGCAAGCTTCTCCAAAGCAGCATCATCCCCCAAATCTCCACAAGCACTTGAGTATCCCGTGATTGTTCTCAGTTCAGATTCAGAAGGGCAAAATTCACAACCCGGAAAAGGACAGCCTGCTGAGCATTTGGATTTTGCGACAGCCGACACGGACTTGTCATTCTCTTTCCCATCACAAATCACAAGTAATCTTTCTCTATCACAGCCAGACGAGTTGTCAACGTCGCGTGGCATCAGAATCCAAGCTATCAGACAGGCTTTGGAACAAAAGGCCCTTAGTAACGAAATTGATTTTTTCCTCGAATCATCGTTCACGGACTCGCAGGCTCAATCGCAGCCACAAGGACTATTCTCGCCACAATATGCTAGTTCAAACCTCCAGCATTCCTCCTTCGCAATCCCCGAAGAGAATCTAGAGCATGCTGCATCAGACCCCGACACACAGCTTCAACTCTTATCCGACTATGAAGACACCGGAGATAACTATCCTCCCAGCACCCCCCTATCAATCTCGCCATCAGCATTTGATCCTCAAGACATTATTGAAATGGCCTCAGATGACGATAACAAAGACAACGAAAACGATCCGGACCAAGCCACAACCCTCCCACCTAGTTGTCAGGACCGCAAGGCGTCAATGCTAAGACGTATGCATTCAAGGATCTCTGCGTATCGTGCGGCCAAGCACGAGACGTGGTCGACTCTCTACTCGCTCATTTCGGCAGGCAATAATCATACTGTGATGGATGAAGAGCTTTGAATAGTTGTATTCCCTTTTTTTTTTTTTTTTTTTTGGAGCAAGGAGTTCCGGGCGCGTTATCTTACTGTTTTTCTGGGAGAGCTTATTGCGAATTTAGAATTTCAGATAACTCAATGGTCCATCTCTGTAGGGCGTTGGGGATTAGCAAAAAAGGATGCTCACGTGGAGGCGCACAGGACCAAGAGAATAGATATGCAATAAAATGTACTAATATTCATCAAAACAGGTACAGAAGGATACTATCGCCATGAGCATTACTTTTCCACGACTAATCTGTGGAGACGTTCTATGGTCTCCACCAATTTTCAGTAAACGAAATAATCTTGTGTTAAAGGCAACTCTGACACTGGCTCAGCGGTGCACTCTTCCCCGTCAGCCTCGACAACCTAGGCAATACGACAGTCAGCGCTTACAACAAAGGTGTCTTTAGAAAGGTGGAACATAAAGAACATATATGACACTTACATAGCTCTCCGGATCGACTCTCATTTTGGGCATAATATCATTAAATTTCATATCTCTCTTGCTTATATTCCGACAATTCTTCACTGGCTCGATCCGCTTCTTCAGGTGGTAACTGTCGATGATACCAAGCTTGATGGATGCTTGGGATACGAACATGATTGAGGCTTTAGGGTTAAGACTCTTAGAAAAGAGGGAATCTAGTTAACTCGTCGTCCAAATCAGATGGATTACGATGAGCATTCCACTTACAGCGTACATAGGCCTCATAATAATAGGCTCGATTGTGGGGATAGAGCCATTGGGATCACCCTGGACATCTCTATGTCAGCACATTCCTCTCCTTCGAATGCTGGTACCAAAATAAGTGGTATAGAGGCGATCATACCATCTGCGCTGAGACAGCCATTCCAGACTTCAAGACCATACTCGGTTTAGTCCCAAAGTTGGCAAATTTCCACAGAACCAAATCAGCGGTCTTGCCAACTTCCACGCTCCCAATAGTGTGGGCCATCCCCTGTGCAATGGCAGGGTTGATGGTGTACTTGCTGATATACCGTTTAACCCTAAAATTATCAGAATCCGTCCCTTCATCTTCCTTGAGTCGCCCTCGTTCCATTTTATTCTTATGTGCAGTGTTCCATGTCCGAACAACAACTTCTCCACAGCGTCCCATAGCTTGAGAGTCCGAGGATAGCATGCTGATGGCTCCCGTGTCATGAAGAACGTCTTCTGCAGCAATTGTCTCGGATCGGATCCGGCTTTCCGCAAAAGCCACGTCTTCAGGAATATCTTTGGACAAATGATGGCAGACCATTACCATGTCCAGATGTTCATCTAAAGTATTTACCGTATACGGACGAGTGGGATTCGTACTGCTGGGCAGGACGTTTGGCTTCTCGACGACGGATATGATATCTGGAGCGTGGCCTCCTCCAGCACCCTCAGTGTGGTACGTATGAATCACTCGATTTTTAAAGGCATTGATGGTCTGTTCAACGAAGCCAGATTCGTTCAGGGTGTCGGTATGGATGAGACATTGAATATCGAACTCGTCGCAGACCTGGAGGCATGTATCAATGACAGCCGGCGTTGCACCCCAATCTTCATGCACCTTCAAGCCAGCGGCTCCTGCACGGCATTGATCCCTCAGAGATGGAAGACCGCTGTCATTACCTTTGCCTGTAAGGCCAACGTTTATTGGAAGATGATCACAAGCCTGCATCATCGTCTTGAACTGATTTGGAGCCGGTGTGCATGTAGTCGCATTTGATCCCTCAGTTGGACCGGTGCCGCCACCGAGAAGAGTCGTGACTCCGGAGGCGAGGGCTTCCTCGACCTGCTGTGGGCATATAAAATGGACGTGTGTGTCAATTCCTCCTGCAGTGACAATTTTTCCTTCACATGCGATAACATCTGTCGAAGAGCCAACTATCATGTTGGGGGTGACACCATCCATCATGTCTGGGTTTCCAGCTTTGCCGATTCCGCAGATCAATCCATCTTTTAGTCCAATATCAGCCTTGTAAATACCCGTCCAATCGACAATTAGCGCGTTCACCAGGACTGTATCCAGGACATCCACGGAATGCCTTCCTGTAGCTTGCCCCATCCCGTCTCTTATGGTCTTGCCACCACCGAATGAACATTCGTCACCATAGTAGGTCAGGTCCTTTTCGACTTTAATCCACAAATCTGTGGTTCCTAGCTTGACTACATCTCCAGTGGTAGGACCAAACATTCGAGCATATGCTTCCCGCGTCATTGAAAATGGCTCGATCAAATGAGCATCCTGTTTAGGCTCCGGAGTGTACGCAAATCCAGCTTTTTGCAGACGCATGATGATTTCATCAACTCTTCGGAAATCCACTTGCCCGACGGCGATGTGGTTGCCCCCTCGAATGATTCTCTTGCCGCCAATTTCGACGAGAGGGATTGCCTTGGTAGCACCGGGTTCAAAGCGGATAGACGTCCCAGCTGGGATGTCAAGGCGATATCCGTACGCCTTCGCACGGTCGAAGTCCAATTGTGGATTCACCTCTATAAAATGATAGTGTGAACCAACCTAATGGCTGTAAGCGTTAATTCTTATCGACGGAAGCAGCTAAGCAAGGCAACATAGCATTCAAAAGAACGAAAGCCCACTAGAAGTGCTTTACATACTCACCTGAATGGGCCGGTCTCCTCGACTTGTCACTTTAAGCATAATTCTATTTCTCCCGGCATTGAGCTCAATTTTCTTGCTCGTTTTGAGGGGTATCACAGCGCCAGGCATCTTCTCTGGCTGATAGTCATCCGGATCAGGATCCGGGAACGTTTCTTTCGGCGGCACAGGCAAAAAGCTTCCGTAGAGGGCTTTCTCCAGGTCGCCATCATCCGAACAAACGGGATTGACCACGGTGATCAGGTTGGTCCCAGTGGGAAAAGTTCCTTCAACTTGAACTTGTTTCAAGGTGGCCACGACAGAGGGTAGGACATGTCGACGTCCAAGCATCTCCTTGCCGATCGTCATGAGATCTGCCACCGAATTGTTGCCATCTCGAATAAGCTGCCAGTGCGATGTTAGTTGGAAGTTCTACTCCGAGAAACATCCATTCTAAAGAAGGCTTGACGCGGCCTGTAAAATGCATAACTTGACTGACTGACTCGCAACCCCCACGTACCTCTTGGAGATTGGATGCGATCAACGCCTAGAACACCCATGTTAGAATCGTTGAAAAACCAAGCCATGACAAGAACACCAAGCTTTTTTGTTCAACTTACAGTCGCTTCTGCATGATTCAACCTCACTCCCCGGGCCAATCTCCGCTGGGCCAGAAATCCCAGATTAGAGATGGTCAGTTTATCGATCTACTTGCAGCAGCCATCAGCGTCGGATTCACCAATACTCCTTCAATCCTCATACAGTACTCCGTAGACAATAGGGCGATCAGGAAGAGAAAAAGAAAATCATGTCGAGTTTGTTTTACAAGAGCTATCCACCCAATTTCATCTGTAACTGGCTGAATGATTCAAGCAGTGAGGAGTCAAGGCACATAGGGCTGGCGAATCGCCTACCTCTCGCGGCACGAGCTGCATTGCTAGTCGACTGAGGCCACCTTGGCGGCGTATCGTGCTAGTTAAGGATGGAGTGAGCCTATCAAGCGGAGAAAAGCGGGCAGCTTCAATGCGCTGTGAATTTAACCACAATACTCACCTTGCTCTTCTTGACTGTACGCTGCGAACCGGAAGTAAGAGCAATAATGATTAATGTCAAAATGGTTCTGCCGAAGGGCCGGCTTTATGTAGTCCGAGATTTAAGTTGCAGGCAGGCGGGGGTGGTTGGGCGGGTTTAACTTCCAGGCCCATCAATCCCATCATCTATTCCGGCAGCAGGCCAAAGCAAGGTTTTGACTTCTGTGCTTTCGTCAATTACGCTAGGTCAAGGAGTGTCCAGTTGTATGTGTGTACATACATCCATCTCGGATAGGGAGACGGGGTAAGGATGTTTCACAACAGCAGTGGCTATATCTATGTATGCGCATTGGCCTTTGGGATACAATTTTATCGGCAACCTGCTCATTCTAGCCCACCGGGAACGTGTCTTTGGAGATATCAACCCACTAGTTATAATGGTCGCCCTCCGTTGGCTGCAAAGGGTCACCCATCCATACTACCTTATCGCCGTAGCTCCACAGTATCCATGCGGTTATACCCGTAGCTCGCAAACTTAGCCTAGGATCCTTGATTCATGAAGTTACGTGGCTTGGTGTTTTGCTAACGATGCACTTCGTAGACCGTGCACCTTCGCAGTCGCACGATCTCGCGCATGGTCCCGGTACCCGAAGCGGGCCTTGCCGGCGGATCAACACTCGATGGTGTGAATGATGAAGCGTATATAGTCAAGATGGCCTTTCGGAATACAAATCCACTTTTACATTCAAATATCGATAAGACAGAAAGGCCTAAAGCTGGCTCAAAGAAAGTACAATATGAATCCGTGGGAGCCCCCCGAAAAAAAAAAAAAAAAGAAAAAAGAAAAGTAAAAAAAAAGAAAGAAGACAACCATGAAACATATGAGCGTTTGCCTTGTCAAGTGGACTGTTCTCCAGCAGCTCAAGTTTGATGCACGCGAAAAGATCCATTGCAGAGCAAACAATAATGTCGAATGTAGACGAAACCCTGAACAAATTGTGAAAATTGCAGAGACGAAAGTGAGCCAGACTCCATTCTGCTAAACATACACATTCGATACGATTAATTCTCAAAGGTTTTGGCAAATTTACTCCGCTGCAGCAGCTTCACTCTTGCGCTTCTTACGAGTCTTCTTCTCACTCTTTGGTGTCTCAGCAACTGCAGGTTGGGCACGTTTTGGCTTCTCCTCCGCTGCAGCCTTTCCCCTTTTCTTTTTCTCAGGTGAAGGCTTCTTGGGCGGCGACGGTTTCGGTGGAGAAGCGACAGGCGCTGGTAATTTCGCATCAAGAGTGCGGCGTCTCTTGGAAGAGCGAGGTGGAGTAGGCTCGCGGGGAGGCTCTGGAGTGGCCTCTTCTTCCTCTGATGACGAGGATTCCTCAGAGCTGCGATCTTCCGTAGCTTGGCGGACACCTTCGTGCAATTGCTGCTGTGCGGCTGCAGCTTCATTGACGGCCTCATCTTCCACTGGAATAGCCAAACCAGCTTTGTAGGCCTTCATCTTCGCCTTATAGACATTAAGGTTTTGCTTATAGAGTGTTTGCCAGACCTATGGAGAGAGGAAGAGTGGTCAGTTTACCTTGTACATTAAAATGAGAAGTTTTCTTTTCTTTGGTGGAAGCATACCTCTCTTTCCTGAGCATTCATAGCAGCCCATCGCCTCGTACCTTCGTCTGCGACTTCTTTAGGCCGAGCGTTCTGACCTAGTTCATCCGCGATCTTCTGACGGTTGTGGTGCATGTAGAGGAAGTACGGAGTTAGCGCGCGCTTGGGCGCGTTGGGATCCGGAGGAGCCCGCTTGCGCTTCTTTTTGCGCTCGCCTTCGGGGCCTGGACTCGGGGGTCGCGCGACATTAAGAAGGCCATTTTCAAGGAGGCTGCTGGTGATTCCGCCGATATCAAGGGCGGAGGGTCCGCGGTTCAAGACGGTGTTGGCGTGGTTGATGTAAGCTTTCGAGAGATCAGAAACAGCGGATTGGAGGCTCGCGAGAGCAATGATGACCTGTGCGGAGTGTTAGAGTTCGACCGGGGATATATTTAGGGGCGGGCTATTAGGTATAAGATAGGAGGCAATATAGTTAGGCGCGAGGGGCGCGAGTGCCTTGGGGCATTACGCAGCAACTCTGCGGGGAGAAGGTTTGCCACTGGGATGGTGGGGTTCCGAGGGAAGCTGATGGGGAGGCCAATCGGGGGCGTTGGTGGGAAAAAACAAGCGAAGAGCAAAAGCGCCCAGAGACGCGACAAAATCAAAACATCCAAGCGCCATGCGACGCGACACATATACTCCAGTGTTTCTAGGAGGAAATGCGACACGATCTGATGGAAACAGCTTTGCGCAAAAAGAAGAAAAAAAGAGCGGGGAGATTTAGGTTCCTGTGATACTCACACTGTCGCGTGTTCTCGTGAAGTCGTCGATGTTGACTGTCACGATGGCAGTGCTGTCCTTGCTGGACTGGTCAGGCTTAGGCGCCGTTCCGGACATGGGGGGCAACGGGGTAGCTAAGGCCGATTTGGTCAAAATGATAAGTATCAAGTAAGAAACGAGATGGAATTATATTATTTATCGATGTTAATTTTGGGATGTTCGGCGATGGTTGGGCCGGGAGTGGGCGGGAAGGGAAAGAAAGGCGAAAATAATAGGGAAGGAAAATTTTCGGGGGGTTGGAGGTGGGAACGGCGCTCACTAAATAGTTAGGCTGCGCTAGAGGTTGATCCAGTTGATCCTCTCACCAAAGCTGGAGGGGAGGGCGCCAGGATCGGAGCCCTGAACCCTTAACCAGAAAACAAATCAGAAAGCCCCCCGTTTTAGGGCAAGTTTAAGCGTAGGCGACCCCCGTTCAACGGGCGTCCAAGCCCTCAGCGATCTGCGCTAGTCCTAAAAGCGTATACCGCCGCCCTCGCCCCCCAGGACAAGCTCAGATGTTGAGTGCGCGGGAACCGATTTTTAGCGGTGCCGTCCCTAAAGTGCCATCCAACGATGGCGATTCTCCTCCATGTTCATAATCCTCCATACGGAATAGAGACAACCAGAACACGCGCGCGATGCACCAGTTTTCTCAATTATATAGTGTATAATTTAATCAGATTTATTTTGTTCGTAGATGTTGTATCCCTCTCTTGATTTCGAACATGCCCGGCGAGGGTTATTCCTCAGCGCGCCGGCGCAAGGCTCCTTGGTAGAGCAAGACTTAAATTCTCGCTGCGTTGGCTACCACCGTGGTCACAATGCTTCCCTCTGTGGGAGGCTACCAGTGCGCGAGAGAGGAGATGTACAGTGTGGTTGGCATGAACGAATGGCCGGATGAGCGTATAGTACGGAGTACGTGCAGAAGGCAGCCCGAGAGCATAAGCTCATCTCCTCAGTGCAGGTGTGGCCTGGGACTATCGCTGTTGCAGTGGTGGCAAGTGACGCCAAGGCGCTCTAACGAGCAATCACAGTGAGTAAGAAAGCCTCTACCGCCTAAACCTCCCAGCTTCAGCACCCCGATCAGTCCACACACAGCCCGTTCTACTGGCACATTGAAAAGCTTCGCTTTTGTAATTATGTAGTCACGTAGAATTCCAAGTTTAATTCTGATATTTGTTGTGGCGATGTTTATATAGCCAACCATTACCTCCTATAAAATTCGTGATTGTGAACCGGGGACAGTGAGTGTTGAACGGTGTGCGATCCGGCCTGGAATGGATACAGAGGACTTAAAACTCCAGAGTAGGTCGTTAACTAAGTGTGGGGGGGGGGGGGGGGTCGGAGCGAGCCATCACTATAACAAGGGATCATCTTAAGAAATGCAGGCTCCCAGCGGTACGCGGCTCAGGGGCTGCAACACCCGCAAACATAAGTTTAGTGGGCTTCCACGCTTGTCGTCTAACCACTGCGCGACATAAAAGCTTGTGTGAAATGCCTGCTGAAATGCCGTTTCCAACCACCAAACACTGTCCACTTGACCCATCGAGAGCCGAAGAGACCCCCTATGTTCCCTCCCCATAGTGTAAGGAGTAAGAACTTGAAGTTAGAATGTAAGCAGATATGGTGCTGTATTTAACTGTTCCCGCGTAATCCAAGCATACGAAGTATGGAGTACGGAGTAAGGACCAAGAAAAAAAGCCGTGAATAAAAAGTAAATTCCGACACCGGGAATCGAACCCGGGGCTGCTGTGACCTACTTGAGAGACAGCGATGTTACCTCTACACCATATCGGACTGTTGCTACCTTTTGTACCAAAAACCAGGAAAAAAAATAAATACTATAAAGCCTAAGGTAGAGGTAAAAAAAATGCGACTGTGTCCACTGCTAACTCAACATCCTTACCTTTTCTCCACTCCGGGGGCGTTGAGCGGCTTGTGAGCTGCAAAATGGGCCTGGCTGGGGCCATAAACAAGTGTTTGCTTATGCTCTAGCCCGGTACCTCCGTAGCTAAAATCAGACAGTCCTCAGTCTGTTGTCAATGATGCACCTCACACACTGACGTGGTATTTTTGCCTGTCCTCTCCTTTGACGCCCCCTCTCGACTTAGAGCGTAAGCAACCGTGCCCGAAGCTCGATTATTGGGGAAATGTGTGCTGGTTGGGTCAAAAAACAATGCTCATATTCATTATGAGAAACGACAACAAGACCAATGAAAAAAAGTCTTGAATTTCAACAATTGTGTTCATCTCAGACACTAGGGGCTACACCGAGGGCCATGATTTACCACCTGAACAATCTCGAACCTGGAGACAATCCACGGGATCGGGTTGACCCTTGCATTTGCTTCTTCAGGAGCCGCTTGGGGCTGTGTTCTCCAGGCCACCACCGAGAGGACTCGGAGTGGGACTGCTATTGCTGCGAACTATCTTGAGGTGGAGACAACTCCTTGAGTTTTGCATTTAATGTGAAGTGGGTTGTCTTTGAGACTGCATATCTTCACTTTTATTCACCCCCACATGCAGCTGTTGCACTGCTAATGACTCGATGCAAAGTTACAATAGGGATCCCACCCTCTTTTACTCTCCCCTCCCTACCCTTTATGCATCTGGGAAATGAGTTGGCTTTCCTTACCAACATTGCTTGGTGGAGATTTACATCTTCTTATGACCAAGAGCAGCCCTGATAAGCAAAGTATCTCAAGCTCTAGGGTGATGCCATGACTATGTCATCAACAACACATTCAGGAGCAGCAAAGGAACTTGACAAAAATAAATCACCATACTACATTCACCTTTTCATCGCCTACTTATTTATACTATCCTCTAAACAAGAAATCAGCCTATTTACAGTACATCCGTTGTGCAAAGTTCTTGGCCAATGGACCAGATTTGCAGTGTTCTTGCCTAAATCAATGGGCGAAGTGCACAGGATGGCAAAGGCATAACAAAGCGCGTGAAGTGACTCAATGAGACCTCCGCTTCTTATGCAGGCAGTAAGTACAAACACTTCCTCCATACTATTGGGAGAAACCCAGCCATCAATCAGGAAACTGAATGAGTGCCATCACGGATGTCCTTGGTGCATGGAACGCAAGTTGACCCTTGTCATATTGCGGGACTACCATGCATAGTGACAAGTTTCTATCAAGCATAGCGATATATTGGCAATTTGCCACAGAGTCTATTCAATCCTTACCAAAAGAGATGAGACCAATTTGGGTCACGTACCAAGCATTGGACTGAGTTTTGAACAGCCCGCTTTACCACCTGGAGTTCAGCCGTTTCTCACCATCAAACAATATTTTACCGGCTCCTGGCTCCTCCAATCGAAAACTGTACTCAGGTACATACATTTTGCCCTTTAACCAACCCTTGGTAGCATTAATCACTCTTCGAACAACAGCTTCTAGCCCCATTTTCAATAAGTAAACTCATCTCGACCATCAACGCGTACTTCCCATCCATCGGGATATCTCTAACTGCGATGCTGAAGGGGTTGCAAGGCCGAAGCGCCTCACACACAGCAATCAATCATCAGCTGTGAAGCGAGGACTCTAAGCCCCACAGCCGGGTTAATTATTCCAAATCGCCTGACTAATGGACAGCAAGGAGCAGCCAAAGATGATTCCATAACATCTTAGCAGGACATCCAACTGTCATCTTTGATTCGTTACCTTTTTTTTAAGGCATGTCATTTATTTTAAAATTCAAACTGGCTGGTGTTTTGCCCGATATCACACACCTAGGGGGAGTTAAATACAATGCAGAGCAATATATCCTTTGTCCCGCAATGATATCGGTGCCAAATCAATAAGGAATTGCTACCACTTAAGAATAAGCTCTATTAGAGTTATCCTTAGGCTTCCTAGCGTACTTGATATCTGCTATGAACTATAAACAGGAGAATCTCCTATCTTTAGACACTTCTGCTTGTCTCCCTGGTTTTGTTAAGCAGTTCACCTCTACTTTGAGCACCTTCTTTTGAAAACCAATGTAATGGTACAAACTTTGCTCTGGCTACACACTTTTACATCGGCCACAACTCCTTGAAGAAACCGCTAATTTTGCCGGCAGTGTGACTGTTGTTGCTTGCTTCTTAATGGTCAAGATGGATATACCCTTTCCAGGCGCAAATATCACATTGCCAATTATTTTGAATGTGATTATACTGATGGACCAGCCTACGTCCTATGGCTGTGTTGCTTGATTATATGCAAACCATATCTACAAAATGGTCTGCTTTAACATCATCCTTGTCATGCTGACATTTGGCTCAGCCTCTCACACAAATCTATAGTGAGATTTTTTTCTAGCATTCACCAGGGTCAGGTTTACTTAGATGAACTCCATAAAGAGAAACCCATAAGAACATCTGCGACCATTCTCTATCAGAAGATCTCCAACAAATCTATATCAGTGGGCACTTTCGTGCACACCATTGAAAGTCAACACTAAGAGCGTTTCAACATATCTAAGGCCTTTACAGCTCCGAGAGAGACAGTCACAGGAAGGTTTAAAACTGCATCCTCAGAATGTCCCATTGATTGGGCCTTGTTGTGCCCATCAAGAATGTTCCAGGGCCAATGAAAAAGGTTATGCAGCACATTAACAATGTTTTGGCACAAACCTGCTACACTATCATCGCAAGACAGCTAGGCAGGCAAAATACTTGCTTTCAGAAAGCTTGGGTGAGACAGATCTTTTGCGCTGGCATGGAATGTTAATTGGAAATCTTCGTCAATTATCTATGATTCCCTTACCTTTTCATTATGCTCCACCGTAGGCTATCATTGGGCCGATATGATGAAGTATCTCCCTAGTTATGAAGGATATCTTTGAAGCATGTTCTGATTGAATTCAAATTGAATGTCAAACCTTTTAGTGTTGCCGACGCCGGTCACGCGCGGCGGCTCTGAGGATTGACTAAATTGACATGTCATTCAAAGGTCTACTGCGCAGTCAGGTGGTACTCCATAATAAATCACAGCACAGGAGCTAATGGCTGAGATTTCTCTATATGTTACGAATGGTATACATCCAGAATACTAGCAAATTCCTTCCGAAACATTCTATGCTAGACACGTACTAATACATATAATACTTTATTCACCTTGCACCGCTATTCTATGAACAGGTCACGTAGGTATTCAAGAGGCAAGTGAATCTATATAACATACTCTGTACTCCGTACTCAAGGGTGGAAATCTAGAACTTGTAGACTTGATCCTTGTCGTACCCAAGCTCCTTCAAGAGACCAGTGAGCTCCCCCTGGTCTTTGGGACTGTTCTTTGGTCCACTGACGGCTTTGTACATTCCGGGGGGTCCGCAAACGAAGATCTTGATATTCTCGGTCTTGGGTTCGGGCAAGACAGTCTTCAACAACTCCTTGGTGACGTAGCCGGTTCCCTGAGTCCAGCCAGCTGGAGGCTTGTCAAGAAGATAAAACGCACGGAAGCGTCGGGGATAGGTGTTCTCCAAGATATCCAACTCTTTTTTCAGGAGGATGTCTTCCTCTGTAATATTGCCAAAGACGAGTGTAACTTTGGTTTTGTCATTGGGGTTGTTGAAGATTTTGCGAATGATTTGGTACATGGGAGTGATTCCGGTACCGCCGGCGATCATGCAAATATGATCGTGCTTGTTTTCTTCCCAAGGGTATTTAGGAATGGGCCCTTTGAAAGAAAGCTGTTGACCGACGGCCATGTTGTGCAAGTGGGTGGACATGGGGCCGTTGGGATACTGCTTAACGACGAGATCCAGGTATCCGGGTTGTTCTGAGGGGATTGTCAGTACAATACGTAGCCCAATGATACATAATCCGGTTCCTACCTTCTTCGCTAACGGGAGTATAGGGACGGATGGTTGGCTTCTCATCTTTTGGGCCCTTGTACTTTGTTAAAAGAGCGGCTTCCGTCCAGAAAGTACTTATTAGCAAACCGTGAAAAGCCAGCAATTGAGTTTCAACATACATGCAATATGCAGTCCCGAGACAGACTCTGGATCTGGAAATTCAAAACGAAATCTCTTCACGTTGTGGCTCAGCGTCTCAATCCCGGCGAGCTTCAAATCCACCCAGCCTTGGTCCCCACCAACGAAGACTTTCGATCGCTCCTTGAGCGCAGCCTCCAAAGCTTGCGGGGATTGCTGTCGCTGCCAGTAGTAGTATGCGCCTCCGGCAGCAAGGGCAAGACCGCCATAGAGTGGAGCGTTTGACGACGGCTTTGGGGAGGCTTCGGAGGCATATTTGCGAATTGCCTATAGTAAACACGAAGTGTCAGTCAGGCCCTAGTCTCAATGGAAGCAACTGTACTTTGGATACTACGTACTTGGCCTGCAGGCCTGCAGGTTCTGAACATTAATCTGGCGAACATAATGGCCTTTGAGCGTTGATGTGAAGAGTGCGCTCAATTGTCGTGTTAAGGATGATTAAATGAAGTTCGAGCATGGAATTGGACGCGGGAAAAACGAAACTTAGTTAGTTATCCAGCAACCAGATGACGTTATCACGGCTTCGCTGACAAAGCCGGCAACCATTTTTGCCCGACGTCGTCTTCCGAGCGTTGACGCTAACGAATGCATGACTATCATGAAGGGGCTAGCACTTAAACTCCCAAAGACACCTTGGATTTTGGTTTTTGCCGTTTAAACATTTGCGTGGTTTGATACTCTCCTTTCGTTGTATCCCCCTCATTGTTGAAAGTGGCGCAGCGATATGAGAATCGAGGCGCTTTCACAAGTAGATGAATCTCAACTTCCGTCTCCGCGACTACACCCCGGCAACCACCGAACCAGACGGCCCGAATGGTTGCGGTGTTTACACGGATAATGGAACATTCTCAATCATCTTCCAGGACGGTACGGTCAGTTTGGAAGTCAAGTCCCCATCTGCACCGGGCACTTGGCTTTTCGTGCTCTGCGGATGGTGCACCTTGATTCTCACTGGTGGAACCGTCTATGCCGCTCGTCACCGTGTGTGTCGCGTTTTGAGTGTACGACGCATGAGTGGAGTATTGTTCATGGCGCCTGATCTAGACTTGTACCTTGAAGCCCATAGGTAGTGCCGAGAAGCAGTTTTCTTCGGAGATCATGAATGGAAAGGTCGCCGTTGAATGGTTCAAGAAGTTTATGGGCAAACGCCGGAGACGGACAGAAGGGAATGAGGAATTGGATAAGAGGATACGGAGGTGACGCAGGGTGAAGCGGTTCGCAAATTAATTTTGGGCCATTAACAAAGAAAAAGCAAGGAGCAACAGCTTCCTGCGGACGACCTGGGCTTTTAAGAGTGGCTAAATGCCGACAGTCCATAGTGATAACAGTCAAGTATCTGATAAACAACAAATTCGAATAGGTGACATAATTCTACATTTCAGATTTGTAGTTCCAATTCGGATCTAGGAGTTGATGATGGATTTTGATAGGCGGAGGACTCGTAGGGGGCACACAAAAACTGGAAGGACTTTGTGGTGTTATAACTAATACTCCTGGCTGCATTTGCGATAAACCCGAGGACACTAGAAGGCCTCGAATTTACCTGGCAGGAGACAGAACCTACACACTGAACACAACACAAGAATCCCAAGCAATGTGCAGCTTTCCGAACATAATAAATTGGAAAAAATTGCGTTCATAAGCTGGAGAATGAATATCGTAGCCATCTAACCCCTATTGGTTACAATTGCTGGCAGAAGCTGCATTAAAGACTCATTATGCATGGTCCTGGCTATAACCTGCAGTCACATAAATGCAGTGAAACTCAGACTCCATCTTCACTTTTGAACCTTCCACCGCTGAAAAGGAAAAACCCCCCGATATCCTCTTTATGCGAATGTGGATGGTCTGGAGGCAGCGAAGACTCTCTTGCCTTGTGGCTTGGAGACACGGTGAGGAAGAGGGAATTTGAGGTCCTTGGTGAGAAGCTGTTTGATGTAAGGGCGGCGAACAAGCTCTTTGTTGTCGATTTCAACAACTTTGATGATCTGATGCGTTTCGGTTAGTATTCTCCTATCTATGGTATCGGCATGTTGCGGGGATTCGGCATACATGAATAGAGCTGAATCGGGCACGGTGACGGGCAGCCATGTCCTGGTATAAAGATTCAACGGCGTCGGTTCGGGACATCTCGCGGAATTCTTTGTACATGTTGTGTGTTCCGGAGCGGGAGTCGTATCTGATCCAGATACCAAAGTTCTTGACCTTCATCGGGCGCTTCTCGTGGATCTAAAGGGAGGAAAATATGAAATCTTAGAATAAACGCCTGCAAATGATAGCGAATGGCGTTTCATAGCCAAGGCCTCCCACGTACCTGGTTGATGCTGACAATCTCGCCATTGGCCTTCTTCACCTTTCGGAGCTTCATCAAGAAGTACCAGAACCTGGACTTAGCGACGACGGTGTTGGGCGCGAAAATCCTCATGCGAAACAGCTTGGGGGTTGGGTTTGCCTCGGTGGGCAGGTGGCGCGCGATGACCTGGTATTCGTTGAGACGCCCTACATATCATATCATCAGAATCCGCGCAGATCAACTTCCTGAGACAAAATCGGTTGCGGCATTCTTGAATGTCTAATCGGCGATCTTCGGCTGTAAATTTCACACTTCGCTTCTCGGCTTCAAAACGGATTTAAAAATGAAAACGCTCGGAAATTTTTGCAATCCTGCGGAAAACCCTCGATTTGTCTGCCAATTATGCGATTGCTCTTCTCCGACTTGAAATTCTTGCGGCTGACCAAAAAGACACGGAGAATGCTAGGACGCGAAAACGTTGAAATGAAAAGCAAAACTTACCCATCTAGCGATAATGTTAGTATCTAGCCCAAAACATTTCCATGGAGCAACTTACTTTGAGAGGATTGTGCTGTCGTGTCGTTGATTGCTGAACCGTCCGCGAACTCCCAAGATCGAGAATTGTCGACTTTGTTGTGCTAGGGCTGTGGGTTTCGCTTAACCAAGCACAGCACCGGAGCTAGTCCAAATTAGGACTGGGTTGCCAAGACTCCGCTCTGCTTATCGGAACCTTATCGTCAAGCCAAACCTTCCCGCATGAAGATTGCCTCACAACTGCCATGGAGCAGCGAGATTGTGCTCAGCAAAAAATGGTTTGCGTGAAGGAGTAGCTTTCCGGTATTTATCTCCTAGCTAAACTTGATGGACTAACCGCAACTATGACGACACTATTTGCAAAGTTCAAAGACGCCCAATTCAGCGGCTCGGGTTCAGCGTTGGCCGATGTGATTACGCCTATTGATACCCCCGCTGACCCTGATCGACTGTACTCTTTCTACCACTTTACCAATTCCACAAATGCTACTTTAGACATCCGATATGCCCTTCTTGATGATCGGTCCACAGGCACAAAGCTCCCTAAACTTGAAGCAAATGCCTGGACCGATATATTTGTGGCCTTTTGGAAGACAGCCGGAGAGCTTGTGAAATTCGAAGAAAATCGCAACAAAGCGTCCTGGAACCGTGTTTTTGTTTGCTGGAAAGAAGTGGCCAGTCTGGTAATCAAGGGTTACTCCAGCTGCGGGTTTCAAGCTTGGACACTACCATGTCTATATGTTACGGGTAGATATCTTCGGATATTTGCCATCAAGGCCGATGCACAGACCGAAGCAAACCCCGAGGCCTCGAAAGGTGATTTCCAGGAAGATGTGGTCTCGGATGTGCATAAGCATAAAAATTTGGAAGAAGCATCGCGGATCATCAATCGGATGTTTACGCTCTGCCTTCATGACAGGTACGGTTGGAGTACTCCTTTTTCTTACGTGTTTGGTGTTTATAGGATCCTGAGCTGAGGTAACAGGGCGCCAATTGAGGAGTCTCGTAAATGGGGAGTTTATAACACCGTCAATCTGTCTTTCAAGACATATTTTAAGGTACGAGGAAAAACATAATATGTTATGCTCCGTTTCTAACATTAGACCTTGTAGCTTGGCACCGTGTCGTCTTGTAAGAGTTTGCTGCACGCGATGGATGCCTCGCAAGCCGATATGCCCCCGCTTACAGCATTCCCTAAATCCCATATTGTCACATTCAAATACTACCTTGGAGTAATATTTTTCTTAGAGGAAGCTTACAAAGAGGTACGCTGATACAGCCCTAGCAGAGGTACATGTTTTGTCGCCCTAACTTAGGGTTTTAATACCTATAGGCGGAGGAACATCTGACGTATGCCTGGAACCTATGCCACAAAGATGCTGTGAAGAATAAAGAGTACTTCCTCCTTTGTAGCGTCCTCTATCTGCTATTTATCTCTAATATACCCCAGGTTTATCCTTACCTATCTCATACCATGTCACCTCGTTACAACCCACACTCTACCCTCGAAGCGCCTTCTAGCACCTTTTCCTCGCCTAGAAGCATTATTCCGTCCACTCTGTGAGTGCATTCGAAAGGGAGACCTTCCGGGTTTCGACGCTGCCATCGCAGCTGGTGGCGACGCATTTACCAAACGGATGATTTATCTCCCACTAGAAAGAGGGCGTGATATAGCGGTGCGCAACTTGTTCAGAAAAGTGTTCATTGCCGGTGGTTTTGACCCGCCTACGCCTGGTATGCCACCAATTAGGAGAACGCGTGTGCCTGTCATAGAATTTGTGGCAGCCATACGACTGAGGACACACTCTGTGGGAAGCCTATCGAAAGATGATGCGAAGGAAAGCGAAGGGGAAGAGAAACTTACGCCGAACAAGCTAAGGGCAGAAATCGATCAGGTCGAATGTTATTTGTCGAATCTAATATACAAGGTGAGAGGCAGCACCTGACAATTCTTTCACAAACCGGGCCTGTTGAAGTAGACTATAGAAGCTAATTGCCTTGCTACATAGAACCTGATGAAAGGATACATAGCTCGAGACCGTGGTATTATTGTTCTCAGCAAGGGAGGTATTGCTTTCCCAGGAACAGGTGTATGAGTTGGCATTTTCGTCCCAAGTTTTCTGAAGCAGCTTCCTTGGTGTGCCCTCAAGAGCAGACATGATTTGTCTATGTCCAAAATGGAGGTCCGCATTATGAGCTCATGATAGATATATCAGAATCTTTCACGTACCACTACGCTCTCATACGAAACACTGGCAGTGTCACTTCTGATAGGAGAAGGCTGACATTCCTGGAGTGTTCTGTTTTAAGCCTCAACAGATAATGAAGGGGTGTTTCGTCTTAGTCGCCCAAACAAGGCATAATTATCAGGAGCGCCTCGCGAAACATGCAATTACAAACCTTCATCCAACTCCGACAAAACTCTGATTGTACTCTACGTAATCTAGCCATCCTCCTCTGGTTTCTATTTCTAATGTTTTTATCACTTTTAACTCATCTTTGATAAACAGCAGCTCAGCCTTCTAAAATCTCTCAAAACTTCATTCACAGTCTCCCAGTAGTGCCTGTCCCAACACTAAAAACAGTTTCAAAACAGAAGTACACATCTGCAATAGGAGAATGCACAATTTGCGGTAATCTAACAAGAGGGGGGCAGGATAGACATTTTATTTGCCCCTAGCAGGCTCTGACACAAAAGCACAGAGATCAATATCTTCAGAGCCTTTTCTTTCAAAAGAGAACATGTTGGGGCTCCAACAAGAGGAGTATCAAAGGAAGGGGTTAATATGATAGACCAGTGATAGAATAGAGTATGATGCGCTGGAAAAAAGGGGTGTAGGATATAGAATGTAGAACGACGCAGTGTAGTGTCACAAATCAGAGGGTTGACTTGCCTTTGTAGAAAGGATTGAAAGCAACAAAATATGAGGTGGGATATAGAAATGAGCAGCCAAACCCCCCCGGGGTATATGATATTAAAATATAAGAAAACTCAAGCAGATCAAAAGAAAATACATAATGCTTCGAACAGTGCCACATACCATCTTTCGTGCGTGAGAGGCTGAAGTTGAACTAAAAATAATAATGATAATAATAGAATGATAAAAAAGAGAGGGAAACGAAAACTGAAGAAAAGAATTAAATATAATATATAATACAAGAAAATATGGCCGTGGGCTACCATGCCCACGACCTTGTCGTCTGGTAAAAGAAAAATGTAAAACATTAAAAGGCCTCCAGGGCCATTCCGTTTTCCTATCCATTTGTTGACGGGTTTCGCGGTCGAAAATTGTGTATAATCGGTATGTCGAAGTGATCAACTTTCGGGTATCATATTAGAATACAGTTCTGTATTTTGCAAGGTACGGAGAGGAGGTGCTCCTCATAGAGAAAGGTTTAGGGTGAGGTAAGGCCGCGCGGCTGTGCGTTCCGGGATGAGTGGCGTGGAATATGAAGAAGGCCAGAGCGGAGAAATGTGGTCTATCGGTTACTTATTAACGCATATGGGAGTATTAAGGGTCGATCCAAGACGTAATTAGCGGGAGAAGGGGGACTTGGAGGAGCCGGTGATATCGTCCTGGATAAGATTGAAAGGATTTAGTAACGAATAACCCTTGTAAAGTAGGGAGAGAAAGGATGAACTTACCATGTGGTTGCACATGGCGACAAAAAGGTCGAAGAATAATTTCCCACCGGCCTCCATTTCCATTTGCATTGTGCCACTGCGCTTAAATGTTGATCGACTTCGGATTATTAATGCAAGGTAATGAGCACGTAGTTTGGAGTCAGTATCGGGCGTGTGTGCATAGGCGTAGCGAGCGCTTGATAAGATAGTGCTACATTGAATGGCAGACTGGAGACCTTGCTTTCGGAGGGCAAGGCGTTTCAGTTCAGAGAGCCCATATCGGTCGGCTGCACAGCTGTTCAGTAGTCATTAGTTTCCAGCCTTAAAAAAAGAAATAAGAAAGGAAAAGAAAAGAAAGGCACGACGTACTAGATAGCAGTATCCTTCAATATCGTGGCTCCATCAGCCTGATTGATGATTGTCGTCTCAGCAGTTACCGGAGCACCGTTCTCGTTTACTCCGTTTTCCAACTCCCAGGTATTTCTCCGCTTATTATGTATTAAACGAGGAAAGTAATCTCCTTTATAAAGGTATTCGAGGATCGAAGAGAGGACCTCCGGTTGTTCCTTGGGCAGGTTTATACGTTTATTTCCACCTTCAAGGAACTGGCCGCGGCAACAGGACGAAAAGAAAGGTGAGACGGATAGGATTTCTTCATGGGCAGCGAAGAGACGCTGTTCGGGTCCAACGCAGATAGTGACTATGGCGGATGTTAGATTGCTAGCAACGGGAGCGAGAGCCATTAGCAGTTAGGTCATCACGAGACGAAAGCCGATGTATTTGAGTCGCCGGAACTTACCTATTAATCGGGCTCTCCGGTTTCTGTCCTTTTTCTGGTCGCTTCAAGATCGCAGGTGGCTCTCCTCCTCTGAACGACTTCCTCGACCGAGAGGCCGATTTGCCGGCACGATATTTGGTAGAGAAGCTCTCCGAGCGGCTGTGAGACTGGGAAGGACGCCTGGCAAACATGGCTGAGAGTCGTTTAAATGTGGGAAGTCTGTTGTGGTCAAGATACGTGTATATGTGTGTATTCCGTCGAGTGCCTCGAATTAACGGCCGTACGATGGATGAAGTAAAGGCCCCTTTTGATCCAAAGTTATATTAAGTATCAGAAGGACAGAGGACTCGAATAAATTTTTTGTTCTTTCATTTATAGACAAACAATAACTAACCAGTCCACTAATTAACAGAAACTAATTTAAATTGATTGGGTGTTTGAGCTTTGGCCAGAAGAAGTCCAGCGAAAATTTTCAGCCAGGGGTTCGAGAAGTCTCTCATTTTCCATGTGGGAGAGCGGCGCCCTCTTTATATAGTTTGGCATCGACGGAGTCCCCAAGGATTATCCCGTTCACAGCAGGCGACAAACGCTACCGTGGAGACTACATACGGAGTACGAAGCACTTGGATTTTAGTTAGACTTTTTTTTTTTTTTTTTTTTTTTGGGCGAACTGCTCAGCGGTGGACAGCAGCAGAGGGCGACGCGACTGGCCGCCGCCAAACAAGCACTGCGACGTGTAAATTGGATTTCGAGACACACGAAACTTCGCAGGTGACTCACGCGAGATCACGTGGAGAGCTAGTACGGCATCGCAGCCAATCACAGCGGCCATCTGGTCTCCACGGCGATGGCTTGCCGGTGCAAACAGGACAAACAGCAGGGAGCCGGCCGCCGCCTTCTGGCCGCCGCAGCCACGATGGGAGGGATCAGCGCCCGTGACGAATCAACGCCGCCTGCGTTCACACCTCGGGGAAAGCCTCCTCTTCCCGAGCATGGGGAACAATACGGAGCAACGACGGGGTTGTGTAGAGCTGCATCCCCTGAAGGCAGGAAAAAGTAATACAAGACAAGAGGCAGGATTCCCGGTCAACACACTTCGCCCCTCCTAACATACTAAATCTTTTTTTTTTTTTTTTTTCTTTCTGGTTGCTGGTTGTGCTGGGATCACCCAAGGGGCTCCACGGCCTATCAGTTTCGAACCTCCATAAGCCCGCGAGAGGGTCGCAATTTCAAAAGCCCCGGTGGCGAAAGCCCGGCCGAGGGGAGCTCCCGGGTCTCCACTCGCTTACCGTCCTTGGCTGCTAGGAACACTTCCCCGAACTACGGAGTAGAGAAGAGTGTAACACACCAGTGGGCGCAACCGACAAAGAACCAAGGCAGTCTGTTTGCACCCGCAGCTGTGGGCGGATGTTGCTCCTGGACGACTCGTCAACAAAGTTGATGCCTGAACAAACAATGAGGTGGAGATACCCTCTTTTGACAATCCAACGCACAACCTCCGGCATATTACATTCACCACTCCATATTTGTCAAGGCAGCTGCATTATTCGCAACCACATGCGACATGGATTTCTTCTCTTGGCAGATTTCCAGGAGGATGGCAAACTTGAATAGCGCATGGATTATGTGGGGCCTCAATGCACACTAAACGGGCCCTCCCTGACTTGGCTGCGTTTCAAAGATTGCCTTCCCTCCCGGCGGCATGGATCAGGGCCGTCCCTGGGGAGATGTCGAGAACAATTCATGTGGCATTGATGCGTCTTGGATTCCGGAGACATGTTGGATTATCAAAAAAATGAAATTCGTATTTCCCAATCCGCCTCTTCGCGGCATCTATAATACAGTAACGAGTCATAAATTGACATCAATCGAGGGTATATGTATGGAGGCCGGGGCCCGTCGTCTAACAATAAGCTTCCCCATTTACCCATGTGGTTCCTTCTTTCAGGACCTCGAAGGCAATAAGGTGAGCACCCGAGGCTTTAGGAGCCGCTTTCTCGAGGGTAGACAGATGTGTGCGGCCTTGTCACGCTTCGCAAATTCCCAAAGCTCAGAACATCGCCAATCCGCCGGACACCAGTGAATAACATGCACAGTCGGTCGATACCGCAACCCCATCCTCCAGTCGGCGGGAGGCCCCATTCGAGTGCCTGCAGATAGCTCTCATCGAGCTCCCCGGGATTCTCCGGATCCCGATATGAAAGTTGTTCCTGGAACTTCCTTCTTTGCTCAAATGGAGAGTTCTCCTCCTCATACGTGTTCACAACTTCCTTTCCTTCGACGAATAGCTCCGCGCGGGCCGAGACGACTTGACTGCAGGTCGGATGGATATAAGATTTGGAAAGGGGAGACATACACTCTGGGTGGTTGATGATGAACGTGGGGTCCTTGCACTGAGGCTCGAGATACTCTGCACAGAGCTTATCCAATAATCGGGGTAGTGATACATGATCGGGAAGAGGAATAGACATGGTGTTTAACAGTTCTACCATCTTCACAGTCGCGCCGTCTGACTTCAAATCAGGGAGGGTATGTCCCATAGCGCTCTCCAGCGCCGGTACAAAATCTATTCGACGGAATGGGGTACTGAAATCAACATATATGGGGTGAAGGGTGCCTAGTTTTTCGTTCAACTCCCGGATATTTTGAGACAAGCCAGATAACAAAGTCTCGGTCATCTGCATCAGGCACTCCAGGTCGGCGAAAGCCTGGTAGAATTCACAAGTGGTGAATTCAGGATTGTGGGTTTTATCAAGACCTCCACGGGAATTAGTAGCTAAAAAAACACTTCTTGGTGGACGCCCGACTCACCTTCATTTCGGAACGAAGGCCCGATCTCAAATATCCTATCGAACCCACCTACAATGAGCCGCTTTAGCCATAATTCGGGTGCTATTCTCAGAGCTAGCAATTGCTCTATTGATTCAGAAGCAGTGGTATGAAAGGGCCTGGCAATAGCTCCTCCAGCCGCTGCAGCGATAATGGGGGTATTAACCTCAATAAACCGTCTCTCAAGAAAGAAATTGCGAATATGTTGGACGATAGATGATCTGGCTCGGAGAATATCGGCTACCCCTGGGTCTGCGAGAAATTGAACGTGACGTTCATACGGAGATACCGCATGCTCCTTCGTATCTACAGGTACATCGTGAAGGCAGGGTGACAAAAGGTTTGGCAGCTCGCTGGCAAGGAGCGTTAGTTCGCCTCTGCCAGTTCGATGGGGTTTCCCGGTGATGGCTAAGTCTATCAGAACCGAGTGGACCAACAATGGTGGTTCTAGACGAGAAGGACTTACAGTAAACATCGCCTCTTTGTAGCAAATGATAGAACTCTCGAAATCTCTCCGGAGATACACCCGTAATCCCGAGAATCCGTTGATTGCACAGAATCTGCACTTTATGCCCGTCCTGCCAGAGATCGAAGAAGACCAGCTTGCTCCCAGCCGTCCGCTGGGATCTTATTCTACCTAGTAGTCTAAGTCACATCTTCCATTTTGAATCGGTATCTCATCAATTTCACGCATACCGTATAGAGACACGGACACATCGTCCAGTGTCTCGTTGGGCTGAATATGGTTGTACTGTGAACGAAAATGTTCGCAGCTTGTCGACTGCGGACTAACGGCTAATCGTGGATATGGGTTGGAAGACGCATTTTTAATTTCGTCAATCCGGTTCCATCGGGGGAGCTTATTCGTATTCCCATCTGAGGTGTTGCTGCCGTACACACGGCCGCTTGAAAAGGTTCGGTTTGGGTTCCCGCGGTCGTGAGGCGCCGCCTTACTGTTAGTTAAATAGCGAACGCGCAGCCTATAGGACCTATAACTGGAATTGTTAGCACGTGGAATCTATATACGGTTCGAGTCTTGTTTTATGCCGACGCGATGGCTTGGTATTGTTAGGTGGAGAAGAATGGCCTTTACCTGAGGAACGATCCATCCAGACATAGCTGGGACACCCGATGAGAGCAGACTGGTCGCATCTGCCCGGAATTCAATATGGTAGCATAACAAACACCGATCAGCCAAAACGACAGATCACGCAGATTCGATATGCCTTCATGGAGTGGGAGGGTCTTCCGATACTTTTATGCATGGTTGATGTTGAAATTCCGCTTCGGGTTATCATCGGCCCGTCAAACCAAAGCTCCCGGGCCCGCCAGTCCAAATTTTGTTATCAGCTCGACGAAGCACGCCGGCCAGGTCGTTAAACAGCATCGACACTCTCTCAGGACTAATTCCTGCCATATTTTCTTAAACGTTAACACTGGGATTTATTTTTATTTATCATAGCTACACAGACCCCTTAACAAATCTCTCCGTTTACGCGCTCAACATGTCTTTCCTATTTGGCGGCCGCCCTCAAATATCCTCGGAGGAGAAGATCCAAAGAGCAGAGCTCGAATTCGAGATGATCACGGACATGGTCAACCGGTATGCTGCATTCCCTAGGATCGCGCACCTTGCGTTTGCTTTTGTCCGGTCCTATTCCCTCAGTGCGCACCAATCCTCGTGCTATCTATCAGGTTGCTAACAGTCGCTATTCATTTCTCGCAGACTCAACGCTGCATGCATGAAGAAATGCATTCCTCCAGACTATCGGGAAGGCGATCTCAACAAAGGCGAATCCGTCTGCCTCGACCGCTGCGTTTCTAAATTCTTCGAGGTTCACATGAAGGTGTCGGAGAAGATGGCCCAGATGCAAGGCCAAGCCGGCGCCGGTCAGCCGGGAGCTGGTTTTGGAATGTGATCTTGTTCTTATTTTTTTGTTTTTTTACTTGTTTTATCTATTGGGAGCTAAATAATAGATGGGCTGGGTTGTTTTTCGCTTTTTGGTATGGGAAGCGTGAGATCCTTCTTCTTTGAACTTTATGCACTTGGGCTCGGGTCCTGACAAAATATTCAAGGTCGCATGCGCAAGAAATAAAACAACAACTCGCTGGACGAAATATTCTGAGCCTTAGGAATCTTTCTCCATTACAGTTACGGGCCATCAATGCGTCGTTTTGATGATATTTTGTACATTATGCAAAGAATTCACCTTTTTGTTCTCTCCAGTTCGTACAAAATGCTTCTTAATCTTGCTACTGAGAGATTTCGAATCTCTGAAGGACAGTTATCATTACAAACTTTACTGGCTTGTCTATACATCACAGAAAGGGTAAAGTAAAATGTACACAAATCTAAAAGGGAGTATCATGTCCCACCATTCCAAAACCATTTGGCCCATTTTAGCCATGGAGCTCCTGACTGCTCTTCTGCCTTCAGAAGTTCTCTCAGCCGGCTCTCTAAGGCCCCGATCTGATGTTCATAGTCAATAAGACCGCCTTCGACCTCCTCGACTTTCGATTGCAGTGAGTTCAATTCGTAATCGAGCTTAGCGCCTAGCGTCTCTAGCCGTTTAGACCCTTCAAGCAACTTCTGGCTTTCCGTTGAAACCAGTTCGGTCGAGCTTCTTTGTAGCGCTTGATACTCAGCGTGTTTATTCTGGTAGGCGGAGTCTAGCTCCTTCAGACGATTGAACGCGGTGATGTCAATACCCTCCGCTACAACTACTTGGCTTTCCACCCAAGCACTTGTGTTCATGTCTAGGTCGGCGATTTTAGTCGCCAGGGCACGTTCATCGTCAATCCGCATGTCCTCGTAGAGAATTCGATCCACTATCGTGTTATCTGATTCGGGGTCCGCTGGGTCTAAATCGTCGATGAAATGGCGGGAGAGCATCGGCTCCTCAACGGCACTAAAAGACAAATGTCGAACGGAACGAGCCTGGATTTTTGATACTGGATCCTCCGCGAGGGATGATGGACAACTGGGTACTCGACGAAGGACCCTAGTAAGAATGAGCGGCTCATACGTAGGGTCTTTTTTATGTGAAAACTCATCCAGCGTGCCTGACGATACCCGTGGCTCTGGGGTTAAATAATCCGTTGATAACTGTCCTTGAGACTTCTCGTTTGCTTGGGGTAGGTGGCTTTGGAATTCTGTTGAGCCGCGGCCGGGCTCGCTCGTAGGCAGGGGGTCTGATGGGCTTGATAAAAGTTCGGGCCTGCCTTTATCCAAATTTGTAGCTCCAGAGACACGCGCGTCATCTCCCAAGGACTTGATACCTTCTAACCTGCCTTTTGTCCCTGGAAATGCCAGTGCCACATCCGTGGCTTGCTGATCAGGCACATCAGTATCGGTATCGATGGTTTCCTTTAGTTGTTTGTGATGCTGGTGAGAACGCAAAGCTGGCAGTCCAACAGCATCCCTAAACCGACCGAGTCCAGCGCGAGCGTCTGATACCCTGCCACTAACCGTTTTTTTAAGAGCATATTTCAATTGTTGCTCCTTGCTATCAGCGGATACTGGGGTCTCCAGATGCTTCCAAGACTGCTCCGTTTCGAGGGAAGGGCGAGCGGACGTAAAGGGGCTACACGTGTCTTTCCTTCTGCTTGACCATGCCTCTCTGGAAAATGGCATTTCATCTTCTCCAGCGTCATGTCGGAAAGGGTCGGTGTAAGATTTCCGAAGCTTTCCATGCCAGAGCCATTTGGACCTTTCGCCACTCACGAGTTGAACGAATCGGTCTATATCTAAAGTTTCGACCTCCGAGATCCCAGCCTTGTCGCGTCCGCCAACAATTCCCATGACCATCTCTCCTCCTTTGCCGCCAAGTTCCGCGACTGTGGACTTGACTGCTCGCGGGACAGCCCATCCTTCTCCACTTGCAGCTTTCGCTGTTACTCGGTGTAACTTGTCCAAAGTCTGCCTATCCAACCTTCTGGTCTTCTCAAGCTTGAGTGCCTTTTGGAAACTTCCAATGCCTCGTTTCAAATTCTCTATGTCGAATGCGTCTTTGGAAACGGGTGCACCCCATGTATGAAGTCGGTTTCTTGCCCCCATCAAGGTTCCAAGTAACGCCGAAACCGTTGTTGGCCCAAGTATGCCATCGCTTGGCTCAATATTAAAAAGCTCCGTCCCAATGTCGGTCCACCAATCGTTTATTGCCCGCTCTGTCACGTCACAAAGCAAGCCATCTATGTATTCAGACGCCAGTTTATCAAACACACTTAAGGCCATCTGACATAGTTTAACCAAGCCTATCACAGCATTGAATAGTGGCACTCGTTCACTTGTTCTGTAGAGCTGATAGAACTTGGCTTCGGTCGCGGGCGTTGGTTGTTTCAAATTTAGCCCAGCCCTGCCAGAGCACCCAAGACGTTTCAGGTTCTCATTGACGACGAAATCTTCTCGATATTTTCTGACATCGCCTTCCGGGATATCAATAACTGTCAGGGAGGAGGGGAAACTGCTTAAATTCGTCACCATCAATAATCCCCATGGAGTTTCTCGCTTTCGGGTGTGGGGTTGGGCCATCGTATTGAAGTAAACCTTCAACCTTGGGGACCAGAGCTGCTCATCTTTGGGAACTTTGAGAACGCCGGCAACAGCAGTGTGAGATGGGTCCCCGGTATAGGTATTGATAACGAACGTGGGATGAACCCTTGAGCAGGCCCATTGCTCGACAATGTAGGTCACATACCCAATAAGGGTACATCGTCTTTCCACTAGCACCGTCGACGGGTCTTCCTCTAGGCACTTCAAGGCTACAGGATCGGTAAATACCAGCCTTTCGTAGCCTTCGTCCAAGACAACGGCCTGGTTTTCGCCCGTGGACTGAGCCGGTGCTTGAAGCTGGGATTTCTCGGCCGGGGAGGCGGATGCACTCTGATCCGGGATTGTACGACGCTGGGAAGATGGCTCAGAGCCGACACCCTGTGCCATATTGTATGAAAAGCGAGGAGGCCTGTGAATCATCGCTGTCGTAGCTATAATTCGTGCTTGAAGGTATCGGGTTATCCCCACTTGACCCCAACGAGTCCTGAACAAGAGAAACGCTTCCGATGCCTCCAATACGCCAAATGATCCCAGGATAACCAGTATTCAACACTCTCAAGAGCCATTGCAATCATATCCTCGTATCAGATACACCATAGTTGTCTCTTGTTTGGTCCGAGGGCTGCTGTCCTATGAAGGCCAGGGGTCAAGGCCTCAATACTCCGTACATCGCGGCACATTGATGGGGCAGACTGCTGGCGGACCCAAAAGTGTACTGTAACCTTGGAAATAATCAGCCGACGTCACAGGCGCAGCCCAGGTATTGTTACATGCATCCTATTGGTTGACCTTTTGAAATACTTGGATCTGCCATTACTACTGGGTAGATTTGGCGGAATTTAAAAATAATGGCCAATCAAAGTATCGTCTCTGTAAAAGAAACCGCTAGTATACCGAATTACAGTTCACTCGTCCTGGAGAACGCCAGGTGACAAAAAAGCATCAACAGCACCGGTAACTTAGCTCCTCACCCACCACCATTAGCTCCATGTGGACGATGGCCTCCTCCGCTCTTCTGGCCGCAACCAATTTCACATCCAAGCCGCTCACTTTCCCTATCCTCGCCGTTTAAACTCCTTTTACACGAAAGATGTGCCTACGGAGTTGATCTAAACCATCCAAGTCCTTATTAACGTCGGAAATGGAGTTGCTACAGAAGGAGCACCAGCGCGTGTTCAAGCGGGTGCAGAGCTCGAAGAGTATTAATGACGTGCAGGCCACAATTGATTTGCTGAGAGAAGCTCGAGATGCTATTGAAAGGGGTATGTTGTCCGCATGAGGGTGTCCATCTTGTGTTTCTCCTGAACTGGCGGACGACAGAATATGAATAACCGCTTTGGCACTTCTAGATCCGAGCTCCGCTTCGATAACCCTGGCTAAACTTCAAAACCCGGCCAAAGCCTCCTTTGATACAATCAACGACAGTTTAAAAGAAACTTACACTGCCTTGAACAAGTATGGCAGGGCTCTGGACAAGGCAAGATGCTCCTGGACTATGACGCGGGGTAGGTAATGTTCTAATGAATATATGAATGTGCAGCTATTCAAAGATAAGCCCCTTCCGAGCACCGAATATGACGCTCTGTCATTGCAGTCTGCTCTCGTCAATAGGGCGATTGCAATGCATTTGTTGCGAGAAGGCCAGTTCTCCGTAGCATCCACCTTCCTCTCAGAAGTGGCGGCAAATCCGACCCCTGCACAGTCCTTTAGCGATATACCCAGCTCAGGTCAGCGCAACAATGCATACCAGCAATTTGATGATTTGCAATCCGGAGAAATGCGAGACCAATTTTCCTTGATGTATCGTATATTACACCAGTTGCGTGAGGAGCAAAATCTACTGCCTGCCATCGACTGGGCAAGAGAACATCGAGTCGAGCTGGAGAAAAGGGGAAGCAATCTCGAATTCGAGCTGTGTCGGCTGCAGTTCGTATGGTTGTTTCATGGCGGCAAGACGGGCAATACATCGATGATAGCTGGCAGAGCCGCTGCACTCGAATATGCGAGAACAGATTTTCGCCATTTCCACGCCCGACACCTTCGTGAGGTCGAACAGTTAATGGGCGCCATGGCATTCTGTCCGAATCTTGATGACTCTCCGTATAAATCTATTTTCAATAACCCCTGGGCATGGTCCGATGTTGCTACGGCATTCACACGCGAGTTCTGCGCTCTACTTGGCTTATCAGCCGATTCTCCTCTATATATCGCTGCCACGGCAGGGGCAATCGCTCTTCCCACCCTTCTCAAACTCCAAGCTATCATGAAAGAGAAACGCACCGAGTGGACCACTCAGAATGAATTACCCGTAAGCATATCTTCATGGCCATGACGTGCTTTCATTCCCTTTCTGACCCCCAATAACTAGGTCGAAATCCCTCTTCCACCATCTTACCTCTTCCATTCTATATTTGTATGTCCTGTTTCTAAAGAACAGACCACCGATGACAACCCACCTATGATGATGCCCTGCGGGCATGTCGTTGCCGAAGAGTCTCTAATGAGATTAAGCAAAGGTGGCAAATTTAAATGCCCATATTGTCCGAATGAGAGCCACCCAAGGGATGCAAAAAAGGTTATTTTGTGAGAAAGACCTGCACGTATCCTTTCGCTTTCCTCGTTTTGCGTTTTCCCCTCCCCGTCTTCATCTTTGTCTAGCTTTTACGAATTTTTTTATGAACCGTTTGATGCATGGGATCCGGCGCAATCGGAGTTCGGATGATGCTGTGATTCATATCTATTCATGCACTGTGAAGCAGAGCGCAGGGTAGAACATTCTAAGCGCGATCTCTACTTATTTTGAGATATTGGGATGGAGTTTTGATGGTATAGGGATAGTTAGCAAGGCAACCCTTCTAAAAATTGACATATAAGTTCAAGATCTTCCCATTGGTGGGGGTGCTGTGCGTTCTGCAATCATAAACAGTAGCCTTCATCTGTTCGCTCTACCTTCAAACTTAAGCGAGTTCATGGATACAAGCAGATATCTCAGAAAACAAGAAAGAAATAACCATATGAATTCTGTCCCATCCTTGAAAACTCCTTATATTACCAGTTTCTGACCCAGATACTTTTCTGAAGAATTACCCGTTCCACGCGTCGTGTTCCCATAAGATTTTAAAGTAAGTCCAGTTGCAGAATATCCTTAGAATCAAGTTATGGAAAGACCACCCAAACCTTACGGCCAAATAGACCTTCATATCATTCCGAGATAGACCCCGTTTAAGGAGACTTTTTGGGTCTCGAAGCAGAGGCAAACTTCTGAAGGTTTCTAAATTCTTCCACTTCCTTGGGAGTTGGTCTCGCTTCCGGACCTGAGTAACGGATGGGAGTCTGGCCTTCGACACGTTGTAGCTTGAACCGATAGAGCGAGCTGCTTTCCTCCATGAGTTCCTCACTCTCAATCTTATACAGCCCATCGTAGCGTAACCCTTCGGCCGGGCGGTATTTGTTTATGGCAGGAAGCTTGGAACTGCGAAGGACACGGATTGGGATCCCGTTTTGATGGGCATCAAGGAGAAGATTAGTGCCATGCGAGATCTTGCCGTTCTTTCCATAGGTGCCATAATAGTAGATTGTTTCTCCCTGATCTCTATCCGCGTATCTGTGGCTGGAACTAAGAACGATTGAGAAAGCGCCGAGACCCTCACGGCCAGAAACACCAGCTTCAACTTCTCCGTGGGCTCCATCTCGAATTGCACTCAGCTGCCAGGGGAACCATTGACCGTTGCGAAGGTTTCCTTCTCCAGCGTAGAAGGGTGAAACTCTGTATTTATATGCAGGATCGAAACTTCGGCTAACGATCCTTGCACACTTGGTTATCAACCCACGATCAAGGCCAGTTTCAATATCGCCCTTCTCCCAGCGTAGGCGAAGCACATCCACGTCAAGTTTAATGTCCCATGGAATCAAAGGACTGTTGGCAATTGCTGGGAAGCCAGATTCTGCATCAAGGAATCGCGATTTTAGGATGGCCTCTGACGAAGGATGGACTTCGGAGAAAGGCAGCTGCTGAACACGCTGCCTCATCTGGGTAAATATATGCGAAAGATCGCCTGGAGATGAAGTACGCGCTCTCCTGAAAAGAGAGAGGATTTGAGACATCTCGTCCAGATTCCGCTTGACCTTGGCTTGCTGCTTTGTAGACACGGCAATTGGAAAGCTATTGCAGGATCAGCATTTATGGATGGTCTAAAGTTATAGACTGTTAGGGGCAGAACTCACATGGCGTTTCTGGATTTTGGCTTCTGCTTTCGACGGAAAGGCGCCAACGAGGTTCGGCAATCGCTCACATTGTTCTGTGCTGCACGTCTGCAATTATTCGAAATGGCGCATGTGCATGGGATTCCGGAGACTTTCTTTGGCTGCTTGGGTCTTTTCGAGGTGTCTTCTACAATCTCGCCTTCCTCTTCATGGCTACGTTTCGAAGGAGGATTCGTTGGGCTAAAGCGGGTCGCAGTTTCAAGAAAGGGGCTTTCGAGAGATTCAGTAGTAGAGATGCCAGAAATCATGGTCATTGTATCTATCTCCCCATGTTCAGAATGGATAAGATTATGATCATGCGTGGTGCCTAGATTATCATTTATATCACCAGATTCAAGCGAAGCTAACGGTTCAGCTGGAGAATCCATATCAACGTGCATGTCTGTTGAGTCCAGTTCTTTCTCTTGATATAGACGCTTGAGGTGCTCTTCAACCATCTGTTCAAATCTCTTCATGGAGAAGAAAGGGTGTGAAAAGTGAGGTGAGCACGTGCTTGTTTATATAGTGAGCTGATGTGTTCCTAGCAACGGACAAAAGGGGAAACGCTAGAGGAGAAATCCGCGCTGGATCACAAATGTTAACAGAAGCTTCGGGGATATCCACTGCTTATGAAGGGAAAGCTCAAGAAGCAAAGTTGGGTTGTGTCAGGGAATAGATCATATAGCAGTTCTGCTCAAGTATATATATATATTAACGAGCCTGTGTTTCGCAGACGGAGGATCTGCTCCCATGTCGCTTGCAATGGGTGTCTGGATTCCTCAGAAGTCAAATACTTCGTATCGTACTAAGTACGGAGTACGCTATCGTAGATTCAGGGCGTGGAATTCTGTACCTTGCTCAGTATTTCCCCTTGCTTGCTAGCCATAACTGACGTGTTGCTAACCCACCGCAGGTGAAAGAATCCTCGAACACTTTTTTTAAGGGCTCGTGGATCACGGTCTACCCTCTGGCTTGCCCACCGAGTCCCCACCAGGGCACCAGCAAACCATGGCTTTGATTGGTTCCATACCCGCAACCCCTCCCTGTCAGAAGGGGAGGAGAAAAGAGGAGAAGAGAAGACAAGAAAATAAAAGCCAAGAAACGCTTGCTATCTTCCTTGCTTCCACCCAGTCTGCAATGCACTTCACGATGCAGATATTTATGTTTATCCGGACAAAGGAACTGCAATCAGAAACCCAGCAGACATCGAGACAATGTTTGGTTTCAGGGGGTTTCTGGCTACCAGGAGCCCTTTGTCCCTGAAGCATGCTCATTGTGTAGATGGCAAGGTGAGGTGTGAACTCCGAGAAAGTTCTAGTATGTTTGGTGGAAGAAATAATTAGGCTGAAAAGAAAACATCGCTCCTTTTGCTTCACGGCTGGGATAGCATGATCTGGCGCTGAAACCTCTCCGGAGGGCTTGTGAGCTATTAGGCATGCCACAACGCGGCTTCGATGGTACTACTCCATGTAGTTACTCTCTGGTATGGGAGTCGGCGAAAATCTCTGAGGCTGACGCCGGGGGGGAATTAACTGCCCTGCATCTATGGCAGTTGAAAATGTGACATGACTCCGGAGGACAAGGCAGCGGTAAAGAGCATACCATAACTCTGAAAACTTCTGACGAGTTATCGATATATATGTTTAGCTCCTTCCCACAAACCTCCCTCAGAAAGCCTCCATATCATGAAAGTGATAGCAATATTTCATGCGCTATCACTTGGGGATCTTGTGAAGCATTGCCAAGCGCAGGCTGTCATTAACGAGCTTACATATGTCCATATTGAATTTGGCACACTTTTACCATGTAACAACCAGCTGATCTTGTGAGCTGGGAAACTTGGTGCTCTGTTTCAGATTTACCTGATCTCTCAAAAAAAAAAAAAAAAAAAAAAAAAAAGAAAAAAAGAAAAAAAGAAAAAATAAAGTACATTTTGCGGGGTTGGCATGTGGAATGTAGCCAAGCATGTGGGTATAAAAAGCTTGTGGTTCACAATGTTCAGGTCGTCCCGGACGTCTTCTGCCGTAACTGACTCGTGGGCGCTGGCCCCTGGGGAGCTTTCTGGTCATCCTGCTCCTTGTTCCATCACGCAAAAACCTAACTTAATTTGACGGATGGCCATCATAAATACCTTCATTGAAGACTCCGTACTGGTGTAAAACAGCCTGACCTCTCCACCTCCTTTGATTGTTGGCCTAACTCAGCACACAATTCTAGAAAATCCATGGCTATCTCCACTCATCAAGCTCAACCGGTTACGTTGAGCCTACAGGAGCTTACTGAAGGTTGGATGGATGGACGTATTGTTGCTGATGTCTTGCTGATGAAATATTCCAGGTTCTGTGTCATTTGAGGCACTGGCGGAGGCCTTTGGTCCTTCGTCCCTGGGAATTATCGTTGTTAAAGATCTCCCTGAGAGGTTCAAGGACCTTAGAGCTCAAGTTCTATCTAATTCATCGTATTTGGCATCATTGCCTGCGGATGAACTAGGTGAAGCTTCTCGCCATCTAATTTCCCTCTTCTAAGGCCCGACCTAACAAGCGGATAGAATCCCTCACTTGCGCCGAGGCAAAGTACTTGGTAGGATGGTCATGCGGGAAAGAAACCCTTCGATCAGGGCATTTCGATACTTTGAAAGGATCTTACTATGTCAACTGTGCATTTTATCAGGACCCCGATTTACAAAATACGCCGGCTGAGGATTACCCTGATTTCCCACAATATACGGCGCCAAATATATGGCCACCCACCGACAGACTGCCCACATTTCGCCAAAGCCTGGTGGAACTGTGTACACTCATAATCGATACCGCAGTTCTTGTTGCCCGAGCTTGCGATCGCTATGCCCAAGCTAATATCGACGGCTATACACCAGGCTACCTTGAACATGTTGTCAAAACCAGTACGACCACCAAGGCGCGGTTACTACACTATTTCCCGAGTCCTGCAGAAAACATAGCGATTGACCATGTTTCTTCTCAGGAAGAAGAAAATCAAGATGACTGGTGCGCGACACATCTTGATCACGGGTGCCTCACGGGTCTTACATCCGCCATGTTCGTTGACGAAGCAGCAAATCCTCCGGGTGCAGATCCTTCCAGAACATTCCCCCTTCCGGAACTCGGCACATCTCCAGACTCAAACGCAGGATTGTATATCCGTTCAAGAACAGGTGAAGTTGTCAAAGTGAACATACCGAAAGATTGTCTCGCCTTCCAAACCGGAGAAGCACTGGAACTTATAACCAAGGGCAAGTTCAAGGCGGTGCCGCATTTTGTTAGAGGTGCGAAAACAACGGGTCAAGCACGAATTGCGCGGAATACGTTGGCTGTCTTTACGCAGCCAAATCTGAGTGAAGAGGTGGAAACGGGAAAGACGTTTGCTGATTTCGCGAGAGAAGTTGTCGAGAGGAATCATTAAGATCGTATTGTTGAGCTATGAGTCACTCGATTGTCTCCCACAACCTTATTTGGCCCAAAAGGCTTTTTTTCCCCCCTTTCTGGCTTGCTCGTTTTGTTTTGCAGGCTGTATTTGATATGTGCCTGAAGCGTCGCGACTTGTGTGGGGTTGAATGCACAGGGCGCGGGGACGATCAGCTTCGGCGCTGGCGGAATCACTTCCTCGGGCTTGGTGAAGCAATTGCCGAGGGTAAGCTTGGCCGATTATTAACCAATTTGTCTAGTGGTTCATACAGATACTTGTTGCTAAGTATGTTAAGAGAGACAGCAGCGATGGTGTGTAATGGCTCCAAAGCTGCCTTCATTGGCCCGCACACAGGGACAAACCATGGGCCCACGATGCCGACCAGCATCTCGTTGATTTCTGCGCACAGATCCCCCTAAGCAACACCAGAGTGGGAATGTCCTGGGATGATCAACAGGCTGCACTTTAGCACAGGTGGGTTCAGCTGAGTTGTGCTCTTGCAAGTCTGGTTGAGGAGGGAGAAGGAAGAAGGGGAGTAACAGAGTAGTGGTTGGGAGCAAGAAAACAAACTCTCAGAGCTCTAACTCAGCTTCAGTTACAAACACCTTGATCTGTTGTCATGGATATTGCTAGCTAAAATGCCATGGCGTTGCGGGTTTATCAGCACTAAATGACAGAGAATTAACTCTGCAAAAGATGCTCTCTCACACCTACACAAAGGGAAAAGAAAAAAAAGAAAGAAAAGAGAGGTGATGACAAGCCATTTATTCCTATCCTAATCTAGTAAGCTAAACTCCTCTCCAAAGGATCACTCTGTGTCTCTTTGCCAACCCCATATTTTGTATCCGGGACATATTCCATCCCGACAATGGAAGTCGGCAGCTGTCTGACCATGATACGACAGTTGTTACCTGTGCCGTTCACCGGCCTTCATAGCCCAGATCACTAACTCCCTGGAGTACGGAGTAGTTATGTTTCCCTTTGGCTAGACTCGCGAACTCGTATTCATTGCAGCTGAGAGTATTACTTTTTGCGATTTAAAATTTGTGATACGACAAACGCTTTAAGTAGAGCCGAAGTCGAATAGGGCATCTTCGACCTCTTGTTTCTGTTGCCTCTATCTTCGTCGGTTTCCAAAATCCATGCCACTACCACCATGGGTGTTATTGCCTAGCTAACCAAGAAGACAGTTTTGGCATGCTAGATTTGTGATTGCTATCACAATTTTTTGTTGACAATGTTGGGTTTATCCTCTATGATCCTAGGGGCATTCCTTTGCTTCATCGCACTCAGATTTCTTTTATCAATCACTTCTGCATTATTTTCAAGAAATAGATCAATTTCAGGCCCATTCCTTGCGAGATTCACGCGTTTCTGGTACCTCCGTGAAATACACCGCGGGCATTTTGAAAAGGTCAACATTGAGCTTCATCGCCGACATGGTGTGTTGTACGCATCTAGGGCTTAATGAAAACTAAAACTAACATCAAAAAGGAAAAATTGTCCGCATAGCCCCGAATGAATACAGTGTAGATGACCCTGAAGCAGTGAGGACAGTTTACGGCCCTGGCAGCAAGTTTCGGAAAGCAGATTGGTATGCGGGATGGGCCCACCCGGATCCGAGTCGATTCACCCTCTTTACGGATCGAAATTCGAAGCGGCATGCTGCAGAGAGGCGAAAAGTGTCTGCTGCTTATTCGCTGTCGACTTTGGTGTCCTATGAGGGCTTTGTGGATGATTGTGTCGGCATTTTCGATCAGCGGTTGAGGGGATTTGCGGATCAGAAGTTGGGTATCAACTTCGGTCACTGGCTACAATGCTTCGCTTTTGATGTGATTGGGGAAATCACGGTTTGTTTTTCCTGTTACTGTTATCCCTTAGAGATACATTTTGAGGTACTGTTCCGTGATTAACTCTTCCATACAGTTCTCAAAACGCTTTGGTTTTCTCGACGCTGGTGAAGATGTCGGGGAGATAATGGAGTCGATTAACAACAAAATGGCATATAGCACAATGGTGGGAGTGTATCCAAAGATCCACCCGCCTCTCTTCCGTCTCTTAAGTTTCTTTCGGGGCTCCAAAGCAACGGGGGAGGAATATAATGTCAGGTTTGCTCTCGACAACATATCTGAACGCAAAACCAGATTCACCACCGTTCCCTCAAATGGACCAACGGACTTCCTTACCAAGTTCCTAGAAGCACATTCCGCGGACCCAGAAAAGTTTACAAACTACAACATCCTCATGGGCTGCTTAACGAACATAGTTGCTGGCTCTGACACAACCTCTATATCCCTAAGCTCGATTATGTACAATCTTTGCCGAAACCACGACGCTTTGGCAAAACTCCGAAGCGAGATAGATAACATGACTGCGGAAGGAAGATTATCAAACCCAGTGACCTTCAAGGAAACCCAAAACATGCCATATTTACAGGCCGTAATAAAGGAGGGTCTAAGAATGCACCCAGCTACTGGCTTACCGCTTGCTCGAGTCGTCCCTGATGGCGGAGTCACTCTTGCTGGTAGATATTTTGAAGCAGGAGTAAGACATCCGTATTCTTAATTTCCTTTGAAATTCCGCAACTGCTGATATCATATTCTATTAGACTGTTGTCGGCATAAATAGCTGGGTGGCACACATGAATACGTCTGTCTTTGGTGCGGACGCTCACCTTTTTCGACCAGATAGATGGCTTACAACAGACACCGCTCAACTCTCCAAAATGGATCACTATTTCCTGCCGGTAAGTGACTTCAAATAAGCCTCCATTCATGTTCAATAGCTTATACAAATGTGTTACTAAACAGTTTGGCCTTGGATCTCGTACCTGCCTGGGTAAGAATATCTCCTTACTCGAAATGTCGAAGCTCGTTCCCCAGTTGGTTAGGAACTTTGATTTTGAGCTGGTGAACCCAGAAAAGGAGTTAGAAACCAGAAATATGTGGTTCGTTAAGCAGATGGATTTTTTCTGTAGGGTGTCATCAAGGGCAACCTGACCAGGGGTTTTCAGGGAGCTGCATGAATTGGATCAAGGTTATGTCTTGAGATAAAGTAGCTATGATACAATAGGATGTTTATCAGTGTTCTTGGTTACGTGACAGCCAGGGCATGGTAGGCCGCTTAGGAGAGATAGATTGCCTGTTATAGCGAAATGCATTCAATTCGCCGGCTCAAAGATCACCGTCCGCAATGCAAGGAAAATGGCCAAAATACACTAGGAAGAAAAACAAAACAGACCACAGGATAGATCAAGGCCAAATCCAGAAAATAAAAGTATGCCGATGCCAATTGCCACCAAACCATGGTCAGAACGCATTTAACCCGCTCATCATAGATGCATGTATGCAGCAACGCTGTCCAATTTGATATTTGAAAAGCAAATCAGCCAGAGGAATGTTCGTCATAGTGAACAGGATTTCAACACCATATTCATGGCGAAAAAGATCGTACGCTTCAGAACTTCCGCCGCTTTGTAGTTGGTTCTCCAGAGGACGGTGGTACGTAGTCGCCGCCCTCAGATTCCGTCGTTCCCCCGCGAACGATAGTCGTGCCCATTTGCAGCAACACATTGAGAGAGTCTTCGCTTTCGTCCGCCTCTGCTTTTGCATCATGGTAAATGCTAGACACATCATCGTCTTGCTCATAACCATCTTCATCAACCGCAGTATCGTGTGCTGAAGTGAGGTCGTTTGAAGTAGCATTGGTCGATGGATCAGGTGGCGCCAACGCAGTACTAACCAGCGAACTCGTTTTCCCCATCTTTTTGAACTTCGATGAATCCGCTTTCCCGCCAATGATGTCTTCCACTACCCGGCGGCCCTTTCTCTGGGGCAATTTTGCGTCCTTAACATCCGCCGACGTGGCTGTACCGTCGATAATCCGAAGATTGGCGCGCCACATCTTCAAGTCCCGAGCGTCGTCGTATTTTCCAACTTCGATACCATTAAACGTCTCAAGGGCGAGGGTTTCAAGACGATAGTCTCCTGCAAACCATTCGCTGTTCTCGGGGATACGATCATCCACATCACGTCCGTACACACGCCCTGAGATGACTCCCTCAAAATCGAGATCCAAATCTGTGCTACCGAGCATCAATCTCATGTAGTCGGCCTCAAAGCAGCGACCGATGATCAAGTTGATTGAAACTTCCATTTCTTGGTCAGGAGGATGTAAGCGGTACCACGGTCCGTACTGGCGCATCGAGACAGTTTCGAAGGCGTCCATAACTTCATCCATTGTCAATGGTTCTGCCTCCTCATTTGGAGACGAAAGGTCGCGGTACGCCCTGTCTTTAGAAATGGTGTATGCCTGCCCCTTCACACGGGGAGCAATCTTCTCACTTAATAAAGGAGAAGAGAGATCGGCGTCGCAATCATAGAGCTCCATGACTATCTCTTCGATAGTAAGAACGTCGGTCACAGCGCCAAAAGGGGCTCCGCACGACCAATTTTCGGGCATGATGCGAACCGTATCTCCTTTCACAAGGAGCTCTGCACCAATGTAGACACCTTTGCAGTAGATGGTGGCATGAGGCCAGGTCCCTGCGAAGCGATATCTATCCAAAAAGCTGAAGGATGGCATCACCGTCAGCGCATTAAAAATAGACGGATGAAAATATTCGGATGAAATATTTTGCATGAAAATATCCCACATATTAAAAGGCCTGGTATGGCTTAAGGGAACATATTTATACTGGCTTGAATAGGCTTTATCCGGGCTATTCGGATCTGGAAACGTTTCAATTCGGAACCCAGACATATTGATAGCCATGGATTTTTCCGAGGCAAAGTAGATATCCCCTAACAACACAAGTTCTTCAGGCACTTGGGCCACGGTTCCCGCCCGCCACTCAGGAGGATCTAGAAACTTTTGCGTTTTTGGGCAGACTTGACGGAATGTGTCCGTGTTGAAATCAAATTTCACATCACCTTTAAGTTCTGGGCACCACAACACCAGCTCTCCAACTCGAGGGATGAAGCGATGTTGCATGGAAATGCGGGTTAGATGGTCAACGAGCTGTTCGCGCTCCGCTCGCCAATCCATATTATCAGTTTCTTCCACTGGTTCGTCCAAAGATCGTTTGATCTTAAGTTTATAGACGAGCTCTTTGAATACATCTCGAAGTCCTTCTTCATCTTCAGCAAGATAATTTGACCCCTTCCGACGGCCTATAAGCACAGATATTGTCAACATAAGACATTGTAAAAGTAAATATACATAGCCCTTACCGCGTCTTCTTGGGCCAATTGCTGCTGCTTTTCGAGTGGCGCCAGCAGGCTGTTTTCCTTTACCACGTCTTCGACCCCTAATTAGGCGAGGCATCCCGGCTGAATCTATAGTTGTCCCTTTTTCTCGCTGGAGTATGCAAAGGTCACAGTTGCATGGAGAAGTTCCACCATTCATCAAATAGACAAAGTGGTCCCAAAATTTATTGGCCGAGTTGAAGTATACCCCCGAAGGGTGGCCAAAAAGAAACTTGTCGCGCTATCCCGAGCGTCATCAGCATCAGCGGGCAACAACATAGAGCATATCAAAAAACTTACAATGTGCGGGTGGCTTCTACGCTCACGAGATAACAGTGCATAGCCTTTTGGAAGCTGGCTGAGAACATAGTGTTCATCTAGCGGGCACCTAGGATGTTAGTGTTTATATGAACAACAAATGCCAAATGTAGGAAGAAAATATATATCTGCACCTGAATAAACGCCGAGAAGGCATCACATCGCCGTAGAAACCATATGTGAAACTCTCCTAGGAGGCCTAGTAAAAGCTGGCTTCTAATACATTGGCAGGCAGAGGGGAATACTCAAAACCAACATTGTCACTCAAAAGCACATGGAAAATAAGAATCCAAACACCAGCAGATCTTTTAATGCATATTCCAGCTATATCGATGCAAGCCAGTTTGCTAAAGGGTTGTCCAAAACCCACAAAAAAAGGATCCTCTGGCAGGGTATAGGACTGACCTGGCTTGAACTTTTTTATGTGTTGCATCCATAATTTAGCTAACTTTTCCAGGTATGTTGTCGGGTCAGCTTCCTCATAGCGGGAGTCCGTCGGCCAGAGCCGCTCGTCTCCATCGCTGTATATGTCTTCAACGGGTATTATCACCCATTTCTCTTCCTTGAACGAAGGCCCTGCTTCGAGCTCCTCAAATTCAGGTAGAGCCGGAGGCATTTTTATGTCAGTTGGTACATTCAAGCTGAATAGTGCCCGGGAATGTTGGAGCTCCTCCGTATTTCTGGACTAATGTGTGATGTCGTCGTCCATCTGGCGCTTGGATGATGGGGTTGAAGGTCAGAGACTCAGAAGGCAATATATATCACCGTGATGATAAGACCAGGAGCCAAATCCAAGTGAGAGTCTTCCAATTAAACTAGAAAGGATAAAGTGAATATGGTCCAGAATAACATGTTATCAGGTCAAGCAGCCAACAAGGGACGAAAGTTTCAACAGCAGGTAAAGCAGGAGCGCACGTGACGCCGCTAAGTTGCCCTAACTAGTTACTTAACCTTGTGCCTAGTGCAGACCTCATCGGTTGATCAAATTCTATTCACCTTGATTTTGAAGCATGAATAGTTGCGGATCACATTGAATTTATATAGCATACGAGGAATGTACAAATCCTGACTGGAAATATGTGTGGAGGGACAAAACTTAGAAAACTAATATCACTTCCACCTGAATTGTTGAAACGAGAACTCAAGATGTTGGATTCAGTTCCCTCATTTTCTCCTCATTTTGACCATGAACTTCCTGTCTGGCAATAATCCACCGATTCCTCGCTGATCTACAACGGGCATGCCATTCGTGTGCAAGGCCTCTTGGTCAACTTCGATATCAAACATGGTCAGCAGCGTAGACATCCCAGCAACGATCTCGTACAGAGCGAAAAATCGCCCAGGGCAAAGATGGTTTCCTCCGCCAAACGCGCGGAATGCTAGCATGCGATCCTTGATCTCTTTTGACCGTGTCCCAACTGGCAACGATATGGGATCTGCAGCTGCTTTGGAAACCGCAGCTTCAGCGTTTGTCTTTTCTTCGATGTTCCCATTTGCGTCACGTTCCACGTCCAGAAATCTTTCGCCCCAAAATCCCGACGCGCCTACTGCGGCTCCGCGTGACCATACATCATCATCCATGTGCAATATCCTCGAAGCGATATGGATAACATTGCCTTTATGGAAGGTGTACTGACCCACTTGGGTGGTCTCAAGGACTACGCGGACCATTGGCGCTGCCACACCATACCGGAGAGACTCGAGAAACACCGACTTCAAATATTTGTGCGTTACCACTTGGTGCATATCGAACCCCCCATCTGGTTTACGACATGATTCGATCGCTTCGGAAACTCGCTGCTGAACACCGGGGTTAACAAGGGAATGGATCATCGTCCACAAGCCAATAGGGATGGCGTTTGCATTTTGACTGATTAACATCTTAGCCGGAGAACAGTATTCAAGTGGTTCTCGAATGACACTCACCCCCATATCAAACTTAGCGCCATGGAAGCACGTGCCACTGCGGACATGCCATTTTCCGTGGCAAACTTTACTCTGTGGTGAATGAGTCGTGCACCCCAGTATTCATCCCATTCAACATCCTCCGCGAGCATCTTCTCCAGATCTTTGCGTTGGCGGGCATCCTTTTCCCACTGGAGAAGAATATTCAGTATTTTCCGGCGAGACCCGTATGCTTTGGGTGCAAGAATTTCTGGCACTTGTGCAAGATGGATCCTTGTGTACTCGTCATACGCCCAAAAGTCTTCACAGATAGTTGGCCAAGAATCCACGAGATGGCTTCCATAAAGAGACGCAACGGAAGCCATCACATATTGTTTCAAAATGAAGCTGCGAAGATCTATGCTAATCCAATCTGTGGAGCTCGTGTTCTTGGGGAATTCCTTCTCCAGATTTTCTGTCAATTTTCGTAAAAATGTGGTTGCCATATTGATTGAGCCCTCCATACTCAAATGCTGCTGGAGCATTTTACTCATCGTCTGCCAGACCCGTCGGCCATCATCTTTGTAACCGGACTCGTGCTCGAAGCCAGGAATTCCCATCTTCAATACATTCAGGTCGGCTTCTGGTGTTCCAAAGGCCGCGTGGGATGCTATTATGAATGCCTCCATTGGGAAAACTTTTGGCCGGCGATAGATTTGGCTTGCCAATTTCGGATCCAAAATCGTATAATAATGTCTGCCGCCAACCACGGACGTCGCGGCACCTTCTTTTGGAAATCTTTTCCTGGGGAATGTCAGTGCGATATTAGCAGAGGGAAACCGAAAACATACTTGACTCGAGCTCCAAAGCCGTTAATGTTGAACAAAAAGGAATACGCATGGCCCAACCAAGGAATCCAATGTGGGACCATTGGCGGCTCGCCTTTGCGAGGCCACCGGGCGTTGAAGTTGCTCACGAGCCATGTTACCAGGAAGGGCAATCCCAGAGCAATTGCGAAATACACAGTGACTGGGCTACCGACCGCGTCTGCGAGTACGGCCAACATCATGGGAAGAATTTGCAAGGACAATTCCACCGGCGATATCCTATTCTTTTCCTCCCGGAGGCTCGATGAAGAGGACATGAGCTTACGTTAAATATGGATACATCCTCGTAGGCCCACTAAACTACAACAAGCAAATGTAGACTTGTTTCAGGGATCCTGACATCAAATCAACAAGGGCATAACCCATTTAGAAACTCGGATTCGCTCGGCTCGCAGCAGGGTTTGCGTTCCCGCGATGCACACTTTGCTTTTTTTTTGTGCCACTCTCATAACTCTTCATTTAGTCCTTGACCGCGTCTACATTTTGGCTAAACAAAGGGTTTCGCAACTGCGACAGCAACAGAGCCGTCCTGTTGCCAAGCCGGGTGTAATGCAAGCTCTTCCGATCTCAAGTGGCTCTTAGATTTATCTGGCTGACATATGAATTGGATAACTCCATCTATGTATGAGACTATTCCCGAACATTACTTACCAAAAGTCCCCAGGATCGAGGCTTTCGAGCGAGAGGGGTCTTGAAGAACGTGGAATGCTGGACCAACCCACATGGAGAACAAACCCGTCGCGCCCCGTTCCTTCGCACTACTCCGTACCGAAGTCGCCCATCATATCGTATGATATAACAGAACCATGGTAGAAGCTCTCTGAAAGTAGCCGCATGCATAATGTCCAAGCCACGCTTAGATGAACGACTGCTCCTTTGGGACACCCAACGAGGGCCTCGTGTTGCGAAATCAACTCGCAATGGTCGCGGCCATGCAAGCCAGCTAACTACGTCACCGTTCAGCAATCTGCCAACGGCATCTGGCCGTGAAACCAAACACTCGTTATTTACAACTTTGAGTCGTCAGCAGCCCCTAAGGTTGCTACTTCTGGGGTGTCCACACCTACTGAGAGTTCTACATGCATAATATTCGAAGGAGAACGGTTCAGCAGGTGGATTGATCGCTGAGATTTGAAAGGAATGATTTGCAAGAAGGTGGCGGGTGAAGATAATTGTGTGCGGGAGGCGCCGACGCAGGCGGAATGGCTCTGGACCGGGTGTTGATCATTGCTTTTCCTCTCGGTACGGCAGACAAATTAACTATGTAGTTATCTTTGCAGCGGACAGCGCCAGCAGCCTGGCTTGGTGGGCTGCAAACAGCACAAACATCAGAACAGACTTCCTCATTGCAACGGCCAGTGAGTCGGAGATGATAGGAGACGGGGTATGGAGTACTCCGTACTCCGTACAGGCGGCAGCATTACACTGACTCTCACACAATCATGGTCTATTGCTCTATGATGATTTCTCGACTAGAAAGGACCCCCTTTATTCACTGAAAATTGCCTTTCATAGACTACAGAGAAGAGTACAGAGAGCACCACTTCATTTTCATTCTCCACTCAACGTACTTTTGTTTTAGACATTTTCTCTCCTTTTTTTTGGCTCTCAGAAGTGTCACTTCGAATATAGGCGACTGAGTGTAACCTGTGATGCCTCTCTGCAAACTTGTTGCTGCGAACTCGCCCACAAATAATCAGAGAGTCTGATAAGCGCTGCAAATGGGAAAAGAGGCAACTGCCAATCAAAGGACCTCAAATCAGAGGAAGGGTGTTCAGAGTAACACTATCCCAAGAACAATATCATCTCCCCATTTTTGAGATTGGAGCATCTCCATCAGGACAGTTAGATATTCTCTATCTCCTTGTAGACCTTCTTCCCGAAAATTCAAATGATTGCTTGGATATCATGCAGGATATTAATCACGTTCAGTATCCTTGCCTGTGCTAAATATCTGATAGCTGGGTGCCAATCCAGTGCAATCAGAGACTAGTAGTGTATCCTTCATAATACAGGCACTTTTTTTGCCTTGTATTACAGAGCATATTCCTGGTTCTTGGGGAGGCCGTTTGGCATTGCCTTTATTACCAAAACAGAGATCGAACCACTTGTGAGTATAAAATTCACATTTTGCAAGGGACCAGATATAAATGCATAGGTCAATTGGTGACCTAGAACTCTGCTTCCCTCAATAATGTTGTCCTTTGCCAGAATACCAGTAGCTGCATGCAAGTCAAAACAAGAGTTAACCCTGGGTATTTAGTAGTAGACAAGGGAATTATAGGATTGTTTGTTGAAATAAACACTATTTACATACAATGTAGGTATCAGGGACATGGCAACAATAAATATATTCGACGCCTCAAAAGTATGCTTCAACCCAACCCTGCAATCGTAATCGTGCGCGGCTCATGCAATACTCCACCACTTCCTAGAAAAAATTACTCTCTGTCAGAAATTAGTCAACTGTGATGTTATCTGGACTCTCCACCGCAATCGCCTCCTCATACAATGGAGGAGCCAGCTGGTTACCATCATCAAGCCAGACTTTTTGCAGTTCGTTCCCGATCTCCTCGCGCCGTCTTTTTAAATCCTCCACATTATTCAACCGCTTTCTGAGCTCCTGTAGCTCCTTCTCCACGCCCATTTTCTCCTTCTCAGTCCCGATACGATCAATTTCCCAGCCATTTCCATCGACGCCCAATCCAAGAGTAAGATTGAAAGTGTGATACCGTTTCAGAGATGCGCGGGTGGAGATCGTGATCAACGTGATACCTCGCTCCTTGGACCGTTCATAAAGGAGTCCCTCGACGTCTGATGATACCGCGGACGTGCCTTCATCGATAAAAGCATAACGCGGCTCGTGGTACAAGAGTCGCGCAAAGGCCATCCGCTGCTTCTCACCGCCACTAAGGACGTCCTTCCATTCTTTCCGGCAGTCCCAGCCTCCTTCACGTTCAGGAAGGTATCCCAAATGCACGGCCTCAAGAATCTGCAAAAGCTCGGCATCTGTGCGCCTGTTTTCTCTCATGTCCATCTCACGATGTGGGTAAATAACTTGGTCTCTTAGTGTGCCAACGCTAAGGTAAGGCCGCTGCGGGAGGAACATAATTCCATCAGTGCCAAAGATTCGGGGACGGCTCACCAGGCCGCGATATACGGGCCATAGACCAGCAACAATTCGTGCAATTGCAGACTTGCCAACACCGTTCGGTCCGGAGACCAACAAATGCTCGCCGGAATGGACTATGAATGAAAGTGATTCAATGAGCTCGTCACCTCCTTGAGGGAATAGCCCAGGTGCGACAATCGGTACATGCTCAAGACGAACTCCGTCAAAGCCACTGTGGATCGTCCCCTGAACATCGGATAGTGAGTATAACTCCGGTTGGATATCACGGCCTCGATAGTACGCGTTGGCATGAACGCGATGCAAAGTAGAAATCAGGGTATAAACTCGTGACGTGTACCCTGCCAATTCCGCAAGGTCCTTGATACTGTACATCATTCGTCCACCAGCGTCAGCGAGAGACAACATTAACCTCTTATTGGTAATGAAGTCTTTCATCCGGCCTCGTTCTCGGTTAGAACTCGTGTCTGTACTCGCCATCTCCAACATTCCACCCAGTCCGCCCCAAGCCGGAAGGAAAATCGGCAGAGATGTAATGAGGTATCCCAAGGCTGACCAAGAATACTTCAAAATGATATCTTCAAACATATTGTAACGGATTTTGAGCCCATAGATGCCTTCCATCCATTTCTGTAGCTCCCTGAAGCTTTTCGACAAGAACACTCTTTCGATATCCGCGCCACCATAGAATGCAATTTCTTCTGCGTTCGCCAAAATTCTTGAATGTAAGCTGCGAAAATCTCCTTCCTTTTTACCTTCCACCGCCTTTAACTTTCCGAATGGGGGTGAAAGGCGACGAAGAAGGCTGGCGGTACCAGAATAGCCGCTGATAATGACAGCGAAGGCGATTGGTCCCAAAGAGCGGTAGAGCTGATAGGTAAAAACAACGAGGTCGACAAATGGCTTCCCAAGGGACGAATATAACGAGGACACAGCGGTGCAGAAGAGCGTAAGATCCTGAGTGATGAACTGATCCGCTCCTTGCCCCACTCCTCCGTCTAGATTCGACAACTTATAATAGTTTAGGTTGTCGTTGAGGTAGAGATCATGGATATACCGAGTTAGGCGTGTACGGAACGCAATAGAAACCTTTGACTGGAGGAACTTTATCATCGCGTTGGTGTACGAAGCGAAAGTTCCAATTCCGCACCACTTGATAATTCCCCATATGAATGCCCTGCCTTTCCCTGCAACCAAATCTCTGACAATTTCTCCATCGAGTCGTGCAACGATCAGGGAAAGATATGTTCGAAGCATTAAGAAAACGCCGTGACTAACAAGAAGCCCTGTCTCCTTGCTATTCCATCTCGGGATCATAATGCTAAGGAGGCTGAACAGCTGGTGAAGAAAGGCTAAATTTAAGCCTGGTTTCGTCGACGGCGGAGGGATCAGCGATGTCCCGGAGGTTCGATGCGGGCTTAGAAATAATCTTCGGTGGGCATCAAACGTCGTCGACTTGGTAGGATGTATCGTAACCCTGGAGCTCTCGGATGACGAAAGGGACGACTTGGACGGCACGTAAATGATCCTCGCTCCATCTTTCCTCAAGATTCCAGAGTTCTTCCGCAATAACCTTCGGCCCTGGGCTCTCTCTTTCGACCCTTCTCGCCACCAGTTATATCCTCCATACCCACTTCCAACAATCGCAAGAAGCAATGCAGTAGTTGCAAGCAGTCGAGACCGTCGGGAGCTTCTCTGGATCCGTGACTTTAGTAGATTCGCATAGTGGTTAAAGAGGAGGAGCAACGGATCCTCCGGCTGCCGCAAAGTCGACTGCGCAGCCATTTTGACACGCGATGCTGTGGTTAGTTTCAGTCACCAAAGCAACTATCGAGTCCAGCAGTCAGCTTATGTTGCCTTCTGCATCGGAGCGACGGAGAACCATGGGTGTTGAGGCCTGCAATCTGACAGTTCCAAATGGGATGGATATTTCAGCACATCCAACGAAGCAGAGTATTCAGCAACACAGAGATATCAAGATGGACGCCGCCGCAAAGCCGCCCCAATCCTCTCTCCGGACTTCCCCAGCCCACGTCTCGGGATTTCTTCCGCTGGCGGATCTTAGTCATCTCCCTCCGTCCGCAGCATGTGAAAGTCATGTGATAGCCCGCTCGCATTCCAAACGCCGATGGCTCGAAACGGCCGCGAGGCCTGGAGATGGAGGACACTCGCGAGTGTCCCAAGATTAGCGGCCTACTGGCTCAAATTTGTAGCTTGGTGCCAATGGCCTTGTGTTGTGCTGCTCTTTGCCAATAGACCAGAGTAATGATCAAATGATGCTCTTGAAACAGTTTGTCTGGAGACCTGAAACGCTACAGACTACACTCCATGTAGAGATATTTGAGTGAAAATTAAGATTGACAAGACTGATACTACAAGTCAACTGTAAGAAAAGCGAACCTTCGAGAACCTTTGGGTTGAGTGTTTGAGCTGTTTCAGCTGACATTTTTGAGCAATTTCCTCATGTGTCGTCCTGGGTCACCCTGATGATACATATTCATCATCTCTGTAGACTGCGGCAAGCCACTGATGGCTGCAGCGAAGCATAGAGGTCTCTGAGTCCCGCTCTCGAACTCTGCGAGTTGGGCGGTTCCGCCCGGCCGTAGTTCGAATTATCCAGATCTAACTGTGAATGTCATAGCACAATATGAAAGCTGGCAGGCTGCCAGCGCGAATCACTGATAGAATGATGCATCCTGAGTCTAGTGGAACAGGCTCGAAATTCATCTTGAAGAGTCCACAGCTTACCTCTCTCTATATATATCTATACAGGCATCGTAGTTCCCCATCCAAGTATTGCATGGGATCAACTAACTCCAAGCACATGTACTCTGTAGAAATTCCAAGGGCATAAATAGTTCCTAGCACAAGTTGGAAACCCGCGACCTCGGGTTCGATGCCCAATTGCAACATTTTCCCCCAAGTAGTAAATGAACCAGCGCCATCAAAAGCCCCAAATTAGGGTACTAACCAGGCCCCATACTCCGTATAGCATGAAAGACCCGGGCCTGGGCAGTAAATTGGCGTCAGAGGGGGTCCAACTGTTATTGAGACGCTGAGAGAACCAAGCAAGGTCATCACAGCATATGTAGTTATTAATAATACAAAATACAACAATCAGTTGCCCAAAACTCCAGGCCGTTTTAGCACGTAGTCATGGTATATATATTGTGTTCAGAGAAGCTGCAGTCCCTGAACGCTGAACCTGCACGAGATGTGGAGGGCTAGGCCATGTAAATTCTTGCTGGTGGCGGGAAGTTATGAAAAAGTGGAACCGGCCGTGAAAGCAACATGAATCCACCAACCTGCCACCAGGCCCAGGTCGCGGAGAGGTGAAATGCTCCCAGAGCCCGACAACAGCAGTAAATTCCGCCACCAATAAACAAGGCGGCCTGCCACACTCGCAGTGTCCAGACTTGAACAAAGTCAGTGTGATTGAAGATCTTTTTCACCCAACCAAGTGACGGGATTGGGTGAACACAGCGCTAAAAAAAGCAACTAACTTTAGCCTCCCCGCTAAGCGAAGGGAAAAGGCTGGTCGTTCTCCCCTTGGCCCAGAGTCTGTGAGCTCACCTCCAGTTTTCTTGACCCCAGGCCGTCAAGTCACTCTGACGGAGTCTAATCCTTCTCTCGCCTGCTGCATGATCCTCGACTGCCTCTCGAGCCCCAGGGCGGCTGACGTTACAAGTGGGAGCATAGCGCTTCGCTCGTTTCTGCCAATTACTGTCTCGTACCTTTGTGTTGCATCGCGTTCGATTCAGCGCCGCTCGGACTCCCGTTTTCGACGACAAACCCCCTTTCCAGTGCACAAGGGTCTCGAATAATTGATGTTCTTTTCGCCCAACCACGGTACGCTTCCACTTCGCATGGAACCCTAACGCCGGCTCCTGGAAGCAAATTCGAGAGGCGTTGCTAATTGTGGCTATTCCGCTTCCCGCTCTTTAGTGCTCGAAGCCTAGGACGTCGTCGAAGCCCTCCCTCTCTCTGACCTCGTCCTACCCGAAAGCTTGACGCCCTCTTGTTGGCGGTTAGACCAGTCCCCGTTCAATCGAAAGTCAGCCCGTCGTCACGGCCATCCCTCCGATTGACCAATCAGGCGACCAATCATCGCCTGCGATCTGCCGACTCTTCTCCTCTCGCTCCTCCAGAACGATTGCCGTTGAACTCTCGCGCCGTTCCTTTTGGTCATCGTCCAAGACAGGATCCCGGGTCATTGAATCCTGACATACATTGGCTCTAGAGTCGCTCTCTTCTACTCTCAGCCTGCCCACATCACTCATGACGAATCCGTCTTCCTGTACGTTACATCAACAATGGTCCTGCTCTTCTTCAGTATCTGCAATATTAACCTGTACTCGTATCCCTAGTTCCTAGTTCCTCTTCATCGGGAAACGATGCATCCGGGAACCCAGAAACCAGTCGAGGGGATGGCACTGCAGCCCATCCTTCATCGAACACCGGCGCCGTGGACCGGCCCAGGAAGAAAAGATCGCTACATCGCATCCCTTCCCGCTTCTCGTTCCATAGGCAGCAGAAGGAAGTGTCCGCTGGCTCGAAGGGTTTGGCTCCAGAGGATGCTGAAGTTACGCCTCAGAGTTCTCGAACAAACCTCGCGAAAAAGAATCGAGAGGGTAGCAAGGCTAGCAGTCGGATATCGCGTCGCAATCAACCTCCACTAGAGGGTGCATCCACATCGAAACATGCTACCACAAACATGGATGGCAGTTGCAGCCCTGAAAGGAAGCCGAGAGGCCACTCCAAATTATTTGCGTTTCTAAACTGCTGCAGTTCCCCCAGCGATGACAGCGATGGGCCGACTCTTCCTCCCAAAAAAGCGACGAAGGCACAGGTAATCCAAGAAAGGCAAGCCACAACCGTGGAGAAACCTGAACCTAGCGCCGGAGAGTCGAGTATGGCGGAGTCGAGAGATCCACATCCTTTTGATGAGAAAGCAGGGCTCAAGGTCAACACCGAACAGCAGCCATCTAAGGCTGAAGCTGAAATTGCGGCACCGACGAACGAAACGATAAAACAAGACGATGACAAATCCACTCAAGGATCGAAGTTGTCCGTCAGCCCAGATGCACCGTCTACTCTTTCCCAGTCTGTCCCGCCCGGTCAACCTGAACCGTTGCAGAGTGGAATTGGAGCGGACTCAGAAGTGACTGCTGAGCAAAAGGCACCATCATCTGACGAAGAACATGTGGCTTCAGCAAAGTCGCCGAAGCCTGATGAAAAGAGCGAGTTTGACTCATACAGTACTTCGCGAACGGATGGACCTTCTGAAGAAGAAATAGCTACAGCGCCAATTCAAACGGTAGAGTCACAGTCCGAACTTCCACCGCCTCCGCCCCCGCCGTCAGACCGCGCTCCTCAGACACCCGAGACTCAAGCTCCGCCTGTTCCACCCGTTCCACCCGAGAAAACGCAGTTTTTGTTGCCTCCCATAGAGCCGCATTTAAAAAATAGAAAGTGCCTTGTTCTTGACCTCGACGAGACCCTTGTCCATAGCAGCTTCAAGGTCATATATGCCCCATTCATGGTGTGGAAAGGCCATTTTACTGATTCCAAGCAGATTTTAGACAAAGCGGATTTTACAATTCCTGTGGAAATCGAAGGGCAATACCATAATATCTATGTCATTAAACGCCCAGGAGTCGACCAATTTATGAAGCGGGTAGGCGAGCTATACGAAGTCGTCGTGTTTACAGCTTCTGTATCAAAAGTTCGCTCTCTCAATCCATCAAATTGTGATCATGGGAAAACTTGAGACTAATTTCGTCTAGTATGGCGACCCGCTATTGGATCAGCTCGATATCCATAAAGTTGTCCATCACCGCCTGTTTCGAGATAGCTGCTATAATCATCAAGGGAACTATGTCAAGGTAATATTCCTGACTCATGATAGTTTTATCCCACTTACAGTTGTATAGGATCTTTCTCAAGTCGGACGTGATCTCAAAGATACGATTATAATCGACAATTCCCCCACTTCGTACATTTTCCATCCCCAGCATGCTATCCCTATTAGCAGTTGGTTTTCTGACGCCCATGACAATGAGCTACTTGACCTCATCCCGGTTCTCGAGGATCTCGCGGGCTCTCAAGTTAGAGACGTGAGCCTGGTTTTGGATGTGTCTCTTTAGCTCATCTGATGGTCCACGGTGACACCATTTGGGCCTTTTTGAGTATTGTATCACCGGCCGCTGCTGGGTGCATGCGCTATTTGTGAAAGTTGTAAGCTTCTTTGCCTGTTGGCTGCGCCTCCGAAATTAACCAACAGAATTGCCTCTCGTGGCGGCTGTTCTGAGAAGCAGGTTTCATGTACCGAGTGCAAATATTTTATTTGGGCCCTGCGAACAGAGGATCCTTACATCAGTGTTTCTGTACTCATTAATTCAGACGCCAAAGCTTTGATTATACCCCCCTGGTGGCTTTGATTCCCGGATTTATTGTTGCTATTGCCCCAAAACCACTCCTAGCGAGCATTCATTTCCTAACTATTTCCTTTGTGCATCCTGTCGGCGTTCGTTCTCAGCTGTTCGCGCAGTGGACAAAATAACCTTTTATTTCCTACCTATCTTGATGCACTTTAATCCTGTCACTGCTGATATACTCCCATATCCCTAGTTTATTTTGATTTGATATCATACCCATATATCTATTTCCCATGTTTTAGCTGATATATCCCTGTTTGCTTGCCCTACGACACTTGATTGAATGTATTGTGTTTAACCTCTGTGATTACAAATTTATCTTCCCCCTTTCCAATAGCCCTTAAACTTCTTCTCACCTGAGAACCATGGTTTTAAATACATCTCTCTACACGCAGACACGGAAGCTGGATTCCGTATATTACTGCACTAGATGTTGCCTTGCTTCCCTTGTCTTATTACTTACTTCAGAGCTTTGCCCCCGATTTCCGTCCGATACGTTTCCCCGATTTATCGCCATATTCTTAGCGACGCATTTGCGGTATAAACTGATACCCAATGTATGTGTAAAAGATAGGGCTAATATCCATCTCACGAAACAGCCTCTGTGACAAATCTGCATTTTATACAACTGGCATTCCCAGCTAATATTAATTTATTTATTTTCTTTTTCATTGTGTATCATTGTTTTGGACTCTGGATGTATGTCTGTTGTAACTCACCATTCTAAATATTTCAGGGATCAGACCAGCGGCCTTATTCTTTTCCTTTTTTTTTTTAAGCAACATCGTGAATTTAGGTCAGTTGCTGCTGTCTACCACATGCACATGTCATAAACTCATCTGCTATACAAGCATTTACTCTTGTTTGTAAGGGCTACTGCCTGCTACTACTCTGTATAGGTATGCCCTAGCTAGAGAGCCTGTGGACATGAGAGAATATTACACAACTCCTCCCAAAAGCTTGCGAGAATTGGGGTGGTGTAAGCGATAATTCAGGCAGATTGTCATAGCCCAAATCTGAGGATTGATACGCTGAGGCATCTGTTCTATAATGGAGGTATTGAACCAAAGGTGACGTATTGAAGTTTGACAAGCAAGTATGCATGTCCATTTTATTACGTGCCGACTTTCCAAACAAAGTTACCCCATTTTAGGAGTGCATCTTAGTGTGGTAGTTACATGTCTCCACACGTATATGGCGGATTATCCTCACTATTTTGATGTGATTCTGGAAAACGGCGCGACTTCAAATGTATATTTATACACTATTCCTATTATGGAAAGTTGTAATGCGGTGGGTACCTGTACTCTTACATCTGTGCTAAGTAAAAGGAACTTCCCGTACTCTATACGGAGGACAGCGGCGCGCATGCACTACCTATTAGGAGTCCTCGTGGTGGCTATGAAGCGCCGCCTTTTTTAACTAAGCTTCGCTTTGCATACTAAATATCCAGTTCACGCCGTTTGTTGACCTATTCTGCTGTAATTCCTTGTTGAAGCCATTTCTTTTTGACGCCCTAGAAGGCTCGAAGTCTACTCCGCCTGCCCCGCCTGGGCTCATTGCCTGCCTTTGCAGTTGCCTGATTCCGGGAAAAGTTAGACGCCATATTGAACCGTGAGAACCCGGGATAAACATGAAGGACAGTAAAGGGTGGGATGGGAAATTACGCGTCGAGCGGCACGCAGTGCTCACCAATCCGGAGGCGCTCGAAGATCCCGATCATTCAGATGAAGATGCCCCTCCCGTGGAGGAGATAGAAGCTGATGAAGGTATCCACCTGTATTCTTGCTTCACGCTGCTAAAGGGTTATGAGTGCTGACTTGCGTTGCTGGAAGACTTGCTAGAGGGCGTAGACAACGACATTGATGTACGGACTCCTCCACTTTCCTGCAAGGATCCGGGTGTACTATAGTTCACGCGCTTCTTTCTGACTGCAAAGCACAAGCGAGCAGGATATCGACCTTGTCCATTCTCGAGTTACATCGTTAAAGGCTCTCCGACTAGAGCGGTTTACTCACCTTGAGGTATTTAGCAATCCTAACTGTTCCCTCTCCGAAAACTGATTCGTTCTACTAACGCCGTCCTGTTCAGAAACTATGCCTCCGCCAAAACCAAATTCCACGCATGTCATTCCCGGACAATCTCGGTCCAACTCTAAAGGACCTTGATCTATACGATAACCTGATTTCCCATATCAAAGGATTGGACCAGCTTACGAACCTTACCAGCTTGGATCTCAGCTTCAATAACATAAAACATATTAAGAATCTATCAAAATTGGTCCAGTTAACGGATTTGTATTTTGTGCAAAATCGGATACAGAAGATCGAGGGACTGGAAGGATTGACCAAGCTGAGAAATTTAGAGCTTGGGGCGAATAGAATACGGGTTGGTGAACACCTCAGACAAAAGCGGGTGAGGCTTCACAGCTAATATATGGTTTCACCACAACATTTAGGAAATTGAGAATTTAGACGACTTAACATCATTAGAAGAGCTATGGCTTGGGAAAAACAAGATCACTGAAATAAAAGTACTGATTCCTTCCCGTGACAGGGCAGCTCAGCCGGACTAACTAGTCATATAGAATATCTCACATCTTTCTAACCTGAAGATCCTCTCTCTCCCTTCTAATCGACTCACCAGTCTCTCGGGATTGTCGGGCCTAACAAGCCTTGAGGAGCTATATGTTTCACACAATGCAATTACGCACATTTCGGGCCTTGAGTCTCTCAATAATCTCCACGTCCTTGACATTTCGAATAATCAAATATCCACTCTTGAAAACATTTCTCATCTCTCCCATATCGAGGAGTTATGGGCCTCCAATAATAAACTGGCCAGTTTCGACGAGGTTGAGCGGGAACTTCGAAATAAGGAGGAGTTGAAAACCGTTTACTTTGAAGGTAACCCACTGCAAACGAGAGGCCCGGCATTATATAGAAATAAAGTGAGGTTGGCGCTACCACAGATTCAGCAGATTGATGCAAGTGAGCTTTATTTTTCCCTGCTTCTTCATAGCTGCTCTTTTACTTACTCCACTGACTTAGCATATGTTCGCGCATCATAATCGGGCTGGTACTACGGTGTGCAGGAGACATGAGTCAAGCCGAGCGGGACACTCTTGGCTTTTATCCTAGCTATAGTCACGGAATGCGGAGCATTGCAAACCGGAACTTTATAACTGCTAGACGTGGTAACAAGTTTAACGCAGGGGGCAATTAACGCACGATTCCGTCGGGACCCGTGATCTTGTAACCATTAGTGATTAGCTGGAGATTATGCCTAACACTCAGCGTAGTTTACTCTTCGAAGCCAAAACCAACATACTCTACTCCTTAATAGACAAAATGCCCAAGTGACAAAGTTGTTTGCGCCGCTGACCCGCCGGGAAGATGTCAACTCCCGAATGCCGGGCTTGGGCAGAAACATCCGCGTCACGTGAAGCTCCTGTACCGGAAACTTTCATTTCAGCTGCCGAGTTGAAAGCTCCAGGCGAAAAGTGACGAAACCACGGCGCACCGCGAAGCAGGTTCTACTTTGACTGTTATAGCTGAAAGCGATAGCCCAACTGGGCTCAAAGCGATTACCCTGTCGCCGCCTGGCGGCTCGCAAACATGGCGTCAGCTTTTCGGTCAACGGTTACCCAGCGACAGGTCCATATCACGATGGTACCTGCTCCACGAAACCTTGCACAGAGTCGAACCGTGCTCAAGGCCCTCCAGAAGTTTGGGGAAGTTGCTACGTTCTGGAATTTGAAGGTATCTCTCCAGTTTCTTTTTAAGAATATAAAAAAGATTCTCCTATCCGGTTTGTCGTAGCTGATAGGGTATACAGTATGACTACAGACCCAAGGCTTTAAACAGTGGTCGCAGTGCGTTAGCCATATTCGAAACAGCCCAAGCAGCGTCCAACGCTATCAATGCCTCTCCTATTGCTGTTCCCATCCCGGAATCGTCAATATCACCTGATGAACCATTCCCAACCAACTCTGCACCCGAGTCCGAAGAGGCCGAACCTACCTCCTCAGCTCCGAGAATAACATGCACCATTAATCCCTCCGAACATGACCACAACGTAAGCATCCGCCAGAATCCTTATCATCGGCAATTTCATCTTTCGAAAACCTGGTATGAACTCCAGGATTTGTCTCGATCCTCGGGCCCGCGTTCAGTACCGCTCGTACAGTACGCGGATTGCTTTACGAGGAGGAAAGGTCGAGTGCCGATGAGGATTCAGGGTATGTGGCTGCGCGAATCGGAGGAGAATGGAGCTATGTCACTGATGAAGCTATGGAAGAGAGGCATGGAAAAGGAAAGAGAGGGGGAGCGAAAAAGAGTAGATGCGGATGCTAATCCAAAGGCAGGGTTTGCGGGAGAAGGAGAAGCGCCCATTGCGTAGCAAGTGGTTAAGGCACTGAAGGAAAATTCTCCGGATATGGATTGGGAGGCAGGTCGAGGAATCACCCCCATACTTAAAGTGGCAAAATCCCAACACCTAACAGCCAGGCACCGGAGCAAGCCCGTGGAAGGCTAACAGACATTTACACCTCTTAGAATTCTCTAGACTCGTAAATTCGAGTCTTGAATGGCGTGGTCTATTGAGTTTTATCGCCACATTGGTCTTCCGCTCCAGATCCCCAAAGAAGGTGTGGAACTTGGAATTCCAAATGCGACTCTTGCCCTTGGTATAAATTTTCTTTGCCGTCCAACTGTGGCCCCCCGAAGAGATTTGTCCGCTGTGAGAAATGGTTTGCTGCTGAAAATTCCTTTAAAGGGTGCCGGTCGACTACATCCTAAGGATGCAACCGGTGGACTTTCATAAGCCTTCACTGGAAGTTCTTCATGGTTGTTGCAAAAGGTCAAGGTGGCGGGAATTGAAAAAGGATACGGCTTCGAACGAACAATCATTGGAGTGTATAATATCCGAGCGAAGGATCCCAATACCTTTAACTGCAGACATATGTCGCAGCTAACGGGCGGCACTATACGAAGTACATGCTCTAATATGCACAGGCAGAGGGACTTTTAGTGCTTAGACTTTACATGGTCCATTTTCAATATCAACTCATCTTTTTTATATTGGCGTATATCTGAAATTCTAACTCAATCTGTAGAAATAGTCCCATCAAGATTGGATCGAGATGAGCCACCTTTAAAGTTTATTAGGATCCAGACGGTAGAATCAGTCGTGGGGTAAACCATATCATCTATATACTTCAACCAGCACTACTTTAAAGGTCATCCTTTCTAGGCAAAAATGGGGAGATCGAAACCATACTTTGAAGAATATGAAAATCAACAGGTCAGCTAGATCACTCTTTGGTGCGAGGAAGATTCAAGGAGATCAAAACTTACGCGTGGAGGATTATTGAATCTAAGTCCTTGGTTTAATCCGCTAATTGTCTTGATCTCGTCTTCTGTCAAATCAAATCCAAGGACATCCAAGTTCATAGCCAAGCGATTGGGATTGTTGCTTTTCGGGATAACAGCAATGCCACGCTGGGTGGCCCAGCGCAGCAAAACTTGTGAAGGAGCCTTTCCGTGATCTTGAGCGATGGACTTGATATCAGGATGCTCCAGGAGGAGGGGCGCTCTCTTGGCGGCTTCCATTTCCAGCTCAACGAAGCTCTGTGGGCCAAAGGAGGAGTATGCAGTCACCGCGATACCTGATTTCTGGGCGTACCTGACCAAATCTGGTTGAGTGAGGTATGGGTGGTGCTCGATTTGAAGCGTTGCAGGAGGTATACGCGCATATCGGAGTAAGTCCATGATGAGCTGGGCATTGAAGTTACTGATTCCAATGCTCCGGGTGAGTTTCTGGTCCACAAGGCTCTCCATTGCGGTCCAAGTTTGCTGGGTAGATGCGTTGCTAAGGATTATTTTGTTCCCTTCGTATGTGAAGCCTGGCGGATAGCGGACTGATGGATCGACATACTTCAAAGCAATTGGAAAATGGATTAGGTAGAGATCAAAATAATCAATGCCCCAATCTGCCAACTGCTTTTTACAAATTGGTTCGACGTGCTCTGGGTCATGAAAAGTGTTCCACAGCTTAGAGATAAGGAAGAGATCCTCCCTCTTAACTAAACCATCTTTGATTGCGCGAGCTACCCCCTGACCTGCTTCGACCTCATTTCCGTAGTCTGCGTTGTAATCTAGTTAGATACCATTTTGCATATATGTAAATAGGCCTATCGCGTATCAAATGGATGGCGCATGTGAACAACTATGTTTGTAATGGGGAAACAGAACGCAGAAAAAATGTCATATAATATCAACGTGCAACCCCAGTATTCTAACTTGCAACCTTAACGGTAGGCTATTAGCGCTGTACCTTACAACACAAGAGGTAGAATGTACCTTTGTCGTGAGATGTTGCAGTGAAACAAAACGGGAGGTGGGGGGTTGAGCCGCGAACACGACTAACTGACCCGTTATCGCGCATGCATCCTGGTGCCCCAAGCTGCTAGGTTCGCCCGAACTCAACAGCGCGTGTGCCGGAGACGAGTAGTCCACAAGGATCCAGCCCAGGTGAAAATCGCCAAGGCAAGGGAGAGGGAATTCCAAGCCTCATAGGAGCACCGCAATTAAGGGGTCAACTTCATGCAGTGGAAACACTCGTCTAGAACCAAGCTAGAGCAGGCGCAACTATCTGCATTAGATAGCTAGTCCACCAAGCCATCTTCCCTCGTTGTGCTAGAGGGAAGAGGTCTTGACCCTTATATTTAAGTTCCCTTTGTAAAACCGAGGCAAGTTGCGACAAAACAAATCCTTGGGTATACATATAGAATCCATTCCATCATGGCATCGACACTCATGATGTCAATACTTCATAGGGATACCGCCAACATATATAGGGATAAACTTCAGAAAGAGCAAAGAAATTATCCATACATACCACAAGCACCATCGAAGCAACGATACCCTACTTTAATTGCGTTATACACTTGTTCAGCGCAGGTATCATTGTTGACCTTCCAAAGGCCGAAGCCTACCAGAGGCATCTCATAGCCACTGTTTAATTTGATGCTGGCGGCTTTCATCTTCTGCAAAGTGGCCTACAATGCGGGAAAGAAGATTTGTAATTCAAGATTGCGTCTGGAAAGAAAATGAAGCAAGAGATGCCAGCAGAGGCGAGAATGCAATACTGAGAAACGACACGGGAAATGGGATTGAAGTTAATCTGCAGAGCAGACTACCCGACCTTATATATATGCCCATGAGGTCCACATAAACAGGCTCTATTCCACTGGTTGCAGCCAGAACCCCACTCCTGATGCGCTTTCGCGGCACCGAGATCTTGCTTGAACCACGGATGCACGTCAAGTTGCGGAACGGTAAAGACGTCATTCAACGGAGGTAGGGGGGTAGCAGATTCTCTGCACACATTCAACACTGGGGTTCTACGAGAATATTTCATACTTGTAGGATTGTCTGCCCCCCTGATTATCTTCTCTGATCTCGTCAACTTACAGACGTCGTTCCTGATGTCGCGTTCCGAGCCACGATTGATCGACGACTGCACCGCCACACGTACCCAGCACGGTCTAGTTACATAATGATGTGGAGCTTGGCGGCTGGGCAGGTGTGGCTGGTTCTGGGCATAAGTCCGCCGACGTAATTCGCGCTCGGCTTCGTTATTGTCATCGTCGTCGCAGAACGAAAATTGCTTGGTGGTTACGCTGCTTCTCAGACTCAGATTCTTCGATTTTCATATATTTCGCGTTGTTGTCCCTTTTACCCTTCTGTGGTTAGTGCTGTCCGGAGATAAACAAAAAAGAAAATCCAAGAATGGCGATTTGTATTACTTTCGGGACGCATGGTAAGTCCAGAATGTGTGTTGCATCTTGCGGGAAATCTGCCAGCTCGCCATTTCAGTTTAACCGACAGGATGGTTTAGAATTTACCTCGCGGCTCCAAGGATACGAAAATATAACGGCACAATGCCAGAACTGTGAGAAAACCCCGTTAGGATAAGCGGCTCAATAATCTTGGTGCTAAATAGGCCCCTCGATAGGCGGAAATTGGTCTGCTCAATGCATCACTCGGTGGTAAGTGGCTATCGGCTATTAAAACCCGGCTATGATATAGCCAAAACAGTGAAGCTTGAATGGCTAATAATTGCTCACCAGGCCATGGTTTACAGTATGTTTCGTGGTATGCTTGGGCCTGATTCATTCCTTGTGCGGAACCGCTTTCTAACCTCATCTTCACATATATAGCCTGTTATTCCGTTGGCATTCCATAAGTACAAGGTAAGGCTTCTTCCTTGAAATTAGCAAAACGGATCTAACTTACTTCCGTTGCGCAGGAAGTATATTGTCACATCTGCCGGTTTACACAGGATATAAAGTATGCGAATGATCCCGTCTGAAAGAGACTCGTTGGTCTTAGCCTAAAATACAAGAAGCTTACATGGAGTTAGATACCGACCCGATGTCCAATCCCAGCATATGCAGGGAGGCCAAGGTCCACCTCCAGTCGCTTCAGGTGCCAATGCTGGACCAGGACAGTTCCCACCAGGAGGATATTACGGTTACAAGTGATAGTTAACTATGCGCAGTACAATTGTGCATAGCCCAGGTGATAAACTGGGTTTTGGATCTACTCTGGTGTACATCGCTTTGAGGCGGCATTTTTACCTAGGCTAGGAGGAGACGGCGTTACTTTGGCTTTGGGATGTGTCGCTTTTTTCACAGATATCCCCTGTGTTATGATGCTATTAATAAGTCTGTAGAAATACGCGACCTTGATGTAACGCTCTATGTAAAGAATTGTTTACTGTGACCATAATGCTGTAGTTGATGTCAAAGCTGAACATGATATGGAATACATATGAATGGTCTATCTCGACACCGCTCATGAATTCCTAGTCGCTTGGCTCGCGTGATTGGTTACCTGTTTGAACGTGCAGCACTTTGGGCAGTTCTTCATGTTACACATATCAATCAAGCCAGCAATACCGAAATCCTTCCTGGAAACCTCCAAATTTCCGGATTCCAGTAGCATCACATAGAAAGACCAATATCACTGATCGCTACCTTCTAAGGTAGGATCCAGGCTGACTGAAATTCATTTCCAACATCTACATGCTGAATGATGTTTGCTAGTGGTGAGTTGAGGCATTGCCTGTGCTAGTCCGGAGGGAGTTCAATTTAAATAAGGTGCTGTATGATGCAAGTTATAGATGGTGGAAACATGCACGTTGAAGTAGTATTATCTTTTTGCAATTGTCCTCGCGAAAAATTCAAAGGATAAATGGAGATGGACAGGGAAATTAAGTGCAGAAATCCGACCCTTTCAACACCACCCGTAAGGGAAATGGACCTGGGAAAGGCGAGCAAGGATCTTCAGTCGCTGTACAAATCAGAAAGAACTTCGAATCAAACCCCGATTGTGATAAAAATTGGCGAAAGGGCAAAGTAGGAAAAGTCACAACTGTATCTCATGCTATCTTGCATTTCACTTTTCTCGGCTGACACTTGTCGCACAATAAATGGTGAAGAGCACGACAGCCGGCGACAGCAACATAAAGGGTCCAGCGGAGTATTTATTGGGTCTTAAATAACAAAATGGCACAGTGCCCCAAGTAGAAGTAAATGAAATGCTTGGTTTCTGTTATTTTTGTCAGCAAATAGCCACTAGTCGTAATAGCGAAATAAATACAGATAGGGGTCAGATGTACCATGTGTCACAAAGCTTCCAAAGTTCCGCCCAACGATGCAGTGCCATGTTGCGCCCTTCCGAGAGTCAAACTGGTCATATTTTAGCGCCATTATGGAGTGCAGATAGAAAAGTTATGCCAAGGTTCTCGTACTTCTTTCTTGATATATTGGGCAATGTCCTATAGCACTCGTTAGCTTACCCCGCGTTGCGTGGCCGTTCGCAAAGCGCAAACATACCTTTTCGATGTGAAATTTCTCCATTGCCTCCTTAGCTGCAATGCAACGAGCGCATCAGTAAAGATATCGCGTTTATACTTCAAGTCGTGAGGTATTCGTACCAACTTCGATTGCCTCCTGCTGCATGTCCTCATTCTGTCACGCACACAAGCATTAGCGAAGGCCGTTCCATTACGCGCCGAGTAATGAGGGATCAGGCAATCTCACCATATCAGCGGACTTGATTTGAGCTTTGGGAAAGAAAAAGATCCAGTTAGCCATGTTTGCAAATGCCTCAACGGAAGTAACCATGGTAGTAATAAGAGTAAAGAGGCAGTGAACAAGAGTCACCTTCAAGCTTTCCCTCGGGTTTCTCGCGTTTTTCTGAAGCCATTGCGAATCTAGGAGGGGAGTCCCCTTTTTGTACTAGTCAAGTGGTGTTCTGTAAGGGACAGAGGCTCTGCGGGATAGTAGATGTTGTTAGGCTTTGGGGAGGATCGTTCTCACAAGCAGTTCATCATGATGTATGGAAGAGAACGAGGGTGCTTTGGGGGGGCGCTTCTCCATGGCTTCGTTAGCTCTGTGCACGGACCAGCTCTCTGCTTAACAGGCGGAAAAAAAGTTTTCTTTCTTGCTCCCACACAACAAGAATTCCCATCCCATCGTGCTCACCAGAACAGCAAAGTGCACATTGCTTGCAGCCTTGCTTTCTGGTGATGGAAATCACAAGAGTCTTTGTGTCAGGCTTGCCGCCTACACTAAATAATGATGCGCTTCGAAGTCATTTTGCCAGCCGTTTCGAGGTCACCGATGCTCATGTCATTCCCAAACGGCGAATCGGGTTTGTGGGATTCAAAGACCATAACTCCGCCCAGAATGCAGTCAACTACTTTAACAAGACATTTATCAGAATGTCAAAGATTGCCGTGGAACTGGCCAAGCCTGTGAGTATTGGGAAACTGATGTCACTGCGTCCTATGTAGCTTGGTCGGAGATTGTGCTGACCATCAAAGGATATATGAAGCTAACCTAATTTCAAGGTAGATGCTGCTCCTGAAGTAAATTCGAGGTCAAAAGCTAGGAATAGCTCCCCTCGTGATGCAGATACCAGCTCCAAATCTGGCTCATTAAAACGAAAACGAGGTCTTGAGGAAGATGACCCAAAACTGCAGGAATTTCTCAACACTATGCAGGCGCCAACAAAGACTAAGACCTGGGCGGATACAGGAACAGATCTAACTACTAGCTTGCCTTTTCATAACGAGGATTCAAAGAATGCCGAGATCCCAGATGAAATGCCAACCAAAAGAGTCAAAGCAGCCCTAGAACCCGACTTACCTGAAGAGTCTTCTAAAACTTCACAGTCCTTGAGTACTGGGTTACGCAACAGAGAGCTGAACAATGACGCCCAGGCTACGGCAGAGCCTACGGAATCTGCACCGCAAAGTGATGCTGACTGGCTTAGGTCGAGAACGAGTCGCTTGCTAGGTTTGCTTGACGACGAAGAGGATGCAGGCCGTCCAGTGGCTGAAACCACAAACGCCTCACCGCCAGTGAGCCATCGCATTCAACACGAGCCGACGACTGATCATTCGGATGTCTCCGCTGAAAAAGAAGATAACGACCCCGCTGGGTCAACTGACGCGATTGACGCGAATGTGAAACTAATTCGGGAAACTGGGCGCCTATTTATCCGCAATCTACCATATGATACAACCGAGGAAGATCTTCAAAGCGAATTCGCTCGTTTTGGGAAGTTAGAAGAGGTAAGATCTTACCGATTCGTCCTATGCTACCACTTCCCAGCCCAATAATTCCTTGCTATCCCGTCGAATGATGAATACCCTGATAGGGACATCAGATGCTATGCACATGATGTGAACTTAGGAAAGAGTATTTTAGTAGATGCCTCTGTATCTGAAATGACGGCCCTCACTCATTACAGTTATGCAACCCTGTTCTGTGATGAATAAGTTTGCTGACTTGATTTAGTTACATATTGCATTCGACTCTCGTCATTCGACAAGCAAAGGATTTGCATACGCGCAGTTTTTTGACCCAGACTCCGCCATCGAGGCATACAAGCAATTAGATGGAAAAGATTTCCAAGGACGGCTTATGCATGTATTACCTGCATCTTCGAAAAAGACGTATAAGATTAATGAGTACGAGTTATCAAAATTGCCGTTGAAGAGGCAACAGCAGATTAAACGGAGAGCTGAAGCAGCGTCTTCTACATTTACTTGGAATTCTCTCTATATGAATGTATGTCAAGTGCCACCTAGTTTTATCTCCATATCCCATTATTTAACCCTCTCCTAGGCGGACGCTGTGATGGCATCTGTAGCAGAACGGTTGGGGGTACCGAAATCGGCGATTTTGGACCCGACTTCGTCAGACGCTGCAGTGAAACAAGCTCATGCAGAAACGCATATAATCCAGGAAACGAAGGCTTACTTCAGCGCCAATGGCGTAAACCTGGATTCGTTCAAACAGCGTGAGCGTGGAAATACGGCGATTCTTGTGAAGAATTTCTCATTTGGAGTGAAAGCTGAAGACCTCAAAAAGCTATTTGACCCGTATGGACAGATCATGCGGCTTCTAATGCCGCCTAGTGGTACCATTGCAATTGTTGAGTTTAGTATGCCAGATGAGTGCCAGAAAGCGTTCAGAGGTCTTGCCTACAGGAAGTTGGGGGATTCCATACTTTTCCTGGAGAAAGCTCCTAAGGGCCTCTTTGAAGGTAAACCCACCACGCATATTGCCGTTCAGCCACAAAAGGCTGTAGCTCCCGCATTTTCAACCTCAGAAACATTCAAGGCCGGTGAGCCTGAGAATGAAGTCGAAAGCTCGACACTCTATGTTCGGAATTTGAACTTCTCCACCACTACCGCCAGCTTAATGGACGTGTTCAAACCTCTCGACGGTTTCTTGTCCGCCCAGGTTAAAACAAAGCCCGATCCAAAGAACCCCGGCGAGAGGCTGAGCATGGGATTCGGCTTCGTGGAATTCAGAACCAGAGCCCAGGCCCAAGCTGCCCTTGCTGCGATGAACGGGTATAAGCTCGACCAGCATGAACTGGTCATCAGACCCTCACACAAGGCAACGGATTCAGCAGAGCAACAAAGACGCCAGGACGCGGCAAAGAAAAACGCGGCTCGCAGGACGAAGATCATTATCAAAAACTTGCCTTTCCAAGCCACCAAGAAGGACGTTCAATCTCTCTTCGGCGCATACGGACAACTCCGCTCCGTACGCGTGCCCAAGAAATTCGACCGCACAGCCCGTGGTTTCGCATTTGCGGACTTTGTCAGTGCTTGTGAGGCGGAGAATGCGATGGATGCACTTCGCAATACCCATCTTTTGGGGAGGAAATTGGTGCTGGAGTTTGTCTCTGAGGAAGCTGTTGATCCGGAGGAGGAGATACAGAAAATCGAGAAAAAGATGGATGCGCAGGCAAATCGTGTGAAGCTTAAGCAGCTAGTTGGTTCGGGGAGGAAGAAGTTTCAGGTTAATCCTGTTGGTGAAGAGGAGTGACTAGCTTCCATTTAACTATGCCAAATAATGACATTCTTCCCTGGGAAGCAGGTTTTAGTCTTGGTTGATCTATAGATAAATGATCAATGAAGAGATGTATCTTAAGGTATGATTGTAGAAACCCGACAAGATGCTCCATCCCGCAACTGTTATAGCGTTTGGCTTATGCCTTAGCCAATGAAATAAAACTTGTAGCGATTGTCATAGAAGCGTATTATCCTTGCTATTTCTGATCAAGGATGCTGGCGCCTACAACTACCTGACATCTGGACACCTTACCATGTACAAGTTGAGGCCAGTACTATCTCACTATAGCATTCATCATGGCTGAATACTGAATAGTCAAGTAAGCATATTGCAGTCGCTGCATGCCTTAGTTGACATGTCTTCAAGTAAAGCATAGATGCTATCCTTGGAATAACTATTAATTTACAAGGGAAAATAAAACAACAAAACATGGGCCCCTCTAAGACATAAGACACACAGAAGGCCCTAGCAAAATCATGAAGATGGGAATGCGGGCAACACCGGCCAAAAAAAAAAAAAATTGGTAGTAGGAGAGGGTAGATATCGATCAAAAGATATAAGGGATGGTTCCATCACCAAACACTGCATGATTAGCGAAGGCGAAATAAAGGTATAGAGCGCATAGATTCGTGTACGCTAACGGCGGCCATTCGGGTTTCCATGCAAGCCCCAGTCCTAACATGATATCCGGGGTAATAGCGCATCACACAGAATACTAAGTCTGCAGCGCCCATCGAGAAACACGTCGTAAACTCCAGTATACGTTTCGTTGGCGCAGAAACATAACTGTTGTCGTAGCGGGAGCGAAGGCAAGCGAACCAACCAGCGACTACTCTATGAAGAGAATTTGCGAGTAATTTTGGCGATGACTGTTCATTGCTCAAAGCATTAGCGAGCCTGAGTCAAAAGAAAACCAAAACTGCCGCCTAAGGAGCAGAAAAGAAGAAGCAGATAAAGGAGGGAACAAAAAGCAACTCACCATGCAATCCCACAACAGAGAAAATAAATCCCAAACTTAACACCAAAACAACAACTGGATCAACTTTCAACCCGGGGCTCTCATCCGTATAGAGCTTCAACATGGTCCCCGACGAGCCACCCGCGCCTGCCGCTCTGGTGGATGCCGGTCTCGCATTCCGCACAGACTCCTTGTGATCAGCCGCTGCGCGACGACGAAGGGCAGTTCGCGGTCCACCGGGAGGAGTTGGCGACGAGGGGCGATTCAAGGATGCGGCGCTGCCGGTGCTAGCGCCGGTAGGATTGGAAGCTTTGGCGGCTTCGTTGCCGGATTCGGCGCCTGAGGCGAGAGGAGAGGAAGAAACCTGGGGTAGAGGCTTCTGGTTAGACTTGTGTGGTTTGGCCATGGCGAACTAATGTGCTCTTCTTGCTGTGGCTTTCTTGACAATTCTTTCTTGGGAGCTAGAGAGGGAGGAAGGAAAGGGTATAGAGGGATTTCAGGGCTGGACCCGTTCTGCCGTTGAAAGATATCGCAGATGCAGTGGACGGTTGTCGAGAGGATCGGGAGACGTTGCAATGAAGGTGGTTTTGGGACCGCTTACCATTGTGTAACGAAATGGGATGACTAAAATCCGGCTCCGGGTGAGAGAACAGGCGAGTCAGGAGACAGGACGCAGAAGGCTGACTAGACACGCCGAGCTTGAGCAAAAGCGATGGACTGGGAGGGAGAAAACCGTGGATGCTGCGCAGGCGAAACCTGAAAGTGCCAGAGTGGACACTTATCATGATTAGGTAAGCAACACTCCGGCCCCTGGCGGTCACGGCCGCTCTCAGGGGCCGCGGATGAGACACGGTGACCTTCAACGCAAGTCATCCTCTTACACAACTACGGAGTATCTACCAGTGAATATCTCAGCGGCAGGGATGGAAGGGCTCTCCACGAGAATTAGGTATCTGATTTCATCGCTATGTAAACTCCCAAAACCCCATTTCCACTTCCCAATAATGGTCCCCTTTCTCTTAATAGTACCAAGTACAGTAAGAAATTGGAAGGGGGGAAGACATTCTTGAGAAGTTTTTTTTCATTTAAAAATTTTTTTAAAAAAAAGAGAAAAGAGAAAAAAATAGGGGAAAAAAGGTGATAAAAAAAAAAGAGAGGATGTCGAACCAGATTTCTAACAAACCAAAAAAAAAAAATAGTACAGCTGGTATCATCAATGAATAGAGCTAAGTGGATCAGACGGCCAAAAAGGAAATGAATTAATCGTGACTCGAAGATTTCCTTCTCTGAGATGAAAACAATTCTTCGGCCACAACGTCGCTGTCAAATGGGTATATTCGCAAAGTAAAAGCAGCCGAGATTGCAAAGGAATGGCATTTGTTGGAGCCTCAGCTTCCCTAGGTAATTATTTTTGCATCATTGCTTAATCAATCGTCATGCGAGTTGGGACAGGCCCATGAGAAAGACGGCCATGCATTTCGGTTCCACGTCCTTTTTCATCATCTCGAACTGATCTTCTCCCCGAGATATGAGGTTTCAGCCCCTTGTTGAAATTGTGAGTACAGACACATGCATTGATTATGGTCATAATAATCAAGATGATTGTGATCACGGCGAAGAAAGTCAACGATCGTCGGGCTGGCAGGTACGCCTTTTCACGGGCAGCAGAGTACATTCGAACGAGCTTGAAAAGGAAGTATGCAAGACCTCCAAAATAAAGCAGCTGGAAAAACGGCATATATTAGCTACGAATCAGGGGGGCTGAGGAGAGGGAGCTGTGATGACACTTACGATGATGACGATCATTCCAGGTGTGTTCTCCCGCCGAGTCCAAAACGCAGCCATGACAAGAATGAGAATCGTGACTGGAATGGCGGCCAATGTAAGGGCAAACTCAACAGTCGCCTTGTCGGTAACAATAACAACGAATTGAACAGTAAAACCAAGGAAAAAGAAAAAATCAAACTTCAGCAGAGCGATGTAAATCTATTCATATAAACGTCAGTCAATCAGAATTTTGTCATGCCAGATCTGATAAAGTTTTACGGACCTGATATGTAAGGTACCGACGCTTCATCCGTAGGTCGGCGCTGATGTGCTTGTAGATGGTCCATGCAAATTCGTCATAGAGCTTCCAGGCAAGAAAAGCCATAAGAACGGTTCCAAGACCTATGATGCAAGGAATTGCAATCAAGAATGGCTTCATCTCGCCCCAGACTTCACCGTTGATATTTCCTAGCATACTCAAAGTGTTGACGGCATCCTTGATTTGGTCCGTCTGGACGGCGCCATAGATCAGGAGGCCCAGATTGCAAACGCAAAGTCCAATCACTTGGATGGTGTTTTTAAGACGCAGCGCATCGTATACCAAAACTAATTCGTATACAAATCCAAAGATATAAAGTGTTAAAAAGGTGGGAATAGTTTTTGACTGGGTTTGGTTCTCTGCATCGCCTTTGAGTTGTGTTTGGAACCTAGCAAAAACATAACTGTTGAAATATACGGTTGGCAACTCACTCGCATAGTTATATCAGGGTGGGAAGGATAGTACTGACGACTCAAAAGCGAGAATACACGCAGCTTGGATGGTTGTCACGAAGACAAAAGACCAAGTCCATTTTGAATTAGGGACATACATCTTGGACGGCAGATCAGGATCTCTGTATCCCTCTCTTGGCCGGAAGCCAGATGTAGAATCACGAAAGGAAGGGTCGAACTCCGGCTCTCGAAGGAGCGACGTCTGGCTCCTATACGAACGAATTTTGGCGAATCGCTCCGAATGGAGCCACCGGTCCTTCTTCAGTCCTCGATATGCACGATGACAACAAAAGAGATGGACGTTGCAGGCTTGAATCCCAGGGACAGGTTGATGTGTTCTCCGGGTATGGACGGACCATACGAATGTGAAACGCGCTAGGTTCTACCCGGGGGCGTGCCGCATTGGAAAAGCGATGACTTTGGGGGGGGGAGTCGTGCCCCTCCTTGAGGCGCTCTTGGCCAGTGAAGAGGGAGCAGACAATAAGTCCGAAATGTCTGCCGGGGTGCGACTGGAGAGAAGGTGATGAGAGCCTGGTCAGGCTCCCAAGGCGTTGCTCGAGGCCGTTGTGTCAGACCGCACGAAAGAGGGTTAGACAAGTCAACAGAGCAAAGGAGAGCAAAGAGGCGGGATAGAGCCGGAGTAAAAACGAATGAAAAGAGGCAAATAGGAATGAGTGGTCAAGGAAAGGGAAGAGAAAGAAAAAAAAGAACTGAAAGAAGGTCTCGGGGTCAGATTTGAAGTCAAGTGTTGTTGGTGTTTTGTCTCGAGAGCTTGGCGTCGGCGGGTCTGACACCTCATTTCCCACCGCGCGCCTTTCCTAATCGGGGCCATCTCACAGCCCCAGCCCTACCTGATGGGCGCCCCTGTCATGGCCTTGGCTGTGGCTGTGGCCTGGAACACGAAGTACGCCTGGTGCTTGATGCTTGGGCTCTGCCAGCCTGGAAACCCCCGAGACCTCTTGGGGCCGGAGTCCTACTAACGACGCAATCGGTCCTCAACCCTCGACTCCACATCCACTACAAGTGATGTTCGCTCTGACGAAAAATGCAACTGTTACCAGCCATGTGGCATTGATACATGATATGCATAGATGAGATCACCTACATACACTAACAATCTAACTGCGGAGAACACAGAATTGCTCCGGCTTGCTATGTGGCTGAGTGCATAAATCTGCCCTTTCAAACAAATGAGCATGGAGAACAACATTTTGGGGCTATTGCTCTGCAGGACATGCTGTTTCCAGATTTCTTCTGTGCGAGGGGCAGTGGATGCCTATCCTATCCCTTTATGTACTGAGAATGGTCGAACCACGCTGCAAGAGACTTTCCAGTTGATAAACTTTGCGGGGAACATGTTCCTGGAGACACCGTTTAAGAACACCTGTGATTCTGATTCACAGCACAAAACTTTGTATTTCATACTCGCATTAAACAGTGGACTGCAAGATGAGGTCTGGTTATACAAGGCAAACAACTCAGCAAATACATGTTAAGGTCCAGCTAACTAAAAGGGTCAATGCATGAAGCTTGAACTCCTGCAAAGTTTAGCAATAGTTTTCTCTACTATGGCCGCTCAGTCGCTGACCTTGTCAAATTGAAGTTGAACACAGCAGGACTCCTATCGCCTCATACGGATCCAGTCATCATCTTCTCTCTGCTTCAACTCTCCTCCATCAATAATTCCTCCGCCGTCGAGAACCAGCAGCCAGCGACTCGCTGACTAAGCAGAGGGGCGGGAGCGGTAAGAGCCGGCATATTGCTGTTTAAAGCTCGCCAAAAATTTGCTCGACTCACTTTCTTCTCTCTTCTTCCCTTCTCTCAAGCGCCGTCCCCACCAAAGCTGCGTTTCTTTGCTACACACAGCAGATCATCATCTTCTTGATCATCTGTCTCCAGTTCTACCCTGATCTGATTTTTTTCAGAACCCAGGCACTGGTATTCTATGCAAATGAGAAATTCGGAGGAATCTTCACCTGTCAACCCACTCCTCACGCCAGACCATGGCTGGGGAGTCGGTGCTGCCCGTGAGGGTCTGGCACGAAGTGCTTGCAACTAGGCATAAGAAACATCGGGGCAGGGGGGGAAATTTCGGTTTTCTTGTCCCTGGTTTCCCCATGGGAGAGCCGTTGCGAAGATTGTGTGTATTCACCCTAGGGTGGGTATGACACTTTAGTGCAATACGCAGCGTACTGCTTCTTTTTCTTTTCTTGGAGAAGAGGAGAACTGGTATCATTCGATTCCGATTACTCTGGTGGGGACGGCGCTTCACTCCCTTTTTCTCCTAGGTAAGTTTGTATATATTTTTAACTGCCATTTTCTTTGCAATTGCGGAAAGGGCTTTTGTCTGGGATACTACTAACATCTGTAATTGTTGCTATTGAGTCTCCCCTAGTTATCGACCCGGCAGCAATACTGGGTGCTGCTTGAAGCTTTACATACCTACGTGTGAGTCAGGTTGACGGGACAAGATATGGACATGTACTTTTACAAATCTGCAAATAGAATGAATAACATGTCTTCCGTACAGCTTGGTTTCCATATCAAGGGTCGCTTTAAACATATTTCCTACGTCAAATTGCTGACACGTAGAAGTCACTCAGGCGATATAATCTGCAACATCATTGGCATTCAGTAGTATTTCATTATGCGAAATAAGGATCTTTCAGAGTTCTTATTACTACGTAACTTTCATAGCGTTAGCAAGCACTTCCAGGTACACCCGGCTCCGGATCTCCCTTTACCTCGTCAAATTTACTCCTCATCGCCAATCTGGTAAAGAAAAGGCAATCATGTTAGCCAATCTGCACCGCAGCATCAAAATTAGCGTGAAAAGCCTACCTTTGGTGCAAGGAAATATCTCAGACTTCCGCTTCCCTCCAGTCCATATTCCACCAATAGCGGCACATCTTGCGACATGCTGAGCCGCACCGTATTGGACAAGCTAGTAGCCTTGCAGAAGTTGATAAGATATTTGACAGAAAATGTGAGGGCGACAGGTTCAGTGAGGGAGATGGTGACGTTCTGATCAGGCTTGTCGACGCTGGTGTGTCCACGGAGAGTGACAGACCCGTTGCCGATGTCACCCTGGCAGGAGAATTTGACACCGTCTTTGCTAGCCTCGATCAGGACTGTATGAAAATCGAAAAGGTTAGTCTCAATGAGAGTATTGGTCCAAGGATAAACTCGATTTATACACAGCAGCATAGAACTATGCGGAGAGAAACCACATACCTGACTCAGATAAGTTGGCCAAATCCATGCAAATCCGCCGAAACTCCGTTGCTGGCATATCCACCATAGCCGCATACTCCGTATCCGGAATAGCCAAATGCTCCTGATCGATGTCCGTAAGTTTGATATCGTACTCGCTTAACCGGTCAGTTTGTGCATTCTCGAACACCAAATTAACTACATCGGGCGAATCTTCCGCCTTGAGGGTCATAATGTCATTGTCTTGTGCAGCTCGAAGGACCTTTTGGAGAGAGGTAAGATTGATTCCGAGAGCTATGTTACGGTCGCAGCGGTAGGGAGAGAAGCCTTCAGCTTTGAGGTTGAGGGAGACGAGGGCGACGTGAGAGTTGTCCATGGCTTGGAGAGAGATGCCAGTGTCGCTGCAGTCAAAGTTGCAGTCTTGTACGAGTTCTTTGACTGCGTCGACGACCTGGATATAGAATGAGTAAAGCTCTCTTTGTTGGGGGGAAGGGAGGAGTGGCCGGTTCATGGTTGTCAATAGCGTACCCTCTTCAGCATGCTAGCTTGCTCTAAACGTGCTTCAAGCACTGCTCAGGGAAAATTCTGTTAGCCATAGAAGGTTTCAAGAAGAAAAATCAGTGGTGAGATAGCACGTACTCTTGACAGTTTTTTAATGACGATTGCAGTTAAGAAGGGTGCAGGGAGTATAAGGATAGCAGGCGGGGGAAGTAGCTTAGATGAACGCCTAATTTGAGCTGAATAATAGAGGCAGATCAAACAGAAGAGAAATATATAGAGAAATATGCAAGAATGGTTCGATGTATTACTTTTTGAAGGACCAGGCGTTCATTCAGCGATATATTTCACCACAGACAGAGGTTGAAGGTACCTGGATGGCTGATTGTGCGGGCAGGCAAACTCAAATATGCAGCGCGTTTTGTTGGCGCGTTCGCGTTGCTAAGTCCCATTTAGCTGCTCTGTTCAAAGCTCATTTTCGCGTTCTGCCTCGAGATCAAGGCTTGGCACCTGTCCCGCTGGCCTGCTTCAGGCTCCAATTAGAGTCAATAGAAGCAGAGATACAAAGCACATACCAAAACCAAGCGTTGGAAGAATTGTTCTGTGATGTGGATGGGAGAGTGTCCAGGATTGTGCAGCCTCCTTCTCAATATCTTTACATGCAATGATACAATAAAGCATGTCTACTCATATTACAAGACTTAGAATGTGCCACAGAAACTCAAGTCGGCAAAGAACAGAGTTAACGTATGGGTTCTGTCCTTTCCCCATCTCTGCCGTGATTGGTCTCTAAAGCATGTCGTGCACGTAATTGGAGCCGACAAGACTTTGACGCCGACTGCACCCTGAAATCAAACAAAAAGAAACCTTTCCTCAAAGGGACCGTGAAAACTTGGTATAATAGGGAAATTTATATGCATAGACAATGGTTGAATAATATCAAGATAGTGAAAAAGATATTCGAATGATCAGGAGAGAGGGAAGATACACAGGGTAGGAAGTTAATAGCTGTTATATGCTGGTGACCCTCGTCCCACCTCTACCTCGAGGTCGAAGTTTAATCACGGTCTCCAGTTCTCTAAGCATGCGCGTATTTGCATCTGCACGATCTCTAGCAGCAGCTTGCTTAGCCCGATCTTCTTTCACTCGCGCTATTCTCTCTTCTCTGGTCATCGAGCTTCGTTTTCGTGGAAGAGCCACAGCTTCGAATACCTCTTCGTCGTCCATATTATGGTCAGGACTTGGAAGGCTTAAATCTTCACCATTCAGTGCACGAAGTGCAGCAGCGGGACTGCCGTCAACAGCAGTGGCGCCACCAAGACTGAAGGTGGGGGACGCAGGAGATTTCAATAAACTCGATGGACGTGAGAGCCGTTCAGGACGTTCAATATTTGCTAGCAAAGTTGATTTTCCTGCTTCCCATTCTTGTAGTAGGCCTCTCAGGTCTGCTCCAATTGACTCATATTGAGAAATGAGCGTAGTATTAAGCTCGGAATCCTCGCCACTTTTTTCAAGGCAAGCATTCGACTCTTCACGGATGAGATGCATCTTAGCATGGAGGCTTCGTATCCCCTGCGATAAGGAATTGAGTCGCCGAAATTGAGCGCGATGCCGCTCTCTGGTAGCAGGCGTAAGCTTGAGCCTCGGCGAGGTTTCCATAACGTCACCTAATAGTTTTAGTCATTCCACGGAATAGCGCCGAAATGTGATACTTACAGTCTTGTTCATGGAGAATATCTGTTAGCCTCTGGATATAGATGCCGCTAGAGGCGGAAAGGTGTTGCATTTCTTCAACGGCAACACTCCATCTCTTAGCGTCCAGTCGTGTGCCATCTGCTGGCAGCGCAAGCAAACAACATAGCATGCTCTTTCTAACTGCATAGAGGCGGGTAAACAGAATCCGGAGCGACCTCAAGGATGCTTTTTCCTCAGGGCTAGAGTCCGTCAGACATAACTCTGCTTCGTCCAATTCCTCTGGAGAAAAATCGTAGATATCGTAATACTTTCCTAAGTTAGTATCATCAGCATACAGTCGCAGTTTCTTTTTCGCCACGAGATATTGTCCCAACAACTCGCTCATATATTTGGACAGAACGCGGCGCAGTTTGAGGCACCGTCGGGCCTGGGTTTGGTCTTCTAAACGGGTTACTGGTGGCATGGGGGTACTTCTATCAGATGGTTAGCAGAATGAAAGGGGAATGTAAGGATCGAAATCACGAACAGTCGGTATCCTCGAGATACGAGCTCAACTTCCTGGATCAATAGAACCGAGGCAGCCACCACGGAGTCAAAATTTTGGGAATTCCCAACAAGGACCGTTGCGACGTTGAGCGCCTCATGCCGGATGTATTTTAGCCATTGCCGCCTAGCAAATATGTAAAACGCTACAGCAACTGCTGCAAAAAAGAAAGCAAATACGAAAATTCTCTTAATATTCCATCCTGTGCCATGGCGGGGGCGGGTCGCATGGAAAAGCCAAACGACAGAGAATGAGGCGAGGGCAGAGAATACGGCACCATAGAGGTCGAACACGACGGGCTGAGAGGTAGGGTGTCCTTCGGTGCTTTTTGCACTCTGCGTCACTGCTCCTGTTATCGAGCTGTATGATGGTGGGGTTGGTTCATTGAGGAGCTGCGAGGCGACGACAATATATCCGAACTGCTCAAGAAACCTCTCATTATCGCTCTTCCCGATCCCTGCGCTTAGAGCGGCCTAGAAATCGGTGAGAAAGAGTCCACGACTAAACGCAATGTTCTTGACGACGACGTACAACACAGGCCTCCTGAACTCTTGCCAAAGCCTCCCGTTTGTTCGAATGTTTCAAGCGCAAAGGGGCCGGAAGTTTGCTCCGTATTCGGTCTTGGAGTTTCGTGCCTCCTGTCGGTGCGAAGTTTCGAGGAAAAGTGTCAAGGGGCTCCTGCGACGGCGATGTTATATCCTGGGGATCCCAATCCGACCGCGCTTCACCCGAACCTAGAATAGGAAAAAGAGCAGCGCTGTCAGCGAGGACCCTGCTGTGGGTACAAGAGTTGCTGGATGTACCTTCGAGATAATCGGCCAGTGGCGAATCCTCATGGACAAAGGTCTCCATAACCGATGGTCATCTCATTTGTTCGTCTTCAGGGGGTTGAGGGTCTCAGGGTGGAACACAAGTTCAGACACAGATCATTGGGAAACTGGCAAGAGGTCCGCGGGCTGACATATTGGATAGGATGAAGCGGTATTTACAGAGTCAAGATGGGGACTAAATAAGAATTGAGCGTGATTTCTCCGCTCTTGAAGTTGAGCGGTGAATTCACAAGCAAGCGGTTAAATTCATTGATAGTCGATTGTCGGCGCTGATTAGTTACTACGTACGGAGTACTCCTTACCGGCCATATTTAGCTACGTAACTACTCCGTACATGGCAGCTCCAACATGACTAACCCAAATTGCCGGTTGAAAGACACCCTAGTTATTTTGAGCACCCAGAGGAGACCAGATGAGATAATTCCCCGCCCATTCACAATGAAATTCTAGGTGCTCAGTAACAGCGCATTTCACTCTATATATTCCAGAGCCCAGCGCGATAGATTGATTGTACTCTGTTTAGAGTGCTCGATCGTTAACGACCTCCTGGATCTGCTCCGAGCGAATTAAATCGAGTGATCGCCATGCAAGCGCCTGCAGCACATGTATGTGCGTATGAACTCGGCCACGCACAAGACAAGTAAATAAACACATGTTGATGCTCTTTGGACAGCCACAGAGTGTCAAGACAAAAATCAACTCTCTCGCACTCTGAAAACACCCTTAACACATTTTCCAACAGTGCTTAAAAGTCCAGCTCTACTCACAATCATCACTTCTAGTCATACATCGAATCTGACCATGGTTGGAGGAGCAAGCGAAAATCTCTCTGTGCTTGGGAAAAAAAAAAAAAAAAAAAGGAGAAGATAACTGACGCATGTACGGAGTACTGTACCTTCAACGCTCCTCTCAAGTTCGAAACTTGCCTTTACCTTGGCATCTAACATCATGCGCTTCGCGTAGTGCTTCATTTGTTTCAAGATGTCATGTTACACTCATCTGTTTTTCCCTTCTTTATCTCCATCAACACCAGATGAAGGGCCCTTGCAATATGGAATTAATGAGGGAGCATCTTGCATTGTTGACTGTGTTTCATGGAGATGAGGATAGCAAAGGAACAACTCCCATTTCCGGGGCCATGAGTCTTTGTATTTAGCAACGACGACTTCAAGCCAACCTTTTGTATCGTCCAGTATGCGTGCTAGAGGGGCAATGGGCATATAAATGTACCGGCTAGATAACACAATTCATACATAGGAGAAAACCGTCAAGCATGAAAATAACCCACTGTGGTCAGGACTTTTCCATCCAGTGCTAGGATGGAGGTCAAACCGGTGTATGTTGCAGGTGTAGATAACCGGCTTCTCATCAGCAAAAAGTTACATGATATATTTTCACTCTCCCTGAGGAATTCTCGAGTTCCAGGCTTCCAGCTCACACAGACGAACCCTGGATAAACTTCACTAACACAAGCCGAACACTTCGTGTAGTGGCGGTCTGACATCGGGAGGACGAGAGTGCCAGTGACACTGTCATTGTCGTATTGACCCGTGGGGAAAAAATGGCTGCCCTTTCAGCCTATCCTCTGTACGGAGTAATGCTCGCTCCCATTCGAGACCACACAAGGCGGTCGGACAAACGCCATGTCTTCAGCGGGATTGGCCGTACAGAAACTATTTTCAGTAACAACTTTGTACCTCGAACTCCGTATTATTGGCCAGAAACGAGACACCATGGTACGGTCCCTCGTGGAACTTTCGCGAGAGCGCCATATAGTTCATGCCCATTCCAATAGGGCGGATCGCACTGTGGCTCTGCAGCCTTCCTCTTCGTTTTCCTACCCACATCACCAAGGCGCCTCGGCCTTGCTTCCGTCGTCGGGCTCGCTCCCTGCTGTATTCCGCTCGCCGCCCGAGAAGTGGAAAATGATGCCAAGACCGGTTAATATATGACTAAGCAACGTCCTCGTATCGTACGGTACCGTAAACTAAACGCTAGCCTCTTGCCTGCAAACTTCTCTTCTTCGCTCATGATCCAACAACAGAATCTCATGATAGTGATCTCAACGCCCACCAGCCCACCAGCCCGAAAGCTTGCCCGTCTCTCGTGCAGTTGAATCCTCCATACTCTATTCATTGGGTACTAGTTGCCGTATTGTCATTCTCACCCGCCGATCAACCGAGCTCTACTCTCAGTGTTGTTTTGATCTCCCAAACTTGGCCCTCCCACCTCAGTCACCGTCGTCTGGCTTACGTTTTTCCGTTGTCCCCATATCACGGTCCGATCCTCGACCAGCACTCAGCTGCCGTGCCCCCGTCGCTCCCCTCTACTGGTTTTGCATCTTTCCTTGCGCCAGCTGAGAATCGGACCGGTGGTCTATTGTTAATGACGCCGTGGATCTTGCTTTTCTCTCAGTTATAAGGCAGCTGAAGTGAATTCCTTGCCCAATCACATAAAACCCACCGAAGGAGCTCGCGTGAGAGCAGTCGACAGCTCGCATACTCTGCAGCTCGACCTGAACCCTACTTTACTTCCCCCCCCCTCATCCCTCCTCCGCTCGTTTCTCCCGCCGCCGCGAATCCTTCGTCTCGGTTTCCCCGTCTTTCTTTTCTTTTCTGTCCATTCCCCCCGCCTTGAGCTTGCTGCTAGTCGCGGCGAGAAATGGCTGACCAAAATGAGATCGATTTGGACTCTATCATAGATAGATTGTTGGAGGTGAGGGGTAGTCGCCCTGGCAAGCAAGTTCAGCTGCTGGAATCCGAGATTCGACATCTCTGCACAAAGGCCCGGGAAATTTTCATCTCGCAGCCTATACTCCTAGAGCTAGAAGCGCCAATTAAGGTATGGTTGTTTGTCCTCCGCCATCATCCACCAGTGGATGGGGTCCTCGCTGCCTCATCCCTTGCTCGCTAACACTGCCTTTCTTGCATTAGATTTGCGGCGACATCCACGGCCAATACTACGATCTTTTGCGCCTGTTTGAATATGGCGGTTTCCCCCCAGAAGCCAACTACCTCTTTCTAGGCGACTATGTTGACAGAGGTAAACAATCGCTAGAAACAATCTGCCTTCTCCTTGCATACAAGATTAAGTATCCCGAAAACTTTTTCGTCCTACGGGGCAACCATGAGTGTGCATCCATCAACCGTATTTATGGATTCTATGACGAATGCAAACGAAGATATAATATCAAGCTGTGGAAGACCTTCACCGATTGTTTCAATTGCTTGCCTATTGCTGCCATTATTGACGAGAAGATTTTCACAATGCATGGCGGGTTGAGTCCTGATTTGAACTCGATGGAACAAATTCGACGCGTCATGCGCCCTACAGATGTGAGTTATCCGTCCTTTGTTGGAATGCGCAAATCATGTCGGATCCTACCTGTCCGTTTGCTATGAGCCGCTTAAGGCCCGGGTCATTAACTCAATGTTGCGAATAGATTCCGGATTGTGGCCTTCTCTGCGACCTTCTCTGGTCTGATCCCGATAAAGACATCACAGGCTGGAGCGAAAATGACCGGGGGGTATCGTTCACCTTTGGACCAGACGTGGTTTCAAGGTTCTTGCAGAAACATGACATGGACCTTATATGCCGTGCTCACCAAGTAGTTGAAGACGGATACGAATTCTTTTCCAAACGTCAGCTGGTCACACTTTTTAGCGCTCCGAATTATTGCGGGGAATTTGATAACGCTGGAGCCATGATGAGCGTTGATGAAAGCCTTCTCTGTTCATTCCAAGTATGTCTTCATATCTGGATATATCTAAAGTTTTCTGGCACAAAACTAACATAAAGTCGCGTTCCAGATTTTGAAACCAGCGGAAAAGAAACAAAAGTACGTCTACGGGGGCATCAGCACAGGCAGACCCACCACTCCCCCTAGGAAACAGAAAAAGAAGTAGAAATCATACGAACTCCTCCATGTGTAACAGGTTCGGACGGAGATAATATCTCTTGTCAATATTCCCAGCGATCCAAGCCCTCCCAATCGGGTTTCCACGGTACTAGAAATCCCCGTCTTGTCCGCATAATTCACAACACCGTTTCGCACTCCCATTACGCCCTTGTCGCTGATTCCAACCCGATATCTCCCACCGCCAAATCCATCTTAAACAATTCGATACCTTCCGACAGCTCGACGACGATTACTTGGTGCTTTTAAATTCGACGAATGTTGGACCTTGCTTCCCTTTTTTTCCCTTCAATTGTCCTGTCAATGTCCTTTGGTGTAATTTTCTTATTTTTCTTTACTCCCCGTTTTCCCCTCTTTTGCCGGAGTGGAAAGAAGGTTGCTCTTCTCTTTCTCGCATCGGTATCTGAGGGAGTGTAGGTGGTGTGATCATTTTAATGCGAAAACAAGGTCGTCCTTTTAACTTTGACTGTTTTTACTCTTCTTTTTCTTTTTCCCCGCCTCTTCTTTCCTCGCTTATTACTTAGTTTATGCGATAGCAATGTATGAGCAGTGATACTTTTCTCCTTGCCCCTTCCATCTCTTTCTTTGTCTTTGCCCGGAGGGTGGGAAAACAACAGCAGATGAGGGCGAGGTTGGGGTCAGAATGGACAGGGGGCTTATGGGTTTAACGAGATCCGTCAAGGCTTTTTACCCCAGGCGTATGATAAGTCTACACGAGCTGACTTAGATATTCTCTTCCTCAATGCAAAGCATCAGTGGTTCCTTGCCTATTCAGACGCCGCCCATCGCTAATCGCTTCAGCTTTTCCCTCTTCGCCGGTCTATCCCGTATGTGCCTATTTATATAACTCGCTGGGGCAGGCCTGCAGGGTCTATTAGAATTTCTTCCTCTTTTTTTCTTTTTCTGGCGAGTTAAAGCACCTCTAGCTAGTGTGCCACGATTTATGCTTACTCTCATGAATCTTTTTTGGGGTTTCGCACTGGGTACTTGCCGGCTAGACGATGTTATAATTCTCCTATGGCATGGGGCTAAAGACAAGTTCTAACTTGAATTCAAGGAATAGTCGTGGAAGCGCCATTTATGTCCTGAACTTCCCTTGTTATCCGCTCCGCTCCGCTCCGCCCCTCTCCAGCCCTGTCGAAGCTTGACGTCATACTTTCAAAGTGGAACTTAAAAGCAGGTAATTCCTCGTAGCAAAACGCCCTTTCTTTTTCCCTCTCTATAGAGATTAAAAAATTATGAAAACGGAGAACTGCAAGATATCGCGCGCCACGAGCACTGGCCATGTTTTAGTCTATACATGATGTCGGAACCAGGTTTCAAAACAATGGAAAGATTAAACTATCAAAAATCAAAACAATAAACTGTGACAAAGATGTTAGGAAATAGGAGTCACAGAAAAAGGGGATTTCTTGTGGGAACTGCTTCAATTTAATTAGTTCAGAATATTGATTTCTCAGTTCGACCTATGTTAGGATTCTCTCCTGTCACCCTAAATGCAACTTGTCTTTGTTCTGTGCTTTTGGGGTCGCGCAGCGCTGAATGCCTTTAATACAAGGGGAAAAAAATAGGAAAGCTAGCTAAAATGAATATGGGATTAGCGAGAGGAGAAAAGACATCCCCAAAATGAAGGGGTAAAAAGAATTCTGATCGGATCCAATAACTAACTAGAAATAACAAACTCCAGAAAGCTTCTGATGGGTAAAAAAGGGGAAGTGGGGAAATAATCTCGAGATGGGAGGTGATCGTTAATAGTAAGACAGATAGGTAGAAGCCGAGTTAACCCCAGGCGTCAGGTTGGTGGTGACTAGCAGAGAGCCAGGGTGGGGGTTGAATTTCTCATCGAAAAAAGGGGCTATAAGCACGGCCGTCGATGACATGTAAGCAAGCATCATCATGTGGAAGAGCTCCATTCCATAATTAAACGTATTGTGATAGCCATCTGATACCCTCGCCATAACCTAGATGATCGGAAAAAGCGGTTAGAAATTTATTTCTGATTGAAGAGCGAGAATATCACATCTTACCAGATCGTCCGATAATGGTACACATGAACACTTCAATGGGCCTTATTCCCTCCAGCGGAACCTTTCCTTTGCCCGTCGTTTGGAACAATCCCAAAGCAGCCCGGAGTTGATCTTCAGACACGGCTGATGGGTTATCAATCTTGTTACCAAGAACTAAGAAAGGAACCTTGCCAAGTTCTTCCATAGCGAGAAGGGCATCGAGTTCGGCTTTGGCTTCGGGGAAACGCTCGTAGTCGACGGCATCAACCATGAAAACGATCCCGTTGACTTCAGGGAAATAATCCTTCCAGAGGCGACGAGCTATATCACAAGTCAATACCTCAGCCTATGGGATATCAAATTTAACAACCGCTTACCCTGGATGTGACCACCCAAATCAAAGGTCGTGAACGTGTTGTTTCCGATCGAGAGCTCCTCCGAAGCTAATCAAAAAAACTGGGGATCAGCCGCTGCCACAACAAAACATTCCTCATCTTCTTTCCCCTCCCTCCAAAAATTATTCCTTCGCAGAGGGCAATAGACAGCTTAACATCCAAGCAAATTAGACCCTGAAATACGTACTCGGGTGTGCGGTTGGTTGCAAGAGGGCAACTCTGCCATTCTGTATGGTAAAGGTTCCATAGTCAGCATATGGTCCACATCACTTGCTGGCAGGTCAAATCCTAGCAACCCATTGTGCGCACCAAGATAACTGCCACACTTCAAAAGGGGCAAAATATCAATCAGTACATACCTTCAACATCTGCAATAAAGTAGACTTTCCAGCATTGTCCAGCCCAAGGAAAAGCAATTTGGCATGTTTGTTTAACAAACCAAGGGAGGCGAGAATATCATAGACTATTCAATAGTGTCACGCACAGAAACCACATGGGTCAGCTAAACATGGTCTGCAACAAAGGTAGAAGAAGTTTAAACACGTAACTGAGCTAAGGGACATAGGACAGCTCCAGAAGCTGGCTCTCTCATTTAAATGCAGGAGACAATAATGAATAGAAACACAGCTGGAATGATACATAGGAAAAGCCGGGGGAGAGAGTGTGTGTGGGAGCGAGGGAGCTCGGGTACTTACACCAGTTGATGATCCACATTGTGAAAGCTTGCCAATGTAAGGCTTAACTATAACACTAGCGGTTTTTCCTCAGGGTATGCTCAAAGTCACTTGTATCAATAAGAGTTAGAAATGTAGGGAGGAGGGAATGGCTGCTGTTGTTGTCGTCGTTCGTCGTCGGAGGTTAACTGGGGAAGATAACTTGGTCAGTTCATCAAGAGAAACGCTAGTCTGGAAAAGACCTAGCCAGATATGCGTCTGTCGGGCTGGCTGCTGATGTAAGATTCGTCTTGGCAGATGCTTGACTTGAGCCAAAAATCACATATCATTATTATCACTTATACGGAGTATACTCCGTAGATTTTAGTTCAAAAGGACTCTTAAGCCTGTACCCAACTCCGGCACCTTATCAGGCAGTCTATCAATTACCGGAATGGTATTATTACCAGATTTACCTTGATATTTGAAAGTGCTCTGTTTCCATCTCCCATCTCATACATCTGGATTTCCTGGATAACCCTTGGGTCTGGGCAAGTTGCACAGTGGGCACTGCCCCAGTGCCTTCACGAAGTGATGATAGTTCACCTTCTGATCTTTTATTTAATATCAATCAAAGTCAACTTGACAAGCATTGTGGCTGAGCAATAATTTCATATCTCTCCTTGACCATCTCCCAGGAGCTTAGAGAGTGCAACATCCAGTACCACAGTTGGTAAATCGACCAGTTCTGCGTGTTTATGTATGCATTCGCTCGGCGGCTACCTACAAATATAATATTCTCGCATTCAACGAAACTTTCCAGACTTTAAAAAGGAGGATAAAAGCAATCTTTATCAAGAGCATCGGCAAAACCACCAAGTAGACAATCCCCCTTTCCCCCATTTAAACCTGTAGACTAGCAAAGCCCTCTGCCTCAGTGCCGAGAAGGTATCGCGTTCCCAAGCCAAACCTAGTATTAAAAAGGAATATAGAGCCTCTGCATTAAAAAAAAAAAAGAAAAAGAAAAAAAAGAGAGCAAAGGGAATAAAAGAGAAAAGGATGCAAGGCTGTATATCTCGCGACTGGGAAAAAAAGAAAAGGGGGAGGAAGGGGGGAGTATGTACAAGAAAAGACAAGGTTAAAGAAAGAAGTGAATCTGTAAAGTAGCGCCGATTGTTCCCGCGGAGAGAACTTAACTCTGGCCGCTCATTGCGATTTTTTGTTTTATTTACTTTTGGCCGGATGCAGAGACATGGCTCTTTTCGAAGGCACATCAAAGATTCAGACGGATAAGACGAGCTGAGCATCTTGGATAACGTTGTAGGCTTTGAACCGCTCCGCAACTTCAAGGCCAAGCTCTCTCATACGTTCTGCGCCTTTGCCACACAGAGGCCGTTTCCGCTCCAGCTGCTCCTTGGCCGCTTTGCGACAATGCTGTCGCCAGAATTTCTCTTTGCGCTTCTCTCGCTTCTTTTCGAGACCGGCAACGATGTCGATCGGTCCGCGGGTGTGTTTGTTACGACGACGTGAAGCGCGAACAGGGGAAGACGAGGATGTCCTAGAGGATAGACGATGCTGGGCAAGACGGGCAAAGTAAGGATTTGGAGTACGAGGAAGCGACGAAGTCCGAATCCGGTGTGGTCGTTGAGCGAGACCGGTGAAATGCACGCGGCAAGCGCCGCTCCCTGATGCTTGCGTGACAGATGTGCGACGTGTTGGAGGAGGTGATCTCAGCCGTGCAGGAGGCGGTGACCTCAGCCGTTTGGGTGAACGACCGAACAGACGACGGGGAGGCGGAGATTGCAGACGTTTCGGTGAGTGATTCGGGCTTGTGCGGCTAGCAGGTCCTTTGGATCTTCCACGCAAGCACTCTTCGTCGAATCCTTGAAAAGGGCCCGAGCCCCGGCCATGCGGTCTAGCACTGGTAGCGGAACCGCCTTCTAGGTTGTCATCATCCTCATCCTCTGGATCTGAGGTAGGGAAGCTGGGGTCAATATCCTGGGGAATTGGAATGTGCTTCGAGCGGCGACGTTCTTCCATGCATGAAATGTAGGCTGCTTCTAGAGGTCTATCCTCGTCCAAGGTGCCGCACACGAAATCTGTGCTGTCAGGCAGTGTAGGGGTACCTGGGCGAAATTTGGGGAGCTTGATAGGCTTGCTACGTCTCTGGCTGTGGGACTCGACGGACGTATTTGAATCCCGTCTGGAGATGCCTCGGCTGAGGCCATGCTGGTCAGTAGCTCCGCCAGATGCGACCTTAGGGGTCCAAAACCCGTACTCTCCGGAATCGTCACTTTCGTCAGAAGACGCGAATCCAGCTTCATTATCAGACTCGTTCCCATCATCCGGCTCATCACCATCTTGCACAGTAGACTCATCATCACCGTCATCACCATCTTCATCCACATCCACATCCACATCCACATCGTCGTCATCATTGTTGTCATCATCATCGTCATCATCTTCTTCGTCTTCATCTTCGTTGTCATTATCTTCCGCTTGTCTATCCTCTTCCTCTACCTCTTCACCGAGTTTCCGGATCGCAATCTCCTTTCTCATGCAGTCATTCATGGTGATCTTCCGCTCATAGTCGGTGACCTGGTTCATCCAGTCATCCTCATCCGATTCGCTGCCGAACTCATGGTAGCGCACAGCATCTGAAAGCTCTAACGTATCCTTCGCTTTCTCTTGGATTATAGAACTAGTCTTTTCAGGGCTGGCCTCAGCATAAAGGCTTTTCTGCTCAGAAGGGACTATGGATACCTGGCTAGCCTTGCGTAGCGTTGGAGGCGCCGGAGATCGACTACCTCGGGAACCTGGGAGAATCCTGCGGCTCGCAGCACCGTCCTTTTGAACCTCTCCATCGGAACCAGATGGACGCACAGGACAAACAAACGTAAGAGCTGACTTTCGTTTCGGGGGTTCTACCTTGGGCGTCTCCTTCATAGGCTCGCTCGACGCTTTCTTTTCTTCCTCGAGGAGCCTTCCACCGCAAGCAAAAGTTATGCAGCGTTTGCGGCCCAAGCTCGCTTCCACCTGCAATTCGCCAACGTCAGCTGACCCCTTGTGAATATTGCCATGGTTATCAATCCGCGGCAACCGGTTATATTGCAAAGGCGGACTTGGCGTGTTGGAACGAAGAGGGCTGGTGGTCTCGCTATCACTGGTCAGCTCGGCTGTGGAGGGAAGGCTGCGATTCGATACGGCGGAAGAGTTGGTCAGCCCACTCAGCTCCGTGATTGGCTGCAGATTCGCTGGAGATGGCTCGACAGGGGTCAGCTCCGGACTGCTCAGCAGAGCTCGAGTGAGGAGCGATTCTGGCTTCTTCCCATCCACGCTGATGGTCTTGGTCTTGGCATATGCCGGAGGGGGGAGGGTCGAAGAACGGGTCGTGATCAAGGAAGGTCTGGATCTAGAATCGCGATGATCTGGCGGTTCATCGGGTTCAGCAGGCACCTCATCACCATCGATCGCAGGAGTATTGGTAGCATTTGATATTTGTAACATATCGACAGGAATAATAGGCATGGGTATCGTAGAAGGACGAAACTTGATGCAGAAAGAGAAGACTTGAAGAGATCGGTGCCGTTAATAGAGAACTCGTTAAATGCCGAAAATCTAGAACGGTCTTCCCAGCAAAGAACAACGACGGGACTCTCTATGAACGCGTATCCGAAAGGGATTACGAAAAGACAAAGAAGCCACCAATTCGAGTGCGCCACCCAGAAGAAACAAAGGCAATCGGTTCAAGGGTGTAAGCGTGCAAAGTCGAAGTTAAGATTTCGGTTTAGAATCGAGCGGCTGTATGGATCAAAATGAATCGTCAAGGCGTCCCAGCGAGAATTCGAGAAATCCTCAGAGAAGCAAGGCTGGTGGGATCAAATCGAGATCAAACGAGTATAAGGTTGGTGTCCATCAGGACGTTTATTGTCATAACGACTGGATGGACAGCATGGTGAGAAAGAAAACGACGAAGGCCGAAGAGGAGATGGCGAGGGATGATGTTGAATGTGGTTGTTTCGTGTCCTGCTCGCAGGCAAAGACCAGAGTGTCTGGTAGGGAGGTTGCGTTAGACAAAGACGAGAGTGATATGCGAGGGAGCCAACAAGAGACGACAGGAGGAAGAAGAAAAGGAGGCGGCGAAGGCCGAAAGAATGGCTTATTCGATCCTCGAGAGCCCCCGGATACGCAGGGCGAATGGAGGGCGAATGTCTCCTGCCAAACGGTAAGGTTTACACTGTGGTGTGGGAAATGAGGATGAGGCACGATAGATCGACCAGCATCAGGGCAGGAGGGTCTTTGCGACAACGAGACAAGGGGAGGGAGAGAGGGAGGAAAGTAATGTTTTGAGTTGGAAAATTCGGCGATAACTTTGTTAACATGTGGGAACTGGTGATTTGAAGGGAGATGCGTTGTGGGGGGGCGAAGGAGGACCTTTCATCAAAAAGAGGGAGAGATGAGAGAGGTCATGATGACAAACCTGGCCCGGTAAGTTACGTGCCTGCTGGCGGGCGGAGGGCAAAGCCTGAAAGGGCCAGTGGGCGGGCGCAGATTAGGCACTGGGCCCTGGAACACGCCCTTAGTTAGGCATAGTTTAGGGCTTTTCTGCGAGCCTCGATACCGGCCCTGAACATGAAAGATTTCGGTTTTTTACAGAACCCTTACGAAACAACCACCACCTCGAGCACCCCCATTGGCCGGCCGCGGGAAATATTACACTCCAGCGCCGAAGTGCCGTATCGAGCCGGTTCCATCGGCGGTGCCTTAGCTGGGAACCGCAGCAAAAACGTCAGACGCAAGGAAAACCATGGGACGTTCGAAATCAATCACAAGTTCCAGAAAGGACCTGCAAATCTTAAAAAAGTTTTTATTTCAGAAATTCACCCGTCGCTCCATTTCATATTTTACCGGACGCCGGTGCTTCGTCGCCCAAACTTGTTACTTTTTGCTCGCGTCGGACATCCTCTAAAGGCACTGATATTCATCTGCACTTGACCACTGCATCTCCGACAAATTACCTAGCTCCATCGTCTCCGCCTTTGGACAGCGACCCCGACAAAAGCCATGCACCAAAGGGACGTCAAATCACTGGCCCAAAGGCCTGCATCAACCGAGCCGGTCTGGTGTGCTGTGACCCGAGCTGAAATTTATCGTTGCACTACGCAGCTCACACCCGCCAACACTCATCTATCCTCTGTGCTCTACATGTACTGAGTATCCCGCACAAACCTCCGTACTCCGGAGAAGGCACCAGACGAAGTCACCGTCGCAAATTCCGCCAATGACGCATAATGCATGGCTTGTGACCCCTTTCGTCAACATTTTTTTCTCTTTTTCTTTTTTTTTTTTTTTTTTTTTTTTTTTTTTTTCCCCTCCTCGAGAAGGGCTATGCTGTGTAACCCATCTGCCACGGCGCAGGCTGTAGCTTATATTATTGCTAAGTTCCAGAAGCTGGGTCTCAAAACATACAGTAATGAAGAGCCCACCACCACTCCCGACTCCTCTAACGGGTCTCGTCCCGTTTCTCATGACGACCCCGCTTGGATAATATCGCGCGCTACCGGGTTGGACCCGACGATCCCCTTATTTACGATGCCCACACGAAATTGTTTTTTTTGGAATCACCTTCAGAGAACGGAGCTTCTCCTCTCCCCTCCACCAGTACGTAGTACGCGTCTTTAAGAATGAATGTTTGGTACGGAGTAAAGAACCTTTTTTTTTTTTTCCGTTCAAAGATGCCGCCCTAGTCAGATTTCCAATTTGTACCGCACATCCTGCATGTTTCGCATGGCCAAGCAACCCTGGAAGCCAAAAAAAAAAAAAAAAAAGAAAGGAACTGGCCTTCGCGTAAGCAACACAAAACATCGAACGCTGCTTGAGGATTCTGGGAGACAACTTTGCAAGGTTGGGACAAGCGGGTTGACCGTAGGAACAAGCAGCGGTCAGTGGTGGTCGGATCCCTGGTCACTGGCAGCTGCCCGCTCACCACCATCGTCCCAATCATCCCCGAAAGCCGAACTGCGTGGCAGCGAGGACGACGACTTACATAAGTTTGGCGGATCGACTTCCCGTTCTGCCACAGTTGCTACACTAACCGAACTAGGCTAGTTGGCCAAGACCCGTAGCGGCAAGGAAGAACATTAGTCCGCCTTTCAAATACCTATCTCAGGTGGCTTTTCTACCCTAGAATGGCGTGTCATTCCAGTCGATTCTTTTTACCTATCCATCCATACATACCATGAGCATATCGAAACAAAAAGAGCTTCCTCACCCGCGTTTCTCTCTTTCCGTGCCTTTTTTTTTTATTCCGTTCCCAAAGAAGCTAGTTACTGCTCCAGCAGTTTTGGACCGGAGTGACTTTTCGCAGCTAACGGTTATGTCCGGCAATGAGTGCATTCGAAGCAAAACAAACATTGATCGCCGAGGCAATGATATCGATATTCCTTCGACTGTGCGTGTGAGCTCGTGGTTGCACTCGACATCCTTACAGAGTAGGGCAGAACTAAAACTAGCATGGACACGGCTAAACGTATGCCCTTGATTCTCGCGCCGTATTATGTTTCGATATGACATTCAAGCCCATTATTTTATTCACTCTCTCTTTGGTCAAAGAGGTCTTAGAATGTATCAGGCAAAGAGCCTTAAAATGTATGCTTGCCTGGTGCACGGATGAACTTGAACTTCATTGGGACTGGGACGGTATGGGGATTTCCAACGAGCTCAACCCCGCACTGAGAGGAGCAAGCTGAGCACCTTTGCTATCGCCAGATAGTTGATGTAGGGAACCCTTATCTGTCCTGCCAGTTGGGCCCGCTTCCCATTGCCATCCCAACCTGGTCTTCAGTAGGACCAGAGGACGAATTATCTTCCGTTACCCCCCATTGCATCTTGAACATGACTTCCAGGATGCCCAAGATGGCGGCTACAATAATGTGCCCATCCTCTTTTGGGTCCGCATTTACCTCCAAGCATTCGTTCCCGCAAAAGGGAGCTGGTAATTTTCTATAATTGACTTCGTGCGCAGCATCATCAGCGGGGCTCGATGATTCGACCGAACTAAGCGGCTAATAGTAACTATTTTATGGTTCCAACGAATAAGTACGGAGTTAACTAGGCTAGAAAATAGCTTCATGCATCTCAAAAGAAAAGGAAAAATGGTGTCATGGATGGACAGGGAGGGCAGTTCACTAGTTCAAACGGTGATGTCAAGTTCATTCGCGCGATGGAAGCGCCCATTGAGGGTTGGGAGGCTCTTCGTCCAATCAAAATCCCATCTCCGTTTCAACTCGCGATCTCTCTCACCATAAGTGACACAAAAGAATCAAGAAAGATATCAAATGAAACAATTCAGGAGGGCTCTGAGAGATTGGCTCCCTGTGGTCTATTTCTGGATACTGAATTCGACATCTAAGATTCCGCCAGGCTCTCTCACCTGCAACCATGGCGCTTGCGTGGACTCCAGGGTATATTCTCCCACGGTGCCAATGTTGCACAGTGAAATCGACTCTGGGTGATATAAATTTGAAGATATCGCCGTCTTGATTAGAACAGTCCAACATTGGTCCGATTTGGTCCTGTTTAACAGCGCTCATGCTCACTCCACTTGCACAACTGAGCACTCTCAGAAGTCTAGTCAATCATGGCTCTAGAAATCTATGCTGTGACCGAAGACATGGAACCGAAGCTCGAAGAGCTCGAAAATAATTGCCGGAGCAATAAGGGGTCACAAGTCGACGGAGAAGGCCATGAAGAAGAGCCCCGAGACTCTGAAGATCGGGCTATCACCAAGCTCCCTGAGGACAATGATAAAAACGTCTGCATAGAGACATTATACTCGGGAAGCCTGGAGGCGCCGTCGCCTCTTCGTTCTTCCACTTGTTCATCGTGTTCTTGCGGCTTAAAGGAGTATGTTCAACTCTATATTCTACTTAACTCCTCCGGAAATCTGGATCTTCCTTCGGTTGCTAATTTATCCTTAGCAAAATACCACCACGAGAAGAATATGCTAATGGATATTTAGAACCACGAGGGCGAACACGTTTCCGCGACCAGTATTATTGTAAGGATAACAGTGAATCCCCTCCGCGGAGTTTTGGGCGAGGTTTTTTTCACAATGCTGGCCATTCTCAACCGGATTTCTTCCGCGACACGTCCCCGCCTCTCCGGGAAGGAAAATACCTATATTCTTCTTCGAGTCCCAAGGGAAGATCTCTCCCCGATGGCTTCCCTTCTCGCAGCCTCGGGAACCATGGCTTTGGTCAAAGACCTGTGTCCCACCGAGCCGCGCAAAAGATAGACAGATTGCCCCTAAAAAAGGAAACACCCAGTCTTTCTCGCAAACCATTTCGTTTCAATGGGCCTCCTTTTGTTCAGATGAGTCACTCATCCCAAAGCTTGAATCCAACGCCTCTCGGTCCCTCCAACCCGTGTGTCTCTCATTCACTATTTTCACAAACCCCTTACATGGATCCGGAATACTCACTAATTTTTGATGGCAGGGCTTTGAGCCGAAGAGATAGAGAAATTATCAAAAAGTCAACTAGGGGACGCTTAAAATATTCAAAGCATAATACTTCACACATTCCAGTCCTGCAGGATCCGAGGGGCGCCTACGTTGGGAGTGATCATTCACTCTCTTCTTCAGATGCCTCCGAGGGGTATGTATCTTGATACCCGTGCACTATTCCATTCTTGCCCTGGCACGTATCAACTCCCCCCTCTCTTTCTCTGGAGTATTAACAATCTATCGTGAAAGGGTTATGCCCCAAAGAGATAGGAAGAATTTGCGCCACCGAAAGCAGAAAAGAGCTCACACTCGGATATTAAATTCATGGTCAGATAGCGAGACTGATTGTTCGTTTTCTTCCGACCTCTCAAAGGTGTATGTATCTAGTCCTCTTCATGTGAATTACTATCACTGAGCTTGTGTGGAGTACTAATCTAGTTATAGTGAAAGGCGCGTTCCTTTACGAAATAGAGGAATGCCAAAGAAACTTCCTAGGAAAAGATCGGGACCACAAAAGCAAAAGAATTCTCGTAGCTTAGGTCTCTTAGACACAGCAGCTCACACCAAGAACAATTACCTATCTCCTTCCGGGGGGGCTCAACCTGAAATTGAAGTCCGTGTCGGTTTCTCTGGTCCGCAGGGGAATCTTCAGCCTCATATGGCCGAAAATTATGTTCCTTCCAATATTTCTGGGAATCTACGCCGCATAATCTATGAGTTTGGCCCTTATTATGCACAGCCAAATATGAGGCAGGTAGATGAGAGTGATGCAGATGTCAACATGCAATCCCATATTGAGCCGGCGCAGCACAACAGTACTCAAGGTGATAAGAGTCAGTGCGGCAAAGAAGCTGCGTCCGGGTTGTGCTGTGCCTGTTCACAATTGCTGGAAGGTAAATCCTGCGTGATGTTTGTCGAGCCCCGAAATGCAAAGGATAAGACTTTCGGTGATGGTAAGAATTTTGATGTTTCATTGCCAATCACTAGTTCAACCTAGGAAAGCTGACCAGAATATTAGTTTGTGGCAATATTGGTGTAGGCAATTTCATTGGCATTGCTGGGTTCGCCTCTGTGGCCATTGGGATTGCCGCGAGAATGGTTTCCCGCCTTATTGTTAAGTGATGCTTTCTCAAGCTTGACGCTGTTTTGGTTACTGCTGATGAAGTGATGTCTTTATCACACTTTTCTCTTGATGGATTTTGCTACCATTTCCCAGTTACGTTGCTGTTATATGTCCAATGATATCCTATCTCCTGTCTTGTTCTTCTATTTGTCCTTTTCTTGAATTTTGATGCCATCTTATAGCCCACAAGTGCCGTTCCTCCACCCATTACATTGGTGCTTTTGCTGCTCTTGTCACATGCGATGTTGTCTTATAACTGACAAAGTGTTTATTCCTCCTATTTTCTCTTGATCAGTTACACCATTACCTTTCCCCAAGTTTGGTGCTACTCTACGATCTACACTAATGTTGTTCGCTGGCCTGAAGAAGATTCACAGAATTCATGAGATATTTAAAATAACTGGTTATGGAGTATTGATGAGCTATCAGATCATGATTAAGCAATTTTATACTGCCTAAAGCATCTCTTGCATATTAACCAGGCCTGAATCCTCAGTAGTATCTCCTCTGTCACAACAGATGTGTGGCTGACAGTCTGTTTCCTTTGTTCAGACTTGTTGGAACGAGTATTATATCAAGGTGACTGATATGCGACATTATTATGTTGGTAAGGTCATATAATCTTACTCATGTGTTAGTGTGTATGCCGAAATGAATGAGAGTGTGGCCCGTGGGGTGTTTAATGAATGTACACAGTGTGTGTTTTCCCTATGATTAGAAAACCTTACACCTCATCAAGAATAGCCAAAGCGCCCAGAGCCAGTCTGCATTGCAGCTGTCTTCTTGTCCCTGTCTTCCTTTACCCTATGATCAGTTCTTTCGCTTGCTCAGTACACTTCTCCAAGCAGACTGAATGACAAGAGTTGCTCTAACGCGTTTCGATGCAGATAGAAAGCGAGAGCATAGAAATGCCAGGGCTCCAAGCGTGAAATCCTTATCGAATACATGCATTGGCGAGAAATCTGAAGGAGCTACCAGAGACGCTACATTCGAAACGGTTTAGCATTACTGTCTCCAGCAAGCCACTGGGCGCCGAAGAGCCTTGCTGGGCGGGTGTTGCTACTTACCAAACTGGGCACTGCAGCCCAATCTATGAAGTCTCTGTGCCAAAGAGGATTTCTGGCCTTCCTGTCCTTCGACCATATCTTCTGCCATGGTACTCTCATGATTGATCAGAACTTCATACTCGTCCACAATGCTCTCAAATATCTTCCCATCGGCAAAACTTGTTGTCATATTGTCAAGGCGGAGCCCTTTGAGGCCTGCGAGACATGATGCCCACCTTCTTAAGAGAAATGTTTCCCTTTCGTGTTCATTGTCAAATTCTGCTTGCTCCTCTTCTCTGGTGGCGTGATTATCATGTTGCATTTGACTGAGCTTCGTCTTGAGGCGAGATATTTCCCTTTTCAAGTCTTCCCAGTCAAGAAGGCCGTGCAGGCCCCATTTAGCTACAAGGCCCCATAGTAGCGCAATCGTTTTCTCACGATATCCGTCCACAATATCTTCGGGGCGAATATCTTTCACGATGACACCTACACCGCGGATTCCAGAGAGCGCGCTCAGAGCAATCTGGACATTGAAAATCTTCGATGCTCTACTGACACAGGGAATTTTTAAACGTTGAGATAACGGCCATTCGTTTCCGCTTTGCAATAAAGACAAAACCTGCCCTGTCGGCATGGTAACTGTGGTGGTGTTTTCTGATTTCTGTTGTTGACTCCAATCCGAAGCTAATTGGAATAGCAACAACTCGGCCAGCCTGGTCAGAAGGATCCCATCTCGAAGATCAACGGCAAGGTTCTTAATTCGATAGTGGTGTTCTTGAAGACGGCATTGTTCATAACTGACCTGGAAGTCTAAATGGCTTAGTGCTCGTCCAATGTCTCCCACAGTCGGAAGGAGTAAGCTGCCCAGGGCCCGAAGCAAGGCCGCGGATGATTTATACTCTGAAGAAGTAACGAACAGGCATTGAGGCAAATAAGTCCCTGGTGCAATCCGTGCCTTGTCAAGGAGTAGAATAATCATAATGCTCCTTAGCAAAGTTTTGCAAAAGGGCGACCCTTCCACATCGTTCTCCTTAGATTTCACAGACCGTGCAATGGGGTTTGAATCCTCGTTCTTGATAAGGAACGTGTCTAGAAATTCCTCCATTGATCGCCGGAGTATTTTCTGTGATGATGCTTTCGGTTGAGCTGGGGAGTCGACTGGGATAGAGATCCTTCTTCCTATAACCGTCTCTGCAGCTGCTCGAAGAGCAGATAAATCATATGTGCTAAGCCAGAGGTTTAAAAATTTCCGGCGCATGCCTATGTCTTCTCTGAGGCGATTCCCACGGCTCAGGATATCCTTTGGAATACGCAGGGCTCCGTACAGCAAGGAAGCCTGTACGCGTTTGTAAAGTAAAGAAAAATGCGCATCCTGATAATGTTCAAGAAGTTCATGGCGCAAGCTTTGAGCGTCCTGTGCAATTGCAGCACAATGGCCCGAGTCGAAAAGAGCATTTGCGAGCTGGGTGAGCACGATCTCCTGATGAGCAAGCCAGTTCTCCTCATACATATATGGATTTGATATGTCCTCCGAAATTATTGGGTATTTTTGCGCAATATCCAGGCTCAAAATGCGAGGGACTGCAATCTTTACCGGTGGCCTTTCCTTAACTTGTTGTTTTGAAGAAGATTTTCTTGAAATTTTACCCGGATCGGTCGAGGCCTTTCTCACTGAACCCATACCGCTCATATGCTTGCCGTTTCGTTTTTTGGGAACCTCTTCGAAAGGTTTATCGCGCAATTTTGTAGCCTTTCCAGTCGATATTTGAGTTCTGGGACTGTTTGGGCAACTTGGTCGCAAGACCCTGTTATCTCTCTCAATTGCCTTCTTCTGTGGGGGTGGATCTAGGTTCCCCGCTGTTACATTAGAGAGCGACTTCTTGCCAAACTTTTCAACGGAAAGTTGAAGTCCGACAGATCAAAAACATCGAAGTCCTTCTTTTTCCCGGACTCGGCGCACGGTGATAGCCCGGGAGGGAGATTTTCTTTTCCAGTGTTTGACCCCGCAATATCTTGCTTTATGGCAGATTCCTGCGCAACGCGCAACGGTTGTTGCAACGGTGCTCTTTGAGGCTCTCTTGGTGGCGAGTTCTTTCGGTTGCGTCTCTTAGCAATTCGTGCCTCAAAGGCATCGACTTCGTCTTCTTGGCCGATGTCCACTTTCAAAGGGCTAAAGATGCTCATGAACATGGTTGGCATAGTTGTATCCTCAGGTGGTATGTATATCGTCTGTCTCCTCCGATCTCTTTTCAATGGATCTATTTTTCCCACCTCCTTATCTTGGCCGTCATGGGAGATGGGTTTCTTAACCTGAGAAGAAGCTTGCTGTTTCGGCACCAAGGACTGCCGCTCTCCTCCTGTTTTCTTTTGATCGCCTCTTGGTGATTGGCTAACAGCAAACCTAACCTTCTGCTTTGTCGGTAATCTCTGAGCTGGTTGACTCAACATCGAAGAGCCGCCTCTCCCTACCGTGGTCTTCCGCCATGCCGCCGTTGGAAGTCCACTAGCTTTACCGCCGGGCCCGTCTTCATGTATTTTAAATGTTGCTGCCCTTTTCACCCTTCGCGGTTGCTGCTGTATTGACGTGGAAACAGAACGAAGATCTGTAGTAAATTCGAGCGGAACAGTGTTGTCGTTGTCATCGTATATATCGAACGAAGGCCTGGAGCGCTTCCAGTTTGCAGGACACGGCGTCGCCGCTTCAGAGTATCGAAAAGCAGGCATTGTTCTAATTTCTGCACGTGTGGTATCGTCTCGGGTTTGGGCTAGTTATCGGATTTAAGTCTCCCAGTTTGAACAGACGTCGTTCTTGAAGTCCTGACTCACGGAATAGAGACACTGGATTCAATGTAACAAATATTGATTAATTGTGCATCTCGAATACTGTTTCAAAAACCAGCAGTAGCAATTAGAGTAGAACTTATCCAAGTATACTGAGTACATGTGTGTCTCATCGGCGATGCACGCAAGCTGTCGTCTCCGACACTGCGATCGTCGCGTTCCTTTGTTTACCAGCTGCCCGCCCCGGGCCCGTCTCCAGGGGCAACGCAATGCTGATTATATAAACCTGTCACAATCCCCAAAACTCTTTCACGCGTTTCCAATGCCTCTGTGATACGGAGTAAAGGGGGTTGTTTGAGTGGAGAATCAATGTGTCCTCCTTCTACATTTCACGGTAACAATTTAAGTATGATTCTGATCTGGTTGAGGTCCAAGGATGCTGAGACTACATAGTTATGTAGTCATTTATTTTGTTACCAGTGGCCAGCACGCAGGAAGGTCGTACCACTCACCAAGGAACGCAAGCGACAAGGCGGCCCTCTTCAAGGTCAACAAAGAAATCCGAGATTCTCTTTATATGACTGTCAGCTCTTTCGTCTATCCCTGCAGAGAACATGATGCCATGTCTCCTCGAATCTATTCAATGTAAACGCCAGCGACTTGAAAACCATGGAACCCGATTCTGCTCCCTTAGCATTCCAGCACTTTGATGCATAATCTCCGCTTCCAAGATGTTTTCCCTCTCTTCTTCTTACAAGATTGGGCGGCTCCATCCTTATCAAGTTGAAGTGTATACAACTCGTCGCAATCCCGTGCGGTTGGTAATGTTTTACAGTGAACTTTTCTAAAGACAAAGATTATAGAGAGATATCTGCGCTCTTTCAACGACGGGGATTGGCACGGAATAGCACTGTACTACTCGTCATTCAATCAATGAAAATGCGGCCCACAAGGCTTCGGAGGGCAGGATAAGAAGGCAAAGCCACCCGGCGGCGGCGCAGCTCGTCTGCTAGGCAACCAAGGGATCAAATCGTGGGCTTCGCTGCATGGAGTACATAGCTTTGTCGGCGGTTTCATGCCTCTTTTTCTGGTTCGATACCTAGGTTCACCGCAAAGATAGCCAATGTGATTGCTTGGACCCTGCCGAAAGTGCATGTAAATGTGTCGCTTATTCGCTGCCTTTCTATCCAGAGCTTGGAGAAGCCAGTAAAAAAGACCCATCTTTTTCGATACAGAGAAGCTCGAAAGGTGGCAAATAGGATACTTATTATTTTGGGTTCCTATCTCGATCAGTCTATGAGAATGCCAGCGACAAGGTTCAGCCTCAGCTACAGTTGGCCTTTACTGCCATGGATCCCAAAAGGCCCAGTGTTTTTTGCCGCTCAGGCTACCATGGTTAGGAAGCTCGATAAGCAGAGTTTCAAATTAGCATTTGGACGCTACCTGTGATTGGGGTTCTTGATATCCTATGAACCTTCAGGGCTTTCGTCGTCATGAGCGGTTGTCACCGTCGGCCTGGCTGGCTGAGCTCCCATTGCGCGTCTGAGTTTGATTATGACGCCATTCCCACCGAGGGCGTTGTTTTTTTAAAAGTTCCATTGGAGCTTTGCGCAACGGTCGATCCCGTCTTTCCTCTTTGTGATACCGAACACCCAACGTCCAAACGCCCGGAAACCGGTATTCAGATGACGGCTACGGTAGATGGCTGTCTGGGCTCGACTCTTATGTTTGCATCCGAAGCCACGGACATCATTTTTCGAGCAACGCTCCCCGGGATATGGGCAATATGACGACAGGTATATGAACCACTCACGACGTACTAGAGCATAATAGCTCCATAGTTGGCTGATATCCCCACCTCAGGGACAGAGAGTACCATATTCCGGGGCCCATTACGACACCATGCATGCTGGGGAGTCTCCTGACACTCACGTTGGCCTGCTGTCGTTGAGAACACCGTTGAAGTTTCGCTAAAAAGGTTAGGTAGAGGGGAAACGCGTATTTTGCCGCCTCTCCAGCCAAAGTGGTGTGTTGCGATAATGCAGATTTACTTGTCTTTTCCCCTACCATTACGAATGCACGCGCAGAGTATGGTACACACATACTTCTACGACGGAGAACCGTATTGTATCGCCGGGTACGGAGTACTCCGTACATTATACATATGTAAGTTCGGCAGAAGCATTTTGTCCTCTGATTGGGCTTTTGGCGAGCACTGTAGATCATCTACGCGGGTGGCTACACACTATTACCATCCCGAACCCGCCTCGTAGTCCAGCTTCAGCTTGGAGTTTCAAGCCACAAACCCACGTCTTCCTGATATGGTAGTCCGCTTATGATTCAATTCAAGCAGCAATGCAGACTCAACAAGTAATTCAATAAAACAATATCTTTTTTATTGTCAACACCACCCAGGGCTCCAAAGACTTATTCCCGTACTACATATGTAAAGCCAGTCAGTCGACAGTATCCCCCAGCTCTAGAACGCTAGATCGGCCAATTATTCCATCCACCACCTGCCATGATGTCCCAAATCCACAGTATCATTCAAACGGGAGAAACGCAATAATCTGGATAAAAACAAGAAAAAAGGCAAAGGCAAAAGCAAAGTGACAACGCCCCCATGCAACAAACAACGCCAGCAAGCAGAAGAAGCCGCCCGTAGGTCAGTATAATACAAGCCTCAAAGCCCAGAAAGGACCTGCCATCAAGTGGCCAGACTTCTTTTTTGGTGAAACCTTCTCCTCAGTACACTTCCCCCTCCAACCAGTCCTATGTGATATAAGAGGCCTGGGAGATTATCCACTATGTGGGATAGAAAGCAAACACTGACATAGCAGCGCGCTTCAACATTAAAAGACAACCAAAAAGAAAAAAAAAAAAGGCAAAAATAACCCCATAATAATGCACTCCGACAGAAAAGCCAATGAAAGTCAAAAAGCAGGGGAAAAAACAAAATGGTATAAAGGCGGAAAGCCGCACAACGAATTAAACAAAAAGGGGAGAAACAAATGCAGCAAAAAAAGGGAAATTGGAGAGAGCCGAACCCAAATAAAAATTTCCGGAAACCGAGAGATCCACACCCACATCATACAATCATTTCTTTCGTTACTTTTTGGTTAGTCTTTGAAAAGACAGAAGAAGCCATCCCGCCTCTGACACTTTCTTCTAAATCCAAATATGGAATGAATCATGTACAATCACTGAGAACACGTCTCGAGTGATAGGATGAAATAATAAAAAAGGGGGGCGATGACTTTGGAAAAAGGCCAGCGCGCTGAAAGGGTAAAAGAACAATCGTAAAAGCCTTTTTGTTTTAGCCCAGTGTTCGACCACTAGAAGCAATCGCGTGGCCTGTTGCCCCTGTCATACGATGAGGGTGAATAGGGCCGACAGGATGAAGACCCGAGCCGTCTGATGAGGGGAATCCAATATCCCTCTGCTTGCCGCCCCAAGTCTCATCGTCTAGAACAGTAAGCCAGTTAGTGCCGACTTCTTGTTTCAAAGCCTCTAAACGTTGGCGGTAGATGTCTCCACTACTATCCCAGTCAACACCTTCGATAGCAGGAAGAAAATGTGCTGCGCTACCCGCCCCTGCAACTTTAGATGGCACGGGAGAAACGGAGTCGGAGCCCGTGTTCAGTCGCGGGAGAGCCGGGCGCGTAAGTGTGTCTTGGCGCTCTTGGAAAGGCGACTCCGATTTAGGAGTGGTTGGCTCGAGGATTTCTGAAGCCAGGGTATCCCTGCTCTCGTCCTGCGATAAATCAACAATTCTCCGCCTGTGAGGTTTCTTGCGTCGAGTCGATCCAACCGCATGTTCTTGTTTGCGTATGGAAGCGGGGTTCGTCGCCTTCTCCTCTAGCGCTTTGGGCTGTGCACACTGTGTAATGACAGGTTCGGCGATCAGGACATCGTCTTCGTGTGAGTTGGCTTGTTCGTTGGGTCTAATAACAGGAGCGCTCTCAGGCTCTGCGACTCGCTCAACCAGCTTCTTCCTTTCGGAGTAAGTTGGCCCACTACCGTCGATGAGGATATCTTCCGAGAATCCTGGGGTGCGCCGGAATAGGTTGAAGATAGTAACTCTGTAATCGGAGTGTGATTTGGTAAATGGGTTCCCTGCGACCCAAATCTCCCGTAGATATGGAATAGAAGTCAACCTCGCCATCTCGGTGGGATCGGGGATGTTGTTCTCTCGCAAATCAAGACGTTCTAACGAGAGCAAGCGTTCCACACCGGCAATAGATCGCAAGCGATTGGCACGAAGATTCAAGGCCGTGATTGCAGGAAGAGGATTTCGTGAAAGAGAATGCAGAGATCCTATCATACAGTGAGATAGATTTAGCGAACGGAGAGCCACCAACGTCGAGAGACTGTCAGGCACTTCGGTGAAAAGGTTCCAGGACAGATCCAGAGACTGTAGAGTGTTTGCAACTGGTGCGAGGCTTATAGCTGTGACACTAGTCATCGAATTATCGGGCAGACCGAGATGTCGAAGGAAACGCCATTTAGTTGATGGTAATATTCCGGCAGCCAGGAGGTTCGACATGCTCCGATGACGATACACGGTAGAGCACTCACTAGAATTCGAGCTTCCAGAGCCAGATCGCTTGATCTTCGTCGAGGCTCCGCGAATGTGGCGACGTCTCGAGCTGGGGGGCCGAGGAGGAGACGCACTCCCCTCTCGACGCTGCTTGAGGCCCTCCGCAGAGCCTGCTCTAACCATGGCAGAGCCACATTTAGGACTCGAACGGTTTCCGAAATTGTGATCACAGATGGGGGATCCCGGAGCGGAGGATGCTCTCACAGGTTCTGGCTGCGTAACCGGACTGGCAGTTGTGCCACCACTGACAGGAGACTGAGGATTCCTTGTGGACCTTCGTCTCCGCTTGTCAATATCGTCCAAGACAATTCCTGTAAGCAAGTCTCCAACGTCATCAACGCTCGCGCGCTTAAGGGTCAGGGTCCTAAGCTGTTCGGCCAAACGGTCCCAGCCATAGAAAGAACGGAAATCAACATCGATTATCTCCAGAGAACCAAGGTTTTTAAAGGCATGGAGTGGAACAGCGGTGTCAAACGGGAACTCTTCATAGCCACGGATCAAGCGGGCACGGTGGTCAGGAGCCAGCCTCAGACACGGGATTTTAGTAAACGCGGAATATAAGTACTTTAGGTCACTTTCGATCGCTGCCCTGGCCTTGTCGGATTTGGAAACAGAGTCCTTGGATCCCAGGCCAAAGGAAGACCAGAACACGCTCATGCCGGACAGAACACTACGGACACTTGACACGGAGTGGATAGAGTCTCTATCGCCCTTCGGCCGGCGCGGCTTGTTTAAAAATGAAACATACGCCGAGGAGGCCTCTGTGTTGATATTCTCCAAACGAATATTCATTGGACCTACGGGAACGGACAACTCCTCGAAGCGCGACAGAAGATAGAAAACATGGTGAGGGGTGAGGGTCAACTTCGCGGGCTTGATATTGTGAGACGTAAAGCTCAGGGAGCCCAGGGAGAAGACGGCGGCTAAGGAAGAGGAGGTAGCGGAACGACTGGACGAGACATGTCGACCGGTGATCGGCGGGGAGATCGAAGAATCGAGGCTCTTCGAGGTCTGGCGTCTCATCTGAAGGGCATTGGCCAATGCCTTTTCATGAGTGCGTACAAATCTGGCGAGGTTCTGGAGGAAATCAAGTAACACACGAGAAACGTTAGCCAAACCTGTTGTCACCCGTCCTGCCAGAGTCACAGGAGAAGGGAAAATTCCCACTTACCTTGATGAAGAGCTGGCCATCTTCGGTGTTGAGCTTCTCCATCTTGACGGCGTTGACTGGGCGAAGAATCCAGATCCAGTCAAAACGGGCTGCAATTACTGCACACAGGTAGCTATGGAGTAGTGAGACGACATCGTGAGAATGAAGAGCAGGCCCAGGTGGAGGATGATTGAGGCTCCTGGTGCTGCCTGTCGGCTCAGCAGGAGTGACAGCCCAACAAGGCTGCGATCCGACTCAGCGAGAATGAGTCAGTGCAGGTGAGGGTGAGCTCGCCTTGCCAGAGCAGCGGATGCTCGAGGATGGGAATTTACACCAAAGGGAAAAAAGAAGAAAAAAAGACACAACCACCACAATTTTCGGTCGACAATGACCTACAGCAGGAGATTGACAGGTCTAAGAACCAACCGGCCCGCTGCTTGTGTATACTGGGGGAACGTTATTACTGGGAAAATGGTGTGGTGAGAATAGGCTCACGATGGCCGTGGGACTGTTCATGTGCACCGGGCGGTTGACTGGAAAAGCAGTTTGTGGTCACCTGGACAGTTTCCCAAGGCACAGACGTGAGAAGCGAAAGGGTTTTGAATGTGACTGTAAACACAAAAAAAAGGCTAAAAAAAATAAAAAAAAAAATAAAAACTGAAGAATATATTGTCAGACAGAAGATAGCGAAAAAAAAAAGAAAACCGTAAAGGGAAAACCTGGTATTTCTTTTTCCTTTTCTTTTTTAAGGGGAAGATCAAGGGGGACGCGACAGGCGGCTGTGAGTGGCTGCCGAAGGGACCCTGTCGAAATTGCGATTAAAACTGTCCGATGCGTCCAACCTTGTCGCAATTCTGGCGGGTGTGACGACGAAGCCGCCACGACGGCCGAGGAGGAGAAGGAGGCGTGTAGGTGGACGGGGAGAAGATATCGCCGGCAGAGAAGAAGAGGAGGAGGAGGAGGCACAGAGCGGACGGGAAGGGATCTTTTTGGTTTTACTTATGGTTCTGAGCGAGGACTGGGGACCCCCTTTGCCAGCGGGGACTCTGGCCGTATTCGGGGCCAAGCAGTGGGCTTTTGTGCTAGGAGGGGCGCCAGGAAGGATGGGATCGTTGCTTTTTTGTTCCGTGACGGACAAGGGGGTTGCTCTGGTGGCTTCCGCGGGTCATTTCGCCAACCTTGTCAACCGCTCCGATTAGCCCATTTGCGGTTTAATCCAAGCTTGCTAGCCGGGTCACAGGAACGCGGCGTGGGCGAGCTGCGTGCACACGATGGCCCATATCCAGCCGTCTCTTTCTTCTCTCCTGCATCCGTTCTCTCTCTCTCTGTGCTCTCCTCTCAGAATAAATGGCCTACCCACGCTACAGAGTTCACTACGGCAGATTCAAGTCTTGCTCTAACCCTCCTCATCGCGAACCCCATTATTTAACTTAACTCACATGCCAAAGACAGTGACAGGGAACCAGGCGACTCTAAATCCCGTGCGTGGATGGCCCTTGTCCCTCTCATTGGCTCAGCGTGACCATTCCACCCTTTTTATTTGTCGTTGATATGTAAAAACCAGGCAAGAGGCCGTAGGCGCTGGACGATTTCAAGGTGATGGGAAAGCCAAAAATACAATAATTAAATAATAAAAATAGTCAATTCAAGAATAATGTTGGCCTTGCAGCTGAACAGGATGTGTGTGTGTACAGTACTCCGTACATAGTCAGCTTCGGGAGATCCGAGCGAGCTCTCGGAGCGTTACGAGCAATCAGATCAATGTGCTTGCAAGGCTAATCTTCGCTCGCAGCGAGAAATCGCGCGCAGCACTGCATCCATTGCCTTTGCACTTCGGTGGGTCGTGGCGCTCACGGCAAAAGCTGATGCCCATCCATCATCGGCCATCGCGTCCTTCGGGAAAACGGCCATGACCACTCGACCCAGTTCGCACGAGACATTCCATTGAAAGGCTCCCGCCCTGAATCCCCCTACCCTCTCTCCCCCCAAGTACCCCCAGGGGATCGTAGAAGCTCTTTCGAGATGTTTCGGAATTCCCTAGGGTTGCCAAAAAATTCAATCAATCAATCAATCAATCAATCGAAAATCTCGCAGGCGGAGCTCCACACCGAGCCCTCTGGCAATAATAAGTCGCAAATCTTTTCAGGCCCCGCTTCCTGATACCATTGTATCCACGGATGCCTATATACAATGGCGTGAAACCGCCGTTTTTTCCCATGGATCCGATGGACACTTCAAGCCCTTTGGCTGGCAAGCTCCCCAAGCTGCCGGGCCACCGAGACCCCTCTCGTTCGAAACGTGCGGTCCTGCACTGGATCTAGAAGAAGTGCCAATCTATCTTCCAGTACTCCATACTGAGGCATATTCGAAACTATTTCTACTGTTCTACAGAGGTACCTACTGTACTCCATACTCCTGCAGCGATATCCGATAAACTGGCTCGGGTTACGAGGCCCATGAACGGTCGAAACGGCAGCTAGCCAACGTTACAACGGTATGACCAACTATCGACGTTTGACTGGCATCTCCCGTTATCGATGGGGGGTTTATTTTTTCCGCCTTCGTCATTGCTGGAGAGCGCGAGACGGCAAAAGATCTTCCAATCCTTTGATACGTTACCTGCCGATAAGCTATCATTGCACGGAACATCCGGGTACATTGGACATCAGTCCTCCTCTGGCTTAACCGCGATCCCCCCCCCCCCAGTGACATAACGTACTGCGCGAGCGTCTTCCCGACGTCACGATGCTTTTCGTTCAACCCCCACCGTGCAATCGGATTGACGACGCATCTGGTAGCGCACACCGCCCAGCGCGCCACACCCTCGATCAAATCGACGAAAATTCCAGTGCGATTCGCAAACAAGAAACTAGAGATACGGAGAGGGTATTGGCACATAATGACCACTGTAGACCTCCCTATCCACACCCGATTTTCGTGTCACAAGGCTCTCATATCTCCACCAACCCTGATCACCTAACACTTTCCGGTGGCGACAATACCATGTAAACTGACCAACCCAAACCATCACCTCGCAGCAGCGCGGCAGCAACTTCTTGGGAAAAATGCGTCCTTACCAGACGACACAAAGCGCCCCATCCACAATAAAGCCACTCTCCCAATCATCTGCATGGAACTAATGTCGGCTCAGGTTTGCCATGAAATCCTCAAGCAAGGGTCAACCCAGGCGTCGCCTCTTGCCCTGAAGCCCTCCTCCGGCTCTGAGTGGTCCACCACGCAAGCAAATCATTTTTGGGCCACGCTTAAACTTCTCGTTGCGCTGAACCTTGCGCACGTCCCATGCATTGATGACGGCAGAGTAAACACCGTCATCCTCTCCCACCATTCGGAGCGCTAGAAGGCTGTCAATCTGCCACTGACAGGCTGATCTCTGCACGCTAAGCACACTTCGCTTTCCTTTTATCAACCACCCAACGCCCCGTCAATCCACAGCATCCCATGCATGGCAAATACAACAACAACTTTTTGGCGCCTTTTTCGTGGGGTAAAACCACCGGAACAAATGGCGCCGACGCCTTTGCACCTTTTGAGCGATAATCATGAACGTCTGTCCTTTTTTTTTTTCCATTACAATGATCCGTTTCAAACTCCCCACTCCTAGCACCCTAAGGAACCTTGATATGACGTTTGAAGAGTGAAAAAAAAAAAAAAAAAAAAAAGAAAAAAAACTTGCATTTAACCCCCTCAATCCTCACTTTCTCATATCATCCGTCCGATATGATTAAGCAACTCCTTTTTTTTTAAGCTTCTGGTCATTATTCGGAAAGCCCCTCGCCCCTCTCCAGAACCAAACAAAAAAAGGGTTGGTTGTTCGGGTCGCTGAGGGGCGATGTTCCGGAATCAGCTCACCGCCAATTTCACATCCCACGGATGGCAATGTACTCTTTATTTTGCCTTTCTCCCTTTGCCCAGGACCTCAGGGGTGAGGGGGGATAGAAGAGTGAGAGAGAGGACGCGAAGCGGTTGCATGGATGCACGTCCCGGAACCTGGGAAATCGTGTGGAATTGATTGATGCCCGGGCTGCTCGTTGATCTTTCCGCCTTGGCTTGGCGTGCATTTTGCAGGTGAAGCTATTTTTGCTTAGCCACGAGTATGAATGTATGCAGGCATGTATGTATGTATGGATGTATGTAAACCTGTGCACTCTTTTTTGAAATCTAGGCGTCCTGATGGGATGCTTATGGCGCGCGTATTTATTTATTTTTTTTTTTTTTTTGCCTTCGAGGTCCGTGCTTTTCCAGTTTGACATCTCTTCTCTCAAAGATGTCTCGTTTCACGCCAGGGGCAAGGGACCAGCAGACGTGGTTCACGGCGTCTCATCGATGTTTCGTTTCGTGCCGGCGGCAGTGACAGAGAGGGATGGTTCATTGCGGGTGTACATACCTCAATACGTCCCGTGCCCCATCCTCCTCGGGTGTGAATGAACTGGTACGAAGTCCAAAGTAACTAGTTAACCCATAACCAACCACTACTGAACCCATTATCGTGGTTTGAACAAAGGAACGCCGAGGAATTTTTTTTTTTTTTTAGTAAAAGCAAGAGTTCCCCCCCACCCGCTTGTCAATATGAGCGATCCCGGAGATCTTCTCAAGTAAGTCCGTTTTAGTAAAATGATACGAGGACCGATGTACTTTTTCTTCAACAACCACAGGTGCTCCCTTCCTAGTGTCTTCCAGGAAATTCCCGGTCTCATAGCTCGAGTCCTCGTCAAGCGGTCGCTGAAAATCTTCTCAAAAGAAGATCGGACTCTCGCCCGATATCAACTCTAACGGCCCGCCGACAACCGAGGGGCGGCCTGTCTTGCTTGTTTGTGTGGTTAGAGTCGCTACATCTTTGAATTGATTTCCAAACGATCTCTCCATCTAAAGAAGGTTAACTAGTAGCCGTGCTCGATAGCGTCAGACAGGTACAAACTGTAGAAGAGGCCTTTATTCGCTGAAATCCACTAGACAAAATATGGCGATATGGAGAGAAAGCTGAATAGGTTGAATGTCAGCAGGTAGCCAACAATGCTTACCGGCTACCTTTTAAGTGAGAATGAGAGACTTGACGTTTTCTGTGAGCTCGTGCTATTACTCTGTTTAACACTTTGCTGGACTAGTTTGTATCCCCCGCGAATCGCTCAGAGATCATGATAATCGGACTCTGAGAGACTTAAAACACAATGTACCCACCGCTAGATCAATTTACTTGACTTTCACAGGTGTACTGCTTAAACTTGTAGCGGAGACTGGTGTGTGTTCTTCTTATGGAAACACTTTATGTCTGCCCATTATAGTGCAATTGAGTGTGAAAGGCGAGGTTGCTTGGTTGACAAGAAGCCCCACAAGGTGAATAGCCATCGGTGATCTTCCCGGAACATGGCCGAGTGGTCAATAGGAGGAATATTGTTTTGGAACAGGCTGCTTTGAAAGCATATCTGGGGGATTTTCTCGTACACAACATTCCCAGAGTCTTGGGAAGCCATCCGTCATAGGGCAGTGCGCCTGCTGTCCCAATATCTCGTGGTTTGCGTGGACGTCACTCTCAACAGTGAACAGAGATCTCGTTTCTTTTAGGATGACGCCAAGCAGCAACATCCGCCGTGAAGACCATCTCCGATCGCATCGCTCTTGATCGGAGTAAGTACAACAGAAAGTATAATAAGAACACATCTCCGTACGTTTTCGGAAAACAACCTACGCAAACCGCTTTCTCCGTGTTTGCGAATCATTTCTCTTCATGAGTCTGATGGTGTCGGAATTATGGAAATCCTCGCATTCGTGGAATGACGACAGAAGCCACATGATAGGGCTGTGGCGTACGCATGTTACGTAGTTACCTCATCAGGTGAGCGGACCTCCAAAGTACATCCCGAAGTGCTTGGTATTCTCTCTGAACCCGGTGTCTAAATGATATCCAAAAATGATGTTTTTCCGCCCGATGGTAGAAAGCCGTCAACCAACCACAGGAACAATAACAATGGATTCAAAAGAAAGGGGGCTGGTAAATTGCGGGGGAGAGCAATAATCTGGCATCGTCGAATCCACCGATTGTCGGTGCTTGGCCAAGTGTCAGCCAATGACCACCAGATTCATCACAACAGGTGCTTTTGCCCACCCACAAAATTCATCATGTAGGGACGGATATCGATATGGATGGTTGCGATCTCAAGTACTGTCAAGAGAGAAGACCCTTGAAATTTGAAAGCATCACGCAGTGACGGGTAGAAGCTGGTAACATCGCATTCTTCTCGGCCCTGCGCCTATCGCGCAATTGTTGCTCTTGGCGCTCAGGATTTCCCGGTACTCCTTGGTGGCCGATGCTTGTCGGGTTTGCAAGCACAGCTTAACCCACACGGGGCACAGCTAATTCTCTTATTCGTGTCTTGTCGGAAAATGGACCGCACCACGCTCAAAGATTCTGTTATCAGAGTAAATGTTATCTGTGTCAAACACGGTTCGGCAACCGTGTTTTTCCCCCCCACCGAAAAAAAAAAAAAGAAAATGCCGGCGAATTTGTGGGAGGCTTAACAAAAAGATCCACACAGACCTATCCACCCTGCAACCTTAAATTGCCAATTTGAATCCCCCGCATTATGAGCAAAATCTGCCAGGGCGAAAAAAAAATACCAGAGGTTGGCTCCAATGACACGCTATTCCACCGAGAAGGTCTCTCAGAGAGATTCTAATCGAGACAGGAGATCGCACGTCATAATACTGTGTGACCAAAGAGGGAGGAGTTGACAGCATGATCAACCTTCCTCTGGAACCAGGGTGACAAGAGCACACGGAGTCGCTGCAAACTCAAAAAACTTCCTATCATCCAAGTGACGAACTGGCACGGAGCGTTAGTTGTCAGATTGAGTTTGAGTTACGGAGTATCGCTTCGACCTTTCCGGATAAGAGTGCAGGAGGGATGCACATCGAAACATGTGAAGCGTCAGTCAGGAGGCACAGGATGATTTTTTGACAATGCTTAGGATGCCACCCCGATCCCGAGACTCAAGGATGTGAATGCTGAAAGAGCTGAAACACCCATCTAAATTTGGCGTGGGGACATTGGCGGCTGCAGCACGGCTCGGTTTCAACCACACCAACCCGGAAAAGTGACTAGTTTCCCCGATGCATGCTGTATGGTGTCTGAGGCAGGGTGGTCCTCTCGGACGGAAAGCGGGGCAGTGACCCCAGAATGGTATCCCATTTCTCTCGGACAGAATAGCAATTGCAAAGCGGATGTGAATGACAAATGTAGGTTCTCCATAAAAGGGTAATATGGTGGACTATCCGGAGTGAAGGACAACACTTGTTGCTGTTGTTGGTATGCAGAACAACCACAAGGGGATTATTTTCATGCATCGCTCTAGTTATCCTGTGGCTGGGTTTCAAATTATGTAATATGCCAAGATTGGTTTAACTTGTCCAATCAGAGAGCTGCCCGCAGCCACCCTGGTGTCAAGCAGGCACAAGCCACGTTCCTGGGGCTGATCATTGTGCTAACCCTCTCAGGCTTAGCTCATTCCGGGGAGCTGGTGCATTGCACCTGCCACTTACTCAGAAGTGAAGTAATCATGACGTCGCAGTAGTCGATGTGCATCTCGCCAACTTTGCGGGCGGGTTTTCGAGCTCCTGAGGCTCGAAAACCGCCCTGGCTCCTCGAGGATTGGCCAAACAAAGATGACAGCAAACTCCTCGAGAAGAAGACTGCAGATGAAATCTCCGAGAACGGATGGCGACGAAAAAGAAGAGGACTACGGTCTCCCAGACTTTCACACTCGATTCATCAATGACGAAGATCTTGAAGAGTTTGAAAAGGCTCTGAACGCGCCGCAAGCCTTGTCTCTCGTCGCAATAAATGACTGGAGGCCTATACACCGGCGGGTACGGAAACCGGGAAAGCTGCCAATAGTTCCTCAGAGGACCAAAGACGAAACGCGAGAAGGCGTCGTGTACACGCTGCTGAAATGGCCATTCCTGCTATTTGTGCTGTCATGGATCGTGTTCCTCGGGGCGTTATACATCTTAACACGGCTCTACATTTCGCTCTATGAGCATTTCTTTGCGTGGACGGGGCAAAGACAAAGACTGAGGAGGGCTCTTCATTCTACAGTCGACTACCAGCATTGGAAATATGCAGCGAAGGAGTTGGACGAATATCTGGGGAATGACGCATGGAAGGAGCGCCCTCAATATGCATACTACGATAACACCACTGTGATGACGGTAGTAAGCCAGTTGAGGCAGCTTAAGGCGCAAACTGAAGCGGGTGGAATCAACGGCAAGGCTGCGGCCGAGGAACTCTGCACCCTATTGGAGGGATGCATCAAAACCAACTTTGCCGGAATAGAAAATCCACGGCTATATAGTGAAACTTACTATGGGACTAAAGATTTGGTTCAAGAGTTTATTGAAGAAGCACATACATCACTGAGGCTGGTTTTGACGAGTGAGCAGCTATCAGATGAAAGAAAACAGGGTCTGTTCAGGCACCTTGATACAAACTTTGGTCGTACCGTCTTGTGTCTATCAGGAGGAGCTACTCTAGCGTATTACCACTTTGGTGTTATCAAAGCCTTGCTTGATAACGATGTCCTTCCGGACATCATCTCCGGCACCTCGGGGGGAGCTCTCGTGGCGGCATTAGTGGCGACGAGAACCGACGAAGAGCTCAAAAAGCTTCTTGTCCCTGAGTTAGCACATAAAATTAAAGCTTGCCAGGATGGGATAGCGACTTGGGCAGTACGCTGTTGGCGAACTGGTGCACGTTTCGATGTGATGCAGTGGGCTGAACAGTGCAGCTGGTTTTGCAGAGGTTCTACAACCTTTCGTGAAGCATATGAACGAACTGGGCGTGTTCTCAACGTTTCATGTGTACCGTCGGATCCTCATTCGCCTACGATTTTAGCAAATTATCTTACATCACCGAACTGTGTTATTTGGAGTGCAGTCCTTGCCTCTGCTGCAGTTCCAGGAATCTTGAATCCTGTTGTATTGATGATGAAAAAGCCGGACGGTACACTTGCGCCTTATTCATTTGGGCATAAATGGAAAGATGGGAGTCTTCGGACGGATATTCCACTGAAGGCTCTGGATGTCCACTTTAATGCCAGTTTTTCCATCGTTTCACAGGTAGGTCTCAGTGAAAACAGCTTGCTACTCGGGAAGTGTTAGTTAACAGAGCCACAGGTCAATCCTCACATCAGCCTTTTCTTTTTCAGCTCTCGAGGTTCAGTTGGCCGGCCCGTAACCCATCGAAAAGGCCGAGGTTGGCGTGGAGGTTTCCTTGGTTCCGCATTGGAACAGTATATCAAGCTAGACCTCAACAAATGGCTTAAAGTCATGCGACATCTTGAACTTCTTCCCCGACCCTTAGGCCAAGACTGGAGCGAAATTTGGCTCCAAAGGTTCAGCGGAACAGTGACCATATGGCCTAAATCCGTCCTATCAGATCTATATTATATTTTGTCTGACCCGAGCGTACAACGCTTAGCAAGGATGTTACATGAAGGACAACAATGCACGTTTCCCAAGATCAAATTTATCAGTAATAGGATGAAAATCGAACGAGTCATTGCCGAAGGGCTAATGAAAGATCCGGAATGGGCTGGGAGCGGGAGGTGGAACAATGTACCCGTTCGATCGCGGACTGATCAAACCCTTCCGTACGAGGAAAACGCCCAGCAGCGATCGGCCAGTATGTTGGCTGATACTGTGAGCCACCTGAGAGACACCGGTCATTTTAGAGAGGCACCGACCTCTCATCCGACAGGCTCGCCTGTACGTCCGACTTCTGGGCGCCGAAATAGCCTCATGGAAGAAATTAGACGGCAGTCTGCAGTGTTTTTTGATGATACCGATGATACCATGCCCAGCGACGATGAAAAATTTCCTTATCAAGGCCAGTCTAGTGGCACCAAGATTGGATAACTTGACTTCCTCTTCTTTTTCATTTTGTTGCATATTTTTGCATTTCAGGCTCACTGTTAACTTAGATTGTGCAATCTCCCCCAATTCTAGCTGGTCTTATTTCTGAACTCTAGAGCACGAATTTTTTTTTTTGTTCTTTTAAATCATATTTTATTTTGATTCCCCTCTCAATACTTTTGGTTTGCTACTGCATATCTCTCTTTAAAGAGTAGGAGCATTAAGCACAGGATGTGCGAACGTCATATATTTCAAGTTTGATATATCCAACGTTTGCATATTTATTCCGGTTCGACTACTTGTATATTACTCCGCACCAGATTCTCAATGTATTTGGACGGTTTTAGCGACCAAGCAAGGATTTATGGCTTCTGCCCATGCACCTTTTGATTTCCTGAATTTTTTCCATAAAGTACTCCATGATCGTTTCGATTTGCTACTCCACATTGCAATATACTGATCCCCAGCGACCAGCCGGTCCTAAAGGATGCACCATAAACAAGATATTAGGGTATCAAATAACGAGCCATTTCTCTGTGATCTTCTTCGCCATCTCCACCTCCCCACCAAGCGAATAAAGACATTGCAAGGCATACGCTGCCTCACGTGCATAATCTTCCGCACAAGCACCGTCCCTATTCTTATCATCCACCTTCTGCAGCTGCTCCTTCTGCTTCTCGGCTTGGATCTCCCCACTCAACTCGAGGCATCTTTCATAGCCTCTAACCGCCAAGTGCGCGAGACCCAGCATATGCCATACCCTCGCGAAATTGAACTCGACTTCTTGTCTCTCCTGCGGAACACTACTATTCTCCCTTACCCTCCGATATTCTTGCATAAACGAGAGCCCTTGCATGATCAGGTAGTGCCTATTGTCGGACTGTCGTTTTAGCGAGTGATGGATATAACTCAGCCCTATGGACAGCAGGACCGCCGGATTCTCTGGATCAAGAGCGTATGCGCGCAAAAAGTAGTTGAGCGCATTAGTGAAGCTGTTTCCTGCGTAGAGAATGTGACCGTATAGCACGAGTAGAGAGACGTCCATGTCTTCAGCGGGTATGAGATTTCCGGACTCATCTTTTGTTGTGAGACTAGCACGCTCGGCGAAGAACGTTGGGCGAGGATCGGTGGTGGTGGATGAAGGATCTTCAGTGAGGGAATAGTCAATGGCTTTCACTTGACGCAGCATGAATTTCATGCTCGGGGAAGAGTGGAATAGGGACTTTCTCGGGTCGCCACAGACACGGCTGAGAGTCGCGAATAGGCGGTATGTGTCGGTGACGAACTGATATTCTTTCATAAACCACCTGGCGATGCTTGCGAGAACGTCTTCATCCTGGAGTCGAATTGCACAAGCTAGAGAAAAGTCAGAACTTTTTCACTTGGGTATGTTCCTTTTTTTTTTTTTAAAAAAAAGGTCGCTTACTGAACCAGCAAACATAAATCCGGCGTGTGCAGGGTTTCGAATGATACCAGATGTTTGCATCAGCCGCCGCTGCTAGAGAATCATATGCTTCTTCCGCATGCCCTTGACCAGCTAGAACAAGCGCGTATTCCAGGAAGAGATCAAGCCAAGCATCAAAGGATATTCCGTGATAGTCCATCGGAATTGAATCGGGGTCGAACTCGGCCGTTCCTATATTACTTGTCAGTCAAGGTTCAATGAAACGCTTCGAAGATATACAATACCTAAGGCTGCCTGAATTCTGGCTGCTAACTCCTGGACCTCATCCATGATATCGGGTCCTTTTAGGCGCCCAGCTTTGCGATGAGCTTCCTTCGAATATCCAACGAACATCATTCCTTTTTGCAAAGGAAAGAACACTCGATTTGATCGGAAACTTCTTAAAAGAGCATCCACAATGTCCAACCAATCTTCCGTCGCATCCTCCTCTCCAATTCTCATGGAAGGTCGAAGCTCCAATGACTTTTTATATAAGTAGCGTACATGCTCTGCATTCTGGATCGCGGACGCGATTCTATCCTCTGGCCTAACTTCCTTCGAACTTGGAATGGGCGCTGGGCCGGTGAATGATATGGGACCGTTCATATGGTCCGGTGACCTGGAGGGTTCCAATTCCATCTCTCCATGGTCACTGATACTAGATTCCATGGAGCGGAATTCTTTTGCGAGCTGCTCGATCCTCGCGCCAAAATTTCCCCTCCGTCTCCGCATCGGTACCGACTCCTGACGCCCAAGTTCGACTGCTTCTGTCACATATTTGAGGGCTTGCTCCATCATGCCCATACTCTCGTAAAATTTCGCTAATTTTACCCTTGCATCAATATTGGTTTGATCATATTCGACTACCGTGAGGAGACAGCTCTCTGCATCAGAGTCGTTTTTGCAGGCCAGGTGGCAGTCCGCCATCGCCATAAAAAGGCTCGTATCTGCAAATTCTTGGGTGTACTGAAGAGGTGTATAGAATAGCAGCGCTTCAGGATAAAATTTAGCCTCCTTCAATGCGTCCGCGGTTTCTCGAAAAAGATCCCCATAATCATACAATCTCGAACCAGGAGCCGTCTCTTCTGGTGCTAGCCAGACAAAATGAGACTACCATCTGTCAGTGGTTTTAGGCAGTGAGTGGAGCCCAGGTAACTAGCCTACCATTGCTTCGTCCTTAAATTCAGGTCCCATTTTCAGTCGATAAATACCCAGCTTGATACGAAGCTCGAGTGGAAGCCCAACACCGTACGATTCCACGGGATACCTTGAAGGAGAGAACCATGGGGTACTGATGCGACGAGGGTAATCCTCGGCATCCCATTCCCGGTCGTCTTCCCATATTGAATCCCATTCCACGTCATCTTTTCTCCCAAGTAGCCATCTGGAGAGAGATCTAAGGGCCCTCAGACCTTCCCAGTAGTTCCGCTGATACCCAAAAAGTTCCACATAGATATTGACGTCTGACCAGTCAAAATCGGTAGCCTCTTGGGGACTCAGGGAGGAGTAGTAGGCGATACTTTCATCATATCGAGACATGGCTTTTGAAACTTCGTTTATATCAATATAAGTCTCGGCAAGATGCCGCAAAGCTCTTGTATTGTGAGGGAGATCCTTGAGAAGCCTTTCATATTCTTGGGCGGCTTTCCCCTTGTGACCTAACTCGCGATACATGGCAGCCCTTTCAAAGCGTACATCATAGTTCGCCGCATCGACATCAATCACGCGACTATAGCAGTAGATCACGTCCTGCAGGGCCGCTGTTCTGTCATCACCAGCATGATCCAAAATCATTTTAGCGACCTTTAGCCACACCGTTGGATCCTTCGGTCTGGTATGGGCTCCGCTAAATAGTGCTGCTAACGCTTTGTCTTTCTGACCCTGAGCGAGAAAGATCTCAGATAGCAAAGAATGAGCCGCGAACATTTCCGGGTTGATTTGAATGGCCTGTTTTACAAGAACGATGGCTCGGTCGTAATCAGAGTCGATAAACGCCGATGTAGCGGCGGAATGCAATTCTTTGAACTCTGCGCTTGGCTCCAGTGGCTTCCTTGGACCACGCTTAACCCCCTTCCCCGGTCGGCCGCCGAAGCTATCGGAGTCATGTTGTCGACGATGCCTTCTATCCATCCGATTGATGGATGAGAAGACAGCCTCATCATCAATGAACTGATTTGCTTCGTACGGCTCAGCGTCGCTAAAATTGGAACGTTAGTCCCTGTTTGCTTCTGTCCAGGGAGAGAGTATGTCAATTGAGTGCTTACGAGGATTCGTCCGACGAAGGCTGCTGCAAATCGGCATCGTCAGAATCGAAATCATCTGGATCAAAGAGCTTTCGGCGTTTCACGCGGCCAAATTCATCATATTCATTGCTATAGCCTGGTTCTTCGCTCTCCGATCTGTCGGAGACACTGTCTTCATCCATCGTCACTTATGGTTTGTTGCACAACCAGTTCTAGAACCCCGTTTTCAAAAAAAAAATCCTGTAGATAAACAAGCTAAGCTACCCAGGTTTCTTTGTTCTTTTCTGAAGAAATTAAAATCACTGCGCCTTTGTGTTAATATGATATTTTTCCCTTCAGTGTTTGTTGTGTCTTATTCTCAAGGCTTGCTTTTAAGCCAGGAAGTGTGTCTTTCCAAGCAGTCAGAGTAAAGTCATATAGTACCCAAGCATGCAAAATAAGCAATCACGGATAATACGCAGTGCCCGGAGCAATCATACGAGAAGTGGTCGGGATGTTCATTTGCCGCCCTGAGGTGAGAGGCGTGCTCATCGCGCTTCTGGATCTTGGCTCGAGCTTGGATGGGATTTTATTGGGCCGGACGGAGCTAGGGCTGAGTCAGTTTTCTTGGCAGATTAGTCAGCCAGGAGGTGTGGCAGCGGCAAGGAAGAGACGCGGCCAAGAGCGATGCGACGAGAGAGCGCAGTGAGATATTGATAGGAATTGCCTTTTTGAAGGGGTGAAGGATCCGAGGGATGGTGCAGGATTGAAGCAATAAGCGGGCTGCTATCAGTATGCATAACAAGTGGACACACATGAGGCTAGCTTTCACCAATCGTCAAACGTAAGCTTTTTCCCCTGAAGCTGCTGCGCCATTGGCATCAAAAAGTATGGATATGCTTCGTACATCGGCTATGGCCCAGGCTGGAACAAGCTTTCATCCATCCATCTTGAAGACCGATCACAGGATGTAACTGCAGCAGGTAACCTTTGTACCACCAATGGCACTCATATTCATGGTGTCCAGTGTCCCTTTTCCAGGAGCCTGTAGTTAAGCCCCCTGAACAAGGAACTCGTGTAGGACAAAGCTGTAGCCAAGGGGACGCAAAGCCGTGCCTAGGCCGAAGACAGCTGCGATGGGCGTGTCCCGATGCCGGCAGCCTGCGCGTCAGCTTGCTGGACCTTCGCAGCCGATCTCCACTCGTTCACGCAGCGGAATCGAGCGCTGGCCGGCGTGGTGGGCGGGCGGGCTATTAATAGCAGCGCTTCTCTCCACCACCGGCTTGGGCAGGCCAAATGGATCACGGGAGCAGGGATGGCTGAGTCAGCATTGGGCTGGAACTCACTCCACCTTCAGACTCGCTGGGAAAATATCGTTCGTCGTCGTCGTCGTCCTGACCATCACAGTCCCCTCTCCTTCAGCCCTTTTTCCGTCTCTTGCTCCCTCTTCCCTCTCTCTCTCTCCTTCCTCCCCTCCCCCCACTCGCCCACCCTATTGTTCTTTTCTCACCTTTCCCTTCGGCTGCCTCCCAGATTTCGCACCCTTCGCTCCTCGGTGGTGCTTACGCCTTGCGGTGTTTGACACACTGCATCGCTTCTCCAATCGTTACCCTCGATCCGCAAGAAAAAGAATCTGATCAGCCCTGTTACAGACTACCACTCTTCCCCTCCATCTTGCTTATATTCTGTGATCTAATCATCTTCAACCTGCTTATATCAAATCAATACTGCCACTGGACTGGCCACTCTCTAATCACTTCTGTCCAATAAGGGCCTGTTCGTTCTCATCCCACTGGGTATTGGACACCCCGAGGTTAAACCAACAATCGCTCCGGTGTGATAGTAGCGGAGATTCGCCGTCCCGCTCCCGAACGGTTCATAATCACGCAAACTCAGCGGTGCTGCAGGAGCTTTGCATTTTAATTACGCCGTCGCCTTACCCACCAATCACCCACTTTTGATTCCTCGTCGCTGGGCCCTTGTTATCGCTTCTTACAATGGCGAGCCATATTATCGGTAACAGGAACAGTACTCCCGAGGCCTCCAAATCCTCCCTTCGACCTCCGTCCTCCCGCACCCTCGGTGGTTCTCATCAGCTCCGTGCTTCTGCCGATATGTCAGGGTTTTCCTCTCCTCTCGCGCCACGGAATATTCGTCCATCGTCCGAGGTCTATTTTAATCAGCAAGTTCAGGGGCAAAATAACGCTGAAGATGCCTTGGACAGGGCCGCACAGCAATGGATTGCAGACATTGATCAGTACGAGACAACTCTCGAGGAGATGGCTGCGGCTACCCTGGATCAGGATTTCAAAGACGAGCTGAGCGCCATCGAACAGTGGTTTCGTGTTTTGAGTGAAGCCGAAAGGACCGCTGCCCTCTACGCTTTGCTGCAGCAGACCACTCAGGTGCAGATTCGTTTCTTCATCCAAGTTCTGCAGCAGATGTCGCAAAGCCACCCGATGTCCAGTGTCTTATCGCCGGCCAATTTTGGTGAAAAGGGTATGGATTGCAACCCAGAAAAAGACTCATCCCCCCTTGTATCCTGCCGTCTAACATGCCATATAGACCCCATGTCTAACCGTTTGAGTGATGCGATGGCTAAATTGAACGTGGAGCCGTCCCGTAATTCCCTGGGACGCCCACCACCGTCTCCTGGAAATAAGCGCAACTCTGGTCTTGATTCCTCCACTATAAATGCCATGTTCCCAGATGCCGCAGCTGTCATCGCAAAAAAGAAAGCCGAGTTCACCCAGCAGACCGGCAACCTTCCCGGGTCGAACCGGAACAGCGTAGTCTTCGGTGATCGGACGTCTCTGGTGACGCCAACCATATCTGCACCGGATTGCAAGGACACCTTGCCACAACCACCAGTCTCACCGTGGGCTCAGCGTGCACCCGAACCTCAAGCCCCAATCGCACGTCCCAAGTCATCGAGCGAACAGCAGCCAATGGGCCAATTCTCCCAGCCTCTTTCGTCGTTGCGTTCGCCGCTTCCTATGAACCCTGGTACTTCTGCTAATATCCAGAGCACCACCATCACAGCGCCTGAGATTACGCAAGACCCTCCCCTTCTCTCCCCATATAATTTAGGAAATGCCAGCTGGGCTTCGATGAGCAATACTCCGCTAGTCCCGTCCTTTAGTCAACAGGGTGCTCAGTCGCAAGCCGATATGGTTGCTAATGCCACCGCTATGAAGCTAGCTGCCTTATCCACGGTTAACAACAGGATTGCTTTAGATGACGCTCGCAAGTACCGACGCGCTCGGTCCAACGACGGCCAGAAGAATGCTGGGCAAGGGCCACTTTCGCCTGGCCTTCCGAATACCAGTATTCCTGGAACTAACGTGATCATGGTCAATGACGCAGGCCAAATTCTCAATCCACAGCAAATAGCCGCCCTACAAGCGCAGCAGCAGGCAGCCGCAATGGCTGGTCGCCGCTCCCGACCGAATTCTCCCGGCTTAGCGATGCAGGGAGGTTCGATGGGACATATGAACTTTACTTCTCCACAAAACAATGGGTTCTTGGCTGCTTACGACACGAATGCCCTCTTGGGTAACGGCTTCGGTGGACTCGGTATGGGCCTTGCTGGCGCTGGTAGTCACGAAGGATATCTTTCAGACCATTCCGAGATAAACCGTGGTCGCTCCCCACGGGGTCGACGGGGTAGTTCCAAACCACCGGAAGATCCCACTGATACGAAACTTCTTCAAGACATCCCCGCCTGGCTTCGATCTTTGCGTCTACATAAATACACCGATAATCTCAAAGATCTGAAATGGACGGAATTAATTGAACTTGATGATAAAGCCTTGGAAGCTCGGGGAGTGAACGCTCTCGGCGCCAGAAATAAGATGCTGAAGGTTAGTTATATCACACGTGCCGTGATTGTGCAATGCTAATAGTTTTGAAGGTGTTTGAGCAAGTGAAGGAGGCAAAAGCAGCAGGGAAACTTGCTTCTATTATCTAAGTGAGATAATGAGAGATCAAGAATCTCAATGTAGTAAATCACAGAAGGGAAAGCCAATTGCGCCTTTTGTTTCTCATTACAATGAGAGCATCACTGGTCCTGGTTGACGACATTTCATCCAGTTGAGACGAATCTCTTAAACCGAAGTGAAGAAGCCATATATGAAACATGTACGGAGCACTCCCATATTCATATCCACCTCTTGGGGAGCAGTTTGGAAAATCTCTGGCACATTATCATTATCCATGGATACTCAGGGACAAAACACATTTCAGGGTTGGAAATGGGTTTATGAGCGCTCTTCTTTCCCATGGCTAAGCGGTTGCTGAAAGCAAATGTCTAAAAAGAATGTTTTTTGCTGTCCATCTTCACTTTACTATTGTAATTTTTGTTCTCATTTTGTTCTCAATTTTCTTCCTTTTTTTTTTTTTTTTTTTTCTCTTTTTTCTTCATTTTTCTGTTTCAAGTTGCTTCTGTTCCAGTCTGTACTTAGTAATAATGCATTTGGAAAATATTCCTTGAGATTCAACTTGCTTTTGTATGTACTCTGTCTTGTTTTGGTAGCCCGCCAATTACCCGGTGATAGCATTGGGCATAGAGGAGGGCATTCTACTACAATCAAACTGTACTGTGTGAATGTTCTCAATATTAGCCGTCTACAGTTGGTTTGCAGCTGAGAGGTATTGGTTAGCCAAACCTCCCAAGCAACCCCAGAGATCATGGTCATAGCGCTAAGATATTTAGCGCCAATTTTATTGCAACTGGCATCCCATTCCAACTGCTCCTAACTCTCCAAAGCGCCAGAGTGTATAAAATCCAACTTGGCAACGTCCTTGAACTCCTTGGGAATCTCGAGGTTTTCGGTTCATTGCTATAATCCAACCGAGCCTGCGAACAACCTACATTTCCCAAAACGAGCGTCCAGTGAACGACGAAAGCGAGCCGATTCAACCTACATACCTTTTTGATATCCATCATGCCACCAACGAACCAAGAGCTCTCCCTCCTTATAAACCCTCTCGTCCCAGAATCAGTCGCACATAACACCCGCGTACGTACCAGCTCGCCCTAGCCCGCCTGCTCCTCTCAGCCCTCCCCTTTGGTTATCCCAAGAATCATCAACCCAATGGACTGACCTACTGATAAAACACACCAGACGCTCTCGAACATCCATTCCATCACTTCCTTCCTGCTCGGCCTAGCCGCTGGCATCCTCGGCCTCCAGTCCTCCGGCGGGTTTATATTCTATCTTCTCGGCACACTATTCGTCTCGTTTCTCTTCCATGCGTTGCTGATCGGGTTCGACGGTAAGCGAACGAGTGGTGGGTTCGGTGTTGGTGCGTATTTCCCCGGGAGCGGAGAGATTGTTGGTCAGGGGAAAGGATTGAGGAGACGAGGGGCGTGGAGAGATGTTTGGCTCAGTGGCGGCGTGTCTGGGGAAGCGTTGAGCGGATTCGTGCTGGGATGGGCGGGGGTTGGAGGTGTGTTAAGATGATGCTATACAGTGGTCTGGGGCTGATGAGGACATTGTATGTACTATATATTGGGCTCATTTTGTGTGTGAGGCTTCTTTTCTTTTTTTCACCTGGGTTGGTTGTATAGCTAATGAAGCCATTTTGCCCAAATACCAGCCTGGTCATATCTCTAGAAAAGGAGGCTGAAGTCAAGCATGAACGACTTGGAGTTGGTACACCAGCTACATGCACAATGGGTGCTTCTCAGCTAGGTTTGTGGGTCGTGAATATGCTGCGAGTTTCATGAAGATGGAAATCTAGAAAAGGTTCAAATGCATGCAGATTTTGGAATTAATAGCTCGAGCATGCTATTACCATCCGAACAAAACACAAGTGAGATGATTCCCGTTGCAATTCAACACAGCAAACCTCTTTATAGACTAGGATTACAATAATAACTGGACAGATATATCTATTATTTGTTGTGTGCTACCCTTAAATTAAACCCCCTCTTGCTCCATGTAAGAATCCCTTGGCTTATTTTCATACCTCCGTGCACGTAGAAAAGCCTTCTCCTCAAGTAGCGCTTGAGCCTGTCTCTCCTTATCAGCCTTCGATAGTGGAGTGCTAACATACTTATTCTCCTCGACACTTCCCTATTATTCAAATGCGTATCAACTGACTTGGTCCTTATTCTCCAAACAAAACAGGCAAAATGATAGCTAGAAAGACTCACAGTGATCAGGGCCAAGAGATACGGCTTATCAATAACTTCGCTGCTAACGATTCCATCGTCGTGAGTTCCCTCTCGCTTCGCCTTCTCCATGGCCTCCTTCGCCTTGCTGGATTTTATCCATACGTTCCCAAGGAAGATGATCGCCACGAGACTGATAGCCATTATCGGGGTGATAGAGACAAACGCCCACATCACTGCATCCTTTCCAGTGTTGCGCACATAGCTTTGCATAGGTTCCGGGAGATCGCTAATAAAGTCCAGACTCTGAGTTACATGTGTATCGACGTGCCCACCCAGACCAGAATTCATGGAGCGAAAGACCGGGGCCATTTTGTTGTTGAACACACTGCCCATAATTGCCAGGGCAAGAGTCCCGCCGAAGGGCATAGAGAATCGCATGATGGACATGGCGGGTGCGATTTTGTCTGGCCAGATACCTGCCGCGTGAAGCGTGCAAGGCATGAAGCGCATTCCCGTTCCGGCGCCTGCGACGGCCATCATTCCATTGACAAGTGATACTTGGCGCCTTGTAATAGCCCATGTAATAAGCCCGATGCCGACGCTCTCTGTGACTGTACCCACACTGAGCGGATAGAAGGTGTGTGCCGGCCACACATTGCAGGCAAACATGGCAAAGTAAACACCAGCTATAGAAAATTTAAGTCTCAAGCATAACAAAAACAGAGTAAACTTTTAAGGGAATTACCTCCTATCCCAGGAATGTAGAACAGCAGCTGAAGCCCAGATCTCTCGGGTGAGTAGGCCTCGACAAGCGTAAAGTAGATCCCAACGAAGTAAAAGGCAGAGAACATTGCTATAGAGCTTCGGTCAGCGTGGTGAGCAGAACAATAGAAAAAAGATCGACCAACCTGCGCCGGTAGCAAATTCAATGATGGCTAGGACCACCATGTCTCGCTTTCGGAATAGCTCGGAGGGTATCATCACTGTCTGCGATGGAAAACATCTTGCAAGAATCCTTCCGGGCCCAAGAAGATATTCATAGATAAAGAACAGTACGAAGAGAATTGATCCAATAATTAATGGAGCCAGGACGGCGGGGGAGGTCCAGGGGTAAGTTGCTCCTCCCCAGGAAGTACCGATGATAATAAGACTGACACTGCAAATGAATAACAAGGTACCACCGATGTCCACGGTACCAAGGCCTTCTAAGAATGATGACCGCCGCGACCCTTTGGTGAAGTACGTGCCGCCTACCAGTTCCTTGCGCAAAACCACGAAGATGGCAATATGAGCGACAAAGGCCACCTAGGGATGAAACAAAATTAGAATTAATTGCTATGAGGAACCAAGCTGCAGCGCGTCTTACCGGAATACTTAACACGAAACAATATCTCCAATTAGACTATCATCATATGTTAGCATAGAACTTATAGAGTTTACCGCAGTCATCCAAACCTGTGTCAAATACCTAAGAGAAGTCAGCAAATCTCTCTGGGCAATAAAAAAGGGGTTGGAACTAGACTCACCCTCCAATGACTGGCCCAACACCGTATGAAATTCCCGCCACAAACTGAAAAATAGTACTGTTTTTCGCATTATCTGCGAGGCTGACCTTATCGGACAAAATTATCTGGATCAAATTCATGATTCCAGCCGAGCTTGTCCCTTGTAAGGCGCGCCCAAGGAGGAGCATTGGCCATGTCTGCGCCGCAGCACACAATACGCTTCCAATTAGCATGAGAAACATGGCCAGTTGAAGGACAAAGTGCCGTCCAAAGACATCTGCAAGCTGGCCAAATGCGGGAATGAACGCGGTCGAAGTTAAACTAAATGAGGTGACAATCCAATTCAGTTCGTCCAGTCTATCTGCAAAATGCATAAATCGTAGTAGTTAGCAAAGGACGTTAGCAAAGGACCGGTGCTGTCAGCTCCAAAAGAAGCACGATCGGGGCATTACGCACTGAAATGGGATGCTATAAATGGCAGGGCAGCGGCCACAATCGTCAAGTCAACGGATGCGAGAAAGTATGGTAGCAAAAGGCCAAATATCAACTTCCATCTATAAACCCGTTTAACGTGTTTCTCTTTTTTGCACTCGGAGCAGGGACCGTCGTTATTGTGTGTTTCTTCCGGCTTGGGTACAATGGGGCCGTCCGATCCTTCCATCAGGACATCGTTCTCCTGTATCGCCTCCTCGGATGGTCTTGAATCCGCCTGCAAATTCTGAAGGCGCAGTTGGTGGGAACATGTCTCCTGGCTGTTTTGTTTTGGAGCTGTTCGCGCCTTTATCTTTTTATACGCATAAAACATTTGAGAGCGTGGTTATATCTCAAGCCCAAAGGCTTGCAAGGGAGAGGGTATCGTAAAAAAAATGTAAACAACTAGATATCGGATCCGAATATCCTCGGAAGGGATAACAAAAAGGACCAATTTAGTACTCCGTACATTGAAAAATTGCGATTGTGATCATCTCATGTCCCGGTCGCGACAGCAAAAGCCGCAGTATATATACCGAGACAACACCGCTTGCGACGCTAAACCACTGCGGACGGCGAATGGGTCAACTCCATGAAATGACCATTCTGGGTCAGCGTTGCGAATACGGGGATGGGTTCCGCTTTGACAGATCACGACGAAAGTAGTGGTGGCTATGAAACCACAAGATCCCCCGTCACCAGCCTCTAAGCCTTTCCCGCATTCGGGCCGATTTGCGTCTCGTATCTCGAATCAACCCTGGCCAATGAAGATGCTCGACGTGCCACCGTCCCGGCACGTCGCGCCATTGATTTTTTTTTTTTTTTCAGCCCTGTGGAGCCATCCTGGGTTGCCTACACCTCCAAAGGAAAAGTGGCCAGTTAATCAACGATCGACGAGTATTGATCTGGAAGAGTATTAAGAACGGTGCAACATCCCGAGTCGAGTACTCCCTAAATTTGATTGCGCACAGTGAACTCCTTTGGCCATGAAGTTATGGGGAGAAGGAATCAGGACCAGGGATACAAACAACTCCACAAAGCATGTCGCCTAACCGCCAACGGCAATTCGTCGTATCGACCCTCCAGAAACGAATTCTCCCAGGACATCGCGGTCTACAACATTTTTTTGATGTTCCTGCTCCTATCCTCAATTGCAAACACCGGATTTAACCACCGCAACACTGTGCCATCTTAAAATACAAGTCCTTAGGTCTCAACTTTTACAAAGCACATTGTGCCAGTATCACTAAAGCACCTGTTACAAAATGGTCATCAATCCCCGCTTAGTAACCCTTGAGAATTTTGCATCAGTCAGAATGCATACTATGATGAAGGGAGAGCTTTCGCCCATGGACAGGCCATCTTGGACACTGCTTTCAATGCTTGGAACTCCGGACCACACGTTCCTTCTTAGTGGTACATGAAGCCACCCGAGAAAAGGCACGTCGGCAGTCCGTTTACCCGGCCCCCAAAACTTGCACACAGTTATACGGCTACTATCCAGTTGCCAATAGGATGGGGTTTGCCTTGAGAGCCATTGATCCTCTATATTCAGGGTGGTTAAAGGATTTTGTTGTCCTCGAGGCGCTTGAAGGGTAGCATGCATAAAAGCACGAGATCCTTTAGTCGAGCGTCGAAGACAGACAGCGTAAACTAATCACCACGCATCAAATAACTATTCCGTCTTCTTTTTCAAGAATCGTATCATCGCCTCAGACCCAAGACTCGCCAGACGGACCTAGGTGGTATATGACTCGTTGATAGGTGTATAAAACTCATGGTGTGGCATAGTCGGTTTGCCAGTTGGCATAGCATTCAAGCAATGATTGTCCGCCGACCGACCCACACCCCGTGGAGCTCACACCAGTCAACCAGGTGGTCGAACCCAGCCACATCGCCTCGAATGTTGGCCCGAAGGTCGTTGAATCTGCCTTGCCGCCGTCTCATCCCTCTTCTCATGCCATCCTGCAAAACACAACTCTGCCGAACCTCGCTGACCACCGAGTACGAAAAAATGGCCGTTTCGGGTTAGTCTGCTGCCTGTCCAAAATTAAGGTTTTAAGCCAAGATACTTCGTCAAAGCCTCATGCTTATCTCTTTTTGGAATAGCGCTGGAGTGTGGCTGGTGCTTGTTCAGCCGTGGGTGTTCGAGCCGGGAAGGCAAAGCGAAAGGACCAGGCATCCCTGAGCGACACCGCCAGCAGAAGAAGAATGTGAAACTTCGCATTAATCATAGTGCTGCAGATCAATGAAACATCTTCTAAAAAGGTTATCTATATGTGCTGAGTAGCATAAAAGGGTTGGGACAAACACGACACTTCCGACAGTGAAAGGATGTCTGAACAGTACATTGTAGCAAGTTTATACCTCTAACATGGCATTTTATGCTCCAAACGAAAACGATGAATGCTTCAGGCAAAAAAGGACTCAGGAGGATGCATTGAGTCAATGAGCCCAAAAATTCATTTTACACCCTGGTGTCTCTCCAAGACTTAAATCTATAATGACAGGAAAAGAAAGGAAACAAGGGGAAAAAAAGGTTCCCACCCAGCGCTAGTTAAGTCTTTTTATAGACCGTCATGACTGCAAGAAAAAAAATGAAAAGGACCAAAACAAAAGCACAAGACATCATTATGTCATAGAAGCAGCATTGGCAATAGCGCTTTGCAGAGCGCTCGTCAGGTCAGCATGGAAGAGTGGTCTGTTCACCCCATTTACAACTGTCATCCTGTGCTTCGCGTACTCCGTGGCCGTGACCAGTTCCTTCTCGATCACAGACACAGAGCTGCTATTCTTAGCGCCAATGACGCCTCCAGCTCGTTGAATGGTAGAAGTGGCGCTTTCCGTGGCTGGTGATTCGATATCATGTTTCGAAGACACTGCGTGGCCGTTCTCGCGCTCATTATCCAGGAACTCGGCGTGCGCGGCTGCGGAGGCGTTGCCTTCCAGGTTGGCAACGCTGAAGATGGGCTTCCATCTCGTAGCACCTGAATTGGCGGCGGGAGTATGGAAGCCAAATCCAGCGGAAGCGAGGGCTCGCTTCGTCCATCGATTGTTGAGGTGTGCGAAGTGCCAGTGGACGGGCTGAGGCGATGCGTAGAGGTCGAGCTGGTTGCGGACATCGATGAGGTTCTGAACCGATGTTACGTCAACGTTGTTGACTGTGGAGAAATCGAGGATCACAGCCTTGAGAGTTGGTAGATGGGAACGATCCTCCTCAGACTGGCCTCTGCGAGGGCCGGGCATGTTCCATGGTCTGTCACCGGGCCGGCTGTAGCTATTCGGATTTGTTCGTCTCGTATTCTTGTAGATCGTAGAGACAAGGTGGTCAAGGTAGTGGTTAACGCTGGGATAGTTGAATCCTTCAGAGAACCGATAAATGAAGACGCCGGGGTATGGCTGCCCCACTTCAATCTCGGGGTTCGAGCCATCCGCATGGCTGATGGGAAGGAAGATATTTCTAAATGCAGAGCTCCTCGGACCCGTTTCAGCGCCCCATCCATTGTATTTCCCATCGCTATCTGCCAGATGGTCTCCGACAACGGTATGAACCTTCACTCTGCCAAGGAACTGACCCTGAGCCTTGACGAGACGGAAGAGAAGGATTGCGAGGGACATGCAGACCGTCGTGTAGATTCCGTTCTCAATGTTTGTAAACACCATGACGAAAACACCGGCAAAGAAAACCACGACCTCAAGAGGAGAAACCCTCCAGAACTGATACACTGTGTTGGGTGGGGTGATCAGATCACCAACAGCGTGGATAATCACCGCAGATAGAGACGAATTCGGGATATAGAAAAAGACTGGTGGAAGGGCATAGATGGCGAGCAGGACGACCATAGCTGTGATAACGCCTCCAAATGGTGTACGCACACCGGCCTTAGACTGGATTGCAGTTCTGGAAAAGGATCCAGTTGCGGGATAGCCACCGAGGAACGGTCCAAGAAGGTTTGTGACACCAATGCCAATGAGCTCCTGGGATGGATCGATCGTATAGTTATTAATTCTTCCGAAAGATTTGGAGATGGCAATATGCTCGATCAGTAGAACAATTACACCGGCGGGGATATCTCCGGAAAAAGCTGAAAGCAATCCTGGGTTAAGATCGGGTACTGCAGCATGTTGGAATCCTGCAAACACAAGTCAATAAACGCTAAATCGAGGCTCGATGGATGTTAATAGTTACCTCTAGGAACGGTTCCCAATATTCTAAACCGCGGGTTATCGCGTCGGTGAATATTAACACCCGCGCTAACTCCAGTATAGAAGAGAATAACAATCACAGTGCGAAGGGTCGCGAGAAAGAACCATAGCTTAGCACGAGACGGATATTTTCGAGCACAATACGTGCAGCCAGAGCGAACGGCGTAAAGAATAAACAAAGCTGATAGGCCCATGGCAGCGTCGATCTTTGTGTCACCGAGATGTTTCAAAGTGTTTATGATGAGCTTATACGTCGAATCTCTGGTGTTGAAAGTAGTAATTCCCAGCATAGATGGAACCTGACCAGAGGAAATGCTTAACGCAGATCCAGTCATGAAGGCGGAGATTGCGGTCAAGGGAATGAAATCGACCAGCCATCCACATCGAATGAGGCCAACGAAGGTCACAACCGCCCCGCAAATGACTCCAAATGCAGACGCGATAACATGGGGTTCGAATTCCGGGTGTTCCATACGGACTCTGACTATAATATGACCAACGAGCGTGGACACGACTGCGACAGGCTGATATCACGTTAGCAACATGCGTCTCAAAGAGGGTTAAGGAGCATACCCCAATAGTGATATCCTTAGAAGTGGCAAAGAACCAGTAAACCAAGACACCCATAAACGAAGAATATAGACCAAATTCGACAGGCAATTCTGCAAGCTTTGCGTAAGCCATGCCCTGCGGAACGACAACAGCTCCGACCGTGACACCTGTCAGATAATTCTAGTTTTAGCGACTTTGTCCGTGAGCCATTCTAAGATCGGGATAAGAGATGGAAGCCCTACCAGCAACAAGGTCACCGAGAAACCATTGGACGTTGTATCTAGTGAGCCAACGGAGGAAAGGGAAGATATTGACAATGAACATGAGAACCTGTCGACCGGAGGGGACGCATTCCGCCAGCCAATCAATAGAGCTAGGCTCATGTTCGACAAAGGTATCACCGCTACCCGTGGAGAATGTGGACTCCCCGCGAGTGACGGGGTCGGCATCTGGCTTCTCGAGTTTGATACCGAGGACCTTTGCTAGCCCGTGGCCCACCTTTTGGGCATTTGTGGAAGGCTGGGAAGCCATGGCTATGGGGGCTCCCAAAGCGCGATTGGGGGGATAACGGGAAGAACGAAGACAAAAAAGAGCTTGCCAGAAATCCGCAGCTTTTTTAAGGAGATCTTATATCTCGATGATATACAGCTGCCGGGCTTCCGACCGAATGATCAATTGCTGGGACAAGGAACACGGGACACCTTGCTATGGTGTATTGTATGTAGATGTTGTCTCTCCTCGCACAGCATACGATCAATGGGGACCAACAGCTAATACCCAGCCGCAGGCCAGGTGAATCAGGAAGGGCCCAAGCTCAGTCTTCCGCGGATGATTTGTTTTTATCTAGTCCCCATCATCGGCGTGATCATGCGCAGACTGTCACAAATGCCAAGGATGAAAGAAGGGGGGGAAGGAAAAATAAGAAAAAGAAAAAGAGAAAAATGGAGGAGACGAAGGGGGAGGGAATCGAGCAGGTATTTGAGAGGAACGGCCGGGCAAACAGCGAAAGTCAAGTGGTTATCGGTGCGAGTCAAGATCAATATATAGGTTGTGAGCAAGATTCCATTCGAAACCAAAGAGAAACACGAAAAAGAAATTAGCTCTGAGACGGATGGATGAAGAAAACACGACCGACGAAACGTCGATCCTGAATAATAACCATCTGCTGAAGGGTCTGGGAAATAGCAGGGTTTGCTGGGAGAGCTATGGAGACCTGCTGAAGATCACGCAATCGCCCACGCGCGGAGGGACCGGGCTCCAGAGGCTTCCAGGCAGGGGACCCGTCAAAGAACCCAAGGATAGCTGAGTTTAAATTCGTGCCAGGGAAATCGAAACCGACACGTTAATAACCTAGTGAATCACCAACGCTGGCCGAGAAACGTGGGCCGGGGTACCTCGTGCAAGCATGTCTCGATCGCCAGCCTGTCGATCCTGTCACGGTACATTGCAACTGCAGGCAGGGGAGCTACATGGACAAGTCGTACTTGTACCTTGTTCTTAGCGACTTTTGCTACACTCACAGCGAGCTTCAGAGCCACGGCAGCAATGAGAAGAGATGGAGACACTTGTTGCCTGAAGAGCGGGCACAGCACTGTGGTTTGAGACAACAAAGAACGTTTGGAAAATGACTGAGCCTTTTCAACAGGTTCGGACGGTGAAGCTTGACAGGTTTACCTACCAGCAAAGAGCATCAAAAGAAGAAGAAGAAAAAAAAAAAAAAAGTTCAATACTCCGTACACCTGTTTCAAAAAAGTCGATGCAGTATGGGATGCGGCACCGGCGTCAGAAATCCTTCATTGCCTGTTCTTTGAAAGTTAGCCATACGCACAGATATTCGGTGCGATCGGATGGGTGGTGTCGTCTGGGGTAAACAGGCATATCCATTGGCCGTGAGCCAGCGTCTCTCGCCATTGATAACCATACAGCGTGCCTGGACCAGGATGCTGCAGGCCTTCCCTGATTGCAGATCTACCCCAGAAGCCAATGGCAAGCAGCTGAGCGTCGGTGGTCAGGCCGACCCTTGATGATATCATGGGACCCAAATTGTCAAGGGTAAGGCCTCCCGGTTTGACTTGGCCCATGGGTCACTCTTTGTGATTTCCTGACCCTTGCCGTCAGAGCGATGTTGTCCACTGAACGGGATGCCGACTTCGATCCGTCCATCGAAATTTGGAATGGTGTTGAGATCAACAACCATCGTGATGCTGTGTTCAATCGCTAAAAGGAACCCACCGCACAAACACAAAACAGACGCAAAGAGAGGCAGGATGAGCTTGACTAGCTTTCCGAGGAGATAGACTTGCCCTTCCTATGCCCAAACAGGCTTAGATGCCGCCGACCGCCGCACTGCTGCCAGCGACTTGACTGCTGCATCGAGCCAATCAGGAAAACCTCGAAAGTCGCCATCGGGTCCTCCAATGATGTAAATCTACCACATTCTCTTCGACGGACTCAAGGCAGATACCGGCCTCACCGCAACCTTCGGCCAGGAGTTCCTCGTGTACAAAGCGTCACAGCGCTGAAATGAGTTGTCTTGGCTGGGCAGATCCGACATTTTCCAAACTCCTTGATCCTTGCTTGCTGACTCTTGTTCGCCGCTCCCGAGATTTTCATCCGTGCCGACCGGCATGCGTGCAGCTCAGGACCCCGGGTCGAAAACTTGCAAATGTCTGGAGAAATGACTAAAAAAAAAGATATTCGATAAAACTGTGCCCCGCTATCTCTGTAACTACTATGCCAATATCGCCAACGAGGCGAAAAAAGGAAGAAAAGCACACCTGCACTGCAAGCTGACATGCCCTTCTGCGTGTTTCTCCCAAGACACTTGGCGCATGGCCATTTGAAAAGTCAAATCTCGACCGCGGAGGATCATATGGACGGAGTACGACACACCTCAATACCTGACGCCTGTCACCCAGCCAATCCGGCTTCATCTGTATGTACACATGGTTACGGCCAACATCAACGACCAGCTCTGAGGCAACGAAAACTCTGTGTGGCCAGAGCCGCATGGCAGGTAGCTCGTCAGGTAACCATCAAATCCAGCATCCAACTCTAGATATATGCTGTCATTTGTGTAAAATTAACCGTCCAACCCCAACATTTCCATTCGGCCCGGCTGTCGTTGAAGAGCAAAGATCAAGCATTTTGCTGCTGTAACCTATTCGACCTCCATCCCCAGAAAACACCGTGCGCAGTTGCTCCTCCTACGACAACTAAGCGGAAGTGGGGGATGGATTCCGCTTACGGCCTCCATAGCCCACGTTCTCTCTTCCAATCATCTGGTAAGAAGCCCACAGCCCTACGGATTATGACCACTCGTTCCCTCTCTTGAATTCGCTTCCCGATTTGTTCGAGAAACATTCTATGCAAAACCTATATCAGCCGGTATATAGGTGCTCCGAAGCCCCAAGTCAGCCATCGGTAACAACCGGAGTTTGCGGCGCTACTTGTTCCATCCAGCATCGTATTGCTCTTCGTATAAAAAAATATTCACACATAAGCAGTTGTCAGCATCTGACCTAGTTAACGCCGGAGCACGGAGTAGTTACGAACCGCAAAAGTTTATGTAAATGAATACTTTTTGCCTCTTGTGGGTAACAAAGAAGCCTACTTCTGCTGTCGAGGCACGGCGACGATCAGTGCTTGTCATTGTCCAGTGGCATCCTCTCAGCTCATTAACCTCTTCGACGGTGCTTATCTCCGCTTGGCGTAGGACAACCGCGCCGAAAATCCATCCAGACCTGTCAAGGTTCCGTGGAGGACACGGGAGTTCTCCGTACAACGTAATTTTCATTAAAATAACCCAATGACAGCGGACATACAAATAGACTGAGCGCAATATGCGAAGCAGACCTGCAGTCTGCATCTTAAACAAAAAAAAAAAAAAAAAAAAAAAAATATAATTAGCATCGGGGGGGGTCTCGCTTGGCTATTTTTCGTTCATTTTCGCCTAGATTTTGAAAATCTGTTAAGTGTTCCAGATTCAGCTCGCAAGGTGCATGTTTTTCGTTTCAACCCTCAAATTGCGTATCGCACCGCCCTGGACCGGTTGCGCTACACAGCATCACCAAATCATTGAAGATGTAGGGGGAGCTGGGCGTCCAATACTCATGCGGCCAGTCTCATCTGGCCTTGAGAATTCGAAAAGAAGCTGCCGACAGAGCCGGAAAACCCACCCGTGAAGAATATCTTTTCTCGGGCGGTCGTCTTCCTTTCCGAGTCCTCCCCAAATTCCAGTAACAGAAAGCACTGAAAGCTCGTCCTGACCATCTTGCGCAAACCTGAAATATCCACTCATACACAACGGCTAAGGATCTGGCTCGTTACGAGATAGGAGCTGCTAACTGACGGACGAGACCTTTCCTCTGCTCCGTCTCCCTCCCTTCTGCTTACTTACCTCTCTCTTCCCTGGACGGAGATTTTTCCATCCGAAGCGCCTCTTTCGCACATACACACGTTATACATCAGTCTCATTGATGTCTCACGGGCCTCATACGTAGGACTGATTCAGGGGCTAGGAAAATCCCGCAATGTCAGACAAAGTGAACACCAACATGCAGCGCAACTTCGTCAAAAGCTGCAGACCTCCATCAGTAATAATATCCCGAGTCTGGAAATTTCTAACCTGCCGGGGATACGGCAATCCTGACCGGACAACTTCCAAATAGGAAGACAGACATTAAACAAAAGAGCAACAGCAGCTGAATATGATAACAATGGGCCGTAGCCAATGGTCGAAAGCCGCCGAGACGTCTCACAAAGCTGTTGGCCAAGCTGAAATCCTCAACTTCTCGCTACCAATGCAACCATATCAAGAAAGGAACTGCTTCGATGTTTGGCATTGCTTAAGCGGACGCAGCGAGAACAATCGCAATTTTACAGATCGCGGAACAGCTGCTCTGTGCTCGCAAGGTTGGCGATCTGCGTTGCTCGCACGCTTAGGAGCGGTATGCCGGCATCCAAGACCAAACAAAAACAAGGCAATTAATTTTACAAAGATGTGGTAGCAATGGCTCTCATATTAACGACCTGGCCAGGGGTTTCATTTGTGGAGGAAAAAGCGCCCCGTGGCAAAGCTATCTGCAATTTTATTAATATGAATTTAATATTACCCCAAATCCTACATTGGCATCATAGGTAGAAATGAATGAACTAGAATTCCCAAACCATGATTGCAATTGGTATCGTCTATGGTATGTAAGCGTTCGTGGCTCCCAAACCCTCCTCCGTCTTTGAATTATCGCATCGTGGTCTCATAGTCATCAGAAGGCGAGGAGAATACGAGGGGACAAAAGAAAACTGGCCAATGAAACTGGGGGAAGGGTACACAGGGAGAGCAGGCAGGCCCAGCAACGAAATAGAAAGCACTGACTTTGCTCGGCCAAAAATAAATAAATAAATAATAAAAAAAAGAATAGGAACAGAACGAACAGACGACAGGCAGGCGGGCAAAGAATATTATGTAGTAAAAGGCAGATGATCGTTTTGTGTTGTTCGTATCCGATGCCGGGAAGAAAAATGTCCTTCCGAACACCCGTATTTCATGCTTCAGTCTCCAGGGATGAAAGATAATGCCTCTTTTTTCATGATGGAATCACAACAAAGGGAAAAGTCCATTGTCAACACCGAAGCCGACTCTTCTCCATCCAAGAGTATGGGAGATGAAAAAAACTCTCCCCCGTTTCACACATCACGCTATGCAAGGTTCCGAATTATACGAGAGTTTTATTGCGATGCGCATTGCATCCGTTCCGCGCCAGGTGGAATGCCATCTTCGTCTTCTTCATCAAGGCTGGCAGCTCCGTGAGCACGGGCCCGAGAACCCTCGTCCACCTCCTCCAATTCGAAGTCTTCAACCATTGAATCTGGGGGTGGCTGTGTCTGCTGCACACGTGGTGGGAGGACTTGTTCTAGCAATTCAAGGTTTCGAAGATCCTCTCCCTTCGGGAATTTCACGTTGAATTGAATGTAGAGGTTTCCGAAGTCGTGATGGCGGAACGACGGCATTCCTTGTCCTTTGATAACCTTGACAGCTCCTATTTTTGTTTTTAAACGAAGCACGTTAGTGATATTTACTCCTCAGGCGCAAAAAAGCCATGACGTTTTAGAATACGTACCGGGTACGATAGGTTCTCCGGGAGCAATATTAACCGCCAACCACCGGTCGTCCAGATGTTCGATGTTTATCGAGCCTCCAGCCAATGCGGTGAGAAGATCTATATCGGCTTGGTAAAACAAATCATCGTCTTTGCGCTGGAATCGTGGATGAGGCTTCTGCTCGATTTCAAACACTACATCACCGGGCAGGACTCCTGGCATCTGATCACCCTCCCCACGGAAATCAATCCTGTGGCCGTTCTTGACACCACGGTCAACGTGGACATGAAGAACTTTCCTCTCGATGACGGTCTTCTTGCCCGAGCAGCGCTTGCAACGATCCTTCTCCCGGATAATCTCTCCCTCTCCGTTACAATCAGGGCAAACGCTTTGGAAACGCTGGATCATTGGGCCCATCTGGCGCATCATAATCTTCATACCGGTACCATTACATCCAGAGCACTGCTTAACAGCACCCTCTTTTCCTCCGCGTCCGTCGCATCCTGGACAAATGATCGACTTCTGGAGAGCCAACTTCGAGACTTTGCCACGGTAGATATCTTCCAAAGAAACCTTGTGCACGTGGTGGATGGTCCTTGCCTTCTTGGGGCCAGTATCTCTCATTCCACCGCCGAACATGCCGCCGAAACCTCCGCCGCCGCCAAAGAACTGGGCAAATAGGTCTTCCGCATTCATTCCGCCGGCCGCGCCGCCTTGTTCTAGGCCTTCTTCACCATATTGATCGTAGAGCTGGCGTTTCTGTGGATCCGACAGAACCTCATAAGCATGTGATAAATCCTTGAACTTTTCGGCGGCATCAGGATTATGGGCGTTCTTGTCTGGTGGGACAGTTGAGTGAGCTGGGGCTCAAAAGCTTCGAGGATGAAGCAATTTTCAGCATACCTGGATGGTGCTTCAAAGCACCTTTCTTATAAGCTGTTTTCAACTGTGCTTCGGTGGCATTGGGAGGAACCTGAGAGGTCGGAGTCAGCAAGGTGATCATCACAGGAGGATACACAAGAACCTACCCCTAGAATATCGTAGTATTTGGTTTCTTTCACCATTTTCACAGGAGTCTAGAGAAGATGGAAGGAGGTGAGAGGGGAGGAGGCTGAGGGGAAAAACTTGAGTGCTGTTGCCGAACCGTCCTTGTCCGTATTGCAAAAAGAATGTCTTCTGAATAATGAAAACCAAGGCTTTAAGAAGAGAAGAAACGCTAAGGCGATCCTGTGATGAGATGGAGGTTTTGAGGAGGAAAGAGATGGATTCCCTTGAAAGGCGTGTTGATAAAAAAAAAAAGAGTCCAGGGAGGGATGGATGCCTTTGGAAATCTGGACCTGAAAAAAGTCGCTGGTTGGTGGTGGAAAAGCCTCCCTACCGTGGTCAGGGTCTGACGTTTTGCTTCGGTATCGGACGTGTGTATTATTACAAGGGTGCGCCAGTGAAGTACATATCAACAATGACAGAAGGGCAATGATTTTACTCCTGGATATCCTCTTTACAAACCACAAAAAAAGTGAAGAGAATTGATTCCTGGTATTCAAGGCTCCTCACGTGCAAAATTATACAGGAAGCAGTTTGTTTTTAATTCACTGTGCGGATTCTCCAGCTCTATTTGGATTCGTCAATTGAAATGGTGATATCGAAAAGATATGACAATACAGTTACAATACAACCTTCCCGGATGCAGCTAGGCACTGTAGAGGGCCGTGGCGCGTTAGTCTTCCTTGGGCTTCTGAAGGCTTCCATCTGCCTCGACTGCTTTCTGTTGTTTTCGATGCTCGTCAAAAAAACCCCCATCACCAGCATCGCTGCCAGAAACTTCGACAGGATTCAGGCTGCAATAAGAGCTTATTTGATGCATTTCTTGCTGCCTGCAGGTAGCCTGTGCATGCGCATCCTTACTGATGGCGACGGAGCGCTTTTTTTTTTTTTTTTTTTGTTTTTTAAATTTTTCTCATGCGTTGCCCCTGATTCCGGTGGGGATTCCTCGCCGTCCCAGCCAAACGCTGACGCGATTCACTCGCAGTTACCAGCGCCAAGCTATTTTTATCTCCGCCGGGGCGTATCGGGATCGGACAATCCAATGCTCCGTGGTGCATTTAAGGTTAAGCTCTTGAAACTGATCGTCGCGCTGCCTCAGGCTACAGTATCATCCTTCGAAGAGCCCAGGCGGCCCTGGATAACATCATGCTCGGATAATACTTTCCCGTTTCATTACTGAGAGCTGCAGCCAAACGGGTTGCATTGTGTACTTTTACTGGGGCAACAGATGACTATATAGTCCTTTACTGAATACGTTCTTGGAAATATGATTGATCGCCTGACTTGTATGTAATCGGTCAGAAGAAGGGTATCAACAGAGTTGGCATCAAAAGGAAGACACCCGTGATCCCTTGTTGAAATTGCCCTTAAAGTATATGCAACCATAGAAGTGTAAAGTGCAGATTTTGAGCGGAGATGCCGTTCTATCAAATACCGAGGAGAAACGCGAAAGGCCTGTTATTAAATACCATCGCAAGCGCTATTTAAGAGGTGGCAGTTAGCCGGTGAATTTCTTGGAAAAAGAACTTCAAATCTTCGGGGTTAACAAAGGGAGTGATGCCTAGATCCAATTAGCCAAAGCTGTAACATAGAATCCTGCCTTTGACGATCAATCTCACCGTGGCCCAAGTTCACTATCCATCTCTGCTTTCCTCCTCCAAAACCTTTGACCATATTCTCCACAACGGCGGTGATAGCCTCTCTGGAACCGTACAAACAGCCTGGGTCGGCATTGCCCTGTAAAGTTACTCTGCCATTTGCAATCCGAGTTGCCTGCGCGGGGTCATGAAGCCAATCGAGCCCCACAACGTTGTATCCAGACTGACACAAGTCATCCAAGGCATACCAAGCGCCCTTGGCAAACACGGTCATCGGCACGGCCTCATACCCGAGTTCTACTACCCTCTTAGGCAAGTTGGCCGCGATATATCGCAGATATGGCAGAGCGAACTCTGAGAACGAAGCAGGCGACAATTCGCCAGCCCAAGAATCAAACACTTGGACCAATTGCGCTCCCGCAGCCACCTGCAGTGCCAAATACTCCACGCAGATTTCAGCAATCTTCTGTAGCAGCGCCTTGGATGCCTCGGGATATTTGTATACCCATGTCTTTGACTGAATGAACATCTTGCTTCCTCCTCCTTCAACCATATAGCACAGCAACGTCCATGGAGCCCCACAAAACCCAATCAGCGGAACCCTACCTCGCAGCTTTTGTCGCGTGAGGGTAATGGCTTTGTAGACATAATCAAGCTCCGCTTTAACATCTACCTTTTTTGTCATCACTCTCTCGTATTGTCCGTCATCCGGCGACTTCAGTGGCTCTGGGAAATGCGGGCCTTTTTTTTCCACCATCTCCACGGTCATACCCATCGCCTGTGGGATAACAAGAATGTCGGAAAAGATGATCGCAGCGTCGATGAGTCCCTCGTATCGTTCAATGGGCTGGAGCGTCAATGTCGAAGCCACCTCGGGGTCGCGACAGCATTCAAAGAAATCGCGGGTACCTTTCGCTTCGTGGTATTCGGGGAGGTATCTCCCGGCTAAAGCAGATTAGACTTGGCCTCTCTACCTGTCGAATTTCAAAGAATCGAGAACGAAGTGTGGGGAATCTTTACCTTGTCGCATAATCCATATTGGCGGTCTTTGAACTTTCTCCCCTACAGCAGTGACGTTAGTATCACGTTGGAGATTAATCTAGTGGCTTCAAATACCTCTCGCAGCTTTGAGAAGCAAGTCGTTCTTCAGTGGTTCGAATTGATTAGACATGGTTGCTGGGATTTGGATTGTTATCTTAAAGCTCGCCGGCTTGGGTGGGGGAAGTATTACATATATTGAGCCAAAGTTCCTGGGCCCCAAATTCCTGAGCAACCCCCACCAAGTCCCGATCAGAGTTCTGGGACAAGATTGACTTTGTACCCGCGAAAGTAAATATCAAGTCAACTACGGAGAAAAGAGTAAGGACAATGATACTAGCATTGTATTTCCGTTTATATTGGATTGAGGAGTCAAAGTTTACGACAAGCTCCCCCCAGCCGGGGGGGGGGAAGGATGAACAAACCAGCTGACGTACGGAGTACAGTGGGATTATGTCTGTTTGGCTAATTGATAACTGCAGCACATTATCCGTCTTCACCCCGGGCCCACTTCCTCAAATTCCCTATTCCGTACAGGGAGTCGGAAATCTTTTGTACTTGCTTTCGGCTTTCAGTCTCAGCAATAATGTCTACGGTTTCACGGCTATTGATTGTGGTTGCTGCCTGCGTGGAGCTTTCTTCCCATTTTAGACCTCCGTCACTTCTCGCAGAAAAGCACTGAAGAAGTTTGGGGCCGATAGCAGAGTCTCTCAGCTCCTTAGTCGACCCAGGTTTATGGACATTATCAACGGAGACTAGAATGGTGCCCCTGTCATCGAGAGCTACAACATCAAGGGCGTTTCCGGATAATTCAATGGGAGCAAGGGCAGTAAGGCGACCATTAGTGCCAAAGCTGAACGCTAATAGCCTCGAAACACTAACGTGGAGATTGTCAGCGGAATGAGAATGTAGTTATTGTGAGAAATTCGCTTACCCCTCCAGAGCAACCAAAATTCCCCCGCGGGCGTGCTCGGTGAGACCAGGATTCCCAGAGAAAGGTATCGCATAGATACCTGAGACTGCTATATCAGGTGCATCGGATTGGGGCGGTTGAGCCTTTGTGCTTTCCGCAACGTCACCATCGTGCACCAATGAAATGGTCTGTGCGACACGCCCAGCCAACCAATCCCAACAGATAATACAATTATCGCCGCCACCAGATATCAGGGACCTAGGATCCCAGGGCGGAATGCAGAGCTTGCTCACAAAAGATGTATGGCCTAGGCAATAACCGTGTATAATATGAGCCTGGGAAGGTCCTCGGGAGACACGAATGTGCTCATCACGGTCCGAGGTGATGATATACAAACGAGGGCTGGTGGAAGAGTCGGATGGTACGGGTGCGAGAATGAGATCAGTGAGCATGGACACATGGCCGAGTAAAAGCCTGTGCTGAAACGAAGGCTCCAACTTTTCCTGGGCGGCACGGGGAGTGCGGAGCTGTTGCTCAAGGGCCTTCAAGTTTCTTTGTGTGTGGACGGTAAGCTTGGTGGCAGATGGCTGGAAAGGTTTCGAAGATTCTGCCGCTTTTCTCAATGGCAAAACAACTTCGTCTCTGGGGAGCAAAGGTAGAGAGTAAACATCGCCGAATTTATCTCCGCACAGGATTGTATTATTGTCCGGGGTCAGTGAAATTGCACAGGGCCGCTTTGGCATGCATCTGATTCGCAAAATTAGCAAGCAGTGCTTTACGTTTGTTTCACTGCTGCCCAGAATTAGCGATTCTTACCGCTCTGTCAATTGGGTGAGCTTTCCATCCTGCTTGACTTCAAAAACCCGTAAACACTTGTCCTCTCCTGTCACGGCAACAATATGGTCTCCAGTCCCTGAAATGACAAGAATGGGAATTGTTGACCATGCTTGCTCCGCAGTCTCAGATCTTCTAGCTTTAGCCTTCGCGCTCTGCTCGGTTTGAGCTTCCCCGCTTTCGTTGACAGGAGGGGTTAATTTCCTCCTTTTCTCAGGTGGTTCTGCACAGGTATCAGCACTGGAAGCTCGATCGGGTGATATATCGGAGTCCAGTGGCCGCAGATAAGAAGCAGGGGGCCAGCTCGACAGCAGGGACCCAGTCCCGGCGTCAAATATCTGTATCGATGGCCCCGCTACCGCCGCAAGAAGCTCCCGTAGCTGACATCTGAAGTGGCGGATGCGCGAGATTGGATATCGCAGACTCATGCTTCAGCCAAATAGAGGTAGAGCCACGTGTCGAGCTTCTACTAGTGGGTCAATGCAGGCTTCTACACCCGCCGTCACGCCAGGTTGACGACGAGATGCTCTCGTCGCATAAATTTCGCGATGAGGTCAATGGCACGTGACTCGAAGCACCTGGCCCTAACTCGCTGACTAACACTCCTAGGCGAGGCGCGCCAAGCCACAAGGAACAAACCAATTTTGGCAGAAAATCATTGAATTTCATCTTCTCCAACCAACCACCAACAAAACTCCTTCAACTCATACTCCCCGGATCAGTTTTCGCTGCCCTTAAATATCCTATCTTCACAATCAAGGAGACATGGGGGGCAGATCAGCTACTAAGACAGCTTATTTCGAGAAGCTGAAGAACCTTCTCGATGAATACAAGTCGGTGTTCATTGTCAGTGTTGACAATGTCAGCTCCCAGCAGATGCACGAAATCCGTCTGAGCCTTCGCGGCGAGGCCGTTGTGCTCATGGGAAAGAACACTATGGTAGGCCTCAATTAGCGCAATTGGCGGGCGTTGGAACCGAATATTAACCGAAACCGCAGGTTCGCCGTGCTCTTAAGGGATTTATCGTCGATAACCCAGAATATGAGCGATTGTTGCCTCACGTCAAGGGTTAGTGCTTCATCGGGAACCGTTTGGCGTGACAATATCATAACACTTGTGTTTAGGCAATGTCGGCTTTATCTTCACAAACGCTGACCTGAAGGAGGTCCGCACCAAGATCTTGGCCAACAGAGTTGCTGCTCCAGCTCGTGCCGGTGCTATCGCTCCCGCCGATGTCTGGGTTCCTGCTGGTAACACCGGTATGGAACCCGGTAAGACTTCCTTCTTCCAGGCTTTGGGTGTCCCCACCAAGATTGCTCGTGGTACCATTGAAATCACGACCGATCTTAAGCTCGTTGAGGTTGGCGGCAAAGTCGGTCCTTCCGAGGCGACCCTTCTCAACATGTTGAACATCTCTCCGTTCACGTACGGTATGACTGTTGCTCAGATTTACGACGACGGCCAGACCTTCAGCCCTGCTGTCTTGGATATTGAGGAGGAGCAGCTCATCGCTTCTCTCCAATCTGCCATTAAAACCATCACCACCATCTCTTTGGCTGTTAACTTCCCCACCTTGCCATCCGTTATGCACTCTCTTGTCAACGGTTACAAGAAGGCTTTGGCTATTGCTGTTGAGACTGATTACAGCTGGAGCGAGATTGAGGAACTCAAAGATCGCATTGCCAACCCCGATGCCTATGCCGTTGCTGCCCCAACTGGCCCGGCTGAGACCAAGGGTGAGGAGAAGGCAGCTGCCAAGGAAGAAGAAGAAGAGGAAGAGAGTGAAGAGGATGGAGGTATGAACCCCAGCCCAAGCCATCGTAAAGTCTACAGGATTTGCTAACCATTATTGCAGGATTCGGTGGTCTCTTCGATTAAATACAAATTGGGGCTCTGTGTTGCGGGATGCCTGAAAAATAGCATACGCTATGTGATATCTCGTAGCGGAAAAATAATGATTCTACCGCTTCAAACATCATTCTCAATTTTCAAGTGCTGCCATCTAACCGGGTAGCGCACAACTTTCGCTAAACATGTAAGTCAATACTTTTCTTATCTCCACAATTCACCACCTCTATTTTGGCGAAGGATTAGGTTTTTTAACACTGAGAGCTCTTGAGCTCTGCCCTGAAGATCAACCAAAACGCAACAACACTCTAATTTTTTAATGACGCCTCTTCGATATCCCGTGCTTTATCCATTTTGTTCATTTCTGAAATATAGGCTAATTTCAAATAGTTATTGTAGGTCAACACGTTGCACTGTTGTAGGTTGCGTAGTAAGTCTAGCTGCCAAGTGGCATATCATTTTCTATCAGATAGATATGAACACGTTGCTTGCAGAACATTTCCAATGATTTTCTATTGACAGGTCATAGTAATATAGGCTACAGTTGCTCAGTAGAATGATTCAGTATATTCATCATCACTATCCCTAATTCATCGCAGACCATCATCCCCTCTTCCAAATCGTCCTCCTAACCCTCCCAAATCTCTCCGGAAAAACTTGCCGATGTTCTTCAGATTCTCATTTAAATTAGCCGCGTGGAGTCCAGCGGCAGCGAGACCGCCTTCACCCGCCTCACCAACAGCGGTCACTGCCTCCCCAGGGGGTGGAGTTCCCGTCCTATTCACAGCTCCCCCAGAGGCAGGATTAACACCCAAGGTCCCCAAACCTGGTGTACCTAGCCTATCAACTCCGTCTCGGGCGGCAGATATAAGCGCTGACCCAAATGTTGACGCATCGAATCTCGTCTGAAGGGTACTACTCGCCAAAGACGGGCCTTGAGAAGCTCCAAGGCCACTCAGCCCCAATCCCTGAGTGACATTTCCAGACTGGGAGGCCACAATGGAAGCCTGTGGCTGCAGCTGCGCAATGAGCGGGTTACTCGCCTGTAAATTCGCCGCGTGGCGATCGGAAGCCTTGTGGATCTGGAATAGCTCGAGTAATCGATTCTGTTCTACCTTGCCGCGTATTCCTTTGATATCGAGGATCTTGCGGAAATTATTGTCGTTCTTGTCGGCGACATGAATGAGATAAGCTTGTACGAGGGCTTCCGCCGGGGCAGTTCGGACTTGGAGCGTTTTCAGGAGCGTGTCTACTTTCTGGAATGTAGCGTTGAGGCGTTTGGAGAAGCCAGCAGGAGCAGGATCGAGAAGATTAGATAGACCGTTCTTTACTGAATAGCTATCAAGGAGCATCTAAAACATCATTAGCATTTGAAAAAGATAATATCTGTGGAAAGGTGGGCGGACCTGTTCAGCACCGGTCTCAGAAATCGGTCTACACTGATAAATATTGGAAACAAAGCTGTTTGAAACGTTCTCAACGAGGTGATCTGCGAAGGTTCGTGCATACTGTTGTTTATGGAGCATCGAAAAGATTTCTTCTGCATTTCCTTTGCATCTCGTTAACAGCACCTCAACGTAGGAGCTTTGATCGCCCACGGCGTCAAGCTTGCTCCAAGCTATATTTCGCATTTCCTTCCAGGCCGGCTCCAGCTCTAATTCCACTTTGCGAACGAGTATGCGAACAACAGCGCTGGCGATACCCATGAAGGAGTCCGCCTGGCTTTGTAAGTCAATAGTCTGTTTGAAAGTCTCGTCAACTCGGCCTTTGATCTTTTCCTCCAATTGATTGCAGGTCGAGTAACAGTAGTCTCCTGTGTTTAGAACCATGATGAGCTCCTCCAGGGACGGTGTTTTGGATGGAGTTTGCCCACTGGCTTTCTCACTGATGTGAAATAGCAGAACTTGCTGCGCATATTGATCGAGGTATTTCGCAAAAACTTTTGATAACTCTGCCAGGCTATTTCCTGTCGATAGTTTGGCACATTGTGCGAGAGAATGGCGATAAAACGTAAAGAGGTCCGTGGAAGATTGAATGACAAGCTGTGGAGTGAATTCCTCGTCCTTTGGCTTAACTGGTTGTTGTCGATACTTCATTATAAGCGTAGCTAGCTGCTTATCCTGGGCCTCAACCCATACGCCGAGGTAAGGCGTGAAAGCTTCCGATATCGAGTGGGAGAACGCAGGCAATTCACTTGAAGTAAACGTATCGATTGAAGCTCGAGAAGCCGTTGTAAAATGTTTGTCGAGTGACTGCTCAAACTCGAGTGTTTCCTGTAGGCAGGAAAGTAGCAAGTTCACATCAAGGGTTTGCCCACTCTGAACAGAACGGGACAAGATTCCCTTGAAGTCTTCCCGAGTCCCTTCGCAAAAGGTGTTGGCTAGAATCTCACCAACTTTCCAAGACGTCGGAAAGATTGTTGCATGTTCCTCATCGTACGTCTTCAGCATCCTTCTAAACCACGAATACCTCCTTGATATGTTATCGAGCGAGCCCGCTTCTTCGTTACCTCTAAACACCTGTCTATACTCCCTTAACTGGGTGTTGCAATACCAAGTGACGAGTCTCGATCTTGCCACATCCCCTAGTGCTTCCATAACCAGGCATCCTTCGAATAAGACGTTCTTCTTTTGATGAAGTTCGCCCTTTGCGAATATCATCTCAAAGTCTTCACAGACCTGCTCCAACAACTCCCTTTGTATATCCGCCACATTCCGACTCAAAGTAGCAATCTGGTCGATAGATCGATATGACTTGAAATGCGACATTAACTGAATGACTGCCTGCAACAACTGCGCACAATCCCTGTACTGCCTCGACTTGCTTAACGCCTTCAGCTGCTCGTACGCGGTCGTTAACATCTGCAACCTTTTCAACGTCGTCATAGACAGCGTCAGATTCTTCTTCGCATTATCCAGTTGTTTGATATCTGCCGTCATTTCCGTGATTGCCTGCTCAGTCTTCAACGCCCGTTCGCGCACGTCGTCGATCTTCTGGAAGAGTTCCGCCATGTCTGCTTTGGCGGTTTGGACGCGTTCCACGCTTTCTCTATTGGAGGCGACCTGCGCCTCCGTGAGCTTTGCGATATCTTGATCGAGTTCATCTTGGTAGTCCAGGAGCACTTGAGATGTATTTGAAACGGAGGCGAGGGTAGAGGGATGGGAGAATATCGCGTTCAGATGGTCGATAGGATTGTAGTCGGCTAATCTAGGTCAGCTAAAGAGCAAATTATGCCACTCGAAGAATCAATGCAGCTTGCCTCCATCCAGCGGATCTTCCACCTGGGCATTGTTTGTCGGCATAAGTGTTCTTGTTGACATTCGGGGAAGCTTAAGTACCGGAGGTCGTTAAATACACGCCTTGCATCCTGTGGTGCGCTTGTTTCCCACAGTGAATTTATTACAGTTAACAAGAATCACGAGGTTCAAAGTAAAGTATTTTTCATTATCAGTAGTAAAGACAACTTAGTAGCTTCTGATTATTTGATGCTGATGCTATCTGAAGTACAGAGTACGGAGCACGTAAATATTGGGGAGGTTCTGGTAGTTAACAGGTCATAACTCCAGACAGAGGAGCGGTGATTAGGAAGTTAACTTTCTACTCTGTACATATTTCTTAAGTAACAGCCTTAGCTTTTCTCTATTCATCCCAACAAATTGTCAGAAGCATGGGAATATTGTAAAAATCCGTGAATTTTCTGATTTGGGTTCCTTACTTTTTGCATTTAATTCACAGGACCACCCTATGCCTTGTAGACTCCTCAGAACTTCCTCGCCACCACTCCCTCCACTGAGCTCTCAAGGTTTCTCAGACCTGTAACTATCCCGCCTGATAGACCGCCGGGAAGCATTGTCGAAAACGCTGTAGACCCGGAGATGCTCCCAGCGTATGAGACGAGGAATTATGTTGTAAAAACCCTGCTATGTTACGTATACAGGCAGAAAGGAACCAGCGACGGCCCATGGAGCTATCTTCATGTTTGCAGGCGACCCGAGGGAGCCGAGTGAAGGGGAGTACTTTGGCTGAGGAGGATGGTGAGGGAAGAGGCAGTGGATGAACTACGGAGTAGAAGCTACTAAAAAGAACAATGGAGCCAGTGGAAACGATAGAACCATGCATCGGAGTAAGTACCAGAGCAGGGGAATGACAAGCACTAAGAGAATATGAAACGGTAGAGAATTTGAAACGGCGGAAGATATATATCAACAAACATCACTTTTCAAACTTCATTCAACATGCCTCTACAATACGGGAACCTGCTGAAAGCAAAGATGTCAAGTGACAAGGCTTCGGTCTCTATCACAGCCTGATATATAGATATCTGGATGGGTGAAGTTAACTTCGATATTTAGAAAATAAGAGTTGGAGATCTTATTCTGATTAACTATACGTAGATGGGCACGAGTGCATAGATTCTTGGCTATTTACAATGTAGGGAGCATCCCAGGCGTAACTTGATTCAATTGCCACTACTAATATGGCATCCACATCTCTATTCAATCAACAATATCACGAATATGGGCTGTGCTCAATCTCTAGACTGTATGTACAGCGATTATCAACAATTAAACACACATCATAAACTACACCCCCGGTAGAAATGCATTTGCTGGGAGTTTCCCTTGCGCCTAATTCAATGCTGGGTTAGCGCAGATCCATAGATATACTCTGATAGCATTCGGGAATGCTCTTACCTTTAGCTCTTCAAAATTTTTCAACGCCGCTTCCATATTCCAATTATTGCCACTAAGGGCCATTTCGGAGAATTCCAGTGTCATTCTTGTCTTAAAGCTTATCTCAAGTACCAGTTGTTCCCTTTTCACCTGTTCGTCCGTTTTCCCGGGTGCTGACACCCCATATCCAGGTTTAGCTTGCGGATGGGCCCCTTGGGCGGAGGGTACAGGTTGGACTGCGGGTATGGGTTGGACTGCAGGCAAGGGTTGGGTTGCGGGCTGCACCATTGTTTGTGCAGGTACTGTTGCAGGAATATTGTGCTGATCTTCGGGAATCCATGCCTGGCAGTCGCCAAAAGCCCTTAAGCACAACATATCATTACTGACTCTTACTCCTCCCGGTCCGCGGCCTGGGCCGAGAACAAAGGTGCGATCGAAACTTCGCGTTTGTAGTTTGCTCCCAGTTTCCATATCCAGTTCATCAAATTTCCCGTGGACAGTGATGAGAAGGCCGCCAACGCCTGTCTTGCTCTGGCCTGTGATGTCTACAAGTCCTGGAATGGGGTTGCATTCGATAAGCCAATCTTTCGGGTTCGTTAAAATTCCAGGATGATTCGTTCGTGGTAATGAATTCCATGCATTTCGAATGTTTTCAACACCCACATAAGCCCGCGACATTCGCGCGGAAAGGTGATTGATTCTTTGAAGATTTCTGCTTTTTTTGATATATCCGTCCCAGCCGGCGGGCGTCTCGTTTTGCAGCGCACGTGGTGCAAGGACATTCACATTAAGTGAAAATATCGATCTCTCGTCGTACATTCCGTTTAGAACTTCGTCTTTATTATTATCGAAATTGAAGAAAAAGGCCTTAAGAAAGTTTTCTGCAATGGAGGATTCGTCGTGGAAAACAGGCCCCTTAACAGGGATCGGTGTCTTTTTCTGGGCTGCAATCTCCTCCGGCGTTCTGACGGGAGTGTTGTTCAGAGTTTGGAGGTTTGGATACCATTTTAGCATCGTTTCTTTGAAGCCGGGTTGTGCGATAGCTTCATTCCCCGTCAAATCGAGAAATTCGAGCTTGCGGAATTTCCATCTCCAGCTGCTCATATTTTCTGTACTTCGGAGTCGATTATTCGACAAATCTAAATTTTTCAAATCTGGAAAAGTTTGTGCCAGAGATGTCACCGGGGCGACATTTGACAGTTGGTTCTCGGCTAGGCTCACGCTTTCGACCGCAGTTCTTCTTTTCTCACTGCTGTCGAAGGTGAGCTCGCATATTTTCATCAATGCCGGGAAGAATTTCGATTCAGTGGAAGTAGTGTTGAACATGCCCATCTCAATAAGATCTGGGTCTGTGCCTAGTTTCGACAGGTCAAGCAGTTTTTTCGGTTCGAAGTATCTTTTCGCCAAGAAGGCTGTCATTTTGGCCTTCGTATCAGCTGCACCGGGAGAAGGACCGCCAACAGGTCCTCCAAACCCCGATTTGTCGTGTCTCTCAACTGTAAGCGGCGCTCCAGCGAATGAAAATCCACTGATGCGTAACACCCAATCCACCTGTTCAGGACGCACTGAGACGACCAGGGCGTCTCCTTCAACTCGCGACTAGTTAACGTTAGCAAGGCATAAAACCTTGATGTTGCAGGTCACCCAACGGGGTATGGCGGGCAAGAGGCCTGAATGAACGGAGGTTTCAATCGTCGGTAAAGAAAGTTGGCCAGGTGACGAAAACATCCCCGAAAAACGATGCTGCGAAACACGCCGGTGACCGCGAAAACGTAGTGCTTGCACATACCTTTATTATTTTTAACCGGACGCCAGAGTTTGGGTCTGGGGGCGTGGCTTTCTTTTCGAGAAAGGCGATAAGGCTCTCGACACCGCCATCGGGATTCGAAGCGGCTCTGCTTGCTTTCCATCCACGAACTTTAAGCTGGGATAGGCCTCGATCCGCTTCCATACCACTTGTTCTCCCACGCCTGATGTTTGCCTGAGACGAGGCCCCAAAAATGGCTTTTTGCAGGGCGTCTAACGTCTTCTCTTTGTCTCCTCCGTGTCTCGATGCCGGGGTTGCTCGACGAGATAGATCGCCTCGGGTATGAGCTCTTCCTATACCACGTCCTCTTCCGGCCCCTCCGACGCCCATGTCTAGATCTCCATCTCTATCCACTCGTTGGGCGGCTCCTCGTTTGCGAATGCCACCTCGGTCCGGGGTGCCAGTGCGGCTTCGAGAGCCTCTCGAAGGGCGGGAACTATTCATCCTGGCGGAAGGAATTTGTAGCATGCCTGAAATCGCGGTATAATCGGCGGTGCGGGGTGGGGAGGAAGGGCCTGCGGTCGAGGATGTAGGCCAAGTCAGGTCCCGGTATTCAAGCTGCGAAAACGGTGTGTTGTTGAATGCATAAAGGTAATATCACGCTGCAACACTGAAAGTAATCGATAAATGTGGGAAAACGGGTCTGCTGCCCCGGTATTGGGCTTGCGAATGGCGATGTTTATATGCCTTTTGAGGGCGGACGGCGGACTTGGAGTGAGATCAAACGCCGGATTTGCCAGGCGACCAAACTTGCAGGCAGCTGCACCGCCGCCAAAAGCCAGCCTCATGACTAATGCTCCGGCGTCTGATATAACTAACTAGCGGTTCTTATTGGTTCCTTAAGCGCTATCACGTGATTATTCCAGATCTGCGCCGCGATCTTATCTGCAGCCAATCAGAAGTAGCTACTGCGAGTCAAAGGTGTCCTCTCCGCAAACGGGAGAAAGACGCTGTGAGAGCGCCCATTCTGCCCTCTTCGAAACCCATCGCTCGCTTTCCCAGCCTTGTACAATTGGAGCTCAGCCTGGCCTGTAGCTGGGGTCTGCCGTCGTACTCAATTGGCCAAACCGAACAATGCCCAATGGTATGAAACGTCTCAGGTGAAGCTGCTTCAGGGTAGTTGCTTTCGCGCTCGGCCCGTTCCACCAGGCAGCGAAGATCTGATACCCATTCCAAGGTGGCAGCCTATCCGCTCCTTTACAAGTTAAGAAAACGTTGATATTATAAAACCTGACGAAGATGCCGGTCAAATCCCGCTTCACACGGTTGGATGCATTTGCCAAAACCGTGGAAGATGCGCGAATCCGGACAAGGTCAGGAGGCGTCGTCACCATCGTCTCATTGATCGTGGTCATTCTTTTAGTATGGGGAGAATGGAGGGATTACAGAAGGGTTGTAGTGCTTCCAGAGCTGATTGTAGACAAGGGGAGAGGTATGCGATTGATTGAATTGAACCCTCTATTTATTGTATCCATCCAGCCGCTAAACATTGTCCAGGGGAACGGATGGAAATTCACCTCAACATAACCTTTCCTCATCTACCTTGTCAGCTTCTTACACTCGATGTTATGGATGTCTCCGGCGAGCAACAAAGCGGCGTCATTCACGGAGTCAACAAGGTCCGTCTGAGCGCCGCGTCCGAAGGTGGCCATGCACTTGATGTGGAGACAGTAGACCTGTGAGGAATCACACCCATTCCTGTTGAAACATCCTTTTTATTGATTTATATGAAATCTAAACAGCGACAAAAAAGACCAAGCTCCATTGCACCTGGATCCAGGATACTGCGGCTCCTGCTATGACGGCATCCCTCCGCCAAATGCAAAGAAGCCTGGATGCTGCAACACCTGCGACGAGGTGCGAGAAGCTTACGCCTTGCGCAACTGGGCTTTTGGGAGAGGAGAAGGTGTCGAACAGTGCGAACAGGAGGGCTACGGCTCGAAGATCGACTCCCAGAGGAACGAAGGCTGTCGGCTCGAGGGCATCCTTCGGGTCAACAAGGTCGTCGGGAATTTCCACGTCGCCCCCGGCCGCAGCTTCACAAACGGCTACATGCACGCCCATGATCTAAAAACCTACTACGAGACCCCCGTGAAGCACACGATGTCCCACATCATCCACCAGCTTCGCTTCGGTCCGCAGCTCCCCGACGAGCTGTCTCAGAAGTGGAAATGGACCGACCACCACCACACCAATCCGCTAGACTCCACCTCTCAAACCACCGAAGATCCGAAATTCAACTTCATGTATTTTGTTAAGGTGGTCTCGACGTCCTACCTCCCTCTGGGCTGGGACGCTTCTCTCTCCTCCGAGGTGCATTCGCGCCTCTCGTCCGACGCCCCGCTCGGCAAGCAAGGCATCCAGCTCGGGCAATACGGCAGTATCGAAACGCACCAGTACTCCGTGACCTCCCATAAGCGCTCGATAGAAGGTGGAGACGACTCCGCAGAAGGCCACAAGGAGCGCGTGCACACGGCAGGAGGGATTCCCGGCGTGTTTTTCAACTACGACATCTCCCCCATGAAGGTCATCAACCGTGAGGCGAGAACGAAGAGCCTTTCTGGATTTCTAACGGGCGTGTGTGCAGTTATTGGCGGCACCTTGACGGTTGCCGCTGCTGTTGATAGAGCTCTATACGAGGGATCGGTGCGGGTGAAGAAGTTGCATAAGAGCTGAGGAGGAGTTCAATTTTGATCATTGATGATAAGAAGGGCTTTCCACTCTTCACCTATTCCCCCCCCGGGGCGGGGGGACTCCAGTCGGCCTTTTGGAGCTAACTGCATCGTGGTTACTCTTGAATGTGTATTTCTCTTTTTGTGATTCTCACTAGAGCACGTTTCCTCCTTTGCTGATCAAATTTTACGAGTTTGTTTGATGCAAGTAGTGACGATTGTTTCTACCCCCGGTTCGGCGTTTTTTTCTTTTTTTTTTTTTCCCATGCTTCTTCTCAGAGGGGAAAAAAGGGGGCGTCATGTACGGATATTTGATATAGATATTCCAGTTCAATGTATTACTTCAATGTCGCTCACACAACGTTTTGTTTTTATGGCCTTTTTTTAAATCCTTAACGCAAAAATCTTAAAAGGATTTTTTTTTCTGTTGCTGGATCGAGTCAAATGGAACTTCTCCAAATCTTTTTTTTTTAAAAAAAGAGGAAGTGGGGAGAGAAAAGACCTAGGTATTAATATTGCAGTCCTCTCATCTCTATTTATGCAGCTACGTAGTTAAAAACTAATGGAGACCAGCAAATAACAAGATGGTGATACTCTAAACAGTATAAGAAAAGATAGGTTGGGCAATGAGACCGGTACAACAAAGACAAACATGTGCACAGAACAAAAAAAAAAAAAAAAAAAAAAAAAAAAAAAGAGATGCAGACCTCGCTTGGTATTTGTGTTTGGAATAATTTTTCTGGATGCAGAAAAGGGGGAAAAAAGGAAACAAAACCCTTCAAAGAAGCGATGTATGTAGTATGTGTCTCCCAGTCCCTGAAATGCACGACAATGAAAGTGTGAATGGAGAGAGAGAGAGATAGCAAACAATGAATTTACAGGAGTATGGAAAGAGCTGGTGATGGGGTAACAATGAAAACAAAATGCAAAATGAAACACCCTGGAAATGAAGACCAAAAAACCGAGAAAAAGATAAAATAACTCTAACATGCTCGAATTTCCGCCCCCCTTTATTGTCGAAGTTGAACAACAATCCACTCCATAAACTCCTGCCAGCGAGAGATTTGGGATTATTTGGATGCTGATGGAGGAGCCCAGCCTGCAAAGGTCAGTGTTATAGTTTTACATAAACTGTAGACGGTCCTGGGATTTTGAAAATCGATGATATCGCGAGGGTGCATTAGAACGGGTGGGCAAGTTGTAGACACTTGCGGCATGGGATCCCATGGAATATTGATTCATCGGCAGCTGATACTGCGATGCGGAAGAGTGTAGCATTGGCTGCGGTTGCGGCTGAAATTGCAGCTGTGGCTGTTGCATTGGATGTTGCATTGGCTGGGGATTTGGCTGGAACTGCCCCTGATACTGTCGTTGCATGATAGCTTGCTGCACCATCTGTCCACCATAGCCTTCCTTCATCGCTTGCTTCTCGCGCTCGCGGGCGTCTATCGCACTCACAAGCCCCGAGCCAAACTCAAGCATCGACGCTCGTTTGCTAGCCTCTTTATCCATATTGAAAAACGAAGAGCCGGTGACGCGAGCAACATGTTCTTGTTCTCGAGCTGAAAGATGAGGGGATAAATCTGGCTGATTCAGCATGATGGTTGAGCCTCGAGAACTCGGTCTCGGTGGCTGATGGTTCACTTGGTTCATTGGTTGCTGTTTGGATTGATTTGCCCAATCGCCTGAAACGGGACGAGACGACAAATGGCGCGACGAATCACGGTGGTGGTAGTGGTTATAGACTGGAGAAGCACCTCTGCTTCCGCTAGATGCACGTTGTTCCACGAACTGTTCAGGTGTCAATCCGGCGCCGGGGCTGTGCTGACTACTGTCCACCATGCCAGGTTGCCAGAGAAAACTGCGCCTTCTCTCTTCATGTCCAGGCGATTTAGCCGGCTTATTCTCCATGCCGAACCAGGTCGAGCGCTTGTCGCTCTTCCCCAAATTTGGCTCCGATGAATTCTTGTCGGTGCTTAACAGCGCCAACGTGCCCCCTGTGCTTGGTCTTCCAGTTCCGGGACTGTAGGTGTGAGTTGGGCCAAAATCAACCAGTGGTATATTTGGATTCGGCTCGGGAATATTAGATCCTGCAACGTAGCGAGTATCGCCAATAATCACATCATCTAGAGTGGGCTCCGGCGTTCCAACGACCCGCTTCCTACCCATTCTCGGTCTCGCCACTGATTTTGCTGACCGACCGGATACCGATGATTTGTGTGAGCTGGCGTAGTCTGGAGTGGTTGTTGAACCTTGATCATACGTGCTCTCAACATCTGGCATGAACCTCCTTTGGGGCGGAGGCGGCGGAGATGGGGTCCTCTCGCGGGTCATAAGCAGATTTAAAGCATCCATATCGATGGCTTTGCGAAGGCTTCCTAGGCTGGAAATTGTCTTTGTGCTGGGGCTTTCGGAGCCATCTTGCCTGGTAGGAACCGGGTTTCGATTGGCCACTCGATTCATATCGATCTGAAGGTGCATCTGCGGAGACTGTCGAGGAGTATTAGGTGAGAAATTAGCATTCACTGGATCATCAGGATAATTCAGCGGGATTCCATCCCGAACCGAATGTATAGGGCTTGTTGGTGATGAATAGTGCGAGCTTGAAGCATCAGCTGCGACTGGTCTTGGGAACTGGGCATTACCGTTATACATCGTCCTCTCGGGGCTAGAGGCTCCATGGCCTTGGGCTATACCAGGTGGCTCAATCGATATGCTCTGTCCTTTTTCATCCCATCCCGTCGTGGTCGGTGTCTCGATATTCTGTAGCTGATTCATAGCGACCATCTGAGAGAGCGTTCCATGCGAGATGCGACTTCCAGCTTGCTTCAACTCGGGGGACATCTTCGGCTGGATGTGGGGTTTATCATGTATATTGTGCGAGAACACAGGCGGGTTTGTCAGATCAACCGGGAGAGGGCTTGGCTTGAGGTCGTAGCTAATTTCCTGGTGGTTAGGGTGGTCACCCTTGATTTCGCTGTCAGAGCTGCTTCGGCCTCCCGATAGGTATCCATCGGCAGCTCCGTCAACTTGAACAGGCCCATGGTTTGGTGGCTGGAGTTGTCCTTCGTGAGATTCTTCTTCCGGCAAAGTAGAATCAAAATAGGGGTACTGTGAGTTGTGCATGGGACCATTGCGATACATATTGTTCGTGTTGTCTGACGCTGCCCGAGTATGGGTTTTGGAGTGATACTGAGCCCCTGTGGACCCCTGGTTATTGTGCCTCTGAGTCAAAGGCAGCGCATCGCTGGAATGATTGTTCTGCAGACGCCGCGCGACCGGCTGCCCATTGGTGCCCTCAAATCTCAGGGATGATCCGTTCTGCGATTGAAGACTGGACCTGTTGGGCCCACGTCTGCCTGAGATGCTGCTGACACGACTACTATTGCCCGAAGTCATCCGTCGAGATGTGGCTTCCTTCATCTGCTGTCTCCATTCTCGCTCGCTCCAGTGGCGGCTGCCGTCTGTATGGATGAGTGTGGCCACGTCCAGAGTGTCCAAGTATCCGTTCCGTTTATTCGTCGGCATTGCAAACATCAAGCTTCGCGTGCTAACGGTGTCAGCTAGCAGACGGGTAGGTCTGCCATAGAGATGGAAGGCGTCGAAGACGGGGAAGAGCCATCGAAGCATGATCTCGAATCCCGAAACGGCAGCATGTAGTTCCGGCAAGACAAACACGAAGCCTTCAGCGGTCGTTTCCGCCTGTGTATGGATGGTAATCTGGCCTTCGACCTTGACCAACGTTGACTGGTTGATCAGCGGACGTGATTGCGGGTAGATGGCAAACGCGGAGAAGGCGTCGGTTATCGTTGCGATTGGCTTCAACTTTTTAGTCTTTTTTGAAGAGTAAAATTTGATATTCCCCTTCGGCGGAGGCTGTGGGCGGTCATATGCGGACTTCTTTTTCTGAGCCTTCTTGTGCTTTTGAGTTTCTTTTTCGTCGGCCTGAGACACGACGCACCAACATCGTCGCCATGGAGTGCCTGGGCCAAATCGTACTCGAACCCAGTCCTCGTACTTGAAAGTTGTCCTTTCGAGGATTGCTTTGATGTTGTTTAGTGACTTTCCTTTCCCGGCGATGAGAGCTCCGGTGTACGATTCCTGAAGCAGGGTATTCTCAAACATGGTAAGCCGGATAGCTGCTGTCCATTGGGTAAGGGCGTTTAGAGAATTGAAATGTAGCAGGTATCGGTTCTTCCCTGCGGTGGAGATGCTCAAGACATTCTGCAGCGGTCTGCTGTCCGGGGTCCGGGTGGGAAGATTCTCGATCTGGTTAAAGCGTTAGTCATGGGAACTGCAAGATGAATCACGCCATGGAAGCCAAAAAAAAAAAAAAAAAAAAAAAGGAGAAAAGAAAAGAAAAGAAAAGAAAAAGAAAAAAAAAAAAGAGGAAATGGGGCATACCATTTTGATTGAGGCATCGGCAACATTGATGAAGGTGGGGATGGCCTCTCCGTTTGATCCGGCAGCATCCAGAGCGGCGGGTTCCCAGAGAGAGAGAACGGTCCCGACGAGCTGAGCAAAGTATTCAGTCCACTTCCTCTCTGTGCAGGGGGAGCCCTCTACAACCAGTCAGCCACAGCGGTTTTTTCTTTTTTTTTTTTTTTTTTTAAAAAAAAAAAGATGCAACAAGGAGTATTGGTCATGAAGAAGCATACCGTTATCTAGGTCGTTCAACTTGAAGAAATAACCTTCATAGTATAGCTTTCCCGACTGACTATTCAAGTATGAAAAGATAGGCTCCAGCTCCGGTAGGGGCACATTCTCCGCATCCACGGACGGGACTACCTGCTGCTGCTGCTGCTGAAGCACGGTAGAAACTGGGCGTGCGTTCGTTCTGTTTGGTCTTTGGGGTGTTGCCCGGGGGCTATTCCCGGAAACGGGGTTCGGGACCTCCTGAGGAAGGGAGGCGGCCTGGAATCCATTCGCAGATGAGGACTTTACTGGAGAGATGGAGGAATCGGACTGAGGAGTAGGAGGAGAGGGAGGGTTGTTCTTTGAGCCTCTGCGGCCTGCCGATATGAACGAGAGGACTGTTTGTGAGGGAGTGAGGCTTGAGTTAGCAAAATCTCGCCGAGCTTGCATAGAAACACAACACGCACACACACAGCCATGCAGAATGGTTCCGGAACACTAGGAACACGTACCTCTTAGGCGGCCCATGATTGATTTCACCTATTGATCAATCGAACACGCGAGTAATTCAAAGGAGAAGCATGTTCAACGAGAAGGGGAGGGGAAAAAAGTGAAAAAAAAAAAAAGAAACGAAAATATATTTTGGCTTGAAAGAAAGAGAGCACAAAGCGAACAAGTATATAGTTGACCGTTGAGTTTGTTTAAAATTACTTTCTCCGATTGTGATCACTGAGGGAGGTCACGGTGAGACAGTGCAGAAATGCCAAGTGTTTCCCTTCGTCTCCTCTTTAAGAAATGAGGATGAAAGAAATAAAATAGAATAGAATAGAATAAAATAAGAAGAATAAAAAAAAAAAAAAATGGAATTGAAAGCGAGGGTGTGGTGTGGAATGGAACGTTGAGCGAACGGTCAACCTGACAGCGAGGATGGAGGTGATGATGATGTCAGGCGGACTGGAGGCATAGCGGTTCAGCGGTTGATCAGCAAGCCATGGAAAAGAAGGAAAAAAGTATTAAAAAAAAAGAAAAAAAGAAGAAGAATGGGAAAGGAAAAAAAAAAAAAACCTGGAAGAAGGCTATCTGACCAACCGAGACCAGAACGAGAGCAAGCAGCACAGCGTTCTGTGACAAGAAAAAGAGGGTGTGGCATTGGGAACAGGCCGGCAAGCCTGGGGGAGGGAGGGGGAGAGGGTTTGTGAGACAGTTTTTGTCCAACGACCTTGTTGCGTGGCGGAAGACAGAGGAGAAGAAGGGGGTTCCGTAGACGCCGACAAGCTCCACAGGGTGGTGGGCTCTTAAATTCTACACGCGCCCCATCTTCTGCTCAGAGCTATTGGGAATTCCTCAGCTAGACAGTCAATAATCAGTTGGTCCTAAAACTCCGTCTCTCCCTTTCTCTCAAATCTATTCCATCCCCCTTCTCTCTCTGTCTATTCCACCCCTCCCTCCGGCTACCCGCCGTTCTTTGTGCCCAACAGCAGCCGTTGCATGTAACTACGCCTTCTTTGTCGCCCTCCGGCATCAGACACGTTTCCTCATTCACCGCCGACGGGAGTGCCAGAGGTAAAACTGACAGGCCCCAATAGCGGGCGAACTAACGCAGAGAAAAGCTGACACCGTGCGTATTTTTCCCGGAGCCCATCGCGGTCGAATCCGGACACACCCGCTCGCTCCGCTGCCAAACCCCCCCGGTCGTGGCGCCAAAAAAAAAAATAAAAATAAAAATAAAAAATAAAAAGTAAGGGACCAAGACGGGAAAGGCAAAAAGTAAGCAAAAACGTGAAAAGGATTAGCGACAGATGAAATGTCTCACTGTGCGATCTGCGGGGTGCGGTCAGCGATTGGACCCGAGTGGCCTATTTTTGGGAGCAATCCTTGATCCAGGCCAAAACCTCGCAGCGCTTCCAGAGACACAGCAACGCCCTGGTGGTCGTGTCCTGGCCAGCCTTCGGTTTCACCTTGTTCAACGCTCTGTTTGATTACTGGCCACGGGTGGGCTTTTTTTTTGACCTGCTGGCCTCAAAAACGGTGAGACACCAACCACCCCCGCCACGACGACCACGCAGCCTGTTCCTCCTATTTATTTATTTCTCTTCGCAGCCTGTTCCTCTTATATATTTATTTTCTCTCTCTTTTTTTTTTTTTTTTTTTTTTTTTTTTAATCTATTTAATCTACTTAGTTTCGCTTCCTGGGTCTCTGGAAGACTCAGCGCATCTCACACGAATTTCATCTCTGGGAAGCTCACGGCGCCATCAGCGGCCGCCTCCACCGATGTAACCACGGTTCTCGCTGCCCAGACTCGGCAGGGGCAGACCAGCCATTTTTGGCCGCATCGCAGCTTCTCCCGTAGCGACTCTTTCGAGAAGGAAAAAAAAAAAAAAAAAGAAACGAAAAGGAAAGTCGGTACTTGGGGGGGGTGTGGTTGGGAAGGTGCTTACCCTGCTGATGAGTGTGTACATATACGGAGTACATACAGACATACTACCTAATTAGTTAGTTAACTAGCCGGTTATTTGCTTAGTAGAGGAAAAGAAAAGGGCCTGTCGAAAGGGAAGGAGTCGATCCGACGCGCCTGCTGCCCGTCGATCGTTGCGTCTGCTCAGCCACACCTTCCCGGCTAGGCGACAAAAACAAAAACACGCCAAGAAAAAAATAAATAAATAAATAAATAAAAATAAAAATCAAAAATAAGAAATAAGAAAGAATAAAAAGGCAAAGAAGCGAGCGAACAAGGCGACAACGGCGAGGCAGATGACGCGGCCTGGGATTGGCCCGGCTGCAGGCGTTGTTGTCCAGCCACAACAGCCCTGGATGAGTCCCTTTTGCCTGGCTTCCATACGGAGTACAGGGTACGTTCTTCCTCCTTCTGGTCTGACAACAACCGCCCTGCGCCAATTGGTGTGTTCTGGACGCGCGTGCGAGGGCGAGCACTACAGTAATTAGTTAGTTAGTTGACGGAGATGTGCATTCGTATGTCTGGAGAAGCAGATCTTCCCAACCCGTTCTCTCGCTTGTCTTGGGTTGCTGCTGATTTGTTTCTCTCTGTTCATAGTGCGAACCCAAGCCCTTCTTTTCTTTTCTTTTCTTTTCTTTTCTTTTTTTTTTTCTTTTTTTTTTTTATATCTTCCTCTTTTTGACACACGCGCATTGATTACACGAAAAAAAAAAAAAGGCCGGGATCTGGAGATATTCAAACCCCCCTGTGCTCCCTGTTCCGTAACCTCTCTCTCACCCCCCTTGTCCCCTGTAGCACTGTACAACCAACCAAGGCTCTTCCCCTGAATAAACCCTACAAGGAGGAACCGCCACGGAGTCGTAGATCTGCTCATCTATTCGAGCTCCATTCCCTGCAGGATATACCCCCCCCCCCTCAACACGCACCGCACCTCCACCGCCGGCGCCCCAACCCTTCAACAAACCCCCCCGGTCCTTCTGCAGAGAAATGTCGCCCATCAAGCGCTAGACTTGACGTTGCCGTCGACGAACGACGGCGGGTAATCTTCATCCACTGGGTTCTGCGGGAGCCGAGCCAAGTCTCCAATCAAGCCCTTCTACGGAGTACTCCATACACGCTGGTTATGAGGGGTCTACAGTTGTTCATTACTCTACTCCGTTACCGCTAGGATTAATTATCCTCGTTGCAATCCCAACACTCTAGAGCACCGATGAAGAATGGTCCATCCGAATACAAAGGGAGAAAAAGGAGACAAAAGAAAAAGAAGAAAAAGAAAAAGAAAAAAAAAAAAAAAAAAAAAAAAAAGAAATACCTCATCCGGAATCGACACCGAAAGTATTGGGGGACAAATAGATTAGATAGAGCTTCATGGGTATATATTATATTTCAAAACATGGATGTTCTCCGGACATTTTCGCCCAGACCTACTGCCCCGTCGTGGTCAGCGTCAGCAGAGGGTCAATAGCCTCCAAGCCATCATCCCCATCGTAACCCGCCATCATCTTTTGACCGCTACATTCCATCCCGGGAGACGACTGGTCCTCCTCATTCCCGTTCGCATCCGGCATCAAGAAATCCTCGCCGATCATGAGGTTCTGTTGTTCTCGGCAAGCTTGGCTCGTCGCCGCCCCAGACTCCTGTGGCGCCGGAAAACCAAGCTGCAGAGCATCAAGGTCAAGATCAAAGCTATGATCGCCGCCGTGCATGGCCCGCCGCATGAACAGGATCTGGATGTCGTTCTCCTCGAGCCTGTGCTTCGACCCCATGTGCACCCAGAGGTCGTAGTCACGCCGGAAGAGATGCTGGCACTGCTCGATCAGGCACGGGATGTGCCGGCCCGATTCTTCGGCGTAGCCTTCGCCGGTCAGCATCGCCAGCTTCGACAGCGTCAGGGTCTTGTCCTTCGCCTGTGACGTCAGGCCCAGCTGCTCCCGCCGCGCCGCCTTGGCGTTCTTCAGCCCCAGATGCGCCGTCCGAACGTGCTCTTCGAGCGCGAGCTTGCTGCCGTATCGCTTCCCGCAGCCGTCCTGGCTCATCCAGCCGTCTACTTTCTTGGAGGTCGACAGGTCCGTCTCGCCGCAGATAAACCGCTTCTCGCCTTCATGAACCGTCTTTATGTGGACGTTCAAGTTTCCTTTCTTGGTGAAACTGCGCCCGCAACCCGGATAACTACACGGATGGGTGCGCCTCTCGTCCAGCGAGACGTTCCCGTGCGCTATCTCCAGATGGCGACGCAATTCCCTCGAAGAGGAGCAGGTAAGTGAACATTCCGGACACGTTGGCGGATGAGCCGATCTCAAATGAGCCTGCAGCAGGGCGTACGTGTGGAACGTTGCTTCGACTCGTGCAGGCGAGTCCCCATTGTTTGTAGAACCGGTGGAGTTTGAACACTCCGTGCAGGTAAACCGCGCACCGCCGTGGATCCTGCCCTCATGCGCTCGGAGATGACCCGCGGTGTCGAAGCCCTGCTGGCACTTTTCCCCGGTGGCAGGATCGATATGCGGGCAGGGAAAAGGTTTCTGGTTTAGATGAACCATCATCACATGTTTCTGAAGCGTAGTGTGCTTTCTGAATGTCTCGTTGCACGGCGGATACTCCACACAGCGATATTTGTCCCGTCCTTCGTGGGCCGCTAGGTGTCTTCGTAATCGGGATCCCGTCACGAATGTCTTCCCACACCCTTCTTTGTCACATACGTAGTCTCGAACCATGGTGTGTGCACTCTTGACATGGTGATTAAGGTGCGAAGCTCGGAGAAAGGACTTGTTGCAGCCATCGTACTCGCAGTGGAATATCCGCTCGTTTGTATGCGACCGTATGTGCTCTGCCAACCGGGCCGGCCGGTTGAACGCCTTGTCGCAGTTGTCATACGGGCAGACGTGCGTTTTGAGGTCCGAAGGGTACTTTGACGATCCCGTCGGCGAGAAAGGCGTAATGGGAGTCTTCGACTGGCTTCGATGTCCATAGCTGTTATCGCTTAGGCAGTAAGAGGCAACCGATTCTGAATCGGACGCATGGTCGGAAGAGTTTGCGTCTTGATAAAAAAAAAAAAAAAAAAAAAAAAAAGGATAATTAGCAAAAGTCCAACACAAATTCGTCAGTAGGTACTTACCGTCCGGCCCTGATGCTTGCAGTCTTTTAGACTGCCGCCGAAACTCAGTCGTAGCTTTGCGTTTCTGTACCATGATGGAATTAATTGAGGAGGCATATGCCTGGTTAATGGTTGCAAGACTGCTCCGGGGGGAACCGTTTTGTCTCGAGCTATCGCAGGATCAGCTTTGTTTTTTTTTTTTGTGTTTGTGTGGATCTCGAGTGCTTATCTAACTTTATTTGTGCCGCCAGAAACGCGGGAATGCCGCCCAACGATTGGTCGATCTGGCGCGCGGCTTCCGTGATGCCAAGACCACTCGTTTTCGCTCCCAAAAAAAAAGAAAAGGGACGAAGCAGAAAACACGTTTTCGCGAGAGGGCTCAACCACACTGTTCATCGTTCTGCACTCCCCCCCACGCTCGCTTGGCTATACATCACTAGTGATCAAGTTATTATATTTTTCCTTTTGCTGATTTCGTTTTTGCTACTGTGGTTGAAAATGTCCGACTACGGTGGCGACCACGAGGACCGTGACGAGACCGGGTAGAACACCCCATCTGACCCCCCCTCCGCCGGGCCTTGCCCTTGGTTGCAAGCAGCACACTTGGCTAACTCCCCATCAACAGCTTCGATTACGAACCTCCGGAATACGACTATATCGACAACGAGCCGGAAGATTACGTTAGCCCCGAACAAGAGGCGGAGGAGGGTGCCTATGCGGTCCTTAACGGTGATGGGCAACCCGTGACACCTGGCGCGAATGGAGATAGCGCCGCCGCCTCAAAAAGCAAGGTCATGCTTCAGCAGCGGGAGAAGAAGGTGCCAAACGACCAGAGGACCACGACGCCTTATATGACAAAGTATGAGCGTGCGCGTGTGCTGGGAACTCGGGCCCTACAGATCAGGTGCGTGCGCTGTGTTACTTTGCGTTATTTCTCTCTAGGCACCTGAAGTGTGGTCTAATGCTCCTGTATAGCATGAACGCACCCATCCTGGTCGATCTAGAGGGGGAGACCGATCCTTTACAGATCGCATTGAAGGAGCTCAACCAGAAAAAGATCCCGCTTATCGTGAGGAGATACCTCCCCGACGGATGGTAGGTTGATTCGCCTATGGGTGCATTTACTGGTCGCTCCTCTGACTTCTCGGGCTGCAGGTATGAGGATTGGACATGCGAAGAACTCCTTTAGATCCTTCTTTTTTCCCAGGATTGCCGGTGTTCTGGGCCATATTCCCGCTTCCAAGGTCCGCTTTATCTTTTGGCATAGCGCATGGAGTCTGGTGTATTTGGGTGGAATTTCTTATACTATGTGAACCTAGTGTGGTATCTCGGGGACGTGGGAGGAGGATCTCTGAATTATGGGGTTTTGATCTATGTGACTTTTAAGTTCCTTGCCTGCAGAAAAGTATTAAAAACCAAATACTAAGGGGGGTTAATCATGTTTTTCTCTCAAGAAGAGAGGTATTATCGAAACGGGCATAATTGCGTTAACATTTCACATTCGACCCATATTGGTGATCTACCTCGTCCCGGTGGCTGGCGTCAGATATCTTAAACCCGCCCGCCGATTAGTCCTCGAGACCCGCAGACTCATTGCAGGGAATTGTCGACCGTGGCCTCCGCTTACGATGCAGTAACCCTCATGGATACAGAACCCCAGGTCATAAGCTCTAAACCGTACTCCGTACTCCCAAAAAATATCTGGGCTTGTTTGGTCTCTCAGAAGTCACTCAATTCATGTCAAGTAACTATTACCAGGAAGTATTTCAAAGGTCGAAACAAACAAGCACAGCTTTCGTGACTCAAATTTTTCAGCATGGCGATATGTATTTCATTCGCTCCGGTCGTGGGGTGTTACAGCAGCTGCCAGCTCGACTGTGGGGGTAAAGCGTCCCCTGCAAGTGGCAGCTCAAGCTGAGCTCGGTGAATGAACTGTATTTTTCCGGCGCTCTGGATCGAGAATACCAAGGGTTATAAATTTCTTGCGAGGCACATATTTAATATAGGCTCTTTATCCGGTTTCCGGGGGCGTAAAAACCAACTGACTCACTTTCGAGTCCGTTTGGAGGGAAAATTGGAAAACCGGCGGTCACCTGAAATGATAAATAAAGGTTATTACCACCGTGAAGTTTGGCGCATCTTCACGCGGACTTCGCTGAGACAACAGCACACTGTGGCTCGCATCCACTTTCCAGCGGATTGTGAATCGGGTTTCTTTGCTTTTTACGCCTTTTAGCCCTGGTTTTCCATGGGATTTTGCCATGCTCTGGGTCCCGGCTCTGGTACCGGACCCCGTCATTGGCCCGAACCCACATGGCTTTTCCCCCGTGGGCGTCGAGGAGCGCGGCGATGACGAACACCTCGAGCCCATCATGAACGTTCCCAGAGGGCCCCGATCGAGTCCTGGGCGGTCAAAGCGGACGCTGTATGGGTCATTATTGGGGAACTTGGATGCAGATTCCTTGGCCTTGGAGCCAGTCATAACTACGGGGGCGTCCCTTCGAAATTCTGAATGTCCCAGAGATGCCGTTTTTCCGGACATCAAAATACGACCGGCCAGCGGTGTGGGTTTCCACTGGTCGACTTTCTAGACTGTCCAGCTCCCCCCCAAAAAAATTTTGCCCCGCAAAGCCAGGAAAGATGCGGTTAAATCCCGTTCCATACGTACGCCGGGGAAATGCCAGCAGAAATTTTGTCACAAATGTGACTTGGGAGCCCTTGGACGCCAATCTCCAAAATGGATCTTCGTTTTCACTGTGAGGGAGGCTGTATAAGTTCAGGAGGCCGATTGCCCTGGTTATATCTTTCCTTCTCAGGTGCCTGTTCAGCGGTTTGATAGAATTAAGGAGCAAGATTGCCTGGCCTTTTGCTCTTTTGTTTTTAAATTTCTTTTATTTTACTTCTACCGCGTATTCTCTGTTTTGATCTATTGTTTTTTGTTCACTCCAGAGTCGACTGCCCTCGCACGACCAAAGCTAGGCCGAGTTTGAAGTCGCCGAATTTCTTGATGCTGGAGATGGGGGAACCAGGGAAAGAATCAGAGCCAACTGGCTCATCGTCCCCCGGGTTGTCCTCCTGTGAAGATGCAGTAGAAATTGTGGAGAAGTCGGGGTTCGAGAACGACAGCCTCTCCTTCGACCATGGCTGGAAAGCATGGTCACAAGTTTTGGCCTCCTGGATTATGTTTTTCGATACATGGTGCGTACACATTTATTCTAAGCTCTCCAGGGCGTCCAGATATCATGAGTGCGCTGACTTTGCATTTTTGGTCTGTGGTAGGGGAATTGTGACCGCATTTGGTGTTTTTCAAACATATTATGAGCAGGCAATACTTTCCCAGGAGTCGCCTTCGACTATATCATGGATTGGATCCATACAGTCCTTCCTCCTGCTCTTCATCGGGGCCGTGACAGGCCCGCTCTTCGACGCTGGATATTCCCGGCATCTCCTGATTTCGGGCACATTTCTGGTTCCATTTGGACTCATGATGACCAGCGTAGCTAAGAGCTTTTGGCAAATCCTTTTAGCACAGGGTTTCTGTCTTGGACTTGGCTGCGGGTGTCTTTTTATTCCCTGCGTGGCAATTATTCCACAGTACTTTAAGAAGAAGAAAGCCTTTGCGAATGGCATTGCTGCTACGGGGAGCGGTGTTGGTGGTGTTATATACCCGATCATGTTTCGCCAACTTCAGCTGAAAATTGGATTTGCTTGGGCTGTTCGAGTGCTTGGATTTGTATCCCTTGCCACACTCTTGGTCGCATGCTGCCTTCTAAAGATCAGGTTCCAGCCTACGGAAAAACGTGCCCTGATCCAGTTACACGCTTTCAAGGACCCTGTCTATACGCTCTTCTGCATTGGCGAGTTCATCGGATTTTCTGGCCTATACAACACCATGGTATATATACAACCATATGCAATCGATAACCGTATAATTGGCGAGCATCTTGCATTCTACCTCCTCGCCATGCTCAATACCGCCTCTAGCTTTGGCCGCATTCTCCCAAATTATATTGCTGACTACATCGGCCCTCTCAATGTCATCGGCCCCATGGCCGTCATCTCCGGCATCCTCGGGTTTTGCTGGATTGGAATCCATTCCTCCGGGGGAGTGATTGCCCTGGCGGTTCTCTACGGTTTCTTCTCGGGCGGCTACGTTTCCATACCTCCAATCGTGATCATGAATATCACACCCGATCTTCGAGATTTTGGCACCAGATTGGGTATGTCTTTCGTGTTCGTTGCGTCGGGAGCTTTGATTGGTACCCCTATTGGCGGTGCGCTCATCAGCCATATGGGGGGAGATTACCTGGGCGTGAAGATATTCACTGGGGCTTGCCTGCTTTGCTCGGGTATTATAATGTGTATTGCAAGATTTATCAAAACAGGACCCCATCTACTTGCTCGAATGTGAGCGCATTATTACAACTAAGGTTGATATAGTTGTTCTGTTGGTTGGGATTTCCTTTATCTCAACCGCGAAAGGGGGGAGTCTATTTTTATTTTTATTTTTATTTTTATTTTTTTCAATCTTGCATTGGGTCGACGTGAAATACTGCCTACGCGATGTTGGGTACATGTTATTCGGTTCTACGGAGTACGGTGCCACGACTATGACGATATCAAAAAGTTTTTACATTATGTTTGGGCGAATTTCCTATTTGGCATATATATATAGAGTATAATAGACCTCAGGACCATCAAAACGCCAAAGATAAACAACTATTATCCACCTATATGGAGTAACACTACATAGCTTTTATGGTGGTGTTCCCTGCCGAACCTAAACACGTTTGCAGGGCGTGTATCAGTGACGGACAGCATTGGCCTAGTGGAAGAAAACTGTACAACATTGGTGACAATGCGTGACAGAAGGAGACTCTGTTGATGCCTTCACCACAACGGCCTCACATACCCAGCCGCAGATCACAATCACCATCTTAGTATACATCTTCCGGGCTAACCAAAAACTTCTCCCCATTCTCTCGCTGATGTATCAAGTCTTTATCTCTACTCAACGGTTTCCGCATATCAAACGCATCTTCACCGCCGGACATGCCCGCAGGATCATCACTATAATAATTCACCACCCGTCTAAACACAGAGTATCTGCACGAGAAGAGAGCTGATTAGCGCAACGATAAAGAAGGAAATCACCAGAGACACCGGGAAGAAGATCGCATACCCCATCCCCTTATACATTTCTACGGCAACTTTATTTCCCGCACGCACATACAAATCAACGAACCATGCGTTGTTGATATCTGAAGCACGTTCCAGTGCCTCGGTAAGTCGTCGCGCATAACCCAGTCGTCTCCAGGCTGGCGCGACGGTGAGAACGGTGATGTGCCCATGCCACGGGGTGTAGTGCTCTGAGTGACGCATGGAAGGGTGCTGGGCCTCGAGTTTACCCATTACTACGCGGGCAGGAAGTTAGCCCATGCTATTCATATCTTTCGCGAGACTAGACGTTGGGGAGGGGAGGGTGTACTGTAGCCCACGATCTTGCCATCGCGGTCTTCGACGACGTTGAAGAGGGACGGCCATTTCATGAGATATGTGAGGTAGAAATTAGCATCGTAATTTTCGGTCAGAGGATCGAGGTTGGTGAGATTGAGGGAGAGGAGATCGGAAGCGGTCATGCGGCGTATGGAAGTCATTGTTGCTGAGCCAAAAGGGAGACTGGAAATATGCTGGCTGAAGTTTGGTATGGGTACTTTGAACGCAGGACAATGGAATTGTTCTGTAATGTTAGCCTTGTTGCATGCAGCGCCGTTTAAGACTACGAAGTGAGCTTGTTGTGTTGCAGTCTCTTCCGTGAGTCGAGACGAATCTCAAGAAGCTCAGCGATTCAGGGCATTCCGCAAAGAAACACACGGTTTTGCTCCAACAATCAGACATTCAATGCCAATCCAGTGTTTCCTCAGTTGAACATCCGGTGTGTTGGCGCCATTCGAGAAGCCATAACATTCAATTAATTTCCAGGCCGTCTTGTCCTGATGGGCTAAGTGGAGGGTTAATATCCCAACCTAAAAATCCTCAGCGAAGTCTCGCTGTCGAGGATTAGCCTCCCTTCGCAGCCCCTCCCTTTTTTTCTGAAAATTGGTCTTTCACTCCTTTTTTTTATTTTCCCCTTTCTTTCATGGCAGAGCTGGTTCTGCGTCGTTTATTTACTTTGGATCTCCACATCTCTTCCCACGCCGAGTGCCGTCCCTCTTTGATAGTAAACAACGCATCGAAATGCCGCTAGCCCCATCCTCGCCCAACTCTCCCACCCGCCGACGACGAAATCTCTCAGATCTCGACTTCTCCTCCACAGCTCCGAGTAGCTTTACAAGGAACGGATACGGCCAGAGCCCTCCGTACTCGCCAGAGACACCGCGCACGTCTATCCCACACTCACCCGTGACAACCAGGCATCGAATCTCGTCCTCAGGAGGAATGGAAAGACCGGCCAGGTATTCGGGCGATTTTACTCCAGATGTAAATGCCGATAGTGGCGACGGAGGAGGATTGGGGAGTCTGGCAGATGAGCTGGCGAACGCATGGGATGATGGGTACGAGTATGGATACGGAGGAGAAGATACATCTGGACTACAGGATGGAGAGGGTATGGTGTCTATAGACGGCGTCGATTCTCCGACATCAGACAATGCCAGCTATATCGAATCAATACACGATATGGGGATAGGTATGGGGGGCGGACTGTCGCACGGGGATTCGGGCTCTGGGGAGGATCAGTTAAAACCACCCAGGCAGAGGCTAAAAGGCCACTCTCGGCATCGGCGTCATGAATCCCTGTATGATGGCTCCGATTATGGGAATGATTCTGATTTTGATGAGCCCGGGGATATGTCACCGGGGTTAGAAGCTCAAATGGCTGGAATCGACGATCTGGTACGATGGAGCAAGGCAGACGAGACTAGCAACGAGCTCATCGATCAGTTTATTGGCCTTCTACGGGAACTTGGCGGACAAGCTGGGATTGAAAATAGCACTACGAGGTTCGATGACGCTCATTGTTTGCCATCTCCGTCTACTAACAGCTTCTCCAGGCTCATCACCGCACATAGCTCCCTTGTCTCCCACCTAACCCACCAAACTCGCTCCCTCCAGACCCTCACCCACCCGCTCCTTATCTCCTCATTTCCAACCCTCTCCCCAGATGCCATCGACGACCTGCTTCCCCTAATCGACTCTATCCTCCCCAACCTCCCTTTCCCCGATCAACACCAATCAACCCACCACCGCACCGATTCCACCTCCACGTCTGATCCGGACCACTCATCCGCCCACTCCCGTTCGCACTCTCACACCACACCGCTCCTCTCCCTCCAATCCCTCCTCTCCCAAACCTCAGATTTAACTCACACTCTCCGCACCCTAAACGACACCCTCCACGAATCCCGCCAACTCACCTCCACCGCATCCCGACGCCTCAAGACCGTCCGCGAACTCGTCATCGAGATGAGACGCGAAGGTGAAGCGCGCGAGGAAGGCATTCGGTGGATTGAAAAAGGTGGATGGGATGCGAAATTAGCCGCGAGAGAGGCCGGAACGGTTTGCCAGAGCGTGGTCAGCGGGTTTGAAGCAGTCTGTGGAGAGTGGAGGAATAGGCTGTTTGGGACGGCGGCGGCGGGCGCAGGGGCTACGGCGACGCCGGCAGAGGTTACGGTCTCTTGAACACGAACATTCTCTCTTTACCTCTTTCAAGGTATATTTTCTTTTTGTTCTTATCAGTGGATTGGGTGGTTGGTACATAGACCCTTTCGACCCGGGAACCCATCGCTTGGTTCCAGAAGAACATTTCCTTTGATTGCATAATTCAATCCTGGGTCCCTGGTGAAAGAAAAGATAAGTATTTAGATTGTCATGTGTCCCTTTCCAGGTCTTTATTTCCTTTTGTTGTAGCAGACTCTGGGTGCTCATCAAACGCTCCAGACACGGCAACGCTGTATGAGAAACTTTTGACTCCTAATTTGAATCAAAACTAAGATAGATTGTTAGAAAGCTGTCCAAAAACCCCTAGATAGCTTGAACAACACTTCTAATCCTGAATAAAAACTCATTTCTCATTCTCTTCATTCTACATAAAAACTTGGGCCATAATGAAGAAAACTTCAAGGCAAACTGCAAATCCAGGGCAAAACAAAACAAAAGGAAACCCTCCATGCCTCAATCATCATCCATCGTCATCACACTCTTCTTCCCAAACTATTCCGAAAACAAGTAACTGGACCACGCATGAAACAAACACGACAGGCTTGGGGAGATGGGGGGATGGGCCTATGCAAGAAAACATGCCTCATACATAAAGCATCATACATATGCGTACATGCTCTGAAGAAGCCTTGTAAAATGCTGACATGCGAACGGTGCTGAGGTAAGGGAAACAACGGCACAAGAGCCGAGAAGAGGGAAAGGGATAGAATTTGGATATTAAATTGAATTTAAAGCACAAGCAATATGCACTTTTGATCTGCAAAATAAAGCATGGAAATCAATCACCCTGACCGAATTCTCGGAAGGGATAGAGGGCCAAAGAGGACGAAACATAGATAGGTAGGAAGCCACCGAATATATGTAGTTAAACGGAACTCTCCAAAAGTAGGGATCATAACGTGATGCAAAGAGATCAAGACGTTTCCCTAAACCTCCACCGATACTATACCAACCCACTAACCGTACTTACGTAGCACCTACTGCTGTTGTTTGAATCTTGGTCTCCATGGGCCAGGCTTTTCCTGGGAAGAGGGAGCGCCAGACGGAGGCACAGGGCTTCTAGAAAATTGTCTAGGCGGAGCAGCGGATTCCCGAGCATGGGAAAGATCACGGCTATCAGAAGGCCCGTCGCGGGTTGCCCGTAAATGTGGAGGGAGGTAGCTGCCCGTTTTCGCGGGGGGTGCTGGCGCGGCCTCTTGGGCTGCGGCCGGTTGCTCGCCGGCACTGGCAGCAGCTTTGGCGGCTTGACGATCTCTCCATGAAGTTCCAGTTCGGCCAGCAAGGTTAAGACGCGGTGCAGTTCGTTCGGGAGATGCTTCGCGCGCTGGGCCTCTCGGTTCTGCAAGGCCAGCCTTTCGGGCAGCTCGTCGCTGCTCAGCCTCCTCCTCACGCTGCCTTTGACGGATAGCCTGCTCATCAAGTTTTCTGTTTTCTTTGTTAGAGGAGCCCGAATATGAAAACGAATGAATACTTGCCTTCTTTGTTCTTCCCTAGCAGCCTTCTCTTCTGCCAAAGCGCGTCGCCTCTCCTCTTCCTTGGCGATTCTCTCTTGCTCTTCGCGCGCAATACGCTCTTCTTCTTCGCGTCTTCTCTGCTCCTCCGCCTCGCGTTCCGCCCTTTCACGTCGAATGCGTTCGTGAACCTCCTTGATACGTTGTTTCTTCTTCTGCTCAAATTCTCTGTCAGCAGCCTTGCGACGGCGCTCGAACTCTTCATGTCTCTTCTCCGTCACACTCTTCTTGAAGTCATTGAAGTATGGCACCAAGCGACTCAGGCGGTGCTTAAGTGCGACGTCTTCCTTGTGCTTCTGACGAGCTGCTTTCAAAGTCTCTTCCTTGGTTTGCTCGTAAGTTTCGAGGTCTTGTTTCTTCTGTGTTTCGTAATCTTCCGGCAAATGTTTCAGTTCTTCTCGGCGGAAAGCTCGCTCCAAGTGATCGATGCGCTTGGAAGTAATTCTGATCTTCTCATTTAGATCATTCTTTTCCTTCTCGAGTTGGGCGAGTTTAATGGCACGAAGGCGATTGGAGTCGAGTTCTTCAAGGTCGATCTGGTTCACGTCAATCCCCTTGACCCCGGTCTTGAGCTCCTCCAATTGCTTCTTCAATTCTTGCTGGCGAATACGATCCTGTTCATCCTTCATTCTCTTGCGCTCACGTTCACGATGCTCATCCAAAAGACGCTGTTGCTCAGCCTCTTGAAGCTGTTGGTTGCGCGCACGCTTTCGATTCTCTTCTTCACGCTGCTTCTTCTGTAAGGCATCTGACAATGCCTCCTTCCGCTTCTCAATGATGGCACGGCGAGTGAGCGTCTCCTCGTGCTCTTTTGCTGCTCCTGCGCGAGCTCTTGCATGTGCAGCTTCCTTGGCCTTGATCCGTGCTTGATTGTAGGATGGGTCAACATACATGCAGGTAACGTGAAGAGTTTTAGCCAAGCGGGCAAGTTGAGATCTGGCAATCTCTGCTGGAGTGCTTTGCAGACGTTGGACAGAACCAACTTCACTTTCGGCAGACCCAGCGGCACTTCCTGGGTGAAGAGCCTTAGCAGAAGAGAAAATATCCGATTCGAACGTCAAAACACCTGACACGTGATCAACACGAATTGCCAAATCTCCCTTCTTGCAGCCATTCATGATGAATTTCTCAATCATGGACGAGGTGACTTGGAAAGGCTCTGGGAAATGCGCAAGTTCATGGACGAATTTAAGCTCAACAGATTCATAAACTTGAGACAATTGTTGGAACAGCCTAGTAAGGATAACTTGCTGCAAGGGCAAAACGTACTTCTCCATCTCAGGATCGGCGCCGATTTCCTTGAGAATAGGAGAGATCTTCTTGCAAATCGACAAAGGATGGAAGTCGACCTCGAGGATATTGTAAAGATCCCGGATTTCAGGGCGGCAGCGGCTAAGGAGGCCCTTGTTAAGAGCGTCCTTGAATAATGACGCTCGAGTGGGGGGCTGAGGCATGCCCAGAAGGTTGGTGAGGCGGGTATTCTTGTTCTTTCGCACCTCATCTACGTCGACCAAGGCACCACGGGATCGCGAAGTACTGATGACAGGGATTGAAAGGGCTGAAAGGAGGACGAAAGAAGCGGCTTTGGTCATATCGGCTTCGGTAACTGATGGGCTATCCTTCTTAGATCCCTGTCCTGCAGCAAGGGCGATGGCGGATTGTCGCAACAGGTTATAGTAGCGGTTCCAGGCAGCAGCATGGAACAGGTAATTGTCGCTGACCATAAAGATCTTTGTAAGCTTCTCATAGTAGTTTGCCATCATGATATTCTTGGGCTGTCGCTTGCTAAGGTTAAGGAGAGTGTGGATATCTTCAACACTGCGGAAGCCCTCCTGCCAGAGTTCCAACTCGACCGCAACATTCAACTGCTGGAAGCGTGTATCCAGATGGCGCTGAAGTGTGTCTGGATCGCTTAGGTTGATGGCGTGCATCTGAGCTGAGTACTTGGCAGCATTTTGAACGTGGTTTCTGAGGAGCTCACACAAGCGACGGAATTCAGTCTTGCGGGTGTATTTCAAGCAAAATTGGAAAGCCTGTAGAGCGGTGGCCTGATACATGACCTCGAGTCGCGCATTGTTTTTCAGGATTTCTAGGACGGTTCTGTAAGTCTCCCAGAGAAATTTCAACCACGGGGTAACAACGGCCCGGTCCGTGCGGTCGCGAGACTGTTCACCCGATACCGTGGCAAGAAGAATTGTCTCTGGAGTCTCAATAGCATCAAGATCCTCGACATTGGAAGTTGGGGCAGCTGATTCGAGTGAGGATTGGATCTCATCAGCTTTGGCTTGGGCTTCGGTGACTTTTTGTTCAGCAAGCTCAATGAATTTTTTCAAAACCATCTACATTAGAGCCAGTCTGATTAGCAGTATTCATGAAAAAGTCGAGGTGTGATTTGCATCCTGCATACCTCAATGGTTCCCACGTTTGTATTTTGCGCAATATTCTTATATTGATACAAGCCATCTTTCGCAGATTTCCCTTTCCTTAAGTCGACGCATAGTTCAACGAAAAGAAGCATCACCGGTTCAAGAGATGCAATTGGGCTGCTGCGAGATCTTTTCGAGGTGACATGTTCGTGAAGGACGGACAAGGCTGCGGCGGGCTGGCCCACGGCAATGAGCTCTTCGGCTCGCTAAGACAAAAGAGCCGTCAGTCGCGAATCTCTAGTAGGGAATGGAGCGTGAAGCCAGGACAGAAATCTCACCCTGAGAACATTCTCAGGTCTAACGTGAGGTATAGGCGGCATGCTGGGCAACCTCTCCCTGACTTAAGAAGACTGAGGATAATCTGGCCACTCGAGGAAGGTTGGGCTCGTTTGCGTTTCGATGGACGCAGTTCCTCGACGAAATTGGGTTGATGTAGGCCTCAACGATGCACAGACGAGTGCAGGGCCTTTCCCGATGATGATAGCGGGTAGAGGGTCGGGGGTCTCGACGGGCAGAAGTTTCACGCTTGGCCGTTGTGATGGTTGTGGGATAGAAGGCGAAAATTTCCTGTGGACCCTGGGCCGCTTATGTCAGCATAGCACAGAGTAAGCGACCGAGAAACGGGATCACGTGGAACCTCCCCTCCGCGCGATGACAACAGCACCTGCTATGCGATAGAATGAATGTGGCCTTCTTGAAAAGCTAACCGTGCAGGGCATAACCACTACGTATCGCTCTATATATAGATGGGGGTGGAATCCGGGGCAGGAAGCAGCCAACATTCATTCAGGCACGTACAGAGCGGTTTCAGAATACCAACTGGTTCCTATACGATACCAACATGCGTCAGGAACTGCCATCCCCCATCTCATGTACTTCATACATAGTTAAGCAATACCAGAGAGTATGACAGCTGTTGATTCGTTCCCAAGTCCAAGCAGTGGAGCAGACACAGATATCTCCATTTCTCTGGATATCTTCCGGACGAACCAATTTTTTACTCAGGCCATCAGGATGGCTCGATCAGCGTCTATCGTACCAATGGAGCGACATCTCTTAAGTATGTTGCAGCGGGGGTGCATATGCATATGTAACCTGGCCTATTCTACCCCTGCAGCAACAAAAAACAATTTTTGAGGCTGACAAATGGCTTGAGATTTCCATGGTGAAATTGTTTCCTTTGCACGCGAATGAAGGTATGGTCGAAGTCTGCTCGAAGTCTGCTCGAAGTCTGCAGTAGATATGCATATTATTCCTCGAGAGAGAAATAGTAACGCTCAGAGGACAACATTTGAAGCAATGGAACTGCCCCACCAAACCATTACACTGGCCCGTGACTCGGTGCATGAGCCCTTTTGTGACCAGGTTCCATACCTACACAAATGTAAGATATTCCCCGAAGAGGGTATTCCATATTTAACAGCTCAGACAAAAGTGGCCAACACATAGCTAACTTAAGCAGCGAGTCACACCCTCTTCAAACTATCCGAGCCTCTATCCGAGCCTTTTAAATCTTGATAGTGCAGGGGCCGAAATCACTGAACAAGAGAGTGGTGGAGCGGCTGCTGGGGGGTTCTGCCACTCCCCGAGACAGGAATTAAACCACGGAACCAGGCACCAGCAGCGGCCTATCAACATCCGATTCTGCATGAAGCAGTTATCAGAAACAAGTAGAGGTTTGCATTAGTTAGTTCAGGCGCGGGGCGTTCACTCCAGATACTGTGTGGTCGGAGGAGAAACGAGGTAAGGTGGTGGTACGTGGGCAAAGAGAGGAAAATAAGATTGTGCGACGAATACAGCAATCACCTGGCAGGTATTCCTCGCCGAGTGCGAGGGAGCAATCCGAAGCACGCTGGACGTCTTAGCAGCCTGACGACGAAGGATGTGCTGAGCCCAAGCACGCGGGGAGAATCTTGCCAAGAAATCGCCAAGCCAGCCCGGGCCCATGGGTCTGTAGCTTGACCAATTAGGAATGGTCGAATTACTAGACCGTATTGAAAGTTCCTGAAAACTGGGACGGGGTAATTTTTCATTTCCCCTTTGCGGATAATCACTAAGCGCGAAGTGTCCTTCTTGATGTCAAAAAGTAAAAAAAAAAAAAAAAAAAAAAAAGAAAAAAGGAGCCCAGAGGCTTCAGAGAAGACTCATGATCGGACCCGAGGGCGCTTTCGGATCCACGAAAGGTGCCGTATAATGCTGCTTTGTAGAAGCGGACGGAGTGCGTTCTCGAATCTCAATTGACGTGAGGCGGGAAGCAGCCGGGAAAGGCGTGAAAGGACCCCGTTTCGAGGATGGGAAGCGGGAAGCGCAAGTTGCTTTCCATGCCAAAGCTCTGGTAATTGTGGGGTACAGACCGTATTGCTTTGTAAGCCTGTCAAAATCACGCTCTATGATTGGCTGACACCAGTATTTAGGCGGTATTAATCGGTAACAGTGCCAGATTTTTAATTTCGCCCCCTTTACGGAGGACTCCGTACCGAGCGAGGTATGCTTTTGGGCTTGTTTCATCGACTCTCGCTTCTCTCTCTCTTCGTCCTGTCTCCCTCCTAGAAACAACCTCGAATCCCACTCCTTCAGCCCTACAGCGAGCCGTCCGTCCTTTCAGTCCTCCCTTCTGGATCCTGCGACCATCCACAATTCCTTCTTGAGCTGGTCCTCATCGTCCCAAACCTCCTTTTTCGTCGTTCGTCGCAGTCCATCCGCGCACTCGCCCGCGGGACTTCTTTGCTTGGTTGTTGACATAGGCGTCACTGGCAGATGGGCTACCAGCCGCGCAACATGCCCGCTGCCTACGAACAACTACGACCTAGGGGGGATGCGAGGAATAATCGGCAGAATATGGCCGAATTGAAGCTCAGGAGACTGACTGAGCTCAATGCGCGCCTGAGAGAAGACCTGGAGAGGCCGAGGGTAAAAGTGACAGAGGCTTCGATGTCGTGAGTCCCGTCCTCTCCCGGTTCCCGTACCTTTTGTCCCAGTTTGATGGACCACTAATAACTGCGTTCATCCTCTCCAACAGGCTCATCAATTATTGCAACAACACACGGGATTTCATGGTACCTTCAGTGTGGGGCCAGGTATGCTTTCTCCCCTTCTCGACGTCAACGTGCGATAGGGCATTCTCCCTAACGCCTTTTTACCTCCCAGGTCGAGAAACGAGAAGACCCTTACGCTCCTCAGCAGTCTGGCGGCTGCTGTATAATAATGTAGAATGCCCGTTCATCGATATCCGCCCCACCGTTCTGCTTCTTCCCATCAACCGTCCCCGGCCTTTCGATCCCTACTCGCTCTCCTCATCTGTCATATCCTAATTTCTGCTCCCTACGACCGATATCTCTAATGACTCTCAATTCTCTTTTATAACGCACATTCATATACAAACGCATTTCACCGGCCTCAACTCATGTTACGTTCGCCCTGAAATGAGAACGATTTGGAAAGACTCTCCGTGTGCTCTTCATGGGAACTGCAGATGTGATGGGTTTCCTCGTCAGGCCGTGCATGGTTGAGCATGTGAAATGGCATCTCCCACGGGGACGAAGGGAGGCGCTTTCCTTTTGATCCACGTTACGTTTTCCGTGGCCCGTTTTCCCCCGTCCTACATAAACCAGGAGCTTTTTTTCGCGATCCGTTCTCCGAATCCGGCATTTTACCTCACTTAGTTTTCCAAGGACTGTTCCACCACCTGACCTTGATTTCCACCAAAATCCCCTTGGGCCCTCCGACCCTTGCCACAGTTTCCTTTTGTCCTTTGAACTCGATCCTGTTTCGTTAACGGCTTTCATTTCTATACCTATTCTTCTGAGTTATTCTCTTATTCGGAATAATCCTTGTCCCGTTTCAGACACTTTTCTCATTTTTCACAAGCTTGTTTGATTGTTCCATTTTCTCTTTTGTGGTACCGTTTCCTTTCCGAATTTTGCATTCATCAGCCCACTTTATACTGCCTTGGGTTGAAAGCCCGGTCAGATTGAGTGTATCCTTGAAATCTTCTGTTGTAAAAATAGCTTTTGGGACAGAGAAGGGAGAGTCAGCAATGAGCAAGAAAAACTTCTTATCTTTTCAAACGCCCTATTCTCTTTTTGGATACAGAGCCTATCATTCAAAGTGAGTCGAGAATAGAGACGCTGCAGTGGCATTATATCATCGCTTGAAATCGCTCGTCCATTCGCCTGAACTCCCATTTGGCGCGCTGCCGTATGTCCATGTCTCCATGGATGGGGGGCCAAAATATTAAATTATTTAAAAAAAAAAAAAAAAAAAAAAAAATATACTGATAGCTGTGCTTTTCCCAGAGATCCATGAGCTTAGCGCAATGACAACTCTCCAGTTGTTGCACAAATGAGTACAAGAAAAGGAATCAACTGTGTCTTTGGGAGTTTGGAGGGCTCTCTGTTGCAAAGATCGACATCGGCCAGGCTGGAAAAGTTGCTTTTCGGCCATGCTCTCTAGTAAAGATGTTGTAAAACACATGTGACTATTATGTGACAGCTGCTATCTGGCACTCTCCCTGGGCATGTAAAAGACTCCAGATGGAAAAGGAGGGTTGAGATAATTTTCGTTTCCCCCTTTTTTTTTAATCCCCAACCAAAGAAAAAGTTCATTTTTCATCGCACAAGCTGGAGGTTGTCAGCAGAGGTCAGGGTTTTTGCCCACTAATTCATATAATCGCTCATGAGTAGTTGAAGGATCAAACACTCCAACTGACACTGTGGCGGAGTGGTTAACGCGGTGCCCTGCTACCTCCTTAAGTTAGGCATTGCCTTCGGGCGCGCAGGTTCGAATCCTGCCGGTGTCGCATTGTTACTTTTTTTTTTTTTCCTCGTTATTTAACCAACTCAATCAAGCATTTGTATTATGCCAAAGGGCTTCGTTCAAGTTTCCACCCGGACAAAGATCACTTTAGATTCTCAGAGGTCAAAAGGCTCTATTGACTCACGAGGTACCAATAATTCATACATACATCCATGGATATCCCAAGTTCCTCTGCACCAGTACAAGCACAGCTTCCACGCGTGACGATAAAATATTGCACGCAATGTCGGTGGATGCTGAGGGCTGCCTATGTATGTACAGGATATCAAACTGTGTGGAATTCAAAAAATTGAGCAACATGCAATTGTTAATGACTCAAAGCATTTTGCATTTCAATCACTTACTGGAGACACTGCCCTCTTATCACCCATCTGATATCTTATATGCGCGGTCGTATCTATCTGCATGCATGTCATATATCTTTCTTCTTGCCCCAGACACGCTCTCAATCCCCCTGTATCGTGAATAGTTGTTATATCACAGTACTGACAGTCTCCTTAACAGTTTGCGCAAGAGCTTCTATCCACCTTCTCTACCTCCCTAGGCGAAGTAGCTCTCATCCCTAGCACCGGTGGAATCTTCACAGTCACCCTTTTCCACACATCAAATGCAGGTTCCACAACTGTGGAAACGGTCCTCTGGGACCGTAAGACCCAGGGTGGCTTTCCAGGTACAGTACTTGTGCAGTGCCCACCTCAACACTCCCCTTTCATATACCCAAAATAAAGAAGAGCCGAAATCTGTTAAAGACAATATATCACAAACCCAGCAATCACCCCTCCCTCTTGAAATCCAGAACGAGAACATACAAAGTGAAACTAACACCAAAGTCCGGGCCCGACTCTCGGGTGAGAACCTGCAACCAAACAGAAACAAAACAACTCAAGTCCCTAGTTCGAAACATCATCGACCCGTCTCGAAACCTGGGCCACATCGATCGTGCTCTAGCCAAGGCGCAGAACCAGCAAGACGAAGAGAACACAGAAGGACGCGGCTCCGGTTCCTCGTCAACAGCGAGAGCAACGGCTGTGGCTGCGGCAACGGCCAGATCAGACCCTGATCCTCCAGAGGCAACCCCAGAGAAAAAAGCATGTGAGGATTGCCAGTGAATGTACGCAGTAAGGGGGCGGCTTTCTCTCGACGAAGCTTTGAAGTACATTCCCTCTAAACACCTAATCTGCTTTCGACGGCGTCGAAACCTCGTCAAAAATAAATTTGTACGGGGGATATGGATATCCTCGTTTCATGTATGTGACTGCTTCTGTACCTATGTGTACCTGAAAGCTTGAGTTCATAGGGATAAAAAGGCAAATCCTTGCGGTATCGCGGGTACTCCATACTATCTATCTCCATCTCTTGACCACGAAGTGGTTCGTACAACCTTCCAATGTACCTGTCTTGGTTTGATGCCGACTATTCTGCTCAGATAAATTCTCCAATGCATGTCAAGTGGGGAGTGGCATTGTATATAGTCTTGTCATCAAAGCCCATCTATAGAAATACACAAGAACAAGAACAACAATGACATCTCTGTATGTATATATTGATATAGAATAATGATTGCTTTGCAATGTGGGAAAGCAGGCCAGAACAGATTGCATTTTTTTGGTTTTTTTTTTTTTTTTTTTTTCCCCTTCGTTCTGGCCAAATCAAGTAACTGGGCATCAGCTTCTTTTTGCGAGAACATATAAAGGCTGAAGGATAAGAAACCGAGAAAGATAAAGTGCACACACGAGTCTGAACCCCTTTTAAAAAGACTTCCCTTCGCCTGTACCCTCCCCCGCTGATAATGTAAAATGCATACATGTGAATATGTGTGGTAAAATATGTACAAATATAGAAGCAGAACTTAAGAGGACAAAGGTATGTCAACCACGAAGAAAAGAGGAATATCGAAGATAGATGAATGATGAGGCGAATGTGAGGATAGGGAGAATATGAAGAGCTACTCATGCGTGTCGTATAATATGCAAGTAGCAAACCGAAAAGAGTCATAAAATGCCATGGTATCGAGAAAGGCGCTCTGACCACTCGACTGGTATCACAAGAAAAGGAAATATGAGAACCAGTGGACCACCATTCCGTTCAACCCAAACCGAGAACCATAATCCATGAAAGGCTAAGCGTTGACAAACGCCTTAAAGACCGAGCGCCGTCCTCGAATAAATCGATTCAAGCGGATTTATAACATTCTATCTGGAAATAACAAGTCACCGATGCTGCTCGTGGGGAAGGGGAGGAGAAGACGGCTTGTTTCGCCGCCAGAATGCAAGTCGTAGTCGGGATCGTCGTCGAGGTACAGTTCGCCCAGTTGGGACGCTGGCACCATTCGTAGTAGGATAATCAGGGTCGGATGAGTGTTGGCTATTTGAGAGGTGATGACTTGGAGTATTAGAATGTCCGGAACATGTAGGGGATGCAGGATTTTTAAGCGTAAAACCGTTGTGGTGGTTGGTCGAGAAACTCTTATCAAGGAGAGTAGACATAAAACTCGCAGTTCTCCCAAGTGCGGGGCGGCGGCCACGCTCCGATTGACGACGGTTGCAACTCGAGTCGACCGGTAAAGCGGCTGTGGAAGGGCGTCTACAGCCAAGGTTGTCATCACAGGCGCCATCTCCAAGACTGGACTCGTAACTATTAGGCCCACCACTTCGAATACCCTGACCATATGCTCTCTTGCCAAACCCTTTGTCGTCGTAACCATTGCTCTCAGCTGTGACCAAGCTGCTGGCTTGAGAAGTAGACGAGACTGGTGTGGCTACCGTGTTGTTTGTATACGTGCTAGTGCTCTGGTTCCGGACACCATTTGTGGATTGGCTCGAATGGTTGAATACGGCCGAAACCGGACTACCTCCAAAACCTTGCCGAAACTGATGTTTATCCGAGTCATTGTGGAACCGTTGGGATGCGGAATTTGCGTCTGTATGGTTGTAGCTATAACCCCCGTGGCTATTTGCTCCATTTGTATTATTTGGGGATGAGATGGGAGGTAGGTGGTATTTGGGTGTCGAGGACTCTTGGGAGTTATGTTCTGCGTTCGTAACAGTCCCGTCATCCGCTTCATTGTCGGAGCGAGAATCCCCCTGGGATGGCCCAGGGGAGGTATCCCCGGAACTATCAGGTGACGCTCGGCTGGGAATCGTATAATACACAGACGGCAGGCTATAATCCTCTGCTTTCAGGTGTGTTCGTACATTGCGGGTTTCAGTCGACTGAGCCGGAGAAATTTGAATTCCACTTTTCTCTCCCGCATCTGGATCGTTCTGACGGTCAACCGACATTTGCCATCTGCATTTGTTGCGCCGAATTTCATTAGCGGCGAACGCCATATCCGGGAGGACGTCGGCAACCCCGTCGAAAAGAGGGAGCGCGAATACGTTCATAAATCCTATTTGACCGTTCGCCTTTTTGACAAAGTTTCCCAACTCTGGAGGACCGCCAAATAAGGCTGTTTCCATTCCAATCTCTGCTTCCATCATCCCTTGGTTGGCAAACTCCAGTTGGAGAATATCGGTCCACTTCTCCGCTATATGGAAGGGACGTGCCTATGAGAGGGATAACGGTGAGAAAGGTGATTTAGCTCATTGAATGGAGAGAAGGGTAGTGCTTACCACGTTGCTGATGTCTGCGCATTTAATCAGCAAAGCACATAGAAGAGTTCGATAGGTGTCAATGTCCTTGGGTTCCCATCCCCAAGTGGTTCTGTTATTAGAACGATAACTTTGTTGCAATTTCCCTAGTGACTCCATAAATACGTTATGGATGCCCATGTCAGTGGCCAAAATAGAATCGATCATCAACTTTCGAAGTCGAGTATCCTTGAAAACGGAGGGCCAATGACGACGAAGGATTTGCGAATAGGCTGCACAATGGAAAGCCTCCAGTACTGACTTATCGTTGTAGAGCTGTGCAAGTGGCGCATTTAACTTCACAAGAAAAACGTTATTGACACCTGGATGGCCAACATCGTGTCCAATCGCTGTGATAAGCAGTGTAAGGGCGTCAAACGGCGTCAAAATAGAAGACATCCCACTCCGGGTGGATACCTCCTCACTTCCCAAAGGAAACGGTGGGAGAATACCTATCTTTACAAGAAAGTGAAAAACGGACTGAAGGACATCGATAGCATGGCGGAAGTTATGGTAGAGAACGAAGGAGTTATACGAAGCACGGACGGAGAGCAAAAAGGACCGTATCTCCTCTATTTCCTATATTAGCCGAGAATCTAGGAAAAGGAGTGGTTTGATATCATCTTACCGGGCGAAAGCCTCCATTGTTCCAGCTCAGGGAGTTGCAAGGCATGCTCGACCATCACGCACGCAGCATGAACCAGCTCGTCGTCCGAGAACTCATGAGATAAAAAGTTCCATTTCGCAACTTCCCTTTCCACCAAGGCTTTCCGTTCCTGAATGACTGGCACATCGCCCACTTGGAAATCCCCAACTGCTTCTTCTGGACTGCAAATCCGTTTCATCAACTTTGAAACCATTGCTTCTCGAAGATAAGCGTAGGATTGCTGGTCATCTGCACCAACCCACGATTGGCGCCGTACCTTCCGCCTGGCTAGAAATCGGGCTCTGTGTTTTTGCGCAGCTTTTTGCGTGCGATACGCGTGAAGGACCAGTCCCTTTACTTTGGAATCCTCGAAAGGACATGTGAGCACATCGATCGCTCCGGCATCCAAACAGCGGCGGACCTGCTTAAACTCCACTTCGGCAGGGATGGTTCGCAATCCCTGTTTTCCGTCCTCGTGGATCCCTTTGTCAGCACATTCACCATCAGCATCGCCATCAGCATGCCGAAGAATCGCAATGGGCACGATGATGCTGGGCTCGTCCTGGGCGTGGATATCTGCAGAAAATCTGGAAAGGAGATGGAAACCATAGAGCTCCTCCGATTCCGTGGAGAAAGTTAAGCTACGCGCCAAACTTGGCGGTGACGCAGAAAGTTGCACAGAGGTCTGGGTGATGGAGCGCCGGTGTACCAACTCTGAGTCGCCTTTGATTGCAATATCAATAAAAGCAAAGATTGGAGCACAAGTATTACTTGACTCTTCGTGTAACTCAGCAAGTTTGCTCGCGAAGGACTTCCCGGAGTTACACAGGTATACTGCAAGCATATATTAGCCGTACTCTATAATTCGATACCTGAAAGAAAAGTCCACCATATTCAGACAGGGGTGGGAGAGCCGACCTTGTTTGCAAATGCCCAGAATTTGGCCTATGTTGCTCGCTAGGTTGGGATGGTCATCAAGTAGAGGGAAGGGAGCACCACCCGAATCATCTTCTGGCAAAGATAAACTCTCTTTGGAAATCCAGCGGTCATAACTGACTCGTTCATCGATATAGACGGCGCGACATTGTTCTCGATCCATAATGGGAACGAGTTATGTCTATATGAGCGTGGTTATCTATCTGTTGGATGGAAAACATTAGATGGCGATATCTAGAATTGGGGGATTGGATCAGAAGCAACAGGATGATACATAGAGGCATGGTGTAGACTCATTCCAGATTGGCAATGGGATGTCGTCTGAGATTGTCAGACGAAAACAAGAGGTCATCACTATTTGAAAGGAAGGATATACTGTAGCACATCTGTCAGAGAGGCAGGTGCAGCAGCAGGTGCAGCATCAGGCGCAGAAGCTCAGCTCCTGCATTCCAGCATGCTCACTATTTCTGGCCGAGATGAGGAGAAGAAAGATAGTAGAGGGCTGAAAGTTGAAACAGAGGCTAGAACTGTGGAGGTGACAGCAGATCCCAACACAATTCTGAACAAAATCCAGCTTCAGACACGCTGGGTTTCATAAAAGAAAGGATACTCACACTATCCCCAATTGCGCTCTCTCTGTCCTCCTTCAACTACAGTATCCTTCTAAAAAGCTTTTGTGCCCTGATCCCTTTTCACAGAGAATGACAACCTCAATCTGGACGCCTTCAACAACAGTGGTCCACAGAGTTCGGACTCGGAAGTCGCAAGGATATCTTTCTCTGACGACGGGTTATCTCTGCTCCTGCTGAAGCACACACAAGAGATCCAACTTCGCGTCAACAGGCATCAAACAACGATCTTTCTTTTACGATCTCCAAGCCTCTATCGCCTCCTTCCGTTTATCCGCTCCCAGCGTTCACCTTGAACAATCTAACCGGGGCGGAGCAGCTTGGTATTTAAATTCCAGCGGCGCCAGCGTCGCCCGTAAATGAATCGAAGGGGTATGCGCAACATCCGCGCACCGAGCTTGAAAGGCGACAATATCGGATGGGAAGAAGTGGGATGTGGATAGCTTTAACAGTCCAGGATGATGGTAGATCGAGGGCTGCGGGGAACTCAAACGACTATGTATACATCGGGATGACGAAGAACCCGAAAGAGCTGAGATTGGGCGTCGGAGGTCGGGAGGTTGGATGAATGTCTGCGGGATGCTAGGAATAAGTGTGACGTGCCTTCGAGATACGAGATGCAGAATGTCGCCCAAGGAGATTTATCTGTTTGTCGACACGGCTATACCGACTGTGGACCAACGAAGCGCTGCAGGGCACTGTCGACAACGTGGAGACTTGCCTTGGGAGCAACGTTGGCAACGACGAAAGGGAGGAGGGGGAAGAATTGCAAGTCGAGATGGGTGGGAGTGGACAGTCGGGCGTGTTCGATGGATCACAGATGCACGAGCAACAATCGAAGACAAAAAGAAAAAAAATGGAATGGCGAAAGGACGTGTGTGTGTGTGTGAGATAGCAAACCCGAGATTGGCGACGAGCAGTCTGAGTAACGTGCTCCGCTGCGGGAGAAGAGGCAAATCCGCTGGAGCAGAACGGGGTAGTTTGACCACGACTGCCACCTCTGCCGGCGTGGAGAGACTTCCATGCCAAGACATTCGATGGCATGGATTATGGAATTAAAGAAGGCCGGGCTCGCAGCAAAGGACAAGGATTCCCAGGTGCGGTGGTATTATTACGCTTAGCGGGCTGATCATAATGTCGATACCACTGGCCCTGCAAGGGTCGGGCTATATCCCGCCAAATCAAGTGCCGAAACCCAAATTTACGTACCTTTCCATACTGTATTTGTATTGCAGTACGGAGTACATGGGTTCGTTACAATGTACTGTTACATCGCCAGAAAACAGGCAGACGACACACCTCCCCTTGGCCCTCGACGTCCCCGACTGATGGAACAGAGAGGGTGGTGATCGTTTTCTTAACTGCATCTCCTATACCTGTGCTTTCGTTCAGTGCTTCAATCATAATTGGACTATATGCACCGTATATGGAGTACCCCGTTTTGAACTCTCTGGAGGCACGTTGCACGCCGGACCCTGGTGTGATCCAGCTCGACCTGTCCATACTTGGGCACGACATGGATACCTTGCAAGCCGCTGATATCGAGGTATTTTCAGGCTCTATGGGAGGCATTTCTCGCCGGGACCAACTTTCTGAACTCGTATACTTTCCCAGACGAGAAGAGCTTCGGGAATGGGAAACGGACGCCTATACGTATCGATCCAGCACCCCACCATACCGGCCGGCGGCCAAGTAACAACTTGAATGTTGTCAGAATCCCCCAGTAGTATTGGCATAGCCATACCTAATAACGGATTGACCACTCTGCATGATGCCCTACGACCTTTGTCCTCATCATTCGAACCCAAGCTCACAGCCGCGATGACTGAAACAACCATACCACACTCGTCGCTTGCATTTGGTGTCTTTACTAAGATTTGTCTCAGTCACTGGCAGCACGAGATCAACACCCATCCCCGGAAACATACCCCGAGCGCTCCTTTAAATTTTAGCCCATCTCAACCGGCAGGGAATCCCGTCCTCGGGGCATTGTGAATGGTCTTTCCGTTGTCATACCTGCTGTCCCACGAGCTACCGCAATCTTTTTATAACTCTGGCCAAGACGAACTGTAACCCTTTCATCAAGCCTCCGCCAGTGTTCGATATATGTGGTTATCCCACCATGAACGGAGGTAGGGTTCCCAATCCCAGCACGGGATTGCGGAAGGGTACACATTCCACTCCCAGTCCCAAGTTTCGCATCCTGACATGTTGGGATAAAATCCAAGCGCTGAATGAAAGGTCTCAATGATAGTAATAGGGATTGGGAAAAATTCATCCCGGCAACATCGAGCCCGAGATATCCCAGAGATCAGGCAGCTCACCCGTTGTAAAGCACATGGGAACCGTGGAGCTCCATTGACTCCCCTCCCCTTCCCCCGCAACACCAAGCTTGTTATTTAGCAGGCGTGCGTTCTGGGATGAGCTAATTCGCCAGCGATTTCGGCGTGCGCTGGATGTGCAGAAAGAAGTGGAGGGTTTAGGGATTCAAGGATTGGGTGGTGACCCCTCGATTGACATGTCAAAGACGTCTGGGTACATGTTGTACCCGAGAGTGAAGCGATCGTTCATGGGTCCAAACTTGAAGCGTGATTCAATGTCGGGTCTTGGAGAAGTAGCAGAGTGATCGAATGGGATAACTGTCATGAAATCGGAGCGTGCCAGCTTCTCACACCCGATGTTCGAATTCTTCGCTGAAGGAATTACTTCGAAAGGAGTCCCGATGTACGGAGTATTCGGTATTGTATGATACTTACGTATGTCCAAGCCGCGGGCGCCACGACGGTAATATTTCAATTAGCACTGTAAGTTTTAAAATCGGCTGGCTGGGACTGAACCCTAATAAGGTTGGAAAGCCAGCGGGCCTTGATCGCAGTGCCATCTCCTTCGGCTTCGAAGATTCCCAGAATGCCGGGATCTCTCCAGGCGGCTGGAATAACTATTTATGGACAGGAGGTTTCCTTGATATGCGCTTATAGAAATGGCGTTCGTTTTGAGTATTCGGTGGATTTTCACCCATTTAATTCCATATCGTGGGAGTTTGACATCTTTGAAACAAGCTTACTCCGTCCTCCAGACGCGAGTCCATTTCGAACCGTTCTGCTCCACCACACAAATGATCTAACTAACTAACAAGGCGTTAGTAATCAATTGCGTGGATGCTGACTTCGCCTGCCCATCGATAGGGCGCAGCTCTCTTCCGAACGAAGGATGGAGTGGTCTCTGAGCCATGCCACCCGTCAGGAGGTCTATCCTCTCTCCTCGAAGGGTGAAAGGAATCCGCCGTGCTCGGACTTTTGTCTGAACTCCAGCAGTCCAGGTGTGCGAGCCACGTGGTGTTCCTGCTTTCGAAACGAATCTGATTGATCATTGTTATGTGAAAACGGGCATTGCTGTTGGCTTTCCAGCTGATTGCGAAGCGTATGTTTAGGGCCGTTCATGTGGCATGCCGGCCCTCCGTTGTTTTTTAACTCGCGAAAAGGCGCGGCGGGCAGGGCGGGAAATCAATGATCATGCGATGCTTTGGAAGCGGTTTCATGCCGTGTCGATCTCCGACGAATCCAACCTTTTTCAGCTCATATCCAAACCCGGGATCCTCGTATAAAACGGAGTCTATTGGAAAATGACGGAAACCTTCAGGCGATCCGAGGTTTTCTTCCCGAGAACAAATAATGAAAAGGTAATCGCACCGACAGAGAACCGAAGCTCCGTCCTCCGTCCATGTAAGCACAGAGGATGTGTTCGGAGGATTGGAAAGTGTCGTTTACATCAGTGAGCTTGAAAGAGTGCTTCGCCTGCCGTGCTACCATCCAAGCCCAAACTGTACGTGTAATTACATACCAAACTTACCTGTCAAATACGCGGCTGCCACGGGAAACGTGGGGGGCAGAGAAACTCGAAAGTTCCAACCCTCCCAAGCGAACACTCGACGACTGTTCCATCCGCCTTCTGCCGACGTTCCAGAAGCCTTCCTATTAGCGCTATCGCTCAATGCTACTGGAACGGGAATGGAGGACTCGCTGCCCCGGTGTCCAGAGCATCCTTGCTCTTATCCATTATGCCATATTGGCCAACTCCATCGATTTTGCCGCTGCTTTACGACGTAGTAGTTGAAATGCCGAATGGGATATATAGGGATTTGCCGTGGACAGGCTTTTTGAAGGTGTTCTTTTTAAAAAAAAAAAAGAAAAAAAGGGGGGGAGGGCTGTACGAGTATTTCGTATTGTCCATACAGTAATGAAGTCGAGAGAGACATCGCCGTAAGTGAAGCACTAACCTCATGCTTCGTAAAAGGCCTTTTCTGGCGATTGCGATCTGGACTTCGTTCAAGTTGAGTGCACTCTCCGTCCATACAGTGATCCAGTGCCAGCGCCCATCCGTCTCCCCTCCAGCCCGGCCCGTACGCCGTACATACGTGGTATAGCCCGTCGATAGAGACAATACATACTCCGTACAGCGATACAGCTAGCTTACCCCACCTGTCGATCATGGTCGGTTGCCCAACGCTGCATCGCCAAACATTGATTGGCGCCACTCCAACGCCACACGAAGCGAGCGTCAAAAGAGAGAGGAAAACCGCGCAGAGTTTCAAAAAGCAAATAATAATCAGCGATCAGTGCTCCCTCTTTGACTTTCCACTCTCTTGCGCCGGTATTTGAGGGTATGTTGGATGCCGTTTTCATGATCTTGGGGGAACGTTTTCGTCCAAAGTCAGTATTCAACTTTCTGTTTGGAAAAAGCCTGCTTTTCTTCTGTGTGTATGAATCAACCTTGAGGGTAAAAAGGGTACCCAGCCACACAAAACCCAACTTTTCCACGATTTGTTTACGATAAGGCTGGCTATACGCGGCTCTCCTGCATGGCATGGTCGGGCTAGACTGCTCACACCCCTGGCCGACTCTCGATCCACGCCCCGGATATATTAGTATTGACGGAAATTCCAGAATCTCAAACATCGGAATTTTCTTCTCATACTGACGGGACTCGTCCCCATCGCTTGTCCCGTCTCAGGGCTCGTCGCCACCGACCTGGAAAACTGGGATCATATTCCTGGGGGGTACTGGGCATCAATATTCGCTGTTACGACCATTCCGGGTTGGACGGTTCGAAAAAGACTGGCTTTGGTCCTTGTCGTGGATCCTGTTGCGCCGCCTGTTCGCCAGCCTTTCTAGAAGGGTTCATGACAATGGACCAATTGCAGCGCTTTGCTTGGAGTTGGCAGTCGCCGAACCGGGCTTTCGCATTGTAATGATTTGGCGCCGGCGCGGGCCAATAGAGCCTGTGAGATCTTTTGCTGTGTATTTTGACCTCCCAGGTGTTGGGCTGAACTTCTATTAATACTCCGGTGAGATCGATCCTACGATTGACTCCTTGCATAATACCCTGTTCGCAAGGGTCGAGGGACCTCCTGCGCAACTTCTTGCAACCTTCAGCTTGATTGACGAAGTATTTGTTGGGCGCTTGAGGTTTTCGTTACACATTACTGTTGATAGGCTGGCACCAAGAGCACAATAACTTTCCTTATCCGTCCATATGGATCCACCAATACGATAGCTAGTTTATGGTCCTGGGTTGGACAATGGAGTTGATGAAGAATGACTAGACTTACGCGCCGGAATGAGAGGCAGGCTCATTCATCAATTTCAACAATCATTTGGCGCTCTGCGAAACAAGTTCGTCAGCATCCAATAAAAGCCAAGAGAGCCCGTATTGAATGGCCAACCGACAACGTATAGCGGATGAATGAACAAGACATACCCCAGAGTTTGTTCGCCGATCCAATGATAGTCTCAGCTTTGGTAAGAAGTTTAGCATTCAACCGCTCTGCCTCTTTTGCGTTATTTTGGTGAGATTTTCCATTTCGGGGTTGGCCCTATGTAATACCGGATGCGTGATCAGCAAACTACATTCTACACGAACGTAAAACAAATTCCATTAATAAGGGAATCTCACCATCATGAGCACAGGTACTAAATCCCTCGCGTCGGCCTCCGCCAAAGCTCTCAGGGTTTTGAACCCATTCTCCCATAGCAATCTCGCCGTTCGGCTTTTCACATACGTCACCTGTGCGAGTTCCAACAGATCTGCTCTCGCGCCTGCCTGAAGTCGGTCTCGCATGTGGTCAAGAACAACAGCTAGCATCTCCCAGCCCATTCGCTGGCAAAATTTAACCATCCCGGCTGCAAACCCATGGCAGATCTGACTGAGGTTCTGTACGTTGCCGCGGGGCGTAGAGTATTTATGCGCAACTGCGGAGACGGGGACTTCATTGCTGAGGTCACGCAGTTGAAAGGCTGTGTATGCACGTTGGTACGTACGGGCGAGGATTGTGTCCTTAATGCTACTGCGACCCTGGGCCCTGAAACACGTCCACATGATTAGTCGAAATGGATGGGTCGCATGCCAGGATACCAGAGGCATACATAGAATTCACCAAACCTGGGTTGACGCCCATGAATTGTAGGGCCCGTATCCCGCTATCGTCAAGTTTGTTCATCTCATCGCGAAATGTAGGCCAGTCAATATCAACGCCTGTTCCCGATTGGAGTGGAGCGAACATATAAAATACATGCATTTCACCATCCATAACGAATGCCTGCAGCGCCCGTTTCAATTCGTCATGGACGAATAGACCATCCTCAGGGCTGAAGGCAGATGCTACGATGGCTTGTCCGAGCTGCGTGGGTTCGAACGAGCCATCGAACCGCAGATTCAACAAGTTGGCGTCCACCAACTCGTTCAATGTCGAATCGACCAGTGAGAATAGCTCCTTTTCTCCCATGGTCTGGTAGATCAGGGAGCATTTAACGTAGTCATTGATCGCTTCTCGTCCAGAGACGAGACGGGTTGCAACAGCCTCGAGCAGAGCCCTATAAGCTAATTAGCGGTCTATCTTATGATATCTGTTCATCCGGTAGAAATTAAAAACACCTGTTAATGCCTCGCTTCTCCGGAGATAGACCGCTAGAAATAGCCGGCATTTCGGCGTCTAACAGATCAAGGACTGCTTCGAGGTCGTCTGCTGTGCAGCATAGAAACGTTTCTCCTATCTCATCCTTGCCCTTGCGACCTGCTCGTCCACGCATCTGCCGCCTTTGATTTAATCGTCAGTAGTAGGTACGGGATCTATAGGAGCAAAATGGTCATACGTACAACATAGCAGGTCCGACCAAATCACGCCCCATCCGAGCTCCGCATAGAATTACTCTTCTTGCAGGGAGATTAATACCGGCGGCCAAACTGCACGTAGCTACCAGCACCTTGAGAATCCCCATGTCATAGCCTTCAGCAATCAAGTCTCGCTCTTCGGCGGTTAAACCGGCATCTACGATAGAAGCTCATAAGAAATTCTGTTCGATGTACGGAAACCGGTATAGGGGAAAATGCAAATACTAACGATGAAAAGCAACCCCTTTGATAACCGTCTTTTCGAAGACAGGATCCAGACCACATGGAAGGCTCTGTAGACCGGCAATTAGGTCCATCCGTTTTTCTAGAACATCGCTATCCAACATGGAGTCGTCGGGCATCGCGTCGCTTATGATGAGCGCATTCATGTGACACGCTTGTCGGCTGCCACAAAACACCAAGGCTCCATATCCAGACATTGCTGTCTCCAAGGCCAAGGATACCATGGCATTGATGATTGGATTCTCCAGTTCTTTGTATACAGACTTATCGATTGTTCTTGCTGCAAGTGCTTCAGTTTTCGTCGCACCGGATTTATTCAATACCACTGCCGTTCTCAAAAAATCCTTTGAGTTTCCAGCAGGATAAACTAGGTTATCATAAACAAGGAATTCCTGAATTGGAATCGGACGATATCTAGAGATATAGTAATTCGCATGCAGCCATTTCGCTAACAATTCCGTGTTCTAAGCCAAGAGGTAAATGGCACTTTAAGCTTTAAACTCTAGTTATTGCCCAAAATGGATATATAACGTACCGACAGGGTGGCACTCATGCCAACTATTTGGATATCCTGTTGAAGCAGCATCAGCTTTGAGATCATAATCTCAATTAAATAACCGCGATGCTCATCGTCAAGCATATGAAGTTCGTCCAAAACAACGACACCCAGTTCGTCGATTTTGCATTCTTCAATGGCAGCATTTACTAGCATGTTGGCCTAGACAACACTGTCAGCCGCACAATCCAATGACGCATCGACCGGCAAGCCTTTTAGTTAGGCCTAGATCTTCAAACCTTTTCAATAGTGCAAACTGCGATATCCGTATCCGACCATGTGGCCCTAGATTTACTTCCTCCAAAAAACCCCGTGACACGTATCGAGCTTTGCAGAAACTTTGCGCGGGAAGGATGTGATCCATCAACCTGGACAAGCGCATCTATGCGCTTGTCCACCCCTTCCACCAACCTGCGAAGCCACTTCAATTTCTCCTGAACGATGGCCACATACGGAAGCACAAGAATAGCTTTCTTGTGAGGATCATCAATAATCCTCTTCAACATCAACACATCAGCAACCAATGACTTTCCTCCACCGGTCGGAGCACTATAAACTAGATTCTTCTCCGCCGTTAGATGCCCGCGCCCAAGAAGGCACGACGCTTGCCAAGGATATATGCAATTTACTCCCAATTTTTCAAAATTAGTCACCAGGCTTTCTGGCAGTCCGTATTTGGGATGCCGAAGAGAAAGCAGTGGATGCTGCGAAGGTCCAGGGGTGCTAGAAACCGCTTTACGCTGAGAATATGTTGCAATGTCATCCTCTGGGGAGGCCGCATCCGGTAACGTGTGTATGTCACTGGCCACCAGCCGCCTCTTATTTGGTTGGATAGGCTTGGTGAGATGGTATGAGCCTATCCGTCGGTGCCCCGCGTTGCCCGTATCCGCCTGTAGTAAAGAGCGAGCGGAGGTGAATGCTGTTGAAATCTCATTTTCAGACCGGGATCGTTTAGTACCTGCAAACGATGTTGTAGAGTAGGCCCGGCTTTGAGCGATCTCAGCGGATGTTTGGAACCCGGTGGTTTGAACCCCCTTGCGGGTCGAGTTAGGGTTCATCCCAGCCTTGGGATCCTCTTGCCCTCGTACAGTTACGAAAGGCCAAAGAACAATTGACGAGCAACAAATCAGCCTTGTTCCAAAAGTCAACAAGGAGCATTCGAATAGGCTCTTCTATTCCTAATCTTAAAACACAATACGGAGTATATTATCCAGGATTCTGTGTTTTTACTGCTGATGGACCTCGCTACCGACCTCACGGTCAGTGGACGGACGTTGAGCGGGATTATTAATTTTCCGTCCCCCGACCACAGGCCTTTTTCCTAATTAGGTTTAGCGTGCATCCACGGTCAGGTGATGAGCACAGATTCATTAGTCATCACATTTACCATTTCCCGATTAGGAAGGTCTATTACAAGTACGCATTATTTACTCCGTACACAGACTGATAAATCGGAATAGCGGGTCCAGATTTCGCGAGGCTGGCTGGCGACAGTAGATCCGCTGTTTCAAAACAAACACACAAGGGCTCAATTCGCCAGCTGTAAAGTCTCCACGGCCTTCTCCATGTCGCTCACTTCTTCCTTCCGCTGCCGATACCGGGCCGGCCAGATGCCTTGCTTGCCCGGGCTCAGGATGCCATTCGGATCCAGCGCATCTTTAATTCGCTCATTCAAGTCCCGTAAGCTGCACCCGTTGAAATCGTACTGCTCAGCAACAAGATCCATGTAGTCGATATGCGCTCTATACTCGCTATATCCATGTTTTCGTGCAAGGTGTACGAGCTCGACAAAGAGTTTGCTGGCGTTGGCCCGCTCCGTGTCAGAAGTGCGGTCAAAGTAGATCATATTTATCATGGTCAGATGTCGTGGATAGAGGTGTAGACCGCCGAAGTAGTCGAAGCCGTAGCGGGCGCAGAGCGGTTTTGCGTCACGGTAGAAGGACAGGGCGCATCTACCTTCAGGAGGAAGAACGGGAGAAAAGGAGATATGCCCGCTAGAAGATAGTTATTAGAACGGATGCACACTTATTGCCAGGGTGCGTGCGAATTTCATAGACACTATGTAGCATGTACTTACCCATCCTTGCCGCGATATTCTACGGCTTTAAGAGCCATGAGACTCGGAGTGCCAGTCTCAACGGTTCGTTCAGCAAGTGGTATATCTTCTGGACTTAACGCCTTTCTTCCGTCGGGAGGATAGTATGCCTTGCCTGTGAGTCTTGCACCGGGAAGCTTGTCAAATACCTCCTGGCACCTCTTATAATTGAACTCAACCATCTCCTTCGGACCATACAGCCCGAACCTCGCGGACCAAAACCCGATACTAAACTGCTTCTGAATCTCCTTTAGCCTTGCATCTGGAATCGCGTCTTTGCCGTCGTAAAAGTCCTTGCGCTGCCCGCGCTTGACCATTTCTCGTGGCAAGTTCCCGATCAACGGGTGGTTCTGAATCACATCGTGGAGCAGGAGATCACGGAATCCATCTATCAATGGTAACAGATCGTCCTCACTCTCCACGTCCACACGACACGCCATGAAGCCCTCTGGGCTAGGTGACGCCCAGAGAGTAAGCTTGGTCACGATGCCAAAGTTGCTCTGGCTGAACATGCTTTCGTACGTCGGCCCATACCCACCACGGAAGAGCGGCCAGCAAGGGGAATTATCAATTGCTCCTGCGCCAGTCCGTACAATTGTGCCGTCTGCGAGCACTACTTCGATACCGCAGATTTGATTGGAGTGGTCACCAGCAGGCGTATATCCCCAACCTCGATCAAGCGCATTGCCGACGACGGATCCCCAACCCAGCGCAGGTACGGAGCACCATATGTTTTTCTTTTGCGCGTGAATGGCGCGGTAGATGTCGAAGAAAGTTACGCCAGGTTCAACGGTGTAGTAAGAGTACCGGTCGTTTACTTCGATTACTTTGCGCATGCGCTGAAGGTCAAGAATTATGGAGCCCTGACGTGGACCTATCAGTTCATATCCTGAAATCATATTTCAGTGAGGAGGGAAGGTGGGTTGGGATGATACCTTCACTCTTGCGGCTGGCCCACCATAGCCCAAATTCTTTCCTCGCGATACGGTCCACAGCGGGATCTTGTGCTCATTGCAGATCTTTAGAATAGCTTGGATATGCTCGACGGTGACGGGAAACAGCGTGGCTGAGCTTCCACGCTTCTCCTGCTCATCGGATTTCTCTGCGTAGGGATCGATATAGCGGATGCGATGCTCGTGCCCGCTCAATACACCTTTATCCCCTAAGATTCTTTTGAACTCCTCGAGCATGCCGGTCCATGTCTCCGCATCGACACCCGGAGGGAGGATATCGAGGGTTGGAGTGCGTGAGGCGGTTGTTTGCCATGTCGAGAGGACTTCATTGGCCATTCCATTTTCTTTTTCATTGAGGGCTAGAGAGAACGGAGATAGAGGGGAATATGCCGCCATGGTTTTGAATATGATGCTGTTTTGCTCGATCGAGGCTTGCTGATCGCAACAGCTTCCCCTCCTTGGGTGTCAACGACATATTAAATTATGGATCATTTTCCCATTCCCCTCATCGACTCCAAACAGCAGTATCCTGCACGTCATTAGGTTCAAGTTGCCCTGCAAACGTGCCTCCCGGAGACATGGCGCCGGAGTGTTGGCGCCGTTCGGAAGATGAGCCATGTCGCTGGAGTCGGATCAAAGAACTACAAGTCCCAAAAAGCATAAGCTTAAACCCAGACATATGGAAAAAGCTTCCTTCTTCGCAAGCCAATTAGCGTTGAAGGTGCTGCATCCTTCGCATGACTCGTGGACCCGCCAGGTTGACATTGCTGCAGCTTCAGCGAAGAATAGGCGACTGCCTGCCCGAACAAAGCCGCTAAAAGCCCCTAAAACTTGGGTCACGCACCGCCTTAAGCTCGCGCCAAGTACACTAATGAGTTAGCGCAACCGGCGCCTGGCGCTTCAGGCGTCGAAGATCGGGTTCTTGTATCCGTGCTTGTTTCCGCCCGGAAAATTTCTTCTGCTGCCCACTCCCAGCAAATGCGAATGTCAGAATTCTCCGCAGGAGCTCCCCACGGGGTCTGGGGAAGCGGAGAGAGGTCCCCACCCCATCTCTCTCCAAGTCAATGCTCTTTTCTTCTAGCTACCATGTTATATAAAGGGGATGACGGCTTCGCACTCCCTGAAGGGAAGGGAAAGCACTAGATCTTCTGCTTCGTGCACCCGAAGTATAAGGGTCTCACCTCTTACGCTTTGCTCCGAGTTTTGTGACTCGTTTCTTTCCTTTGTGCTTTCCTCTTGAATTGCTGCTGCTTATTGCCAATATGTCTTCCGACGCCCCTGATGGGGAGCAGCAGGCCGTAGGTGAAGGCCGTCGTGACACCAGCCTCAAAGCCAACTGGCGCATCTTCGCCATCACGCTGTACATGGGAATTTCTCTCTTTGAGTATGGCTTTGACAAGGGCGCCATCGCAGGTTTTCAAGCCATGCCCGGCTTCCTTCAGGTGTTTGGCTACCAAACTGAGTCGGGAAAATGGGATATCCACGTACGTAACCTTGCCCCGATTCTTTCTATTCTCCATGAGGACGTTGCTAATAAGCTATGATTAGGCGGGTCCTCAGCAGATGATCTCCTCGTTCATGATCCTGGGCAGCGTCATTGGTTCTATCAGCACGGGCTTCATCGGCGCGCATATTTGCCGTCGCTACTCGCTCATGTTCGGCTCGCTTATTGTCATTGTCTGCATCGCCATCATGGCTGAGACCACCTCCATGGGAGCTCTCTATTTTTCCAGACTTTTAATCGGAGTGGGTAACGGCTTGCTGCTCAATTTTACGATCCTGTATCTACAGGAGTGCACGCCACCCCGCTTCCGTGGTCTCTGTCTTAGTATGGTGACCTGCTGGATTGCCATCGGAACGACTATTGGCATGGTTCGTCTGGCCCAAAGTTCTCGGTTCTATGAGAACGAAACCTGCTAACGGGGCACAGGTGATTAACCACAGAACCAACCACATCATGAGCCGCAAAGCCTATCAGATTCCTCTCTATGTTTGCTACCCTGCGCCCATAATCCTCATTCTTACGCTGCCCTTTCTCCCCGAATCACCCCGCTGGCTGCTGCACCACGGCAAGACCGAGGAGGCGCTTCGCAGCTTGCGTTTCTTCCGCAAGGGGGCCTACGATGAGGTCGCGGTCCAGCAGGAATTCGAGGAGATGAAGGCGATTGCGAGACGCGAGGCCGAGGCCCGGAAGGACTGGCGTTTGTTCTTCGAGCTGTTCAAGGGTCATAATCTGCGGAGAACAATTATCGCTGTTGGTGTTGGCACTGCAAACGCTGGTGTGGGCGCAATGTTTATCCTTGCATTTGGAACGTACTTTTTCCGGGTGGTGAGTCTCCAATTTGGTTTAACTACGGTGTAATAAAGAAGCATCTGACAGCGAATAGGCTAATGTCGGTGACCCATTCAAATGGATCATCGTGACCAACTGTGTTGGCCTCGCTGGTCTCTTCACCACTTGGTGCATTGTAACCCACATCGGTCGCCGGCGCATTATCGTCGCAGGCTGCGCAATTTGCACAATCGCTATGCTCCTCATGGCTGCCGTGTACACTTCCCCAAGCGTCTCCAAGGATGGCGCGGGTATCGCACTGGTCATAATCGTGTCCATTTACGTCTTTGGCTTCAATTTCGGCCTTGAACCTTACGTGTACCTCGTTGCTGGCGAGCTCCCCGCGCAAAACCTCCGCGGTTATACTATGGGCTTGTCGACTGCCACAAGCTTTACGTTTGCATGGTTGAGCGCCTTTACCACGCCCTACTTCATCAATCCCGGAGAACTGAACTGGGGTCCCAAGTACGGATATATCTGGTTCGTTAGCGGGCTCATCGTCACCGCGTTCGTGTGGTATTATCTACCTGAGGTGAGAGGCCGCACTCTCGAGGAGATCGATGAGATGTTCAGGAACAATGTGCCTACGAGGGATTTCCCCAAGTATGTGTGCGTGGAAAGCCAGGAGGCAAAGGAACGCGGCCTGATGAACGTTTTCGGAGAGGTCAAGCCCGACGCAGAGCACGTTGAGTCTGCTTCGAAGAACTAGCCTCTTTTTTTTTTTTTTTTTTTTTTTTTTGTTTTACTTAGAGTTAGTCAAATTAAGAGCCGGCTTCGAGAGCTCGTACTGAAAATTTTCTCTTCAACATTTTCAACTCGTGCGGACTAACCGGTTGTGTATGCCTGTCGACTCATTTCGCGTTGCTCGTCGTTCTCCGTCGAAGACTGTTTGACTCCAGCGCTCTCACGTAGTTAAGTTCACGCCAAGGCTGCCGAGAAATGCCAAAAAGGCATTTCCCTCTAGAACGAGCAATAGGAGTCCTTCCCGAGTCAAAGTGAGTTTCCATGCCCACTTGGCCCAACAAGTCGCGACGTTCAGTCAATCGTCAAGCGGATCAGTTGCACAACGTAATCGAGCATTAATCCATCGATTCAGTCTTTGCAGCTTTAGAATTTCTTCTTCAACCCTGATTTCGTTCGCAAGTAGCTAACCGATATATGTATCTGCAGCGTCTGACGCGTCGCGATCATGTTTCCGAAAATTCTGATGGGCTGATCGCCCGGATGCAAGTCGCCGCATCTAAGACGCTTCGTCGGAAGCATGGTACCGCTCGCCAGATACAGCCACCATCGCGACGAGATGGCCGCGGAGGAGCTCCGCCGCGGCCCCGGTGTCGCTATCTTGGGGTATCTCCCCGATCCGGGGAGGATGGAGATCTCCAAGGTTTCTGATGGTTCATAAACTGATGCACAGCATCCTTCCGGGTGGCGCCACGGCGTTGCTATCGATCACTCCTATCAACATGGACTGTACCTTCATGACACCCTGTGCTGTCGCAGGAGGTGTTGGCGTCCTCAGCCATCTCCTGTACTTCATCCGCGGTGAACATCACAAGTATGCGCATCGATGGATCACCCGGATCTTCGCAGGCATTACTGTCCTGGCCGTCTCCGTCCTACGAGTGACTGAGTACCAGTTTTTACGTACACTCATTCTCACAATTCTTCTCTCGACTTCGTACTTTGTGGGACTCTATGGCAGCATTGGGATCTATCGGATATTCTTCCATCCGTTGCGGAAGTTCAAGGGGCCGTTTTGGGCCAGGGCGTCCAACTTGTACCATATGTGCATGATTCGAAAGTCGGATAACTACCTTGTTATGAAGAAGTTGCACAAGCAGTATGGCCCAATCATTCGGACTGGTAAGTATGGAATTTCAGCATCAAATTCGACATGGGTACGCGCTGACCTCGAGGGACATTGCTAATGATGAAGTGTTAGGCCCTGCTAATTTGTCCATCAATGATCCGGCTGCTATCCCTATCGTTCTAAGCGACAGGGCTAAATGTTTCAAGGGCCCGTGGTATGATCGATCTCTGCCGCTTGTGAATTTACATACGGTGCGTGACAAGAAAGTTCATGATGCCCGGAGAAAGGTGTTCAGTAAGGCGTTTACTCCGACGGCTCTGCGCGAGTATGAAGAACGAGTGATGGTGCATTGCGAGGAGTTTGTGAGGCAGATGAATCGTCTGAGCGGGAAACCGTTTGACGCGTCTGAGTGGTTCAAATATTTTGGTACATTCTGCCTCTCTGTCTATCCCCAATCTCCTCATAATGCTCGAGTCTGTGCTTACATTGATTTACCAGCGTTTGACGTGATGGGTGATTTGGGTCTTGGAAAAGAATTTCACATGATGACTACGGAGACGAATCGATGGATTCCCACTCTCCTAGAAACCAGCATGAAACATGTCGGGCCCACGAGCCCTGTCCCTTGGATGGCGCCCATTTTGCACAAGATGCCATGGGCTGGAAAGGGTGCGCGGGCTTGGTTGGAGTTTGTCGGGTCACAGGTCAAGCAACGCACTCAAAAGAAGTCGGATAAGCGAGATGTGAGGAAATGCCCTATATTGAGTATTTAGTTCGTCTATTAAACACGGCCACAGATTCTGTCCCATCTAATAGATGCCTACGACCAGACTGAGAAGAAGGATATTGACTATCAGTGGCTGCGTGGTGATACCAGGCTGACCATCGTTGGGGGTTCCGATACAACGGCGGCAACGCTCACCTTTCTCTTCTATCACTTGGCAAAGGATCCGTCACAGGTCGAAAAGTTGCGAGCTGAGTTAGAGCCATTGCTCAATGGAAAACCTCAACTCGACCCCAAAGACGTATCCAAGGCGCAACATCTCAACGGGGTAATCCAGGAAACTTTGCGCCTTCATCCTGCTATTCCGTCTGGATTTCCGCGGGTTACTCCCCCAGAGGGTGTTACGATTAGCGGGACTTATATCCCAGGAGGAACCACGATCGTTATCCCGTTATATACCATGCAACGTGACGAAGCTAACTACGCGAATGCCGAGGAGTTCATTCCAGAGCGGTGGTACTCGAAGCCGGAACTTATTAAGAATAGAGATGCTTTCTTGACGTGGAATATTGGTAAGTGAAGCTGGCGCAGCGATCAAACTCGCAAAAAATCTAACACCCTATGACAGGCACAAACGGGTGTATCGGCCGAGCACTGGCTCTTACGGAGATGCGGAATCTGATCACTTACTTCATTCGCAACTTCTCGACGGTCAGGTTTGCGCCGGGCGAGGACGGGACGAAATTGGTGACTGAGACGAAGGACCATTTTACTGTGGGCGTGAAGCCATTGCATTTGATTTTCGAGTAGAAATGTTAATAGTAGTTATGATAGAATGAGTCAATGTGTAGAAGAGAAACAAAACGCATGTTGTCACGATATTGCTTCTCGTCCGGCTTCTGACTCGCTACAGTTCGCCCCGGTGGCGACGCTACTTAATAAGCTAGTTCCTCGCTAATTTGCGAGTTGAGCGAAGTGAGAGCCAGTCGGCTGGTTGCTGGCGCCAACTTTGTCTGGAGGACCATAACCAGTGCATAGCCTCGGGTTATCATCTCCGCCCCCGCATGCGCAGTTGAATAAGAAAGGAGACAATGTTCCGCCCCCGGATCGTTGGGTGCAGCACCAAACATCACTGATCACACCACACCGACATGGATTCGGCCGGAACACCGACGGCACAGAAACGCCCGCGCGAGAAGAACGCCGCGGAGCAGCAGCCGCGGAAAAGGGCGCGTCAAAGCTGCGAGACTTGTAAGGCGAGGAAGACGAAGGTAAAGTGGCTGGCGATCCCTGCCTCTCAGCGGATATGATAAACTGATCGGTGAGATCTAGTGTGTCGGCGTTGGTAGGCTTAGTCTTAGCAATTGAGCCTGTAACAATGCTGACCGACGCTCGAATTTTCAAGAGAATGGTACATGCCAGTATTGCGCACAGCTCGGTGTACCTTGTGAAGTCAATCTCAAAAACAGAAAGCGTCCATTTTACCGCGTGTCGGAGGAGGTCTATGAGTCTTCCATCACGCTGCTCCGTCGCTTCGTGTCTGAAGAAGAGCTGCCGGAGCTTACGGTTGAGGGCATCCAAAGCATTCTTGCTAAACTAAGTGATGCCAATGGAATCGGCAACGGCAACGCTCGCCCCACGAGTCCAAGGCTACAACAACAGCAGGATCAGCAGCAGCCACAAAATGGCCATGCTAACAAAAGAATGGACGACGCAGATGGACTGCCAGAGGAAGTCATGGAACCGGACGAACATCCCGTCCTGCAAGAAGAGCGAGGTTGCATGCTTCTGGACTCGTTGGGAAAATACCGCTATGTCGGCGCAGATTCGTCGATTCGCTGGAATCATGCTGCGCGTGTAGCACAGCAGACCTTTATCGATTCAGACCCAAAAGTCATTCCACCGTTGAAAACAGGCTTGCTCCCGCCAACGACCCCGGAAAGCCCCATGAGTACACGGCGAGGGGAGATATACTTGCCTCCTCGCCAGCTGTGTATGCGCTATGTGGGATATTTCTTTGAAGAGGTACATTGTTTATACTGGTTTTACTCCCCTGAGCAGTTTTACAGCCTCCTTGACCAAACCCTCGAAGATCGGGGGACGAGAGCGAGCTCATCTTGGCTTTGTTCGCTATATTCAATTTTTGCGATAGGAAGTATGGTTCCGAGTAATCAAATAATACACTCGGGAAGTGCTGTGGAACATGCTGGTAAACAGGCGCCAGATTACTTGACTTTGGCAAAAGAACTCTCGGCTGGAGCTGCGGATGAGGCAGATATTGAAAGTGTGAAAGCTTTTGGGTTGCTGGTACGTTATGCACTCTCTCACACTTGTGTCTATAACACTAATAATCACAGAGTCTGGCCATGCATGCAATGTGTTATAGCGTGGGGGCTTATCTACACCTCGGAACGGCGGTGAGGATTGGATTCTCACTTGGCCTACACAGAGACATTTCGCCCCGAACTAGAGACTCAGTTGAACGAGAAAGAGGCAGACGTCTATGGTGGACGATATATACGCTTGACCATGAGATGGCTATCCGCTTCGGTTACCCATGTGCTATTGGCGAGGATGCCGGATTTGTGAAAACGCCGCCGGCATCTGAGCAGGTACGCGACTTTTGTCGAAGTCTATGCAGCTAATGCTTTTCTAACATTGGTCGGCGCATCTAGATCATGGACCCAGGGCCGAACATGCCACTGGGGTACCAAGCACTATCATCCTCCCTTGTTCGGCTTAGGAAGAGGATTAGCTATACCTGCTTTATCGAACCTGCACAAGTTGGTGGCCGATTGCCAATAAGTCGAGTCACAGAGAGCTTGAATGATCTGAAATCCTGGCTGGACAACGCGCCTCCATACCTCCACTGGGACTCCTCCCATCCGCCTCAGCATCGCCGACCGGTATTGGTCCTGCACTTGCGGTATTGGAGCTCTGTCATATCTGTCACACGCCCTTTTCTCCTCTTTACTGTCTCTCGCCCGTCCACGATCGTGGTCCCTGCCAAAAGAGCATGCTACGAGGAACTCAGCGGGAAGTGCATCGAAGCAGCAGAGCTCTCTGTGCAGATACTAAAACGCATGGTAGACGACCGGGGGTTGTCAAGTCGGATTTTGTTTGACTGTCATTGTATTGGGGAGGTTATGTGGATTCTGATCTTGGCCGTCCAGAAGTTGGGCAGGCCGGAGCATCAGGACATGCTCAGGTTTTGCCTCGAGACTGTAACCAGCATGGAGAGAATTGGATGGTGCGAGAAGATCTCCCCAGAATTGGAAGCGAGAATTCACGAGAGCGGTGCTTTGGAGCCACTGGTACACTTGCAAATTCAAACGAATCAACACCAGCAACAGAAGTATCCGGATGGAATCGAAGGCAGGGTCATATTTCCTCCAGAATCAGGGCCAAGTTATGTTGATGGGACTGCTGATTTGTAAGTCTCTCCTCGTGTTACTTTGCGACATATTTGGACTGACATTCCCAGTAATTTTGACGCTTCGCAATTCGACGTGTTCGAGACGCTGGACCTGGATACTCGCTCGGGGTTGATGGATATCTTCGCGGACGCTACACTGTCCGCATCACACCTCGTATTTGATATAGAGCAGCGAGAAATTTAAATCCTCTGAAATTATACTCTACTAACCCTTCCACAATATCCCACACCACCATGCTATCCAGTTATCTTTCTGCTTGTCTTAATATTGCGAGTGCTGACACAGTCCAGCGTAGGGTGAAGCCATATTACTCGATCGAATTTGGAAGGCTATTTAAGATATATCACTTAGACTGTTTGCACGCCAGTACCGTTTACACTTCACCCGCAGATGTCGCCTTCTGCTGCCACGGCAGCGGCGCACTTGCAGCTTTCACTGGTCCCAACTCCCGCTCTCTCTTCTGCTTCCACGCCTCAATCTCACCCTGCTCCACAAAGTTCCCATGAAGACCTAACCTGAGCTTGAACGGTAAATGGATGACTGCAACCGGGCCCTGTGAAATGTTTTGCGCATCGAATATACACACATCATTGCGCAGCACATCAAGATGGTTCAGCAGAGCGATAATATACCCATCCCCTTCCTGCGTGCTCCCCGCCCGCGGGATGAAAGCCGGCTCCTGGAATGTTGCGCATGGTCCTGCCCAAAACGTCTCGCGAGCCGAGCTGTCCCATGTGAAGTGGCCTAGACTATTGAATAGCCCACCCGCCGGGCTCCCACATTTCGCGAAATCGTAGGGCTTAGTCCCGTCAATGACTGCCTGCCAGTAATGATTGTATTTCATTGTTGTGAAGCGGTCATCGATGCGTGAAAATTCGCCGGAGTATGTATCAAATTCTTCGGCAGGATCCACCCAGGAGTTGGTGGGCGTGTTGGGATCGAATATCCAACGGGTTGTCTTGTTTTGCAGCTTGTTCCTCTTCGCGACCGTTCCTGCAGGGGTGTCGATCGGAGGCCAGAAGAAGAAGACGTTGCCGTCCGCGATAGTAAGGTCAAATACGACTTTACCATCGGGAGTTTCGTAGCAGCTTACGGTGTGGCCTTGGAAAGCTGGAAGCTGTTAGTCAACAATGACCGCTAAAGAGAGCAGGGAATTATCTTACCATTCTTTGAACGGTACCATTTAATGTCTTCTGGCTTTCCCCCTCGGCGTGGCACAAGCCCATACCACTGGTCTTCGTTTGGATCCCAGGCCCAGTGGTTCTCTCCTTTCTTTAGACGCTCCGGGTCGCATTTAAGCGGTGTCATTGGAAGAACAACCCAGTTATCACTTATCCCACAGTCATGAATTATGCCACAGAACGGTGCCTTATACCAGCATTCCTCTGTCTTGACTCCTTCGGCATTGATGGAGTATACCACTATGTCGGAAGAGCCATCATTGCCGTCACCACCAGCCTACACGATCTATTAGCATTCCTGGGAGAAGCTATCGAAAAGACCGCCTTACTTCATATCCGTAACACACCATTTCCCCTGTCCTCGGGTCAAATTTCGGGTGTGCCGTGAATGTGGGACTTAGTATCTGACCCTCAAAATCATACCGTCCAATCGTCTCTAAAGTGTCTGGATCCATCGCATACGGTGGTCCATCTTCCTTTGTCGCAAGCAACATTCCTCTCCAGAAAAAGATATTTGTGTTCGCCGCGGTGCGAATTACGCCTTTGACCGCCTCATTGTCCGTGTACGGATTGCGATACTTGCCAAAAAGCGCTTTTCCGGCTTTACTCTCCGCATCATACCGGTCCGTGTGGACATATCGCTGCTTGAAGTGGGCGCTCCCATTCGCAATGCGGATAGCTGTGACATTGCCGTCGCCGTTGAAATGGATGTCTGAATCGTAAACCGGAGGGAAACGGTGGTCTGGTTGGACGCGGAAGAATGTTCCATCTATGTCTGTTGGGATTTGGCCCGTTACTTCGAGATTCTGGACATCACCTTCAATGCGCGAAGGCCTGTTGAAACCGTGGAATACTTCAGTGGCGGGAAACTTGAGCTGGGAGCTTGATTTCATGCCATTGGAGTAGTTGGGGGAGAGGGAGAGCGTTTCGGCAAGTTCAAAAATGTGTGCCATTGTTAACTTAGCTGGATGCTGTGGATGTTAGATATCAAGGTAGTTCCAGCGACAAGTTGATAACAACGCCTCTGGTGCAACGTCATGCAGGCCATCCGCAGTATATATCCCCGCATGCTCGTTTTAGCAATCAAAAATCGCCCGGAAAATAGCTTTCCGAAGTAATTAACCCCGCAATTCATCATTGCAAACTGTGATCAGTCGTCGTTCCCGAAGCTGGAGCAGCAGCAAAGTGTCTGTGACGTTCGAGCCGGGTTGTTCCCATCGGATACAATCCGCCGATGTAACTACTCCGTAGCTGGCCAACCAACGACGTCAATCGCGATTAGGAGGCCCATTTTTGCAACCACTCGTGCTTTTCCGAGTTCGATTAGATTCTTCACGAAATAAGAGTATGCATGGTGCACTGAGTAGTTACAGGATACATTTTGTCAACTTAGAGAGAATTGCAAAGTTGGGCCTCAACTATGCATTCCCTGCTTGTCTCAAAAGGATGGAAACTTAAAACCCCCCTTTTTGTGCTCATGTGAGTGTTTAGGGCTTCAAAAACTAAGGAACAGGTTACCGCATGGACAACACCAGTACATAGTGGCTCCTTTTAGCAACTGTATATGTGTACTTGTTCAAAGGAGGAAGAGTTGTTATTTGGTTCTGCTCTGCGTTCTGAGGACTAACCAGTTAACTAGCCACTATTAAGCATATCCTTGTTTTGTCCAGGAAAAGGTTATTGGCAAGGGGACAACCCATGCAGGGATGATTGTTTATGATGTTCAAGGAAATTGACATGCATCAAGCTCATTATTATATACAAGAATAAATGTGCAGCTAAAGCAATCTTCTAAGCAAGCCCTGTCTCCTATCTAATGTACCAGGCGAGGTCCTCTTTCTTGATATCTTTAAGCGAAAGCCCACGACCGAGATAGGCAAACCTGTTCGCGCTCTCATATGTAAACTCAAAGTCCTGCAGGCGAGGGTCCCTTATGCTCTCTAAGAAATGATTAAGCGAACCGGCCCACGGGCCAACGATCCTGCCATTTGATGTTCCTCCTTTGTACCTGTGAGACGGTCAGACAGTTGCACAAGTCAGGATTAGAATGCAAACTTACCAACTATTGCAGTTCCCGGAAAAAGTTAACAGTTCCATGACCGCATCCTTGTGATCGTTGAACTCCGTCGTCGCCTGTTGGCTAACCACTACTGACTTCACTCCTTCTCTTTGGATCTTCTTTGCGAAGCTTAACGCAAATTCCAGTTGATTTTCAATAGCAGGCATAAGCGAACCGTTCGATATTGGCGTGTTTGGCCCAACAACCACTACAGGAATATCGGATGAGAATACGTGTCGATTTTATGAGGAGAAAGATTCACTTACTGAAGTAGTTCGGCATGTCTGGTACAGCACAAGTAAAATAGGCCTCTGCGCCCGTCTTTGCCCACCTTTTTCCAAGATCCACACCGTTCCTTCCGATGAGTGGGAACGGAGGAACATAGGACGTATCGTAGCCCGTGGCTGCAATGATAACATCAGCTGGGTAGGTCTTCCCATCAGCTGTGACTACGCCTTCTTTGTTGATCTCCTGGATTGAAGTTCTGACAACTTCGACATTAGGTTCTTGCAGTGCTTCCAGGTAGCCATCGCCAGGAGTGACACTATGAATGCAAATTAGCATAATCCAAGCCATTACGCATATAGACCCGATTACTCGCCGTCTACATCCCACATCAAAGTCTGGAATCAGCTTCTCGCGAAGTTCTGGATCCATCTTCGAAAGTCTTTCCCGCATTCCCTTCTCGACAATCTCTCTTGAAATCTTCTGCTCTTGCGAGCCTTTGTAGAAATTCGGGAATCTGGAATTGATTGCATGGTCAATTTCCTGTCGGTACTTCCGTAGGTAGTCACGATCGTTACGGAATTTCTCTTTTTCTTCTTCTGTGTATTTCGTTGCTCGTCCAGCTGATGCCAGGTGACCAGCAAACTGAGGTGCAATCCAAGTGGGAGACCTATTGAAGCTGATAAGAGACTTCACAACTATTATTTTTATACTTAGTACCAATTTGACCACGAGCAAGAATGGGAAGGCTCACTGGGTTGAATTGTAGGGACCACCTGGATTCCTGATGAACCTGCGCCAATAACGGCGACTGTCTTTCCCGTCAAATCGAGATCTTGAGGATAGCAGGCTGTATGCACCAGCTTTCCTTCGAATGAGTGAAGGCCAGGAATATCGGGCCACTTCCACTTGCTATTCTCCAAGTCAGCTGGATTTCACATTCCGAAGTTCAATTGCCCTCACTTCAGCACTCCAGCGCAATTGATGACAACCTCCGCTGAGTCTTCTATCACCTGTCCACTCTTTAGATCTTCAATTTTCACCATCCATTTCCCACCATTCTCGTTCCATGTCAAACCAGCAACCCTATGGTTGAATTTCGTCTTCTCGTATACTCCATACTCTTCGGCTCTGTCCCGGTAAAATTTCCAGATTTCCTCCGCACCGGCATATCTGTCAAACAGAATGAGCTTATACCATAAAACTTATGCGGTGTATATGTACTCACACCCCGGACCAGTCCGGATTTCCGATCCAGGGATAGGTGTAGGAATGCGCCGGGATATCGCATGAACATCCAGGGTATCGGGACTCCAGCCAAGTACCTCCAACGTCTCCGTTCTTCTCGTAGATCTGATATTCAACGTTTTCCAGCTCCTTGACCTTGTAAGCGAAGGCTATTCCCGATATTCCAGCACCAACAACGATGATTCGGATCTGACGCGGTTGGTGGATGTATTGGTCGCTGACGACATATTGCTCAGGAAGGGCGATTGACCCCATGGTGATTATTTTCGGGTACAAGTGATGGATGAATGGAACACAGTTGGTAATGCTGGCCGGTGAATGTGACGACTACAAATCAATATAAGATAGAAAGCCGTATCGAAGCATATGAGCACTCGGTGGAGCAGCGTGGCGGACATATACAGCCGAGAAAATCGTCATCATGTTCACGAAGTTAGGCCTGTGGAGGTGATGTTCGTAGTTAGTCAGTTAATGGATCTTAATTGCGAGAATTAATTAGTTTTTCGCCGATTGAGAGTGAACGATGCCATTTCGAGAAGCAAGCTCAAGCTTCTTCTGGACCTGATCCCATTTGACCCCTTTCGGGATTATGGTTCCGAGCCTCATGGCCCACGCTTGAAACTTCAATTCGCTGCGATGCTGGATTCACTGCCAAAACTCCAATATTTTTGGATGCCAAAAATTGGAATGGCATTTCGTACACGTGCGGGGTTTATACTTCCCCAGATCATCCTTACGGCATGCATAGATCTGTCCTTTGAAGTGGAAAGATGCTTGCACCCACGATTCCTTTAGCTGAACACGCCAGCCGCCAATTGAGCCTGACTGTGTTTTACAGCACTTCTCCAAGTCAATCTAAGAAGAAAACATGGGTGAAGCTTCTATCACAGACATGATGCCTCGCACAGTGTACGAGCTCATAGAGCAACTCGCGGTCAACGAGCCAGACCTCCCCCTCATCGCCTACCCTAGCGACAAGAACACCAATGACTTTGTGCACTACACGGCACAAGATCTAAATGGCTATTCTTCCCAAGTCGCAGAGCACTATGCCAAGTTTATTCACCCCAGGAGAAATTCTTCAGATCGGACAAGGGTAGTGGCGCTTCTCGCTCCGTCAACAGTCGACTATCTGATCTCAACGTTGGCGTTGAGCAAGCTGGGATTCACCGTTCTTTTTCTTTCTACAAGGCTCGCAGATGCGGACTTTGTCGGTCTACTCAACGAGACCAGTTGCTCAGATGTGGTATTGGATAAAATCTTCCACGAACGGATCTCGAATCTTAGGGAGCGAGTGTCGGGCCTGCAGACACACATCATTGCCGACTGGAATATATACCTTACACCTAGTCGAAATAACCCAATAGACCAGGAGCTTGACCTCAATGTTGAAACGAACAATGCGTGCTGGATCATTCACTCGAGCGGCTCCACAGGTCCTCCTAAGCCTGTGCCGCAAAAACATTCGGCTATACTTCGCAACGCTGCCGATAATTTTGGAATGACCGCCTTCATAACTTTGCCGCTCTTCCATACCCATGGTATCAGCAGCGTCATTCGAGGGTTCACTTCCAGAAAAGAAGTATTCTTATACAGCGCCTCCTTACCATTGACCGGACCGCGACTTGTAGAGACATTTGAAAGACATCAGTTTGAGATGTTTTCTGGGGTACCTTATGCCTTGAAATTGATTGCAGAAACTCCACAAGGCACAGAATTGTTGAGTCGAATAAAGCTGGTCACTTTTGGTGGCTCATCATGTCCAGAAGCTCTGGGGGACGAATTGGTCCGCAGGGGAGTTAGGCTAGCTTGCCATTATGGATGGTACTTCTTTCCTGATCATTCCAAACCCTCTTTAATTTTCCGTTGCTAACGCAGAGGTCCCGATTTAGTACAGAATGCGGCCAGTTGATGACATCTGTACGCCCACCTGACGATAAGGATTGGAATTACATGCGCATATCTTCCAAAGCTGCACCTTTCCTTCACTTTGAGGAGCAAGATGCCAGTGGACTATATGAGCTTGTCGTACTGCCCGGATGGCCTGCCAAGGTAGCTCAAAACCGGTCTGATGGTTCATATGCCACCAAAGACTTGTTTATAAAACACCCGACGAAGCCGGACCGTTGGAAACTCGTAGGAAGGTTGGACGACACCCTTGTGTTGCTAAATGGCGAAAAGGCAATACCACTCCAGATGGAACAATTGGTCCGAATGAACCCATATGTTGTCGATGCGGTGGTGTTCGGCTCGGGAAAGCCGATGCTCGGTATGCTCGTCATCGCATCTGAGAATGCTCGTGAACTTGAAACAGAAGCCTTCCTGGATATAATTGAAAAAGATGTAGCAAAGGCCAACACCCTCCTCCCTGCGTATGCCCGCATCGACAGAGATATGATTCGTGTGCTCCCTTTTGGCACGGAATATCCCAAAACAGACAAGGGGACTGTGATCCGAGCGGCATTCTATGCTCGATTCGCAGACATCATAGAGCAAACCTACGATGCTGCTGCTGCTGCGGCGGATTCCTCCAAGGAGGCCCGAGAAATGGCCCTCTCAGAACTCGAGGAGTTTCTGCGCAAGACCTTCATTGAAGTACTTGGCCTTAGTGACCAGGAGGTCGGCCAGCTTCAAAATGACACAGATCTTTTCGCGCTGGGCGTTGATTCCTTACAAGCCCTGCGTGCGAGGGCGCAGATTGTCAAGCATGTTGCTACACGTGGCCGTCTTATAGGGCAGAATGTGGTATTTGAACATCCCAGTATCGGTGCATTAGCAAAATATTTGTCATCAACGGGCTCGAATAATAATTCTAACGAGGAAGAGAGACGACAGGACGGTGAAAATATGAAAAGATTGGTTGAGACGTATAGTAGCTTCGCGTCACATGTGCCTGTCGAGACACCCGCCGAAAGGACGTTAGATGGCCGTGTTATCATAGTCACTGGTGCAACTGGATCACTAGGAGCTCATGTCGTTTCGCAATTGATCAAACGTGCAGATATAATTCAGGTTCATTGCCTTGTTCGAGCATCGTCGATCGATCACGCTCATTCACGGGTGGTCAGCTCATTACAGCAGCGGAAGCTATACGATTCTATTTCACCTTTTGAACTGAGGAAGATTTCTGCTCAAGGATCGAGTTTTAGCGAAGAGAACCTTGGACTGAACGAGCAGACGTATCAGTGTATGTTACGGGAAGTGGACACAGTTATCCACCTTGCCTGGGCTGTAAATTTTAATCTTGGTCTGTCAAGTCTCGAAAATCAGATACGCGGTAAGCCCCGATATCTTCCATATGGGTAAGAATCAAACTGATTCTGAAAAAGGCACCCACAACCTCATCAAGTTTTGCCTGTCGACGCACTCCTTGAAGCCAGCAAGGTTTTATTTTGCGTCCTCGATCGCGGCTGTCATTAACACCCCCGGACCGGCAAGGATCCCGGAAAAAATCCCAGATACAACTTGTGACAGTATATTCCACAATGCCCAATTTTCTGGGTACGGACAATCAAAGCTCGTAGCAGAGCTTATCTGTGCTCGGGCGGCAAAGCTCGGTATGGTTTGCAGAGTTTTCCGCCTAGGACAGATCATAGGGGACACCGAGCATGGTATCTGGAACTCCCAAGAGGCGATTCCTCTAATTATACGAAGCGCCATCACAATCGGCGCTCTGCCCGAACTTAACGAGCAACTGAGCTGGCTACCGGTTGATACCGCGGCCAGTGTCATTTTAGACTTAACTTTCCCGCAGGACAGAGACGTAGATATGGATCCAAGTGCGCTGCTTCACATAATCCATCCCACAACTGTCGACTGGAGCCGCGATCTCCTTCCTGCCCTCCATGCGGCAGGGCTGGAGTTTGAACAGCTCCCTCCGAGTGAATGGGTAAAGAGACTACGGGCAAATCCGGACCCTGTAGCTAACCCTCCGATAAAGCTAATCGGCTTCTTTGAGGCCAAGTACGGTAGCGATAATAAGGAGATTGAGCAGTTATACTTCTGCACGGATCTTGCAAGCTACCTATCTCCAACGCTGCATTCCGCAAGGCCGCTCTCACACTCACTTGTGGCAACGATGGTTAGGCATTGGCGGACAGAGTGTTGGAATGATACCAACAGCGACTTAAGAGGATGAGAAATCTCATGCTCATATCTGAGAGACTCACCTGGTATAGAAATAGAAACGTTACTAGGAGGAGCGTGTGTCAATGGTCAAAAGCGGGTATTCTCGAATGTTGCACATCATATGTTTCGGCATAGTCCCCCGTCATCAAAGCGTTGGGAGCCTTCGTAGAACGGGAGAAGAAGGTACTGATGGAGAAACCAGGCGTGAAACGGTGATCATCACAAATTACACCCGGAGCGGACGTCGAGCCCTGCGCTCCACTGCCAAGCACCCCGCAAGACTGAGCTTCATCGCGAAACCAACATCGTGTGGTACCGAGGACGGATTACAAAAACGCGCAGAACGTCTTTTATTTGTGATCTATATTTTGTACTCTCATCATTGGTTATACCAATATTCCTACAGGATCTCAAAAAGCAATCGTATTCCTCAGCACCCCAATCGGCTGCACCTCGACCTCCACCGCATCCCCGTGCTGTAGCGGACACTTTGGATCTTGGAACCAACCCACGCCAGCCGGTGTCCCCGTCATGATCGCAGTACCCGCAGGAATCGTGGTGCCTTCGGACAAAAAGCTCACCAGCTCATCCACAGGGAAGATGAAATCAAACGGGCTATCTTGAACCACGCGCCCGTTTACTCGCGTCGTGATCCGCCGGCTGGCATCTGAGGGCGAGAAGACCGATGGGTGCACCAGGCGCGGACCGAGAGGGGCGAAGTTGTCGAAGCCCTTGGCGTGCGTGTACTGTCCGCCGCAAGCACGCTGGAAGAAACGGGCAGTGAGATCGTTGCCGATGGTGTAGCCTAGTATGTGGGATGTTGCCTCGGAGGCGGAGATGGATTTGATAGTGTTGCGAAGGACGATGGTAAGCTCGCCCTGTTTTGAGCAAGAGTTAATAGGGTGCACAAGGAGTAGACAGGCGCTGGCGCACGGATACGTACCTCGAAGTCTGGAAATGACTTTTGGGCTTGGGGTGGAACTGGAATCTCGCTATCCGGGTCTGCGAGGGCGGGAGGAGGTTTGTACCATATTGGTGGACATGTTGGGATGGGAAGCTGCGACAAAATACAAAAGAAAGTCATCTTGTCAGCCCACACACATACTTTGTTTGGAACACCCATCTGACGAGCGTACCGATGCCTCATTGGCGTGATTTCTATAGTTCAAGCCGACACAGATGATGTTGATTCCCGTAACAGGGACAGGGGCGAGGAGCTACTCATCCGTTAGTCCTACTCTTCGTTGTTGAAGCGCGTCCTGCACACGGATCACCTACCTTTTCCACTGTGACATTTGTACTCTGGCCGTCAGATTCCAATGCTTGTATGCTCGAAAACCCCTGCACTGTTAGACCAGCCGCTGGTGTCTCTTCTAGAGCAATTGACGCCCAATATTCGTTGCCATTAGTCGCTCGAAAGCGAATCAGACTGTCCCATTGAACCATCTTGGAGTGTATATTCTGCGCGTTCTTAGTCAACTGAGCTGTTTCACGCTGTTTAGCTAACGTAGCAAAAGAAAGTCGCATGCGAAAGAAAAGAAACGAACACGCCTAATTACATATATCTCCAACTTAATAACGACGAAATATACCCTGCGGGGCAAGCACATCTTAATCCAGATATGCCTCTTCAATCGATGAACCATTGAGAATCTCGGCACCATGATTCCGATGTGTCCCGGCCCCCACACAGTTACCCCAACGCTGTAACAATCCACCAATCCCCGCATATGGAACGGGTAACACGGACTAGCATAGCAAGCTGAAGGAGGGGCTGAGAACATTCAGCTCTGTGAGATTGATATACTCGTCACTCAGTCGATATCTCTCGCCCTACCCCTTCTCACTTCCAGTGACATCTCACCAACTCGTCAAAGGAAACAAAAGAGCAACGATGTCGAAAATAACCCCTGGGCGCATCCCACTCCCTATAGTAAACAACCCAGAGAAGATACAGCTCAACCGCCTCAGTCATGTTTACCACTTGCACCCTGACCTCGACAAATTCGAAGCTTTCGCAAAGGATTTCGGATTCGTCGAGGCTTCGCGCGACAGAGATACTGTCTACTACCGTGGCTACGGCAGAGATATGTGCGCGTACGTCGCGAACAAAAGCCACGATGGAGAACGGCACTTTAACGGTGCTGCGTTCATCGCGGAGACGAAGGAGGACTTTATCAAGGCGTCGAAATTAGACGGGGCAACTCCTATCGCCCCTTACACCGGCCCTGGCGGTGGAGAGATCGTCACGATCCAGTCGCCATCAGAGACGAAGATTCATGTGCTTTGGGGAGTGGAGGAGCGTCCGGCGCCGAAGCAGGCGGCGACCGCGACGGAGGTGCACAAAGGCGCTTATAATACCGCGCTGCAGAAGTTCAGAAAGGGTCAGCAACTGCCATGGCACTATTTGAATTGAAGGGTCTGTTCGGCTGATTGTCCATTTCTAGGCGAATTCCAACGCTTCAAACTTGGTCCCGCCATGATCCATAAACTCGGGCATGTCGGCTATATAACTTCCATGTTCGACGAAGATGTCGCATTCTACACTCAAAATTTCAACTTTGTTCCCTCGGACGTTCTCTGGGAGGAGATCAACGGCCAGGAAATCGACGCCTTGACGTTCATGCACCTGGACCGTGGCAAGGAGTACACGGACCACCACACTCTCTTCCTCTCCCGCGCGCCACCGGAATTCCAAGGCAAGCATAGGATGCACCACTGCTCGTTTGAAGTGGAAGACTTTGATACGCAGTTGCTAGGCCATGAGTACCTGTTGAGCAAGAAGTGGACGCCGATTTGGGGTGTTGGGCGACACATTTTGGGTTCTCAGATTTTTGATTATTGGAAGGATCCGAGTGGTTTTGCGATTGAGCATTATGCTGACGGTGATCTTGTGAATGTGGATAACAAGACGGGGCGGGAGAAGAGTGAAGGGGCTGCATCGATGTACATTTGGGGACCTGTAAGACCAGAGGCCGGCGTTGCGTAATTGTGAGGCCCACTGTCCTTCTGTCCGCAGTAATATGCACTAATTGTCAATCTGGCTTCCTCTTTCCCATTTTCCCGCTTTGTAAGGATCCCCATCTCCATATTGGACCAGGAAGTAGATATGATCCCTCGCATCATGGGGTTTGTCGTCTATGGTTTTTCGCGGAACCTTGCATCCGAGTGTCTTGGCGCGGGGAGTTAGCAGCCGAGCTTCGTGGCTTTCCGCATTTGGGACAGTGATAGCACATTATTTTAGTGGATCTCAGACATTTACTCAGTGGCTTGGTATTTTGATAGCGTGCATGCTATGGGGACAGGCCCGTATTCAAAGGCCTCCTATGAAAGCTCGTGTAATGAGATAGCGGACGTAACATGCCGAGTCTTTCAATGTGGTTGGGGACTGGGTCTCCTTTCTTATTTTGCCATGATAGGTACGGCGGGGGGAGGCAGCCTTCTAGTAGCTGGCTCCCAATTCTGGAGTCGGTCGACGATTGTTTTCATATAAGCATCCTCTGTCTGTCAAATGGTACTGTTTGTATGCGAATAAGAAGTTCAACAATATGAGCATCGACATAGAAGAAACAACGGTCCTCATTGTAGGCGCAGGACCAAGCGGTCTAGCCCTCGGGGCCTTGCTTGGCCGCATGAACATCAAGGTATTCGAATATTCGCAAAAAAAATATATATATACTAGATTTGATTGAGACGTTGAATGCTAATCCGGCACTTACTCATATAAGGTGGTTATCCTGGAGAAAGAGGTCGAGGTCTGCGAAGATCCTCGTGGTATCGTGGTCAATGGCGACGCAGTTCGCATTTCGTATCAAATTGGTATTGGGGAGGGATTGACGAAGAGAATTGGAAAAGGTGAGCATGCGAGAATAAACATACTCGAGACATTGCTGCTCTTGCAAACTTTTTTTAGCTTTGTGATCGTGGCTGACGTGCGAATCGTGTGACAAAGATATTGGTGTGCTTAATTTTCACCGAGGAAACTTTAGGCAACCAACATTTATGACATTCGACATTACTGTCGACTGGGCCGAACAAGCAGTTTCAAATAACCTCACTCAGTTTCAGCCGAACTATGAGCGAGAGATCCGAAACCTTATCACACAATTCCCTACCTGCGAGATCCGAACGGGATGCGAGGCCATAGCCCGAGAGGAGAATGGTGACCACACAATTCTTGAGTACGTTACGCAAGACGGGACGAAGCGATATATCCGTACATCATGGCTTGTCGGTGCGGACGGGAAGCGTGGTGTTGTACGGAAGAAGTTCCTGGAACCAGAAGGTATCAGGCAAGAGGATGGCTTCTATACTTATGTTGGAACATGGGTTGCTGCCAATCTGCACATCACGACACCGACGCCGAAATCGCATCCGCAGTTTCCGCTTTGGCAGCTGGGGTACACCCCACAGCAGGTACATGATGCCTTTTGGCCAAGCGGATTCCAGTAAGATAAAACATTCGCAGAGGAACTACTGCATGCTCGGCTGACAGATATCAGCTTTTGTAACAGTTCGAAAAGACCTGCCGTCAGCGGGAGATTTGGGCCACCAAACTCAGGATTCTGGAGGTAAGACTTTCGGAATCTCCTTCCTTTTATTCTAAATCCTCAATACTAATCCGGCCCCCTCGGAAGGCACGAATTTTCGGTCGAGCCAGAAGACAACCTTAAAGATGTTGAAGGGGATTTCTGGAAGCAATTCGGATCTTGGATGATCATTCCCGGGTCAAAGTTTTCGTGGAAGCTGCGGAAAACTCTCGTCGAGTTCCCGAGAGACTGCATCAAGATCGTGCGGTGCAGACCATTCACGTAAGTAAAATTTAAATATTAGTGCTATACTCCCACTCTGACAGGTAGGACTAGGTTTGCAACAAAAGTAGTTAATCGATGGTACTGCCGCAAGACGATGCTAATCGGCGATGCCGCCCACGTCTTCCCACCTTTTGGCGGCCAGGGCATCGCGGCAGGCATTCGTGACGCACAAGCACTCAGCTGGAGACTGGCCCTGATGACTAACCTAGGGGTCTCAGTTCAGATCCGAGAGAGAATCCTGACGGGATGGAGCCAGGAGCGCCGTCACGCGTGGAACGCAGCAACGCTAGCAACCAAACTGAACGGCGGCATTGTGAACCAGCGGTCTCTGCTCGGCGGACTGGTTTATCGAATGTGGATGCGTTTCCTGTGGTGGTTCCCCGGCATCGCGCGGCTCAGAACGCGCCGTGCATTCCGAGACAAGCTCGTTTACAGCTCCAAAACGTGCCCTGACGGTTTCTTCCTGGAGAAGGCAGGCGGTGGACGGAAAGTCGCACAGATCTGGGTGCGCAGACAGGGCGAAAAGCCAGCGCTGTCTGACGGTGTGTTCCTCCGTAGCCTACCGCACTTTGGCCTCCTGGTCATCGTCAGAAGTTTGGCAGATGCGAACCCTAAGGAGATCGAAGAGGCCATCAGAGCAGCGGATCTACCAGAGGAGATCCTCACTTCCAAGGACGTGACGTTCTTCTGTCTGAATGTCCAGGCTGGGAACTCATTGAGCAAACTCGGGGCAGAACAACAGACGTACTATCCGTGCCGGACACAGGAGTTGTTGGAGGAAGGCATCACTCCCATCAAGGGATACCGTGAGACAGCAGTGCAGGATCGCTATGCTAAGTCGGCCAGGTATGTCCTCATACGGCCTGATTTTTTCGTTCACTCTGTGGCAGCAAATGCCGGGGAGCTGGCAGCAAATCTTCGGGAGGTCAAGGGGTATTTTTCTTAGGGTTGTTATGACCTAGCTTGTCTGTTTGTTGACGTGCCTGTTATTCGTTATAGCCATGTACGGAGTAGCTCTGATATTTAAAATAAGCCAAGTGGTCCGAAGAGCCATCTCTGTTACCGTGCCAAAAGCCCGAGCACAGAATGTGGGCTGACATCCCCGCTCGAGGGGTCAGGTCAGGTCAGGTCAGGGGCAAGCATACATCATAATCGACAGCTCCATCGGCCAGCCATCAAAGGTGATTCTCCACATCAATGGCCCGTATATTGCTATGTAGAATGGAAGCCTGCGGAGTGATCCTGCCGGGAGACCGATCGCAGGCCCCGTTGGCGTTATTCCGCAGCGCCGCCAGGATCGAAGGCTGGTTGCAGCTCGTTAAAAAAGGGCTCGACGTCCAAAAGGGGGCAGGGCTTGGCGGATACTCTGACGTAAGCAGGCTAGTTAGTTAACGTAAGCACGCCCACTGCGGCCAGGCCCGCCAATGAAGAGCCGCGGTTGGCGCGAAAAAAAAAAGGCTTATGGGCTCCACTCTGATGTGCGCTGCGAGAAGTTCAACGATGACAGCGCTCGGGATCCTGTGAAGCCGTAGGCTGGTCGAGGGAGGGCGTCGCGGGGAAGGGGGGGGGAAGGCCAATGGAGGTAGGAAGATGACGGAAAGTCTGTCTGAACTGTCGGTACTCCGTAGTGGGAGGATACTTCCAAGATTAACAGGCTGTATGTTTATGCAGTTGGCGAATGGGCTCTGGGTACGAAACCCAGCTGGGCACCCTGGAGAGCGGGAGGAGAGACTACAACCAACATATTGCTGTCGAATCACTTTCAATGAAATTGAATTCACTTGGCATTACCTTCACTTATTCTTCAGCCCAGGAGATATCCCCCTTTGCAATGGTTATTCCAACAACTTCGAAATAATAAAAAAAAAAAAAAAAAAAGACTTGTTCGTATTGGGAGGGGAAAAAAAGCGAAAAAAGCGAAAAAAAACTTGCAGCAGCAAGCTGACTTTGTCTGGGTCAGCCGGACATACGACGGATGGGTCTCGGACTCCGTATTTCAAAATTGACTTACGAAAACCCTCGTAGCTTTCTTATAAAACCTGCCTACGAGTTTACGACTCCATTTTCATAACGAGATCTGGGACAAATATTCCAATCGGTGCTGGAGATCAAATGACTTCTGTGTCCAAAGGGTTGATCGGCGGGCCGAGAGGGCCTACGCACTGCCTGTGCCTTGGGTGACGACGGTACAACGGATCGACAGCTGGGAGGGGGGAGAGCGGAGTGTTGGGAACCTCAGACCAAGGCACGCACGATCTGTGACTGGGGTGTGTCATAAATCTCCTTCCAAAATGTCGCGAAAACGGCGCTGCCTAGGTCGCAAGCACCACAACACGACGTCGAATTAACTACCTCACCAGTTGGAAGCAAACGATGTGTGCACGTATGCATGTATGTATGGAGTACTCCGTATGTATGTAACTAGTAATTAGGCACTATATAACGAGGTGATTACGTGTGTACGGTACTCCGTGCAAATAGACATTGCTGGTGTCCACGGAGTTGATGGCATCTGAGAAGGCTTCCTTTATGTCTGGGTGATTCGATACCCGACGGATTGACCATGCGGGAAGACGTCGAAAAGGTGAATTTTGCCTGCTGGGGTCTGTAGTATGTATGTCACACGCGGAGTACAGCTTGCTTCAAGAGAAAGGGGATAGGGAGAGGAATGGAAGGCGTAGAAATTGGTGGGGAAATGAAGGGACAAGCAATCAACCCATCATTGTGAATTGGCAAGAGAGGCAGAAGGATATCGTTCGGTTGCTTTTGAAGTGGGTGAGATCCGACGGCTAACCAGGTTGTTACGTGAAGGGTGTCGCCTCTCAGAGCAATAAGGACTCCGATATTATTCATCAGGGAAAAGCCGCAGAAAAGTTGTGGGTGGGGGATTAAAGAGGTTTTGGAAAAAAAGAAAAAGTCACTTGCAGGTTGGGACTGACGCTGGATGTGGCAACTGCAAGTTCCACAAGGAACGCAGAATGCGCATGCGCCATACAAAGTACCCGGAGCCCGCTGTGACTTGGCTCAACGTCCGTTGCGGAAGCGGTCCAATAGTGGTCGCGTGTTCCCTGGGAAATGATATGCTTTTTTTCATTACTTACACGCAGCTTTCGAGACGGGGCAGAAAACCCATAATAACCGTCCTCTTCATGTGACGGAAGCTAGTCTGCCTAAATGGGCTTCGAATGGGCTTGTGCGGAGAAAGAGATGAAGAGGTTATCGAGACGGGTGGATAGGCCTTACAGGAGAGAGTAGGCCATCTTCTCGAGACGATGATTTCGTGGTGACAAGGAAAAGGCGAAGACGGAGTGCACCATGCTCACTTATACCACTACTCCCGTACTCGCTCCTCTTCTTATTTTATTTTCATTTTCATTTTTTATTTTTCATTTTCTTCCCCCCGTAGTCGAGAGGATTGGCGGGCAGAACCCGACGGTCGAAGGACGAGTTGAGGATGTGATTAGGTTTTGGCATTATTGGTCGGTAAGCTTGGCGCGCGTGGCTGATCGTGACTAGCCAACATCCTGTCGATGGTACTGTAGCTCAGAGAAGGCCAGCGAGAGAAGAATCAACTAACTTTTGCTGGTCGAAGAGTCGGCCACCACCCTGGTCGGTCCGTCCGTCGTGAACCTGGAGGCATGTATGTACATGTACCCGCTTTGGCTGGGGAACCCGGGAATTACTACACGGGCGGGTACGGGGTTCTCGCGAGTGACCTGTGACTTTTTCTCTCGCGGTGAAGTTTGGTCGAGCCAAGAATCGCCTGGGAAGCGAGGAAGACGGCGCGAAGGGGACAGCGACGTCTGCCCCTCTACCACGATGCCTCTCCCCTTGACTCTGTGCACCATTGTCTGCTTGACCTGAATGCAGATGGAATCGTATTAGTAGCAAAGATAGTCTTGGTTTCTTCTCCTCTCTCTCTCTCTCTCTCTCTCTCTCTCTCTCTCTTTTCCCCTTCCCCCCCCCTTTTCATTATTATTTCTTTTTTTTTCCCTTTCAGTTGCCGGAAGGGGGGAAGTGGTTTTGTAACCATTCCATCGCTCTCACGCCCAGACGACTTCATTCAAACCAGATTCTCGGCACGCACGGTCTGATTTGCTTCTGTGACTGAACACGGAGACCACCGCTCCGGATGCTGCATTCATTCGAATCAGGCACATCGCAGGATGCCACGTCCGAGCGTCCGTTTACACACTGCTGTCTGTAACAATAGTATGATGATGATGATGATGTATAAACGTACTCTTGTACTCTGTAGTTAGACTGTGATAAAACTCGGGGATACATCGTCCCATAACCAGACCACACACGCGACGGGCGGCGGTTAATTTTATCTACCACCGGCACCAAGTCACAAATATGAGATGTGCCGGGAAGACGCTGATTAGCTCCAGGGTATCGTCCACTCCCCTGCATTCCCTTGGGCCCAAGGAGGAGGATGGATACCTTTCATTAACGTCCCCCTAGTTGACCATCGCCAAACCACACACCATTCCGTCTGCGAAGCCCTGCTCGGATCGCGTAGGCTGGCGAGCGAACGCAAATGGGAGCAGTGGTTTTAACTGAGCAGTCGACCAAAACAGCGCACCAGGAACAGCCGGACTCAAAAAAGAAGACGTCGAAGCGGCCAGAGCTTCGCTGAGGGCGAAACGTTTGTTCTCCCTCTTGTCTGTTTTGCTTTGGGTGACACCAGATGTCTGACCCACTGATCAGGACTAGTTAGCGCCATCAGGTTCCCAGACTTTTCTGCTCGCCCGCAGCGGATGAGGTTCTCTTGTCGTCAGTAATGAGTTAGTCCGGGCCCAGTTGGCTCGCTCGTAGCTTGTACTCTCCTTCGACCTGCGTGCGCTTTAATTTTTCTCTTTTTTCTTTTTTTTTTTTTTCCCTTTTCCCTCTTTTGAATATATTTCGAACTTACATACATAATCATGTCAAGGAAGTGAGTTTAACGGCATCTTCCTCTCTCTTGGTCCGGGCCCATCTTATTCTTCCTCTTCCTCTTCCCGTTCTGCTTCTTCCTCTTCCTTCCCTCTTCTTTCTTCCTCTTCCGTGATACTCATCCTCAGCTCTCCCGTCTCCTCGCTATATTCCTTGTCCTGCCGCGTCCTCCTCCCGCCAGCCTCTCAGTATCCGTTTCTCCATCCCGTGTGGTAAGTAACTATCTCATCAACCTTTCCGTCATCCACCTTTTTCTCGTGTTCTTCCCTTCCCCCCTCTTCGACCTTTGTGTATGTACATACATCCTGCTCTTCTGCTCCACGTTTCCTCCCCTCCCCTTCAAAGCTTCCTTTTGCCCATCTGGCGACGGAGCAACAACACAAGCTTCTCTTGCTTTCCATGACTCAACGTATTAATCCGGGAAAGGCCTTGGACAACACGTCTCCCCTCTTAGTCATGCAATAATTTTCACTTTCTTTCACCTTCCCCTCCGCCATCACAACTCCCAGCCCAGTTTCACTCGCAAGCTCCGTTCTCTCTCCCTCTCCTTTCAACCTTCAAATCTTCAATCTGCCCCAGGCTCCCGCTCCACATCCGTCTCTTATTTGATCTGTATAACCTTGTTGTCACCGCCCAGCTGTATCTCCCTATTTATTCCGCCGCCCAAGCTGCCAGAGCCACAACGAACTTCGGAGTTGGCTCGGCTCCGCTTAAATTCCCGATCATCTCTCTGCTCCTCCAATTCCACGCCCTGCGTTCTCTTCTGTCTGAAAGCATCCTGGTCTACTTCCCTTCTCCTTGTGTGCATCTCTCTGATCTGCGTGGTCTGGGTTTGCGGCGTTGCTCAGGCTCTCTCCGCCGCCGCCCCGTTCACCACACCAAATTTCCCCTGCCTTACTTTACTTAGCATGGCGGTTTTGTAACTGTTTCCGGTATTACAGAAAACACCAAGTATCCCAGCGCCAACCACCAGACGCCGTTCCTCCACGGCCTATCAGCAGCTTCGCGTTTCTTCCTTTTTTTTTTTTTTTTTTTTTTTTTTTTTTTTTTTTTCTTTTAATATCTCCCTCCCAGTGGATGTATAACCGTGGAAAACTGCCGTCGTCAGGTTATCCCTGAAGTTGCCCTGTGTCTCCGCCACACATGGCAGCCGCTCAGGATGCCGCCCTCTCCACCGAGAGTGAATCGCCTGCAAAGTCCGCCGCGTCGTTACCCACCCAGTCCTCCTCGTCCAAAAATGGAAAAATGGATAACGCCGCCGATAAGGCCTTCGCTGCCCTCAACGGCTCTCAGTCCCAGCCAATGACCGCGTCAACCTCATGTTCCTCTGCCGCAGATACGCCAAAGCAGACCCTCTCGAGCTCAACTCCTACCCCGGCCCCTTATGGTACCCGGTCAAGGAACAGAGTGGGTGTCCCACGACCAAACTATGCTGAAGACCGCGACCTTGACATCGATCTCGAGCCCGTGAGCAACTCCAAGCCTACCACCTCCAAGAAAGCTGCATCCGCCAGCCACACTACCTCCAGGACCTCCCCCGCCGCCAGTATCGAGAAGAACGGAGGAGTGAGCACAAGGGGCACAAGAAACGCCGCGGGTAACCACCTCTCGACGACGAAAGAAGCTATCCCCGGCACATCGACTTTTTCTGCGAACCCAAACGCGACCAATGGCTCCAAGAAGCGAAAGCAGCCAGGATCCAACACCATAGTCCAAGGCTCGTCTACTCCCACCAGTACAAGTGCGACGAGTAGAAAATTCATTGTCCCTGCCTCAAAATTGCCTGAAATGGCGGCGCCGACGAACATGATGACCTTTAACAACGCCAAGGGCTGCTTGAAGAATGGAAAATTAAAAGCGGATGACGGAACTGTTCTAGCTCCAAATGGTACCTCTCTACCTGCTCTACCGTCTGTCTTGTGTGAATTTTTCATCCTCTCTTCTTGTGAATCGCAATCTGACCTTTTTTTTCTTTTCGCTACCTTATAGATCACGTTTACCTAATCTGCGAGCCTCCCGGCGAACCGTATTACCTTGCCCGAATAATGGAGTTCCTACCCAACAAAGATAATCCGTCCGGCCCCATCGAGATGGTCAGAGTTAACTGGTACTATCGACCTCGCGACATCCAGCGCAGAGTCTCAGACCCGCGCCTGGTGTTCGCTTCCATGCATTCCGATACGTGTCCGTTGACCGCCCTTCGAGGAAAATGCCAGATCGTACATGCGTCAGAAATCAAAAACCTAGAAGAATTCAGAAGAGGCAGGAATTGCTTCTGGTTTGAGAAGATGTACGACCGTTATATCCAACGCTATTATGAAGTGGTACCCACCAGTCTGGTTATCAATGTCCCGCAACATGTGAAGAAGGTCTTGGATGAACGCTGGAAATTTATTCTAATCGAAGTGGGACGATCAAAAGAGTACACAGCTGATGTTAAAACTTGCAAACGGTGCACTCAATATGCTGCCAAGTATGCCCCTTTACCCTGCAACGTCCCCATCCTCCTCCCCGACCCATATTCCAAGAGCGAGAACTAACAGTCTCTGTAGCTCTGAGTCTGTCGATTGTGCCGTATGCCACCGTACCTATCACATGAGGTGCGTTCGCCCAGTTTTACAGAAGAAACCCGCTCGAGGATTTGCCTGGGCTTGCGCTCCCTGTAGCCGTGCGCAAGACAAGAAAATGGAAGCGAGAAACACGCCGATCATTGGTGAACTGCGGCAAGAGCCTGAGCCCGACGCGTACGAAGAAGATGAAGAAGAACCGTTGCCTCCTGCGGAAATTACACAGAGCAGTAGTCCTTCTATACACGAAGGTGTCACCCACTCCGCTACACCTGAACAGACCGCGCAAGCGAAGCTTTGGCCTTTTAGATATCTAGGAATACATTGCCGCGTTGAGGAGGCGTTGGAGTACGATGATAGAATATACCCTCGAGCTAGTTCACGGATCGGCTCCCGTCACCAGGCTAACGTCATTCCGTGGTATGGCCGTCCGATCAGATACGTGAAGGCCCCTGAGATGAAGAAGAAGTACCTCAAGTCGAAGAAAGACCCTAAGATGTCGAAGGAAGCCCTTGCCGCATTCGAAGCCGACAAAGCCGAAAGGGCGAAACGGCCAAAGTGGATCCTAGACGAGCCACCCGGCTACATACGTCGTGGCGAGGATGAGCCGATTACTATTGGTAGTAAGCAGGTCCGAACGGCGGAGTTACAATTCAAGATGCCAGATGTGTCAGATCTTCCAGCGCGTGGAGAGGATGATACTCCTGGATCGCATTTGAGCCCTGAGGATCGTGAGAAATTTATGGACGAATACATGGCCGAGGCCAAGAAGATCGCGCCCCTCAAGGGCATCGAAGAATATTCTACGAACTTTCTGGATAAGGCGCTGAAATTCCTATATGAAGAAAATTTCAACAAGGACGCGGCGCTGGCCAGGTTGGGCAAGATAAACAAGTACACCGACCTCAAGGAACCGCACCTTAAGCCGGAGGAGGTGAAGCTCTTTGAAAGTGGTGTTGCCAAGTACGGTTCCGAGCTGCGCCTTGTTACCAAACATGTTGGTACTGTACCACATAGTCAGATTGTGCGATATTACTACATGTGGAAGAAGACGCCAAAAGGTCGTCAAATCTGGGGAAATTTCGAGGGTCGGAGAGGCAAGAAGGCGCTTAAGAAGTCGGATAACGCAACGGTGAAATTGGTGGACGATATTGCCGATGACCACGACGACTCCGCATTCGATCAAGACAAAGCTGCGAGTAAAAAGCGAGGATTTAGCTGCAAGTTCTGTTCGACGAAAACTTCAAGACGATGGTGTCGAGCGCCGTTTGTTCCCCCCGGCACAACCACGACCGCCGAGCCATCATCCAAAAAGGACAAGGGAGTGGTTTACACGGTCGCATTGTGTCAGCGCTGCGCTTTGTTGTGGAGAAAATACGCTCTTCAGTGGGAGAATCCCGATGAGGTCGCGAAAAGAATCTCTCAGGGAGGTACGAAATCGTGGCGGCGCAAATTCGAGGAAGAGCTGTTGGCTCAACTCCTTACGTATACCGAGTGGGATATGAAGATCAACAACACCACCGCTACCACCGCTGCGTCCCTCGGCATTCATGTGGTATCTGATATGACAAGGGATACTGCAGCTGAGCCACCCAAGAAGAAGACGAAGACCTCGGACAAGGATTCTGCCACTCCAGCCAAGGAGTCTCCAGTGGATCAGGTTCCCAAGAGAAGAGTAGTCGACAAACCAACAGAGCCACCACCCTTGCTACCAGAGCCACCCAAACCGAAAATGCTTCCTTGCGCTATTTGCAACAAGATGGAACCCGGTGGCGATCAGCACCTATCTTGTCGAGATTGCCGACTCTCCGTCCATCGCGGTTGTTATGGCGTGAGCGCCAACCGAAACGCGGCCAAGTGGTTCTGCGATACTTGCTCGAACGACCACAATCCAGCTATATCAACGAGATACGAATGTGTTTTGTGCCCGGTTACCTGGACAGAGCATGAGTTGATGGAGCCACCCAAGATATCGCACAAGAAGAAGTCCGACCGCGAGCGCGAGAAGGAGAGATTGGAAAAGGAGATGGTCGCCGAAGCCATCAAGCTCTACCGTCAACGACAAGAGGCTGCTGGAAAGCCCGCTGGCCCTCGGGAGGCGCTCAAGCGAACAGCCGGAAACAACTGGGTCCATGTCACCTGTGCCGTCTGGAATCCCGAGATCAAGTTTGGAAACGCAAAGGAGTTCGAGCCTGCTGAGGGGATGGGGTTGATTCTGCCGGAACGATTCCAGGAGACCTGCAAGATTTGCAAGACGCAGAACGGCGCCTGCGTCACCTGCCATCTATCTTCTTGCAATGCTCGTTTCCATGTTGGGTGTGCGCATCAAGCCGGGTACAGGTTTGGGTTCGACGTGACTCCAGTGAAGGTCAGCAGAAGAGACTCTGTAAACACGATGAAACTTGGAAAAGAGTCCGGCGCGGTTACGGCGGCAATTTGGTGCCCTCATCATGTAATTCCGTCCATCGTGCATGAAATGAGCGAGCCTTCTGGGGTTGACGATATGAATGCCCTTCAGCTGTACGCCCAGACTTGCAAGCAGGCCGATCTTACCCTCACCGGTACCGTGCGGAAGGCGGCCCATTTCCAGCAAACCGTGGGAGCGTCGATGAGTGGGCAGACGGCATCGGCTCGACGTGCTGCTGCTGCGAACGGCGCCAGCTCTGGTCACGCGAGAAAGGAGAGCACCAACGCTGCTGGATCATTGGTTGAAACGTCGCCGAAGATGGATCGTGGTGCCAACCACTCGAGTGAACAGAACGGCAATGAAGCGACGAATGGTGTTCCGGATGCGAAGAACTGCCATCACTGTCAGACAACCATCAGCCCGAGATGGTGGCGTTGCTGTGTGAGTCAAGAGTTGCCTGGCATGGCTAGTCGCCAAGCGCCGAACGGAACTTCCTACGACGGTGTAGCAGATGAAGGAGATCAAAGGAGCTCCATGGAGAAGACCGCAGAAAAGGTCTTGTATGAGTGTCATAAATGCCACTACAGGAAGTCAGAGTCTCCAGCAGCCCCTGAACCTCGACCTTCACCGTTTGTTTCCAAGCGCGATTCAAGCTTGCCCGCCAACCGAGGACCCGAATACTCCCATCATTCATTTGCATCTCCCCGCACTCAAACCGTCCAACAGAGTCCCAACCTCCATATACCTCCGATTGTTCCTCTCCATCCGCATGGACAAGAGTGGCGACCCGATTTCGAGCAGCGACCCGGTGACTACGCGACTCCGCTTCTTCGAAATGGGATCCCCCCGGGGCCACCAGGACATCCAGGGCCGAATGGAATCCCCCTCCCGCCGCCAAACTTCCATTCTGGCCCACCGCAGGGTTCGCACATGAACGGCTATGCACCTTCCCTTCCGCCGCCTCCGTCGCACTATTCCGGTGCCGTGCCACCTCCACCTCCACACACATACCCGACACATCAAAGCCCATACACACCCGTCCCAGGCCCATCCACGAGTGGTCCGCCTCAGATGCCCGCGGGTAGCCATCCATACACATCCGCCTCGCCACCGGCAATTCATTACTCACCTCAACCTTCGATGAGCGGCCTGGCACCCGGTGCTCCTCCTGTTCGAATGTACCCCGTTGAGAGAGCCATCGCGCCCAACCTCCCGTCCCCGTCTGTATCCCGTCGCAGCGTAGACCCTCAGCCTCCGGGAACACCGGGAGCGTCGGAGCAGCATAACCCTGCTGGAACCGAGCCATCCTCGACCAACGCGCCGCAGCGATCTCCAAGCTCTGGTCTTGCAAATAGTGGGAACCAGGCGCCTGTGGCCGCATCTGGAGCGAGTGCGAGTCCGTCGTTAAAAAATTTGCTTCTTTGATAAACCATAGCGGGTTCGGAAAGATAAAGAGGAGTTTTTATGTGTGTTTTTTTCTTTTCTTTCATACTTCTCCAAAGTCCTTACTTTCTGTTCATGGCAGGTTTTGTTTCTCTCCTTTTTTTTTCATTTCTTTTCGTTTTGTTTTAAAAGGATGCTCGGAAAGCAAGGCGGACAGGATATGTATATGGGTTTTCGTCAGTGGGGTAATACACCGGTGTCCCTGGGTTATGGTGGTGTTATTTACCGAATGAGTGCTGGTCATCGCCGGTTTCAGAGATACCGTAAGTCACTCCTATGCTAGAATTTATCGAAGATGTCTCTTGTCAAGGCTTTGAAGATACATTGTGTATTATTTATCTATTTTTCTTTTTTTTTTTTTTTTTTCCAGCTTCGGCTGTTAGCTATTACTCGAAAGGTGTGTATTGCATCGTACTTTTGCGACAATGAAGAGAAAAGAAAGTAGCCCGACTCGATTGAATCAACAAACATAAGGGGGTAATTTCTACAATTTGAAAGCAAAATTGTGACTACCGTGCTGCCAGTCTGCTCTTCGGCGTGTGGTTAATAACAAAAGAAGATAACGAAAAGGTCGTGGATGAGTAGGAAACTCGCCACGGATTAAAAGAGGGACACTCTTCACAAAAGTCAAGGAACAACGATTCAGTCTACAAAACCGGAAGCGAAAAGGAGAAAACTTTTAGTTATAGATTGCCTTTTCTCGGGAACGCCACACCTTCTGTAGCTTTCCCATCCGTGAACCAGCTCACTCTGTCTCCGGCCTTCTCGTTGACCATGCCACAGGGTAACTGCTTGCCTTCCTCGGTATCGAAAATCTGCTTCATGACCTCCTTCTTGCCCTCGCCGGTGGCCACAAAGGCGATTCTCAACCCGTGCGTAACGACCGGGAGAGTAAGGGTGATGCGCTTCGGCGGCGGCTTTGGCGAGTCAGAAATGGCGGCGACCCACGAATCTGATTCTTTGAGGAGCTCGTGGCCCGGGAATAAGCTGCAGGTGTGCCCGTCAGGGCCGCAGCCGAGCAGGATGAGATCGAACACGGGCAGTTTGACGCTGTCCTTTGCGGCAAAGGAGTGCATGAGCTCTTCCTGGTAGAGGTCGGCGATGTCTTGGGGGTCAGTGTCGTTGCTGAGGTTGGTGGTATCGATGGGGTGGATCTTGGGCTGCCCGAAGGTAGGGGAGAGCTTGTCGACGAATTCGGTCTTGACGAGGTTGTAGTTGCTATCTGGGTGGTCGAGGGGGACGACGCGCTCGTCGGCGAAGAAGATGTCCCAGTGGGAGAGTTTGAGAGTATTCTCGTCGTCTCCTCCCGCTTCGGTGGCGGAGGAGGGCTGCTGACCGACGAAGGCTTTGGCTAGGATGGTCGGGAGAGAGCCACCGGAGACGGCCACACGGAAGACATCGTATCTCTTTAGGGCTGCATTTTGGGAGTGGAGGACGTATGTCCGGAGACGCTGGGCCAGGTCTTCAGTGTTGTCGAATGTGTAGAGATGGGGGCTTGTTCCTGACATTGTGATCTGCGAGAGGAGCGTGATTAATTTGAGCGTTGGCAGAGAGTGAGTGTTGGTTGTAATAGCTGGTTTGTCGCTGCGTATGCTCGAGATCGAAGATGGTCGTCTTGCTTAACAACTATGCTTGGGAATTGTCAGAGATCGCGCTGCGGGGCTGTTCTAAAACTCCGCCACTCTGGACCTGACTAAGCGGTTAGTGCACACTCTATTTTTGCCAAGCCGCACACAACATGCGCGACTTGTGCCTGTGGCGCCGTGCTAGCGTATCGGCAGTTTAGCAGACGCGTATTTTTGATGTCATCGCGGGGTTCCAAAACATGTGTCGTGCAGTCAACAAACCAGACGCCCAAGGCCGATCTCTTTGCTGAGACATCTACAGACGTTGTCTGCGTCAGATATCAAGCCTCCGTTGCCGCACGGTTATTAAATTAAAACGTCGAATTAATTGATTGAGTAAATTCACCCCCTATACAATCATGCTACCCAGTGTGTACTGTACATACATCTGTGCCCAGATTACCTTGGTGATGTAACTCTGGGTTCTAGGGACAGCATACAAAAGATGAAGCTCTCTGCTTTTTCTTGGATAACTAATAAAGATCCCTATGTACTTTTACCTTGAGCGACTCAACGCTGCAGGTCAACTCTTCCGCTCCTCTAGCATCGCCCCAGCATCTCTTCCAGTGCGCTCTTTTCTGCGCTAGTCACGGTCAGGTCGTACACGGACTTGACCCCGATCCACATGCGGGAGTAAGTGCAGTAATAAGATTCTGGTATTCATCAGATCAGCGAGGAATTTGCCCAGAAAACCCCATTGGAGACGCGAGTTTTAAAAAAAAAAAAGGACAAGGGAGAAAAGGAGACAACATACCCAAAGGAGGTTTCCAGTCCTCTGGACCCTTATCACCCTTTTCTTGGTTAACATTATCCGTCACCGCGATCAATTGCGGATTCTCCAGGTCATTGGCAAACTGCCGCCTCCTTTCTGTTGTCCACTCTCTCGCGCCACTCTTCCATGCGTTGCTCAGAGGGACTACGTGGTCGATATCCACATCACTTGCTTGATCCCATCGACCCCCATCGTATGGACTGTACCAGTTTCCCTGTGTGGGGTAGCAGTTATCGTCGATGGTGACGTCTGTGCCGTCGCGTCGTAGCACCGTCTCACGCGTGTTGCACTCGCCGGATACCGTTATCCAGTGGGGGAAGAGGTCGCGGGAGTAGCCATCCTGCGGACCCTGCGGAGCCACAGTGAGCTCGGCAAGTGCGGCGCGGGCGGCGGAGGCGGAGGGAATGTTGGGCGGGGTGAGAGCGGACGCGGGAGCTGAGGCGCAGAGGGGCGCGGCGGAGAGTAGGAGCGGAAGTACGGCCGAGAAGAACATGTTTACTGTCTTCGTCCGGCGGATACACTTGTGTCCTTTATCAGACAACTTAGTGGTGTCGGAGTGCTCAAGAAAATGATTCCCTGTCTTGAGGAAGGATACTCTCCTGATGCCTCAGAGACGAACGCGAGAAAAACAAACAGGCGAGGGACGATGCGGATGAGGACGGATTATATAGTATCCCCCGGCGGCCATATCCGTCCCACTCGCCCGTAATTCCTTCCATCCCGCCCCGTACTCGGCGACTGCGGGAGGGATACCATAAAAAACCGATCCCCAGTCGGTGCCGAAGGAGTGTCGATCATCATCCACAGAAACGCTCCAACCATCGCACGAGGTTCGGTTGCATTCTATCGCTCGGTATTTACAGTTACACGAGCCGGATAAATCCTCCCTTGTGAAAGCACAAGCATCGAACCCGCGCACGCCATTGGGTATCAGATATTCTGCGAGGAGTGATCGCCTTGACAGGGATTCCCCCAAAAAACACGGAATGACCGAAGCATTGACCCTCAACACTCCTCGAGGGCTGCACCCCAAGTTGGGGGTTTGAAGGACCTTCTCGTAGGATAACAATAAGGTTCAGAAACACGGTTGACGGGTTAATTAAGGAATAAACCCTTCTCCTGCTCGCGGACTCCATAATTTGGTTAAAGAGTAGATAATATTTATCATTCAAAATCGAGATAATTCCAGTCAATCTGCTTGTCAATTCTGTGGTCTATTTATATGCATAGCTGTCGAGATATGGTCTAAAGTGCGAATTAGTGCAGGAACCTGCAGCTGTTTGGATGGTAAACATTGTTGGGTGGTGTGCAATTGACTGGCTCTGACTCGCCAGCACCGCTGATGCTTCCCTGGAGCCAACCTTGGCTGACGATGAATGGGATCAATTTAATTCCCGACTTCCACTGGCTTCAGAGGTCACCGACGACATCGCTCAACATCATCGTCTTGCTTCAGCCGGCTCTGACGCTTCGGCTTCTGACCCCGCCGCCATGCCCAGCTACACCAACTTGCCGCGTGGCCCAGAAAGTACCATTTACGAGAAGGACAACGGATTTGATGAGTTGGCGGTACAAAGATCAAGTTTATCAAAGGGTAGAAGCAATCAGGCACATCATGTCATTCATCGATATGTGCCCCAGCTGTCACTGCATACCAAATGCACCACTTTCTTACCTGTTCCGGTCCCATAATAATCCAAACCCTAGCTATGTGGACAATGGATTTAGTGACTTGAATTGTGCTTGCTGTGAAATCAGGGCCTACTGCAATCTTAAGTGATATGGCAGCTGTGACAGGGGTTATTTGTCAAAGTTTTATGTATACATATTGTCCTTGAACCCAGCTGCCTTTTCTCCTCATATAGATGCCTTCACACATGATTCTGGCTTTCTAAGTGCAATTCTGATGGAATACCTGCCAAGTCAATTGTTAATGAACTGTCTCATCTACTGCAAAAAATGGATGGCTAGGGCAGTTTATGGCATTCAACAGATTCATTCAGGGTACAACAATCCTTATCACAAGAACATCCTTATTGTCCTGGTGCTCTGGATCTCTGGATCTCTGGATCTCTGGGATCTCTGGATAGATTTTGATGTTGTAATCACCTATCCTAGCACCTACGTATGTTGGAGACAGCGAATACGGCTGGATTGAGTTTGAAACAGAATGTTTTGAAAGTCTTGGGAAGAAGATTGTTGATGATCTACGGAGTAGACAATTAACGAGTTAGTTAGTTATGTTGGTGGATTCTGATTCCCCAGCATGTGAGGCAAAATGAATCATTCAATGATAGGGCTATTCATGAACCTGTATGAATAGTTGCTGTGGATTGCCCCCATTTTGTACGGAGTACTCGGTAAGAAGTACGGAGTATGATACAAGCATCTAGCAAAGCCAGTATTAGCACCCGCTAAATTGAATCTTCGCGCCACATCTATGGAGCACTCTAAGGCCGCTCCCCTAACCGCCCTAAACGATACACCCAAAGGGCCTCTAACCCGCCCCTTAACCAAGCCTAAGCAGACTAAAGCATAAGGGCCACAAATGCGCAAGCCCCAAGCAAACCCCCTCCCTTTCCCCCCCCCTTTTCCCCCCCACAAATGGAAATCGCCCCGATCTGAGAGCGTAGTCTTTCAGACGCTAGGTCTGGCAGCTTTCCTAAGCTGAAATTGAAGCCTGTCCATTACTTTTCATCATAGGCACGTGTCGAACATGGCCATACTTGATAGTTGAAAGTGGTTCATAACTACGGCTCGAGAAGAAGGATCCATGGGAACATACGCCAAAAGCCAAGGCAAGGCATTGCACTGCGATTCTTCAACAAAGCTCAAAGTGTGGCATGCCTAGGATAAATATCGGCTAAATCAGTCAAACTACATATGAGTTACCCCGGAAGTTAGTTGGCGAGATTGGTTATTGGCTTTAAGTTTGGCAAAGCTCCAGCTAACCTGATTTCACTCTGGAGATCTAGGACATCTCATCAGAGTAATACCTCCCCTTAGACTTTGATCATGGATTAAGCATAAAGGAACTATAAAGTGCACGGAGTACAGAGTATTCCGTGTGATCTTGAGTGGCGTCTTTCGTGTCAATGATAATCCGCACGCAGTACGGAGTACTCCGTACAGGGAACTGGACTCCTGACGATGGGCCATCACTGATCTGCAGAGACAGGGGGCTTCCCTGCAGTGGAGCATTTTTGAAGATCATTAGGCTTTAATGCTACACATCATAAAGCAAAAAATCCTTCTAAAACATCTCTGGTTCATTTATATAATGAGGGTTGGTGAATTTCTATAAGAATTGCGACAATAAGTCAAATATAGCAGAGCAGTCAGATGTCAACATGGAGCCCTGATAGCAGAAAGGAAAGGACAGTTCTGGTCTAAATCAAGCAATAGCTCAGGTGCTTGTTTACCGTGTTCGGTCTCCTGTTTGGAGTATGCTGGGGTCAAATGACCAAGTGTTACACGGATCCCTTGCCAGCCCACCTTTTCGACACAATGTCTGATGGAAGATGTCTGCTCTTGGGGTTGTTTGAAGAGCATGGGAGCAAACAAATCAGTAGTAAGCTGTTCTGTGGTCAAAAAGCGCGTGCAGGTAATGGTAAAGCAGATTATTCAACGAATCAAAGAATCCCTGTTTGGCATAGAGTGTTAAAATCCATTCATCCGATTTTGTGCCCTAAAAACTTCCCCCTGGTTGATAAAATCTAGTAGAACAACATTGGGTTTGCGATCATATATCGAGTTGCACAGATCGACATGTGCGCCTATGCTTCCTTCCCCGGTGGCTGCATTTGTCTTTGGCGCTCTGATGCGATCGGGGACGATCACACCAAAGATATCAACGTTCAGTGTGTGATTTACCAAGTAGAGTCTTCCGTCAGCCTTCGCGTTTGGAGGACGATCGATCTTGCATTGCGGGAACTTAGGATCGGTGGTGGAAAATGGCGTCTCAAAGAAGTAGGCAAACTGGTCCAAGATGTATGGAAACTTGGGCATGTCTGCTTTGTAGTCTGGTTGAAAAATGCCGCTAGAGTCAAACCACCGTACCACATGGGGGTACTGCGGTTATAACTTACCTAGAAACACGATCAATCTTTTGCCGGAACTGATTAAGTTGCCCAGCATAGGCCAGGAATCCATCGGCAGAGCATCCGGGGAAGACGGCGGAACAAATACGTATTTCTTGATTCCGCTCTTTGTAAAGGCCTCATCGAATCTGTTGACGTCCACGTAGTCGCCATTCGTGAGAAGGAGGGTGACCACCTCTTCGGGATGGCCGTCGAGCCACGTCTTGATCGTGCTCAGGAAGTCTTCAACGGGTCCTGCATCCTCGAGAAAGCACGACGTATGGCACATGTTCAGGGTCTTCTTTTCTTCGTGTACGCGTGTCTGGCCTTGCAGGAACCGAATGCCCAGGTCAAGTTGCTTCGTTACAGAGATCTCCTGATTGTGCTGGGGCAAATAACCGACAAATGGGGAGTTGTGCGCGCCAACAAGGCGGACATCTGCATAGCGACGAGTGCAGTACTCAGTGCGGCCATTGCACCTGGTCTGCGCAAGAAGACCGGTAGGCAGCAGGCATGCTAGTAAAACGAGCGCAAGAGTCAGCATGGTAGCGTAATGATAACGCTTGCGGCGTGGTGCATATCAGTGCGTCTGCACTGTGGTAGAGAGCGAAGATGTCATGCCATGAACGCTGCCAGCGAGAGAGGAAGTAGAAAAGAGGAAGACGTAAGAGGGGGCCGGCGTTGGGAAGGCGCGCGGCGGCGGGGTAGCGGGCGTTTATATATACAGATCGGGAAGGCATGGAGATACTCCATTTTTCTTATTTATTTATTTCTTTCTTTTTTCTTGGGGGGAGGGAGGGAAGGTGCCCACCAGCAGTCAACAAGCAGAGAAGCAGAAAGGGAAGGAGCACGCAGACGGCAAGCAGAGCCGCTGAACTGGAGTCGAGCGGGCGATCGCAGAGACACGCCAGAGAGAGACACGGAAGAAGAAGACGCAGACGCACTCGGAGAAGCAGACGCGCATCCCAACTGACCCTGTCATGCGGCAGCGGTGGCATCGCGGGTGTGCTGGGGCTGGGCGGGCGGGATGATAGGCCAGTCCGGGTTCTGGGTCGATGCGTGAAATCACGGAGAGGCGACGACGCAGGGGGTCGCTCCTCAGGGGATCAGTCGGCCTCGAAGGATGAGGAGCTACATTGCTCTGGTCCTATAGATGCCCGTGTCTCTCGTCGGACAGCGTGCAGAATGCACCATGTGAAGCCTTCGCGGCGGGCTATCAAGATGGTGGTCGAAATGCGATGCTCCCCTGGCGGCTAAGGGTCCGGCGGTGCGCCTTTATCCCTCTCCTTCTCCCTGTGTTTGAGATAGTTAGAATTAAAAAAAATAATACACTAGAAGTCAAATGCCGTGATAAATACCTAGTCCTGTGTATATGTAGGCTCCCGGTTGCAGCTTGGTGGTCGTGGTTGTTGAGCTTGACCCTGCTGCATGGGTCAAAGAAAACATTTAAACTATGGATGCCAAACGACCGTCAGTGCCATCGAGCAACATCATCCATCAAGATCCTGACCGGGCACCTCACCCCGACACAACCTCAGTTTTCGCAAGGACACTTCCTGTGGATTCTGCCATCATATTTTCCGAATTTTCGGCCGTCGAACCCCTCTTACCTACGATTGCACTTTCCGGGCCCTCACAAGCTACCCTCCATCGTTGCGGGAGGCTCCAGCGATTGGTACTCGACCCTACGACACGGTATTAACCTACGATAAGCTTTAACGGAGCTGAAGCGATGGTCGATCGGCGAACCGACCGATGAGCTCCATGACCGAAAGGGGTGGTGATGATGCAGCCCGCGACGATGTGATAGACCTACATGATGAGGAAGAGCAGCAGACGCTGGCTGTCAATGGCCGGGAGCATGCACAGACGTCTCCAATTGAAGACCAAGACGCGTTCGACGAATTTGTCACACCCGACGATCCGATATCGATAGCGGTTACGAAGGAGGAAGACGATGGCGCTGCGTCACAGCAAAATGGAAACGTCGCTGGTTCACCTGGGATTTCCATCCGGGGCGCCGGGAGCATCGACGACGCGGGCTCCGTCCCAGACGACACCCCATCAATCCAAGTCCGTGATCGATTGTCTCACTGCATGCTATAATACTTCCACTAATGGCTTCTTTAGGGTTCCATCCAATCCTCTCCGAGTAGCGCGCTGGGTTATCGTCCGCCCTCCAGCTTGGGACGTAGCCCTCACCGTCCGTTTGACCTCCGGTTTCAAACACGTCTTTCCGTTTCGTTTCCTGGTTCCTCTCGGTCGATATCACCTTCACTTCTTCAACAACACTCGCGCCAGTCTTCCTTTGCCAGCCACATCCGGACGGATACGCCTGACCTGTTGGAAGAAGCGTCACAGACTCCGTGGGAGGTTGTGCGATGGACCAAGCTCAGAAAGCTGTCAGGTCAAGTCCTCTCCGAGACAGGAAAACGGAATTTTGGACGTCCAACCTGCATGGCGGTTTCTACGCACATAGTTTTGGGGACGACGAAAGGAATCATACTGGTGTTCGACTATCAGCAGAATCTAAAGACGATAATCGGACCTGGAACAAAAGGCATGCCGTGATCTCAATAAGACACTAACAACTGAAACTGACTTTGGCACAGCAATTGCGTCTGGATCGATCACTTCCTTGGCCATTTCAGCAGACCACAGCACCGTCGCTGGAGGACATGCCGATGGCACCATTTTCACCTGGGAAATCTCGAGACCCGCTCGCCCATTTCTACATATCCCTCCTATCAGCGCAGCGGAGAAGGATTTCAAACGAACCGATGGCCACATATCCGGTGTCGCTGTCGTTCATATGGGCTTCTTAGGAACCCGTCGCACCGCCTTGGTCTCGGCTGATGATCACGGAATGGCGTTCTCGCATCTGGCAACCCGGGGGATGGGAGCAGTCGCCCGTACAGTCAGGACCACAAGAATACTGGGCCGGTACCCTGAGAGTGCTGTGCCCACTGGCCGTGTAAGGAAGCCTAGCACTGTGCTTGCATTTTCCCCTCTTCCCTTAGGGAACGTCGAGCAGGCCACGGACTCTTTAGGCCTTGTGGCAATGCTCACCCCTTATCTTCTCGTGATTGTTTCTACAACGCCAGTTGCCCAAACCCAACATAAGTCGGCGCGCCCCAGGGAAGTCCCTGCTCACAGTGCCATGACGGCTGCGCTGGCTTGGTTCCCTGCAATAAAGTTGAAAGCAAAGGATTCAGGAGTTTCTAATACCAAGCTGGTATACTGCTGGTCCAATGTTCTGACGATCCTAGAGGTTTTCGAGATGAAATCCACAGATCCCGCGGATAGAGATAAGCCTCCCAGCTTTGCGTTTAAGCCGTTCGCTCGGTGGAGGGCTGCTGAACCAATCGTTGCAGTACAATGGGTAAGCCGCTCGGTTTTGGCAGTCCTGACAATAACGCAACAACTCCTCATCTTGGAAGACAAGTCACTGCGTGTGACGGATTCTTTTGACTTATTACACAAGCATATTTATCATGCGGACCTTTTCTCTAGACAGCTTCAGAGCCTCGTAGAGCAATTGGACGAGGAGGATCAATCGATGCATGGAGTAACAGCAGACGCTTTTTATATGAGCTTCAGGGCTTATAAAGGACGACTCTTCCTTTTAGGATTTAATGATGTTTCTGTTGGCACGTTGTCCAACTGGGCCGACAGACTTCTGGCCCTGATGGAAGCCGGCGATTTTATCGGCGCTATTCGTCTTGCCACGTCCTTTTATATCGGAAGCTCCGAGAAGCTCACCGTTGGCTTACCGGAGGAAGATGATCTTAGACATGAGGTGGTGCAGGAAAAACTTTTGGAAATGATGAGCGCTTCACTGCGATATGCATTTGGCAAAAATGAAGAAGCGATCACAGAGCGCCTCCAGCCCCTTGAACTTCGGAGCCTTGCTGAGGTGTGCATCTCAGCATGTGATGCTATGGAAGATCAAGAGTTTTTATTCGACGACGTGTATTGCTGGTACGAGGAAAATGGGTCAGAAAATGTTTTCCTCGACGTCCTTGAACCGTACATAATACAAGGCTCAATTCGAACATTACCGCCGGGAGCTGTCAAGTCTTTGATTACGCATTTCTCTACGAACCATTCGGCTAGCCGCTTAGAAGAGATTATTTGTCTTCTTGATACGAGCACCATTGATATTGACCAAGTTACTACCTTGTGCAAGCACTATAACCTTTATGATGCCTTCATTTATGTATGGAACCGTGCCATTGGTGATTACATCTCGCCTCTAAAAGAATTGCTGGATTTGGCTGCGCATGTTACTTCCACCGCCGTCAATGGCAACGCCGATATCCAAGCGAAAACCCATGCAAACGCCTTGAAAATGTTCCCTTACTTATCCTATATCCTGACGGGTCGAATATATCCAACCGGCGACGAACTAGAAGAACATATAGCGTCGAAAGCAAAAGCGGATATTTATGACTTTTTATGCTCTGGAAGGGATTCTGAGTTGCAGGAAGGTCATTCCTATACTCATTTCAAACACCTTCGAACGATGTTGATGTTTGATACCCCGGCATTCATGAGTATGTTGAATGAAGCTTTTGAGGACGGCTTTTTAAACGACGATACAGGAGATGAGGAGCAAATATCTGCAAGGCGTATGCGCAGTGGCTTCTCAATTAATCGCCAATATTTAATCAGCATCCTTCTTGAACTTATGGGCCCTTCTTCAAACTTTACGGCAGCCGACACTATTTATCTGGACATGTTTATCGCTCGCAATCTCCCGAAATACCCCCAATACATTCTACTTTCTGGTTCAATCCTGCATCAGGTCCTTGTCAGACTATGTGAATACCCCAATGCAGAGATGTTGGACGATTGTCAACTCAGCGCGGAGTATCTACTTTCGACATACCACCCTCCTGACATACTGAGTTTGATACCTCTTTTCAAGGAAGCAAAGTTTTTCCGAATATTAAAATCCACCTATCGCATGGAAAGGCAGTACCCGGAATTGTTGCGGATGTACTTGGAGGATAGAGAGGATCAAGAACTCGTCTTCACTTGCATCTATGATTGTCTTCGATTGGGATCTTCGTTGACGGGGAAACAGCGTCGTGATGTGCATTCTGTCATTAGAGAGCACGCTGCTGAATTGGCACATATAAATGTCGTTGAAGCAGCTCGCACAATTCAAGCTGTGGCTACCGACTTGCATGACGTTTTCGTTGAATCTCTTGAGCCAGTATCCAGTCTGCAGTATCAGTATTTGAGCGCCTTATTATCAGAGAACAAAAGCAGCGTCGAGGTCAGCCCAGAAAAACTCAATCATGTATTGGTTGAGCGATACATTCAGTTGATGTGTCAGTATGAACCGTCGCGCGTTGCAGAGTTCGCAGACACTTTGAAAGTCGGAGATTTACAGCTGGACGCCATTCTACCTTCAATTGAAAGCAGCGGAATCATCGATGCTGTGGTGATTCTTGTTGCTAAACAAGGGGAAGTTGGTAGTGCTATGGAAAGATTAATCAAACACTTCGGGACTCTCGAAGCCGGCTTATTAGGAGTCCTTCAAAGTGCTGAGGAAAACTCCGACTCCACATTCTTGACTAAAACTATCATTGATCTCATTCAGGCACTTGAAAAGTATACTCGAGTCGGAATTTGGCTATGTCAACAGCAGACGAAATCTGCACAAAGACCCTATAGGGACATAAAGCTCAGCAAGAGAGGATCCGTATTTGAACAGCCATTGTCCTTTGATGAAAACTTGTGGCTCATGCTGATTGAAGCTGTCGTCAAGATCGCTCAAAATATCTCCCCGTTGCTAACAAAAGACTCTTCGGTAAATGAAAGTATCAAAACCGCTTCTCAATTGGAACCATATGTGGCTAAACCTGGACAACTCTCCGTTTCCCTTAGGACCTTAGTACAGCATATATTTACGGCATTATTAACCACGACGACTAAATCCGGGCGCATGCCTGCCGACAAGCCGGATCTGTCGTTTCTACGTATACTCCGTGCATTCCTGACACGCGCTGCCTCTGCCTCCCCTTCTTTATCTGAACTGCGGGCGGTAATCGCGTCCATATTATCTGCTTATGGTTACGAGGAGTCGTTGCTCTCTCTCACGAATTCGATGCTAGATAAGGATCTTTTTGTTCACGTGGATGAAATCACAAAACTGAGGCAACGAGGATGGAGGGCGAGGGGCCAGGTATGCGAGATTTGTCGGCGGCGAGTGTGGGGCCCCGGCTCGGGAGGTCACATATGGGAAGCTTGGGAGGTTAGGCAAGAAGTAGATGCGAAGCGGAAGCAGGATAGGACGATTAAGGAGAGTCGTGATCGCGACTTAACCTCGAGAGGGAAGGGGAAGGCTCTGGCTACGCCGCCAGCTACCATCGGTCCTGCAACAGGACATGATGGCGACAGCAGAGTTGAAGAGCCCCAGGGCGGCGGTGGGGTTGGCCGGGGTCCCGTGGTTGTGTTTGGTTGTAGACATCTCTATCATCGCTCTTGTCTGACGGATGAGACTGAACGACGGAGACAGCATGGTCCGTCTTCGTTGTCTAGGAAGGGAAGTCGACACCTTCATGCTGGGATTGGAAGTCCCGAATTGTCTTGTCTACTATGTACAGGGTGTCAATAGGGGGCGGATGGGATTGTTTACTAATATCTAACGACCACGTAGCTGATATGTACTAGGTAGAGAGTAATCTAAATACTGCTCATTATTGGGTGGTCCACTGGACCAGTGCTTTCATGAAGTACAGAGCAGGCTGAGTATACAAACATGTCACAAATGTCGCTTAGGGGCTTTCTGAGATTGGCACGGCAGCCTAAAACATCCATCCTACCGAAATTTGTTTTACAAAAATTTCATAAATGCATTCACCAGGCACACACTGGAGCACAGAAACAGGTGATGCCTCTGGCCCTCGTCTATGTAGGTGATTCAGTGAGTAACGTGATGTGCTCAAGGTATAAATGAGTGTAAAGAAATGAGGTTGAATAAAGATGATGGCACTATGTCCTAATGTTTGGTACAGACATTGGCATGAGCTGGGCTTCGACTTTGCTTGTCCGATACACTTTAATGGGGAGGAGCTTCAAGGGCACGAAAAGGGTGGGGAAGGATGTAATGAAGTCCAAGACATCTGGAGGGCTGTAGAAGGAATTGTCTCCCGTGATGGTCGGACTCCACACAATATGTATGATGAGGCGGTAGCCCTCTTTTCAGAACTCAGGGAAATCGGTTTGAAAAATATGATGGGAAAGGACAGGAAGGACTTTGAGGCACAGACACAGTGTGTAGAGAAGTTTGGTTCGCAAAAGCCAGAATGACATGGAGGTCGAAGGTTTTTCACATGTCATAATTTTCTAAGATCCTACAAAGAAGATAAGCAATTACTCTTCCTTTGTTGACATAGCTAGAAGTTATAAATCTATAAGGATGGGATCTATTCACATATATATATATATATGATATTACACTGTTGCATTTCTCTGTTAAGTGCACACAATTTATGAATTTGGAAATTTGTGTTTGATGATCAAACTTAGATTGATTTCTTTGGAATGCTTCAGTGTGACTTGAGGTTCTTTCAGTCACCAGTGATGGTGATGACCTAGAGCCGGTCCTGATTGGCTGAAATTGGATTAAGCAGATCCGAAATGACAAAAGATATTTACATTGAGGATTTCTGATATCATCGTCGCAGTGAGCTTCTTATACGGAGTACTCCGTACATATGAAGGAAACGTTCGGCCGGGAACCTGGCAAGAAGTGTCCCCATCGCCTGAGGTGGGCCTTGGAAGGGCATTTCAGAATGGAGAAAAGAGAGCCCACTTCGGCCCGCCTCTATCGTTGCGGCGGAGAATACTCCGTAGATAGTTATTGTCTAAGACTTATGTATCGCCAAGATACCCGTGATGTCCCTTTCAGGCTGCTTCGACTGGCGATGAAGAGACGCTATCAATACTCCGGCATTGAGGGCTTGTTTTGCTTTCTCACGTGATCCAGCTGTGGGCACCGCATAAGTACCCCATAGTTTGTCTCCTCTGGCGAACATCGAGTGAACTTACCGTTCAACGCGTCAAAACAAAAAGGAGTCTGAAGATTCTCGTCTTTGGGGTTTGAGTCAAAATTCATGCAAACAGCTGCGAATTACTATTCCATGATTTTGACTTGGAATTCTCGCGACCTTACACAGCCAACGTGCCCTTAACGCCCCCGCACTATGGAAGCCCAGCTAGCACTGCTTCGAGAACAGCTTAGAGAGGAGCGACAACGTCGAGAAAATGCAGAAGCTCAAGCATTGAGAGAGCAACGACGACGAGAAAGCGCTGAAGCCCTTACTAAACCTACCGACTTACCAACCTTTCTGTTAAAATGCCACACCCTGTCACTGGCCATCAACGTTGTGATCGACCCTACCCAGACGACAAAGGGAGAGACAGCAAATGCAACTCGACGCTACTTCCCTTCACAAATCATCCCATGGGATGGTTTCATTGATGAGCAAGCCTGCATTTGGGATCGCTTCCATCAGCACCCATCATTTATGTTGATGTCACAATTTCCTTCATCTCATCAGCTGGACTATGTTCTCACAACAATAAGACCCATAACTGCAGAAATGGATCTGCGATACTATGAACGGGATACTGTCGAGAATCAAGTGCAAATGGTGGTGAATGCAGTTTATATGGATGACCTGCTGAAGCAGGCGTTCGAGTTGGCTGGATCAGTGACCTTTGAGAGTCATACAAACTTGGGAGCTTCCAAGCAAAGCCAACCAGTTGAGGAGGGGATGCAACACCTGTCCATTGGCACAAACACATCCACTACGGAAAACTCTGGTTCTAGAAAGGGAAAGCAGAAACTTACTACGGACAATATCCCAATTAGAGGACAAGCTGATAGGTTTTGTGTCTATCGACGAGGCAATGGTGAAGATGTCCCGGCGATTGCTATTGAGTACAAGGCACCACACAAGCTGACTTGTGAGGAGATTGCAACTGGATTGGCCCAGGAGATACGACCTACCCAAGGTGTGATCAACAAGGAAGAAGACTCGGCTGAGTTCTACTCAAAGCGCTTGGTCACTGTGGTTGTCACGCAACTATTCTCATATATGATAGGCAAGGGTGTGCAGTATGGGTACATATGCACTGGAGAGGTGTTTGTCTTCCTTCACATCCCCAAAGATCCATCAGTTGTCAGATATGCGATATGCGTTCCAAATCTAGATGTTCAGGTTGGCCATGAGGAGGATTTCAAGTTAACAGCAGTTGCACAGGTTGTTGCATTTACCTTGCGGGCTTTGGCAGCACCCCCTCCTCCACAGGAATGGCATGATGCCGCAAGGGAGCTTGGCATCTGGCCGGTGGAGTACTCGGAAATTCTAGCGCAAACCCCACCTGGCAAACGGCTGAAAGGCCGCAAGGCTCCTTTGTCCGCATATAGTGGTAAAAAGAGTGACCTTCCCCCGTTTCATATGATCTTGAGATCATGTCGACCGACCGAGAATCGCCTTGGCAATAGATCTCCAAGTCCTCCGGCCCCCGATTCTCCCTCACCTGCCAACAGTAGATCTAGCACTCGCGGAAACCAGCCTCCTGTTCAATCAAGGGGCCAGCGCGTCAAAAGTCAGGGGCAGGGGCGAAGTGGCGGTCAGGTGAAGAAGACGAGCATGACTATGCAGATAAAGGATCGACCGTATTGCTCTCAGGGATGCCTCCTTGGGTTGCGGGACGGAGGACCTCTTGACCCATCATGCCCAAACTTCCAGGATCACCGTGGGAAGGCCCCCCCATCCCGTAGTTTCTTGAAACGTATTCGTTGCCAGCTTGCCGTGGATCGAGGTGACAATGCGGATTGCCGCCCGCTTTATAAGGCAGGGAGCTATGGGGCGCTATTTAAAGTACGGCTTTCCTCCCATGGCTTTACTCTGGTGGCCAAGGGAGCAATGAGGGAAAATCTCAGCGCCCTACTACATGAACGTGAAGTTTATGATAAGCTACGTACCATTCAAGGCCATCATGTCCCTGTCTGTCTTGGTGTTGTGCGGCTGGAACCAAAACGCCCATACTACTATGATGAGGGGAGATACACTCACATGCTCTTGCTCAGCTGGGCAGGAAGATCTATTTCAGAAGGTCTTGGGCCCATGGGTCCATCAATCTCCAGCATGGTTAAATGTTCAATTCGGGCAATTCACCGGCAAGGGGTTCTCCATGGGGATGCCGAACCCCGGAACATTCTATGGAACGATATAAACCAGCGTCTGATGATTGTCGACTTTGGACAGGCTTCGATACGACATCCTTTATCTAGTGTCTCGCCAAATAGTTCGAAAAGAAGGCTTCCTAAGGCAAAGGTTGGGGATGCCTATACTGTTGAACTTAGGACTGTGCAGGCAAGTATTGGAGCTTTTATCCGGAATCGCGAAGTGTGAAATATCGGGGACACCCATGGTAGACACTCATGGCCACATCAATATTCTCTACTGGCGGGAGGAGAGCAGTTGAATAATGACTGAAAATACGTCAGCTCTCCAGAGCGTGATTCGCCTGGGAATACAGAGCAGGGAGGCCCTAGCCACTCACGACTGACACCGTTTCCTTCTCGCGTTCAACCTCTGGCCACCCGTCATCTCTTGGAATACTGGGTATAATAAATCTTTAATGAGCTCCCTACGACGCAGACAACGAATAGCCAAAGTGGATTCCCTCCAATCTTGCCTCACAATAATCGAAGGTTCCGAAGGATTATGCCGACTCGTGTGCGCGACTATATTTCCAAACACGTCCTCGCCTTCAAGAGGCCGTTCCAACGATGATCCAAATAGCAAACACCTATCCACCCTGCGACTTCTCGATGTTTGCCACTAATTGCTCGGATGGAAGATGCCCTGAGGACAACGGAGGAGGTACAAGGTTGAAAGTCATCCTCTAAAGAGGAATAATCATTTCGAGTATCCTGGTATTCAAAAAGGATAAGAAGTGTTAGATGCAGACTCTCATGTTTATCTCTGGAGCCAATAAGTAGCTAGTTCAGTTTATTCATGAACTCAGCTTCCAGATCAGGAACACATGTTGCCAGTCATGGATATGTGGACTCAAGCCGATTGGAATATTCGCGAAGCCCGTCATTCCCCGGAGAAGCCGGACTGGACAATCATGAAACAAAACGGGCGTCCTGTACGGCCATCTGGAGAGGCAATACAGTATGAGATTGAAGTGGCTTTCGGCCACGTGCCAGATGAATCCGAGATCAGTTCGAAGGACAAGGGATCTGAGCTGTAAATAATGGGGTGCTAGTGTTGAGGATTGCGCAGAGAGCAACTTGCACCGCTCTAATGCTCTTGGCAGTGTCCATAGGGTCTCTTCACATCTCCAATCTGTTAAAATTGCCTACCGATTACCGCTAACTGTGTGACCGTAACATTCCCTGGGCCCTGACCAAAGATTATAAGTTAGGTCTTCTGTAATATTTATAAGGTAATGTTTGATGCAGCCAAACAAGATCCAGCACCAGGAGCCCATTACACCATTCCCCGCCTTTTCTCGTTCACTTCTCTGGCAATAAAAGCAACGACTATCAGTGCTAGATCTAGCCGATTATTCTCGTATCACAGAGGCTGTGGTCTGGCTGCCCTCGAGACCAGCCAAAGATGACAGCCGGTTCGAAACTCACCGGCGTCCTGTTCCTCCTTCAAAATGAGGCTCATTGGGGCTCATCAGCCCTGCAGGTGCCCGCAGCATCGGCGTTTCATATCAATTAGTTAAGTTCCTCCAACAACATTGGACGTCACCCTCATGATGACCGGTACAGACTCGTCGAGGTAGACTAGCTGACGTGAGTGGAAGTCCGAAAGAAAATGGTTGAGAGATTCGTGTATATAGATATTTTCGATTCTTGTTGTGGAGTCTTTGTTGACCAACCGCATCGAGGTGAGAGTCCTGCTAATAATGCAGGCTGTTACATGTACTTATATGGAACTCATCCCATATAGAAAGACTGCCATCTGATCTAGGGTATAAACCAGGTTTCTGCAGGAGGCGATCACGGAGAGCTTCTAGCATGGCTGCATTCAGCAGCTTTGGCAATTTGGGATATAGTTAGAGCCTTCATTTCTCTTCAACATATCACAGATAGTTAAGCTGGGCTTTTGAAGGTGCTAGTCTCGGAGCCATTCTCCATGAGTGGGCGAAGAGAAGAGCTTCGAAGATACGAGTAATTTACAAAAGAAGTTCAATCATGTGATTTCTCAATACCATACCATACCATACCATTCAAGGTCGTCACAGATTTGGGATGGACTTTGCTTAGTCACACAACAGGATGAGCTCGACTTTTCTGCAGGTCAATCTGGATCCTGGATATGGAGTCCCTGGTTTGGGGTCTGTCGCTGGGTCAGGGGTTGCGCTGAGGCGAAAAAACCAACTCCGGTCGCCCCGTCATCCCTACGCGTGCATTCGTTGGTGGTCGAAACGCAATCCACCTTGTTTCATCCTTCTTCTCGTTTCCCAGGCCTGAACTCCTCGCTGGCTGGCGTCCTCGCTCGATGCCGACCATCGCGGCCCACCAGCCACGTTGTTCCTGGGCGTCAAACTCCTTGGCGCCGCAAGCGAGGCCTGGACCGAGGACGAAGCTGTCAGTCTCGCCAATGAGCTGGCATAGCGCGACCCTTGAGGGCCGCCGGTGCGAAACCGAAGGAGGCACTCGGATGGCGCCGGTTTAGTTTTCCCAGGGATCAATCGCGTTCCAGAAAAGTCAACCTCTGCCCTGGATGGAGTCTCCACCGCTTCTCGAAATTCCTTTTCTCTTTCCTTGGAACCAAAACGCTGAGGATAGTGTAAGGCGTGATGACGAAATTCGCCCATCAGTTGCTCCGAATTCTGTGCACCCAAACTCGGCTTGTTTGCGTTGGCAGCACAGTGTTTCCTTGCGGAGCACAAAACACATGATGGCCCAAGCGACCGAGGACGCGTTGTAAGAGGGAGTGAGGACGTTGGCCGACTCTCTGCACGACATATATACCTACTCCGTAGTTCCTGCGCTTATGATGAACGAGCGAGCATCAGTTGTCAATACTCCAAAAACAAAAGATATGGGATGTATCGTTCGCCAAAAAAATTTAGAGAGCGAACTATCAAGGTCATATAGCTAACAACGGAGTACATATGAAGATGTCGTTATTCCTTTTCTTCAGATTGAGATACTGTCAGAGCTGCCGGTCCTCCCCATCAGACCCTGCGTTCCCACGAATTTCATCGATAGCAGCGAGGTGATTCGTTGCTGAGAGATGCGTGCAAGCGCCATGCAGGGTTGCAACCACTATACAACCCCCCCACCACCCATCGGGAACAAGGATTGAGAATCATCTGCTGCACGCGATGCTCTGGTGATTGGTTTAAGATATTAATTGTTGCGGAATATGGAGAACGGTAGACCGCATGTCCGTTTGACTGCTCCCATTCTCGCCGAAGCCGGTGCACCGGATATTTTCTTCAAAGCCCTGGATTAATATATGTGAAGCGGGCTAGATTTGGGGTCCGTTCCACATTCAATATTGGCGCCAGCAAAGCCAAACTCTGCTAGGAGATCCACTCATGTTTGGGGAAAACTGCCGACCAGGCCATTGTCAAGCAGGCAAATGGGAGGCGATAGCTTCACCTGATAAGCAAAAATCGAGTCCAGGCTCCGTCCTCCCCTTGTCTATCCACCCCTGCTTCTCTGTTTCCATATGTACTTAAACTATCACCATGGCCCTCCGCCTGACTTCTGGGCCTTTCTCATTGTTCATCCAGTGACCCTCCTTCACTCCCTTGACCTTACGTTCAGGTCATTCACTCTTTGATCATTCTTGTCTGCCCGGTCTTTCTGTGACAGGTCTTGGGGCACACAAGCTTCCGCTCTTTTAAAGCTATATCTGCTGTATATCTGCCCCGTACTCTCTTTAATATCTAGCCGAAACCCCTGCGGCCAGTATCTTCGTTTCTACCTTTCTCGAATCAATCTTTTGGTGCCTGGAGCACTTTGAATTATCACCTTTATAGACGCAGATCACAGTCTAGCGACAATGCGTGCTGCCAAAGTTACACTGTTGGCTGCTCTGGCACAGCTAGCCGCTGCCTCTTATGAGTTGATGGATGACTACAACCCATCAAATTTCTTTGACAAGTTTGAGTTCTTCAGTGCAAGTGATCTCGCTTCTCCAGACGCATACGGATGGGGAGCCGAAGTTTTCTAACTTTGCTGTAGGGGCGTGATCCCAGCAACGGATATGTTGCCTATCAGGGAAAGGAGGCCGCCCTCTCGAGTAACCTCGCCCAGAAACTAGAGAATTCTATCCGTATTGGATCCGATTCTACCGATATTGCTACCGGTTCCGGGCGGAGGAGTGTTCGTCTGGAGACGAAAGCGAGATATAAGCATGGCTTGATCGTTGCAGATATCAAGCATATGCCCGGTTCGATTTGTGGTGTCTGGCCTGCATTGTGAGAGGAACACTAAGATTCATTGATATATTCTTCCTTAGCTTCTAACTTGTTCCATGCAGCTGGACTGTCGGTAGTCGTTGGCCCGAACATGGCGAGATGGATATCATTGAGGGAGTGAATCGGCAGTCCATCAACAAAATGGCCCTTCATACCACTGCGGGGTGCAAGATCAACAGCAATGGAGATTTCACCGGTGTTGTCGAAACACCTGACTGTGATGTCAATTCTCCCAACCAGGCCCCTAATCAGGGTTGTCTCTTCACGTCCAGCCAGGGGAACAGCTACGGTACAAACTTCAATAACAGGAACGGCGGTGTGTATGCCATGGAATGGACCAGCGATGAAATCACCGTTTGGTTTTTCCCGCGCGGCAACATTCCCGATGACGTGAACAGTCAGAACCCCGATCCGTCGAAATGGGGTAAGCCCTCGGCACGGTTCTCCGGTGATTGTGACTTGGATAGGTTTGTGCAGGATCAACGAATCGTATGTCGAGTCATCTCTGAATAATTATTCAATCTTGCATTCTGGGATGAAGTCCTAACTTCGTGGATAATATAGATTTTCAACACAGCCTTCTGCGGCGATTGGGCTAAGGGGCTATGGAATTCCGACTCTGTCTGCAGAGCAAAGGGGCCAAGCTGCGAGGACTATGTGAAGAACAACCCCAAGGACTTTGCCGAAGCCTACTGGGAGATCTATGGCATGAAAGTCTACAGCAAAGGTCAAGGTCAGAAGATATCCTCGGCTGCAACTTCGCCCACCCAAGCCTCCACCACTCAAGTTTCCACGACACAAATCTCCTCAGCCCAGAGCGCCAGTGCTAGTGCTTCCGTCAGCGATGGCCCTGACACGAGCAGCAACACCCCGCCCAGTGCCACAGGGAGTGGTAATGCTTCCTCCATCGAATCCCGCAGCACTGACGCTGAACCCACCAAAGCCCCAACTGGAACGGATGGTGGTGCATCCCCAACAAACGCTCCCTGCAACGGGCCTAACTGCCCGAGCCAATCTCCCACTACCAGCGGTGGTGTCTCTCCAACCGACAAGAGCGAATATCCGGCCAATCCGGGCACGACAGACGGCAGCCCTCTTCCTACCAACAAGCCCGAAATTCCAACTAGCTGCACACCACGCACTACCTGCGTGACCTACACCAGAATTGAAACCGTCACCTACATCAACAAGAATCCCGCTCCATTCCAAACTGGCGTCCAGTCTCCAACCAAGGCTAGCGGCGATGACGAATCTATCATTCCTATCAGATGATGTGGATTGGATTTAACATCGCCAAAGAGAGATATCCAGATGGGAGCTTTGATCTCTAGGTATATTCGATGCATAGCGTAGGGACAATTTAAATCTGTATATGCATACGTTTCATGTTTGTGAGATAAACTTTTGTTTTCAGAGACTTTTTGTACGCGGAGTCAGAGGAATATGGTGTTTTCAACCAGAATTTTTTTCAATATATACCATGTGTCTATTATTTTGATCGCCGAACCTATTCCTGTGGCTATATTCCCCGTAACTATATATCTTCAATTGAACTGTGACGGACACATTGAAAATACTACCGAATAGAAGGATATGTAGTACCTTCTATAGTCAAGAGGGAATCTGGATTTTCCCAAAATACTCTGTTGGCACTAGTCTCGGAGGAGCGCTGGAGGCGGGCTGCTTTAACCCAGCTGCCTCACCCACGCGAGGGTGAGGCGGGTGAGGCTTGGGTGAGGACATCCGCCACCTAAATGGGGGAGGGAGATTGCCAAGTCGGGTAAAACGGCCCAAGGCCAGTGCGGGAATTAACTGTCTTAGGCTTAGGGGGGATGAAAAGTCTTCGGCTCTCAGCCTTTCAATTCTTCCTTCCGAGTTTGCTTGCCCAAACAAAGTTAAGTTCTATATATCATGTGACTAATTATCACCCTTTCCCTTTCTCCTGCTGGTTGGTTGGCTGCCTGAATGCGGTGCTGATTTCTATCCATGCTCCGTGATTCAATGTCATCACCTTTTCCAGCCAAAGACCCAAAACTAAAGGGTAACCTTGTATGTTTGATCATAAATACAAACAGACCCCGCGAGGTTTCCGGCAGTTGACTGTCAACTCTCCCATCTATCTGGCTTCTCCCGCTGGAAAAGCCCCTGGTTGCGAAGACTACTTGATCAGAACAGTGCAAGTGCCGCTCCCGTTGCTTGCCCATCTTCAACTGTCGCAGCCCTTCACTCTCATCCCCACACCAAAGTGTGAACTCTGTCAATTGAGTTGCCTCTCAGCTCAGCCAATGTTTCAAAATTACGAGAAACCAACCAGAAGCTGCCTTCTATCATGTTGCCTGACACAAGTGATGAGGAAGAATCTGTGCCACAAAACCAACAAATCAATTCGGACAGAGGAGCAGACTCATTGACTGACCAGACTCATGCTTGAGGGCTTTGAAACCAGGCTAGTTTTCTTGCTTTTGTTCGCATTCCGCTCACTTGCCGAGCATGGAACCCAAAATCTCACTGGCCCATTATGCCACCAACTTCGCCAGCAAGCCTCTTGGAAAGCATTCGCACCCTTTCTTCAAGGTTCAAGTTGCCATGCGATGACGTGCGGTTAGGAGAATTGACAAGGGTGGGAGCGTCGACTAACAGTGGGCCTGGCGAGGTCAGAAAAGGCAGAAGTGGGTGCGTGAATGCCTCCCCTTTCATTTATGAACATGATACCAGCTCTCTACTTAATGCAGCATTTCTTTGTTGTTCAATACGGCCCCATGATCCAACTAGCAGAGGGAAAGCAGGATCCATATGATAGAGGCGTGTTTTCGCTGGCCTGGATGGTTTTCCTATTGCAAGACAACCAGAGAATGTCTGGAGAGCTGTCTTCAGATACATCACTAAAACTGATCTCAGCTGGACTGAAATTACTGAGATTAAGAATCAGGGCTCAGAAGACTTTTGGACAGATGCAATAATAAATATTCTGCTTTTTTTTTATACAGACTCATTGCTGGAGAAGTATTATTTTTCTTATTTGACTAGAAGTGCTGAAGAATTAATTATAGACTTGATATAATCAGACAGCTGCAGATAAAACTTGCAGCGTTATATTAAGTAAACGATCATCTGGCGAGCGCAGCCTCAGGCTTGTCCACCCGCCCGGTCTAGCGCCGCCCGTGTCGGGTCTAGCGTGGCCCGATCGGGTTTGGCGCGGCCGTTTCGCGTATGATGTTTGCGGCCCTCGCCGCGACTATAAAAGGGACGTCCGTCCCCCCTCCATGGCACACGCACTTCATCTTCCTTCCTCTCTTGTTTCTCCCCTCCCCGACTCCTTCCGTCCTTCTCGTGTTCCCCTCTGCGCCTCGACCATGTCTCTGCTACATGAAAAGTCCGTTCAATACCTCTTGCGATGACATTCTCTATCTTCCAATCCTCCCATCCCTTGCTCTTCTGGCTTCCTTTCAGGTGCTTCCTCCCCTGTCCTCCCGCAGCAACGCTAGCCGAGACTTCCGGCCTTGGTTCATTAATGATTCACATTGTGTCCTCATCAATGACAAAATTACCTTATTGGGAATACTGCAAATTGCATGGATGATCCTCTTGGATCATACACCTTACCCTATTTCTCTTTGCCTTTGACAGGGTGTGCCATTAGCGTGTTGAGGAGGGACGCAGAAAGGTTGACATCTTCGGCTCGAGATTGCATCAGAAAGATGATAATGAAGGGCTGAGATGCTCCCATGCACGCATTGCAGCATGTGGTGGCATCAAAACAGTGTCCATTTGCGATTTGATTACAGACAGGGCACCATATCACCAATGAATTAACTTGGGACATTATATCAGCAGTGGAAGAGATGCTCAGGAAGGAAGTGTGGTCACCATGCATTGTTACCTTCTCTGCAACATCTCATTCATTCTCTGTGTATGCCGTCTCAGCTGAGCTGGATCGACAAGTTACTGCCGTGATGAATCATCTGGGGGTGTCTCCTGTATCTTCCGGCTGAACTGGGTTGGGTTACATGTGCTCGTTACATCAAGTTCCATTGTGGAGTGGATTTTGGCTGGAGATGGGATGGGATGAGTTAAGTGTGACAGCGCTGGCCTTGACCAATTTGTGGTCAATATTGACCGGAATATAGTTTCCCCGAGTCACCTGATCATACCACGCGCTGGAGGATATCTTGATGTTCTTGTTTACCCTTCTTGCTTTCCTCTTTCCTTTTCCTCTTCAGCTTTGTATCTTAGTTTAATGGACTCTTATTGCTTTCTCAGTGATTAGATTTGCCGCCGTAACATTAAGTTCCCCTGATGAGGCGCTTTTTTGGGAGCTGTGAGGTTGGTTGCTTTTGGCAGTCCACCCTTTTTTTTTGTTTTTGGGAAGGGGGGGGGGGAGAGAGAGAGAAAAAAGGGGGGGGGGTTAATGATGGATGTGAGCTTCTGCACACACCTCTCTCTATATATAGAGGCCCATCTCTGGGTGAGTGTGAAATAATGAGGAATATATCGCATCACAGGTGAGAGATACTCTCAGAGGAGGACCAAAAGCTCAGAGCCTTAACAGATTTAAGCAGTCAGACATGAAAAGAGATCATTCTTCACAGACTGACTGCAGAGACATGTCACCCTTTGAACTTGATAGTCTACTCAGATGGTTTCTATCATAGCGACAATCCTACTCGCTGAGAAAGCAAATAGAGTCCATTGAACTAAGATACAAAGCTGACGGAAAAAGAGAAAGAGAGAAGAAAGAGAAGTAGACAAAGGGTTCTCTATAAGGTCCCAGGCGCGTTGTACGATCACTGACTACATTCAAGAACAGTTTTAAATCTCTCTTCAAAACTATTGAGTCTCTCTCACAAAGAATTCATATCAAGATCACAAACTTCTAATGAACAGTCGCTCTTCACCTGAGATTATTCTTCTTCGAAGACATCTTGGCCTCTTACTTTCAGCCAGAACAGGTCATGAAGACTTTGCAGCGTATCATGAAAGATGAAATCATCAGGATGCCCTAATCACCCACTTCTGCAAACGCAAAAAGGCACCAGGGCACTTCTTCTTCTGCTGAAAAGAAAAGAAACTTGAGCAGATTCTAACTCTCCCTCTCTGCCTAGGCCTTAAGAAGAAAATCTCATGGGTCCTAGACACAAGAGAGGGAGTCGGATTTTTTCCTTTTAGTGTACTAGAACAGCTTTATCCGATTAGATTCAGCGCCAGCACTAGATGCTCTGTCACTGAGTCGAGGCCTCAACTATCGATCATCCGAATAACGCTATCAACCTTGCAGCTGACCTGCATAAGTGCTTCAGCCTGTTCAAACTAACATTTGAAGCCATTGACTCCACAACCGCCACTGGCCATACCTGCACAATCAACTTGTCAAATGCCCTTGTCTGGAGCACCTTTCAGTAACACGGGCCCTGCTCCTCTCATCAAACTACACGATCGACCTACCATCCGTAAAGCATCGCGCTATTGCCCATATCCTGGAACTCAGCGCTGCAGGGGCATACATTGAACGCATCATCCGGGATATGGAAAAGGTATGGGTTCGGAGTGATGGCTCAGTCGAGCTTTGAGCCGTCTCACTATCCCCATACACCTAGCCCCGAAGCTCAGGCCGAAAGCCCTCGCGGAAGCCATTCCATCCCCTAATGCGCACCCAGTCTAGAACCCTTCTTGCCTAGAATGTCCAGAGTGTCTAAACAATGATAGTCTCCATCCCAAAGTACGGCAGTTCAGCTTTTGCAACGGGTATGTGCTGAGAGACCATCTTCAGACTGTTCGTCTGCGACGGATGGACTTTTTGAAACCAGTGTCCTGTTCCTATCATAACTGCGGGAAGCTTTTGACCTCAGAGCCGCAATATCTTAGCCACATTGCGGCAGCGCATGGGACCCAGCTACCACCCAGTTAGCTCACTGGTCTTACCTCCCTATCTGTGTTTGAGCTAGCCTGGATTTAGCTATTCTCTAGTAGGGCTTATGAGCTGGGCTTTCCATAGGACCACCATGGTGTCATTTTCAATGGACCTATGAGGTTTCATCTATATTGTCTGAAGCATAACGAATGGCCTCAATTGATTCCCTCTAGCATCAAGGCCATGTGGAAATGATAACGTAGACGAGACATAACTCAGACACAATATGTACGCGTAGGTAGAGGGAAACCAGCTCTCAGTTCACCTTAACAACAAGCCCTCGACGGGCCTAGTCCCACGACATTAATCAATTTAGACTGCTTCGACCATGAACTTAGCCATCTGGAGCTTAGAACTAGGCATGATCCCATGTGCAACAAGTTTCTCAAGTACTCGAACCGTCCAACCCTGACAATTTTCCTTAACATCACGGCGTGTCTCCGCTCGAGGGGGTGGCTCTTGCTCAGCCACTTGTTTAACAATCGCGGCGGTTTCATCCGTCAACGTAGCCAGCTCATACATGTTGAGGAAAGAGTCCGAGTCCGCGATGCGTCTTGGTTTAGTCGAAGGCTGGTAGGACATGCATTGGGCATCCCCTTTAACCTGGTAGACCATGCCTGGCTCATTCTCGCGGGCCACGAAAAGAGACCAGTGTTTCGGTTCCCCGGGAGCTTGGCGTTGGAGGACGAGTGACAATACAAATGGTTGCTGCTGGGAACCTGTTTCTTGGGACTCAGGCTGGACAGGCGTCCATTTCTCGGTTCCACGTTTGCGCTTGAACCGCTGGCCGTTGACCTGGCAGTACTGGAAAAGACCGATCGTTTGACCAGTGACATCGGCAGGGGGATAAGAAGCCATCTATCCAGAACCTTAGTTTGCTGGCCTGGTCGAATTGCACCGAAGGTTCACTTCCTCTGGATACTGAACAGATTGGACACCGGTGAGGAGGGCTCCAGAAGACAGGGGAAAGGCAGTAGAGTAGATAATAGTTCACTTTGCTCAAAGTTTAGATTCTCGACTATGAATTTGTGAGATTGAAGGCGAGAGAGGAATCAGGTCAAGGGCGGGTTTGGCCATCCAAGGCATCAGACCGTTAGTCGCCAAAGAGATTGTCACGGATATTGTACCGCAGACGCCAGCGAATCGTTTGTTGAAAAGCTATGAAAAGAAAAGCATTTTTCTATCTGTTTCAGGAAAGGTGTTGCATCGCTTTGGTTGGGTATCACGCGCAGTTTCCTTCAGCAGGGGCACCAAGGCGCATCCTTGGAATGCATACATCGCGCTCTAGGAAGCAGGGACCTGTGACGCATAACGTAGTAGGCGCCAGGGTAGTGGCAGAAAACAAGGAGACTATAGTCTCAGGAATCAGTATTGCGGCTGATGGTTGGTTGACGTTGAGCGCGTAGTCAAGGCAGCCTAAAAATAGGAAAGTTGCGGGTAACCCGGTGTTGGAGCAGACGGTTGCTTGGGTGGATTAACTAGTTAACTATGTTGGAACCTATGCTTAGTCAGCCCTGACCTTGGCACCCGCTACACCTGGATTTTCACTCGTTTTCGCTACGCTAGCTAGATGGATAGATAACAACATGCTATTCTACATTCTATTACTAGGTCTCTACTCCGTACGGAGTATAGGATTCCACAGATTAGCAGGCGGTTAAGCGAGGGAGTTGTGTTAGCATATGCCAAGGCTAACACATCATCTCTTAACTGAGCACACGTGGCACGTGACCTGTAGCCCTTAAGGTTGGAAACCACCAGCTGTCCAGCGAAGGGCTGTCTGGTGTTTGTCTGCCACTGATTGCACATAAGAGCAAAGTTGCTCTGGTTGTGGCAACCTACCCTCTTCAGACACCTTTTTTTTACTTACTGTCAGTATCTAACTTTCCTGCCTTCGTCGATGGCAACGCCACTCGCTGCCGGAGTTCCCTACTGCCCCGCCAACCTGCGGGAGGATGAATGGTACATTAGAGTTGGAAAATCGTTGTTTCCGCTTGCCTATTTTGCAGATAGGGATGTTCCTCTGGAAGCAGAGCAGATTCACGTTCTACGCAAGCAGATGGGCAGTGTTGTGGTGGAACGAGACTCATCCTATGTCACGAAATTTGGTGGCTCAATCCGTCGATCCGAGGAGCACGCCATGATGCTGGTGGCCAAGCACACTTCTGTGCCTGTCCCAAGAGTATTTAATTCAGACATCAGGGATGATTATGGCCAGATAACTATGTCCATCATTCCTGGAAAGTCCCTCGACAAGTTATGGGCGTCCCTGAACGAGGTGACAAAGCTGAAGATATGTCGGAAAATCTGGGGCCTACTTGCCCAACTCCGAAGTATCCCGCGACCACCAGAGTGCGACGGCCTTTTCCAATGCTCTGCGGATGGCTCAAGCTCAACAGACCCACTTCTTGAAGACCTTGGTCCGCCACCCCATAGACCAATCCTCACAGATGAAGAACTTAGGGCACGCATCTACGAGCGATACATCCACTTTGGCGGCCGGCTCTACGAGCATACATTGCCAGATATGCTCCCGAGATCGTCACGCTCAGTCTTTACACACGCTGATATTGCTCCAAGAAATATCATGGTGGACAAAGAGCGCCAAATAACAGGGATCCTTGACTGGGAGTTTGCGGGATGGTACCCAGATTATTGGGAATATACCCAAATGATGAGACCTGGTGACGAGGTCACCTCTGACTGGCAGAGGTTTATGGATCTCACAGCTCCAGAGAAATGGGATCTTAGTGGTGTCAATGCCGTCAGAAAGATTTTGTTTTGATGGGGTTTTTTAAAAACAGGTTATATCTGAGATTTTTAATTTGTCAGTTGGAAAGTTTGATGGGCATATGTGCAAATGCGTCGGCGTTGGGCTAGCATTGATACCCCAAATGTACCATGTGTTCTATGGTTATTTCTCTCTACAAAATGCTATCATGCTTCGCTGTAAACAGGAGTAAGTAACCCTCATTTCCGAGCACCTATTAACTTCTGGACACAAGAAAGTCAGAAGGCTTACCTAGGTTCACATCTTCCAAGCCAGGCATCAGCGGCAGTGCTTCGTAGTCACCAAAAACACGGCCACAAGCCATTGACGGCGAGATGATTAAAAGATGTAAATGGATGAGGTTTGCCTTGGGGAACAGTCAAAGGTAGGATTTGCAGGGTAAGAAAGGTGGTAGTTGCTAGTATCAGAAGTTGCCCTGAGAATTATCAAAAAAATTATGGCTTTTCGTGAAGGAAAAGTGATCATACCCAGTCCAAACCTTGCCCTGGGGAATGTAAAGCATTCAGTTTGGGAATGGTGGTTGGACCTGGTGCAAAAGGCTGCCTTGGGGAAAAACAGGACCTATGACCTTTACTGTCAATTCTAAGGCCTGCTCCAGTCTAACAAGTGCCATGAGAACGTTCGTTCCCTAAGAACCTGGGATGCCCCAAGAAAGACGGGGATCTTGTGGCATTGTTGAGTAAATTGATGGCTTGCCTTGGGCGATCCATGACACTAGGGCGAAAACTTCCCCAAGAAGAGTAACGCCCTGAGAGCGCTTCTGCCCTGGGAAGAACGGCCCCAATGACTCGCTTCTAAGTGTGGTCTGCCTCAGGAGTATTGTGTGAATTCGGGAAAGAGTGGCTATAAAAACGTGGTTTGCCTCAGGAGTGCTGTCCACGCTGCGGAACTCTGAAAGTTGGTCCTCAGCTATAAAATGTGGTCTGCCTTAGGAGTATCCTCTGTTGCGACATTCTGAGAAGAAATGTTCAGCAACGGCTGCCCTCATGTGGCTTCTGGCTGGTGATTCGTGCTATGCCTCAGTATTCGACCTCCCAGGCGGGACAGCAGCCGAACCTTACATGCCCAATGTTATCTACTAGCCCTCAAATGGACTCACCCGCAAGGCTGTCCCTTCTGGAAGGGCTTAGACAGTAGTTCTTGAGAAAAGTACTCACTGTTCCCAATGATCTTTGACCCAGTAGAGCATCTCCTGGGTCCTTGGGCTGTAGCGTCGCTGTCGAAGACGGGATGGGTCAAGGTCGTCTTCCTCTTCAAGGTAGTGTGCTCTGGCAGACGCTCCTTCTCATTGCGAAGCCAGTCACTGTCATCCTTCAGTGCATCAGCTAGGCCTCTGAGGAGCCAGGAATGGTCGCCATCCAGCATATCAATTAGGCCATCTCTACATCGTCATCACCATTATAATAGACAGAGGTACAATCTGTTTCACTAACTCCATCATCTGAGAAGCACTTATCACCTGAACCACTATCCGCACCACTGATTAAAGCAAGAGGGTCGTCCTTCGCTTCAGAGATGGTCATCATGTCAGTAGCCTTGAGAAGGATGGAGACAGCGTGAATGAGAGAGACCAATCACAGAGTGAGCATCGAAGGCCTGATTGAAAAGCAATGGGTATAGCTAGTAGCTCTCACCCAAAGAAAACAGTGAGGACAAAATAAAAGACATCCGAGCGAGAGAAGAAAAAGAAATGGCCACCAGCAGAACCATGACGGGGCTTGATGGATGAGCAAAGCAGTCACCAAAATTGGGGTGTCCCTTTGCTCACATTTTGCTTAACGAGCCAGGGTGTATCTATCATGATGTAGCCGCTGGGTGAGCGAGCGGACGAGTCTAGAGCCACGGCAGGTCATGGCCGTGGCCAGGTGAGTAGAAAGGGATGCGACGCCATTTCCAGAATTGTGAAAAGTGCGACACTGAGAGGGCGTCCAGGGTGAAGGAGGGTGACCGGTGAAGCAATCAAGGGATTGAAGAGGCTGTTCGGTTTTGTGATGAGAGATGTGGTGTGAGGTGTGGTGCGTGGATGGTAAGTACTTACCTGAGAGAGTGCGTGAAGAGGAACTTTGGTGAGTTGAAGAACAGGCCTGTTTTGGCTGCCAGCTCGCCAGATGATCGAAAAGAGTAGTAAAGAATAATTTTATTTTGTAATCAGAATTCAGTTATTCTGATATTATAATTATTCTATCTTTTCTTAGTTAGTACAGCAGCAGACTAGAGTATAATAACTTATCTATAGCTTTTACTTGATAAAATCAGATTAATCTGAGATTGAATATTAAGTATAAGTTAAAAATACTAGTTTTAACGTTGAAACAGTTAGCCGGACGCCCAAAGCAGCTACACTTGACGCCGTTTTGAGCGTCCAGCTAACGCTTGGCGGCCTTGGCGTCATGTGAAAGTAGTCCCACGGCCAGCGGCCTTTACTCCCACGCCCTGCGCTGGTTGGTTACCCTGTCGTTTCGTGCCTGGCCTGGTCCTTTTGACAACCACACATCATGTAACCGCCGTCGGAGGGCCAGCTTGTTGTTCAGCCATACCTCTCCCTCCCCTGCAAAGCCTTCTGGGGAGGGAGCCAGAAACAGCTCCCCTCGCGACCGTCTTCTTCACTCTGATTCTTAAAAGCCTTCGCCCACCATGACTCTCTCTCCCTCCCCTCCTCCACTTCCGAGCAACTGCCATCCACCTCGCCCACACATTCATCTCTCCTCTGCCAGCTTCAAACAGGTTAGAGAAGATCAGCTTCTGCCACTCTACTCTCTATTTCTATCCAGGCATTCTTTCCTCTTGCTCTCCTTTGTCTGCCATGCGGCGCTCCCCTCGACCGGTCGGCTCTGACAACAACAGTGGCAGCACCACTGATGTACCAGACATCTTCTCTGACAATGCTACTGATGAATCCTCAGACAGTGTGTCTGAGCCAGACAGTGATGACAGCCTGGAAGATCTTTCTGACAACAATTCAATCCTGGATGATGAGGAGGAATGGGAACTCCCTGTGGCGTACTTCTTACAGGAGGCTGAATGTCTCAACATCTCCCAACTACAACAGAAATGCTACAGCCCAAGGACCCAGGCTAAGTTGGATGAGACACAGGATTACTGGGACTGGTGAGAAACAGCTGGGATCTAAGTCTCAAGACTGGTGCTAATATATAGTATGTCTCTCCAGGTTCTGCCGCGAGGGCAACTACGACCCTGCCAAACATTTCCATTGGCTTTCCAACTCCAAGGAGACAGTCTGTTTCTTCAAAGCTTTCTTCTCATGGCAATGCAGTCGGCGACGAAACAAAAAAGGGGGCCGGACACCAGGAATACAATACAAAAGCTCGCTGGAGACATTCTGGAAGTGGTGGCATCTGGTTTACAAGGCAGAGGTAGGCCACGGCTTAAGCAAAGACCTCATTGTCAAGATTCTGGATGTAAGTGACAGGTGATCAGATCAATTATAGTCTCATCTGATGGTTTACAGGTACTGGCAATTGTTGCTCAAGAGAAGGACCTCCATTCTGGACGCCGACCAAAAGCGACGATGTACATTGAAGATGTGGCGGAGTTCGCTCGCGTGCTATTGTTGACAATGGAGATGACTTTTCAGTTTGGGTGGCTTCGGATACAACTCCTCCTCTTCTGCCAGCTGGCAGCCATCACAGGCAGCCACCCTGGGGCTCTGCTGAACTTACATTATTGGGATCTTGAGCTGACTCTCATCCGTCACCCAGACGGAGGGCGCCCACGATTATTTATTTACTTAACCCCAAGGTTTACCAAGACATTTCTAGGCGAGAAGGAAGAGTGAGTCCTGGGCAATCCCTTTTTATTTTAGCGTCGCTGTCTCCACGTGAAGTCGCATGCCAGATATAGCTAATTATGTATGGAATAGGAATACCTTCCCTATTCCTGAAATCATCTTTGACCTGACATTGGTCCTCAGTCCTCATGTGTTCCTTCTCGGGATGCTGTTCCGTATCCAGGCGTTCAAGAATATCTCCAAAGACGGCCTAGTGTTGGACTGTCCCAAAAATCTGTATAACCTTGGTGTTCTGGATGGGCTTGGAGAACAGCCGCTGAGATTGAAAGATGAAATTCTTGATCACTTTGTGTTCTGTCAGGGAATGCGCGAATCCGACGGACTTCGAATTGCTTTGGAGGAGCGACTAATGGAAGGAGCCCTGCAATATCAGATGAAACAGGGAGGCGAAATCACAGGGTTTGAACAGGTCACAAAGCTGTATGGTCTCCGTTATGGGACGGCGAAAGCATTTAATGACAGCCATGAGTTATCTGGTTTGTTCACATTGAAAATGATCATGTCCTTACTAACACCACTGTCTCCTTTGTTGAACAGCGGATGTGATGAATGAGCTCCAGAACATGATGTTGCAGCATGTGAGCATTGACACCTTCATTAAACATTATAGCGTGGGCATCCATGTTGATGCTCAGGCCATTGTCCAGGGACTGCCGGCTCAGAAACAGCTGATGTGGTTTGCAGCATCCATGAGCCAGTCAATTGATCCCCACTGACCATACAAGCTTGAGGACACTAGTTGTGTCAACAACATCCCGCGCGTGCGAACACTGCAGACGCGGGTCTGTGAAAGAAAACAATTTCAGGACAAGATGAAGCAGGCTTTCAAGACAGCAGAACAGGACTTTGAGCAAAGCTTCAGTGATTACCAGAATCAGAAGAAAGTGAAGAAGGAGCTACCAGCTCCTGCTCAACAGGCACTTGACTGTGTGGTGAAGTCCGAGGAAGAGTACAGAGGGGCAGTCTGGAGGCATCTCTGGGCACAGCATGTGTCTCAGAATGAGTGGCAACGGCAACATAACCACTTAGTGCGTGAGAATCTGGAAAGATATAAGAACAAGCAGCCAGTGATTGACTGCGAGAGGCAACTTGCTGGGAAGTTCTTGAATGATGAGGTGAAGGGTGCTCTGGAGTGAACAGGGTATATGACCCCACAGCATATGATCCTGCTCAATAATATCTTGAGCATGCCGGGCGCCACTGTCAAAAAGGAATACCAGTGCTGGATTGCCGCAATCAATGCGGTCATTGCTTTCTGTGATGTGGAGGAGGGATCACCCACAAGACAACCTAACCTTGCACAGAAACATCCTGCCATGGATTCCTTATCATCTGCTCCTTCCACAAAAAGGCAAAGATGCTCTTTGTCTGATGGGCACAGACCACCATTTCTCAAGTGATTGTGTCTGCATTAAAAAGAAAGAGGAACAGCCAACAGTTTGCTTTCTCTGTCTGGGAAATCCTCATATGCCAGAACATGAGCAGTCTAAAGACTATTGTACACCTGGGTCACTCACCTGTCACTTTGTTGACATTCATGTCATACCATATCCAAAAGACATGCGGGTTAAATGCAGCATCTGTGAGGAACAGCTGGAGAGTAAATCAGCATTGATGAACCATGCTGAGAGAAAGCATGGAACTGTCTCACACCACCCTTTGTCCGCCCTCAGCCCAATTTAGATTTCCAATACACCTGCGACCTAAAACATTTGTGGACCAGGATCCCCCTCTTTGCCTTTGTTGACGCGGCATATTGAGGGCTGGTACCTCAACAATTTCCTTTATTAGTGTGTTTATTTTTTGTAACTTGTTTCTCAAATCCTCTGCGGGCTTGATACCACAGTAACATTGCATGGTACATATACATACTAGATTGAATAAGATATTCAAAGGAATCAGGATCTAAAGAGAGTCGTCCATGTGTGATATCTCAACAGCCATACCAGTTGAGGGTCAATCCTATCAGCAGACTCTGGTTCAATGGGTATTATGTTGAAGGCCCTCATTGAATAAAAGGAAGTGCTCAATATCAACTGTACAAGCAGAGAAGCTCATACAGCAAGATTCCCTTCAATGTATGTATTTAATGTGGATTAAATAATACCTGTTTCCCACTCAAAGGCTCCTTGAAATGGATGCGCATATAGCTTTCTGTTTTCACACTTTTAAGGGACACCTTAAGCTCTTGTAAAACATCTGCTGCGAACTCCAGTTCTTCTTGAATCTCGTCTGAGAACTTGAAAGTATCAGAATGTAGGAACATGTCTATTGTTGCTTGAGTGAGTAGTCACCAAACTGAATGTCCCTTCAGTAAGTGAGTAGCTGCATAGACATTTTCATGTGTCATGTGACGAACAAGTCTGTCTCTTGAATAAATATCTGGAACATTGTCCAAAATAGTCGCGCGGATATGTTCAATGATTTGTGATTCCACATTGTTGATACTTAGCATGTCTACAAGCCTGGCAAATTCAATCATCATAGATATCCAGTCTGTTGGCGATTCCTTGCCAAGAATAAGGTAGTTCACCACTAAGCGAGCCACACCACTAAATGAGCCAAATCTTCCACCACCAAAATTCCTCCAACATTCAACATTCAATATGTGACAATATGGTCAACAACACCTCAATTAGGCTTGCAATTGAAGATCTTGAATCACAAGAAACCCCAAATTACACTGCAATCATGAGAAAGTACTTAGTTAATCAAGAGACCCTGCACCAATAGTATAAAGGCTTGTAACTTGCTCAGGATGAAGCAGCCTCTCAATATAAGAAAAAGCTCTCTGATATACAGAAGGCAGAGCTTCTGAATTATATAAATAAGCTCTCTAGCTACAGTCTTGCCATTACATCTCAGATCCTACAAAATATCATACAAGAGATGATAGAAGAGGATGTTGAGATTAACTGGGTTAATTAATTTTGTGAGTGGCATAATAACAAGATTAAATGCATTTATCTTAAAGCAATTAATTAAAATAGACAGATAGCAGATAACTATCAGTGCTTTAAGCACTTCTATATGCTTGTAATTTGATGATTTATTTGATTACTTGTGATTGCAGTTGTTGATACTGGCTAACTATTTGACTACTACTTATGAAATAGTTAGAGCAGAAAATTAATTAATATAATTTTAAGCTCTCAAACATCTATAACTTTAATAAAAAAGAATTTCTTCTAGACTTCTGCCATGTCTTAAAGTAATTAGTCTCTATTAAAGTTCTATAAGCTGGAAAGAATGCTGTTATTCAGAATAATAATCAGAAATTCCTCTTATTGCTCTGCTCAGTCTCTGCTGAAGAAATTGCACTATCTCCAGCTCTTATTTACCAGAATGAATTACAAGATCTTCAGAATATATAATTAGATGATTATGATGGAAGCAAATAGATCTACTTTGCAGCTTTAACAAATAGTTAAAGTAATGATGAATATGAACTGAAGTAGTTGAAACAGGTTTTCAATCAGCATACTAAGAAACAAGCTGATCAAGAAAGACATCTGCTTCTACTAGATGATCATTCCTCCCATATAAATATGAAATTTATTAAATACACTGACTGTGAAAAGATTCTTCTTATAATTCTTCTACCACATTCAACTCACTATTTGCAATCTCTTGATGTTGGAATTTTTGGGCTGCTGGGCAAGGTATATTCCAATAAGCTGGAAGCACTACTGTAAGGATTCACTGTGAACCCCTTACACAGACGAACAGCACCTGTGAGGGCCAGAGGCCTCAGCTCACAAGCTGCTGGGAGTTGCATGTGTTCTCACAAGGCACTAAGTTATGTGCTCACAAGCACACATAAAAGACTGTCACTGCATGAATTCCTTGCTGGGAGCCAGTGGCAATCTTGTTTACAAGTTGTATATAGTTGCCAGAATACAGATCTTTTACCTTGTGTACTCTTTTTCCATGTATATTTCTTCTAGAGATTCATTGTCATGCTGATCCACATGTATGATTCTCATATTTTGCCACTCTTCTTTGGTGACACCCAACAATGGTATCAACATGAAGAAGCCAACCCCCTGAAACTCATGAACCTGGAACACCAGCTGAAAACCTATCTGAAGAACAAACCCAAGTTTGTGAAGAGACAACTAATCTTGACACCTCACCTCTCTTAACTGTTGATGAAACAAGCACCACAAACTCAGAGAGAGAGTCTATTCTGACACCAAAAGACAAAATCCAACAGCTTTGTGAGGAGACCAAACTACTAAAGAAAATGGTGAAATGGCAAGAGAAGTTGAATGCTCTCCAGAACACCCAAAAGCACTTGTGAAGTGAATCTCTTGATATGATTATCTCCAACCCAACATTCATGAAGTATCTGTTGATCTTGAGACCATCACAACACACAAAGCACTACTAGACTGGAACCTACACAGAATATTGCCAGTTCACCTTAGATATTAAATCCATTTGTGATGCAAGCAAACTGAATGATGAGAATACTCTTGTGTATGCTCTCACAGGACTTGATTATATTAAGAAAGACCTTTGGGAGGCCCACTGTGAAGGCAATTCATCAAAAAACAACTGGACTGGCCTTAAAGAATTTCTATGTGTGAGGCTAGGAGACCCAGCAAACCACACACAAAACTCTTGATGAGCAATCTTTGGTCTTTGCAAAAGTTTGGATGAAACTGATTATACCTATTGTCAATAATTTCTAGAGCTCACAACAGAGATTGGTGAAGAATTTGAAGATTCCATGAAAATGAAGAAGAATCTGTTTATATGGGGCTTGGATAAGCCCATGTGAACCAAACTAGATGAACAGCTGGAGATACCAGATGACATTGATAATATAGTAGCACTGGCCATCTGGCTCTGACCAAGTGTATCAGTAGTCTATTGTAGTGGGGATTCCAGTACCTCATTAGAACAAAGGTTGTTCCAGTCTGAGGCACAAACCACTCCAAAGCTACTATTCTTAAGCTATATAAACCACCTGTAGCCTCTGCATCTTGCTTATTATCTTCATGCACCATTGCTCTTTTCTACACACTTGTTCCTTACTACCAGTTTGGCTATTAGTTAGAGAATATGAAGATTTCTTGTTCATGAAATGTGCTACTATTCCTCATTAGAGCTGTCTGTGTTAGTACAGAGATCTTTAGTACTATTACTTCTTGCAAGCTTAGGCATCTGTTAGAACATATCTATCTCTACACTTACTACTTGACCATACCCTTACTATATGGTGATTTTTCACCTTTCTTGTGCTCTCACCATATCAACCAACTTGCCTACTTTGACAAGGCATTCCATTGTACCCTGCTTCATTTGGTGACCAAGCTGAGACCTGAAGGTGATGATGCAGTGATTTGGTGACTGCCAAGGAAGAGAAAAACAAATTCCAAGACACATGAAGCAATACACTATTTCAAGATAAGATCTTATGGACTAGAAACACAGTACTAATCAGTTTTTTTTTAGAAATAAGATTAGGGAGCTTAGATTTGAATGCCTCTTATCTAGAGCTTGCCTGATAAACAGGTTTTTGGAAGATATTGACTAATAGACAGAACATACTGTGTGACATGACCAAAGATCAAGAAACCAAGAAATTGGAATCAGAATCAACTATGGCTGAAGGTACTACAGAATCATATGTAACTATATTACTGGGTGAGGACAAGAGAATTGTGGTTCATTCCCACATTTCTATATCTTTCTCTGGCATGGCAAATGCACCTTGGTTTGATGGCAGAGATGCTACCCTGTTTATTGAAAGGTTTTATCAGATGTGCAAGAATTATGAAGTAATTGACCCTAAAAACATTATTGAACAGTTGGCTAGGTACTGTGTTACATGGATTGGAGAATGGATGAAGACCTTGAAAGACTACAAAGAAGGTAATTGGGAAGTATTCTCTAAAGAGATTATTCATAAATTTCATGATCAAGACATCACTTACAAGATTCACTGTTGGAATTATCTCCAGGCAATTACAAAGAAACCATGTGCTTGAGATGGCAACATTTGTGCCTATGTTTGAGAATACACTACTATCACTAGTACAGTTCAAGCAAATGAAAGGCTTGATGAATTCACTAAGATGTCTTGATTCCTTCAGAGACTACCTGAGAAGCTCTGGAATAAGATTATTGACAAGGCCAAGCTCAATCTTTCAGACAATATATTGCCTATTGATTTTAGGAAAGTTGTTTGGGTGACCATGGATTTAATTGACCAGTATGAAGGGAATAAGAAGATCTTTAAAGAAGATGAAATGAAACAGAAGAAAATGGAGAAGCTTGGTGAGCAATATCAATTAGCTAACAAGCCCTCTACAGTTGAAGCTCCAAAGAAAACAGCTAGTTTTGTGAAGACTGAAGAATCTGAATTGAAAGCCAAAGCCAAGAGCTCTAACAGCACCAATATTAAAGCTGCTATTGAAAAGATGATCAACAAGTTCACAAATTTGGCATTGGCCATGAGAGTACAATCAAATCAGATACAAGAGAATTCCAATCAGTATTATATGCTGCAGAGAGAAGGACCTCCAAAACCTATACCAAATTATTGTGAGGATCGTACGTGTGGATCAGCGTGACAATGAATCTCTAGGAGGAATATACATGGAAAAAGAGTACGCGAGGTAAAAGGTCTGTATTCTGGCAACTATATACAACTTGTAAACAAGATTGCCACTGGCTCCCAGCAAGGGGTTCGCGCAGTGACAGCCTTTTATGTGTGCTCGCGAGCATGTGACTTAGTGCCTCGCGAGGACACATGCAACTCCCAGCAGCTCACAAGCTGAGGCCTCTGGCCCTCACAGGTGCTGTTCATCCATGTAAGGGGTTCACAGCAAATCCTTACAGATTCCCCCCCCTTGTAAGCCTTGGTCTCTCAAGGCAGCTGTCTCATTAAAAACCTTCATGAGTAGAAAA